TTTGACATTGTCCAGCGGGCCGTGGCGCGCAATGACGGCACACAGCTGTCCAGGGTTGTGCCTGCAATCACGGGCTTCTTCAATTCCATTGCTCTACTCCAGGGCAGCTCGTTGCAAGACACGTTGCGCTTGCTCACACTGTGGTTTGCCCACGGCGGCCACCCCGATGTCAACGGTGCAGTGGCCGAAGGGTTCTCCAAGGTCAGCATCGATACTTGGCTCGAGGTCATTCCCCAGTTGATTGCAAGAATCAACCAGCCCAACCGCCGCGTGCAGCAGTCTGTGCACAACCTGCTGGCTGACGTGGGACGCGCCCATCCCCAGGCCTTGGTGTACCCTCTGACCGTCGCTATGAAGTCATGGAAGAATACCCGCAGGTCGAGGTCGGCGGCCATGATCATGGACAGCATGCGCCAGCACAGCGCCACGCTTGTTGCGCAGGCTGAGCTTGTGAGCAACGAGCTCATTCGCGTTGCGGTTCTTTGGCATGAGCTTTGGCACGAGGGTCTGGAAGAGGCTTCCCGTCTATACTTTGGTGACCAGAACATCGAAGGCATGTTCGCGACACTGGACCCGCTTCACGATTTGCTGGAGCGCGGACCGGAAACCTTGCGAGAAATCTCATTTGCGCAAGCCTTTGGTCGCGACTTGAAGGAGGCCCAAGAGTGGTGTCAGCAATACGAGAAGAGCGGGGACGTCAACGACCTGAATCAAGCCTGGGACCTTTACTACCAGGTATTCCGAAGGATCTCGAGGCAGCTTGTGCAGGTGACCTCTCTCGAGCTACTGTACTGCTCGCCCAAGCTTCTGAACGCCAAGGATCTGAGCCTGGCTGTGCCCGGTACCTATCGCAGTGGACAACCTGTTGTCAGCATCACGGGTTTCGAGTCGACGTTCACCGTCATCAATTCGAAGCAACGGCCGCGCAAGTTCACCTGCAATGGCAGCGATGGGAACCAGTACGCCTTCCTTCTCAAGGGACATGAAGACATTCGCCAAGACGAACGTGTCATGCAGCTCTTCGGCCTATGCAATACCTTGCTCGCCAACGACTCGGAATGCTTCAAGAGGCATCTCAACATCCAACGCTTCCCTGCCATTCCGCTGTCGCAGAGCTCTGGTCTACTGGGCTGGGTGCCCCACAGCGACACGCTGCATGTGCTCATACGGGAATACCGCGAGAGCCGCAAGATTCTGCTCAACATTGAGCACAGGATCATGCTCCAGATGGCCCCCGACTACGACAACCTGACGCTCATGCAAAAGGTTGAGGTCTTTGGCTATGCGCTCGACAACACCACGGGTCAGGATCTGTACCGCGTGCTCTGGCTCAAATCAAAGTCGTCCGAGGCGTGGCTGGAGAGGAGGACCAACTACAGCCGGTCCCTCGGTGTCATGTCGATGGTGGGCTATATCCTGGGTCTAGGTGATCGTCACCCGTCCAACTTGATGCTCGACCGTATTACCGGCAAGATTGTGCATATTGACTTTGGCGACTGTTTCGAGGTGGCAATGAAGAGAGAGAAATACCCAGAGAGGGTGCCCTTCCGACTGACGAGGATGTTGACGTATGCCATGGAAGTGAGCAACATTGAGGGTAGCTTCCGTATCACGTGTGAGCATGTGATGCGCGTGCTACGGGAGAACAAGGAGAGTATCATGGCGGTGCTCGAAGCGGTACGTTTTGCCCTGTACTTCTACGTAATGGCCAGTTTGCTGACAGACACTAGTTTATCCACGATCCTCTGCTTACGTGGCGCCTGACCAGCGCCGCATCACCAACGGGTCCCAACTTCCGCACCGAGACCGAGGCAACGGCCGCTGTCGTGCCAAATGGTGCCCGTCCCCGCCGCCAGTCCATACTGGAGAGCGACATGGCACCGTCGGAGCTGCTTGCCGAAGGCGTGGCTCTGCCATCGCGCAGCCGCGCACGGACAAACTCTACCGTCGCCACGAACAACACCGATCATGCGAACGGCTTCGTCAACGGCATGGCGCCCGTGCAGGAAGCCGAGAGCCAGAATGCACGTGCGGTTGAGGTGCTCGATCGCGTGCAGCAAAAGCTCACCGGGCGCGACTTTAAGACGACGGAGGAACTCGAGGTCGTCGCGCAGGTGAACAAGCTGATCATTGAGGCGACCAAGTTGGAGAACCTCTGTCAGCACTACATTGGATGGTGCAGTTTCTGGTAGACACCGTCTGTCGTGTCTGGCGCAACATTTTCAATTCTTTCCAGCATATACTGAGTGTCAATCTAGAAAGGGGGCGCGGATGTTTGGTGGTAGATATCCAGGCGTTTGCGGGATTTGCGGTATAGTCGTCTACTTTTATCAGGCGTATAAGGGCATGCTTGGACGATGGGATGTAATGATATATAATATGCGACAGCGCTGTACTGGTATAGTTGGTCTATTGCATGCAGTCTATGGATGCTCGCTCCGTGATGTCGATTTGCAGCCTCTCGTCAGTCGGCGAGGAGACGGTCTTGTTCTTCCCCGCTCGCGCGTGGTGATGCACTGACTTGTTCGTCAGTGTTGATCCCTAGTGCCAGCTCACGTTGTGTATCTGTCTTTCCAAAAAGGGCGTCCATGTCCTCTAGTTCGCGGCCCTTGGTCTCTGGGTAGAGGAACCAAATGGTCTACTGGCTTGTCAGTGGATGCTATGCAGATGATCAATGTGGGAAGGGAGCTCACCGGCGCACAGGCAAAGTTCACGACCATGAAGAAGAAGTAAATGCCGCTGCCAAAAGCTGCGTTGCCGAGTGGCCATATCTGCGATACAATGATGGAGCCGAGCGCGCCGCCGGACGCGGCGAGGTTGAGACCTCGTGCGCGCACGGACGTTGGGAAGATCTAAAAGTCTGTCAGTCTGACAGGATCAGGCATAGAGAAATGGGGTGTATACCTCTGAGGAATAGACCCAGGCCGCAGGGCCGAGGCCGAGGGAGTAACCCATGGCATAGATGAAGATGAACATGATGCAGATGATATCTGCCGATTTGTTCATGTTGTTGGGATACAAGAGCGGCAAAGCGCCATTGATCTTTGGCTTTTAGCTCGACATCCCGAGGGGATAGCTTGGGGAAGTACTCACAAGCATGGCAACACCCATGATGACAGAACCGAGCACCAGACACAGTCTTCGTCCGAGTCTGTCGATGATCCACATTTCCACGACTGTCATGCCTATCTTGAGCGTCATCTCAATGGCACCAGCCATCAGCGAGCTCTGTACACTCAGCCCCAAGTTCTGGAGCAGCGAGGGGAGGTAGTATTTCATGGCTGCGGCGCCACACATCTGGGCCATGAACTGCAGAAGGAAAGCCCGCCAAAGACGAGCAAAGAGTGCCGGGTCTCGAAAGAGTGAGAGAGTCAGGCGTTTGAAGGATGAGAATGTCGGGGGTAAACGTGTCGTGGACGTGGAGATGAGGTCCAGTTCCTGCGTGGCAAGCGAGGAGGGGCGCAGAGTATACAGTATGGCCTTGGCCTCGTCTTTGCGACCTTGTTGGACGAGCCAGCGCGGTCTTGCTTGTGTGAGTGCGATGCCGATGGATGATTGTGGGTATGTGACTTACGTCTCGGGTAGGAAGGGCAGCCCTAGAAGGAAGATGGTTGCTGGGATGATTTGAAGGAAAATAGAGAAACGCCAGCCCCAGAAGTCGCCCGAGGTTGTCTTCCAAAACGACATGCCATAGCCGACCCTGGCGATGTTAGTCCACCAAATCACTAAACCTAAGCACATTTACACTACCATAGACCGACTGCCATCCCAGCGATGAAGCCGACATGGTTCATCGTCACGAACTTGCCCCTTTCCTTTGCGGGTGAAATCTCACTGACATCCTCTGTTAGCGTATGCTAGAAAAGGGGCAAAGGGGAGTTTTTTCGAACCTCTGATATAGAGGCACCGTGGTACTAATGATACCAACCCCCAAGCCACAGGCCAGTCTGCCAATGACCAGGGGGAGCAGGCCTCTTGCCGCGGCCATGCACCACATTCCGATAACCATTACTACTGTGCCAATGGCAGCCGCTCTCTTGCGCCCAAGCCAGTCGGCCAGAGGGTGCGCAAGAAAGAGGTAGCTGAGCAGTGTACCGACATAGTATACGCCTGTGATGATACCGCGTATGGATGGCGGCGGGTCACGAAGGGTTTTGCTGAAGCCTGGGTGGACGAGAACACTGGAAAGGATGCCGATATTGTAGCCCCATAGAGAGGCACCGATGGCGAGGTGAAGGCAGATGGCGTATAGGAGGGGATGGCCCCTCAGGCGGAAGGCTGGCTTCATTGTGAGGGGGAGGAATTGAGCACAGTGAGCTAGCTAGCTTCGAGCTAGAGAAGGTTCGGCAAACAAAACAATGTCGCTACAAGTCAAGGTGTCACGCCATGGACGATGGATGGGCCTTGGGGTCGAGGCTTTGATAATGAAGCGAGCGACTGGAGCTCCATCATCCATGACTTGACTGGATCTTATCGATAAGATATCGCCGCCTTCAGCTGCAGCCGAATCCGACGCTGGAAATCGGCCACGTGGATTCCAAAAAGATCATGACCAGACCAAGCTTGTTTAACAGTTTATTAACAAACAAACCAGTACGGCTGATGAACGACTCACAATACCCCAAGGTATCTTTGGTCCGCCACATTTCCAACCATCCGTCTGCATTCACCCCAGATTCATCCCGCTCCAGATACGTCAGAATGGGATCATGCCTTCAAGTAGGTTTCAGCCACCACACTGGGACAGCTTCCTTATTCGCGTGAGGGCTCGAACTTGATTGGCTTCATCTCGCAACCGTCAGCTGTCAACCTACCTACCTGGTAGCCTTATCGTCGGGACATGTTCCAGCCCTGTCCCGACTCCCGCTACGGATTAGACTTCAACCCACAAGGATGAGAATCCAATGAGTCGCCGTAGCTTGAATCAGTGGCATGCTCGCAAGGCGTAGGCTTCCACGCTGGCTGGAATGGCACTCTCACCCAGCCCTTCTCCAAGCGAGGCCGAACTTACCATGGCTGCTCATGGAAGAGCCTGGGCTTCAAACTAGGATCAGCCGACCTTTGCGGCCAAAATCAGACTGTACGACGCTCCAGCCGGCGACATAAGTACAGGCAAAGCCTCCCACCATAAACAGTTGGTCGTTAGACTTTCCAAGTTCTTGAAGCAGCCAGGGACCGTGTACCAGAACCTGAACCATAGCAAAACACCACCTTCTCGCACCATGCCGAACAGCGAAACTGCACAGATGAACGGTAAACACCGTGAAGAGGAGAGAGAGGGCACATTCCACAGGGTTGCCACTTTCCTCCTCCGGATGAGCGAGCTGGTTTGTGCCGTCATTGTGCTTGGGATCCTCGCTCGCTTCACTTACCTTATTGGCGTCGCCCGTGTCAGCGTACAGGGCCGTATCGTGTACGCGTTGGTCGTTGCCTGTATCGCTACCGCGTTCTCGATCCTCTTCTGTCTGCCCATCAACGCCCTGTCGATTAGCTTCCCGTTCGACTTTATCCTCTTCGTCGCCTGGATCGTTGCGTTTTCCCTCCTTGCATCGGTATGGACTCCTGAATCCCTCATGTCAAGATGTGATGCTTACCAGGTTTGCGAATAGGAATCCAGGCAATGTTCATCAGGCTGGTACCGCAACTACTGGGGCTACTACTGGGGCCGGTGGTGGCGGACTGGCCCTGTCGGGACAGTCCCTGTTGGGCGCACTGGCTGTGGCTATTGGAGAACGACGCTGGCTTTCTCCTTCTTGGCATCCATGGCTCACCTGCTCAGCTTCATCTTGGTAGGGCCGATTTTGAAATTATGGGGCGAGACTAACCTGGGTGGCAGGGCATATACATCTTCCGCAAGTACGTCAGAGTCAAGGATACGGTCGCCAAAGCCAAGAGGCAGGCCGGGAAGCTGCGAAAGTAAGTAGTAAACTCTCGCGCCGTTACGGTCATCAGATATTGACTATCTCTACCAAGGTCGCATTCTTCCACACACCTAGCCAATGGAGCCAACGGAGCGACTTCAACACGGCAAGGGAGTGCTGCGACGGACAATCCGCCCATGTCGACGGTCCCTCGAGAACCTGCTCAGCAGGTGTAATCGCACGCCGAAGATGCATCTTCCCATCACTATGGTGATGAATGACAAAAGCATCCCGGGAGGTGATAGTTTGACTGAGAGGAGGTAGCCTCGGGAGCCTTTCCCACTTTTCAAGGGCATCGGCGGCTCATGTGAGTCTTGGTTCTCGGAGCATCTGCTTGCTTGCTATTTTTAATGCTATGCGGTGGTGATACTGAATTATTGATTATACTCGCTTCTTGCTGCTTGTGCTTCATTCACTTGGTTCGCCTTTACAAGCTTCAAGGGGGCCTGAGGACGTTGACCAAGTGGTCATAATGAATGAAAGGGCGGCCCCCGTTCAACTCGACCGCTGGAGGGTCTTACTGAATTACCGTGTGCTGATCTACCTAATAATAATGCAATAATTGTTGCCATGTCGCAGTCGAGACTGAGAAAGGCGCGCTAACCCCATTAGAGGACGAGTCTGAGCTTTTGTTACACGACTGAAATTGGCATCCAACATGAACTCAATCAATACCGCCCCAACTCCTCCTTAATCCTTTCACGCGTGTTCTGATCCCACGATGCACATCTATAAAACACAGGGATCAGCAAGCAGGCCATCTCCTAACAATCCAGATTCCATCCAGGAACGCGGCGCCAAATCGAACGGCGTGGTCCATGGACTCTCCCTGGAACTTCCCTCCTACATTCTACGACAAGTTGTCGAAGGTATGGCTCACTCCTTTGGCTTTACAAGAGCTCGACCGGCAGAGTGCTCCCCAACATCAACTGAAGCTCGGCGTGTCTAAGACCAGTCATGCCAGTGCTAGGCGAGGGGGAAGCTCGACTCTTGACAGCACGAGGTTTGCAAGCGCGTGTGGCCCTGACATATGCGATATCCGAGGGGTGAGTACAAACTCTTTGTTTTAAGCTACCGCGGACTGATCAGTCTATGCAGTATCATGAGCCAACAAGGGTAAAACACTCGATGTCTTCCCCATCAGCCTCCTCCTCAAACAGCGGGAAACCACCAAGCCAACTCGCGTTTCTGCGCAGAAACGCTCTATTGCCTATGATGCCAACTTCCGACAGCACTGTGAGGATCACCACATGTATCCTCCATTTTATAGGTTCCCCGATAGCCGTCGGCCGCCCAAACCGGCGAATCTGAATGAAATTCGGCAGGCTTTGAAAGTTCCAAGCGGGTCACTTTCGCCATCTACTGCGTCCGAGTCAGCCTTTGAAGACTTTCAATGCACAAGCATGACTGGTTCTGAAAGCACATTGATGGCCAAAGTCATCCCGTTTATCACTGGCGATACTGACATCCCTAACGAGGGACATCTTCCATTCACCAACCTAGATGAACGGACCAAGAACATCACGTTGAGACCAAATCCCGATTTCTTTGACGGAGCTCGTCCCGAGGCGATAGACCAAGGAGTCCGAGAAGCGCTGTACAGGACGGTCGTGCCTACGGTGAAGACAGACGCTCCCATAGCGCCTAACTTATTCCTGGAAGTCGAGTCTACTACTGGCACACTCGACGTTGCCAAAGCGCAGGTAATACTGGACGGCGCACACGGGGTTATGATGATGCATGCCTTGCAAAATCACCTTCTGGAGAAGCCCGTGTATGATGACAATGCCTACTCCTTCACGGCAATCTTCCATGGCGGCTGTCTCTACATATATGCCCACTACCTCACAGCTCCTGCTGAGCTCGGTCAGAACCCTAGATGTCATATGGCTCAGCTTCATATTTACGCTTTGACAGCTAGCCATGAAGCTTGGCTAGATGGTGTTGGCGCGTTCAGGAATTTGAGAAAGCTGGCCAAGAAGTACCGTGACCAGTTCATCGAAACAGCAAACGCGAGGGTGCGCAGGCGGCGCGCAGAAGCGACAGCCATTGAAGGCGGTACTCGTGCAACTGAGGAGAAGTCGAACGAGGTATCGGGTCCAGCCATTGTCTCTGGTTGTCCGTCACTTCCCGAATCGTCCGACAGCAACCCAGAGACGGAGGAGACCAATAATGAGCTCGACGGACCTCACCTTGATAGACACGGTCAGGGCGAGGCGGGAGATCGAGCGCACTCCCGGCTGGCTACCGAAGCCTCGACTGGTGTTGAGACAAACTTGGCCTCCAGTCTCGCATCCGAGGCCCGCGAGAAGGATCGCAATTCTCCTCATCCTCAACCTCATGCACCACGCAGCCCCCCATCTCCTTTATCTCCGCGACTAGCTAAGAAGAAGCGCGGTGGTGATGACGGATAGGCTGGCGCCTTCTTGCGAGGATCTATTCTAGCGCAACATTGTCTCTTTCTTTCACAAAGCACTCTCGTATTGCCTGCGGGCGTCAACGTTGTGACCTGGGGCATCTCACATGTGTCCGGGCTTGGCCCTTAGTCTAACATCAGCCACTAGAGGTGCTTGGACGAGTCCCGCTGTCCCGCCTTCCTGGCCGTCTGTGTAAGGCGTCAATTTATCAGGTCGCTGTCTATAGTTTGTCCCCATCTCTCAGTACATGCCTAGCATTGTCATTCAGTCACCCAAGGGCTCACAGCTCATCCTTGCCATCCGCCTTGTTGGGCTGCCCCTCCGCCTCGCAAGCCGCCGGGGTGCCAACCTCCATCTTGTAGACACACTTCTCCGACTCACTCACACGCCAGACCTCCTCAGTCTCGGCACAGCCCAGCCACACATCCGTGCGTCGCTTGGGGCCGTTCCAGCACTGCTGTCCATCCTCGTACTTCATCACCATCCGCCGGCCTTGCCCGAGGCTCCTGCCATCCAGTCGCTCCTCGTCATCCGCGTCGTGGAACTCGATGCGCTTGTAGTTGCCCATGCTCGTGGAGCCGTGCCCCTTCTTGCTCTTCTGCATGGTCTTACCAAGCCAGCAGAGCTCGTAGGTGTACTCTCCCGCATCCACGCTGACGCATTTGTTACGGGCTGCGCGGAAGATGTCTCCGGGGCCGTAGTCCATGCCGAGGTCATCCTCTTGCTTGGTGAGCTCCTTCTTCTTGGACTTGACGTCTTTCTCGGCGGCTTCCGCATCCTTGCGCGCCGCCTTGAGCAGTGACGACTCGGTGCCTTCTTTGACATTGTCGGCAAGCATGCCGTTGGCGATGAGCCAGACACGAAGCTGGCCGAGCTTCTCGTGGATCGCACCACGCACAAAGGCGGGGAGGTAGGCCTCAAAGCTGTACAGAATGTCGGTATCGTCGCCCTCGCCGCCTTCAAACTCGGCCCAGTTGACGCCGCTGACTTCGCTGTCCTCCTTGAGAACCTCCAACACCTCCGAGTCGGGGATGTGCTCGCGGGCATCAGCCTCTCTGGCGGCATAGTCCTCGAAGGCCTTGACGGCCGCCTTGACACCTTCGTCGTTGAAGTTGGGGTTGTACTCTTCCTTGAACTTGCTAAGGATCGTTTCCAGCTCGGCGACCTTACCAGCGAGGTCGTCACGCTGCTCCATTACGTTCCCGAGCGTGATCCGCAGCTCCTCAACACGGGTCTTCGCCAGTCCAAGGAGGACACCGAGCTTGCCGCCGGCGCTGCCCGACGAACCGCCGCTCTTGACGACCTTGTTCTTCTCCTCGAGCTCGACTTCCGCGTGCTTCTTCCATAACTCGTCCTTCTTCTTCTCCAGTACCGAGACCTCTGCTCGGAGGCCGGCAATCTTCTCCTCGAGTTGGTGACGCAGGGCATCCGCCTCTTTGGCCATCTGCATCCTCTTGGCACCTGCCCTCTCCATCTTGGCCTTCTTCTCCTTTGCGAGCTTTCGAAACTCCTTGCCTATGGAGGCACATTTGTTCTCGCATTTCGCCTTGCCACCAAACTCTTCGGTGCCATCACAGCAAATGTCATAGTCGCAGACGCCGTCGTTCACGTAGGAGAAGGGTACATATCCCCCAATGTGGCCCTTGTTCTCGCACCAAAAGCCAGGGAGGGCGTTCTTGGTCTTGGTCGTTCCAGAAGAGGACCCTGGCAGAGGTTGTGCGGGCGAGGCGGTGTCGAGATACGCACAGGCTGCTGTGCCTGGTTCGTCAGAGCCGTCGGGACAATGGCACGTTCCGTCGTTAATGTATGTCGTCGGAATACGGATCTCTGGGTGGTTGATACAGCGCCATTCCTCATGCGCGAGGGCGTTTTCGTAGTGTGAGGCGACTGAAAGCTTGTTAACAGAGCCGGTTCAAAGGGTCGTGTGGAGTGGCCTGAACGTACACTCTGGCCCGACGCCCCGGGGCAGCGTGCCCGCGAGCGTGACGGTCGCAAAAGCGCCCAACAACGTCAATGTAGAGACCTGCTGCATCCTGGCGCGGTCAATTGACGCTGAGAAGAAGGGGAGGGGCTCAATGCAGAGTGAAGGGATATGGAGTGTTAAGCTCGAGATGGGAGGCTATCGGACATGGTGATGTGTTCAGGGTCATCGTGGTGGGTCGATTAATTGTTAGTGCTGGCTCGAAGAACGCTAAGCCTCTTTCGTTTGAGGAGCACTTAGCTCACTTTGTGACATTGGCAACCGACATGAAGCATCCGTCTTTAGCGGCAATCCAGAGTAAAGTACAATGTCAAAGTAGTGAGGGAACAATAGTCAATGCGGTGCTTAGTTCAACTCAATTACAAATTCCCTTTCTGAAAGTCACCCTTTCAAGTTGGATCTTCCCTGTCATTCTCAGGTACACGCCGAAGCTGCTGTGGGTCCATAAAAAAGTTGAGCTGCCCCTCCAACGGCTGCCCCTCCATCCATCATCAACAGATTGATTCATCACCAACCCTCGTTCCAAAGACTCATACCCAAATTGTCTCAATAAGCAAGCTGGCAGCGCCTAAGACTGACTTGGCGTATCATACTCTTGACCTTACAACTCCCGCGTCAACTAACCTGCGCCGTACGAGCACCCCAGCAACCATGGCGCCCGAAAGCCTTCAGTCTCTCGACGCTATCCTCAATACTTCCCTGACTCTCCTCGCCCAACTACAAACTGCTCTCACCAAGATCCATGCCACGCCAAACCAGCCCTCTTCAAACCCACCGACACTGACCAAGGAGGGTCAGCCTATCGATGCGATCGCCCTTGCGCGCGATTCAGCGTCGCTCATCCGCGCCCACTCCACCAAGCTCTCCCTCCTTGTCGTGAACGAACCTTTCTCCGCCAAGGCTGTCGTCGGAATTGTGCGCGATCTCGTTGGTGGCCCGGTTCCGGGTCTGGCAAGTGCTCTGGAGGAATGCACCCCCGGTCGTTATACGTCCGTCTTCCGCAAGGAACTCGCCTGGTGCTGTCGCACCGTGTTTATCGAACTGTCGAGCCTGCTGGGCAAGGTCCCACGCGACGGCAAGGCTCTGAGTGGCAGTAAGGAAGGCTTTGGTCCTGATGGCAAGGGCAGTATCGCCTTGACGGGTGTGCTCTGGGCCGCTTGTGACGAGGTCACGAAACTTGCCAACCTCGGCATTGGGGGGTTCTTGAAGATCAAGGTCGAGGAGTGGAGGGACACACTGCAAGATGTCATGGAAGAGTTGAAGGAATGGGGTGAGGAAGAGGCCGAGGATGAAGAGGAGGGCGATGATGACGATGAGTTGGATCAGCTTGCGGAGGGATTGCAAAACGCCCACTTGAGCGCGCAAGACATGGTTGACGACATGATGGATTCGGCATCTGCCATACCAAAATCCGATCCCGACAAGATTCGTCCGCGTCTCGAGACATCCCTCAAGAGGCTGCGCCTCGTCACCATTCTATACAACGCGATTGTGAAGAGAAGGATCAAGAAGCTTCCCCAGCTCCCTCCGCCCGTCACGGCCGACGAAGACGCGCAGAATGTTACCAAGCGGCTGGACGAGGCGGCGGCGGTTCTGCGCGTGCTGCCAGATCGATGTGGCGACCTGGCTTGTGCGTTTTACGAGCTTGAGCCGGATGAGATTGATAGTCTCATGGACCAGTGCTTTCTGGATGCGTTTGCTGTGAGCGAGCTGCTCGGACGGAGCTGGGATGGCGGGAAGGATGAGTTTACTGAGTGGACGGATAAGTTTCAAGAGGAGATGAAAAGTAGATAAGCAGTTGGAGGTATCGAAAATCATGATTCGACCCGTGCAACGGCTTAGGTGCGCATGAAGTTAACATTCTTCTGGTTCTGTTGGTCTAGTCTGGTTAACCTCACCACCGAGCTCGTGCAGTTTTCGTTGCTTCATACATCGGTTGCGCCTGAATGCAGATAGAATGTCAACACTTACCTATTAGTGATTTTTACTACACAAGCACCAGACAACTATTCATGTCTCACGAGCTTAAATCAAGGAGCAGAGTTACACGTACAGGGTAGCTGGGCGAGCTTGGAGTTGACCCCCCACACTTGGACCCCAACTGGAGCCAAGCCTCATCATACGCGTCTCCAGACCTCAGCTTTAACTTACAATCTCCAAAATATTTCCTCAGCTGCCCACCACCCGTGCCAGCGCCGCCAGCCATGGAGCGCCACAGGCAAGCCGTCAAGGCCATCTCGACTGCCGTCCGCGGCTACTTTGAGCGCTCAGAGCCCTACCGCATCTTCCACGGCTCGACAAACTCGACGCGCCCACGACCCAAACCCGGCCAGCCGCAGGCCCGCTTCGTCGACATCTCGAGTCTTAACAATGTGCTCGGCGTCGACCGCGCGCAGAAGATTGCGCTCGTGGAGCCCAACGTGCCCATGGATCGGTTGGTGGAGCACACCCTCAAGCATGGGCTCGTGCCGCCGGTGGTGATGGAGTTCCCGGGTATCACGACGGGTGGCGGCTTCGCAGGCACGGCGGGCGAGAGTTCGAGTTTCAAGCACGGCTTTTTTGACGAGACGATCAAGTCTGTCGAGATGGTACTGGGCAATGGCGAGGTTGTCAAGGCCAGTCGGGAGGAGAGGGCGGATCTGTTCCACGGGGCGGCTGGTGCGGTCGGCACGCTGGGCACGACGACGTTGATCGAGCTGCAGCTCATGGATGCCAAGAAGTATGTGCAGACGACGTATCACCGTGTCGGCTCTGTCAAGGAGGCGGTGGAGAAGGTGAGGAAAGAGACGGCCAACCTGGACAACGACTACGTCGACGGCATCGTCTTCTCGCCGACCCACGCTGTCATCGTCACCGGCAAGCTCACGGACGAGAAGCCGACCGCGGCGCCGATCCGCACATTCTCAGGCGCCTGGGATCCGTGGTACTACATGCACGTCCAGGAGCGCTCTGCCACCGCCCAGGCGGCCACCGACTACATCCCCCTGGGCGAGTACCTCTTCCGCTACGACCGCGGCGGCTTCTGGGTCGGCGCCTCGGCCTTCAAGTACTTCTGGATGGTGCCCTTTACCCGCTTTTTCCGCTGGTTTCTCGACGACTTTTTGCACACCCGCATGCTCTACCGCGCCCTCCACGGCTCGGGGGAGTCTGCTCGGTTCGTGGTGCAGGATCTCGCGGTGCCGTACGACAATGTCGAGGCCTTTGTCGACTACACGGCCGAGAACTTTGACATCTGGCCGCTCTGGCTGTGCCCACTCAAGCAGGCCCCGGCGCCAACTTTCCACCCCCACAACAAGAACGAGGTGAACGCCGACGGGACACCCAAGGAGATGCTTAACGTTGGCCTGTGGGGCTGGGGCCCCGTCAACGCCGAGGCCTTTGTGCACAAGAACCGCGCTCTAGAGGATAAGCTCGTGCAGCTCGGTGGCATGAAGTGGCTTTATGCGCACACCTACTACTCGCCCAACGAGTTTTGGGCGCTGTACGACGAGAAGTGGTATACGGCGCTGCGCGAGAAGTACCACGCCACCACCTTGCCCAGCGTGTACGACAAGGTGAAGGTGGACGTGGACCGGAGACGGAGGGAGCTGGGCGAGTGGCGCCAGCGCGTCAAGAGCCTGCGGCCGCTGGGTGGTCTGTACGGCATCGCCAAGAGCATCAAGAGCGGCGACTACTGGCTGCATAGAAACGCGACCTGGAAGTACAAGGGGAAGAAGGAATAGAGGCGCGCGAGAGGCGCAGCACGAATGTAAACATACAAGAGAGTGTACGGTAGTCTAGAAAACGTAATGTCTTGATTCATCATTCGACCTCTATATAGTCGACCAACAAAGGGAATAAACACATTCCAAAGACTAAACCTCCCTGTCTATGTTCATCTTTTAAGCAAGGACCGGGCCACCAGTCCTCCCCAAAAATATATTAAATGAATAAACAGTCATCAAATATGCTTTCATGTCGGCTTCCACTCGCTCGCTCGCTTCGTCGCTTACACCTTCATGGTGTACTCCCTCCTGAACATGTCGTCCACCTTCTCGAGGTAGTATGTCCCCGGGGTGATGTTCTCCGTCTGGCCCTGGGGGGCAAAGCCCTTCTGGAGGTGGGCCTGTTTGCGCAGGTCGCAGAAGGCCTCGTACTCGGTGGGCGCGAGGGTCTTGCGGGCCTCGAGGCGGGCGGGGATGTCGAGGGTCTTGCTGATGGTCTCGGTGGAGCCCTTGACGCGGAAGGAGAGGAAGGTGGCGGCGAGGCCGGAGCCGTAGCTGAAGACGCCGATGCGCTTGCCGTCCAGGTCGGCGGGCGCGGTGTAGTGCAGCAGCGAGGCGAGGCCACCCCAGACGCTGGCGCAGTACATGTTGCCGCACATGGTGGCGACGTTGAGGGAGGAGCTGACGCGGTCCTGGAACTTCTTCTTGGTGAGGCCCATAAAGGTCTTCTCGACGACCTTGTCGGTCAGGGACTTTTCGTAGTCCATGTCGCGCAGCTCGGGGGCGACCTCGCCAAAGGCCGGGGCGTCGGCGTTGGCCAGGTAGTCGTGGTACAGCAGGCGGGCGTACGACTTGGCGACGAGCTTGCAGTTGGGCGCGTGGAAGGCGAGGTAGTCGAAGCGGTCGAGGGTGGGCTTGCCGTCGGCGGCGGCGCCGTTGAGCTGCTTGGCCTCCTTGGCGCAGTAGTCGCGGTAGGCGGCGTCGAGGGCGCGCATGTAGCAGGTGTTGGAGTAGTGGCCGTCGACGTAGGGGTACTCCGAGGTCAGGTCGGGCTTGTAGAAGTCGTAGGCGTGCTGCATGTAGGTGCCGCGCAGGCCAGGCTCGAGGACGACGGGGGCGTCGGGGCCGATGAGCATGGCGACAGCGCCGGCACCACCAGTGGGACGGGCGGCGCCCTTGGCGTAGAGGGCAATGTCGCCGGCGACGACGATGCCGTCACGGCCGTCCCAGGCGGAGGACTCGATCCAGTTGACGGTGTTGAGGAGGGCGTTGGTGCCGCCGTAGCAGGCGTTGAGGGTGTCGACGCCCTCAATGTTGGTGTTGTCGCCAAAGAGCTGCATGAGGACGGTCTTGACGGACTTTGACTTGTCGAGGATGGTCTCGGTGCCGACTTCGAGGCGGCCGACGGACTTGGGGTCGACGGCGTAATTCTTGAGGAGGCGGGAGGTGACGGTCAGGGCGAAGGAGTAAATGTCCTCGCGGTCGTCGCAGAAGGCCATCTTGGTCTGGCCGAGGCCAATGGTGTACTTGCCGGTCGAGACGCCATCGTGCTTCTCGAGCTCGGTCTGCTCGACGTACTGTGAGGGGTGGTCAGGATCGAGGTTCGGCCACTTTGTTCTGCCCGCGTTGTCCTGGATTGCCTTGGAGGGGTTGCCTCAGGGGTCCAGGACAAAGCGTGGGTGCGTGTGCGAGCGCACGGGAGGGCATGTGCGTACCTGGTTGGGGAAGTAGATCTCAATGGCCTTGATGCCAATGTTCTGAGGTCGGGAGGCCATTTTGACGGGTGTTTCTGGGATCGAAAGTGCAGAGAGTATGCGAGGATAGGAGACTGAGGAAAAGGAGAGATTGTGGTGGGCGTTGGGATGCTAAATGTATGTCCCGAAGAATGGATCGAAATGGAGGGGCAGCCAGCGGGCCAGCAGCCGCCAGTGGCCAAACCAGCCAGCCAGCGGCCAAGCAGGCCCAAGATACAGTGGATCCCCTGGATGCCATTTTATCGCGAATTAGACTACCGCAGCGCTTCCTCCCCTAGTCCTTTTTTTCACCGCTTTTTTTGCCTGCGCTCGAATGCGATAGCAGATCAGTCAGTCAGTTCAGTAATCTAGGAGCATGTCACGGATCCACTATGAGTGCTCGAGATCACTTTTGTTGAATAGAATGGTGATGGCTTGGAGACAGGTGCCATTACTCCTTCTTATCGTCTAGTAGAGGCAAACGCGCCGGTCGAAGCGGCACACGACACAGGGCCTTGCTTGCCTTCGGTGCATTCTTGCCCACGAACCATGTACCCGTCAACCTGCCCGATATGGCAACCCCAGAAACTGACGCTAGACCTGATCAAGTAAAACAGAGATGAGCCTTTTGCTCTCCTATCAACCTGCTTCGCCTCCGGACTGGATACTATGTGCCTTTCTACAGCACGTCGTTGCTCTCAAAATCCACCGAAGACATGCTGCCATGTCTCAGCCTCTGAGCCTGCAGAGCCAGCCAAGCCCGTCATTGTGTGTGGCGGCCGTGCACGCAGGAACACCTGTAAAAGGCAGACTGTGATTGGCCAGACAGAGGGCGATCCCTGCATGAGCAAAGGCACTAGAGCTTCTGGCTAGGGAAACGAAATGGTTCGATTTCGACGACATCTCATCTCCCCAAGTGTGACTTGGCTTTTCCTCCATCACACGTCTGCCGCCTTGAACGATCAACACCCAGTCTGTTGATATCGATGCCCATGATTCACGGCACATGCACCCGGGGGCTGTGCTGGTCTTGGCTACGACTCTGGCGTGCCCCAGATCGACACAGCTGCACGATCAACGACTCCTGATCTTGGATGCGCTTCGAAACATCGTACGATGACTCGCAATGGCGAGGCTGGGAGTGATGACTTCGTGCAGAGACGTCGAGGCTGTGCATGATAAGCGATGGCGATGATTTGAAATCATGGCGTCGCGATGGCTGACTGTACAGGGAGGGGAAGCCGGACACGTCTCCTCGAGGAAGCAGTTAACGAGATGGATTGCGCATCGCCAATCCCATGCAATATTGACTGTGTGCTTCACATCGTTGCGTCACGCAGGCGCGCGTTGAGGAGCTGGCAAGCGTGTAAGCTGAGCAGGCAGCGACAGAGGGGCTGGCACATGGAACTTTTGGAATGGATCGCTGCTTACAACGGTAAGACAACAAAGGAAGCCCCTGGGCAGAAGCAGGGGAAACTAGGCGCAAGTACTGACGCTGTTTTCTTGTGATGCCGAGAAGTGTAAGCCATGACTTGTAGACCCTAATGTTCCTAGGCAATCAAGGATGGACGGGTGGTTGTCTATCTGGAAAGAAACTTGTGGTATCTCTGAACAACATGGTCGCTATGTCATGCAGTCTTGGTGAGCAAAATTATCTCCAAGTCTATCCTACATTGGCTCATTCTGTCTCTGCCAGTGGCGTTCATAAATCGTGCAATCATGAGGATGTTCCGTACCCCGAGTCTGGAGTGGCCTTGTCCTTGGTATCCTTCCCCCCAGACTTCTCTTGAGCCTCAGTCTCCGAATCCGAGCCTGATCCCGACGAGCTGACATTCTCGCCCTTGGCCTTCTTCTTAGCCTTCTCCTTGGCCTTGCGACGCTTCTCCTTCTCCGCCTTCTTCCTCGCCTTCTCCTTCTCCTCGGCATCACGCGCCTCCCGCTCCATCTTCTCCTTGCGCGTCGATGTGATCCAGGCATCGACCGCATCAATCGCTGTCAGTGGCGAACGCTTATGCCGTAGGAGAAGACCCTGGATCTCGGCGGGCGAGAACTCGCCAGAGGGGATTTTGGCGGCGAATTCATGGGAAAGATCGACAATACGCTCAGTAGCCCGGTTCCGGGCTTCGTCGTCACGCAGCTTTTGTTTCTCTGCAAGGGCTGTGTCCTCGAGCGCTTTCGTAACCGTCTTGGTAGGCGAAGGAACAGGGCTGTTGGGACCGCTTGTGGACGGTGTCTCCTCACCCTCAAACGGTGTGTAGATGGCTCGAAAGATGGAAGCCGTCATGCCGGGATCCGCCCGGCCAAACTCGACCGTCATATCCACGCGACCGGGGCGGATCAAGGCCTTGTCGAGTTTCTCAATGTGGTTGGTTGTCATGATGAGCACGCGGCCCTCTTGCGAGGCGACGCCGTCGAGGATGTTCAACAGACCGGAAAGAGAGAGTTTGCCCGCTTGAGGAGCCGCCTTGTCCCCCGGTGCGGAAGCGGTTCTGGAGGTAGAGTTGTCCTTGTTTCCGCCGTCACCTTCGCGCGTGTGTGTGAGGCCAGCGCTGTCAATGTCCTCCAGTAGGACGACGCAGCGCATGGGGAGAGAAGCGAAGAGTTGTGACACATTCTCCTCGGTAGCCGTGGGCGAGCTCAGCGAGAGGATGTAGATCTTCATACGGAAATAGCCTGCCAACGCCAGACTCAATGAACTCTTGCCCGTGCCGGGAGGGCCATGGAGGAGGTAGCCTCGTCGATAGGGGATACCACGGTTCGCGTACCATTTTCGGGTCTTGGGCGCGAGGTAGTCGGCCACGTCGTCCACAAGCTCCTGCTTGACCTTTTCATTGAGAATCACCGTCGAGAATGGGCGCGTTGACCGAGCCATGCAGCGCTTCCAAGTGAGGTCGCCCCCTTGCCCATCATTTCCGCCTCGGTAGATGAGCGTCTTGTGTTCGTCCTTGGCCATGTGCTGCTCCCGCGCTTCGTGCAGCAGCTCCTTGATGAGATCGGCGCTACGACCAAAGCATGAGATGATGATCTCCTCCTTCTCGGAGATCATCAGCGATCCCATCTGCTCCCGATTCTCGCAGCGCTCGAACAAGAGAGGTCGGCGCCGGAAGAAGAAGAGATGAGTGCCATAGCTGGGTGTATATCGCAACTGCTTCTTCTGCTTGTTGGCTTGCTTTCTTTGCCAGTCTTGCTCCTCATCCTCGCCCTCTTCCTCCTCCTCGTCATCAAAGAAGCGCCACATGGACCAGGCCCTCGAGTTGAGGTTGGTGTTGGCGATGAAGCGGCGACTCTTACGCGAAAAGTTCTGCGTGGCGACCCACGCCATGATCATGTTGAAGATCTCATCGTCGGTACGGATCCGCACGGAAGACATGAGATGGCTTTCAATGAGGCCGTACAGCATGGCAGAGAGGTAGTTCCATGCGAGAGAGGCACCCACGAGGAGCATCAGCATGGGAATGTAGAGGTTGAGGTCGATACCCAGGTACGCCTGCACGAGAGAAGAGAGCAGCGAGAAGCCGGGAATGAACATGTCCAGCACGGCGAATTGCTGCTGCGAGGTAGAGTTGGGCGAGCCCAGTGAGGGAGCATCGTTCACCTCCATCGTCAAAAGAGTGTCACTCTGAGCGATAGAAGAGGTTTTCAGCGGGTAGAACGAGAACAGACTCCAGCTTTGATGAATATCTGACATGTAGGGTCCGGAAGTGCGAGAAGAGGGCAGTTATATGATGCTTGGAGTAACGTGGTTGCCTTGATGCCTAGTCCATCTTCTCACCTAACGCATGGTCCGCAGTAGCGACAACGCAAGGCAGCCCCAAGGCTAGCTGCGTGATGATGAGCCCCCAGAGCCAGTCATCTACATGGTGACCAATCGCCACCTCATCGCTGCCATGCAGGCTGACCGTTGTGTCGCGCAAACAGCGTGCTGATGCTGTGCGGCCTGGCGTCCTGGGAGGGGACGTACGTACTGCGGATCTGCATTTCGAGTCACTCGGGGCAGGGGTAGGTCACTGTGGGTGTGGGGGAGCATCTGTAGCAATGCACCAAGTCGTGAGGCCAGCGAGGGCTGCTAGGCTGGATTCGCGGCGACGGCAGTCATCGGAAGCATCCAAGTGGATAAAATACTTGTCTGCTCGCGTGTAGGAGTCAGTGCAGAGTCCAGACGCATTGCTTCAATCGCGTGGAGGCCAACAACTTGACCGTTGTGGCTGAGCTTACAGCGGCCAAGCCGGTCCAGGCGGTAGCTTCATGCAACCATGACGGCAGCGTGAAGTGTCCGCTGGGTTGCATTTTGTTCGTTGGAGTCGGTTGGACAATCCGATCAAACGCACTGATGGCTTTGGACTGTGAGCTTGACCTTGATGGGGTGTGTGGGTGGGATTGCACCCGCCAGTCAGCCTCACAGGGCTGTGAGTGAAAGGGGGGTGACTAATAGGTGAACGCATGTCCATTCGGCAAGGGCGTACATGGAGGAAGGGATACAGTTTGTCGAATTACGTAGTAGGAGTCATTGGTTACTGGAGTCGCGGTAGTTGCTTGCAATCAATAATTGTGTGAAGCGTGAAAACAGCGGGAGACATAAATCAGCATACCGGGGTTCTGGGAGGGAGCCCAGAATCTCATAGTCAGGTATCCTGGTTCTTGCATATCACCGGATATTTGCATCTTTGCCTATCTTCTGTCAGTGGCACACATCCATCCATCAACAGAACATTGGAGGCAGCAAACACAAAATGCCAAACAGTTGTTCTCTCGCATAACGACTAGCGACAACAAGCTACGCACACAGAGGCCTATTCCACCACCTCAAGCACTCTCAATTCTGATAGAGCCCACTGAGCACGCCTCCACCTTGTGCTCACCAGAGCCCAACTCCGTGCTCGCGCCCGTAAGGTCCCCGTTCGCAAAGAGGGTCGCCTTGGAGCCGGGCGAGACGCGAATGGAGCGAATCTTCTTGGGCGCCAGACCAGCCTCGGTCATAAAGATACGCTTGAAATCGCCCAAGCCAAGCGTGACACCGTCGCCCTGCGCCTCGCTCGCCGAAAAGATGGACGCGCCCGCCTTCGGCTGAGGCACCGGGATGCGTTGTTCAAACGTCAACTTGAGTACATAGGCCCACGACTCGGCAGGCTGCGCGGGGAGGGTGATGTCGAGCGCCTCGTTGGTCTGCTCCCACTCGGCACTCGCGTACTGACCGGCTTCGTCGCCAAGAAGCTGCACGGATTGCAAACTTTCGAGGCTGACGAGAGCATCGGAGCCGAGGTTTTGAATCAAAACCTTTCTGTCCTCTGGCCAGCCTAGAACGGCTGCGTACAGCACGCTATCCTCTTTGTTACGCGTGAAGCGGATGTCGCTGCTGTTACCGACGAGGGGTGCTGTGAAAGAACCACCACCCGCCCTGTTGGGGCCCTCGCCGTAGATGTCCCAGGCTCGTGTGCCGTACACAGACTCGCCATAGCGCCCGAGGTAGTCGCCAATGGCGCGCAGGACGTCCTCCTGCTCCTGGGGAATAACACCTACAGCGGTGGGCGAGATGTTGAGCAGCATGTTGCCGTTCTTACTGACGCGATCCAGCAGCGAGTGGAGCATGGATTGGATGCTGTAATAGGAGATACCCTCGGTGTAGCTCCAGCTGGTCGCGCTGATGGCCTCGTCCGTCTGCCAGTACGGGCGCGTGAGCTCGGCGGGACCACCGCGCTCCCAGTCCGCGACAGCGGAAGTGTCGTGGAACCCATCGTCAAAGTGCTTGTAGGTGGTCAGGACGTCCTTGTCCCATTCGACGCCGCGGTTGAAGTAGTGGGCAAGAAATGTCAGACGCTCGTCCTCACCAATGGAGCAGTGGTCGCTGTCGCCCTGGCAGTACCCCGGGCTGTCGAGTGCAAAGTCGTTCCAGATCATGTCCGGCTGGACATGATCCAGCACCTCGAGCTGCTTCTCGAGCCACCTCTTGTCGCCCTCCTCGCGGGACACCTGGCCCAGCAGCCTGCGTAGGCTAGGATCGTCCTGTTGGGGCGCGTGCGCGAAAAAGCCGTTGACGTTGAAGGCCTGGTGCATGGCAATCACCAGCTTCATGTCGTTCTCGCGCACCAAGTCGGCAAACAGCTTGACCAGATCAATCTTGGGGCCAAGGTCAACCGAATTCCACTCATTGACCTCACTGTCCCACATGGAGAAGCCATCGTGGTGCTCGGCCACAGGCCCTGCAAAGCGTGCGCCCGAGGCCTTGATGACCCGCATCCACGTGGCTGGGTCGAACTCGCCGCCTTCGGAAGCGAGGACGGACTTGAACTGGACGTCATTGCCCTGTAGATCCTTGCCTCCAGTGATGAACCTGTCATAGCCCCATTCCTCGGGCGGACCGTAGGTTCTGGTGTGGTGGTCGTGCTCGTTGGAATCGGCTATGTACATGTTGCGCCCATACCACTCTGAACCGTATTGGGGAGTTGTGAAGGCGCCCCAGTGCCAGTAGACGCCGAACTTGGCATCTCGGAACCACTCAGGGGCGGCATTGTGCTTGTCTGTCGAATCCCAGGTTGGCTCATAGGGTCCTTCCGCTTGGGCCAGTGTCTGCGGGAGTAGTGCACATGCTGCGGCGGCGGCAGCGGCTGTGTTGCGTACGTACAACATTGTGTTGATGAAAAGCCCAAACAAAATTGGGATGAGGGAGAAGACGATCCGTTTTCCCTTGGCGATGGTGTGAAGCCTGGTAATGCGAGTCCTCTTGCTCACGAGCGCGCAAGGTGTATGAGGCTACCAAGGGAAGTCATCTGCTCCCACCTCCTGGGAATATCGTCCCTTTTATAGGAATGGACTCCAGAAAACATTCTCGCCTGGAAGATCCAATCCGGCTGTATTCGGCTCATTTCAAGCGAGGGTCTGGAGCCTGCACCTGCGTATCGGCAGTTCAGGTCATGGTGCTACGTCGGCTATTGCTCCGACGCACTCCCCTTTTTCACGATCTCATCCCCGGGTTTGGTGTCTCCGATGACGATCCGTTCACGATCAAAGTAAAGCCTACCCAAATTAGCCATTGAAGAATGCGGGGTGGTTGGCTTCCCCCGCAAAGGATCTGGCGTAGAGTCACATTGAAGTTAGACCCCTAACACGACCGTGCTAGCGCCCCAATCAGCGTAGCCTCTTTTCTTGAAGTGCCATGACTCGTTTGATGAGATGTGTGATTTAAAAACCCGAAGGGCCTTTATTTGCCTTATATGGGACCATCGCTCGGTAATTCCCATGCAGAATACTTTGCCGCGCAGTCGGCCTGGGAAGATCGGTTCATGTGTCGCGCAGTGACAACGTACGGGTGATGCCGTGCTGCTGTCAATGGCTCAATCTGTTTTCTACTGTCCAGTCCGGACTCTGGATTAAACTACCATAGTTCGGCTATTTGATTCATGATCCTCACCACCCGAAGGGATTTCGTAGGTCGAAAAGCGGAACGACTGTAAGCCAACTTTGGTCAGACTGGTTCTGTTTGAGACTCCGTGTGCTCAGGGTCGAAGCTGCAGACTCGCTGATCCTGGATCTAGGAGGACCTTATGGCTCCAGCTTTGTCAACAATATTGCAGCTATCTAGTCTGACAACTAGAGAGCGACTGGTGGATATCAGCTTCTTGCTGCCTTGGGTCATGTAAGGGTGCAGTATTGTCTCTAAACACCCTGATACATCAAGCTATACGCTACGGCCTAAATCTGATAATCCACATGTCAGTTTTCTAGCATACAGTGGACGAACCTCCACAAGCGTGGGCATGCAAAGTCAACGATACGTGCCAGACACACTCTCATACCTCGGTGGTCCGAATCAATCGCTTTACAAGGGAACCGGTATAAAGTTTGCAGACCTTCCCGCGAGATTGCGATTTCGTGTCTCAGCACGTATAGAACGTGGAGATTCAATGCCCAGGCTGCCTGCTCCAACTACAAAGCACATGAGTCCTTTGGACTCTCTTCAACAACTTGAGGGCTTCATTGCTCTCCCTAGAAACATGTTGACACGAAGAATACGCTTGCAATCTCCCGGCGTCTGGGGCCGTAATTATCGGTAAGAAGGCCCGAAACCTGATGCACCCGCTTCTGCATCCCGCCTAGATCAGCTTCGCCTTAACCACCACGCCCTCAAGCCCAATATCGACGAGTTCAATGGCCCGACCGCGAGAGAATGCTGCTACTGCTGCAGTATTGAAAACATCTCTCCAGCATAGAGGGCAGATGTTTGATCTTGACATCCCGGATATCCCGTCCAAGAGCCTTTTTATACTTGGTATTGTACGTATCGCGCAACTATGCCAGCATGGACGTCCAGAAATTCTCAACCCGAACGCCGCCAAAGGTGGTTTCGGATCCTACCTTGTCCACAGACTTCAACAGTAGCTATCCAGCTTTGGTAGTAAACTTAGGATTCTTGTTCGTCAATTGGGGGGACAGACTTGGAATTTTTGAAACCCACGCGAACCAAGGTCTTAACCATCGCTCGACAACTTCGGTCTCTTGAATCCTCACGCGATGTAGTTGCCTCTACATAAACATAGTGCCAAGCTCATGTTACTTCATGCTAGTGGACCACTCGCAAATTTATTTGCAAAATACAGCAACATTGTCTCAGATTGTTGGCCTGGACCATTCTGAGGAATGGCGAAGAGCTAGATGCAAAGAACGATGATCACTTACCCTTTACGACTTCCATCTGGCACTCGGATCCGACTATTCTTTAATAATCCACTCTTTTCTCTGTCCTGTTAGCCTTGTAGAAAGGCTAACGCCGGGATAGCATGGTCCAGGCACCTGGATGCTACGCCATGTACGAGCCGGACTCGACAAAGGACCGATTTCCCCAGTCCTCTCCAGCCCTTACCTCCTCGGACTGCGATCTTCCCCGGCACTAAAATCATAGATCCATATTCCATCCGGTTTTGGGGTAGATGAACCGGGCGGAGTTCTCCGCGTTCCCCACACGGCACACCACGTCTTACCGACATCACGCCGGCACTTTGCATCTCCCCCTTTCCCTGCTGCTGGAGAAAACACCTCCAACCCCACGAGGAGCCTAGCGTTGAGTTCCATGGCTTCCACCCCAGACGATTCCAGTTCTGAACTATGCTTACAACTTTACATCCCCGCAAGTTCAGGCCGCCTTTGACGTCACGCCATGTCCTCCGCGCCTTGCCTCGCTCGTCTCTCCACGCTGTCGTGCCGACAACGTATGGGTTGAGGTCTCCTTGCCGGTTTGAATTCAGTACTTAAGGCCTAGCAGTATGTCAACCGGTCAGAGATGATGGTGTGCCTTGGACACACTCTCTGGTCCAACCCAACCTTCCAATCCGCTCGACTAGATCTACCATGGTCTCGTTCAGGAACGCAGCTACGGCGGCAGTAGCATTTGCTGTGGCCTCCGCCAGCACGTGCCACGTGTGTCCTGATGACCCGACGAGATTCGTGCTCAGCGACCCTCCGTACACGGATTATTTCTACTCGGATTGCAATTCGGCTGCCCAGGTCGTCGTCACCAGTCCTCTTCCTCAGAGCAACCTGAGCATCATCGGTCCACGTCTCCTTGTAAGAAAAGAATCATTTCTTGGAAGCACTTGCTTGGATAAACTTGTGCTGATACGCGACAGATTGCCTGGCCGGCTGGCAACAGTGGTGCGGCCGCCTTCTTCGCGCCTCAAAATGGCGTGAATGGATCGCTGGCTATAGAGCTCGTCAACTCCACCACCACAGGCAACGCCTTGGATCCCATCTACGAGCCCGGTGGAGATAACCCAATCGTGGGTGTCACGGGTCGAATCTCCTTCAACTCCTCTGCCACCTTGGTCTTGCCCATACTGGGCAGCATCCGTACCATTCGCGACTTCACAGAGGGTCCCAGCTTGCTGCAGCCCATCATCCAAGATGCCATTGAGACCACCAAGTTTGAACAAGGTGGTTTCTCTCTCAGCCGACTGTGGTTGGACAATGTCACCACGACGACCTTGTCCTTCGAGCCCGTTGAAAAAGGGTGTGCAATCCGCCACAAGAACGACACTTCGCTCCACTTTGACGCTGGCGTGTACACCTTCAACGCTTCGTTCAACTACCCTCAGCTCGTGCAGCTCAGCTCTGAAGAGGTACTTGCCGATTCCGCTCAGGGTCTCATCGAAGAGAGCCCAGAGCTGACGCAGCCCTTGTCGTTCCTGTCCTACACAGACAAACTCCTGGCTGGTGCATGGCGGTTCCTTACCTATTTTGGCCGAGACAGCATGATCTCCATGCTCCTTATGAGTGACATACTCAGCCCTGGTGAGGGCGGAGCATGGGAAGCCGGCATTGGTGCATTGTTGGAGCGCGTCAACAAAACGGACGGCAGTGCTGCGCATGAGGAAACCATTGGAGATTATGCGACCTACCTTAACATGCAAGAAGGCGTCATGTCAACCGACCCCATGTACGACTACAAGATGGTGGACACTGACTACTTTCTTCCCATTGTTCTGGCCGAGTATTTTATCAAGAATCCAGTGGGCAAGGGGCGCGTCGAGAAGTTCCTGGGTCAAAAGGCGACAGAGGATCCAGATAATGCTGGCCTCACGTATCGCGACCTTGCGAATCTGAATGCTGAGAAGGTCATGAACATTACAGCACCGTTCGCCAGCGAAGGAGGACAAGTCCAGGAGAACCTTCTCCGCCTGAAGGAGGGCGAGATTGTGGGAGAGTGGCGTGATAGCAATAACGGTCTTGGAGGCGGACGCATACCATACGACGTGAACGCCGCCATCGCTCCCGCTGGTCTCCGCGCCATTTCTTCGCTGGCCACCGCCGGATTCTTCCCTAACCACCCAGACTGGGCTGAACAGGCTGCTGCCTACGCACAGGTCTTTGAGGACGAGACGTTGCATTTTTTCGAGGTCGACGTGTCCCAGGAAGACGCCGTTGCCCTGGTGGACGACTATGTCTCCAACAACGACTTTGCCTTTTCATCCCAGACGAGCAACATTACCAGCGACGTGCGCTTCTACGGTCTCGCCCTCGAAGGGAACAGTGACAACCAGGACTTGGTCAAGGTCATGAACACGGACGACTGTTTCCGCCACTTTCTCCTCAACACGACGAACCAGACACAGCTCAGCTCCTTCATCAGCCAGACAGCCGACCACATCCTGGCCCCCTTCCCCGTCGGTCTTACCACTGATGTAGGCCTGTTTGTCGCCAACCCGGCGTACGGCTCTGATCCAATCTACAGCACCAACTTTACCAACGCCGACTACCACGGCACCGTGGTCTGGGGCTGGCAGCTGTCCATGATGGCCAAGGGTCTCGAGCGCCAGCTCGGTCGATGCCTGGCTTCTGATGATACACCTGACTTTTGCAGGCACGAAGCACTGCACAGCAAGGTCTTGAGCGCGTACCACAGGCTCTGGGATGTGATTGATGAAAATCGAAGCATCCTGAGCAACGAGGTTTGGAGCTGGAAGTACGAGGAGGGAGAAGGGTTTGTGGCGGTGCCGCTGGGGGATTACAGTCCGACGGAAAGCAACATTCGGCAGTTGTGGAGTCTGACATTCCTGGCTGTGAAGAGAAACGAGGCTCTGAAATGATGGATGTCGAGGTTGTCAGAGACACAGACGAGATCCTGCGTGATGTCTACATGTAGGTAGTACAAGCGAAGCGTAGTCCCAATGGATTAAAACACCAGCTCACCCTGCCATGCTGTGCTTAACAATGAATCGTATTGATTTGAGCTCAGACTGTCGACAAAATCTATCCCAGCCAGGCTAACACCATCTACACTCCTCAGAGCTAATAGTCTGCGCCCTTTGGAGGCCTGAATCCGCCAGGGGGTCCAGCTGCTTTCGGCGGCATACGTCCATCACCTCTCATACCTGGTGGCAAGCCACCCACTCCGCTCATGGGAGGTCTCTGTGATCCAGCACCAGACATCCTTCCAGGAGGTCCTCTGGGTGCCGCAGACGGCGGCGGGTCGAAGGGCGTCTCAGGACCGGACGCTGGATCATTCAATTTCTCCAGCTTGCTCCGTGTCAGGCCCCTTTTTTCTGCCGCAGACTTTGTCTTCTGCGCGACCCAAAAGAACTCATCATCAGGGTCCCTCCTGGAGCGACCCGTGCTAGAGGCCCTCGGTCTGGGAGGCGAGAGAGATATTTTCCGGATCGCGTCGCAACGTCGGTTGGCGCCAGCTGTGTACGCTATTATGCCGAATAAGGCTGAGCGTTTGGAGTGTATTTGCGTGTGGGTGGTATATCTGGAAGACGAGGACGGTGAATGTGTGGAGGAAGAGGAGGAGCGTGATGAAGAGGACGACGAAGAGGAGGAAGACGAGGAAGGGGATGACGATGATGTGGTCGAGCTCTTGTGTGAAGAGCCCATTGTCACCGAGCTGCAGTTGTAATGCGATTAAGAGCGGTCCACAGAAGGTCTTTTTGACTTTTAGAGGATCATCCTTTTTGTGGTATTAGGAGCATTCCTATGCAAAGGGCGAGTTCACTTATATCAGTCACATCCTCTGTTGCACAAGGCAAATGCCGTCAAATGTCACAAAGGCGCCTCGCGAAACTGCAAACTTGAGCTACCTGAGGCTCAAGCCCAGCCTTCTTTGAATGGTGGTTGGCAACAGTGCACTTTCGCACCGCATGGTGCGGTGTCCAGGTAGTTTGCATTTTGTGCTACCGGATGTAGTTGCTCGACGTGGCAAGGCAGTCGTCCCGGGGCTTGGAGATGGTGTAGACGTTGCAAGTGAATCTCGACTTTGTGCCGCCTTGTGCCCAGCCTCGTTTCATCGTGTGCCTGTGCCTTGAGAGCACAGTGGTCTGGGACGGGAACTGCTGGCTGGCAGAGAAATGTGACCAAGGCCTTCCGCTTCGATTATCAGGTTGTTGTGGCGAGAGGAATCTCTCATCTTCTTGAACTCTAAGGCGATCTGCAAGGCAACTAAACTACAACCCGGCTACAACAGTGAGGCTCGTTGTATCACACAAACAACAGCCAGTATTTCGGTGTGTGGCGGACAACCTGCAGACACGTTGACTGATTGGAGCTCTCACATGCTGATAGATTCATATTGCCTAGCCGTAGGGCAGAGATGTCACCTCCGGAATGCACGTACGGGCAGTGCACATTGTCTTCCCCGCTGTAGACAGCTCAGGCTGCAAGTGATATGGGGCCCAGGGTCAAAGTGCAGACGCACTGTGTCGAGTGGCCGCTTCGATGCGTTCAGTCGGAGACCCTTAAAGCAGCGGTCCGAGAATCGCGGGCAGGAGCCTTTTGCTTTGATCATTTGTATGGCGCTTCGATCATCGGGTTCTGCTCGTTCATTTTGTTTTCGTATATCACACAATGGCAACAAAGATCATGTTTTGTGAAGTGTTTGGCTGAGGTCACTGTATAAGTCTTGTTTGTGTTCACTCAGATTGACTTCCCAACCAAGACACCTGCCCCTGGATTTACCTCGTTCTCAACACACACAAGATCTCCCACTCACGGTCTTATTACTGTTCACTCATGATTCATCGCAAGTGAAGGTCTCAAGTCTCATCAAATGATGGCAAACGGACAGCAGTGACGGTATAGGGTAGCCACATGTGCCATCGCTTACGTCGGCGCAGCGAAGGATCCAAATCTCCATAATCGTTTCATCATTTCAAGTCGAACTTCCACATTCGTTGTTCCCTCGCGCTCTTGCCAGTGGGGATGGACCCCTGCAGCGCATCACCTACCTTACCTTCCCGATCCGACCGATCAGCCAGCCTTGCTCGTGGAGTCGTGGTGTTCAGCGGGACTGCTGGAACGGGCCTATGGGTGTCGGCAAGAAATAGCGGACATCGCCACGCACTCATCACCGTGGTCCGTGGAGATGGTGTGTCTTCGAAGGAATCGCTTCGCCCCTAGTGCTGAGAACTAGCACCTCATGGTCCACTGCCAGCATTACATCTGCGACGCCATGCGGTCATCTCGGGCTTATGCTGCTTGGAGGGTCAGATTGTAGCATCACAGCGTTTCATCGACTCCTTCAATACGAAGACGGGAGGACCCGATTAAGTTCGTGGACGAAACAAAAAGCGGCCATGCGCGCGCTCTCTAACAGTCATCTGCTGCGCGTCAGCATCGACCACATCGTACCCGAATCTCGTCACCTCTAATAAGCATACCCTTCCCGACAACCTCCCAAGAGTCAGATCGCCCTTCAACGCTCCTCCACAATGGCCGCTCGACAGGTCTTCGCCCATTACATGGTCGGCCTCACAGACGGCCAGTCCCAAGACCAGTGGTCGACCGACATCTCCGCCGCGAAGAACCTGGGCATCGATGGCTTTGCCCTCAACATGGGCCCCACGGACCCCTGGACACTCCCCCAGCTGCGCAACGCCTACAGGGCCGCCGAGGCCATTGGCGGGTTCACGCTTTTCCCGTCCTTTGACATGGCCTGCTGCGGTGACTGGGGCGTTCAGGCGGTGATCGACATCATCAACGAGTTCAAGGTCTCCAGTGCCCATACCGTGGCCGGCGACAAGCCCATGGTGAGCACATTTGAGGGACCCGCGTGGGCTAGCAACTGGCAGGCTGTCAGAGACGCTACGGGGGGTATCTACTTTGTGCCTGACTGGAGCTCCCTCGGGCCAGACGGCGTGTCGCAGCATCTGAACACGATCGACGGCCACTGTAAGTCTAACTAACCTCATCCTTATAATCTCCAATAACCTGACCGGTGGGATGAAACAATAGTCAGCTGGAATGCTTGGCCCAAGCCTGGGGAGAAGGCCATGTCCTCCATCGAAGACGAAGCATACCAGGCCACCCTCGGCGCCAAATCCTACATGATGGGCGTATCGCCCTGGTTCTACACCAACCTTCCCCAGTGGAGCAAGAACTGGTTCATGACGGGCGACTCGCTCTGGTACGATCGCTGGCAGCAGGCCATTGACCTTTTGCCAGACTATGTCCAGATCATCACGTGGAACGACTTTGGCGAGAGCCATTACATCGCCCCTGTTGTGTCGCAGCAGGTTGTCGAGGGCGCGGACAAGTACGTCAATGGCTTCGACCACTCCGCCTGGCAAAAGGTCCTGCCGTACTTCATCAAGGCGTACAAGGAGGGCTCGAGGGCGGTCGCACCCCCGAGCGACGAGGCGATCGCCTGGTACCGCGAGTCCCCGGCCAAGGCTGGTTCGGACGGCGGCACCATCTGGGGACAGTCAGGGTCCCTGTCGGCCAGCGACGCCACGGACGACGTTGTCAACGTTCTGACTGTCACCATCGACGAGACCGATATCGAGGTCATCATTGGCGGGCAGGGACAGACATTCCGGACAGGAGGAGGCAACGAGCCCGCCAAGCTCTGGCAGGTGCCGTGGGATGGTCTGACCGGTAGCGTTGGGCTGAAGATGAATGGTCGTGAGGTTGTTGGTCCTGAGATCTTGGCTGGAGTGGGTAGCCTGGGTTATACCAACTTCAACGCACATGTCATCGGCCTGGGGGATTAGTGTACCGGATAGAGGCATCTATTGTTGTTATAGTACATCTCGTATATGAGTGTATATTAGATGCATTCCGATTCTTCTGTAGACCACCCCGAACGCCCAACACCTTGCCAGGCTGCGCACCCAATAGTACCGCGACCCAAAACCGAACTCCATGAACCTCTGTGCCGTCAGAGCTTGGCGAGAAGTTCGCCCTTCCTCTTTACACGCTCTCCCATATCCTCGTCTTTCACATCACTCAGCTGGTCAAATGCCAACACGTTCTCATCCAGAGTCTTCGCCTTGATCTCGACAGCGCTCGACTCTACCGTTCCCCCTGTTGTGCACGTACGAATAAACCCGCCCCATCCTTCGTAGCACCGCGCAGCATTCGCAGTCTTTTCCAAGATCATGGCGAAACAATGCGGCATGGCCTCATACTCCTCAAAGACAACGGTCACTCCCTCACTCTCGAGCTTCTTGGCAAAGTATTTGTCCTCCAAGGCGAGTATCTCCCAACCTGTGCACATGTACACAGGCGGAGCTCCCTTCCAACTGCTGTTAACCACCACGGACGCGAGTGGGTGGGTGATCAGATCGTCTGCGACGTACAGATGCTTCCGCTCGGGTGTGGCAGGCCATATTGGACAAGGCTGTATCTCCGACGAGGCCACTTGCTCTGGTTTCGGTAGATAATCCCACGGTGCGGGTGCGGTGCCTTCCCACGAGGGAGATGATTGTGTAATGTCCAGCCACGGCGAGTTGCAGGCCACGCAGCTAGGCACAGGGACATCACGCTCCTCTCCCTGCCAGAGAACCTTCTGGCCCGTTCGTTGCAGGTGGAGGATGAGCTGCAGCAAGGCGAGAACGAGATTCCCCCCTGCACTGTCGCCTGCAATAGCTATGTTCTCTGGCCGCACAAGATCGTGCCACGCTCCCTCCGGCGGGTAGAGAAGGGTCAGATAGGACACGAGGGCGTCGAGGAGGGCAGATGGGAATGGGGCCTGCGGCGCAAGGCGGTAGCGAACGGAGTAACTTCTGCCTCCCGTGATTTTGGCGAGTTTCTTGCAGGTTGCGCGGTGCGTGGCCGGGTCGCACAGGTAGTACGCCCCTCCGTGGAGGTACAATATCGTCGTGGGACTGGTGACCTCCTCCACCATCTTCTGGTACTTGGCCTTTTCTGTTATATCAGGCGGTGATTCGTCTGCCGAAGCATCTTTGCGATAGCCCGTCCATTCTGCCTCGACAGGTATAAGCTCTGGCATGTCAAATTCGAACGCCCCAAGACTGGGGTCTCTCAAGTCCTTGACAGCCCCGTGGAGGACTTCTTTGACGTTGGAAACAACCGGCTCAGGTGCCATGTACGTTGCGACCCATATCCGCCCCTTGACGCCCGGATCTCGCAGTGTCAGTTTCTGGACAGCAGAGATGCTTCGAGGTTTCCCTGGCGTTGGCGTCAGGAAACTCCTGAGCACGCCTATGGTGAGAGTCGATCTCAGGTCCAGGTACTTCGACGAATCGGACAAGTGCAGTAGATGCAGTATTGTAATGCGCGCAATGAGTGGCAGTCTTGGCAAGAGCATGAGTAGGAGCCTGAGGTTTTGAAGATCCATCTCTGTGGTCGGCGTCCTCTTTGATCCAGAGGAGGCTGTCTCCGAGAAAGAGGAAAGAGATGTAGAGGACGGTTCTGGAGAGGAAGTGCGAGGAAACAATCAAATGGTCAGTCTGCCTTGACAATACGCGGAGTGGGCTGGGCTTTGGTCCAATAAGTCACACCTTGCGAGCGCTAACGATCCGAGCCGCCGGGTTTCGCGATGTATTTCCGGAGGAGGCATAGCGTCGAGGGGGTTTCACTGAATAGGATGCGTTCTATCCATCATACTGGAACGAAAAGGTGGGTAATATCAAGATCGCATCGGCCTCGGCACGGGGTTGAGAGGGTGCATGTGGGGTACGCGGGTCAATGAAGGCGTCACAGGTTCCATGCATGTAAGTGAACATACATTTCCATGCATTTGGCTGATATCTGTCTCGATCTGATAGTAAAGGGGAAGAAGCATTCTCTGCTGCAGCGTACATAAGCCGTATTCGGAGCACAGGGGATTTCCCTTTTGGCCAGTTTGATATCTTCATCCCAGTCCTACTTTGGCCATGGCCACCATCCCTGGAGCCGCATCTGGCCGTAGACGGCGTTAAAGCAGTGTCCCAACTGTGGCCGCGCTTGATATACCTTCTCACGCTTCCAGTTGTATGCAACCACCTCCTGTACCGTGTCCTTCTTTATCCACTCGAGGTCGAAGTCGGTGATTGTCGACTCTTTCACGGCGTATATGCACAGATAGCCCTGCCACCCGTGACCGTTGACCACGTATCTTCTCATGTGTCGGCAGCGCCGTAGAAGCAACAAAGGTGTCAATTTCCTCAGGTCCATTGATCCCGCGCCAGAGTGGACGTTGGCAGGCGACCAGTGAAAGCCGTGCCTCATTAATCTGGGGATGTTCTCCGCCCACACGAAAAGTGTCGCTCGCCAGCGAGGCGGCTCATGTTGCCTTAGACTCCAAGTTAACCTTGGCGAAGCGAATTCGAATTGAATGTTGTTGAGTTTGGATTCTGGGCTGGTCGCTCGTTGCTCGTCCCACAGCGTTTCGACCCTCAGTGCTTCATCTTCCGAGGGTCCCAAAGTTTCATACGCCGGGGGCTGCCCCGCCGGGCTTTCCGGGCGGCCTATTAAGGTATGGGAAACTTTCCCTCGAGCCCTATCCATCTTGTCGGTTGCGTAGTTTGGTCTGGCTGGGCGAGTCGTGTGGAGGACTGGAGGCCCATGGAGTGTGCGACCGAAGCTGATATTTATAGTCCATGTCGACTGAACATGAGTAGATTTAGCTCTGGCTAGTCGTGCTAAAGAAAGTCACATGAGTTCTGTGAACAGGAAGCGGCGTCTGTTTACATACCTAGTGCTTAAGAGAATACTGTGGCGCTGGATTGCCTGAACTTAAAGCAAGGCGGCGTATCCAAGATGCTCCTATCCGATGTCAATACATACGCTCTCCCGCGGGGCGAGTAGGTTTTCATAGCAACATAAACCGTTATACACATGGTGGTAGATATCCTTGGACAATCGCCGTGAAATACATGGTCTTCCCAAGTAGGAAATCCTTGCGGTTCGTATGGTCAGGGGTACCATGTGCTTTCCATGAAAATGAATTCCGGTTGTTGTACTGGGTACCTAAAATCGCAAAGGCCAGCGTTGTAGACATGGACCATAGCTAGCGACATGTCACGAAGCATCTATGTGACAATAACCAGCAGAGCTTGTGTCACAAACCCCTCAAAACAGCATCAGGACCAGCAGCAATGTCCACGTGGAAAACAAGGGCAAAACACAAACGCTCCATTACATACAATACATTTATTGGCGCCGCCTCTCCTACGAGGACGCTGACGCGTTAGGCTCGTCCTCCACCTTGGCTGGCGCTGGTGTAGTAGCGGACGAGCCACCCTCCTCCTGCTCCTTCTTGGCAGCAGCCATCTGCCAAGCTGGGATGGCGGCCTTTCCACCAATGGAGGGCTTGGCGCGCGTGGTCGGCGCCCAAGGCTTCTTGGGCGATTCCGTCGAAGGAGAGCTTGCAGCGGCGGATGGCTCTGGGGCAGTCTCGACGGCTGTGCCTGATGGCGCGTTTGTCGACGCTGGGGTACCGTTGCGCAATGGGGCGGTAGGCGAAGACGCGGCGGGGGCACTCATCCGCTGGGTGACCAGCGTCTTCAGACTGCCCAGTTCGCCGTTGATTTCTCGCAGACGTGTGTCCGCCAGTTCCTTCTGGTTGTTCAATGCCTTGGGAATGCTATCCTTCAATCCCTGCACCTCCTCCCTCACGCGCTGAGCGTCATCCTCGCGTCTCCGATTGGCAGCCTTGAGATCAGACATGACAGCTTCGAGGTCGCTGAGAGCGTTGTCGAGGCGGTCGCTCCGTGCTTGCTCGGCCTTCTTGAGCTCTTCGGTGTCCTTGGCAAGCTGCTCGACGAGGCTGAATGCGCGGTCAAACTGCTCTTCGATGGATTTCTTGTCTTGCTCCAGCTTCTCTGGCGTCGGCGGCGCTACTAGAGGCATCACATACCGCTGATAGGTCAGCTCGATTCCATGGCAACGTGTCTCAATGACCTACCTTGCCCAGTGCGTAGAGTCCATAGCCAACACCGCCAGCCACAGTCGCCGCAATGAACCAATCCCTCCAGTCTCTCCTCGGTGGCGGAGGCGGCGGTTGCCACGCTTGTTGCGCGTATGGGGGATAGTAGGGCGCTGGGGGCCCAGACTGCGGGTAGGGTGTCTGCTGCGCAGGCGCAGGAGGCGCGCCTGTTCTCGCTAGTGCATTGTCGATTTCTTGCTGGGTGAGGTTCTTGGAGCGGAGGAAGGAGATGCGGTTTTCGACGGACGAGGATGCAACGCTCGGGTCTTGGAGGACTTTGTCACTTGTTAGGCTCGCTGAATGTGAGTCAAGGGGTACGGCAACTGACATTGCACCTGCGCTTGCTGTTAGCTTATGATACGAACAACTTGGCGATGGGATACATACCGCTGATGCGACAAGATCTTCGCGAATTGACATCTTGTCGGCCGTGGATGCTGCTATCGCATCACAGCTTTGTCGCTGATGGAAGATGATTAATTGAACACCGGATTTGTCGACCTGTGAGATCAGGTGGGTGGGCAATTGATCAGGCCGGTCTTGGGCCGAGGCAGCAGTGACGACGGACAAGCTCCACCTGCCGGCGTCTCGGCTGGAGTCTGGAGGTGAGGCGTCACGTGCGCGCGCGACACCAGACAGCGCAGTTTGAAATGGTCCCACTTTGGGCACCAATCAAAGTCACTCTGCGGTTTTGTTTACTTTGATGCCCAGCAACACCAACACTTTTGGGTCACAGGCCCCTCCACGTCGGATTTCGCATTGTCGCGCGCTCAAGTCCTTATTTCTGCAGCAGTCATCACGTACTTGACCATCTTACGATTCACGACGCAACGATACCCACGACTCCGAGGCCGCAATGTCGCAGGACACCGGTCTGTGGTCCGTCCGTAGACCTCGCGAGGTACGCACTAGCTCCTCTCGCGAAACGCATCCCGTCGCATCGCGCCAATGCTAATGTTCGTCCACAGACTCTGGGCGGCATCACCAACAACACAGCAATCCCCCAACCCGGCTCGACCATGAAGCGATCGAGCAGCACCAACTTTGCTGGCCGCTCCGTATCGGGCTCGCGACAATCTCTCGCGCTGTCGCGACCGAGCCAGCCGCGCTTCTCGATTGGCGGTGACTACAGCGCCAACAAACGCCAGTCGTATCAGCCAAAGGGAAGCTTCACCCCCGCTGCCGCGACTCGCGATGTCGACAGACGAAGTAGCGTATACCATCCGCGTCAATCGAAGGACGCGCCGGTTAGCGGCCAGAGTTTCTTTCAAGCGACGCCTCAAGCAGCTGGAGTACCGAGGGATCCCCGCCCATTGAGAGATCGCTCCTACCAAGCGCGCCTAGGTCAGGAGTTGATGGAGTACATGACGCACCACAACTTTGAGCTGGAGATGAAGCACGTTCTCTCGGCCAACGTCATGAAGTCGCCTACGCAGAAGGACTTCAACTACATGTTCCAATGGCTTTATCACCGCATCGACCCGAGCCACCGCTTCCAGAAGAACATTGACCAGGAAGTGCCGCCGATATTGAAGCAACTACGATACCCATTCGAGCGAAGCATCACCAAGAGCCAGATCGCCGCGGTCGGTGGGCAAAACTGGTACACATTCCTGGGGCTGCTCCACTGGATGATGCAGCTGGCGCAGATGCTGGATGGCTTTGCTGCTGGGCGGTACGACGATGCTTGTATGGAGAGTGGCGTCGACGTTAGCGGCGATCGCATCATTTTCCGCTTTTTGAGCACGGCGTATAAGGACTGGCTGGCTATGGATGAAGATATGGGAGACGAGGAGGCGGAGCGTGTGCTGGCGCCGCACGTGGCGGACATGGCGGCGGCCTTTGAGGAGAGCAACTCCAAGTACACGTCTGAACTTGAGATGCTGGAAGCCGAGAATGCGCGGTTGCTCAAGGAGATTGAGGACCTGCAAAAGGCGACGCCCGACCCTGCTGTGCTCGACAATCACTTCAAGATCATGGAGGAGGACAAGGCAAAGTTCGAAGAGTACAACCACCTGGCCATGCAGCGCACCGACAAATACGAGAACCGGATACAGGTCCTCGAGGAGGAACTGGAGAAGCTCAACGCTGAAGTATCGGAAGCCGAGGACGAGAGGCGGAGTCTACAGAAGTCGGTGGACGCACAGGGAATCAGCATGCAGGATATCGACCGCATGAATTCCGAGCGCGAGCGATTGCAAAAGGGCATTGAGTCGGCCAGCCAGCGTCTGGAGGAGGTCAAGAAGAAGGCATCTGAGAGAGAGGCCGAAGCGGGCCGCAAGCTGGAGGAGCTGGAGCGCACAGTGGATCGGTACAACACAGTCGCGTACCAGATTGCCCTGATACCCTCGACGGCGGCCAATGCGCACGGACAAGACTACGAGCTCCAGATCCAGGTCAGCGACAACTCGGATTTTACATCGTCAAACTTTAAGACGTCGGTCAATGCGGCATCGACAGGGCGGCTCTTGGAGGACCCCACCACTGGGTATCAGCCTGGCCACATTCTGAACCTAGATCTTCGCGGGTCCATCCGCAATCACTTCATCTCGTTACGCAAGGAAATATCCGAGCGACGAAGCGCTGCAATGGAGGATATGATGAAAGATCACGACCTGTTGGATGGCATCAAGGAAGCGATTGAAGACAAGCGCAGCGAGGTCGAAGCGCTCAACCACCGTGTTCGCGCGGCCGAACAAGAGTGGGAAAAGACCAAAGAGGTGACCCAGGCGCAGAAGCTCAACTCGGATGCGCAAATTGAGAAGATTGAGAAGGAACTGTCGCAAATGCGGGCGGGTCTGAGTGAGGGTGTGCAGCTGTTGGAGCAGCGGGAGATCAACACCACGATTGAGTACGTGACACTTTCTCTACTTCTTTTGTGGTCGATGCTAACCAGGACAGGTACGAGCAGCTGGTACTGCGGGCCAATTCACTCCGAGAAGAGCTCCATACCGAGATTGACCGGATGCTCAACGACGTGATCAAGTTCAAGATTCATGTGCAGAAAGGCCTGGACGACTACGAGGGCTTTGTGACGGAGGAGCTCGAGGGGGAGCTGGGTGCTGACGAGGGTACGGTGAGGCTCGACGAAGAGCTGTGAACACGCGGGGGAGGTTGTTGACTGTGATGAGATTGATGACTAATGGGAGGAAGGCGTTGGATAGCGTGTCTATTCCTTTTCAATACCATTTGCATTTCGGGCCTTTCAGGTCTGGCGTTCGTCCACCCATAATCTTGCAGCTTGTTCTTCTGAATTGATGAGCTGACTAGCCTCGGACTGAAGCCACGTCCCTATCTCCGGGACGAAACTGGGGCGGCTCGGGTTGCGGGAGGGCGGAATTCGCTGCGGCCGCCTCTTTGGGTCTAGGCCTTGTGATGATCTCATACATTTTTTTTCTGCTTCGATATCGAGGAAGTCTGACAATGGAAGCAATTGACTTGTGGTCCTTGTGGGAAATGCCCAATGCTCCTACTGAGAACTCATAGGGCCATGTAACTATGCCTGCTTCTGTAGATGACAATTGCCCTGGCGCAAGATGCAACTTGGGCAGCCCCACGCATTTAATCAATGGCCCTAAGTCCGTTGATTGATGCATCGATTTCCACGTGCCGTGCTGATATTCGGGTACAAAGCCTCCGATCTCACCACACCACATGCATGTTCGAACGCCATTGAGTTTCCGTATATCACTTCGACCATGCCTCCCCCCTCAGCTCGACTTCGCTTCCCATGATGCTCTCGCCCCGTCGGATGACAGTCCCTAGAACACTGCTCAGATCCACAGCCACCATGACCACCTCAGCGCCCGTCACAAAGGTGACCAACGTCGCCAACGCTCTTGTCCCTGAACAGGAGAAAGCCAGGCCTCACCATGTCGTCAAGAATGGACGCATCACCGGGTTCAAGAACCCCTATCCCAGCTACAGGCCACTCGAGCCCATGAAGCACATCTTCATGTGAGTGACTGGACTCACTTCATGTTGCTTCTAGCACCACCTGAAGACAGCGCACTGACATTGATGCCCATGCAGTCCTCTTCTCACCGGCAAGATGAAGTTCCCAACCGTCCCTGACCCGCTGCCCATCCCTCTGGTCAAACCAACCTTCCTCCCCAGCCGTGACACCCCCAAACTCAGGGCCACCTGGCTGGGCCACGCCGCCTACTACGTCGAGTTCCCCTCTGGCCTGCGCGTCCTCTTCGATCCCGTCTTTGAGAAGTCATGCTCACCCTTCCCGCTCGATCTCTTCTCCAACAAGCGCATCACGCCCGCGCCCGCCTCGGTGGCAGACTTGCCCTACGTCGACGCCGTGGTCATCAGCCACTCGCACTACGACCACCTGTCGCACCCCACATTGCTCGAGCTGCAGAAGCATTTTCCCCATGCGCATTATTTCGTCCCTCTGGGCCTCGAAAAGTGGTTCCGCAGTTCAGGCACCACAAACGTCACTGAAATGGACTGGTGGGAGGACGTCAATGTCCAGATCACCGTCCCGCAGGTCGACGACGACACCAGCACGCAAAAGCCCATGACGGCGACATTCTCGTGTCTCCCCGCGCAGCACACCTCCGCCCGCACGCCGTTCGACAGGGACACCACCCTCTGGGCCTCGTGGGGCGTGTCCTCCGGTGGAAGCAGCGTGTTCTTCGGCGGCGACACGGGATACCGCGCCGTGCCAGGGCACTCTGTCGATGAGGACGATTACTCGCCCACGCACGACCATATTCCGCGGAACCCGCAGTTCAAGATGATTGGACACCACAAGGGGCCCTTTGATCTGGGGTTGATCCCCATTGGCGCATACAGTCCTCGCGCGTCGTTCAGTCCGGTGCACGCGAACCCATATGATGCCGTGGAGATCTTTCTTGACACCGCGTGTAAGCGCGCCATGGGGATTCACTGGGGCACGTGGCTGCTGACGACGGAGCCGGTGATGGAGCCGCCCGAGCTGCTGCGCAAAGCTTTGGCGAGACGAGAGGTGCCCGAGGAGGGCGTGTTTGATGTCTGTGGGTTGGGCGAGAGCAGGGAGTTTTGAAAGGGGAGTCTTTAGCCGCCTGAAAAGGACCGGGAAAGACGCATGAAATAGATGAAAAGCGGACATGTAGTGTTTAGATATCGGAAGACCTTTGGCATAGCGATAAATTTTATATAATACCTATTTCATTCTCACATGGAACCTTTCGTGCGTTTTGTTGGCTCGGTTCTGATGACCAACTTTGTGACAATGTTTCACTTTTCACTTTCTTCCTAGCTGGCATTTCCAGCGACATCATGAATTCACAAGGGCCATTGATATAAAAGTATCTTCTTCTGACTTATAGCCACCAGCTTTTCTCCTTTTTCTCCCCCCTGAGTTCGCGTCAAAGAGAATCGACACGGTAGGCAGGATAAATTGTGGCGGTGCATCCGGCTCTACCCGGTCATCAGCCACATGACGTACTGCACAGCCACACTTCTCGCCACAACCAAGGTCGAACTTCACCACGAGCTTCATCGGCATTCCATCAGTCTGTGAATAAAAATAGCCGGACTTTTCCTCTGAATTGTGTTCGAGAGAAGTAAAAATAAACATAAACTTGATCCCACAAACACTCATACGCTCACCTTGCCAAAACGCAACATGGGTCTTCCGTCTTTCACCAATACCTCAGCATCCGCCCAGGACAAGCCTGAGACCACAACTACCACCTCAACCCTCCCAACACAACAACAGCCCACTGGCGCAGGCGCAAACACCGGTGCAGGCGTCACGCGGGAGAAGACAGAAGCCGAGAAGCAAGCGGACAGGGAATATGAAGAGCGCATGGAGGAAGAGTACGCCAAGCGCGATGGTGGCTCTTAATTAATGGGCGACCTGTACAACAACGATAACGCACCAATGTAATCATTAATGTTATTATTGAAGACGGAGAATTGGCTTGCAATGTGAGGCGTCTGCCTATCGAATCTTGACGGGGTGCGCCTCGGTGTTGAACACCCATCTCATCTTGCTGCCATCCTTCTGGACCTGCAGCTCACTCTCCTCGTCAAACATCAAGAACAGATACTTGAGCGTCTCGGTCAGCCAGAAGCTCTCCATCTTGTCAATGTACCCGCCATCCACAATTGTGACGTCGCGCAAGCTGCTAAACGCCGCACCCGTCTCGGCCGCCGCGACAATGTTCTCGTATGCCTCCCACGCCATGTCCTGGTATTTCTTGTCGCCCGTGGCGCGGTAGGCGTAGTATAGAGTCTCGAGGGTCTCGGGGCGGAGGATGTAGGCGGTCGAGGTGGCCCAGAACCCAGCCTTCTTGTAGAACTCGGCGTCTTCACTGGGTGGCTGGGGGTTATTGGTTGAGTTCGTTGGGAGGTTATTGTCCACCCAGCGGAAGCCCTCGGGACCGATGCCCGTGGCGGTGCCGCGGTAGGTTTCGTAGTAGGAATTGGCGAGGGTGAGGCCAAAGTCAATGTACTTTTGCTCTTTGAGCAAGATGCCACCGAGGATGAAGTTGCCACCGGCGAACGAGGCCACTGCGTTGGTCAGTCTGATGTATGTCAGGCGGTTTGCTAAGGGCACACTCACAATGAGAAGATGTGGGGATGATATCGGTGCCAGCGTACTGAGACAGAAAGGTAATGTCTTCCCTGGTGGAAGGGTGGCTTGACAAGAACTCCATGGTGGAATCCGCAGCCGCGGTCCACCGATCCTTGTAGAAGCCAAATTCCTCGGGGTCGTAAAGATACATTTTGATCAGATACTCGTAGAAAGAGTCCGTGTACCCTCCCCAGCCACCGTCGTCGTTCACAAAAGTGCCATCCTCGATGCTCAGAAATGTGCCCGTCAGCCCGGGGAAGGGCTCGGTCTCGGGAGGCGAGGGCTTGAGCATGTAAGACTCTGCCTTCTGAGCGAGCTCGGCGTACTGGGGGTCTCCCGTTATGTCGGATAGCCGTGTCCACTCTAGAACGAGGGTGCCCGCTTCGGCAATGTTGTTCTGTGTCGACCCCTTACGTTTGGGCTCGGGGTTGAGTTGGATGATAGGGTCAGGGATACCGGATGGCGTGTCAAAGGCGAATTTCAACGAGTCCGCCAGGGACTGAGCCTGCTTCAAGCAAGCTTCGATGTGAGTATGGTTCTTGACAAGGTCGCTCCATGGCTCTTGCGAGAGGAGATCATAGGCTGTAACTGTCAGTATGGGAGGAGATGGGTGGCCACGAGGACGAGCTCACCGGACAAAAGGCCGCCAAAGTATCGAATGTTGGTCTCAAACAGCGAAATATCACCGGGCTCGGCCGTGGTCGTAAAGTCAATTGTCGGCACGAATTCGAGGATCTGGTTGACGCTCTCCTCATCGCGAAGAACGATACTTGCGCTGAGCGCGTCGATCGCTGTCACGCTCCAGCGATTCCTATGAGGCGTTAGATGAATACTCAGTGTCTACTTGGGGAAGATGGGGCGTACCTGTCATTGACGTATGAGTTGGTCAAAGGGGTGAGAGTGTCGTTGGGAAACGCATGGTCATAGTAGCCTTTCCACGATCTCTGGTATGTCTCTTTGATTGCCTGTGCTTTCTGCGCGTCCGGGCCAGCAGATGCCTCGCGCTTTGGGTAGGCCAGAGACGAGCCAGCGAGGCTGAACAGAAGACGAGTCTTCGTCAATCGCATCTTCACGGTGTTCGCCTTGGACACAAGGAAGCAGGTTCGTTCACGACCAAATAGCTTGACGTCTCGCCCTTTGAGCAGTAGCTTGCCGGGTGTTTTATATCCTGTCTCTCAACTTCACACCATGTCCCTTTCCCCCGCCTCCGAATGGCGATCAGCGTGCGATATTGGCCCATTGAGAGCGTGCGACCTGCCCTTGAAGGGCAGGTGGTACTCTGGCGAGTAAACCAGCTGTCTCCTCCGTGACGATCCTTACTGCGCGTCATGTCGCAGTACAGGAGCGTGTCAGTCGGCTTTCGCTGGCTATGTGCGGGGGAAGATGGAGTGCCATGCCCGTCGGCAGTGTACCGCCCAGCTCCATCAGTGGCTGTTGTCTGACTCCAAGGGACCAAGACTCAAGGCTGCCAAGGTCGGGCTGGAGTCTCACAGTATCATGCCTCACGGGTGTCCGTCCTCTCTGGCTACACGCACTGGAGTGGATGTGGTGGCGTGGATTCCGGGCACGACCCTTAACCTTGTTTGTCAATAGTGATGCATTGGTAAGACATTTGCGCCAACCCGAGGTCGTGAGATCCGTCCCCTGCATGAAACATGTCCCAAAGCGAACCACTGATTGAGCTGACAAGTAGCTCCTCATTCCACCGTAGGGCGTGCCATACACGGACCTTGACCTTGAAGCCTTTTTTTTGCAAGTGCCGTCCACGTGGACAAAGCCAGCACTTTACAATTTATCAAGTTCGAGCTCGGAGAGATCCGGTGTAGCTAGGAGCAGATTTAATACCGGGAGTGCTGATCTGCCCCGATGTAACCCCAGGCAGCGCACATGACGATTGGCGTGTTCAATACCACCGAAGCTCCTGTCGTTGAATGCACCTGACTCTCGCAGCATGACGAGTCGATCGACAGATGGCGCACTGCAACGTTGACATGGCGAGCTTCCACCCTTGGGTTGAGATTCCCCTCGCGTTGAAATGTAGAGCCTCGAGTGCAATATCAGCCATGTCGAGTGCAGCGCCTAACCTTCCAGTAGCTTCGGCAGTCATCGGTCGTGCCGGTAGTAGAGGAGGTGAATCGCAAGACTGAGCACTTCAGCTGCCATCACGAAGCTTGGCCAAAGCAGCGGCAACACCGTCCGTCAACCCAGAGCCGCTCGCCTCCTCTCCATTCTTCCCGTGTTCTCCCTGACTCTTCCTCTGCGCATCCTCCGCCATCCGCCGCGACTCCTCCATGGCCGCCGCCATCATGGCTTCCTCCTCATTCTCACTGTCGCTCACATCGCCAGCGACTGCATACTGTTTAGCCGCCGGCGTACTCGCGGCGCCCTTGGCAGCGCCCGTCGTCGACATCTCCCGTAGCGGCACCCTCGCCAACGGCCTCGCCTCGTGCAGCACATCCGTGCGGTCACCGCCGCCGACAGTAGACTCGTCCCGCCGTACGCCACGCTTGGCCGTCTTCTTGACGCGAAACGGCTCCTCGACCGCCGTGACCCATCTCTTGACCTTGGTGCCGCCCCACCCGCTGATCATGCCGAGCGCCTCCTGCTCCGCGTTGATCGCGTTGCGGAGCGAGCCAAAGTTGGCCACGAGCGCGATGGCGTCCGACTTGTTGAGGGACCGCGGCACCGTGACAAAGTCCGTCAGCCGGTCGGCGTAAGTGCTCGCCTGCTGGCCCTTGATGGCGGTGAAGGCGGCGTTCTCGTAGGCCTTGTAGAGTTCCAGGTAGCGCGCCGCCTCGGCCGCGCTCCAGCAGAGCAGCAGCGTGACGCCGTTGACCAGACTCGTCTTGCTGAGCTCCCGGAGGGGGTCTTCGTGGTTCGGAATGTCGACCATGGTCAGCACGATGCGTAGATTGTATTTGCCCTGCAGGTTGCGTATCCGCGTGTAGATGTATTCGGGATGGAGGCGGTGGTATTTCAGCGAGAGGAAGAGCGCGCAGGTCGTCAGGCCGAGGACGTAGTCGGCAGGGATGTCGGAGTACTCCCACGGTATGCTCTTGAGCGCGGTGAGGACGGGGTTGCCGCGCTGGCGTGGGGAGACGAGGATGGAGGAGCCGCCGGAGGGCTTCGCGAGGGCTTGCGGCGTGGGCTGCGTGACGCCTGGCTTGCTGCCGCTCAAGGCAGAGGTGGGAGGTGCCTTGTCGAGACGCTGGGGTGTCGGTTGGGTGACCTTGGGGCGTGGAGGGGGAGCAGTATCGGCTGAAGCCATGGCCTCGAGGAGGGCGGCGTCGGCGCCAAAGTCGTCGTCCATGGCGTGGTTTGCGCTGTAGTTGAGACGCGATGGAAGGACGTGTGTTGGGAGAAGGTTCACGATGGAGTTCACGCATGTCCCTGCGTTTGGCACGCCCCACATGATCGTCATAATCCGTCCGTCGGCATGTGGTGGCATAACACTGACTTATAACAGGTAGACTACAGGAAACGTTCATTCAGTGTGATGCCATCAGTAATACACATAATAGCCAATGTTGATTGATCAGATATAAATAAAAGAAAAAGAGGTGGCTAGGATTCCCTCAGTTGTAGCCAGTCCAGTGCAGTCCATGCCTTCCAAAACGCCAACGCTAATAGTAGTCCCATCCATGGTGTCAATCTCGTACACTCTTTGTATCAGTAAATGCAACGCTTCTCGAATCCTCATTCATCGCTCCTCGCGCTGGACTGCGAGCCTCGCAGACCCCTCTGCATGGTATGGAGGGCAGCCAGCCAGGAATCAAACATGGATCGCATATTTCGTCTTTCCTCCTCGCCCATGTCCTTGGTGTCGGTCTGGTCCCTCAGTCGCTCGTACGCCTCGATCATGACGCCAATCTGCAGCGCATCACTGGGCATGCCGGCCGTCAGCTCCTTGGACAGCATCGAGATGGATGCGGACAAGGGTGTCGTTTCGGGTTGGGGTGTTCGGGGCAGCGGTTTGTCGAGCGACTGGCGCCGGGAGGCTGGCGGTGACGGGTCGCAAGAGAAGGACACGGGCTTGAAGTAGATGGCATCCTCCTCAAAGGCCACGAGGGTCCCATCGGAGCCGGGAGACAAGGTGGTGGCGTCGGGACGTGGTGCTTCGACAATGGTCTCCCGTTGGCGGTCTGATGATGTATCTCGGACCGGCGAGCCTTTCGGCGACTGCTGCCGCACCGGCGTGGCATGTTTGCTCGGGTCAAAGCGGACGGGCTCAAGCAGCAGAGGAGCGTCTTGTGGTGGCGTTGGCATCGGTGGGTCTATTGTGTTCTTCAAAGCCTCGAGGCGCTCCTCTTCTTCTGACGCGGCGGCCTCCTCCTCCTCCTCGGCATCCCTCGACTCGAGAAAAGCCTGGTACTGCTCGGCGATGAGCTCGACGCTCGCTTTCCTCTTGACCACCCGAATCTCCTTGACGCTCTTCTTGGGGGAGAGACCGTCAAAGTGCGCGAGCTTGAATGCCGGGGCAATGAGGCTCCTCTTGGAGATGGACTTGCGCGGCTTGTGCATGATGGAGGCGGACGAGGACGACCTCGGTGGCGGTGGGGAGCAAGCGACGCTGTCCAGTGAAGGACGAGGCGAGGATCGAGAGACGGTGAGGTTGGAAAAGTCAGAGAGGATGGAGTGGGAGGGCGAAGTGCCGAGACCATATGGTAAATCTGGGGAGCTCATGAGGCCGCTGCGCTCGATATATTCGAGCCATTTTGAGTCGCTGAGATCTGTCGGCATGGGGATGGTGGGCCGCTCACGAGTCTGAGATGTCTCGGCCACAGAGCATTCCAAAGGGGGGGGGGAACGTGGTGATATGCCGGATGGGGACGCAGAGGTCGCTGTAGTGGGCGTCGACGTGGACGTGGATGCTGCTGTCGAGTGGGAGCGATTGCGAGCAGACGCCTTGATCCAGAGCTGCTTTGGTGTCTTTTGCAGCTTGCGACGGATGCGAAGGTTGGTGGGAGGCTGCGAAGGTGAGGGTGAGGGTGAGTGTGTAGGTGAGGGCGAGACAGACGGCGGCAGAGGCAGTAGCTGAGGCCGGTGTGCCGCAGGCTGTAAGCTGGCTTGACATTCCATTGCAGCGTAAGATAGTGTGGCTCGCCTCCGTTACGGCGTGGGGATTGGAATGAATCCCAGCGTGGTGGTGACGAGCGTGCGCTGCGTGGGCACGGGTTCTCCGTCTTGAAAAGGCGATGGATCGACGGCAGTGGGTGACGGACGGACAGACAGCCTGTGCGTCAGACTCAGACACGGACAAGCAGACGCAAAGATGGACCAGAGGTGTCACTCAAGTGTCTGACGGCGGGGAGGCGGGCATTGAATTCAGGCACAAAAATAGCACTGACACGCGAGGAGCAACGTTGGATGGATGAAATGGGGTGAGAGATATACCTTCATTCCAGAGCGAGGGCCTGGAGGTCTTTGATTGACTCTGAATAAGGCAGGCCATGCCGCCATTCACTCATGTGAGGAGGTTAGTCCAGTGACTCCATATCCAGCATATGCATAACGCCATTCTCATGAGACCTGTCATTACGGCACGCCAGGCCTAGTAGTGGACTAACGTTAGTCTGGCGCTGAACAGCCTGTTTGTGCCCAGTGAGTTGCCTTGCCTGAATTTGCTGGCAAAGGCAGGCAAACGTGGTGTTGTTAGGCAGGGCGAGAAAGGGAATACGTCCGTATCTGGTAGAGCGGCATAGCCTCAACTTGCGCGTCCGTCCATGGGGCTGAGCGTGAGGGCTCGTATAGCTGACGTTTACACGTCACCGCTTGGCAGACGTACTACGTAGTTGTGCGATAAACAAAGCTGGTTGTGAGTGATCCTTCAAGCAAGCGGGGAAGAGACGGTCAGTGACCACCATCCATGGACGGTGTGCCATCACGCGTGACGCGATGCGATGGTCGAGTGATGCCGGCAGGACGGAAAACGATACCGAGATTGATGCAAATCGCTGCTGGAGCTCGGCACATGTAACTTGTTACATAGTATCGCATTGCCCGCAAGCGCTCGACCAACTTGGGCGGTTTTGACGAGGAATGCAAAGGGTCTCAGAGGCGGGCGAGACACGAGATTCTTGTGGCTGCGCGAGGGACAGTCCGTCGAGAGAAACGGTGGATCCGTGACCGACTGACAGGGATCCGTTTTTGACGTTCCGCCTATGGGACGGAGGTGGTTGCCGTTTGTGGCTTTTGTCTTAGACGGACAGGAGGCTTGACTGTCGCAAAGAATTGGATGCCTCCAAAACTGCGGGAGACGCTTGTTTCTTTTTTTGCATTGTTAAACACTGATGCGCGCTCATGAGATTGATGATTGCCCTTACCTGAAGGTGGGCGTGTTGGGGGCTGGCGGTCCCCCGTCACATTTTGCCTACCACCTTACCCTATAGGTTTATCGATTGGCACATTGTCTCATCAGCATGCTATCCAAACAGATGCATGACGGTGCGGAAAGGCTATCGATATTTTGAATAGATTTCTGGGAATTCCATCCAACATTTAGTAATCGGTTCGGTTCAACCCGCATGCTTGGTGTGAAGTCCAACTGTGTGCAACACCTTGACCTCGTCACACGGAGAGCTCACTGGCAGACAGCCTCAAAAGACACAGAAGTCTCGTCCTCATGCACAATTCGGTGCACTACCCGAGGGCACTGATGATTCTGGTCTTTGCTACCTGCACTAGCTTTAGCACTCGGCTTTCGGCATCTCTACGCTGTGCTGTGAGGCATTCTCAAAGCCAGGCACAGGACACAATTGAAGAAGTGAAGTGAAGTGAGGGGCAGGCGATTTCCCCAAGGTGGGGGTGGGGCATTTGTTGATGTCACTCACGATGCTGCCAGGACGTACTTCAAGTGAAAGCTGATCAATGCGCGGCAGCGCCCAGAGATATTACGGAGTAATTGAAGCATCTGATCAACACGGTTGTATTATCTAAAGGCAAACAATCTGCTTTGCAAGATCCAGCTCACGCATCAGCTCACACGCCTCCCCCAAAGCCGTCGGGTATTACGCCGAACCCACATGAGGCGCACGTACTTCCACAGTCCAACACCAGCTAGAAAGGCCCGCCGGGAATTAATCCATCAATCACCGTCGCCAAAAGGGTGCCTGGCCATCTCCAACACGACCCCGATCTCGGTTGTCCGGGTCAATTGATTGTGACATTGGATAATATTGACCTAGGCCCTGAACGAAACCTCTCCTTTGCAGATGATTAAAATACGACGGTCGACGCGTCTTCCCACCCTCGTCCGCCACTCTTCCTCTCCTTTGCCTGTATAATTCCCTCTTTTTGGGCACGCTGTCAAGATGCCTGAGATCACCATCACCGGCTTCTCCACGCGCGATGTGCGCTTCCCCACCTCCCTCGACAAGACCGGCTCAGATGCCATGAACGCTGCTGGCGACTACTCCTCCGCGTACTGCATCCTGACGACCGATTCAGACTACACGGGCCATGGCATGGTCAGTGACAACGAACACCCCTGCATTATCCCAGGCTGCGATATCACTAACAGAGAACCCGGTAGACCTTCACCATCGGTCGCGGCAACGACATTGTCTGCTCAGCCATCACCCACGTCGCCGACCGCCTCAAGGGTCGCACCCTCTCCTCCCTCGTCGCCGACTGGGGCAAGACCTGGCGCCATCTCGTCAACGACTCGCAACTCCGCTGGATCGGCCCGGAGAAGGGCGTCATCCACCTCGCTCTCGGCGCCGTCGTCAACGCCGTCTGGGATCTCTGGGCCAAGGTCCTCGGCAAGCCCGTCTGGCGCATCGTCGCGGACATGACCCCCGAGGAGTTTGTCCGCTGCATCGACTTTCGGTACATGACCGACGCCATCACCCCCGACGAGGCCGTCGAGCTGCTGCGCCAGCAGGAGGGCGGCAAGGCCGCCAGGCTCGAGGAGGCGCTCAACAGCAAGGCCGTGCCCGCGTACACCACGAGCGCCGGCTGGCTCGGCTACGGCGAGGACAAGATGAAGGCCCTCCTCCAGGAGACCCTCGACCAGGGCTACCGCCACTTCAAACTCAAGGTCGGCGGCAGTCTCGAGGAGGACAAGCGTCGCCTCACCATTGCCCGAGACGTCATCGGCTACGACAAGGGCAACGTCCTCATGGTTGACGCCAACCAGGTCTGGTCCGTCCCCGAGGCCATCGCCTACATGGAGAAGCTGGCCGTCTCCAAGCCCTGGTTCATCGAGGAGCCCACCTCCCCCGACGACATCCTCGGCCACAAGAAGATCCGCGACGCCCTCAAGCCGTACGGCATCGGCGTGGCCACGGGCGAAATGTGCCAGAACAGGGTCATCTTCAAGCAGCTCATCCAATCCGGCGCCATTGACTTTTGCCAGATTGACGCCTGCCGTCTCGGCGGCGTGAACGAGGTCCTCGCTGTTCTGCTCATCGCCAAAAAGTACAACATCCCCATCGTGCCGCACTCGGGCGGCGTTGGCCTGCCCGAGTACACCCAGCATCTTAGCACCATTGACTATGTCGTCGTCAGCGGCAAGCTGTCGGTGCTCGAGTACGTGGACCACTTGCACGACCACTTCCTCAACCCCTCCAAGATCAAGGGTGGCTATTACCAGACACCCATGGAGCCCGGGTACAGTGTCGAGATGAAGGCAGACAGCATGGATAAGTTCTCCTATCCGGGAGAGGAGGGCGTCAGCTGGTGGAAGAGCGAGGAGGCCAAACCCATCTTGGAGGGGGTCAAGCTATAAAAGGAGACATGTCAGATAGAAAATTGAATACATTTACCTACATAAAGAGGCAAGCCGCAGAGAGTCCTGCTGATCTCATGCGGGCGGCAAGAAGCTCGCAAAGAGTCCGGCTTGGATTCCAGCGTACATGACAAAGAAAGTGACGACGCCCAGTCCGAGATTGCGCCTCTTCTCTTGCAAGAGACAGCTGGCAATCCACCAGTACCAGACCACATAGGCCGACGACAGCCGGTTGACAATCTGCACGTGGTAATTCGTGATGGCTAGCATGGCGATAAATGCCTGAACACCCGCGAGTGTCTGTACAAGCACCTTCTGTTTCCCATTGAAAGAGGCAACCGCGAACGCAGAGGTGGGCGCGAGCAGTACTTTGGTGCCAGAGACGATAAGCAGGCCGAGAACTGGCGATGCGAGGAGGAAAAGGGGTACTTGCTCCGGCGTCCAATATTGTAGGAAGCCCACGTTCCTAAACACCGTCAGACATTGTTTGTCCCACAGATCCTTATCCCAGAAACTCACCAGTAATGTTCCTGCACAAAGCTGTAGATACTAGGCACAGTCTTCTCACACCAGGGCCTGAGATGCCCTTCGCCACAATAGCGCTGCCAGATGTAGAACTGCGGAACGGCAGCTCCAGCGGCAATGACTATCCCGCCAACAACGGGCGCCACCAGTCTACCAAGGCGACCCAAAGTAGGGCGCTCAATAAAGTGCGCTGCACAACGTAGAGCTTCGACGAGGAAGACCACGCCACTGCCCAACCCATTGCTTCGGAAACCGGTCGCCACGCCGAACACAACACCAGCACCCACGATTGCACAAGTTCGCTTCCACGGCTCGCTGGCGTGCTCATATCCCAATGCAAACAGCCAATTCCCCAGGAACGACAGTCCAGCGAACGAGCTCTCAGCGTACGGTGCAGAGAGGAAGACACCCGCGGGAGATAGGACGTGCAGGACACTGGTCAGAAACGCCAAACGCGAGTCCCTGGAGACTAGCATCGTGAGTTGATGCAGAACCAACACGCTTCCTAAGTGGGATAAGGTCGCTGCTAGGATGGCCATGATGGGTTCACCTCCAGGCCAGCTCACAAGGCGCACGAGCTGCGAGAACCCCAACTGAAAAGCCCATTCTTGCTCGTAGACCTTGCCGCCATGCGCCGAGGCGTGAAGAAAGTACAACGCGTCCCAGCGGGTCAATTTCTCCGCGAGGAAAGGCGCGGTTGGCGCGTCGGGGAGCTGCGCTAGGAATAGAGATGTTGACGTGTCGTACGCTGGGCTGACAGCGGCGGCGAGTGCAATGGCGAGGAGAAATGCCTTCCATCCCGTGAAGAGGAGTATCAAGGAGGCAATTGGCCTCGCTTTTGCGTCAACCAATGCCATGACAGCGTTGGGCGTTTGAAGGGTGAGATGGGGCTCTCCTCATGTGTTCAGATTGATGTGACCGCTTCGCTTCACAAATGCTTACATAAGCCACATTCAAGCAACATTCATTACCTGGTAAAGACGAAGGCTGGTGGTTTTCAGTCTACTACTCAAACAAAAGGGATTATCCAGTAACAGTGTGACTCCTCTCGATGGAAAGCACGTTTTTGTGGGCGATACTTAGCCCTACGACTACGAAGACGTGCAGAAATCACGGCATCACAACATTCTCCACGCAAAGGGGAACAAATTCAATAGACTCCATTGCGGACAGTATTCAATGCGAATAGTGAGGTTTGATCATCAATAAATCAATGTTGATTCGCCGGACACGCATGTACACGCTGCAAGTAGTACAGCGCTGCCCATGGCTCGCTACTATGTACGGGTGTATCTCTCACCACCTTGCTCTGGAAAATCGCGCTTGTACAATGTAAGAATAAGAAGCTTCCAGGTCCATATGCCCCGCTATTCTCTGATGCTTCGAACCCTGTATTGGAGCCATAGCTTGACCTGACCATCCCCAGGCAACTTGGTCGAGCTAGTGCCCCAGGTACCAAAGACCGATGCTCCCCTGATAGGAAACATGTTCAATGTAAGCCCCGTGCGACGTTTCCTCGCCGCGCGTGAGCAGGGGACCAGCGGAAGTTCTCCTTGTCTCCACCCCTTGACCGGAGGTCAGAGTGAGCGGCCTGTGCGACACACTCAAAGGGCTCTCGGCGACCCGACTGCGAATGATCGAGTCGCGGCTCGCAAGCATTGCCCGGCGTCAATGTAAAGTCAGGACAGCCACGGCCATCATATCATGTAAGGGCTTGTGGATTAGCAGCCCGTGCTGCATCCCAGGGTCGATGGAAACCATAACGCCTGCGCCTACCACAATCGAGTCGTTCCTGACGTCTACCTTCTTAGTACTCGTCATCGTCAGAATCATGCTCGTTGATCTGAATAGCGCGCCACCTCCGGTCGGTCAAGTCTTGGGCAGCCGTGCCTTCGCTCTCCGGGTCAACGTAGCCTTGACCACCAGCAATGCTCAGCGCGACGGGCAAGAACACCAGTGCATGCAATGCAGCAAAGATGACGAGCGAGAGCCAGACGCGGAAGTAGTAAATCTCGAAAATCTTGGATCGCGTGAAGGCCAACACGCAGACACCAAGGAGTTTGGTGATGGTGATGCCGGAGAAGACGGAGCCGCCGACATTGACCAGCGCAGTCCAAGCTCGGGCGTCGCGCCCACGGAAGCCATTGTTGTTGCTTTGCATGACCGTGCGCGAGGGGAACATGAACGCGCGGGCAATGTGAGCGCAGAACTCGACGGAGATTCCCACGCAGATTATCAAGTTGACAAGCGACACAGCATTCAGCGACACGTTGAAAACCGACATGGCGCCCATGATGTCAATGACACTCATGACGACGGTGACGGTGACAACAGCCGATGTCAACACGGATCCAAGAAGGATTGCTGCCACGACAAAGATGATCCCTACAACAGCGCACAAAAGCCCAGCCGTCAGACCAACAATGTCGAGATACTGGTGAAAGAAAATGTAGAACACGCTGTAGGGGAAAACGTCTGCGCCGGTGCGCTCGCTGATTTCCGAGGCAATGCGCCGAGCCGAACTGTATGCGCTGATGAAATCCTTTTGGCTGCGAAGAGGAGTGTGCATGGTGCGGAAGTTGGTTGCCTTGACACCGCTGCCGTCTTCGTTCAGGATGACGGATCCGCCATAGGCAGACTGACCTCCCAAGGGACATTCATCACCTGCAGGTGTGGTCAAAAACTTCTCAAGGTAGTGGATAAACTCATCGCCCTCAGGCATGCCATATAAAGTGGTGTTCCATTCGGGCTTCCGGTCGGCGAAACAAGTCTGACCGTCCTCGATACAGCACGACTCGTAGATGGGGTTCAGCCACATGAAGAAGTCATCAATCCAGCTGGCAGTCGGGGTGGAGATGTATGAGACGTCTGGCCTCTGCCTCTCGAGCTCGAGGGTATTTGTCAGGGACAGATCCTGGCACGTCGTGAAACGAGAGCAGATCTCTTGCTGCTCCTTGCGCTGCGCAACATCGACATCGCGCGTGACAAAGTAGACAGGCGGGCCGGTATCCAGGTACTCATACAGGTCGTTGAAGTATGGGATGAGATACGAGCCATCGGGAATTGCAACCCTCTGATCTAGGCCGAGTTCAATGCCGGGCAGAAGCGCTATGGCAGCTGCGAAAAGACCCAAGAAGATGGTGATCACGGCCATCTTAACTCTCTTCTGCAGAAGCCTCGGTGCGTAGTGGTTCCTGATGAAGATCTGCAAGAAGCTTTCCTCCTCAATCTCTGCCGAGCGCGCAGCACCTGTGGCATAGCCGTTGGTGCCATTGAGGTGGATACGTGCCTTGGTGATCTGCCACCAAGGCCAGAGTTCGCAACGATGATCCTCGACGCGCATCTGGTTGAGGGACAGGAAGGAGACAAACATGGTCATCTGCAGCAGTGCATTGACAAATACCGCACCAGCAGCGTACGCAGCGAAGTTGCGGACGGCGGGCATGCCAACAGCGGCGCCGAGAGCAAAGGCCACCGTCTCGGTCAATGCAGAGAACAAGATGGAAGGACCCATGCGGCCCAGAGCGCGGGCGACACGCTCCTCCACCATCTTGTCGGGGCAGCTTGCGTTGACACGCTCAAGCTCATGGACAATGAGAAAGATGTTGTCTACGCCAACCGCGAGGACGATGAAGGGGATAACTTCGAGGATGATGAGGGTTGCTTTGAGGCCCACCCAGGAAAAGAAGCCGACAGAGGCCGCAATTGACATGAGCACAATGATGATGCCCACCAGACCGAGTGTCACCTTGGACTCAACAAGCAGGACCGCCGGGTTGCGGAAGATGTGCTTGAGAGGAGTACCTAGCGCCATACAGGCGTAGATGAACATGACAATGTAGCTGATGACAATAATCTTGGCGTCTGTGTTCGTCGATTTGTTGAGCTCTTGCTCCAAGCTGACCTCGGTGTTGAAGGACAAACGCAGTCCGCGGTCCTTGGCTTCCTGTTGCACCTCGTGCAGGCGCTCCAGCATGACATTTTCAAAGTCAATGGCACGTAGCAATGCGCCACTCCCCTCCTGCGCATTCTTTACAACCCATGTGACAGTCATGGCCGTGGCATCCGTGACATCGTCACCGTAGCCGCTGAGAAGCATGTTGGGCTCGAGGGGCTGTCCAAAGGCCGGCCGGCAGTCAACTGGAGACTTTGCGCAAGCACGCAAGTCCTCTTTCCAGTAGTCCTCATCGATGCCACCCTTGGAGTACCAGTAGGCTGTTACGGATTGCACAACACAGGCGTCGCCCGTTGGCTTGAAGCACACGTCCTGGAAGTGCTTGCCGTAGACGGGGCTCTCCAGTTTCTCGATGCTCTTCTCAACCTCTGTCCACCACTGGAGTGTTTCGTAGCTGAGAACAGGGCCAGGACCTGATGGGAGGGTATCATTGACGAGGAAGATCTTCTCGGCGCGGTAGAAAGGCCCAAAGTTTGAGTCAAAGTAGGCCTTCTCCTGCGCGGCAGCTGATGAGGGACTGACCCACAGCTTGGCGGGTGCTTGCTCAATGTCAAAGCGGAAAAGACCAGCGCTCAGAATAGCAACGACGACCAGACTGGCGCCGATGGTGATTGCGGGAAAGCGGGCAGCCGCGTGTCCGAGCTTGTAGAAAACCTTGTCGCAGGCGTCGTTGAGGCGGTAGCGCTTGGTGGGACGATCTCGCATGGCTTCGGTCGCGACTGGACCACCCTCATCCTCATCATCGCTGTGCGACGACTGGTGCAGAAGTCGTGTCCGCTCAACCCTACGAGCAGCGAACCGGCGCCAGGCTACATGACCAAAGGCAAGTGCGAAGAATGCAAACAGCAGGATGGAGTACACGAAGATCGAGGCGAATGACAGGCATGGCAGCACGCCAACGTGGCACGATTCGGCTTCCTTCACATCTGGTAGTTCCGGGCAGACCTCCGGACAATCAACGCACACGCATCGGTAGTCGGGATCTTCGTCGTTGCACTTCTTTGGCTTCATCTCCAATGGCTCCATGTCCTGGTCATCATACTGCTCGGGGAAGTTGATCTGGAAGGGCGATCCGACAAAGGGCTTCTTGGTACCCAGGAACTTGAGAAGTTGATGGTAGTCGGTAGCGCCACCCCCAATCAGGTCCATCGCTTTGCTGTTTGCGCCGCCGAACTTGACTTCCTTGCAGCTGTTGTAGAAACCCTCGCCGTATTCCTCAGAGATGAGCTGGTCGAGCTCGGTGACGAGTTGCTTGCCGCTCTTTTCTTCCGAGTTCGTGATGTTGATGAACACAGATTGATCGGGCGAGCACGTAAAGGTACAGAACATGTTGAAGAAGTTGTCTTTGCACGCAGGGCATGATCCAATCAACGTGTTCGGTGTTCCCATCTCCGACTTGAGGGCTTTGACCTGCTCCAGATCGCAGCAGACGGGGCCATCAGCCCATTTCGCACCACAGAGGTCGACGAGCTCTTTTCGGAGTTCCGCGTCCGGGTCCTCGGCCAGCCCATTATCGACGCAAGGTAGTTCCTTGCCGAAGAAGCTCTGCTTTCCACAGTGGCCCCTAAATGCGCATCGTCCGGGCTCGTGCTTTGGTGTCCAGTCCTTGGCCTCGATTGTTGTTGCTAGGAGCAATGTGGTGGCTGCCCCAAGCCATGATGCGACTGAATGACGCATGATGGAGCGTTGCGGCGAGGCCGCGAAAGAGCGATGTCGGATTGTATCGAGTCGCGGTCTATCAAATGAGTATTGCGTCGCTTATGCAGAAAGAATGAGATGCTGCGACGCAGCTAGTGGTGTTTGGATCTGTTCCGGCCTGAACGCGTTTGGTGATGGATGGAGGCTATCGAGACATGAAGCAAGCAAGGCACGAGAGCGCCCATGACAACAACAGGCCGGATCCATGATCAGTGCAATGCGTCTCGTGCCTGAGTGGCTGACGTAGTGGCAGGCAGCTCTTGTACCCACTATCCAGCGAACTGAGGCACTGGAGCCAATGGCGAGCTGTCTTCGGGACATCTGGGGTAGGTAATTGCTCCGCAGGTCACACTTCTGCAGCCAGATCCAACCTGTATTGAATACTTGTAATTAATTCGTTCTTCTGGAGCGGAATATGGGCAAGTCGTCAATAGAAAGTCTGTCAGTAATTCTTCTATCCGAGTGCATCTGCTTGTCGTCGAATTGTTAATTGCGCCCCGCCCTCTAACGTTAGACGACCACAGACAGCGCTATCGCGACGGCTCTCGGGCACGTGATGTCAGTCTGGATCCCGATCAGGCTGTCGAGTCATTGATGCGACGGATCAGACGCTGAGACGATTTCCCCTAGACTACATCCAATCCCACATTGGTGACGTTCATTCAGGGTCCAGTCCAAACGTCAAAATCGACAAAGATTTCCTGGGAAATATCGACAGTGCAACGGTGACCTTAAGCGACAATCTTGAATTCATTTATTCATAAATCGCACGGCCTTTGTTGATACTTGATCATGCGATTTTCGGACTACTACACATCGAGACACTCTATTTGGAACCCCTGCTGAGGCTTGCTGGCGGGGGCAAACTACAATGGCAGCTGTGTCAATGAATTCAATGGATGATGATCCGCTCGACAGGCTGATTGTGAGTTGCCTTGGCGGACGAGGGCTGCATCGTAGCCCGAGTCACACTTCTGTCCTCTTTGCGACTAACATACTCAGAAATCATTCCACACGCTCCTTGACGAGCCCCTAGTGGTAGCCATTGCTGGTGATCATGATCTGACCACTTCCGCTGGCTTCAATGCCGCGGAGCAAACGCTCAAAGGTCTCTCCCAGGACGTGGTAATTGAGGAGGCCACATCATTCGACCCGAGCGGCGCCTCGGGCCTGGACGACACGACTGCTCATGAGATTCACGACCATGCGTCTGCAACAAGCCAGAGCAATGGAACGTCGTCTCACCAGCAACAGGCTTCATCAACGGATGCGTCCTCCACGGATCGCTTCGAATACGTCCCTCAGCTTACATCCTTCAATGACGACAGCGATGAGACTAAGTTTCTCAACCTGCGAAGTATGTTTGGTGACCTGAAGGACTTTGACATCAAATACGCGCTGCAAAAGTCTAATGGCAACTTTCAAGCCGCACTTGACAGCTTACTGGATATTCAGAATCGCATCTCAGAAGGCGAGAATATCAGGGGCATAGACGCATTCTTCGACGATAGCGAGGAGCAGTCAAGTAGAAGCAGGGGGAAAAAGAAGGGCAAGAAGCGTAAGGGCAAGGGTACGGCTTTAGACTTGGACGTCTCAACCAAGGAAGTGCTGACGAAAAATCAAGCCAAGGAGCTCAAGCGTAAGCGTACCCCCCTTTGTTTACGGTATGCGATGCTGACCGCGATGCAGACCAAGATGAGATAGCCTTCCTGGCCGACCACTTACTTCAACCCTTTGACCACGTATCAGACGTGTACTATAGGAAGAAGACCTCCAGCGGTGCAACGGCTGCTGCGATCTTGGACCAGTACAGCGACCTTGGGATTACCTCTGAAGATGAAGGAAACATTGCCACCGCCAAGCGCCTCGCTAATGAACACCCAAAGGTGCCTGAGCGATACTTCCTCACTCTGCTGCAGGTCACCGACCAAGGGACCCAGGACATTGCGGCGTTACTCAGCAAACACTTCACCAAGAACCCTCACAAAGAAAGGCTTCAACTCACGCATCTCACGACCCCATTGCCAAATGAAGATTTAGAGGGACATGCAGGCTCACTGCCCGGCAGCAAATCCCTGACGCCAGGACCGAGCAAATCCCCACGTCCCGAGTCGCGCGCCTCACCTGGTGGCATGTGGGATCATGCTGAGGTCGTGAAGCGAATCAACGATGCTAATCGCTCTCGTCTCGAGGCTTCAGCCCAAAGCACAAGCATGATCCGCAAGGGGGGCTACTACCGCCAGGGGGCAGTGGTGTACCATGAGCGCGCGAGGGAACAAGCTCTCCACTCGCATGCCATGTCCTCGGCCGCTGCTGACCTACTCGTCGACCAGCAAAGTAGTCGTAACAAGATTGACTTGCACGGCGTCAGCGTGCGAGACGGCGTGCGCATTGCGAGAACGAGGGTCCAAGCCTGGTGGGATAATCTGGGCGAGTTCAGAATACGCAAGGCGCGAGAGGACCCATACACCGTGGTCACCGGTTTGGGACGGCACAGCGCTAGTGGCGTTTCGCAGCTGCGACAGGCTGTGTTGGCTGCATTGTTCCAGGATGGCTGGAAAGCCTCTGTTGAAACGGGATGTTTTGTCGTCACCGGACGGCGTTGATCGTTTTGCGCGGGATTTAACGACCATGTCATGAAGTATATGAAGCATTGTGTAGCGCACCTCGGAGAGCATGACATCATTTGGGTATAGAAATGCTTTGTCTAAGTATAGATTCCAACATAAAGTCTTCTTATCCAAAATCTTCGACCATCTAAATAGATCATTTTGACACTCTTCGTCCCACCCCCCGGGAGGCATTCAGGCCTTTTGCAACTTCTTGCCCACCTTCCACCAGACCTCCGTTCCCGTCAAGACTGATGTGACGAACATGATGATACTGGCTCGGCCCCAATTCTCTGTGACCCAGCCCAGCGCCGTAGCCGGAATGATCAGATCCATCACATCAGCAGCAAAACGAACGCTCAGTGTCGTCACCTCGTCCTTCATCTTCTTAGAGTAGGCCTTCTTCTCATCCTTTCTTCGCTTCCTCTCTTCACGCAGTCTCTCTTCGACCGTCTTGCCATCCTTCTCCGCCGACGTGCCGTAGCCGTCACCGGTGGCAGGCACGGGCTTATACGCGGAGAGCCTGACCAGCTTGACCAGCGTAGAACAGGCGGACAAGAGTAATCCCACGAACCAGAAGCGTTGCGCCTCGAGGTTGATCCCCACGGCTTCCTTATAGCCAAACACCTCGAGACCCTCGATCCTGCAGAGGTCCAGGACCGTGATGGTCTCGAGCATTCCGAAGATGCCGAGGCACGTCGCCGCGTGGGCGCTGAGCCACGTGTCCAAGGCTTTTTCTTGGCTCATGTACAGAGACACAGACGTAGATAAGGTGTCCAAGAAGCGGAAAGTACGCAGCCACCTCCGGACGAGGTTTAGGTGCGATGAGGTGGACGAGAGCGTCGCGAGAGTGGTGAGATGGGGAGTGGTGGACGTCCAGTACTGCAGAAAAGCAGGGTAGGACGTGAGGATCATCATGAAAGACTGGACGAGACGCATCAAGCGCTCAAGCCCGGCTGCTGTTGTCAGTGGACAGATCGAGATACCATCGAATGGGAAGTAGTACGCACCGTTATCAACGCCAAAGGCAACAAAGTGCTCATAAAGGCCAGCCATTGTGACGGCAGCACCTTTTGATTTGCCTGTAGGACGTGGAATTGATTCAATGAGCGGCAAACAGTTGCGTCTCTCTGGTTGGCGCGACGTTAATCAATATGGTTTCGGTTCAATTTCACAAAATATGATAAGATTGCGAGAGCGATATCGTCGGTGAAGATAGATGCTGGGGTGTGGGCCCGCAGCGTGGCAGGTCGGTGATCTTACTGGCGCCCCTCTTCCACCATGTCAGAACCTCGAGAGCAGTCTCAAAAGGCTGCCTAGGGCGTCGATTGAACAAGCTTGATTGCTCTTACAGCAGACTGTTGAGTCCATGTCGTCTGTGGATGAGCTTGTGAGACGCTATACTCTTGTCACGTGCCCGTAGCTTGGACGATGATGAAACCTCACCAAGTACCTTACGGTCAACCCGAATGCCTTGACAAAGTAAATACGCCACCGTACAAGTGGCAGACTATGCATAACTATGTAGGTACACGGACGTGAGCCCAATCAAACCGCGCCTCCCTCTACAAGAGGCCCATCTTCACGCAAAAGATCTAGTCTACGCCTATTGTCCGGGCGAAGTCAGCTTTCCGTGCGCCCGCGCGTCGTGCTCCAAACCACCGGCCAGTGTCTGGTGGCCACCGTGCTGCTCTGCGTACGCCTGCATCCTGGCCTCCAGCTCGGGCCGGAAGTGACGGATGAGACCCTGGATGGGCCAAGCGAAAGCCTCTCCCAAAGCTGCAAGCTGTTAGTACACATCGCATTCAACATATGTGATTCAACGTACCGCAAATTGTGTGACCCTCAACCTGCTTGGTCAGCTCCTGGAGCATATCAATCTCCCTCTCGCGGCCCTGGCCCCTCTCGAAACGCTGCATGATCTGCTCAGTCCACTTGCTGCCCTCACGGCAGGGGGTGCACTGTCCGCAACTCTCGTGACGGTAGAAGTGGCTGAGACGGCTGATGCCGCGGACGACGTCGGCGCTCTTGTCCATGACGATGACGGCGGCGGTACCGAGACCACTCTGGCTGTCCTTGAGCGCATCAAAGTCCATGAGCTGGTCATCGCACACGCTCTTGGGGAGAATGGGTGTCGATGAACCGCCAGGAATGACAGCCAGGAGGTTGTCCCACCCACCCTTGACACCACCGCAGTGCTTGTCGATGAGCTCCCGTAGCGGGATGGACATCTCCTCCTCCACGGTGCACGGGTTGTTGACGTTGCCGGAGATACAGAAGAGCTTGGTACCCTGGTTGCGCTCACGGCCAAAGCCAGCGAACCAGTCACCGCCACGGCGGCAGATGGTGGGCGCGACGGCAATGGTCTCGACGTTGGCCACGGTGGAGGGGCATCCGAAAACACCGACGGCGGCAGGGAAGGGGGGCTTGAGACGGGGCTTGCCGGGCTTGCCCTCGAGGGACTCGATCAACGAGGTCTCCTCGCCGCAGACGTAGGCACCGGCACCGCGGTGGACAAACACGTCAAAGTCGTAGCCAGAGTTGCAGGCGTTCTTGCCAATCAGGCCGTCCTGGTAGGCTTCGTTGATAGCACGCTGGAGGACAGCAGCCTCGTGGATGAACTCGCCACGGATGTAGATGTACGCGGCGGTGGCGTTCATGGCACGGCCAGCGACGAGGCAGCCCTCGATGAGCTTGTGGGGGTCCTTGCGCATGATTTCGCGGTCCTTGCATGTACCGGGCTCGCCCTCATCAGCGTTGACGACGAGGTAGCGCGGCTTGTCGTCCTTGTCCCAGTCCTTGAAGTTCATGAACGACTAGCTTTGTCAGTGAAAAGGCCCCAATCACACAAAGCTATGTTTATTGACAACGCACCCATTTCAGTCCAGAAGGGAAACCAGCACCACCGCGACCGCGCAGGCCAGACGCCTTCACCTCGCTGATGATCCAGTCGTGTCCCTTGTCCAGGATCTCCTTGGTCTTGTGCCAGTCTCCCATTCGCTTCGCGCTCTTGAGGTCGGCCGGGTATCGTCCGTACAGGTTCTGGAAAATGCGATCCTGGTCTCGCAGACCACCGTAGGTGCGCTTGGGGGTGCCATCCTGCACGGTCGCCAGACCTCTCACGGCGGTCCGTGAGAGGGTGACGGCCTGCCTGGTCGTCGCCTTCGAGGACAGCATTGTGTGCAGTGTGTTGTGCGAGCTCACGGCGGGTGGCGTCGATTGAAGGGTCGAGGGAAGAAAGTCGTGACGATGCGGCACTTGGGGAGTGGTTTCGCGGAGGTCAGAATAATGGAATGGCGCGGCTGTGATTGGTCAATGCGCTGGGCCGATTATTCAGCGCCACCGTTAGCCGGTACCTGCACAGGCACCGCCCTAGCGGGGGCGTATAAGTCATTTGCACCAAATCTGTTAGCGCAAATATCACTGATATCATGGACTTTGGCGCGTTGGGAGCTCCATGTCCTGGAACCACATCACAAAGGCGCCACCGACGGGAGCGATATCGACGATATGTCGACCGCCAAACGCCAGTCGACCGTTCCAGCTGGACCGAAACCCCCTGTTAATTTCTCTTCGACAGTCACCATTCCGAAAGACGCTGTTCTCCAGGGCACGCACTCCATCACAATCCAGTCCGAAACGCTTATCCATCCTCGTGCACGGCTCGACTCGAACCTCGGCAGCATTCTGGTCGGTCGACGCAGCATTGTGCAAGAGCGGGCCCAGATCGGCGTGGAACCTCAGAATATTGACGCTGCCGTCCCAGGCGGTGTCTCTTTGGGCGATTATGTTGTGGTCGAGGTGAACGCTGTCATTGAAGCTGGTGGCACTGAGATCGGGGACGGCTCCGTGGTTCAGGTCGGCTCACGCATTGGCAGTGGCGCGAAGATTGGAAAAGTAGGTGCAAATACAATGCCGTCGTGAGCTAAGCTGACTGGGAAGGACTGCACAATTGCCGCCAGAGCGACTGTAGCGCCAGGCACGGTGCTGCCAGATCAGACTGTGGTCTTATCGAACGGCCAACAGCGTGCCGACAAAAGACTCGCGGATGCTCGAAAGCTGAGCACTTTGAAGCAGATTAACGTCGTCAGAAAGATGATTCGCAACGATCAGGACAAGTTTAAGTGATGGGCGCTTAAGATTGTCTTAGCTGGCGCACCGTGCTGCCCTACGCAATTTGTCGACGGATATTCAGCTTCAGTCACGGGCATCACGTTCCCGCCATGCAGCGTGCGCTGTCCTCACCACATGAGGATTAAGCTATTTCTTCACATTGATACAACTCTCTCCCAAACATGAGCACAGCCTCGCCTCTACACAATCAATGCGACATGGCGTCCTCAAACAGCCGCCTCAACTGATCCTTCTCGGCCTCCAACTCCGTTTCCAAGCCAGGCGCCAGCTTGATCACACGATGCTGTGGCAGTGTGCCTTCCACGAGCGCTTCGATATCTCCATTGGAGAAACCCAGGTCCTTAATACCTTTAGGCTGGTCACCCAGGTCCGCCAAGAACTTGGTAATCGCATCGGCCAGCACCTCGCCTGCGCTTTCATGCTTCACATTCGAAATATCCACGCCAAAGGCTTCGGCGGCTGCTAGATGGCGCTCGGGGTTCGAGGGCGCTGTGAAGCGGAAGACGGCCGGCGCTGAGACCGCGACCGAGACACCGTGAGGGATCAGGTCATGGTCAATTTCGTATCCATTATGCCTGTAGCCCGGGTTCTGTCCAGAGATGGGGTACGACATGCCGTGACACAGGTGCACGCCCGCGTTGCCGAAGCCGACGCCAGCCAGTGTAGCGGCGAGGAGCATCTCGCTCTGCGCCTCGAAATCATCTGGGTCGCGAATCGCGCGGGGGAGGTACTTGATGGTGCTCTTGAGGGCATGGAAAGAGAAGACGTCGGAGATGGGGTTTGCGCCTTGATATGCCGGACGGTTGATGGGATTGGTTGGGCGTGGGGTTCGCTCGTAGTACGGGATGGCAGTATAAGACTCTAGTGAATGGCACAAGACGTCCAGTCCTGAGCTCGCCTTGACAGCGGCCGGCATTGTCCTCGTGTTGATTGGATCGCAGATACCCAGCGTAGGTTTCAGGTTGCGATGCGCGACGCCCGTCTTTGCGCGCTTGGAGACAAGGTCGAAGATGGCTGTGCCTGTGGTCTCGCTGCCGGTGCCGGCTGTCGTGGGTACGGCGATGAGAGGCTTGAGGGGCTTGTCAATTGGGCGACCCTTGCCCAGTGGTGCATTGACAAAGTCAAGAAAGTCGGCATCGGGGTAGCAGTAGTAGAGGTTCATCAGCTTGGCCGTGTCCATGACTGAACCGCCACCCACGGCGAGAAAGGCGTCCGGCCCATAGGGCTTGACCCATTCGATCGCCTCTTTGATGCTACTTCAAGTCAGTATCAAACATAGTCTCACAGAGGTATGACGTACGAATGGTCCTTGGGCTCAACCTTGACATTGCTGAAGACCCTGAACTCGATGCCCTCCCTTGTCAAGCCCTCCCGCACCTGCTTCATGGCATCCAGCTTGTCCACCGTCCTGTCCGTCACCACGCAGACCCGCTTGGCACCTAGATTCTTGAAATCCATGCCGACTTCCTTGGTGACGCCTGGACCAAATCGGATAGATGAGGCAGCCATCTCGAACGCATATTCCTTCTGCTCGGCCCCGGCAGGCGTGACATAACGACGTGTGTCCTTGAGGTGGCTGAGGAGTGACGAGGGATGCTGATTCTGGTGGTATCCGGGGTTGGAATGGCAAGGACAGGAGGGAGGGTGGGTGTATTGCACAGTTCTCAGGAGGGAAGCTGCCCGTTTGGCCGCCTGTTGATGCTGTTAGCATTGCTAGGTACGGAATCGGCTCGTGGTTGCGCTCACATTGGGCGCTATTCTGATGAAAGGGGTCGACATGGTGATAATTCAATGATGTCCCGCAATGAGTGAGTGAGTATGAGATGGCGGTAAATAGAAGAAGAAGAAGAAGAAGAAAGAAGTCGGCGTCAACGACTGGACATAACCTCGGCCGTGAGGAAAGCCATTGGAGTTGCGGGGGAGACGCATCATGACCATCGGATCCGATGCTGCATGTTGGAGACAATGTGGAGGCGCCCGAGCTAGTGAAGATCTCCCCGATCTCCCCAGCTGCATTAGACACCTGCTGGGGCGCGCCCGATCTCGCTGCCGACGGTCGGACAGCTTCATGTTGCTAGACTGCACTAAGTACTTCTCACGCGGGGCTATAATGGGGGCTCACAGTACAAATACCAATTTCATGTTGATGAATAAAAGGGACGAGCGAGTATTGGCGTCCAAGCACTAGTAGGCTTTCATCTCCGTGGCCAAGTTCGACATGTCCGCCTACCCTGTAGAGAAGGGGGAATCCCGACACGTTTACCGCTTCTACTTTTTGATCATCCTGCGGGTTCATATTTCCTCTACTACATAGATTCTATCGATGACGAATACATTGGAGGCTTTTTTTCTTCGGTCAGACTACAATCTCCTCCTTGCGTTTGGTGGGACGGCCACCGTCTTTGCCGACGTGTTTTTCTCCATTGATTTTGTTGATGGCCGGGTTTCGTGGGAAACCTTTACGGAGCGATGATCTATGACGGAAAGATACAGCTAGATATTTGTGCTCAGGACATTCTCTTTGGGGCTTTACGCGACGATTTTATTTCAAGTGGGAGATGTACCCTGGGTGCGGTGCGTACTTGCTGCTTACACGTGCCGCTTGCGGCAGGCCGACATCAATCCAGGGGTCCACTCACGAGTCAATATCCACCGTCCAGTGCACACATCCAAGCCCAGCCTCAACTTGCAAAACAACAGGTGTCGACAATCGACATGGCTGTAGTCTGTGCGACCCGTCACCAAGTGCACCGGGGGCACCTCCACAAATTCGATCTCTCAAGCGACAGGACTCGCGTGTCGCTGTCACGGGCGCACTCCTCGGCCCCTCGACACTGACCACACAGGCTGAACTTGCTGGGGTCAGATTCAGCCTCCTGTGATCACAGCAAAGCCGGAAATAGATACAATCCATCAAAATTCAAAAGCGGGAACAACAACACACCCCGCAGACAATGTCCAGTTGGCTGATACACACCGCCGTCTGAAGCGATGACTGCATGATGGGCGGGTCTCGTAGCCCCGTAAGGCTGACAGAACGTCCCTCACAACATGAACTGTGTGCGACAAGGGATCGGCATGCATAGCCATGCGCCAAAGAGGCAATGAAGCCTCCTTTCTATGGTCTGATTCATCCAATATAGTCGGCCCCCAACGCTTCCTTTTCGTCGTGGTGTTTGACGTCCTGCGCTGACGCGGCCGTCGCGTACTCGCCGGGTACCAGTTCCAGGAGGACCAGGACACGTTGAGGACGTGGAAGACATATATACATGTACCGCCCAGCGCCAGCAAAACGCATTTTGATCCCACTAGGATATTCACCATTCCAACCCATCTCATAGCCGTTCACCCCCACTTTTGGACAGACCGACCATGTGCGAGAACGACGTCAACAAGAGTCTGCGATGCATTCTGCTCGCGCTCTATGTCCCGACCCTCACGCTGTGTATTGTACACAGTGTCATTTGGGTCGACTGTCCTCTGCCGGCCGTGGGCATCATCCCCGCGACATTCTCTTTCATCTCGTCAGCGGTCCTCCTCCTTCACGGGCGGAAACGCCGCAGTGGTGAGGGCGCCATCGCACTGCCACTGGGGGGCAACCTCTTTGCCCAAAAGGCCAAAGTGAACCCTTTGTTCCTCTTCCTCACCGACGCCACGATTGGCGTGCTGACCATCTTGATCCTATGCTTGACATGGGCGCTCTATCCTTGGCACACTTGGGATGATGAACCTGCGAGAGGTGCTGTGGCTGCCTACGCTACACAGCCTTTGATTGCGACCTTGTGAGTATAGTCCACTGTTTCTGCAGAGTCGTTCGACCTGACCACCGTGTCCCTAGCCTCATCCACACCTGGCTCGCCGGCAAGAGCTTCATCACCGTCGTCAATACGATCGGCGGCCTGTGGGCCAAACCAGTGTCTGCTGTCTGCCCTCACTGTCGGGACCATTACACTGCGACTCCGCCCGAGCAGCTCATGCAGCAGCAGAGGGGCGTCAGCGCCACGGCTGGCGATGCAGAGGCACAGCCGTTGTATCGCGATGCCAGCTTCGACGCTGACGCGGCAATCCGCCCTGACGCCAACGAGACAGACAGCCCCAAGTCCTAAAGGAACTGTAAAGACGACTGGATTGGCGGGATGAATAGTTGAGCTCAGTGACAGGCAGTGTGGCAGACGAATAGGCGTGAGGGGCAGGCTTTGAGACTTGGTATGATGCGCTCTGGTTGAGTCTGTAGATCTATGCGTACAGACGAAAGTTCAAGATGTTAAATCTAGGCGACCATGTCGCAACTTGCCGTGCAGGCTACAATCCAGACATACACGCAGGGGTCTGATACCTGACAAATACTTCATTACGTCGAGGCAGAGCAGAGCCAAGCTATCAGGCAGCAGCGGACGAGGATTGCCGTGCCGACATCCAATAGATTCAGTATGAATGCTTGGATGAGTTGAGTGCATCATTGTGTTGCTGACCCCGAATGCCGACAGGATCAACTATCAAGATTCAAGACCGAAGCCGAGAGCCGAGCTGACAACGTCAAGCGACATGCCCGAACTCAACCCTCCTTTGTCAGAAAGTATATATTGAAGGAAATGCCTTCACTATTCTATACCAGTCAACCTGCTTCTTCTTTAGCAATATCACTGCCTAAAATGCCTCGTATCCGTGAGGTTCTCCCCAAGTGGCGCCTCGGGCGATGGCCTACCGGGCCACACAATTCACTCACAGATGTCCCCGGGGTACTCGTCCATACACAATCACTACACTCAGATGAGCACAGCGACACAAACACCGGGGTGACGACCATCCTCCCGCGTAAGGACTGGGACAAGTATTCCTCATTCGCAGGTTATTTCACCTTCAACGGCGCCGGCGAGATGACATCCTCCCACTGGGTGCACGAAACCGGCATCCTGTCCAGCCCCATCGTCTTGACGACCACTTCTGCGATCGGAGACGCATACAGGGGCGTTCTCGAGTATTGCTACAAGCACTGCCGCGGCGAGGATGGCGAGATGGGTCTGCCCATCCTGCCCTGTGTGGCGGAGACCTTTGACGGCTTCCTGAACGACCAGTCTCTGTTCGCGGTGACACCGGCGCATATCATGGAGGGCATTGCGTGTGCATCCTCCGACCCCGTCCCCGAGGGAAACACAGGTGGCGGGACGGGCATGATCTGCCACCGTTTCAAGGGCGGCACAGGGTCCAGCAGTCGCACCGTCAAGGGTTTCGACCTCAACGGCGATGAGAAAGCGTACACTGTTGGCGTGCTGGTCCAGGCCAACTATGGATCGGCCGAAACGCTACACATTGGCGGCGTTCCCGTGGGGCAGATCATCCAGGACGAGAACAAGGCCAAAGAAGACTTGGCCCGCACTCCGAGGAAAGACGGCAGCATTATCGTCGTCATCGCCACGGACTGCCCCCTCCTCCCTATCCAGCTCCAACGACTGGCGAAGCGTGCCACTGTCGGGCTGTCCAAGGTGGGCGGCTATGGAAACAATACGTCGGGAGACATCTTTCTCGCCTTCAGTACGGGGAACAAGATCCCCCATCACGAGATGAGCATGGGTGGTGGAAATATGGTGAACCCGTACGAGCCGGGGCCGATGCAGGTGAGCATGAGCGACAATGATACGGTGAATGGTCTCTTTGAAGCCGTGGGCGATGCGACAGAGGAGGCCATCTACAATGTGCTTTGCATGGCGGAGAGCATGACGGGGTACAAGGGGCGGCACGTTGACGCGCTGGATCTGGACAAGGTGAAGAGAATTGTTGAGCCGAGATTAGGGTGAGCGACTGCAGAGGGGGGGAGCATTTGCTCCACGAAGAAAGACTGTGCGAAGCATGTACTTGCGCAGCCCAAGAGTTGCCCACTAGTCAATACGCCTACCTTGACCAGAAGGAAATGCTTCCAAATACTTGTGTTCCTCAACGGCCAAACCGGCTGCGTCGGTCGAGCATAGCAGAAGATCGAGGATGAGGTAGGGCATAGCGAAGCTGTAGCTGACATGGAGGGACTGCATACGTGTGCACTGGTCGTGACGGCTCTTTGTCGACCCAAGACAGGAAGTCGTGTTGGCTGATAAAGATGCATCGGAGACAGGAGAGGCTCCTTGTCCGTAATTATCCGAAAGCGCTGCTTCTGGAATCTGGACGCGCCGCAGACTGGACATAAGCACTTCATCGTGGCGCGGTGCCAGCGGACCGACGGTCGCGATGGTGTGACCGATCTGTCATCGTCGCAATCGACGCTCTTGTGTCATTACAGTTGTTCATGAAGTGCGTATGCACTCGGTGTGGTCGGGAGGAAAAGCTTCAAGACTCAAAAATCGAACGTGAGACGCGAGCGACAGCCGCAGGTGCGAGGTGCGAATGCGAGCAGTTGTACGTAAGGTAGGGCTGAGGGGAGCGAGGATTGCGCTATGCCTGAATAGTCGAATCACGAGTACTACGTAGTAGTAGTAGTCATCGCTTATCCCATCTGCAAGTTGCAACACACGTCCGAGTGCGAGCCTCAATTTGTCACTCGCATTGGCTGGTGCTAGAACGACCGCAGCATGTATCCGACCATGCTTGCACGGTGTCATCAAATGACATCCGTGATTGACGAACAGCAGGTAATACCGATAAGACATATATATATATATATATATACAAGGACCAGACCCCAGGGCCCAGTGCAATCACTGCAAGATAGTCAAACAATAGCACTTTCATACCATCCAACAAAAAGCCCCTAATTCAGTATGCCTTTCAAAGTTATCGTTGCTGGCGGTGGCCCAGTAGGCCTCACAGCCGCCCACGCCTTGCACAGGGCCAACATCCCCTTTACTCTTCTCGAGATGCGGGACCGGCCTGCCATTGACGCCGGCTCCAACCTCGTCCTCAACAGTGTTGGCCTTCGCGCCCTGTCTCAACTAGGGTTGTTCGACGAACTGTGCAAAGTCAGTTCAGAGCTCAAGGACATGAACCGCATGGACCACAATGGCAATGACATTGGCGACGTCAACTGGTTCCACTATGAGCGCGAGAAGTAAGTCCAATCTGGTCGATCTCCCGAAGCAGACACTAACGACCAACCAGCTTTGGTACCTGGCCTCGTGTCATCAGCCGTCGCGATCTTACCCATACCTTGTACAACATGCTTCCCGAAGCCGCGAAAGCCAGCATACTCTGCAACAAGAAGGTCTCGAACGTCGAATCCACGGACTCTGGCGTCCGCGTCCACTGCGCAGACGGCTCGATCCACGAGGGAAGCATCATTGTCGGTGCAGACGGTGCCCACAGCCCGACCCGTCGCAGCATGCGCACGCTCGCTGCCGAACACAAGTCTTCAGATGTCAACGAGGAGCAGCCCTTCCTGACTACCTTTCGCTGCCTTTGGTTCCGCTTCCCAGGCCAAGCAGTACCAGACCTCACGCTAGGTACGACGGCGGAGTGCCACGGTCCAGGAGCCGCCACGCAGCTTTTTGTCGGCGAGACGACTGCTGTCACGGGCGTCTACGAGCGTCTCCCCAAACCGAGGCGTGAACGCATCCGCTTCACGAAGGAAGACGAGGAGGCTATGGTTGCGAAATGGAGTCACCTGCCCATCGCGAGGGGCAAGCAGAGCCACTTGACCCTGGGTCAAGCGTACGCCACATGTACCGACTCGGGCCTCGTCACCCTCGAGGAGGGCGTCCTCAAGCACTGGCACTGGAACTCGCGCATCGTGCTGGTCGGCGACGCGGCGCACAAGTACACCCCGTCCCTGGGATCAGGATGCAACCATGGCATCGTCGACATCATGGCGCTTGCCAATGAGCTGCACAGGCTTCCCGCCGAACCGTCCGAGTCCGCGCTCGCCTCTGCCTTTGGCAAGTATCAGGACACCAGGCGGGACAGCACGACGCAAGGGTGCAAGGAAAGTGGTGTCGCGACCGACGCGGCGACCTGGGGCTCCGGTGTGGCCAAGATTGTGGATCGCTGGGTGATTGCCAACACCATGGCGCAGAAGTGGTTTGCGAACAAGGGCGCGGAGAAGACAGCGGCGACGATTGTGTTTGATTACATCCCTGGGGAGGAGAGGATGATTGGGAAAAAGACCTGGGTGAACGCGATACCGACGCGTGTAGAGGCATAAGGTTTGCTGGCCTGCGATTGAGACCTGTACTATAGAAGGAAAGGAGTTTTTGAGCGCTAATGGGTTTACAATAATAATTCAACTTTGTGTATCATAAGAAAAGCAAACAAGCCAGGTGAAATGTGTTTGCTGGATTTGGTTGTTGGAAGGGGGAGCAGGCTGCAGGCCTGTCTGGAATCAGGTATCCCCCCACAAGGCCTTGTTAGCAGCGCCGTTGCAGCGACAGGGTGCGCTCAGCAGTTCAATCAAAACCGCGTCGGGGCTTCCCTTGGACGCATAAGTTGGGACATAGATAATTACTATATCTAGATAACTGTTTACATCCCTAACTTAGATTTTGAGAGATCACGTAGCTCAATCTATGACTAACGCTGTCTGCCAGGTATCGCGTTCCGGGTAGGCTAACCGCTCATGGACACCAAACGCAAGGCGTTCCAGCTGGGCGCCACATGCTCCAGCCTCCCCAAGCAATTGGGGTGGCAGTGACCGTGGCAGTGGCACCCGACATGGCCATAGCCCCCAGAGAGCTACGTAGCTCGAGCACCACCACTCCCAGTCGCTGCCGAACCAGCATCTTAGCAAGCAAGCAGCACGACGACATGCCCTTGGGGCCGACCAAAACACCAAACGCCCCTTGATGACCGACCCGACCTGAGCCCACATGGACCGCGGCAATGGCGCCGGTCCTCCTGGAGGTCCCAGCAGGGCCGAGCGATTCGAGGACGAGAAGCGGCGCATCATCGAGACGTGCTTCAACAAGAAGGACCCCGACGGCTCCCTCCAGGAGACCTACATCACACACATTCGCATCGTCGAGTTCTCGTCCCACCCGGCGTCACCACCGCCCGCCAACGCGCGCGCCCCCGAGGCCGAGAAACCACGCGTCATCATCATCGCGGTGCGCAAGTCCGGCCGTGTGCGCATGCACAAGTCCAAGGAGAATCCAAACGGGACCTACTCCATTGGGAAGACGTGGAATCTCGATGACCTGACCCGGATCGAGTCGTACACGGCGCCCAATGTGCCATGGGAGCACAGAGAATCCGCGGGGGAGACGGGCTTCCTGGTCTCGCTCGGGAAGCCGTACTTTTGGCAGGCCCAGAGCGACAAGGAAAAGAAATTCTTCATTGCGTCCATGATCAAGATCTACGGCAAATACACGAGCGGAAAGGTGCCCGAGCTGGTAGGCTTCGATCAGAAAGAGCTGGACCAGGTGCTTGGGGCTGGCAAGCGATATCCCCCTCCTCTGCAGCGGCAGCAGACCAACCAGACGTGGAGCGCCTCCTCCGTTGCGACAGCTGTCGCCCCTCCTTCTCTGCAGCGACAGCAGAGCAACCAGACATTCGCCTCGTCCGCCGCGACAATCGCGCCAGATGCCTCGAGCCCAGTGCCCTCGGCCCTCACGCCAGGGCAACCCACAAGCCAGCCGCCCAGTCAAGGCCAGCCGCGCAGCCGCAGCCGCAGTCGTGGTCCCTCGCCTGGCCGCGGCCCGCCCCCATCGATCGCTGGTGAGCCACCCTCGAGGCCTCAGCAGTGGACGCCGCCGATTCGAAACCCGGCTGGTGGTGATGGGTCACCCGCCGGCAGCATTGACTCTACCACCTCGAGAGAAAGACCTGGTATCCGTCATGGCAATCCCAACAGCCGTAGCCAAGAGTCTGTTGCGAGGTCGTTCGTAACGACACGAAGCGAGGATGTGCCCAGCATACCACCACGCTCACGCAACGGGATACAGGGCCCCGGTGCGTCTGGCCGCTTCGGGGATCCGTCAGAGCCTCCCACGCAGCCTCTACCTACCCCCCCTCAGCAGGGTCAGGGTCCATCTCAGCCACGATCACAGTCATCGCTAGCCGGGTCCAGGCCAAGGACCCCCCGTGAAGAGCAGCCCTCCGCACCTGAGCGTCGAAGGCCACCAATGGACCCCACGCGTCCACAAGACCGTGATCTGGTACCGCCACCTTTGTCGGCCAAGAGGGATGTAGCTGGCAGAGAGTCTCCAGCGCGAGACACGCCACCACGAGCCTCGACACCTAAGGACCCGGTGGCACCCCCTCCGCGCAGTAGTGAGCGCATGTCACCGAGGAAGGACTCCTTGAGCTACAGGCCCGGCACCGCGACTTCCCTGGCAAGCACAATCCAGGACCGCAGCACTCCACCTCCATCGTTCAGCCCGGCACCCAAGGCTGAGTCTCCTCGGCCAAGGGAGCCTGTGGCATCACCGCCAGCACCAGTGACCTCGCCCGAGCCGGAGGGGGAAAACCCAGTCAAGACTGAGGCGTCAGCTCCTTCAACACCACTGAGCGAGCCCATGTCACCACCAGAACCGCCGCCTGTGCCGGAAGAGGAAGCACGGCCTGGTCTTGGACCCATGATCAAAGCCAAGAGGTCAAAGGGTGAGATTGCCGGCGCATTCCGCAAAGCGGCGTCGGCTGCCGCCATGGCCAATGCATTCAAGCCGCGCCCAGGAGGCGCTGGCGAGAGGCTGCGTCAAGCTGCGCAACAAATGCAGAATAAAACGTCCGACGAACCCGACGGCATCACTGGCGTCGTCCCTGCGCCGCCGAAACCAGTAGTAGAGAGACCCAAATCAAGAACCGAGCGCGAGGCCACTCCTGAGCCTGTCCCTCCCCCACGAGCACCGCAGCGTACCTCCAAGGTCCCCGAGGTCAAGATATCGGTGCCGACCTCCAGCAGCCGACCGCCAAGTCAGCAGGGCCCCGGCAAGGAACAGCCCAAGGAAGCTGTTGCAGTGCTAGAGCCCCAGCCACCAAAGCCCCCGCCGCGTAAGTCGCTGGTCGCCAGGCAAGACGCGAAATACCTACAAAGCTTGGGCATCGACCCGATTGTCCTGGACGGTCGGAGTGAGGAGTTTGGGACCTGGCTTGACCACTTTGGCTGGATCCCTGGCCAGCAGATGCAGTCCTGCAACATGGAGGAGATGCAATTTGATTTGGAGCGTGAAATCAACAAGGCCCAAGCTGGTGGTTGGCTGGCCCGCTTCCAGGATGAAGACGACCGCGTCGACGCAATCAAACTCGGGATCGATGTCGCCATCTCCGAGTGTGAGGAGTTGGATAACCTTCTGACCCTGTACTCGGTGGAACTATCCACCCTGTCCGAGGATATTGCCTACATTGAAGCGCAAGGTCAAGGTTTGCAGGTGCAGACGGCCAACCAGAAGCTGCTCAAGAAAGAGCTCGAATCGCTCCTCGAGACATGCGCCATCACCAGCACGGATCTCGACCCTCTACGCCTTGCGCCCATCGACCACCTCCGCGGTCTGGAGGACGTTGAGCAGGCATTGGTCACGTTGTACAGGGCCATGGCCAAAATGGACGGAGCACACAGTCTCAAGGCTAGTCCCACCACGGCTCCTGATGGCAGTGGGCTCAAGTCGGACTTTGGCGATATGCGGATCGTGCAGGAGAAGAAGGAGATGTACATCCAAGAGAGCTCCAGCTTTATTCGTCGTCTACTTGAATTCATGCCTCAGCAGTACGACCAGGCATTTGCCGAGACAAAGCGAGCCATGGAGGGCGCCCTATCGAAGAAGGCCGACGTAGCTCACCACGACGCGGGGCGAGACATGCTGTGGCGGTACAATCCTCTGATGCTCTATACTCGATTCGCCGAGCGCGGCAGCTGGGACGCCCTGATTGCCATGTACCAGGAGAAGGGGGCGCCCATTTACAAGAACGAGTTCTTGACGGTCATTATGAGCTGGAAGAAGAATGCCCGCAAGATAACCGGCGGGGAAGCCGAGCTCCTGTTCACGTCGCAGAGCGAGAAGCAACAGGAGAACGTGGCGACGGCGGCGAGAAAGGCAACCGTCAAGCGAAGCCAGACGCTGGCACGAGCCTGGCGATCGCCTCTGGCCGATGGCAACAGCAAGGGAGAGCGTGACAAGGCCGCCAACGATGGGCGAAGCTTCCCTTACGAGGTGTTTGCCGGCGTGTTGGATGACCTGCTCCCACTCGTCGAGATGGAGCAGAACTTTATCATTGACTTTTTCCACGCCACGACACTCGAGCAATCTGACTTTCCCGATTGCGTGGCCGCCGTGAAGCCTCGCGACCGTCGCGGCGGTGACTTGAGGCGCCATCGCTTGATGGAGCCTGACCGCGACCTGGCCAAAAGGGTCACGCGCGCGATGGATGTCATGTTTGCATTCCTCGATTCCGAGTTCACGAGGCTCATGGAATGGGTTATTGGGCAGGACCCCATGTACGTGCAAAGGATGCTTCATATCGATTTACACTAACTTTGTTGTTTAGGCAAGGCATTGGTGTCATTGTGACTGTGGAGAAGAAGCAGGCCGAGATCTCCCAGTCTAACCAGGACTTCCTCAACACCATCTTCCAGAAGCTGCACGGGCTCCTCAAGGGCCGACTACGCAAGTTTGTGGATGACCAGGTTCGCGCGATTGAGGATACCAAGGTCAAGATCAAGAAGCGCAAGGGTGTCATCTCCTTTATCCGCGTCTTCCCCAACTTCTCGACCGCCGTGGAGAATATGCTGGCGGGCGTCGATACGACGCTGCCCATCCGGAAGACGATTGACAATGAGTACGACCGCATGCTCAAGTCCATGTTTGACTCGCTCAAGGTCATTGCGCGCGAGAATCCCGCCGTCGGTGTCTCGACGGGTGGTGCGGATCCCGAGGACAAGGAAGCGCTCAACTTCCACATTCTCCTGATTGAGAACATGAACCACTTCCTCGAGGAGACGGACACGCGCGGTCTCGAGACGCTCGAGACGTGGAAGACCAATGCCGAGACGGAGTACCACGACCACATGGATCTCTACCTGGCCGCCGTCATGCGTCGTCCGCTGGGCAAACTCCTCGATCACCTCGAGAACATTGAGGCGCAGCTGCAGTCTGGCAAGGCACCCGTTGCCATTGCCGCGCAACCATCCAACTCCAAGAGCATCTTCAACAAGGTCCTGGGCCAGTACGATGCCAAGGAGGTGCGCAAGGGCATCGAGGCGCTGCGCAAGAGGGTGGACAAGCACTTTGGCGACGCGGACGATCCGGCGCTCAGTCGCGACCTGGTGGCCAAGGTGCTGCGGGAGTGTGAGAGGTTCTACGGGGATGTGGAATCGAGACTTGGACGAATTGTCACGGATATCTATGGGGGAGATGTCTTGTTTGAGTGGCCGAGGGCCGAGGTCAAGGCTGCATTTAGGTGAGGTGGCTTGGGGCGTAGCATAAAATATGTACAACATGAGATGGAATGAGTCACGAGCGATGAGTAAGTAGTTGGCGTCTGGCAGAATGTATAAGGCTGTCTTGTCTCTGTTTCGTGATGATGAGTGAGAGTGTTGTGGAGATGGTGCGTCATGCGGGACGCGGACGCGCCCTTCCATTTAAGGTACGTACCTTACCTTGCTTTACGCGACAGACGCGTCCAACACCAAGAAGACCCTTGTGATTCCGCCACGCCACTTCACTTCACGGTGCAGAGTCCAGACCACTCCGTCCGTACAACTGTCAAAAGACCTTTCTATATCTCATCGTTCAGACAACACTTTAAACGATTATTGACCGATGTAAACCAACAACCATGCCGCCATCGACCCGCTCAGGCGGTAAAGCCCCTCCTTCGCGTGTCTACCACTCGACGCCGACCCTCAAGCAAGTGCAGTTCCCAGCGCGACGACGCGTCGTGAAAAGCTACAGCACGAAGAAGACTTTGCCCCGGCACGATGAGCTCCCCGATAGTGAAGGCGAGGAACCCGAGGACGAGGAGGAGGCCGAGGAAGACAAAGAGAACGGTGGTGCCAGCAGCAGCAGAAAGCCAAACAGAGCCCCGACAAAGGGGAAACAGAGAGCAGGACTGAGGGACCCAAAGCAGAAGACACTCACGCAGATTGATTTTGTGTCGAGCAGCAGTCTGTCGGATGTTCCGCTCTACGCAATGTCAGAGTCGGAGCCGCCGACGCCTCAGAAACCCGTCGTGAGCGCCAAGGGCAAGAAGAAGACCAAGACCACCGCGAAAGCAAAGACGACAGCGACTAGAGCGAAAAGGCGGCGTACAGTGGGCGGCGAGGCTGAAGAAGAGGAAGAAGATGTGTCCGACAAGAAAGGCAAGGCCAAAGGCAACGGCAAGAGGAGAAGGACAATGGGCGACACACCCTGGCACACGCAGACACTCACGCAATTTTATCCGCGCGATGCTGTTGTTCAGGACTCGGAGGACGATGGGGGGTTCGATGATTGGCTGGCGGACAGCCCTAGTAAGCCGAAGAAGGCGGGCAAATCCCCGAGAAAGGTCGATTTGGCAGAGTACGACGCGGATCCGAGTGAACCACCTAGACGACATGCGTCCGCGTTGAAGACCAAGAAGATCACATGGACCAAGGACCCATCAGCTTCTGCGGCGGAAGGCAAAGGACCTGAAACTCCAAGTAAAAGAGTGCGTCCAGAGAGTTCTGCTCCAAGTCCGGCTTCCGTGCCTAGGTCGATAGAGCTTCTGTCGCGGTACGGAGCCGCGAATGACAAGCCCACCCCTAGCAAATCGTCGGGTGTTATCAGGGAACTCGGGTCACAAGGGACGGTGAGAGTGGGAAAGATGGTGATCGAGGACTCGTTTGGCACTGCGAGCTGGGACTCGCCGGTGCGCCCTGTCGGTACGCCCCTGAAGGATATCACGGAGGATGTTGTGGGCGAAATGGCCAGCCCGTCGAGAGGACGGGGCAAGAGACGTATGGCTCTTGGAACACTGGATGACGGGCGAGAGTCCAACAAGGAGAACCAAAGTGTGAAGAGCGACAAGGATGATGAGAGTGACATGGGCATCATGATGGAGATTCCTGATTCAGATGAGGAGGGGGACTTCTCCGAGGGAGACGACACCATTGTCCCTGGTATGCACCAAGCCGAACCTGAGGTGCATCATGAGGAGACGCTGGAGAGATCTGAGGGGGCTCAAGGAGCATCTGCGGGCAACGATTCCGATGGAGGCGTTGCCCCGTGTGATCAAGCGCCCGTAACAGAGCAAAAGTCCGAAGGAGAGAAAGCTGCAACCACAAGCACCCAGGGTCAATCTGCCGAGGCGGTTGATGCCTTTGAAAGGACGTCGAGCGAGGTAGCTGAAGTTTCTCAACCTCTCGCGGCCGACATCTCGCAATTCCCTGGGGAAGAGCTCCACGCAGAGCAACGCAATCTTGAATGTCTGGTTGAGAGCACCTCCGAGCTAAGCAGTGCGCCTCCCACCGAGGAACTCCAGCCAGAGCAAGGAACCACCACCCGTATGCCGCAATCGCCTACCGAAGCACCACGAAAGACACCCAAAAAGCTTCAGGTCACGATCGACGACAACCCTGTTGAGATCCAACAGCCCCTCTTTGTCGACGACAGCGAGGACGACGAAGATGAGGCCGCAGACGACGGCGATTACAATACCGGACTCGAGAAACAGCATGCCCTGGACGAGCTGGCCTCATCCACGGACGACTTTGCCAAATCCCAATCCTCCCGCGAGCCCAACTCGACAGGCCAGCAGCCTCAGCACTCTACGCCGCCCACCGAGACATCCTTCCAGACACCGGCTAGAAGACTACGCAAGCCTCTCGGCGCGGTTTCACCCGGCAGCCTGACCCAGCCTCTTGAGTCGCAGCGCATACCACGCAACATCATCCAGGCTCTGGTGGGCGAGCCAGATACCACAACGGATGTTCTCATTCCTCTCCCCGACACACAGCTCGCCGCACTCATATCTGGACACTCACTGCACGTGTCTTTCCCTTACAGAGTGCCCGTGACTATCCAGAGGCTTTGGTTCTTGAGCGATAACCTGCTTCGCTACGGCGGTATTGCGCACCCTCATGACGAGACTGTCAACGCAAGCGGGGAGAAACAGTATCGGTACTACATCAGTCAAGTCGTTGAGCTGAATAATCCGCACGATGAGGAGTCTCTGCGCCACGAGGAATGGATTTTCGGGCCCATAGGACGGTATCAGTATCTGCAGCCGGGACCCATCCAGTCCATCCTCGCCAATCTCCAACGGGCACTGTTCAGGGACGATGCTGTGGGAGAAGCATCGGACGACGAGGACGACGAGAACGAACAGCCGACGCAGGAAGTCATTGCTCCTCCAGTGTCGCCACCGCCTCCTGCTGCCAGTGGTGGTGGACCAACGTCAGCCAACAGCAGCTTCTCCATCTCCCAACAAGTCGAGGCACAGCTCATGTCTGACATGGCAACGCACACCACCAACCCGCCCTCGGATGCTGCTGCTGCAACCTCTGCTCCACCAGCCGGGGACGACGACATCCTCGTGCCCTCTACACCCCTCAAGCGCCACACGCAGCATCTCAACGCCGACAATGACACGGTGGTGCGCGCTTCACAGGCCACAACGGCTTCGCAGGCCTCCACGCCCTCGCAGACGCCGGGACGCTCGGCCAGGGCAGCCAGGACACCACGATCTGCGGCGCCGACGTTGAGACGGCCCGTGACGCAGAGTTCCGGCAGCACAGTTGCCTTCCCAGAGCTCTCGTCTCCGCCATACTTGATGAACATGTCCTCGGCAGGACGTGATGGGTCGCTACTGTTGCGCTCCTCACAGCTACTGACTAGAAGTCAGATGCTGCCCGACAGCTTGATCAGGGGGGACGACAGAGCGCCACCTGTGATATGGGATTCGGATGGCGAAGGATCTTGAGATTGGCTACGTCGAGTACCTTACATTACGCGAAACGACCATGAGAACTATTACATAGCATAGCGATATATATGAATAATATGTGAGACACATTCACGCAGTATACACATGACACAATAGAAATAACGCCGATATTGATGATCAACGCCGATGATGCTTGCAGTCTAATGTTACGAGTGACCGGTGACCACCACCTACTACTAAAAGCGACACAAGTAGGCGTCCATGCTCCCGCCTAAGAGACATAAACCAACCCTTCTAGAAAAAGGGCCATCATTACGACAGAATCAACCTGACGCCTTACTGTGCCTTCAAATGCTATTCCATCGCGCCAGAAACCCTTGGGCTTGATCTTTCTGGCATTCTCCGCCGCTCATAATTGCCTCTGCCGAGGTGTCTGTCTCACCGCTGCTTCCCCTCCTCGCTTTCTCAGCAGCGCTTACGCTGCGATGGCGCATCTCATACGCCTCTGCTCTCATCCTCAATTTAGGACAAGTGGAATGCTCCCTGTCCCTCCTTCATAGCTGTTGTGAGTTGTTTTCTCATAGCTTCTAGGCCACTGTAATCCGGCAGCTTCAGGTAGTTGACGCATGTCATGACGCTAGGCAGGTAGTCGTCGGATGTGTATGGCTCCTCGCTGGGCTTGCGGACGACTGTGAACATTGGTGTAAGGCTCTTGAAACCTCCGATAGGCAGCTTGGGGCTGCCCGTGGTGAATTGCAAGAAGTCGCGACGTTGCTCGACCGTAAACTCGCTCATCAAGTGCAAGAGATTGCGCACACTGGCGCTGTCCATGTTGTACCCGTGATCGGCTTTCATCGAGTCCAGGAGGGCTGCAGGGAAAAAGGTTAGCTGTCGATTCTACTCTCCTGTCAGGTGAATCACTTACTCTCAAGCGACCAGTCTTCGTCGGCCTTGCCAAACAAATTGACCAGCTCGTCTGGCGTGAAAGCACTAAGTGCCGAATAAGGGAAGACCGCTGAGAATCCAGCACGGAAGGCATCGACTTGTCGTCGTACGCCAGATTCCAAGGTGACATCAACTACCTTTTCGAGGTAGGACTCGACGTTGTCGATGGTGACACGCTTCTGGGACCCACCCTCCTCTAATTCGATGCCGGGGTAGCCAGGGAGCGTAAAGTCGAGGCATAGATCCTCGAGACGGACCCCATCAATGGTAAGTTTTTCCAGGTCCGCCACCTTTTGCGCAGGCGCGCGGCTTGGATCCTCGTCAATCTCCTTCTTAGCTAGTGCGAAGTTCTTGATAGCCATCAAGGAGCGGGCCAGGCCAGCATCTACCATCTTGACGGAGGCCAAAGAAGGCTTCACGCCAGAGGACGTAGTTTCTCCAATACGGAAGAAAACTGGGTTGAAATGTATGTCGATAATCCGTGAGTCAATCATCGATCGGGCGACAAACTTGCCAAGAGTCTTGAACAGGTGAAGAACGCGCTCGCCATTAGGGGTGCTCAATTCGCTCTCACTCAAGGGTCGAGGGAAGAGACCAGCTGGGCCTTGTACAAAGTCAGACGATTCGTGTGTGTCTGAATCGCGCCACAATGTGAGCTTCTTCTTCGAGAACTCCCGCGATACGGTAGAGTAGAATTCAAGAGTAGGTCCAAGGCCCGTGCCCACTTCTTCGAAATACTCTACTTCGAGGATACTCTGTGATGCGCCGTACAGATCCATGACCTTGATGGCAGCCTCGAGGATCATGCCACGAGATATACGCACCTTCTGACGCTGCATGCGACCCAAGGGGGGGCGATCGTTCATGCGATCCCGCCGGTTGTCGTTGTCGTTAGCTTGGGTGCTTTGCCATTTGGCCATAGATCGAGCATATCCAAAGGATGTAGACTGCAAGAACAAATGACGCGTCTCAAAGGGGAAAAGGAATGGGTAAAGGCGCGCCAGATCCTCGGACCACCCCGGGAGACAGTTGCTCGCCACGATAAGGGGTTCTTCAAGCTGCCGGTTGAGTTTCGCCGTCAACTTTGTGTTGACAAATTGCGAAAGCGGTTCACGTTGAAGGTCGATGGTCGTGCCGCGGTTCTCCAGGAGCACATCCTCGACATTCGCATTCAAATCGTGCAGAACGTTGAGCAGCTGCAATATGGAGTTGGTTGTTGGATACTTTGTGAGCGAGGCCGGCAGTCCACCCTCTGAACAGCCGGATTGCGTGGATGATTGGGGTTCTCCAGGCGGTGGCGGTCCAGGTACCTTCTTAAAGCTGATCGTGAAAGTAGACGACCACAAACTGCGGCCTACACCAGGCTGTTGTGGGTTCTGGCTGGCCGTGACGGAGTTGTGAACTGCACGGTATACAGTCATCCAATTGGGCAGCGTCTTCCCATCTAGGGAGAACTCAATGTACCAGTCATCGGGCGTAGACTGCAAAGCGGATGCATAAGAGGCCCTGGCGGCCGAGCTTGCAGACGGAGAAGGCGTGCCTCGCGCGCCGCCCTGCGTGCTGGCTGACCAAGGGAACGCAGGGCGAGCGGCAAGATCCTGGGGCGCTCGGGGTGTTGGAACACGACTTCCGCTTTCCTTGCGCGCCGTCACCTTGCCACCAGTAGCGACCTCGACGTTGACAGCAGACGGGTCTTGCGCAGGCACATCGTCGTCTCCGTCTTCGTCGTCCATTTCGTCTTCCAGTTCGCCGACCAGCGCATCAAGAGCATCATCGTCTGCCATGCTATCGTCCTCGTCATCAGTCAATTGCTTCTCGTCCGCACACTCGAGGGTATCTTGCGGTCTGTCACCGTCGGCGGTAGGTGGCTGCGCAGTGTGGGCTCCTTCAGTGGCAGGCTGCTGACGCGATGAGCGTCTGGCGTTGCCAAGGGTGCCTGTAGGCGTCTCGTCTCCTTGAGCGGCAGGGCGACGGTGTGCTTTGCGCGAGGACTTTGCCGGAGTCGAGGTGGACGTGGATCCGGGCGCAGGTACGGGTGGAGGTGGCGGAGGCCCAGCTCCGGTAAGGAGAGCTGAACCGAACCCCATGCCAGCAAGTCGGCTATCGGCAGAAGCACCTGCATAGGGCAAACCGCCCGCACTCGCCATGGCCGCAAGCGCGCGACTGAGATCGTCACGGCGCGCGCGGTGGCGATCTGAAACTGGGACTATTCGTGGCCGCAGGTACTCCTCCAACGATTTGAGCGTCGCAATAGCTTGAATCGTGACCATGATGTTGCGGTAAGGTTTCGGAATATCAGATTCATCATCCGCGGTCAGACGAATCCGGATCTGTTTCCCAAGCATGGACGCTGGGTTACTGCGGTTTCCGTCGAAAGCATTCTGATGAACTGTGAGAACTTCAAAGTGCTCTGACCTACTGAGCAAATCTTGAAGCTTGTGGACCATGATGCTGAAGGGGGTGACAGGTGAATCAGCCGTCGCAGTTTTAGGCCTCGATCGCACATTGTAGCCCATGAACACCTCCAAGAAATTGGACTGAGCCTCACGCGTCAGATTCTGGTCTGGATTGCTGAAAATGGCCAGCAAAACACGGACAAGTCCAGAAGCAAGCAACTCGGCGCTCGTAATGCTCTCCAAGACGTTGGAGTCGAAGTGAGATGCAAGCTTGTGTAAGAGCTCTTTACCCCGAGAAGGCCTCAGATCGCTCGCCGTCCTGTTGACGTAGAACGACTCCAGATCACCAGCGAGACTAGTGAGATCGCCAAGGATTTCATTGGCCTTCTCCTTGTCTTGCTTGACTGCGTCCTGCCGTTCATGAGTTTCCACAAACTTCTTCGCCGTCTGACGGATGACGTCCTTGAGCGACCGGGCATTCAGTGCCGGGTGCGCAATCGGAGGGTCCACGGACATGGTCGATGCTCGAGAACTACGCTGAGAACCGCCATCCATGTGTCGCTCTTCAGGGTCCTCTTCGTCGTCGTCGTCCTCGTCCTCGTCGTCCTCGTCCTCCTTTCCGTCTTCATCCTGGTCCTCGTGGTGATCCTCGTCGCCGCCATCGTCGTCGGAGGTGTCTTCGTCGGCCGCACTATTGGTCGAGTCGTTCATCACCTGATCCTCCCTGTGACCTTCATTCGATCTCTGAGCACCCGTTCGATCGCCCTGTTCAGACTTCGCCTTGTTGGTGTCTTCTGGTACTTCTTGGTTGGCGAGAGCTGTGATCTCGGAGAAAACGCCCTCTCGATAAAATTGATATCGATAAATGCTCCCCAACCTATTCAGAAGAAGTTCGGCGCCTTGTAGTCCTAGAAGGACAAGTGCGGGATTGTCTTGTTGCGACAAGATCGAGGCCAAGAACGAAGCGTATGGGACGGGAATCAGAGCTTCGGACAGAATCGCTTGGTCCAAATTGGAAAGCATTTTGAGCTGGGCCGTAAGAACGCGCTGGCGTACCCCGAGATTGACAGTGCTGGAGTAGGCGTCGGTCAAGGTTGGGAAAAGAATAAGGGCAAATCTGCGGACCTCCGCCGGACAGCCTTTCAGCAGCTCAATGCGTTTCTCGTTGTTCAAAGCCACCTTGCGGTGACGGTGGCGAGAGCCCCGATCGGTAGTAGACGAAGTCACGATATCGGTAACCTCATTGTCGGCAGTCTTGGGCAGACTAGGCAGTAGCTCGCAGACAACATTGAGCGTCTCCAAAATCTGCTCGCGTGGGCGATGGATCAGAGCTTGCATGATGACAACGCTGTCCAGTTTGGAAGCCACATCCTCCGTGCCAGCAGGGGGCGAGACACCCGTCAGCATCTGATACACCGTGTCAACGATGTTTAGCTTGAGCAGCTCAGCCGACAAGCGGGGGCTGGCTCGTGCGGTGAGAGTGAGAACTCTCAAAAACTGAGTATGAATGTTAGACCCGACGAGGTTGGATGTTCCTGGCACTAGCAAGCGTAGGACAGCGCGAAGCAGGTCGACGCTCACGAGTTCTTCCAGTTTCTTCGGCTGGTGGCCAAACGCATCCACTATACCCGATACACATAAAGATGCTTGCTCTACCACACGCTGATCGCTGCTTCCCAGCACATTGAGAAGGGTGGGCATGACGTCCCGCACTGTCGTGAAAGAGTCATCGGGGATGTTCCGGCAACAGTTGGCTGCGATTGTTACCGCCGTCCTTTGGGTGCTTGTTGGGAAAAAGTCGAGATAGGAGAGACAGGCAGTCAGTCCGCCCTCTCGAATGATACTAGCCGGGTATTCGTAGGAAATCTTTTCGAGGGTGCTTAGAGATTGCTCAGCCAAATCAATGAACGATATCTCCAGGAGCTTTGAGCAGAGCACAGGCACGGCGCCCCCGTATACCACGTTCGCCACGCTTGCCGGCAAAGCCTCCATTAGGTTTGCAAGGCATCGACACGAGAGCAGCATGACTTCGGGGCTCTCCTCCTTGTTCATCAAAGGCACCAATTCTTTGACGAACTGATCTGGAGAGAAGTGACCGGACAGATTGTCCTCATTTGACACAAGGAGAATTTCGGAGAGCTCCTGAAGAGCAATCATCTGGACTGATAGGTCATCCTGGCGCAGATTGTTCAAAAGGTCTCTGAGGCGGGATGTGAAACCAGACATCATGCCAGTCAATGCCCTCAATGTTCCTGAAAGGCCAGCTGCTCCCGGTCCACCGAAGAAATCGATCTCATCATCGTAGCGACCGTCGTCGTCGTCATCGTCATCTCCCTCATCATCATCGCTACTGTCGTGATGTTGGCTGGGATGCGTGTCGGCCGTTGGCGGAGCTGGCGGGCCAGGACTGCTGCCCTTTTCGTCGTTCGTGCCCGTCATAGCGGTGTCTTCGTTGGATGGGTTCGTGTTTCGTTTGTTTCGGCGTGTTGAAGATGATGGACCAGCTGAGGAGCTACCTGATGTGCCTGCAGGCTTCTTGCTCCGACTAGATTTCCTACTAGATGAGCTAGACTGCGTCACCTGCTCTGATGAGTTTTGGGCCGGTGGAAAGCCACTGCTGTGTGTCAGCTCCAATCTGGCTCTGATCTGGGGCGTGACATACTCTTGGCTGTCCATTGTGCCGAGATTCTTGCCCTTTTTGCTGTTTCTCTTGGGGAGCTTGGAAGTATCCGCAGCTGCTACACCAGTTGCGGCGGTCTTTTGCTTCTTGGAGCGTCGGCCCGATGTTTCTGGATTTCCCTTGCCACTTCTTGGTGGGCTAGTCTGCTCGGTCTTCCGCTTACGGCTCGAGGCGGCTACTGAATCCGCCGGTGCGGCCGTCGCAGGCAGGGGGTTCGACTTGGCAGTCGAGGCAGTCGAGGATGGTGATTGATCTGCCTGCTTGGCTGCCTGGCGAGCCGATGATCTTGTGATTCTAGGCGACATGAGTAATCGGGCCTCGCAGAGGGCGATATGGATGTGGAAGAGATGGAACGAGAAGGCAGTGTGAGCTAGCTGGTGAAGTTGGAAAGCTGGTATACTACTGCCAGCAGTAACGCAGGCGATGCATCAGGTGCCGCCGGCAACGGCAGAGTGTGGAAGGTAAGGTGCTAGTCAGGTAGAGAAGGAGCTTGGTGCAGCAGACAATGCAGAGAAGGTCTGGCTTGGGAGATGGGGAAAACTCAAGGTTCTGCCGGTCCGGTTTGAACTGCTGGCGTGACTGACAACCAGGTGAATCAGAGCACTGACGTATCAAATGACTGGACCTTGGCCAAGGCGCTGACACACCAGTGAGCTGGGATGGGACGATGAACTTCTTCAAGCAGCAAATAGATTCCCTGATACCATCCAGACTGGAATTTGCCGCACTAGCAGGCTGTAGGATGCGAGATGGTGCATGTGCAGCTCAGGATGGATGATGGAAGGCTGGATTTTGAGTGTAGAGCCAACAATCAAGACTCACCTTTGGGACGGAGACGTCGACGCAGGTCCGATTGTGGAGGATGCTGCGGAAGGAAGGCGCACTTCGTTATCGACTGCCGATATTTGTTCTGCCATGCCCAGATTACGCCATCTGAGAGAGAAGGCACGATCGAAGCTCTCGACGGTGTGCTCGAGGACACTGTCGCTGTCGTTGTCGCTGTCGCTGCGGCCGTGTTCCCAGTCGTCGTTCGCTGGAGGACCTTTGGGTCATTCGCAGGACGGAAGGGTCGGGTTCAGCCTGCCGTTCGGATTCGAGAATGCGTTTGTTGTCGGATGTGAGTTTAGTAGATGCAGTATGCAATCAATCTCGCCAGGATGCCGAAGGTAGGTACGGAAACGGCGAGGATTACAACACCTCAGTCAGGCTGCGGCCACCGAATAATGGAGCTCCGAATTGCGGGGTGTCCTCAGGCTTTCCCGCCAGCACAGCTGCACATGTTATCGCTTTTAATCTCGCGCAACGGTCTCGTTCATTATCTTCACTGAAGAGCGAGCTAGTTGTCAGTATCTTGCTTTTAAAAGGCGTCTGGACGTTGCATAGGATAATGCTAGACTTGTGGTGAATTATTGAAGGATGCTATCAAGGTGCCCAATTTAGTGCTGGATTCCATCGTCTTCTACTGTGGACGTTGCACGTAGGCCATTTCCAGTGAAGTCAACATGCACAGGAAGAGCAAGATAACATACATATGCGTCTTGACCTTGTGCAGTTGGGTATTCATGCCGTAAGACTGTAAAATCGTGTTCCAATCAAAAAAGCCAACGCACAATGTTGTGACCTCCGATCCGGTCTCCTCAGGCGGTAAGGCGATTTACTTACCCTGCATTGGTTCCCCCAATGGGGCGAGCACACCAACAAACTACTGCGAGGCTAACAGACGGAAGTCGATACGAACGCATGAATCAGACCAATAGTGAGGTACGCAATGTTCTTATCGTTGAACTGGCACGTTTAGTTCCCAACCATGGTTTGCCCGCGGTATTAGGCCGTCGTTGCATTAATCATGTTACGTTTCTTTGAGATGGAATCGTATCACAATTTAATGATGAAGTGACGCCTCCTATCTTAGTAACGAACTCAGACTCTTTCATGTTGCGTAGAATCTGTCGGCGAACAATGTTGAGAGCGCGGATTTGCTCCTTTTGATCGTCGTGAGGAGCAGGTTGAGAGTCTTGAGACTTGCTCGGCTTAAGAATCCGGGGTGTTATCGATAAGGACACGGCATACGCGGGGTCGTCACATCATCAGTCTACAGGCCGTGGTCAAACAGTCCCAAACTCCTGTCGGTAATGCATCCGTAGCATTATCTAAGGACCAGAGACCAAGACGACTCAAATCCAATTTGGCGAATATATCCAATCAATGCCTTGACCGGCGAATGAGCGTTCTCGGTGGCCTGCAGCTGCTCGGCACGGTCCAAGTCGGCTCGGTTTGGGTCGGCGGTTTGTCTCGGCTCAATCGCCCACACAGTACACACGCCCAGCTTCGTTAACCACCTTCAATCCCTCTTCGCCCGTCATTGTTGTTTCTCTTCCCTCCAAACATACATCAGCAGTCACAAAGATGAGGAGTCGCGCCCTTCAAACTGCCTCGCGCCGGGCTGCTCTACCCAGGCCGTCAACATCCCCACCTATCCGCCTAGCCAGCAACCTCTCGCAACGGCCGCATTCCGACAATGTCTCCTTCCCAGGCGCGCTCAAGTCGGCCTTCTCGAACAAGCTAGCCTTTCAACACCCTCAAGAATGGACCGCTCTACCGACATATCGAGTCGTCGATCAGCATGGTGCGGTCGTCGATCCTACGTGGACACCTGATATTCCCGAAGAGAAGATTGTCAAGCTGTACACTGACATGCTGTACATTTCGATACTGGACATTATCATGTTTGACGCACAAAGGCAGGGGCGCGTCAGTTTCTACATGGTCAGCGCGGGTGAGGAGGCGGCGTCTGTGGGCACGTCAAGCGTGCTGGAGATGGAGGATACGCTGTTTTGCCAGTATCGCGAGCAAGGCGTTTTCAGGGAAAGGGGGTTCACAACAAAGCAGTTTATGAGCCAATTATTCGCCAACAAGAATGATCCTGGAAAGGGGCGACAAATGCCAGTGCACTACGGCAGCACTGAGCTGAACATTGTGAGTCCGATTCCTGATCCCATCTCCGTTGTACTTGTACTCACACCTGCAGCACACAATCTCGTCGACGTTAGGAACACAGCTACCGCACGCTGCTGGCCACGCCTACGCGCAGAAGATGCGCAAGCTGCAGAACCCCGAGTCCAAGAGTGCCGTGACAGCAGCCTTCTTCGGCGAGGGTGCTGCCAGTACGGGCGACTTCCACGCCGCACTGAACATTGCCGCCACGCGATCGTGCCCCATCATCTTTATCTGCCGCAACAACGGTTTCGCCATCTCCACCCCTACGCTAGACCAATATCGAGGCGACGGTATCGCCAGCCGAGGAATCGGTTATGGCATCGACACCATCCGCGTCGACGGCAATGATATCTGGGCCGCGCGAGAGGCCGTCAAGCGCGCACGTGAGCTGGCTCTTGAAGACGGCGGCAAGCCGGTTCTCATCGAGGCCATGACATACCGTGTCTCTCACCACAGTACATCCGACGACTCCTTTGCCTATCGCGCGCGTGTGGAGGTGGAGGACTGGAAGCGACGTGACAACCCTCTGACTCGTCTTCGCAAGTGGATGGAGGCCAATGGCATGTGGGATGATGTCAAAGAGAAGGATGCGCGCGATGTCATGAGGAAGGAAATCCTGAAGGGGATCAGCGAGTCGGAGAAGGAGAAGAGGCCGCCACTAAAGGCCATGTTCGACGACACGTACGAGGAGTTGACACCAGATCTCAAGGAGCAGATGAGGAAGTTGAGGGAGATTATTGAGAAGTACCCCGACGAGTACGACGTGAGTGAGTATGAAGGAGGCCTGGAAAGCCTCAAGGAGAAGAAGTAGACCTTAGAGATGGGCTATACAGCAATTCTAAAGAAATCAATACATTATTATGAACAATGGCGTCTTGTTCCGTTATGATGTCCTGGCCGTGTCAAAATCAGGGGCTCACGAGTGCCCCTGTAGCCATTCCTATTCTGTTGGGGATGGTGCGCTCCTTGTGCCATGTAGCACGTACATTTGCATGAGAGATCTAGTGGCGATCAGCTCTGAATTGTGACTATCAGCGTAGCTAACTTAGGTGGATTGCTGGTGGTTCATGCTCGTGAATTCCAAGAATCTATGTTTAGGATAGGAGAGCACTGGCAGCGCAATAGTCGGGGCTCGGAATTCCCAGTGGGGCGGAAACTTTAAAATGACGGGACTCTCAGCGCTAACAGCCGGGCGCAGAAGCGTCGATTGAAGTGTGGTAAGTTGGTAACGAAGAGCCAACTTGAGTACATGTAGGGAACAGCATTCAGAACATAGTCGATCTTTCAATGCTGACGTGTCTGTCTGCGTTAGCCGTCTCAAACAAAGAGGCCCCGAGCCGGGCTTACAAATGAATGCACAGTAAATACGGGATATCTTTTTCGTCACGTCACCGGTCCCACCGGACTTGAAGCTAGCTAGTCACTGTCAAACTAGGAGCCTATCCGAAGTGCATGCAGTCTCGGAATTTGAATTCCTCTGTCCTGCACGGACACGACTAATTCACCATGAACGGCCGAAAGCATGCTGTGGCACACCACACATGTAGCTCGACTGAATCAATTCCCTGCCGCTCCCTCCGGACGGGCGTGTATAAGTAGTAGGCAGTGCGCGGCACACAATGGATGGCACAACCCAGCTTAGCATTGAACCTCGCGTCACTCCACCACAGCTACCTCGCTCAACTCAGACCTGCCTGACGGACGGACAGACACAATGGCTGCCTATCTCGCCCAGCGCATCTGCCATCCTCACCATGGCATCACCGTGTCCAGAACCGGGACCCCCCGCCCCGAGAAGGACGCCAAGTGCATGCAGCCCATTGAGAACGTCCCAGCCAAAGGCGTCTCGTTCTTCACGCCCGAGCAGAAACCTCAGGCTGGTCGTGCTGTCGACCCGCAGCCCAATGGCAAGAAGATCCCCAAGCTCTTCACCCCCTTGAAGATTCGTGGGATCGAAATGCAGAATCGCATCTGGGTCAGCCCCATGTGCCAGTACAGCGCCCACGAGGGTTTCCACACCCCGTGGCACATTACACATTACGGAGGCATGATTCAGCGTGGGGTCAGTTGACAATTGTCGTGCCGTGTGGCCATGTTTCATGTACTGACTGTGTGTAGCCTGGACTCATGATGGTCGAGGCGACGGCTGTGCAGGCGAATGGACGTATCACCCCGGAGGACTCTGGCATCTGGCTCGACGCCCATGTCGACACTCTCAAGAAACACGTCGACTTTGCGCACAGCCAGAACGCCCTGATTGGCATCCAGCTGGCTCATGCCGGACGCAAGGCGTCCACGGTGGCACCTTGGCTGAGCGCAGGTGCCACGGCTACCAAGGAGGTGCACGGATGGCCGGATGATGTCGTCGGTCCAAGTGACGTTGCATTCGCGGAGCACTACCCCACGCCCCGGGCCATGACTCTCGACGAGATTGAGGAGTTCAAGAAAGACTTCCTCGTGGCCGTCAGCCGCGCCTTGCGCGCGGGCTTTGACGTGATCGAGCTGCACTTTGCGCACGGCTACCTTGTGTCGACCTTCTTCTCCCCGGCCGTCAACAAGCGTACCGACAAGTATGGCGGCAGCTTCGAGAACCGCATCCGTCTGGGCGTCGAACTTGTCGAGGCCACACGTGCTATGATTCCGGACTTGATGCCCCTGTTTGTGCGCATCAGCGCCACTGACTGGCTCGATACGAACCCCAACTGGAAGGGCGAGAGTTGGAGGGCCAAGGACAGTGCTGAGCTGGCCAAGATTCTGGCCACAAAGGGCGTGGATGTCTTGGACGTCTCCAGCGGCGGTAACCACTCTGACCAGAAGGTCATTGGCGGTCCAGGATATCAGGCGCCGTTCGCCAAGCAGATCAAGAAGGCGGTTGGCGACAAGATGCTGGTCAGCTCGGTGGGGAGCATCAAGACGGGCCAGCTGGCAGAAGAGATCATCTCGGATTCCGAGGTGCCTCTCGACTTGATCGCGGCCGGGCGCATGTTCCAGAAGAATCCGGGGTTGGTATGGCAGTGGGCCGATGACCTGGACACTTCCATTCATCTCGCCCACCAGATTAGCTGGGGGTTTGGCGGACGTGCGTCCAAGAAGGCTAGCACATAGATTCTCGCTAGATTTGAGCCGCCGAAATGAGCAGAAGAAAAGAAACTTGTTATACACTGTGTACTGCAGTCTCCATGTTCGCACCACCGCAGGCTTCACATGGGTCTTCTACCAGCAGCCTGGCCAAGACCTTGGTCTAGTGAATTCACAACCTTGCTTTGTTCATGCTTGTAGACTTCAAGGCCGTGGCAGCAGCCTTCCCAGCGCGTCTTCCAAAGACAGCTCCAGACGTGAGACCACTCCCGCCAGGGTAGTTGGAGTAGAACAGCCCACCCACCATTTCACCAACACAGTACATGTTTGGTATCGGGCGGCCAGTCATTCTATGCACCAGTCCCGCTGTCTCGGGGTCAATCTTGAGGCCGCCAAAGGTGAACGTGATACCGCATGTAACCTTGACAGCCAGGAAAGGTCCCTTGTCCAAGGGCAGCGCCCAGTTCGACTTGGCGAGCGCGAGCTGCTTGGCCGAGGACTGCGTGGACACGCCGTCCCTGATGGCAGGGTCCCATGTTGCGGACGGATTCTCCTGTCGGTGAGCATACACAGCTTCATTGTATTCCTGGATCGTGCGAACAAAAGCCCCTTGGTCTTTCAGACCTTTGGTCGCGCACTTTGCAGCCAACTCCTCCAACGTGTCGGCAGTGATGTGTTCAACGCGCTCCTCGCGATACTCCTCAGATCGAAGCATGGAGCTCGTCCGCGCGTCCCAGACTTGGAAGGCCAGCTGCTCAGGCTGTTGCATAATGGCCCGGCCAAACTTGGCATATGTGTAGTTGCGAAGATCGATGCCTTCGTCGACGAATCGCCTGCCCTCGACGTTGAGCATCAGGCCGAGTGGGTAGCCTGACTTTGTGTACTCGTTTGACGCCAGGCGGTCGCCAACGTTAGGGTCGGCGTTGGCATCCCAGGCCACCGAGTGGCATCCGGACCAGTTGCCCACGGGCTGCGCCCCTAGGCGGTTGATGGCCATTTCGAGGATATCGCCCGTGTTGTAGGGTGTGCCTCGCACCATGGCGAGGTCCCAGCCAGAACCCAGGAATTGACTGCGCATACGTGGGTTGGCTTCGAAGCCGCCCGCAGCCAAAATCACAGCCTTGGCTTTGATGGTTTGATCAACACCACCCGCGGAGACTCGGGCGAGCCACCCCTTTTGCTCCGACTGAGGCTCCATATCCTGGAGACCCGTAGACCACGCCACTTGAATGCCATTGCGCTTTGCGATCGAGCGGTAGTCTTCGATCAAGCCCTTTCCGCCATCCTGGGTCTTCAAGCTCAGACCACCCCAGAACTTGAGCCGCCCATCTACTTCGTACGCCTGGCGGTTGAAAGAGAGCTGGAAGCGGATGCCATTCTTGCTCAGCCATCGAATCGCCGCGTTGGAGTCCGCGACGAGCGCATGGCCCAAGGCCTTGTCCGTCCGGCCCATGCACACCCTCTGCAGGTCGTCCTTGAAGTCCTTCTCGGTGTACGGGGCCAGGTCGATCTTCTTCGCCTGTTCTGCGGAGACGTTGTTGACCAGGGGAAGCAGATCGTCCAAGCCGCCATGCGCTGTTCGGTATGCGCCGGCTGTGAAGTAGGTGTTGCCTCCCGCCCATTCTTTGGGGCACTTGTCGATGAGGAGCACATTCTCAGCGCCAGACTGCTTGGCCGACAATGCAGCGGCGAAACCTGCATTGCCGCTGCCGACAACGAGGATGTCGACCTGTGAAGGAATGGTAGTCATTTTGGATTTGGAGTAGCAAGATCGTAGCCTTGGTAGGGTGGAGATTGAGGTTCAGGCAAGCCAGTCCCTGGGGAGAAGAGCTCTATATAAGGTAGTTATTCGGCAATGTTGAAGTCAAACATGTCGAATGACCTCGGTCAATAGTGAAGCCGAGCGTATATACGAGCATTTAGTATTTAATGTTAGTCATGGGACCCCTTGGGAGCCTTCATCTCAGCGACTTGAGTCCCCTAGTCGTCATCGTTTGTTCCCGCGGGAAGGTGTTAAATATGACTGGGAGGATCGGCACGTACGCCTGGCCGAACATTCGTACGAGGGCTATTCTACGTCAAGAGCCTTTCACACCATGGCTTGGTGAATTGACAGACTGCGCACGCGTCTACTTCAACCCTTTAGCCAAGAACACAAGATGGCGAGCCAAACGTGACGTGGCGGAGCTTGAAAGTTTGTTCTAAGGTACCCAAGCCCAGGGAGTCGAACGCGTAGAATCTTGAATCCTGGTCTCTTTCATTCAGAAAGTGGACGTCGCGTGTAATTGGCTTGTGCATTACATTGTAATAAGTGAACGTCCCTAACGCCTTGCATGCCGTCTATACGATCGCAGCCTGGCCCGCATATAGTACACAGCACCGTGGTAATACAGAGTGAGCCCCCTTTGTCCGCTTCTACCGCAAAGGCTTGATGCCACGGTGGATGGCAGCAATACCGCCTGTGAGGTTCTCGTATCCCTCGCCCGCCACGTCAAATCCAGCCTCCACAATCATGTCCCGAAACTCGACCTGGGTCGGGAACCGCTCGATGCTCTCGACGAGGTACTGGTAGCTGTCGCGGTCACCAGCGACCAACTGCCCGATCAGAGGGATCGCGCTGAACGACCACTGCTTGTAGACGGCGTTGAACAGCGGGAAGCGGTCCACCTTGCTGAACTCGAGACAGGCAAAGATACCGCCGGGTTTCAGCACACGGTGGGCTTCCTTGAGCGCAGCACGCATGTTGGTAAAGTTGCGGATGCCAAAGGCCACGGTGTAGAGGTCGAGGGAGTTGTCTTGGATCGAGCTCGGCAGCGTCTCGGCGTTGGCCTCGAGGAAGGAGATGCAGCTTTGCTGCTCGGCGGGGAGGGCGAGGGAGCGCTGGCGGCCGACTTCGAGCATGGCTGGGTTGATGTCGGAGATGGTGAGCTCAATGTTCGGGTTGCCGTTCAGGACGTGCGCGTTGTGTAGCATGCGAAAGGCAATGTCGCCCGTGCCGCCTGCAACATCGAGGATCTTCTGGGGCTGGCCGAGTGGTGTGGTCGCGCCGGGGTTCAATGTCGACACAAAGTAGTCTCTGTCCGACAGTTAGTATCTATGTGTAACAGCGCCGCAGACAGGATGACCTACTTCCACAGCCGATGCACTCCTAGTGACATGAGGTCGTTCATCTTGTCGTACGACTCGGCGACGTTTGTAAAGACCCCCGCGACACGACCCTGCTTCTCTGCTTCCGGGATCGTCTCATAGCCGAAATGTGTGTGTTTTCCTTGGTCGTATTGCGGGATAGTTGTTGAGAATGGACGCGCGACTGGGGCTCGTGGTGTTGAAGCGCGGAGCGCCCGTGCGCCCAAGCGAAGTCCTGAACGTGCGTTCATGGCGATATGATCTGATAAGAGTGGACAATTGAAGTATGAAAATGAGAGAAAATGGTCGGTGCCGTCGGTTGGAGATCTGGTCCAAAGTGGCTCGAGTCTGGAGAGGATGCGACTTGGGAAATTTCGGCGATCGTATCGCGGGCTTCGGCAAGTGGGCCGCCTTAACCTGGACCCTTGGATAAAAGCTACGTTACGACGATTCAACGTCCAGAACTCCCCTACACAACTTTGGTTAGAATGGATTTGATCTTCCGAATTCTGGGCGAAACCAACAGCGTACTGTCTCTGGAGCGCAGAGGAGTATATATCTCGCTAACGCCACCGTCTACTCCGCCGCCGTCACGTCTGTCGAGGCTTCATTAGTTTGATGACGCCTATACTGAGGAAGCAGTGATCGCGCATTGGCAACAATCTTTGCACGAAGGTAGACGAATAGCGCGACGAAGACGGCAAATAGACACAGGATAAGAAGTGCAACGCTCGCGGCCGGTGAGATCATCGTATGGTCTCACAAGATCTTGCTTGGCGTTGCTCTTGATCGATAGGACGCTGTAGGACGTTGAAGTTTTGAACACAGTGTTGCCGTGCGGGCGAGTAGGTGCATGCAAGAGGCGAGATAGGAGAAGACTGAGGGCGAGCGCTAGATCCAGGATACCAGATGGTTTGTTCAGTTTCAATTCAGCTAGATTTCACTGTCATGCCACCACAGTCTCACTAGCTATCAAGGCGAACACCTAATCATATTATTTGACTTCCGCAACTAGTAACTCCACACAGCGCCTCAGAGCACTCGGCCCTCAATGCCATAACGAGAAATATGAAAGATTGCTCACAAGCCCGCCGCCCCGCAGCTCATCAGGGGCCATGGGGGCACGCGTACGTGGAGTCGTAAATAAAAAAAGGGGGGAGGGCAAAGGCCGTGTACCAACCGCCAAGAAACCAATTCTTTTCCCTGCCGTCAGTCAAACCAAACCAGCCAAGCCAAGCCTGTAGGAGCACGAAGGAAGAGGAAGAGGAAACGCCGCGAGGCTGCCAAAACGTGTGGTGTAGCCGACCAGAAAGAACAGTGAAACAGTGACAATGGATGGTATCAGTGCACCGCGCTGGCTACCATGTTCACTCGGCCGGCGCAGGCGAGGCGCCGTCGCCCTTGAGTCCTCCGCGCCCACGGCCACCGCGTCCACGGTCGCCACGCCCACGTCCACCCCGGCCACCACGGCGGTTGCTCTCCGAATCGCTGGCACCACCGGCACTGCGGTAGCCGCTCGAGTTGCCTCCACCACGGGTGCTGCTGCTGCCCCAGTTCCCGGCGCCGCCGCGGTTGGCAAACTTGCCACCCTCACGGTGAATGAACATCTTGACCAGCGGTCGGGAGCGGTCTTCTTGGTTCTGCGCGCGAGTCTTGTACTCCTCCTTCAGGTGGGCCAAAGCGGCGTCGCGATCCTCCACCGTCTTAAAGTGCGCAACCTTGTTCGTGGCCCCCCATTTCTCAACCTTGACAACCTTGGGCTTGTCCTCCTCTTCAAACAAGTCGCGGCACTGCTCCTCAGACTGAACGTTCATGACGAACAGCCCGATGATATCGGCAGGGTTCGACTTGGGCGCAGGAGACATTGTAGGCTCGGGTCCGTTGGCGGAGCCGTTAGCTGGGGCAGGGGCCTTCTCATCCTTGGGCTGAGGGGTGCCGGGCTTGGGGCCGCTGACGACAGGCTTGGTCTGCGCAGCCGATGCCTGGCGACTGGGAGGCGGAGGGGCAGCCGACTCGGTTGATGGAGGTGCTGGCGAAGGGGCGTTCGCAACGCTGGCGGGGGGAGCAGGAGCCGCACCGGGCTGTTGCTTGGCTCCACGGTGGGAGAAGTTGAAGCCCTGCGCGCGCATCTCGGTACCGATACGTCCATCCTGAATCTCCAAGACGAGGTAGCCAAACGCAGCATCAGCCAGGTTGAAGTTCCACATATTCTTGAAGGCGCTCTCATCCACCTGACCCTGTGTCGCCGGGCCGCTCTGAGGACCGCCGAATGGGTTGCCTCCAGCTGCCACGGTAGGCATCTTCTCCACGAGCTGCAGGGCGTTCTTCAGGAGATTTTGCTGCGCCTCATTCTGGGCAATGGCAGGCTCGACCTCGCTCTTAACCGTATCCCACACATCGTTGAAAGATGCCTTGGATGCAGCCAGCTTGCCACGGTAATGATCCAGGGTCGGGTTGACGCTGAACTCATTGTAGGAAGAGCCATAGCGGAAGTGGAGACCGGCGGATATCGAGAAATCGGCCTTGAGCATGACAGACAACTGGTTAAGAATGCCTTCACGAGCGGGCGAGGCGTGTGTGATGAACACCCGAGTTTCGGTAGGGTCGTAGACGCGATGGGCCGTGTCGATGAGCTCGCCCATCTGCAGCAGAGTCGTCCACATGGTACCTTGACCTCCGGCGATTGTTGTGCGGCCCTCGCCATTGTCGAAGAGCTTGTGCATGACGACAGCACCTCCCAGGCCCAGCAGGCGAAGCTTCACACCCCCAATCTCGAGCAGCATAGATCGGGCCTCGTCGATGATGTGCAGGTTCGGTACCTTATACTCGCGGGACCTGAACTTCTCCAGTACCCTGACATCTTCGCAGGCACCCCAGACCGTGTACACGGGAACCTCCAACTTGAGCTCACCGCTGATGAGCTGGGACAGCTCCGAGAGGGGAAGCTCGCGCGGCTGGAATCGCTGCTTCACAGGACCGGGGCCCCCTCCGGAGATGGCCTTCTTGATGGGATCAGCAATAAGAGGCGAATACTGAGCAACATGCTTGAGTGTCTTCTCGGCGATGCGCTCGAGCGATGTGTCGTCGTAGAATCCAAAGTCACCGGTGTGGATAATGTGGTCGGCGCGCGCTTGCTTAGCGAGGTCGTTTAGGGACTTTAGGTTTCCTGCGCACAGTCAGTAGCTGCCACGAAAGCCCTATGCAAGGGTCCTACCTCGAACATCAGCGATGCAAAGGACGCGCATGGGACCAGTCTGGATGACACGGCCTTGGTTGGGCAAGAGGGGTGCTGCGCCTTGCGGCAGGCCGGCAGCACCGTTCTGTAGGTAGCCCTGGTTGTAAGAACGAGGCTTCATCATGCAGTTAGCGACTGAAATTTCCAAAAGTAATTCGTGGGACGATGTGTCGCGCTGGGATGGTGGGAGTCAAAAGACAAGACCAAGGGTCAAGGTGAGGCTAGGCGGAAACTTGGTAGCTCGCCCAGGGGGCCACCACAACGCGGGCCTCACCAGCGCGTTGCAAACTCCGCGTGTACAAACGTAGCACAAAATCGAACAGAGATTGACCGCAAAAGGGGAGCAATACTCACAGCAGCCATTCTAACGTTGAACCAATGTGTGCGCGCGCGGTGTTGACGAACAGGGGGATTTGTCGATCGGTCGGGGGGTAGATGAGGAGGAAGGAGCGAATCGTTACTCGCGTGCCGGAGTCTAAACGTTGGAAAGTCGAGCTCGACGCTGGGTATCAAAAAGGGAGTTGAGGAAGAGGAAGAGAGGATAAGTAGGGGGTCGAGGTCGGAGGTGGGTTGTTTGGTGTTGCTAAGCAATCAACAACAAGCTGCCACCGAGTCTGGTCTCGAGATATTTTTCGGGCGCTCAACCCCCCCGGAACCGCGACGGTGACCTTTGCTTTGTTCGGTTAGTGCACAGGAGGCGCTGACGCATTCCGCTTAAACGTCGGCGAATGGTCTCTGCAGCGCTCATCTAATCAACGACATGGAGCTCTCTCAAGCGGCTAGCTCAGTGGTAGCGAAAAGGAAAGTCGTTCCTTTCTATGATGGGGGACGTAATCCAAACGGGTAGGCTCATCAAATCAGTACATCAGCATTCAAGGGTACTATGGGCTGCAATCACTTCAAGAATGCCCAGGGGCAGGCACCGGTTGTTGATCATGGTGGTATCAAATGCTCACAGTCATAAATATCCTACAGCCCATTTCACGACTCTCGAGGGACACACGCAGAAGAGCCTGCCTCTGCCCACCTTGTCCTCATCCACCGGTCCCCTCATCCCTTGCTGATGCACACTGAACATAGAAAACGTCGGGTAGCCTGCTTGCTCCCGCGCATGAATAAACCGAAAGAGGCGACAAAATCAACCATTCGCGCTGTGCTCGCCTCCCGCGCCGATCCCCGTGCTTGACCCCAGGAACAAAAGATGTATATAAAGGGTGGCTGGCCCCGCTGCCTCGTGTATGCACAACGCAGGCGATATTGTCTATCGCTAATGACCCGCTGAACTCCGCCAGATGCTAAATACTCATGTGTCTCGAAAGAGCCATATGCATAGAGGGTGATAATTTGTGTATGTGTGTTTCGGACAAGGACGCGCTGCTGTAGTTACAGCCAGTTGCTGGTTTCACGATCGGCCGCTTCGGTGGTCGGGTTCTCACTACCATGCAGTCACCACATGTTGTGCCGCCCGTCATCGTGCCGTTGATCACCGTTGTCGCGATATTGATAGTGATCGTAAGAATCCTGCTCGTACCCATAGTCTTGGTGATGTTGCTGCTGGTGATGCGCGCCATTGCCATGGTCATCTTCATAGATTTGCGACTCGTCGACATACTCGACTGAGCCATGCACATGACCATTGCCGTCATTTGCGTCAGCATATTGCGCGTGGCCCTATCCGTGTTAGTCGCAGTTCTTGGGATGCAGTTGGAATACCTACTCGATGATAGTCAAAGTCGTAGTGATCGAGAGGTTCTTCTCCGTTCTCCTGCATCATTTGTTGTTGAGCAAGATACTCCTCTTCCTCCCGCTTGCGACGGGCCTCCTCCTCTTGGCGTTTCTGCTGTGGCGACATGGGGACGTTCATGTTCGGGTGCATAGCCTGCACTATAGCCAAGTAGCTGTACATGAAGTTGCTGAGAAGGACCTGGCTGAGAAGAGGCCGACGGGGGTTCGCCAGTTTAATGTGCGCCATGCGGTAGATGGCCCGTTCCTCCAACAGAGGAAACCTAGTCCAGTGGTAGTCCACGTCCGGCTCCATTTGCTTCACGACCGGTTGCTCCGATGGTACTCGCAGATGCTGACTCTTTTTGCTGTGCCTGTCCTTGTCATCCCTCTTCTTTGTCCCAAAAATGGAAGAAAAGATGCTGCCATCCTTGTCCTTCTTGGAGTCGCTGCGGCGGTTGCTTTCCTTCTTGCGCTCCTCTTGAAGTTTCGAATCAACGGCATCTCGATCGAGCACAAAGCTTTCGCGGCTACTTTTGGGCCCATTCTTCTCGATCGAATTCTGGATAACATCCAACCTGACATTATCTTGAGCCTTCTCGACAAGTGCCTTTGCCTTGGCTCTCTTGCTTTCATCCTTCTTCTTATCATCGCCGCTGCTCTTGAACCATTTCCACGCGCTGCTGGTGGACTTGGTGGAGGAACTGTCATCATCGCGGTCTTTCTTCGACTTCTTTTCTGGTTTTCTCTCGTCCTCTATGGTTGGGATCATGGTTAGATTGTCAGTCCGTGATGAGCCTCCGGCATGGTGCATTGTTGAGCTTGAGCCCAGCTGATCGTTAAGATTTTGCGGTACTGGAGGGGTTGGTTGCTGCGCATTCTTCGGGTTTGATGACTGAGGTGACGCTGGCTGGTTGATTGCGGGTTTGCTGGCCTTTCGACGGGCTGATTTCGGTGGCGGCTCTGCGATAGAAGGCTCCTTGGAGTGTGGCTGCTCCTGGTATGACGCTCCATCTTTCTTTTCGCTTGGCTGCTGGTCTTTTGGTTGCGCATTTTCCGCAGTACGAACTGGCAGCTGCTCTTGGTAGTCTCGAGGAACCACGATGGCTGGCGTGTCCTGCGCTGGTGCCGCCTGACTTGAGCCTTCGAGTGCAGCGAGCGACACGGGGGAATCCTGGATGAACCCTTGCGGCCTGCGACCTGCCCGCCCTGGCCTGGAGAAGCTATCCGACACAGGCTCCGATTGCACTCGGGTCAGAGTGTGGCCTGGGGGCGCTTCTGGGACTGGAGGTATTGCTTCCGCTGCTTCGCCATCTTGCGGGCGATGGAGTGTTCTCCTGGATGCCCTGTCGCCAGCACGCAAACTGCCCCCTTTCCGGTAGGTCGTACGTGTTGATCGCCTTAACCCTGTGCCGGGCGCCATGGGCAGAATTGGCATATCTTCCGAGTTGACATCCGTTCCTTCTGGTATCTGCTGTGTTTCCTGCGCCAGTTGTTGTACAGTCTTGTTTGGGTCCTTGACCAAATCTTCGATGCTGAGTTCTCGCGAGTGTGGTCCCTTGGATCTTTGCCTTTCGAGACGATCGGCGCCGTCTACGTAGCTTGAGTCGGGGGAGTTATCGACTTGCCTGGAAAGCATGGACTTCTGTCTTCGTAATGAGCCGCCACCAGGCGTCAAGGACAAGGTGGAGTTGCTTCGATTGACGTCGCCGTCTGGAGGGGACAGGCCGTCTCGTGATGTCCTTCGAATGGACTTGACTCTGGTCTCCAGGAACGACTGGAATTCTGAGGGCGCCAGTTCAGGGTGCACTCGCGCTGGCACCCACAACAGTCGCGAAGGGTCGGCCTCATCGTCGTCCCCGCTGGGAGCTATCGCCGGCATCTTCGATAATGCCATTGGAGGCATGTCGGGATCCTTCATGTTCCCTACGTCCATTGACATCCTGCGCAGCGCCTGTAAATTGCTCAATTCTTGCGCAATGTCGTTTGGATTGTCAATGTTCGTCAGCTGGAACTGCGAGGTAGCTGGGTCGGCTTGCACATCGCGCAGCGATATCGTCGGAGACCGAGGCGAAACGGGGCTGCCGTCGTTGCAGGACTTTGGCTGTACTGATGTTTGGATGGGCAGCGTCTGTGCCTTCCTGAGACTCCCATGCTCACTGTGCTGCTGAGGCGAGGATGACATAGGATGATCCGTGGTCGAGCGATGCAGTGGACGCCGAGCATCTACACTTAGAAAGTCTGTATTCTGGGGCATGGTCTGTATCTGCTCGTGGTGCCCTGAGCCGCCGATGAAACTGAGAGGCCGTCCATGGTCACTCATGGAATCATATTCATCGCCGTACATTGTCCCAATCGCTTCGGTGACATGATGACTTGGGTCGGATATCGATAGTTGACTAGTATGGCCACGACGGCTGGCGAAGCTGCCGCCGTCTTGTACGTGGGGTCGAGGCGCTGCCTAGTATTATAACAGTCAGCAATGCGGGGACGGTGCCCGGCTATCTTCTTCGAGCCTCGGAGTATGCAAGCATTCACATACCATCACGTAGATGGAGTGGGCCTCAGGTGAGGCCGTGATGGCTGGTGGGGACCCCTTTCTTTGCGAATCCTACTGCAGATGCCCAATGGAGATGTCAAGATTCGGCCTTCATGGGCGTTGAGCGGCACCGCGACGAGGGTGCAACCTGCTGCTAGACCAAAGCGACTGAAGCGATTATAGAATGTGAATCAACCTTGGCTGGGAGTCGTGGCGTTCCGAAAGCTGCTATCGTCGCATGGAGTCGGTCTGCGCCAACGGATGATAGAGGCTCGCGAATGTCGGTTGCGCGGGCTGGTACCACTAAGGGTCCTTTCGAGTCGTTTCGTCTAGCTGTCGTCGTTCTCGGTGATGAGGGTATTGCCCTTCCTCTCGTCAAGGTTGTCAGGATTGTGGTGGGCAACTGACGACTGAGTGCGAGTTACCTGGGACGTTCTACTCGATCCCTCACGAATGCCTATCCGTAGGGACGGATACGTTAACGTCGTAGAGGGCGGCAGCAGCCTGCTTCGCATTAGCGTGCAGCGAAATTCCACTGCGGGCAGCCATTCAGCGACCAGCGTAGCGGTGCGAGGTCACGTGCAACCTGAGGCTTGTACGGATGCTCGCCGTTCCCGATGCCTTGAGCATTGACGCAGCATCTTCAAAAATGCTGATGGCTACTATGGTGCTACGTACTGAATTGAATGGGAAACTGCAGTCTGAGCAAATAGGGGTCTACTATGATTAGCTCTCAGTAGCACTACGAAAGTTACGAGCTAAGCACCAAGTTGAGCTAAATCCCTCCAGTGTATAACCTAATTCAATACGAACTTACAGTATCCTGAGGGGCAGCGCCGATCCAGTTTGCACCACCTGGATATCTACTTTTATAGCCTTGCGTGTAGACTGCGGCATGTGGGTAACGTATTGTCCGAGTCAGGTGGTGCAGGAAAGGTTGTGCACTGCTCTGAATGCTTCATAGCCCTGAGGAAACCAAGTGTTGCGGCGCCAAAAGTGAGACCTGACGAAAGAAATTTGGGAATATGTTGCCGTATCGCACGGCAGGCTATATCTAACATATAAGTCGTACACCCGAGTGATGGGCTCACTTCTTTGGTTCCTCCTTCTTCTCCTCAGGCTTGGGCGTGGGCAGCTTGAAAGACTCGGGAGTCCTGTCCACGCCGGGTCCGATCTGCTCCCAAGCACTGGAACCACCCTCAAAGTTACGGAAGGCCTGCGTCAACTCCAGAGGCTCTGTCACAATGCGCTTCTTCTCCTCGTCGTAGCGAATCTCGGTGTATCCGGTCAAAGGAAAGTCCTTCCGGAGAGGATGACCCTCGAAGCCGTAGTCCGTCATGATGCGACGCAGATCGGGGTGACCCACGAAGAAAACACCAAACAGATCGTAAACCTCGCGCTCGTACCAGTTAGCGCCGGCGTAGAGGCCGGTGATGCTGGGAACAGGCGATGCCTCGTCTGCGTATGTCTTCACGCGAATGCGAGAGTTGTGGCGGACAGATAGCATGTTGTAAACAACCTCGAACCGGTTCTCGCGTGTTGGATAGTCGGCAGCTGTGACGGCACTGCACTGGGTAAACTCAGCAGCAGTGTTGACTTTGGTGCCCCGTTAGCAGCTGGCGGCAGAACTTCACTGGTAAATTATCTTACACTTCAAGAAGGTGAAGACCGGGATGACGCCAGATGGCGCAATATAGATCGTGAGTTCATCCTTCCACACGGAGAACTGCTGGATGTATTTGGGCATGCAGCCCATCAACCAGGCGCCGTAGCGGTGCAAGTTGTCCGCCTTGCTCTGGTATTTATCGGCCGGGTTCACGATAGGGGCCTCGAGAGTGCCAATGGGATCGCGGGGGGCCTTGCGCAGGTCTTGAGCATCCGGCATCACAACATGGCGAGCAGCGGTTGTCGAAATAGGGCGCAGGACATGGGCGGTGCGGCATGATGTCGACGGTTTCGTGGGCCGGAGAGCTGAAGCAAAAGCTCCGCTCCGAGTGAGTCTGGTCGCCATGGTCTGGTTTGCGACGTGACGAGGCCAATTCCCGCTTTCAAAGTGGACGAGTGCCAAAGAAAGATGTTGTCAATGATCGAATGATTGATTCGGGGTGATTGCAACGTCTGGCCCGCGGTTGGCTACTTTACCCGGGGATCCGCCGACCCTGCCTTCGCCATGCAAGTCAGGTGACAGGCTGCGCTGGCGCTAACAGAACCGGGAGCGTCGCTGCACCTTGAACTTTCATCTTGAAACGTTGCTGCTTGATTGTGCATCAACTCTCTCCTACGCTTCTCACCACCGCCCACATTTCCTTATACCGATAATAACAACATCACACTGGCACGATGGCGCCACAAGACTCCTTCTTCGACGAGGAGGTCGATACCTGGTATGGCTTGCCCTAGTGCTGCTAATAGCAGCGCGTTTCGCAGCTTTTCTTTGGGCAGCGTCCGTATGCAGAAACTGACTGCTCTGCTAGTCCTCTCTGTATCGAAGAGTTCGACCTTTCCGACCGAAGTTTCCGGCCATGTCCCTGTGGATATCAGGTGCGATCTCTCTGTCACTCCCTCTGTGCAGAGTTCAGCTGGCTCATTGTCGTTTGCAGGTCTGCCAGTTTTGTTTCAACAATATCAAGAACAACATGAACGGGCTTTGTCCAGCATGTCGACGGCCATACGACGAAAAGACAATCGAATGGAAGGTCGTCACAACGGAAGAGTGCGTGTACTTCGCGGAATTTCGGTGGCATTTACTAACGGGTGAGGATTAGGGTCGCCGAGTTCAGAGCCAACATTCAGAAGAACCAGAAGAAGCGCGCGACTGAGCAACGGCAAAAAGAAGTGCAAAAACGCGAAGCGGAAAAGGAGAACCGCAAAAATCTGGTCGGCGTTCGCGTTGTACAGAAGAACCTGGTCTACATCACCGGGCTGGCACCGACTGTCCGAGAAGACGAGCTACTCAAGACCCTGCGGAAGCCCGAGTTCTTCGGCCAGTACGGCAATATTCAAAAAATCTCCATCAGCAATCGAAAAAGCCCCGATGGTCAGCCTCAGTCTCTTGGCATCTACGTTACTTTCGAAAGGCCCGACGAAGCCACGCGCTGTATACAAGCCGTGCACGGCTCACTCAACGGCGATCGCTATCTCAAAGCTCAATACGGCACCACGAAATACTGTTCAGCCTGGTTGAAGAACGAGAAGTGCAATAACCCAGGCTGCATGTTTCTACACGAGCAAGGCGACGAGGAGGATAGTTACACTCGTCAAGACCTTTCTTCGATGAACAGCATTGCCACCCAAAGGCCCCTGCCCAGCGGAAGCGTCGGCTCATCGTCGCGTACGGCCTCCCGAGCGCAGGTCTCACATCCGACACCGCCGCCTGCGTCGCAGGCCATGGCCCGATCGGCCAGTAAGGAGGGTTCCGATAATGGCGGAGGCGTCGACTCCTCTGCGTTACCTTCGACAGCTAGCTGGGCTAGGAATCCCCAGCGCAGTCGTCGCGGCAGTCATGCCACGAGTGGTGCTGCTCCCAGTCCTGCGATAACATCAGCAGTGCCAGCCAGCGCTGCGACAAGCAAGCCCGAAGAAGCCGTCGCCGAGGACTCTGGGCCGCCGTCACAATCGGGGTCACAACCCGAAGCGTCTGCGCGACCCGCGGCGAGCCCGAGCAATGAGTCGCAACAGCCGCCTAGCGAGGATGTTTACCAACGATATCCCGAGGGGGCCCTCAAAGCACTTCTCAAGACTTTGGCGAGCTGGACCATGCCCAGCTTTCCCGAGCCAGACCCGAGCTTCCCACCCCTTTTCGACGTGCGTGGTGGCGAGAGGCGTCGCGCTATGCGGGATGAGGATGAAGCCGCCATGTCCTCAGAGCAGATTGACGAGTCGGAGGTGCAGGAAGCTTCAGAAGATGAGCCCGAGACCGGCGGTAGCCTGGCGCTTGGCGGCGAACCCGAGGAGAGAGAGCCTGACACCGAAAGCCATGCGTATGACCATCGCCGAACACAGGCACAACCACCCATTCAGCGCAACCACGGCGATGGTCTGTTTGGCCCAGCCCTGGGGACTCCGCAACCCGGTCGCTCCATGACACCACAGCAGCTGTTTTCCATGAGGGGCCAAGCTGGATTCGGTGATCAACCGCCCCCTGGCATGTCTTTCCAAGGGCAAGGCCACAACCGGCAATCATCCAGGTTCAGCTTTGCGAACGAGGGTGGGAACTCGTCGACAAATGTCAAACTGGCGGCTAATCCACGCATCATGGCTCAACAGTCTTCCATGATGCCAAATGCATCGTATCAGGCTCAGGGCGGTAACCAGTTCTACGGCTCCTCTTCTTCCATGCCCGGTCCGCCCCCAGGACTCAAGTCGACAGGTACACCCCCCAACATGTTTGGACAAGGATTTGGTGGAGGCGCTGGGTTTGGCGGTGCGCCAAAGGACTCGTCCAACGAGCTCCTACAGAGTCTGATCGGGCGCAGTCGTGGAGGGGCTAACGATGCCGCAAAGCGTGAGTTTCTACTTTCTTCTTTTTCAAATCAGTACCCACCCTCCTCTACCTCCTCCCCAGCCCCTGCACCCGGTCTGCTGGGATCGCTCTACGGCAATCCTCCCGGAGTCTACCAAGACTATGGGTCCAAGCAGCAGAAGAAGAAGGGAAAGAAGCACAGACACGCTAACACTTCCTCCTCTGGGGGAGGTGGCTTAGTTGATCTTGCGGACCCGAGTATCCTTCAGGCAAGGATGCAGCAGCATCAGTCTCAAAGCAATGCGAGTGCCGGGCCTGGGCTATTTGGAGGTCAGAGCCAAGGTGGGTACAACAACCCAAACATGATGTATAATGCAGGATACACCAGGTGGTAGGAGGGCGCGTGTGATACCCAGAGAGGAGGCGGCGCATATGATATGAAAACTTGTTATTTTTGGGGTTCCACGCACGTGGTTTGTGCGTCCGGGTCGGCAGCAGTGGAAGACTTCAGACAACACCAACACAGCTCTCGTCGGACTTCCACCCGCTCTCGACGATGTACGTTAACGATACACATACACATGTTCAGCCTCGCCTGAGAATATACCTATTGGGAAGCTGCCGTAGCGTTCTTTCGTGTACATAAAGCCGCCTCTCTCTGGGGATCAGTGTTTTTCTTTCTTGCGTTTGCCATTGCACATTATAAATGCACCGGAAGCCTGGCTAACTGTGTGCTAGACGATGAATTGCCATCCTTGGACGAAGCCTCACACTCAGTCGATGCCCTCGTGTCAGATGATACCTTTGATCGGCTCATGCAGGGCAGCAGACGAGGGACACCCGTGTTGACAGCACCACCTGGCTTTGATATGACGCCTGACGACTCGAGGTTGAGCTCGGCTGCCGCCAGCCCTCGACCAAAGGGGCCGCCTCCAGGACTTGCATCTGTACTGTCGACGCCTGAACAAGCGAGACAGAAACCCGCGACGGCCGCACCGGTGGAGGCAAAGAAGAACATAAGGAACCTCGCTGCCGATAGTGGGTTGTCCAAAGCAATCAAAACCCAGGCCCAGCCTGAAGTGTCAAAGGGAGCCTTGCAGGAAGAGGATTTCCCCGCGCTGAACGCACCCAAGGCCACGCCATCAAAGTCGCTTCCCGCTCAGGCTACGGCTTCTGCGGTCTCAACGCCCAAGGGCACCCCGGTTTTGAAGAAGGTAAAGCCAGCCAGCAAGGAGGCGGAGAAGTCCGAGAAGCCTTCTAGCCTCCCCCAGACGAAGCCCTCCGACAAGAAGCAGAAGACAGATGTGAAGTCTGAGGTGCGTGAAACCAAGACGGCGGACGCAAAGGCTTCCAAGGCTGCCAAGGAGGCGCCTACTCCTGAACAGAAGGACGATACTGCATTCCCATTCCTCCCCAGCGCGAGTGCAACGGCGCAGGCTGCCAAGGCTGGCCCCAAGACCCTCCGCCTGCTTTCGACTCCAAAGACTGAGACACCCCCGGCAGCGCCAACCGTGTCCGCTGTTCCCAGGGCGCTTTCGCAGGTTCGCCCGGAGACGCCAACGAGTGAGATGGTGAGCGATACCGCCAGCATGGTGTCGGCATCTGTATCTGCCTCCCGTGCCGGCTCTCCTCCGCCCAGCAACCGGGTTGGCTCCGCCGCTGTCCGGTCGAGCACCAAGAGCCAGCAGCGTAAACAGCGAAAGGAAGCGCTCAAGCAAGACGTTGCGCATGTGGTCGACGCGCCGAAGCCGGTCGCGGAAGTCCAAGCGCCGATCATGGGGCGCATGAAGAAGCAAAAGAAGGAAAAGCCAGTCAAGCCAAGTAAGGCGAAGGCAGCTGAGCCAACACCTACCCCGGAGAAGGAGGCGCCAAAGGAACCAATGGAAGAACCCGTCAAGCCATCGCCATCACCAGTCAAGGCAACTCAGTCCAGGGGCAAAGAGGCGCGTGTGGAGAAGAAGGTCGAGAGTCCTCCGCCTGTCGTTGAGCAGCAGGCCGTTGTTGAGGATGTGCAGGAAGAGGAGAAAGACTACGGCCCCGCCGCTGTTTTCCAGGATATCAAGGACAGCCTGTGGGCCTCCGTTGCGGAGAAGCTGCACATGCTCAACACCGTGTCCTCCAATGGTCCTCGCAGCAACAAGGAACCTGCGGTCAACACGGGCAGGGAACTCACGACGCCCTCCTGCAAGGACAGCGTTTGCAAGTGTGGAGAAATTCAAGCAGCAGACCTGGCGACTCTGCGGTCCGGCAAACCCGTGCGCAAGCATTTTCATTACGATGGCATCCGCATGCTGATCACACCCAATGGTGACTGTGTTCGCGGACTGTCGGAGGAAGAAGAAGACGAGTTTTTGGCACTACAGGACGCCATTGCCGCTGGAGCTGACCACCCGGGATCATTCGTTTTCCAGCGTCATCAGCCTGGCAACGGTGCTTTCTCCCTCATCAAGGGACGCGCCGTGCCAAATGGCCGACCAAACATCTTTCCAGCCACAAGCCGGTCCCAGGCCCACCCTCAATCGCTGGACCCCATCGGCAAGCTGCAGCGTGAAGATGCTCTGAGCTACATTAACCAGTACGTGCTGCCCAAGTTGGACTTTGGCGTCAGGACAGATGGTATGCCCAAGAGGGCCACCGTCCGCCAAGACGCTGCCGCGGCAAGCCTGAATTCCCTGGCACCCTACTTTTACGGTCCCGATGCGGCTGCCGGCGTGGGTATCTACAGCGCCACGGACGGCAAAGACTTTACTCCCGCCTCTGGCTCGGCCTTTGGTCAGCTCGAGGATGGGGGCCCGCGGGGACCTGGCGGCCCTGGTGTCAGCGGCATGCCCTTGATGAGTGTAGAGGACGCCGAGGCAGCGCTCAGCTCCGCACGCAAGGAGACAGACAAGTTGGAGAAGAAGCTCAACAATCTTATCAAGTCGAACCGCAGGGTTCTGCTGGGTGGGGCGCGATAAGTTGTGTTGTACGAACGGGTGTGTTGGATCATTGTACCAAGCGCAGGTCATGTTATACAGCGTCTGTAAAATTCCCATGAGCGAGAGTATTTCTACACTATATCCTCTAACCACGCTATGAGCGCTTCTTCCCCATTGACGGGCAGTGCGATGCTGTCTGCCTCTTCGCCAATGTTCTGCAACCGGACACGCTGCCTTGCTGCCTCTTCCCAGCTATCCGTATCGTCCCATTTTTGTCGTTCCTTAAACTCGACCTTTTCAATGCTACGGCGCATGAGATCTGCAAGTTCTTCTGCCTGCGCCTCAAACGTATGCTTTTTCCGACTTTTCTTCTTGACGTCCGTGACAATGGGGGCGGTGTGTATGAGGAGGGTCTGGGGGATCTTGATGGTAGAATCGCGTGGTGGGAAGACAAGATGAGACTTGCGAGCAGGCTTCATCACCATTTCCTCTGGCGAAACGGAGTTCTCATCTTTATTCAGGGAGAGCTTCATCATTTTATCCACCATGGACGGGTTCCCTTGGTCGAACGAAGAGGGAATATGTAGTCCGGGGTTGTGAAACAAGAGGCTGGGGCTGGCAAAAGCGTCGAAAAGATCTGCGGGTTTGTGAAAGAGATCTGGCACAGAGTGGAGTAGCTCTTCCATCTGTGCGCCTCCGACAAGCGGTGGCGGCGTGAGTGCCTCAGTCATTGACGTTGACTTTCTGGTCTTTTTCTTGTGGACAGGATGGTCAGGGAGGAACATTGTCCAATTGTAGATGCCGTTGAAGCAAGCCATGCCTCTGACACCGATCCTTGCGTGCGGTGTGGTCTGCGTCAAGGCCAGAGATGCGGCGAGGCTGCCACCGACGTACGACCCGTAGACGTAGATGTCACGGCGGGTGTGGTCCGGCAGTCGCAGGTTGCTGGTGAGCCAGGCGTAGGCGAAGCCGACGTCGTGTACTGGACACGGCCATTGTATGGGCAGGTGGGGGTTGTCCGCGGGTGCGAGCTGTGGTGTGGTCTGGTGCCAGCGGTAGTTGATGCTTGCGACGGGCCAGTCTCGGATGACGCTTGGTAGATCTTGAGGATTGGTGGGTTGCTGTGTGGGGAAGGGGGGAAGATGGATGATGAGCGGTGCGTTTGGCGAGTTGTTGGCCACGTTGAAGAGGCTGTTGGCGTGGGCATGTGAGTGAAAATGCGACTAATCGAACATGCCAGGGGGAGACACTCACTCTATCGCGACATGGCCTGAAGAGCCGCATCGTACCTCGACGCGCTCATGGTGGCGGGTTGAGAAGCATCTTGCGGTCCTGGGAACTTGACGGAGACATACAAAGCTGCTCTTTGAGCAACTCCATATTCGCATGATCTGGTACATGTATATCACATGCAGGCGGGTGAGTGAACACGAATATTCGGTGTGCTGGGGTACCTCCAGTCAGTAACCTCACCACGCCTTCAACGCTGGAGACGCGACGTTGGAAATAGGGCCCTTTTCGGGACTAGCGCGCCAGGTCACGCGAGCCCCTTTCTAGTATTTGAACATGCAGCGGGATGTGGGGGCGCCCCACACTTTCCAACCTCAGACACGCTCAGGTGAGCAGCTTTAAGCCTCGACGTCATCAAATCTCAGAGGCCGCCGTTTCTTCGGTCGTGAGATTCGACCGTGTTTTTTGTCACGCGATATACATGCCCATCGCCAGGACCTCGAAAGCGAATTGCCACAGCGCGAACTGGTCGGTCGACTGCGATGCATGCTGCTGCCATTACCGTTGACCCAAGGGCCGAGCATCCCTTTAGACAACATCGAGGATAATGAACGACGGGAATCTAGGCGACAACATCGCTCATCATGCGGAAAAGGCGGAGAGTCAGCTGCCTCAGAACCGTCAGGTCGCAAACGATGAAGCTCACCTCCAGCCAAGGTATACTGACATCTCCTCGTACCCACCAACCTCTAGTTTGACAAAAGTAGTCGCTGGTGGTTTGCCTCGTCGGCATTCCCTATGATCGCAGGCACGCTCGGGCCTGTCGCCTCCGCGTTCAGTATCTGTGCTCTGTGTCGCCCGTGGGTGCAATACCTTCCTCCTGATGCACTGGTGACGGAGGCGGAGTTTGTTGACGACCCAAATTGGTATGCCAACTGTCTTCGTTAAGTCGAGTTGAGTTTCAAACGATGTAACCGCAAACAGGCTCACCGTCGTCAACGCTCTTCAGCTCGCCATCGCTGTGGTTGCCAATGCGTTTCTGCTTCTCAACATGGCCAAAAGAGTGCGTTTCAGCATTGCCCAGCCCATCACGATTGTTGGGTGGTTTACGTCGTCTTTTATGCTGATAGGCCTGCTGGGAGCCGCCAGCGCGTCTCTTGGGAAGGGTCCCGCGCCCAAGGACCAGTACATCTGGTCCCAGGCGTTCTGGTACGGCATCTGGGCGGCGATTCTCTACTTTGTGACCTCGTCGCTCATGGTCGTGACCTTTCTTGGCGCGTGGAAGGACAAGTATCCCAAGGATTTTATGCTCACAATGAGCCAGCGGACACTGATGCTACAGACGGTCATGTTCCTCGTCTACCTCCTTCTCGGTGCCCTTCTCTTCTCTCATCTCGAGGACTGGAACTACCTCGACACGGTATACTGGGCGGACGTGACGCTCTTCACAATCGGCTTGGGCGACTACTATCCTACCACCACTGTGGCCGAGGCGCTCCTTATTCCATACGCGTTCATTGGCATCATCAGCCTCGGTCTGGTGATTGCGTCGATACGAAGTCTTATGCTCGAACGCGGTCGCAAAAGGCTCGATGCTAGGATAGAGGAGAGGAGGCGGCGCCTAGCCCTGAAGCGCATGGAGCGCAGCGGCACCGACACCTTGTTGGAGCCCATATCGGAGGATCGCGCGACGCCGGGTGATGACGATGACTATGATGGTCTGCCTTCGCCAGGGGACAGTCACACACCGTCCAACGAGTACGAACGACGCAAGGCAGAATTCGAGCTGATGCGCACCATCCAAGACAAAGCAGCGACACGTCGACGATGGATAGCGCTGGTCATCTCGCTGGGCACATGGCTCCTGTTGTGGATGGTCGGCGCCGTCATCTTCCGGAAATTCGAAAAGCCATACCAGGGCTGGACGTACTTCACTGGCTTTTACTTCTGCTTCACCAGTCTGACGACGATTGGCTACGGGAATCAGGCTCCCATCTCGCCCGGCGGCAGATCCTTTTTCGTGTTCTGGTCCCTCCTCGCCTTGCCCACGACCACAGTCCTGATCTCGACGGCTGGCGACACCGTTGTCAAGGTCGTCCGCGATGCGACCATCTCACTCGGTAACGTGACGATCCTGCCGGGCGAAACGCCCATCATGAAGGAGCTCATGCACGCGGCTAGTGTTATGACCCACGGTTTGATTTTCAAAAGCCATCTTGAATCGCCGCGAAAACCGATGCCTCCGTTCCGCATAAATGTCGTTAGCACCTCCTCACTTGAGGAACCGCCTCAGATGGTCGACGAGCATGGACCATCGGATGGCGAGGAACGTGGCCGACAGACCTCGCTCGATCCCGAGTCTGCGGGCTCTCAAGCACGCGAGACGTCCACCTTTACCAACCACGTCCGCCGCTCTCTCTCTCGAATGCGCGACCCCCTGAGCGATGAACTGCCCACCGGTCTGGATTTCCAATTCCTCCTCATCTCGGAGATACAGGTCGTGGCGCTGCACATACGTGAGGGCCAGTCTAGGAAGTACAGCTTTGAGGAGTGGGCGTGGTATCTACGACTGATCGGGGAAGACGAGCGTGACGCGGCCACCCATCGGAAGCCATCGCCCAAGGACACTCGGCACAGGTTTCGAGGGATCAAGCCCAGGAAAAAGGCAGACCGTGGAGGCTCGGCTAGTCCGCCGGAGGGGGGTGAGCATGATGGGGAGCATGATAAGTGGTCGTGGGTCGGACATCGGAGCCCGCTTATGGGCTCGCAGGAGGAGAGTGAGTGGATCCTGGATAGATTGATGAACCGGCTGGGGGAGAGCCTGTCGGAGGAAAGGAGGAAGCAGTTGGGGAATGAAGAGATGGATGGGCCGTCCGGGCTTGAGCGAAAGGGAGAGGGGCGACGATATAGCGAGTAATTGGAAATATTGAGTCGTTGACACTTGATATATTATCTTCGAGTACGTTGTAACTGTCCCAATGGTCGTTACCTAGACGCACAACTTAGTTTTATTTCAAACATTGCTGGATTCTTTTTATTTACAAGCTTTGTCCGACGATACAAATAACCCTTGATCAAACAAAACAGCAGCAAACAGCACCAGACTCCAGAGTCCAGGGCGACAGTGGCATCGATCAGCTCCCGCTTTACTGAACCACACAGAAACTTGAAGGCCTTCGGTAACCTGTAAAAGTCGCTGGGGCTGCAAAATGATTTACAGAAAAGGATACTTGTCCTGAAGGCTAGCGCATCCTCAGGGACTAGACCTTGGTCCCCTAACTTAGAAAGGCCCTTGAAAATCATCGCATCCTTTGGTCCTAGTAGAGTCAAAGACACACTATTCAATTTCTCCAGTTTCGGACATTCAATTGATACCAGACCTACCTCAGCCACAAAACACAAGATTGCAAGTCAGTTTGTCTAGGTCGTGCTTGTCACCCAAGTCTGTTAGCCCAAAAGGGAGAACCTTCCAGTCTTTATTGCAGTCACACCTTTCATAAAAATTTTAAGTCTAATAGTGCTCCCGCTAACGAGATTAACTCAGCTGAGCTTAACGTTTATTTTGTCTTTGTTATAGAATTCCCAGTCAGCAAGCCACATGGCTTTAGCGGGCGTCTGCCTGATATTGGCTCTACGCAACTTACGGATATTGTGACTCACTACACGATGACTGACCGCTGGTTTGTTGGGTTATTAATGGTGCTTGGGAAATGGTTGATTTTCAAGCTTCTTTACACACATCTTCTGAAGCTGTTCACCACCAACGTCGCTGCAGACAGACGCCGCCATGAACTCCCGTCGAGGAGTGTCAGTGCGCTCGGCGATTTCGACCACTTCCTCCTTCGCTGAGCGTATGGAGGCACTTCGAAAACTTCGAAAGGCAGACCTCGAAACCCTGCAGCTCCCAGAAATCGGACGTGGTTCGTTCGGCACAGTGTATGAGATTCCTGGCACAGAATGGTGTCTAAAGAAGGCACTCACATCCCCCCAAACCATGTTTCCTGAGTTCATAAACGGTATGAGGATCAGCGCCAAGGTAAACAACAAGGCATGGGGTATAATCCTGCAGAGTGGGGAGTTCCCCAATATCCTCATGCCGAGAGTGCCTGAATACCTCGGCACACATGGAATGGAAGATCACGAGAGTACCACACGGTGGTTTGAGGAGAATGGCCACAGGTTTCCAGTTGAGAATGGGGGCCAGAAGTCAGGGTCAGTCATGTGCCTGGAAAGGATCATGCCTCTACAGCAGGTGATCCGCGAAAGTCTCATCCAGCTCTACTTCAAGCCCGAGAAACAAGCTGAGGCTCTTGCTGATGAGAAGAACAAAGCCTGTCTCTGCCGGGTCTATCTTGGCTCCACATCGGAGGAGATAGAACCCGAAAAGCGGGAGCGGGAGTGCATGACCCTGCAGAACTTTCCACTGTATCTCGACCAACTGGAAGAGTTGAACATGGACCCCTTCCTCATTGCCCGGGACATGGCCTTGGATCTCGCAGCCGGCCATTGGGCTGCTGGGTTCGACATGCTCGATGTTGAGTACGTGATCGGGAGCCGACCCCGCGTCCAGGCAAGACCTTCTCCTTCTTCCATCTCGTTGAAAGCCGATGAAAAGGACGTCGCGGAGAAATCTTTTCAACGCATGCGAAACGTTGGAGCGAATGACAACGACCATCAGACTAGCTTCCGGAACCGCGCTTTTCAGGTTTGGATGATCGACTTTAACAAGGTCTCGAGAATCAACACTACCGTGGGAAAAAATTATGGCAGAAACATCCAAAAGCTGGTCTGCAATACCCGAGCCACAGACGGTCCTTACTACCCACGAGCAATAGCGAGGAACGAGAATGAGTGGAACTTGTGGCTTGAATTTGCCCGGACCTATATTCGGGCAAGCAAAACAATTCTGCTGGATATCATCGAGTCCGCAGAAGAACTTGGTGCGAAAATCACGGCCAACTCGAGGGAGCGCCTGCTCAAGCGTCCAAGTCTGTTCATCAACGGATGGGTGGAGGCTGAGGCGGTCGAGCGCAACACGACCGGGAAGGAGTTCAGGAAGAAACTCAAGGAAAGCAAATGGGAGTTGCCCTGAAAGGCAGCAGAGACGGGAGCTTGATGCTCCAAGTACGGGACATGAAGGGGCGTAGGACTTGGGTATGAGCCAGCAAAACCGTGCAAACTGGCAATCACTTTGTCGTGCCTTAGCTTTTCGGTTAGTTTAGTGTCTAGGTGAATCTTGAGAAAGCATGCTATTGTTCCTCGTGTTCCTTCTGTGGGACCTTCTTCGGCTAGATGTGGTGTGCTGTTCGTCCTGGGCTGTATACATCCTCCCGCCACAATCACCAGCATGTTCAGTTTATCCGTTGAGATCAGAAAGACTTATTTTCGAGCAACAGTGAACTTTGAGTCACTGGCCGGGCTACGGCAACCTTATTGTCTTCGGGGTGCCCGCGTAACTCTAAATATAAAATGAGACAGCCAAACTTGCTGCTTGACTTCAGCACACGGTCACACAAACTCTCTTCGGATCCACTGGGCAGTCTGAGTCAAGCTTTAAGTGAGGAGTCATATGGCGAGTGAATACGGGGTATGGGTATTGAGTTTAGCGACTATATGTACATATAAGCTGCTGGTATCCCCTCGGATGCAAGGAAGCAACCATCTTCATCCCCAAACGGGCCGCAACCACAATAACATCATGCACTATAGGGAGATTGGTCGCGGCACCTTTGGTGTCGTCTTAACTGCGGACGAGCAACCTGATACCGCCGTCAAGAAGAGCTTCAAAGGCAACGACACCCTGGCTGTTGAGTTCGAGCACGGCTTGGCCACCAGCTTCGCCGTGACAACAAGTGCGCCCAGCCTCGCACAGGAGTTTCCCGAGCCGGTCCCCCGCGTGCCATGATATTTCGAGTCACGGCATACAAAAACCGTCCGCCAAGGATCCGTGGTGGATTGCCAACGTCAAGGGGTTCCCATCTACGAATGGTGACAACGTGCCCAATGGAGTGTTTCTGTTTGAGCGCATCCCCCCAGTGCCTCGATCCCTACAGGAATCCCTCATCCGTCGATTTTGGGCATCGCCCGAGGAACAACAGGCGGCGCTCAACGACCCTGACAACAGGGACTGTATGATACGCCCGTACCTGCCGGAAAGATGGGCGTACTACGAAGCCAAAGGACGAAAGCGGCTAAACAATGAGCAAAAGGCTTCACTGCGCAACTTCCAGGCGTACCTTGACGATCTGCAAGACATGGGCGTCGACTGCCATGCGGTTGCGAGACAGATTGCCCTCGGGCTGGCCGTTGGTCACTGGGAGGCGCAACATGACATGACCGACGTTGAATTCGTCATTGCTGGCCGGTACACGCCTCCACCGACGGCCGCTCGATCCCACACGCTGCCACTCAGCGCCTACGACAAGCGAAACGACCTCGGCAACCGGACGATTGTCGCAGAAGCTCCTCCAGCCGTCCAGCATGGATTACCAACCAGAACCCAGATGTGGCTGGTCGATTTCGACAAGTGCAACCGTGTCCGTGTCTGGGACGACACCCTGGCGCAGGACATCCGGACACTGGCCCTCGGTATCTGCGCCAACGACCCCTATTACCCGAATCCGCTGCCGGACACCCAGTTCGGCTGGGACGTGTTTGTCACTTTTACGGAGACGTACATTCGTGCGGGGCGTCATCTGCTGCAGCGCGCCTTTGAAAAGGTAGCAACAAATGACGAACAGCTGCAAAAAGTGCTCAAACGGCCAGCCATGGTGATGAGGGAGTGGACCAGAACTGTGATGAACGCCAAGAGAAACAACGAAAGGGACGTGTTTGACGCACGAATGAGGGTGCGCAAGGAGCAAGGATGGGTAACACCGGCTTGGGCCGCAGAAAGATAGACGAGACATCAATACTTTGTGAGTCTTCTCGGGCAATATATACAGCTTCATCGATTGTCATATCATACTTGGACAGCGATAGCAGGCCGCGTCGTTGGAACTTGGAAGTTACCTTATGCACAGTTAGACAGTTGGCTTTCTCCACGATCACGTGGCTACGCGTACGTGGCTGCCTTGTAACTATTCGATTATCACCCACCGCAAAGCTGTACCTTGTCCCTTTAGCCATTGCGTTTATTGATTGATGTCCAGAGGCCTATTGTGTGACTCCGCTTCAGCCCAGCGAGATCTGCCTTGTGTGCAAGAAGCCAACAAACTCTCCCAGACTGGGATAAATAATCACATGATCGATCGTCACCTCTGCGTCCGAATCTGTCGCGTGTTGCCCATTCAAAGACCGCTTCGAGGTCTTTCTGCGGCATCCAATCAGTGCAACGAAATACGCAGCGTCGAGCAAGTCTCCCCCCAGGTCGTAGAACGGCATCTGCCGCATCTCCCGTGTTGGACCACTTTCGGCCAGCGCCGACTCTGCCTTTCCGCCCTTGGGAGTAAAAACGGAGAACCAGATCTCTTCGAGCGTAGTAAGACCGGTATCGACTGTCTGTTCCAAGAATTTGCCCTTCTTTACAACCTCTTCCTGCGGACTATGCTTCCCATGTTTGTCGGCCGGTTGCCAGTTGTCGAGAGCTAGCATGGGCTTGGGCATAGCCTCGCGAATGATTGCACGAAAGCCGAGCCCTTCGTGCGCGATTCGAGATCGCTGCTGATCTCTCACCTGGTGCAACAGCTCGAGAAGGGTCTGCTTGCCGGACCTGTCGAATCTGACCCGCACTGGGACGTGGGTGGCACAGCAGCCGACGAGGGTACTCGATATCACAGGGTCCACCAGGTTTCGGCCGGAAATCGTGTCACCAAACACCGCGTCGTCACTCCCCGTGTACTGGGCCAGCACATGCGCCCAGGCGCAGTTGATGACGGCCGAGATGGTAATGCCCGTATCCTTCAATCTCGACACTGCGACGGTTTTGTTCCCTGTAAAGGCCATCGGCACGGGTCCTTGGGTGTTGGACTTGGTGACTGTGCTGAGCGCGGGCATTTCGGCTCCCTTGAGCAAGCCTCGCCAGTAGGTGTAGCTCTTGTCGGTCGTGTGCGGTAGCAGATCGTGAAGATAGGCGGAGAATGGGGTCAGCTGTGTCTCAAAGGCGCCCTGCCTATCGTACAACGCATGAAGCGTGTCCCATATGATCGGGAGGGATGGTCCATCGTACAGGGCGTGCGACATTCGGAACAGTACGCGTGTCTTGCTGCTCTGCTCGTGATGGAGGATGGCCATGTCAATCATGGGGCGTCCAAGCTGGAAAGGGCGGCAAAACTCTTCCTCTGCGAGGCGTTGGGTGGCAGACTCGATGGTATCTCTCACCTTGACTCTCTGGACATTGTGTTGATAGGAATCCAGGATGACCTGGAGGAGCTTCCCATCATTGGGATCAAGCACAAATACGGTTCGAAACGCCTCCACATGCTTTGCCAGCATTATATAGCTCTGCCGCAATCGATCCAGATCCAGGACAGCATCTGTATCGAGAAAGAGCGTATTGACTTCGGTCTGTGAAGACGTCAGTGCGCCAACGACATTGAACGCAACGGCATCAGTCGCTAGGAAGGCGTCCACTATCGAGTCCTTGGGCGTTCTTGTGACTGGACACACGACCTCTTCAAGAAATACGCCAATATCTGGAACGCTGCCGAGTAGCTGAAAAGGGCGGTAGACTTGCTGTGACGCCCGTTGAGGTGCTGATCCATTGGCAAGGCTGGTGGCCGCCGCCAATTTCCACAATACTGGGTTTTGGAAGACGTCAAGAACCCGAATGTGAAGGTCCTCCGACCTCGCAGCGGCGACGAGCTTCATAGCACTGATGGAATCAGCGCCCAAGTCGAAAAGGTTGTCTTGTCGGTCGATCCTGGCTTCTTCCATGCCCAACACGCCCGCCCACATTCTACGGACAAGAGATTACCTCTCGCCATGCACCCTTCCGGGTTCTGATGTTTCGGCATAGTCATTCCCCATAATTTGGAAGCCTTCCTCAGCCATGAACCCGCGAACTGCTCGGCGGCCGGTCTTGCCCAAGGCTGTCTTGGGTATCTTGTCCATCTGCATATACACTCTTGGCACCATATACGGTGGGAGCTTCTCAGCAAGCCATGTCCTTATCCATGCATACATGCTTGACAAATCGCCTTCATCGCAGCTGAAGAACTCGATAGCGGCAACAAGTACACGTTTGTCGTCATTGGGCCTGAAGTATTCCACCACCACGGTTCTGGCACCGGGCACAAGCTTCAGGATGCTGGATTCGATCTCTGCTAGATTGAGCCGCTGTGTGGTCCCGACCAGGTCATTCATCCGCTCGCTTTCCGCGCACACATACGGTACTCCCACAGGCCAAGGTGATGAAGATATCACTAATGGGGACGTTGAATGTGTAGGCACTGAATCGGAATGCGCGGGTTGTTGGATCCATGTTGCACATATTGCCTTTCCCCACGTGGTTGGAACGCAGGTTTCTGTGCTCCAGTACTACACCCTTGGGAATTCCTATGCTCCCAGAAGTGTACATAATCCAGGCCATGTTCTCGGGACGGATCGATGTGGAGGGAGTGTCCTGAGACTGATCTTTGTGTGTCGGTTCCATCTGTTGGAGTATTGACTCACTTACAACCATGGTATTATCGTCCAGGCCCCAGGGTCTCAAACTTCTGTACATGTGCCTCATCGCAGAGGACCACGGCAGGGGAGCAGTTCCCCACGATGACCCTCAGTCGTTCAGTCGGAAGCTGAACATCGAGAGGTACAACAGCACCACCAGCATACAATATGGCCAGCATGGCGAGAATAGCCCATCGCGACTTGTCCACACAGAAGCCGACGGCTAATTCGGGTCCAATGCCTCACTCTGTCACGAGCACATGGGCAAGGGTCCTAGCCACTGCGTCAAGGTCTTGATACGTGAGTTGTCCGTCCCGACTGGATAAACAGACAAGTGCTTCGTAGCGGACGTCAATCTTCTCCTGAATCTGCAGCGGTATGCTTATCAGAGCCGGCTCAAAATGTTCTCCAAAATGGGCAAGTGGTTTTCGTCATTTGAACACCGCGCCTCCGAGGCCAGCGGATATGGCAGAGGTGAAGGGTGCTCTGGTGTCGTCCTCATGCCTCTTTCACTCGCCGAGAAGGAGGGCTATTCAATCCGTGCCGTCATCCGGAACTCTGTTGTCAACCAGGACGGCAAGACACAGAGAATCGGTGCACCGAGTGCTTCAGCGCAGCCGGCTGCCATTAAGACGGCCTACTCCCAGATCGGTCTGCCACCGTGGCGGAATATCTGAGCGACTGCTCGGGGCCTTGGGCACGGTCGAGGCGGATGTGTCGCTAAGCCATCTCGCGTACACGCTGAGCCGCAGATCTGTTCTGGAGCACCGAGTAAGAATTATTGCCTCGGGACGAGGTGTGAAGCAACAAAATTCCCCAAAAAAGAGTCACGAAGAAAGCAAAGCGGAAAAAAGGCTACTGTCTCGATCCACTGGCATTGCAGAAGGCAAAAATGCAAAACAAAGGGTCCAACCGTGGATTGAACACGGGACCTCTTGCAGTTGAGCTCGGACAACCCAAAGCAAGAATCATACCACTAGACCATTGGACCGACACCTTTTGATGTTAGAGCTCTCCATTCTAGGGCTCATATTCGTTTTTTCCAGTCGCCTTCGCCATACTTACATCGGCTCCTCAGTTCATCAGTGCATATCACCCTCGCGTCGATAGGATGCATGCGTTCTTTACTATCTGGCTACAAAACTAGCCTCATTACGTCTAGAGAATGCAAACAGACAGACAACTTTAACGTATTGACTGACCAACTGTGGCTGACCCCACCGCTACTTTACGTACTACCACAGACACAAGCGCCGGGTCTCCCACATGGAGCCGTTAATTAGCGCCTGTCAAGCTCTCGCGATAGTGGCATTGTCGGGTGTGGGCCCGGCGGCTAAAGGGATGCCAACTGTCTCAATACTTTCACAACATGGGCGCCTCCGACGAAAAAGAACATGGCAGTCATTAAGCTTTGGAGAAGCTTCGTATCGCCGGCAGCTTCTCGCGCACTGCTCGTCAGGATTGAACAGGTAAGGAGTTAATAACAGCACGAGACAGGTAGTCGTCAGACGTGGTATGACGCTAGCGCTGGGCCTCCAATCTCCATGTCCCGAAATGACATGCAGGCCAGGCAGTGCCCCATTGATTGATTGAACTGCCACGGGGTTTCATCTCGCGTCCTCTGTCTCCTTTATTACTACTCTCTCCGCACCCAAACATCTATCTCTTCTTCAGGACTCTGCGAGTAATACCTCCCGTCAATATCATCTATTCTCAGCTCTCTCCAAGGTACGCGCGGTGCTCTCATTCACGAGAAAGCTCCTGAAAGCTCAGCTGGACCCCGAAACGCTAACAGGTTCACAGGCTAACCACCACCTTCCACCATGCCTGGCATTCGTAAGTGCGCATTCGACAACTCTGCGAGTCGCCGCTGACCATCCCCAGCCCCCGGTGCTCTCGACAACATTGTCGGCAAGCTCAAGGCTGTCTTCAAGAAGAAGAAGTCCGGCGAGCCTGCGCAGCCCGCCCAGCCCAAGCCAGCCGCCGACGCGACGCAGCCCGCGACCACCGAGGCCAAGCCTCTCGAGGCTGCCACGAACGCCGCCCCTGACGACCAGAAGACTACAACCGCCGGTGGCCTCATGCCCCCTGCCGATCCCACCGCCGACCCCAACGCCACCAAGCCTGCTGTCGAGGAGCCCAAGGCCACGGACGCTGCCACTGCTGCTACACACGCTGTTCCCAAGGATCCTGATGTGACCACAGCGGCTGGCCTCATGCCCTCTGCCGATCCCACCGCCGACCCCAACGCTACCAAGCCTGCTGTCGAGGAGCCCAAGGCCACAGACGCTGCCACTGCTGCTACACACGCTGTTCCCAAGGATCAAGCTGTGACCACGGCGGCTGGTCTCGTACCCCCTGCTCCTGCTGCCGCTGCTGCTGCACCCGCGGCCACTGCTGGTAAGTTCGCTATCACGGATGAACGACTAAATCTGACCGTGCTAGCTGATCCCGCCCCTGCTGCACCTGCTGCCGCAGAGCCCGTGGAGCCCAAGAAGGAAGAAGCTGCTCCTACCGAGCTTCCTGCTGAGACCAAGGAGGCCCCAGCTGCTGCTGAAGCCCCTGCTGCTCCCGCGGCTGAGCTGCCCACCGAGGAGAAGAAGGAGACTCCCGCCGCGCCGGCTGCGACTGCTTAAAGAGCACTGTCACTTTGTTGGATATGTGCGAGCGATGCAATGTGTTCAGATCTATACCCATGACCTTGCCGCGATTTAGTGCGGCTTGGTGCTGCGATGCAATTATTAGTGTTCTATATACAAGTTCTACTTAGCCCACGGCGCCTTGGTCATGCTGATTTGCGGCTCCGTGGATGTCTCCCCCTGTGATCTGTTATCTCTGGGTTGAGGTCTGGCGCCCAGCGACCCAGAGCTCGGGCCCGCTGGCACACGCGAGTATGGTACGCCTGGTCCTGTGGCGGCTGGCATTCTCGTGGCCTGCGCCCATGGCGCGCCGGTGCCAGTGCCCGAGGACGATGCGGCAGCGGCAGCGATCGGTTGATTTGCCATGTGCACGCTCTGCGTGGGCGTGGGTGCTGTCGGGTCTTGTTCCCACGAGAAGAGTGATCCGAATGGGAAATGCTGCACGACCGGAAATTTGGAGAGCACCTCGGCATTGAACATTTTCACCATACCTTTGTTGATCTTGCCCCAGCCGTCCTTGATTCCTGAAATGTCGAATAGTATCGGCGAGTGCTCCCAGAATGGCCCCTTCTTTACATCATTGATGAAGCCAACCGCGGCAAAGTACATGTTGCTTTTGCGATAGTCTTCCACTTGTTGAGGGGCCGTCACAGCACTAGGGCGCGGTGCGCCTCGTACAGATCCTTCGAGGGGAGTGGGTTCTGAAGGTGAGGATATCGGGCGGGCAAGCTGTGCTGAGCCAAATATGTATGGGAGGAAAGAATGGTCGTCGAGGCCCCAGACGCCGTGAGAGCCAGCGGGCTCCAAGGTGTATGTGAGGATGAGCTTTCGAACCACCGAAAGATAGCTAGCATGCATGTCAGTCGCGAATTGCATAGTCCGCCGGGATGCACTTACGGCTCGATGACTGAGAGAACAATCTCACGCTCCAAGGCACCGTCTTCTTGCGAGTCCCCGTCGTTGAAGTATCCCAGCTTCCAAAGACATCCCAGAAACGCCAGAAAACTCAGCTCGTGACCAGTTCCGTAGTCGAGTCGCTGGGAACTCCCCCATGCGCCCTTGAAGTAGCTGGCAACCTCTTGCTTTGCCGTGCCATGTCCAGCTTTCAGGGTGTCGGCTAGTAGACCGCTGCCCAGCAATCCTTCCATCCTATTGTCGAGTAGCTCGTGCCATTTCCGGAAACTGACGTTTCCAAATCTCCGTGGACCTGGGTCAGGTGGTGCCTCATCTATGTATGTCTCCACCGTCTCCAGAAGCTCTTGGAGGGCTTTGATAGAGGGGGTAGATGATGGCGCGTTGGGCAGGCTGAATGTGCGGATCTTGCCATTTTCGTCCTGGCGTGGCACGAGAGCATGGTTGAGCTGCAGAATGAATATGCCGATGTCGCGGTAGGCAAGAGATGTGAGAAATTGCGAGACGTCTGTGCCCTCATGGATGCGCTTGACAGGTGTCGTGAACGTGTGAGGGGCTGTGAGATCGAGGCGGGGCAGCTTTGGCAGAGCCTTTGGCCCTGCTGTGGATGATGCGGAAGCCATGCCAATGTTACTGCCTGGATGGAAATACCAGAGGTCGTGAGCTTGTGGTTTGAGAGGGTTGAACTTGGCTCAGATGGCCGGGATGAGAATGACGACGTGGTTAGTCATCCCGTTGAGGTCGCAATGTCTGTTGGCGCGTCTCCATTTGGTCTTCAAACACGCGACCTAGGATGTCATCACGGAAAGTGCGACTGCGGGTGCTGGGTTGTGACCAGATGCCGTAATCTTTTAATCAGAGCCTAGCATTGTGTAAAAACAAAGCACCTGATATTTTTTTTTTAGGGTATTTATTATACGTCTGAGAGGACGCTGCTGAATGGAAGTTGCGAAAGCGGACTTGTATGAGCATGTCTAGTTTGTGAACTCCCTGGAGTCGGTCGCGCCACAATGCCTACTAGATATAAACACTTCTCCTGCTTCAATTCCCATGGAAAGCGGGACATAGAAACACGAAGCTTATCCCGAAAAGCAAGCGTAGTATTCAATAGACATAAATCGCTCTCAATGTTGTAAAACGCGCTCCGTATGGGTGGTGCCTAGGGTAGGCAAGCCAGCAAACAAAGCAGCTCGCACCTGTCCAAAATACGCGTTCACGCAAGAACAATCAACAGTTGAGGCTATTCATCCCAACCGGCACCATTATGCCTATGAAATCCTCAAAGCGTGCCTCCGCGTTCTTTACATCTTTCTCAGCGCCTGCAACTATCTGAGCGACCCTGAGTCGCCTCAAAATTTCAAGCTGGAAATGAGCCGCGCCACAACTTCACGAATGAGAACGAGAAGCTCGAGGCAGCTGCCTCCAGTGCGACGACGGCCTTCAAGATTGCCGCAGACGAGGACCAGCAGGGACGTCTACTCTTTCCCCGGCAGCGACGTGTCGGAGGAGGACTCTGACGGGGATGCCGGTGACAACCAAGGGCCCACGTTGGTGACGGAGCCGGCGGGCCATTTGCTGCACGACGTCCATGCAACGTCTGGCGGGCAGGATCATGAGGACCGAACCGTCGACTGGGTTGGCAGTGCGGATGGCAGTTTCGGGTATTTCACTCGCAATCATGCGAGTGCTATGGGGAGGGAGCGGCTGGGAGGCACCGACTCACATTCAGTGGGCGAAAGCGACGATATACCGGCTGACCCTGACGAGATGAGGGTGGATAGGCCGGAGCAATCAGCCGCGCCCCAACGAGCAATCGCCGGCATGTTCGAGGATGATGCCTCGTCCAGCTTCGCGGAGGACAATCTCACTGGATCCGATGGGGAGTCTTCAGATTTTGAGAATGAGGCAGCAGAAGACGCGCTCGGAGATGCTCCAGATACAGATGAGGAGCCAGCCTCAAACCGCACTCCCCATCACCATTTCGGGTTCTTTACCATCCCTGACAACCCAGAGCATGCTCGCCAGGCGAATTTGGACAGCACGGAACTACAAAGTGTTCTGTATCGTATGGGGCAATATTTGTGGGCTGGAACGGGTCATGCCTGGGAAAGCAAGATGCTCGCGCGCAACATCACGAGCAAGGCTTCCTCCCACCGTGCTGGCGCCGACAGTGCGCAGAAGTGGATGCGATGGCACAAACACGACATAAAGACGGTAACGGCACGCAACCTGGCTCTCGACACGTACAAGCTCTGGCAGCTTCTGTCGGATATGCCCGCAGCCAGTGATACACGCGCCCATCTTGACTACCTGCGCTCGAAACGCGTTTCACACCAGTTGAAGCACTTGATGCTCGCTATAAATCAGTCAGTTAATGGACTGGTCTCCTACCCGAAAATCATGGAGGGTGAACAAACGGAAAAGTATAGGAGGTGGAACATCAAGGTGTTGCAAGACATCCGCCAGAACACCATCCCCCTTTTGAGTCTCGTGCTCAAGATGGCCTTTGTTCGCGGGTCTACAATTGAACATGTTGATACGAGGAATGTGCCCCGGATGGGGCGGTTCTTATCGCCCGGGTTGCAGATGCTTCTTCGCATTGCTAGATGGCTACAGCGACTCATTGAAAGAGCATGTGATGATCACAGCACCGATTCGACTGACCCGCCACCGCATCAGGTACGAATACAACAGGGGCGCGCAAGTACACGCCGTTGTGTTCGAACCTTGATCGAGCAGGTGTGCAAGGCCATGGAAGAAGTCGATGATAGGGCAAGCGCGAGGGGAGCCCAGGCTGCTGCTGCTGTGCATCATTCTCGCGCCCGTAGGCGTCGCGCAGAGTCGAGACTGGAAGAGGAAGAGATCGAAGCCAAGCTACGGCGATTCGAGGAGAAGACCGGGGGCATGTATCAAGGGCTGGCTAGGCGCAAGAAGCTGGAACGACTTCAACAAGCTCGCGCTGTCTTGTCGGCTACCGTTACCGGGCATAGGGAGGATGGCTTCACTCGCGCCACGGTTGGTGCGGCATCTGCCCGGAGATCGTGGGAAGATCTGCCTCCACCGCCGGACTTGAGAGCTGTACAGCCACTGAGCAGCCGCGAGGTGTATGCCTCGGAGAATGGAGGATGGTTTTACGAGGAGGACAAGGCATTGCTACGGGAGCTCCGCAACTCTCGAGGGTCGCCTAGGGTTGAAAACGTGCAATGCGTATTAAAGTATCGGCGTGAGAAATTCGACATCATCAAGAGACTGAGAGAATTGGAGACACTGGCAAAGAGGGTTGCTGAGCAGAGGGGGATTGACATTCAGTAGGTACAGGCTATGAGATTGGCGTTTGGGCGGTATGGTCAGCACAAGATACCTACTTGTACACAATCGAATTTCGAGCGTTATATGGCTCCGTGGAGTTTGCGTCATGGCCTTGTAGATATCCGTCGTCAGTGTGAAGACTGGAATGTGGCTGACGGCAAGTCTCCAACGCGCGACGGATATCGAGGGGCGAGGGGCGGGTCGTCGCGTCCCGGCGCGTCTTCCCAATTTCCCAGAGCTGGTGACCCGAAGGGCTTACGCTCCACGAATTGCTTGGACAGAGCCAGAGGTACCTTGAGGAGCTGCACATGCCTCCAGCAACGATCACACGCTTGTTCACGGGCAAGTCCGCCCTTGTGGTGCTCGTCAAAGCAGTAGGCGGTGACGATGTGCTGGCCAGCTCACGTTCCAAGTCCAGGGGTCGTGGATCCTGCGGGCCCCTGTAAATAAGCGGGACTGCAGATGAACCAGCGGCCAAGCCATGACGCCCATTGGCCACGATACCACTGTGACTGCGCTGGCGGGCACCCACCCAATGGAACCTCACCTTGGACTTTCCACCTCAATCTTTCAGGTCAATCTTCCAATCCAGTCCCTTCCTCCCGCCTGACCCCTTCTCTCTCCCCCCTCAATCCCGACAAGACGACAACTGGCATCCCTAGTCTCGAGGGATAGAATCCATACAGCTCGTCTCCATTATCTCTGCATTAGCTTGCAGAGTCGACAGCCGCGAGCTATCTCGGTACGCGGGCGTTCAGGGGTACCAGCAGTGTGCATCTTTCGCTAACCAAGTACCCCTTCTCCCTTCAGACACTTCACCATGGCCGACATTGAGAGCGTCGACGTCCCCAAGGCTGAGGAGCAGGATCCTCAGCTCGTAGAGGAACAGGAGGAGCAGCCCGACGACACGGCCATCGAGTCTGCCTCGGACGCGCCAAAGGAAGAAGACCAGGAGGCCACCCCGATCCCTTCGTCGCCCGACGCCAGCGCATCCGAGGCTCCCAAGCCAGCGGCCAAGGCCAATGGTGAGGCCAAGCCCACGACAACCTCTACTGTCAGGCGTCCCGCAGGTGCAACTACTGGCACTGTCCGCCGACCTGGTACTACAACCACGACCCCCTCGAGGACGGCTGGCACGACAGCAACAGCTCGTGCGACAGGTGGTTTGAGCAAGCCCCCGACGCGCCCTCCCACGACATCCACGACAGGTGTGCGCCGCCCCACGACGGCTACCTCGACCACGTCGTCCCACCGCAGCCGTCCGAGCGTCAGCGCCAGTGAAGATGAGCGCAAACCTGCTGCTTCGACCACCACTGCCCGCCGCACCAGCAGCATCATGACGAGCCCTGCCAAGCCGACTGCTACCCGAACACCTGCTGGTACGACCGCTTCGGCGCGCAAGCCTGCTGCGGGCACGACGTCGTCCACGACATCATCGAGAACGACGCCAGCCCCCAGGACGGCCACAGCCGGCGCAGCGAGGACTGCAACCACCCGCGCTCCTGGGACCACTGCCTCGGCTACCGAACCCAAGAAGCGCCTGTCGACTGTCGGTGCTACACCAACCATGCGCACGGCATCGCGACCTACTACCGCTTCCTCCGATGCGGCCAAGGAAATTGATGAACTCAAGTCCAAGGTCGCTGAGGGTGAGACTGAGATTGAGAACCTCAAGGCCCAGATCAAGACATCCGAGGAGAAGCTCGCCGAGCTGAGCGAGAAGCAAAACGCTCAGCCCACCGAGGAACTCCAGGATGCGACCCGCAAGGAGGGTGAAGAAGCCATTGCTAGCCTCAAGTCTGAGCACGAGGCTGCCGTCGCCGCTCTCGAGTCGCAGGTGGCCGAGACTAGCTCCCAGCTCCAGGCTGCTCAAGCCGAGGTTGAGCAGCACAAGGCCGACCTCGCTGCCGCGCAGGGCTCCAAAGACGCGCTGCAAGCGGAGCTCGATGCTGTCAAGCAATCGCTCGAAACACTGCAGACTGAGAACGACGAGAAGCTCAAGGCTGCCGAGGCTGCTCTGAAAGAGGCGCGAGACGAGCAAGCTGCCAAGGTCGAGGAGCTCACCGCTTCCTTGAACCAGGAGCACCAGGCTGCTGTGGAGGCTCTCGAGTCCAAGCACAAGGAAGAGCTTGCGCGGGACCAGTCGGATGCGTCGTCCCATGAGACTGCCATGGCTGAGCTCAAGTCGAGCCATGAAGCTGCCCTCGCAGAGCTACGGAAGAAGATTGACGAGCTTACCGCTTCTCAGTCCGCTGTCGAGGCGGCCAGCGAGGAGAAGGTTAAGGCCGAGAGTGAGGCTCACCTTGCCAAAGTAACTGCCCTCGAGGGCGAGATTGCTGAGCTCAAGGCCAAGGCGGAGAGCGCCGAGGCCGCCGCTGAGGACGCCAAGTCGCAGCTGGAGTCTGGAAGTGGCGATGTCGGCAAGTTGCAGATGGCCTTGGCCGAGAAGGAGGACGAGCTCGCTGCTGCCAAAGACGAGCTCTCCAAGGTCAAGGAGGAGATATCAGCCTGCCAAGCTCAGCTCGCTGAGGCGCAAGCTAGCCTCGCCGACAAGGAGAAGGAGATTGCCGAGATCAAGGATAAGCACGAGGCACGCATGCTGCAGCTCAGCAAGGACTACGAGGCCGAGATTGATGAAGCCAAAGCAGAGCCACACTTCAAGCGTCAGTTCGAGGCTCTGGAGCTCAAGCACAATGACCTGGACAAGAGCTTTGCCGAAGCCAAGGAAAGTCACTCGGCGGCCATCGCAGCAGCCAAGGCTGAGCACGAGAGCGCTCTGGCCGCCCTTGAGACCAAGGAGATCGAGCACCAGAAGGCTCTTGATGCTCTTCGTGCCAGTCATGCCGAGGAGCTGGAAAGTGCCAAGACCGGCGCCACCAGCGACAAGGAGACCCATTTGGCCGAGATTGACGCCCTGAAGAAGCAGCACAGCGAACAGCTGGAGATCCTCAAGAAGGAAAGTGAGTCGAATTTGACCAAGGAGCTCGAAGCGCTGCAGGCCTCCCATGCCGAGGTACTGCAAGCCATCGAGAAGGACAGCGAAGGCGAGAAGCAGAGACTGCTGGAGAACCACCAGGCTGAGCTGGCCTCGGCCAAGACAGCTGGCGATAGTGCGCACGCTGAGGCGCTCAAGAAGCTTCAGGACGAGCACGCCGCCAGCAGCGAGAGCGCCAAAAGCGCCCATGCTGCTGAGCTGGAGAAGGCAGTGGCAGAGGCTGCTGCCTCGCGTGAGGCCGGCGAGGCCCACGCCAGCGAGATGGAGAAGCTACGTGCCGAGCTTGCGGCGGCCAAGGACGCCAGCGCGGCCGCCGAGAGCGCTGAAGTTGCTGCTCTGAAGCAACAGCTCGAGGCTGCCCACGCGGAACTGGAGAACTTCAAGGCAGAGACCGAGATGGCCATTGAGCGGGCCGTCGAGAGCTCCACGGTCGAGCTGGAGGAGAAGCACAACAGCGTGGTTGAGCAGCTCATCAACCAGAACGCCGAGGCTCTTGACAAGTACAAGACGGAGCGGTCGGACTATGGCAAGGAGCTTGAGGCTATGACGGCGTCGCACTCCCAGGCCCTCCAGGACGCCATCACTGAGTACAGCCAGCGCAGCGACTCGCTGCAGGAGCAGCTCAAGGAGGCTTCACTGGCCCGCGACGCTCTGGCAGAGCAGCTGCAGACCGTCCAAGAGACTCTCGACAGCTCCAACGAGGAGATCAACAGCCTGAGCCAGCAGCTTGCGCACGAGAAGATGGAGCGCATGACTGCGCTGGCGGAGCTAGATGCTGCCAAGAGCGCGAAGCCCGACACGAGCGAGTTGGATCGCCTGAGGCAGCAGCTGTCGACGGCCGAAAAGTCCCACGGCGATGCCCTGGCTTCGCGCGACGAGGAGCTCTCTGCCGCCAAGGCCTCTCTCGAGGCAGCCCAGGAGCAGCTCTCGTCCGTGACAGAGGACCTCGAGCTCGTGAAGAAGGATCTCGAGGCCCACCGCGCCGAGGCCGAGGCCAAGTCGATGACGGCCCAGGCAGACTACAAGGACCTGAATGAGAGCATGACGAGCATGGTGGAGGATGCGCAGAACAAGGTCAAGCTCATGCAGACGGAGCTCGACGAAGCCAACAAGAAGGTGGGCGACTTTGAGAGGAAGCTTGAGGAGCTGGATACCCAGCTCAAGGTCAAGGACGCCGAGATTGCCGAGGCAAAGGTGTGTCTGTCCAGTATACGGTTCATATTGATGAGATGACTGACCCAACGATTTCAGGCAAATGCCCCCTCAAAGGCTAAGGGCCTTGCGGACAGCCGTTTTGCCAACGATGACGATGACGACAAGGCCGAAGGTGAGGACGAGACCGATCACGACTCTGCTGCGTTAGCCTTGGTGCGCAAGCCCCGTGCAATGCCAGCTTGTTGACTGTTGAGCCCTTACTGACTGCGTCTCTACAGCTAAGTAAGGCCCGCGTGACGGCGAAACAGATGGACGCCCTCAATCGTGAGGTGGGGGAGCGCAACTTGAGGTAAGTTGGGACGACATGATATCTCGAGGGGAGACGACGGATGCTAACAGACAATCCCACAGGGCGCTGGGCTCCATCACGAACTGGTCGCAACAACCAACGAAGACGATGTGATCTGTGTGCGTGTGTATATTATGTCAAATAATTGTTAATACCCCCCGGCGCTGTTTGTGCGCTTGTATCTACTTCTTTACTTCTCTGCCTGCGCTGTGTTCTTTGAGGTGTTCGACGTCAGCATTGGAGAAAGATACCCCCCCTTTTGTTCTGACATTGCGTGCGGGTTTGGAGATGTGTTTGCGAGTGTGAATGAATCAACTACATCACGCTATCTTGGCTCGCATGGATGACTCTGTCGAGATGTGTAATGACTTGTTTGGGGGTGAGGAGGCGGCCGCGACGAGCCAACTACCATCCAAGTAGGTATTAACATGACATTGACGCGTGGCCCTTCAACGTTGATCTGGCCCGTTACCCGACGCAGTAACGAGTATCATTTCCAGGCTCCGTTGTGCCATGCTTCTAGAACCACGGATGCAGACTGTGTTTGGATCGAGATGTGTGAGCTAGGCCAAGCTTTTTGGCCAAGCTTTTGAGTACAGGGATGGGATGGGATGGCTGCGTGATGCCGCCTCTCGCACGCTTCGGTGACGTTGACGAGACGTCTTAAGAGGCCGCCTGCGACCAGGGTTAAAGGTACACTTGCATAGACGCAGCATATCACGAATCACGAACAGGACCCCCGTGGATAAAGCTTGTTTGAACTTTGGGGACGGAGCCTGGTGATCTTGGCAGGGTATCTGTCCGGTTCATACTTCGCGGGTCAGGTAGAGGTGTGTGTCCCTGATAGTGGTGGCTCGATGCGCAGTTCGAATCGGAGAGCGCGTCGCGAGATAGACAGCGACGAGGTGTCGGGTCGGGTTGTCTGTGCTTGTTGATCTTTAATAGACATGAATTCATGGATTACTTGTACGTAGGATTGACGGATAGTGATCCAAACCCGATGGCCGCGCCCAGCCAGCCAATGAGGATCTGGCATGCATGATCGTACGGCAATATATGGGTCGACAGCACCGATGACGTCGCCGTCTATCGGCATTGGCCTGCTTGGGAAGGAAGCGACTGGACTTGGACACAAGAATCCGGGCAACTTCATGTCTCAACGGTCGGTGCCTCCAGTCGGGGGTTCGCGTCTCCCTCAAGTTAGCGGGCTCGCGTTCGCAAGAAAGGCCGTTGATCAACAGAGAGCTAGGTATCTACTGTGCCCGTCACATATCAGTGCTTTGCAAACTACATACGGAGTAGTCGGGTGCGTGAGGCCACAACTGGACGGACCGGACCCGCTGGCTGCGACAACTCCAGCAGCACGCACACAACGTCATCCAATACCGCCGGAGTGCCGTCTCCGTGCTGCGTCCGCAATCCATGTCCGTCGGCGAAACTTTGTTGTACGTAGTACCTACTAGTCTAGCCAGGACAGGACTGGAAAGGACCCTACATTGGAGCAAATAATAGTGAGGGATCCAAGGGATTAATTAGGTGTCGCTAGCGGCACCACAGATGCTTGTTTGTCCTGGACCCCGGGCCTCGTCAGCACTCTCCTCAGTCTCCAGTGTCCTTGGAAGTTTTGAACATGGAGCACAGCCGCTGCAGCTCCAGTCTTGCAGCTGCAGGGTACTGGACAGACTGACGCTAACCCACGGCTACGCCCCTGCCATTCCTCAATAAAGACTCATCACTTCCCGCGAATCTCGCTTTTCTCCCATCACCATCTTTGAATCTCACACTGCCTCCCAAGTGCCCACAACCATGTGCTTCAATTAAAGACGATTCATTCCTCCATCTGCCCTTCACTCGCGCTGTTCTTGATATCTTTTTTTCCCCCTCCTCCGGGCCCCCACCACATCCTGACCTGAGGCTGCAAAGGCCCCTTCCCCTTCACCATGCCACCGGTAATCCACGGCAGCAGGACAAAAGCCCAGTCGGACCCCATGCTGGCCGTCCATCAGCCCACGACACCCCACGGCGACGCTCTCCAAGATACCGCGACGGACCGCCCTGGTCAACAACCCCACACGCAGTCCGCCGACGTTGTCCCCAGCGCGCGCAGCGTCTCCTTCTCCCAGGTTCGTCTTGGCGGAGCCTCGTTAGGCTGGAGAAGCCATGATGAGACGGACAACGAGGGGGTCAAGAAGACAGGCCGGAATGGCTCATCGACAAATGGTATCGGGTCACCAGCACCAGCGCACGGCAGCAACGACGGACACCGACGAGGCAGTATCTTCCCCGGCCTGAACACGATTGACCCGGTGCCACGACAGAGCCTGTCCTACGCGCTACGACCGCAGGCAGAGGCCTACTACGACTCGCGAGCCGGCACGCGCAAGGAGTGGAAACGACGCGCGAAGACGCTGGAAGAATACTACGAGGACAATCCCGACCTGCTACCCCAGCTGCCCTTTTCATGGCACCACGGCAACCGACGCTGGCGACTCTGGTTCTTTGCCTTTGTGGCCTTTGTCGACGCCTCGGCCGTCCCGATTGCTCTGTACTATGGGATGAAGTACGCGGGCAACGTGCAGAACTACATCATCTTCATCATCGTCACGACCATCTGGGGCGGGCCCGCGTACCTCGAATTTGCCATCCGGACGCTGCGACTGATGAAGAAGGAGAATTTTTACCGGCCGCTGGGGACGACAAGCCGGTGGAGCGCCGACGTTTTGACGTGGGCATCGAGCGTGGCCATTTTTGTCCTGACCGCGCTGTTCATCATTGGCAGTGCGCCGCATGAAACCTGGCTGCGCGTCGTGGCCATGGCGGCGCCCTCGATCCTGTGGACGTATGGAGGTGTCGTGGTGGCAGTGACGCTGCTGCACAAGTACAAGATCCCGGCGCCCTTCCGCTTCAGCTCGACGCCCAAGGGTGGGGAGGTACGTCCACGCATTCCTCGACACGGTGAATGATACCAGAGCTGACACTTTTACTACTAGGTTCTCCCCTGCGTGTATTACTTTGTCGAAGACACCCTTGCCGTCAACGGCGGATGTGGCCGACCCTACCGCGAGGCTATTGCCGCCCGCTATCGCGCATCACCGCGCTTCCGGGAGCTCATGCTCGAGATGTCTTGGTTCTGGGGGATTGGCGCCCTCGTCATGGCCACAATCCTGACTGTCATTGCCGTCATCCCCGTGGTACCGGAGGACTGGTCCTATGGCGTGTGTTGGACTGTCCCCTTCCTCTGGTGCGTTTCGTGGGGTGTCGCCACAATCTACATTGGCAAGTCCAGGATGGTGCGGGAGAGGCTCGAGTGGGAGGCGGGACGGGTTCCTGGAAAGGACGTGGGGACCACGAGTCCGGTCGTCTCGCCGGTCATGTCGCCGGTCAACTCCGCCGTTGCCTCGCCTCCTGTATGATATCGATTTATTTCTCTCCGATGGCGAGGGGAGTTAGACTTGTCTTTTTTTGTTCTTCTGCAGCGACATTCGGCACAGCGACGGTAGACGATAACGATATAGATGTTTACTTTTTCTTCTCGTCCATGTTTCTCCTCCCATTCCCGAACACATTGTCATGATGACTTGGTTACGGGTCGGACCATGAGGGCAGAGGGGTGTTCCTTTGGCCCATTCCACTTGGAGAAGTCGGCGTTGAAGAGATCGACCTCGACAAACCCACGCTTCGCGTACCACCTGGCAGCGTCAGGAGACGACTCGAGGTACGAGTCCAAGCCGAGCCTGTCTGCTTCTTCGGCGCCCCACCGCAGGAGCATCGACGCCGCACCACGGCCTTGATGTGCCGGATCGGTATGCAACAGCTTGAGATCTACTCTTCGTGAGCATCCTTTCATCCAACACAGCACAGGTCGTCGTAACTTACACGCATATGGCCTTCCCTCGAATCTCTCCCCCTGTCGCCTGCGCATCTCCCCAAAGAAATAGTCGCACGCCTCCCAGTTGCTCCCGGTGCCATAGTCCACTGGCGTGTCGTTTTGCGCCTTGTGCTGAGGCTCGGTCCAGAAGAACCACATGCTAAAGGCTACCATGTTTCTCTCCTCGGGGAGCTCCGTGTCAATGACCTTGACCCACTTGCACGCCGGGTCGGCCTCAAGCTGGGAGACCAGCTTCTCCACGCGTGGGTTGGGCGCATCGGGGGCAGAGGGGGGGAAGGGACCTGGGTAGATGATGGGACCGATGGGGTTAGGTCCGTAGGCGAGGGTCTCAATGTGAATGGACTGGTCTGCGTCGCGAGGACCAGCGGGGAGGAGCTTGAGAGGCATTGTCGGGTTGTCTGCGGAATGGGGATGCTTAGGCGGATGGGGGAGATCACAATACTTATAGGATTTGGAAGATCTTCTGCCTGGTGGGATCGTCTCGCCGGGACAGATTTGGATTAGCTTCAAGGTCACAAGTCCAGAAGGTTGTGGAATAGACTGCATCATGCAAAGGATTGTCACGTATTCCTGGAGCTGCCAAGCAGGTAGGAGGCTAGGAGCTGCACGAGGTTCGGCGAGCCTGTTCGGGAAGTACGTCGAGGCGAGAAGCGGTTACAGCCGGGGCGCATGTATATTTTGACCTACCCGGGATCACTGAGTGGTTTCGATGTTACGCTGACATTCTTGTGGAATTATTCATTATTTCATCTAATAAGAGTATTTAATTAGACTTGATCAGTCGGTCTGATTTCATCAGAAATATCATTAAGAAGCCTTCAAGGTTAGATAAACTTCATAAACCCCATCTACTAGTCCTAAAAACAACATAAGTCAACAACCACCAAGAGTACTAATCTGCAGCAGCAAACTTTGGAGATTGCAGGTACAGACGGAAGTGTAGCTGTGATCAGCCAATTTGTCCGAAGAAGTAATCCCCGTGCAACCGACAGCCTCATTTCATTCTTCGCCATTAGATCCCCAAACCAAGTCCGACCGTTCGCTCTGACCGGTTTCACAAAATGTGGGAAAGGTGCTCCAATGAGTTACTGGATTCCGAAAATTCGTCTCTTCGATGTATAGTTCGTGAGTCGACTCCGGCACTCCATTAATTCTATGGGAATTTTTTATTCATTCTAAAGTGGTCCTTGCCGGTGCGCCTTTGAGTCAGTCGTAAGGTGATTCGACGTTTGGGTCAAGAGTCAAGACTCAAGGCGGCATTGGCAAGCAATCGCAGCCATGCTCCTCACTGCATGTGGTGCGCACACACTGCTCAGAAGTGCCACGGTATAAAGTAACATTGTGAAAGAGTAACTATCGCAAGTGTCTTAGATACACCATCCTACCCCGGTCAGGTAGCTTTGGCGAGTGCAGACATGGCAATCAGTGTAGGTTCTACAATTGGCAGTGTTGAAGCACTTTGGATGGCTGCAGCGTTGCGCCGAGACCTCGTCCGCATCGCCTTCCTCCGTATTCTCGCATTCCCCTTCGTCGTCGTCCTGGGCTGTGGCAGCATCGCTGAGCTCTTGAACAAAGGAGTCGTCAATAGCCAGCACAATCGAATCATCGACCTCGATGACCCAGCCACCGTATTTCAGATCCAGCGTACTATCAGGGTACAGAGCAGCTTGGCTATACAGACTGTCCCAATCATAGACCACTGCGGCTGTCGAAGGAACCTCGATATCATAAGAGGCGGTGCCACGTGCTTGCAGAGCGCGTGCGGAACCTTGGGCAATGAGTGCCAGAAGAACAGTGGAGGCGTCGTCTGGTTCGTATCAGCACGAGCCTATCTGATATATTCAAGTTGTGACAAGGCGTGAACTCACGATGCATGTCGTAATTATATGTACTGTCCGAGGACTCCGTAGGATAGGCAAGGCGCAGGTTGAATCAGTTTCGAACTCAGGTAATGCCTAGTCTGCTATGTTAGTCCAACGTGTTGGGTTGTCACTTCTATTTATGCTCCAAAATCTGTCGCTCGTTGAGCTTGGCGATTATGGTTCTTTTGGTCCAGTCTGTTGGCCTGTTGGCCTGTTGGCCTTGTGACTTCCTCTACGCACTCGGCCAACATTGGGTTGCATGGCATTTCTTCATCTGCCCGCTATTAACAAGAATTACCCCGCTCGGTTCAGAATATCGAGGATGCATGTGCTTTGGCATGTGTCTTGCCATGTACATACCTATATAAATGGTTGGTTCTGCCGTCCTTGTTGGCCCAGAACAACTTGGCTTGAATGCATTGCAACCTTCCCCCTCTCTGATAACCCGCGCGCGCAAGAGACTCGCCGAGGCTGATGTCATGTCGGCGTCTCTCAGCATTGGAAGCACCACGCCAGCAGGCCGAAAGGAGAGGCGCGTCCTCCCCGATGAGCTACCCCCTGAGCGAAAGCAGGCTCATCGCGACCTTCACACACTGCTCTACAGCCTCCCGCTTGACCCACTAGGAATCGTCGATGTCGGGAAGGACGGTGTACTCCGCTCATTGACCCACGATCGCAAAGTCGTTGCGGCTGTGCCTCTCGAGCCGCGTCTGATCAAGGCCTATCTCGACCTGGGCGAGTGGAACGCAGAAGCGGAAGCTCACTTTCGCGGCGTGGACGGCACAAAGGTCCCCCGGCCGCAGTGGGACCAACCAGACTCTGACATGCTGCCGTCCCCCCTTGAAGGGTCCCCCTTGGACGAAGCCAAGAGACTCCTCGACGAGACCGACATGAGTCTTGATGAGTTTGGTCACTACAAGGGTGAACAAGCCCAGACGGACACGCGGGGTTTGTGTCCTATTGTGGTGATGTCGGATCATAAGATCCTCCGAGACGACAAATGAAGAAGGCTTCGATCACAGCCTTAGGAACTTGCGGGCGTTCGGATTCTTCGGACAGAGGATGAGATCCCACCGTTGGGCTCGGTTCTTAGTAGCTCAATCCATTGGGAAGACCCTTCTTGGTACTTGCCTTCTCGCCAGTATCCGTACCCTACTGTGATGGCATGGCGCGGTCTCGCTTCCCAGAAGGTAGAGATTGGAGAGTCGGGGGCCTTCCATGTCGAAAAGACAAACTCTCGCCGGTGGTAAGAGAGGAACAAGACGAAGCTAAACGTCGAATGCCACCCTAATTGATGCCGTAAGTGAAGGAAAGTGACACGAGATGGAAGTCACCGTGTGGTGCTCAGGGGTCACGACTCACAGTTCACGGAGGGCCAGCGGCCTCGCGGTGCACTTCATCTTGCAATCGAGTTCACCTTTTCGCTAATACACTCGATTCAATCCAACCCAGTTGTCGCGTCCTCAACTGCGCCGCCTGCGTCTTCTTCATAATCCGTCACCTCCTCGGAGACATGAGAACATATCTAGGAAATCATTGTCCACGACTCGCACCACGGACGTACTCGATACGTTGCCCACCTTGGTCTTTGACATATGGAAACATGAACGTAAAACTAATTGAGGACTGTTGAGACGGACAAAACCATGGAATACATGTAGGTATGTAACCGTATGTTGTCCCCAGCTGGGGCCCAGCTGACAGCATCCGACGTCTCCCCTCAACCCGCGGTGCCCCACAAATATCCGCGTATCGGCGCGCTCGTCGGTCTGGCCGCTGGATTCTGATTTTTTCCGTCATCTACCATTCCATCCGTGCTCTATAGTCCACGACGAACCATCAACCCGACGAACCTCTGCATCGCTACCCGGGCCACAGCGCACCCAGCTCATCGCGCCGCCATCCGACGACCTCCTCAGCCACCGCCAGATCCGACGACGACGGCGACGACGACCAACGCCCGTCGACACTCCTCCTGACCCATCTCCCTCCCCCCATCGTCCTCGCCGCACGTCGCGCACACCCTCCTCGCCCACAATGACCATGGATCACGGCCGCGACCCCTGCCCCTGGGTCATCCTCAACGACTTTGGCGGCGCCTTCGCCATGGGTTGCATAGGCGGCTCCATCTGGCACGGCATCAAGGGCTTCCGCAACTCCCCCTACGGCGAGCGCCGCATCGGCGCCATCACCGCCGTCAAGATGCGCGCCCCCGTCCTCGGCGGCAACTTTGGCGTCTGGGGCGGCCTCTTCTCCTCCTTTGACTGCGCCGTCAAGGGCGTCCGCCAAAAGGAGGACCCCTGGAACGCCATCATCGCGGGTGCCTTCACCGGCGGCAGTCTCGCCGTCCGCGGTGGCTACAAGGCCATCCGGAACGGCGCCATTGGCTGCGCCGTCCTCCTCGCCGTCATTGAGGGCGTCGGCATCGGCATGGGCAAGATGTTTGAGGGCGGCACCAAGCTCGAGATGCCCCAGCCTCCGCCGGGCATGGAGGAGAAGGCCATGTAAGCTGCTGCTGCTGCTGCTTGGCTGTTGCACTGTTTTCTCGCGCCTTGGCTTACCTTTGGCTTTCTCATCATGGACATGGAGACTTCCCCCCTCTTCCTCTCACGCGTGTAATTTTCTGGGGCGCACAGCTTCACTGTACGACCGACGACATAATCTTCCTCTCATACCACCACCATCACCACCGACACCACCACCACCGACACATTGACACATCTACCGCATTTTTCACATGGGCGTTTTCACCACCACTGTATTATAGACAGGCTGCTAGCAGGCAGGTAGCGGGAGGGGACTTGATAGACACACCGGAGACTCTGTACGACCAGGAGCGGAAGAAAGGAAGAAAGGAAGGATATAATGAAGCCTTTCTTGGATGAATGATGGATGGGGACCACAAATGATCCGATGTATCAAAAATCTCGTGTGCGCACGCAAGTACCGAAACCAACACTACAACAAAAAAAAGTTTACAAATCCGCATCCTCCCCGTCGTTGGTCCATATGCTCATCCGTGCCCTGCCGTGCTCATCGATCCACGCGCGAAACATGCCGCCGCAGTTGAAATCCATCATGACGTCCGTCGTCGCGTCCACGACATGGCCTGCCGCGTCGCGCGTGACGGTGCTCTCGATGCCAATCATCCCGCCTTGCCCCTCGCCCGTCTCGCCGTCCCAGCGGTCGCCGGCGCTGCGCTGGAGTTCGCCGCCTGGGCCAGTAACGCGGGTGAGCGATGTGCGTGTCGAGAGGGTGCGTAGCGTGCCATGGCGGCGACACTGCGGGCAGCGCCCGTCCGGAGGAAAGAGTCGCCATTCCCTGTTCCAGAGACGGCCATGCTCCTTGTGGTGATGGTGTCTCTGTTTAGTGGCGCGTACAGAAAAGGGGTCGGCAGGCAATCCGCCAGGATGCCCTTTAGCGCGCCTGTAATTTCCAAGGTCGTCTTGTACACAGAAGAGCCGGGCGAGGACGTTCCCAGTCTGTCAACCCACTCTTCTGCCCAGTATCCGGCGCCCGGGGTCGGTGTATCTCCTATTCGGCCGGTGAGCTTGTTCGTCAGGCCACCGGTGCTGGTCGCCACGCAGATGACGCCTTGGCCGTCCGCAGCCACGGCGCCGCACGTCCCCTGGGGCAGATATGTCTCGCTAGAGTACGTGGCGACGCGGCCTTTGCCCAGCCTGGCCCGCGACAGGGAGCGGATGTGCTCGTCCCATCGTTTCTGCGTGAAGAAGTACTCGGGGCTGACGAGGGACAGTCCATACTGGCGCGCGAGAGCCTCGGCCGTCGGACCATGCAGCAGTGTGTGGCCCTGCGCGCTCGGCACGTCGAGTCCCTCTTGGGCGATGGCATCCCCCTCCAACCCCAGCAGGTCATTGTCTCCTCTCAAGAGGATCTCTTTGGCCAGCACGATTGGGTTCCGCACGTGCCGTAGACCCATGACGCCGGCTGTGCGCTTGGCATGGCCTCGCGTGACCATGACGCTCGCTTCCATCTCGTTGATGCCGTCGCGCGTAAAGACGGCGCCCCGGCCTGCGTTGTAGAGGGGGTCATCCTCCAGTAGCTCCACTGCGCGAGTCGCAATGTCGAGCGCACTCGCATGGGGGCTGTCCAAGAAGCACTGCGTCTTCTCTAGCTGCGGGGCGAGGGAGAGTTAGCAGGCTTGTATAGGTAAATGAGGTCAGGGGGCATGGACTTGCAATGGAGAGGAGTGATGTGCGGTAGGACTCGTAGATTTTGGGTGGGATATGGTGACGCTGAATGTTTCCTGCGCCGCCATGTATGATGAGGCGGGGTTGGAGAGGAGATGAAGAGTTGGGGCGTTTTCTATCCATGATTATAGTGCTTTCTCAACTCCAAGAGATGCGGACAGGATGAGGTTAGAGTTAGAGCGCGATAGTCTTATGTCCATGACACGCGGGGACCCCGCCTACTACGAGAGGCCCTGTCAGTGCTGATACTGTATCAAGGTCTGCGCAAGAGACAGGCGCCCCTTTGTACAGCACAGAATGAGGTTGATTCGTGGCATGTGGCACATCCAAGGGATGAATGATCATATATATATATTCATAAACGCTTTTATGCCACCTTGGGCATGGGGTATCACAAGAGTCTAATAACCAAAATTACCCAGATATTCACATACTTGCTCCCAGAAACACACAATCATGACACCGATTTAAACAAACCAGACGCGATCTTGATAGCTCGGTCGACATCCTTAGGTCGGACGCCGGGGGTCCTGCCCAGGCAGACGCACCGTCGCACCATCTCCTCCACCAGTATGGGCACACTGATCTTGGCCGCAAAGAGCATATTTGAGGGATCCTTGCTCACCCAGGCCTTTGGCGGTACTGCCGGACACAGGAAAGGGGTTAGGCCGTTGATGTCCGGTGCACTGGGCCCCGTGCCGTTGCCCAAGACCGCTGTCGCTCCATAGGCAGACCAGTCCTGCGCATAATTCATCGCAGCACTGGCGGCGTACACATCACCGTCGACGGCGTTGACGGGAACGGTGTCTGTGGCCTGTGCATCCGCAAACCGCGCTGGGTTGAGCTCAGCGTAGACGAACTCTGCGTTGGCAGGAATAATGATGCCTCGGTCCCGGAGATAGCGCTCCACCTCCATACAGTCGAGGAAATCTCCTTCAAACCCAGCAAAATTGACCTTCGTGTCGTTGCTGACGTATTTGTCCCTCACATCGGCCACTTGCTCCTCCATGGGCCCCATCTGCAGCCCTGTCATGTGTCGAGGCTTAAAGGGTTCTTGATGACTGCCGCCGCCAACCGAAGGATCCTGGTCGGTGTAATGCAGACCGGCACCACCGAGGTTGGTAAACGGATATCTCCAATAGCTGAGGGTTTGCTGGTTCATCGCCCGAAGATGGTCGTTGAGCCGCCGCACAATGCCCTCGCGCGACTCAAACAAGAGAGAGAACCCAAAGACAGCACCGAAACGATCCGGCGGCGGATTCGACATGGTGGCCAGAACCAGACCACGCTCCAGGGTTGTCCTTGCTAGACGCCGCCCGAATGTGCCCTCTTGCGAGGCATAAGACCTGGGCGAGGCCATGCGCATTGTGGACAGTGACGGATTCGGATACTGCTGCATGCGTTGCGGAGGCTGCAGCGGCTGGTCCTGGGGCACGGGCGTCTGTGCTATCCAGGCGCCAGGGTTGCTTGGGTCAGGGATGTATTGAGGGAAGCTGGCATTCTCAGCAGTGGGGTCTGCGATGACTTCGTACAAGGGCGCCTCAGGGGGGTGGTGACTCGTTGCCGCGGTGGTGAAGCTGATGTTGTGGCCCTCGTGCGAGCGCGTGCCGTCCACTGCTGAAGCCACGCCGAGATATCGATCGCTGGAGGAGTTACTGATCGTGCCCAACGTGGCCTGATGTCGCTTGGCCGTAGGGTGTGGTGCTTGGTGCTGCCCACTGGCCGACGATGTGGTGCTCTGGTTGTCCTGTTCCTTCTCCTTGTCCAGATCGGCATAGAAGAACCTCTGACGCAAGGCCGTGAAGCTGGAGAGGACGTCCTCCGGGCTATGCAGCATCGTGTCATTCTTCTGGAGAAGGGAAAGAAAGTGTTGAAACTCCTGCTCCAGCGCTCTGCGCTGTGCCCTCTCCTCCCTGACCTGCTGCTCAAGGTCGACGATGCTCTGCTCCTTCTTGTTGCGATACTTTTGCTGGGCTACCCTGACCTGGGTTCGTCGACGCTACACAGAAGATAGGATCAGCTCCGGACCCGCAAAACCATACAGACGCCATGCTTACCTCCAAGTATGTTTTGTTGTCGGCCTCGGCGAGCCTTGGACGCCCGCGTTTCTTGGGCCGCGCCCCATCCTCGGTTGTAGCCGTTATCACCACTGATGTGACGGAATCATCCGTCCGGGACCTTTTCCTCGGATTTGAGGTACCTTGGCCGTCCGCGATAGGCACTGCCTGCGCTGGAGGCGGCATGCTGTCCCATGTAGGAATCGTATCGGTATTCAGCTCGTGTAAATGCTGAGGGGAGGATTGCGCGTTGTTGTGTCGCCCTGGTGGGCTTGTCGGTTCGACCTTTGGTAATCTAAACTCCTCCTTATCTGCGGGTTCAAGCGCTTGTGGCTGGCTGGTGGTAAGTGGCTGGTGCGAGTCGTAGTGGTCTGAGTGGAAATGCGACGACTGGAAATGCGATGCTTCGTTGTCAGTCTGGGCAGAGTTGACGTGGTAGCCACCCGACGAGGCCGTTGAGTAGTGGTGATGTTGATGTTGGTGATGATGATAGTGGTGGGGATGCAACTGGGAATGGGACACGGACATGGAATTTGAGTTCAAGCTCAGGTCCAAGTCCCACTGAGGCTGCGGATCCCGCGGGGCCCCGCTGCCTAGGCCATTGACCCAATCACCATCACCAGCCGTCGCCCCGTCGCTCTGCACCATCCCGCCCGCAGACGCAGATCCGGGCGACTCCTGCCAGTGTCCTCAAGTTGTTGGATGCGAGAAGTGATCTTGGTCGGCGTAGCTGAAGGAGAAAGTGTTGCTTCAGCTGCCTCTCTGTCCCCTTAGACTAGGTTCGCCGGAAACCGATTCGTTGCTAGTATTCGTGAGCGAGGAGAATGACCCATTGGCTTCATGGACTCGCTGTGTTGGAATCAAACCGAAAGATGTAATGACACCACCTCGCGATGAATAAAATGCTGCAGGAATCAGAATATGTATATGGTCGTGGCATCAAAGGTCAAAAACAAACTCTGGTAGTCTAAAAGTCAAGGGCTTCCATTCCTTATGGACCCCTACTTTCTGCCATGCATGCCATGCGACAGCAAAATGGCTACGTAGCTCACAGACCCGAAATACATCGGCCCCAGCCCAGCTTCTTGGGACGCAGCCACGAATCATAGCAGAGCACACAGTGTTCCGATCGCGCGTGAGTACGTGCATGAATGAGATCTCGCCGTGTTTCGACAGGGAATTGCCTCGTAGTTCAAGCGGCCGTCCGTCTGATCCAAGATCTTGTTGGTAAAGGCCCCGCCAGGCTTTCAACTTCAAGCGTAGAGCTCCATTGTTGTCCGCGCACTAAAGTGTCACTCCAGCTCCATGTTTTCGAGGACCGGTAGTAATAAAAAGCAGAGCAAACACTCTATAGCTTTCTCAGGTGTCTTCCAGCTGCTCCACCGCGCAGCTGAATCGTGTCCCAAATCCTGCAGCTTGGGGTTCAACATGCAGTGAGGCTAGGGCGGTACGGCACGGACGATGCGCGGACAGCCCGAGTGAAGCATACCGGTGCTCGAGATCGGGTGGCTCTGACGTGCCGTCGAAGGCCGCTAGAAAATATGATCATCACATTTTCCCACATTCAGGGGAATTCGTGCATCATCTTGCAGCCAGTCCAGCAGATGCTGCAACCACGATTGCACCGCACGAGGTTTCAGAATTGTCAGATCGAGGTACCAAAAAGCTGACATCGCTTTGTAGTGTGCACTCCATAGACATATGCCCAGCAAGCAAATCTCATCGTGCATTGCATATCAATAGTCTCTCTTTCTTCTCTGCAGCTGTGCCCCGGCTGCTGAAGGTCCCGCCAGTAGTCTAGCTGTCAAATATCAAAGCCCGGATAGAGTCACGGACTGGTTGATGTTATACCTTCCGCAGACGAACAAGGCGCATCCGCTCTCTGTTGTGTGGGGGATGAAGCCGAAGATCTTCGGTCTGGCGGAAGTGGTTCTCCCAAACATCGAGGAAGTAAGACAGCGGGGAGCGACTGCGAGAAGGATGGCCGTTGGGATAGTTAGTACCTTGAACCTGTAAACACGGTGTGACATGTACGTATATTCCGCAACAAAACGAATCCTATGCTGTTAATAACTTACCACTATAACTAGTGACAATGAGATATCAAGAAGGAGGACAGCTTGACAAGAAGATGCCCTCTAAGGCTGGACGTGACACGCTCTACTGTAGAGCAAAATTCGTGCCGGGCTGCCGCCTACAGGTTCATGTTGCTGTCTTGTTCATTTGCAAGACGTGATGCCAACTTCAGTCCCCTGGACAGGCGGCCGCTGGCCCGCTGGGGCGGTAACCGGGTCCAGTCCCCATAGCGGCCCGCCGGGTGATGCACTGGGCGCGGGAGGGTGGAGCGGCCTCAAGACGTTCTTCCATCATTGCTGCCAGCGATGCAACATCATGCCATTGGCATGGAGCCTTTAACAGGACCGATTTCATGCAAGGCAATCTGGCCATCTGGATCTGGAGATGCACGCTTGAGCGTTCCAGCGTTGTTCACCTCGATGTAACGCAGGGCCAACCTCCTGAGCCGCCGCCACTGTGCGGACCCTATGATCAATGCCCCTTTCGGTATCTGACCCGAGAAACAGGCTGCTGGCATGGGAAGAAGTAATGAACAACGCTTTTCGCTTACGAGTGGCAATGGCACCGCGATAGATGTCGCGCCCAGCTGAAAGGTCCTGCCTACTAGGTACTAAGCTTGGGTGGCAAGGGGGCGAAACCACAAGGCTCATGGGCTGTGGGCATGTTCCGTGACCTTGAGCCGTTGCGATCGCGAGCATCTTGAACAGGAAGTCAGGAACCCCTTCAAGCATCCACATGCCAAGTTATTCTGCCGGCGCTGGCATGCGGAACCACAGGAAGCATCAAACCGACACATGTGGAACTCTGTACATCTATGTATGTTCACACAAAGCCAAAACGCCTCGCAATGCTAATACCAAGATGACAACATCTAAAACCTGGCATCTGGATGCTTATGCCGCATAAGCAGGTCCAACATCTTTGAACCATGCTGCGCGACGACGTTCCGCCATGCGGGTGTGTCGAAACGATCTGCCCCCGTCGACCGGCCGAATTTGGCCTCGCCCTCTCGCGCGGCCTCGACACACGTCCTTATACTCTTGCTCTTGACCTTGACCTGGCCACCTTGGCCACCTTGCTGGTCATGATCATTGAAACTTTGCTGGGCTGCTTCGCTGCTGGGCGTCGCATCTTCTCCCTTCTCCAGAGCGGCCAGACGCCGTTCCTCCTCTCGTAGATTGACGAGCGCTTCGGCCCGCGCGACAAAGTCCTCGTAGATCCTCTCTAGCCGGTACTCGTACCACAAAGACGTCTTTAGAGCAGTCCACATGTACGTGTCCTTTGCACTCCCGGTCGAACGAGAACCTGCACAGTCGTCTGTCGTTTCTAGCGGTCCTTGCGCACTCGAGCTCTCGATCCAGGTCGTCGGCTCGGGGTCTGCAATGTCCAGGCCTTCCTTGTGCGCCGCGTTCGCCAGGTGGTGTTCCCAGACATCTTCCAAGGAGAATTCGGGAACGAGTGTGTCGGTGGACGCCTTGAACTTTTCCATTGTTGCAAGCCACATTTTCCGTCGCTGCCCATTCATCCGATCCAGCCTGGGGTCGTGTGGCTTGGAATAGCGCAAGAACGGAACGCCGTAGCTGTCCGTGACGAACTGCGGCACGCGTCGATCACGGCCCAGTGTCTCCACCGGTCGAGGTGTGCCAGCGTATGAGGGGGGTTCGCCTGGCCCAGAGGTTTTGGAGAGCAGAGGACCACGGGGTTCAAACACTTCTTTCGCTGGCGAGTTTCTCTTCTCGTTGGTCTGCCCCGATGAAGACGGCGAGGTTGCAGTATCAGGCGCTGTCGGTCCGGTTCGTTGATTGTCGCGTGCTCGCTGTTCGGCGCGTTGTGAGGCAAGGTCGCGCATGAACGCAACAAGCTCGCCATATTCCTTTGAGTCCGAAGAAGCTGCTTTCGAGAACATTGATAGAAACTGGAAGACTTCGTAAGGTTCATGTCAACGATGGGAAGGGCGTAGTGTGTACCTTGTAGCCTGTCGCCATGGACGAGTACACCAATCGCAGACTTGTGTAGTGTCTATCAGCTAGGAACCTCTTCCTCACTTGTTTCCCGACGGGATGCCAGTGATTCGGTCGTTGCGCCGGATGCGCATGAATCTGCGCGGCAAAGGGATGTCCATGTTTCCGTGCACCTCCAGCTGGTCCGCGAACCTCGTCGGAACCCTCGCCATTTGGTACATGTGGCTTGGGCAACAGTCGCGCGCGGAGCTTCTTCTCCCGAGGCTTGAGATCGGCGGGCAGCTCTACCCTGTGCGCCGTGCGCAGGAGGGCGCGGTAGAGAGCTAGTGCGGCATGGCGATGGTGGATGTTGCGTGCAGGCACGAAGAAGGGACCCTTCATGACGGGCGGCCGTCGTCGTTACACGAGCAAAAGTACGGATCCAATCATCGCACACGAGCGAGCCGGGTGGAGAATTGAAGATAATGGACACCGCGGGAGTACTTTACTGCTATCGCGCGAGTGAAGCATGTGACGATGTGAAGCACGGCTAAGCCGAAGGTTCGATATTTCACGAAATGACTCAGCAAAACGGAGGTACGTCGCATGCTCCAAGGTGGCGTCCGACCAACCCCGGATCCGAATCCCGATTTCAACAGTGGGTTACTTTTTGCAATGACAGATGCCGAGGCGCTTCGTAAAAAGTTAGCTCGTCTTATACTGAGGATGCTGAAAATAAGGAATTTCCAACCAGCCGTTTCGATGTCCACAAGGGAAAGCTAAATTCAAGATCAAGCCCTCGATTGGAACCTGGCATGTGCCTCCCAATTAGGGCATGTGCTGAAAGTCATTGCTGTGCTACTACGGATAGTCTTCGTGAACAAGGACACAAGTTTAGCAGACCAAACGACTTTGACGATGGCTTCATCAGTACGTATGACGATGACACTGTACTTTCTCCCAGTGACTTTTGTTGCTGTACGAATGCCGAGGCCTCTCATTACACATGACCCGCCTCGCCTCGCCTTGAAAGAATGAGCAAAAGACCGATTGCGCGCGTACGCGTCGGTGTGCGCGACTCGCCAGAGTCCCGACTCCGTTCTCTCAGGAATGGTGTCCCACAGCGGGAAGGTTTTTGACTTTCGTCACTGGCAGCGACAGGCCGGCACCTTGCTATGCTTAATTTTTCGAGGCTCCACGAATGAATCATGTACGATTGAGCGCTGGCTGAGCTCACCTCGCAAAGCGTATTACGTTGATCAATACTTGCCCAGGCCACCGATTGTGAACCGCCAAACCTAGGAACATGTATAATGTACGCGCATACGTCGAGTTCAATGTCAAGGCCTCAGACCGGCATATGGAGACTAACTAAGAGCTACTACATGAATGTATCTGTTGTACGTAGATCTAGGAGGCATGACGAATTCGAGATCCCTAATTGAATTCGTCTAGCCAAAATCTCTCAATCAGTCGCACGTGCATTCTGGGTACGTAGGTGTACTCTGTAAGTATGTACGCACTTCGTTCTGTATACGTAGTACTCTGTCGAAAAGTGGCTCTCGTCACAACATGAAGTCCGCAAAGACAGGCTTTGCTGACCCATCCGTCCTTGGATAGCCATGCTGTCGTTCCGCGGATGCCGGTGAAGGGCTGCTTTTCCACGGCAACTTTCGGGCATGATACTGGCATCTGACTCAGCGGTCGGAGTTGATGTTGGACCCCGTCGGGCCTGGTGACAACGGAGGTCCGCGCTCAGATGCTCTTCCATAGTCCGTACAAATGAGGTTTCAGCACATTGAAGCGCTTTCTGGCGCAGAAGAGTAGGGGAACTGATTCAACATCACACAGTTCTATCGCGAAGCAATCATCCAACGAAACGGTACACAACTTGCATCATCCAAAGTAAGCACTTGGCCTCAAGATTCAAGCCACCCCGCCAGCACATTGTACCACCGCGGTCCAGTCTCATGATCGCCCCATTTTCTGCGAGTCGGAATCCCGTGTGGCTCCATAATTGAGAGCACTGGCACTCAGGATTCGCTTCGCCTTGGCCCGTGTCCGAGTCCGACCATTCACCATACCTACTCATAATAGTAGTGTGACAGGGCTGGCTGACAGGCTGCGCCTACTAAACCTTCAAGCTCACCTTCTGGCTTCACTCATTTATCGCCCTTCCTTCGTTACATCGGGATCAACTCTCTATATTCCTTCAAAAGTCGTTGCTCGCAGGGCTGAGATCAGAATTTCGTTCTTTAGCCGCTCGCATCAAACGCACCAATCGTAGCCGCAAATAGGCTGCATTTGTTAATGACCCGGGGGTTGGGGTTCCGGATCAGCAAACCGGTGGTAATTAGGGCGTCTCAAACAGATCAGACCCAAACAGGCCATACCAGCACGACTTTGTTCCTCTTGACCGCATTTCACCACGTCGGGATTCATTGTACGGGAGCAAGGAGACGTTCGCTCTTACCACTCTCCTCAGCTGGCCAATCCTCACTCTTACAGGGTGCATTCGCAGCGACCCAAGGTCGTTGCATTTGATGGTTTTGAGAAACCGGTAGGGGGTCGCCTTGCCCGGTAGCTCTCTCCTTCCATCTGAGGCACTTGCCTTCTCCACGATCAACAACAATGTTCATTCACGCCGGGGCTGGCCTACATGGCCACGAGTTCTCTCGCTCTCCCACAGAGTCAGACCAAGCTCCCAAGCGACCTATACCACTACTTCGATCTGCTCTTCGCCCACTTGCCGAAGCCAACACTCGCTATCCTCTACCTTCAGCATCTCCTGATTTTATTCCTGAGCGGCGCTCATACACTGATCCGGCACCACCACCTCAGCTTCCCCGTCGACCGGCGTCCGAAGCCGTCACGAGAAAGGAGCTCGCTGTCCGGTTTCAAGAGCCGACGATGGCACCAGTTCCGTACCCAAGCCAAATTGCGCCCAGTGAAGACGAGGAGTCAATCGCCGAATCAGAGCTCAGTGGTTATAGCACCTTATCAGGTCGCCGAAAGAGACAGAAGCGAACACCCCGTCCAGCCACCAAGTACTCATTGGCACATCCAGCTCCCCAACGCAAGACCAAGCAACGCGTCCTCATCCAGTTCCGGCCCAAAAATCTACTCCAGCTTCAGAAAATCGATGACCGTCGAGCAATGCCAGCGTTTGATGTTCTGCCCTCGAGCACCATCTCTGGCCCCTTTGCCTTGCCCCGCTTGGCAAAGCGATGCCCTCGCATCTTCAAGACAAAGCCCGTCCTGGGGACAGATGACGTATTGATTGCTCGAAGCGAGGACTATAGCGCAACCATGCCATCGTCGACTTCGGCAGATGGTCGCCTGGAAGACAGGGACCTGCTTGGTGTCGTGAGCCCAATGTCAGCTCAGGGCGACGATGCCGTCGAGATTGTCATGGCCGATGGCACTGCCTGGGGCTGCAAGCCTTTGCAGAACGGGTCGTTTGAGTTCTCGCGCGTCGACGACTGCGGCCTCAAAACTGTGGCGAGATGGGCGCGCAAGCCTACCCGAACCGCTGCGCTGTCCGTGGATGGTTCAGTCTGTTCGTCAAGCACAAGCCCTGTGCCTCGGGAGGAAACCTGGACCTTTTCGGTCATCGACCCCTCGACTCGGCGACACCCTATCATGGGCATGCTTACACCGCGCGAACTTGCGATATATGATACGTACAGCACTCTTCAAAATGCTGGTTCCAAAGGCCCCCCTACGAAGCCGTTCCCACCGAGTGCGACGGGCCTGGTGAAACATTCTGTTGATCAGAAGCAGACTGGATCAGCCGAGCTTGTTCCCGAGGAGTTGAAGGATTTGATGGTTGTTACGGCTTGCTGGGTAGGCATAAGGCTGGAAGGCTGGCCAGCTTCTCTGCATCCCAAGGCGCTCAGGAGCACTGCAAGCCCCCAAGCAACCAGCTCTGACAGCATTGCCCAGAAGCGCCGCACCTACCCATTGGCATCGCCACCTACTTCACCTGCAGAAATACCGTCTAGAATGTCGTCTCCAAACAGCTGCGACTATGACATTTCTTCTGGAGTCACAAGTCCTACGTCGCCGGTTGACGTCCCTAAGAGAGCAATGTCGACTGGGGCGGCTTTCATGCGGAGGCGTCAGTCGGAGCAGCAACAATCGCACTACCAGCCGCGAACAGCGTCGCTGGCTGAACTCCCCATGGGGGCCGTTGGTGCTCTCAAGGGAGTCCACCGCGTCAATGAGGAAGTGGACGATGGGAAGACGGCCAGCTGTCGGATCAAGGTACGGCAACTGACATGCAAACTTTTCAGGCGCAGGAGTTGTCGAGTCACGTAGCTACAACTACTGTTAGGCGAGAGGCTAGAGCTAAGCGTCCTAAGCGACATGTTACATAGAGGTTGTGTGTTTCTCCAAACAAATTCAATGAGCAAACACATCTTGCAACCGGTAATTATACATTCACTTGCTTCAACAGAGTGCGGGGTGAGGAGCACGCGGCTACTTACAGCGACCGTGACGGGAGCAAGTGGAGCAGCACGCGGCGGCATCGTCGGTTGCATCAGCGGCAGCCGGGCATCGTATGCACCCTGTGGCTAGTGGATAAGATCGTTGGCTCATCGTGGAATGTGAGAGACCACAAGATTGAGATGTCCTTTTTTGGCCTTCAGCTCATTCATCAGACCAGCGCGGACGCACGTGGGCAGTGAGGCACCCATCTGCATACGTACGTCCACGTCTGTGTTGCCAATCCCTGGTCATTGTCCGGCGGCTGATTATTAGCCGCGCGTGCACTGGTAACCTAGTCTGGGCATACTTCCTCCATTCATCGAGGTTAGATGGATGGGAGACCATACCGTGAGGCCAGGCTGGGAGCGCCCTGTAGAAGAGAGGTAGGCCATGAGACCGGGCTGGAGGATCATGTACTCACCTTGAATTGAGCACGATATCCTGACACACGTGTTTACTGATTATCAAAGTGCGCAGTTGTAGTCGACATTGAATCAACAACCTTCAATGACGACTGAACTGAATCAAGCCGGCCGGAGTTAGGTTCCTAGGACCCTTACGCTAAGCTCCATTGAAACTAGTCACTGTGTTCTGCCCGCTCTGCTCATTCACCGCTTACCACATCAGTGAATGGTCCCAAGCGGAGTAGTGGAGGGGCTACTGTTGTGTGCACTGTGCGACTGCATCATCTATGGCTGCCTCGACCTCGACCAACCCCGGGTCCATTATGAATGACCAGCTCCAGCCCTGGCTTCCAATCTCCTGCTTCGCACGTCCTCTTAACCAGCAAGATCGACTCTCGATTAGCTGGTTGCAGCTCTGTTCCTGCAATTCCCCAATGGCTGCCACGCTCCGTCGCAGACCTTGTTACACTTAAGCACCTTTGCTTTTTCTCTCTTCCGCTTGGAGCTCCCATGTACCAAGCTGCATCCCATCATACCCCAGCAGCACCGCAGTCACCAACAACGTTACCGCGCCCTACGCGCAGACGACAACGCGGAGGGAAAGCAGTAATAGCCCAGTGCCGTATCTATTCGGATATCGATATTTGTACCGCATTCCGGACGCCAGAGCGAACCAGACCCGCGACGTCACCAAAGCCCCTCTGCGCCGACCCACGCTGTTCACGTCGACTGTCTCGTGGCCCTTTGTGTCACCATGGACGAGCACGACGGCCCCCGAGGCGAATACGCCGACATGAGGGCTCCTGCGTCTGCCGTGGCCCATCTTGTCAACGACTTCTCAACATGGGAGCCTGTCTCACGTGCCACATCGCCAGGTGCAGCTGCGTCCTGCGCCAACGGGCGTTCTAGTCCCACAGACGAAGATCCGAAGCGATACCGCCCCCGCACGTTTGCCTACTTCAAGCAGCTGCCATTCGACGTCGAAGCCGAGAGCGAGCGCGACGCAGCACTGGAAGAGATCCTAAAGCAACTGTACATCGCCGTCAAAGCGGAAGACTATAGCCCGGGAGCTGTACATTGGACCAGAGAGCTGCAGGCATGGATCAACCTCAAGTTCGAGATGACAAGGGAACAGAGAGTCACCTTGACGAAGCTATACTACTCTCTAACTCTCACCCCGGGCGTGGCAACGGCAACTTCCGACCGGTTCGCCCGTATGGTGTCTTCGTTAACGCGCAAAACCCACTATCTCAAGCCCGTGGAGGATCTCATTCTCGACTGGCGACCGCTGTGGGAAGAAGTCAAGCCCACCCTATTCCAGTCAGAGGCGGGAACTCAACAGGCTGCACTACGCAAAACGGGCAAGACACTCATGAAGCTTTGTTATCAAGCATGCACGTACTTCGATCCTCAAGAACGCAGGGCTATGCTGGACGAGTTTCTACCGTTTTTCAGCACTAACGAGCTGTCCAACGCCTACATTGTCTTTTCGTTACTCATGACTCTGCTACCGAGCTCTCCAGCACCAGAAGAGAACAGGGAATGTCAACCAGCCGAGATCTTCCCCACCATCTTCCACCTATGGTCGCTTGTGAATCGATCCAAGTCTTTTGATGCCATGTCAATCGACCTGTTCTCGCGCTTCGCGCGTGATCATCTCCATTGCGAGCACGTACCCTTTGGCCGCCATGGTATATTCACAAAGGAGCAATCCGATGTTCTTTTCTCCGCCGTCTTGCGGTTGACAGGGATTCCTGTTGGGCAAGCCGGCTCGCCATACTCCACATTGGACTACCTGGCTGGTGCAGCCATGTACCTAGAGAAGGACCGCAAAAAGTATCCCATAGCGCACTCCATGGCCAGACTCATTGTCATGTCACTGTCTCCTCAATGCCTGGATGGCGAGGACTCTGCCATGGCCAGCTTGGAGGGTCTTCTGGACAGTATCGAGACGTTCTTCCATCCATCGAATCAGGGTGGCTGGACCACATTCCTCGGTCAGCTTACGCTATATCTCTCTCAAAGTTTCCTGTCCAGATGGAACAGCGAGCAGAATGGGGAATCAAGCACCCCAGACGACCGCAGAATCAATGAACCTCTGAAGAAGCGTTTTGTGACTTCTCTGAAGGAGGTGACTTTCATGGGCCTGTTCTCCAAGAGTTCCAAAGTCGCTGTATACTACTACGACACGTTGCAAAACCTTGCCTTTTTGGAGCCGGACATTATTCTTCCTGGAGCTCTGCAGCGTTTCTACCCTAGTCTGCAAGGCCTCGTTGAGGTCCACCGCACGACCTCGAGTCTGAACGGGCTCCAGATGATCGCCAATGTCATGTCAAGAACCAAAGGCTACCGATGCCACCTCACTGCGTTGATGGCTCTAGCCTTACCCGGTATTGATGCCAACGATCTTCACAAGACCCAGATCACCCTGGCGTTTCTCCAGAGCGTGGCTTACAGTATACCAATGTCGTCTCTGACGAGGCCTGACGATCATATTCATGGTACAGACCTGGCGATGCAATGGGTTCAGGGCGAGATGGAGCGTTTTGAGCGCGAAGGCCAGAATGTGCAGGTCGATTATGAAACCGAGCTGAGTGACGAGGATGAAGCAAATATCCTGCGGTCCTCCACAGCTGGATTTGGAGAGTTCCTTGTGACTCTGCTTGGAAAAGTGTTTACGCTGTTGGAAAACCTCCCTGACGCGAATCAGAGCCGAGGTGGAACCCCTGAGGACAGCGTCATCAACGCACTACCCGCAGCGCTGTCGCCCATCTTCTCCTCTTTGTCACCAGAGTTGTTCGACCTCACCCTCGAGAAGCTGGCGGCATTCGTATCCAGCCATGTCATCCATCAAGCACGAGATGCGATGGCCTGGACAGTGAACGTCCTTTGCAAGGTCAACCCCGAGAAGTGCCTCAAGGTATTCATTCCCATGTTGATAGTGAATATTCGCAACGAGATCGACCAGAACCACGCAGCCTCGGACCGCACCACGGGAACAGACTATCTCCCCCGCGATCGCGCTCTTGTGTGGCACGTCAGCATGCTTGGCATGGTCGTTGTTCATGTCGGCCGCGAGGTTTTGACGTACAAGAACGACTTGATTGAGATTGCAAAGTACATGCAGGCGAACTGCCGAGGCCTGCCCACCATGGTCGTCTGGAATTTCATTCACCACTTGCTTCTGAACCTTACGACCGTCTACTCCATCGACCATGCACTCTACGAGCCCGAGGACGTTGCCCGAGGTTTGGACATTGGTGACTGGGGCCGCACCACTTCACCTGCTGATCTCACGATCAAGTGGCACCAGCCCTCGCCTCCTGAGATCGAGCTTGCCGTGGAGCTGTTTGAATCGCAAACGCGTGCCGCGACGGAACAAATGAATCTTCTGATGAGCGATAACCCGCCTGTGAGCCGTACGGGGAGGAACAAGGAGTGGTCCGATGAGGTTTCACGGATCATGCAACAGATCAGGCTGAACATCTCAGGCATGGCTGCCTTATTCGATCCCCGCCGGGCTGCGACAGATTCCGAGGACATTGAGATGAACCAAGCCACCGACGACGTGGATACAGTTGACGACGACCCGTTGGCCGAAGTCGCCGAAGACGAGGAACTCCGGCCGCAGTTTTACTACAAGGCTGGGTACGCTCTGAAGCCCAACGACGAGGTATACAAGAAGATACATGGTCTCCGAGAAGACATTGGCAACCTGCTGTCTCAGACGCACGCTTTCCTGTGTCAGCACCAGGAAGACGACGTAGCCAGCTTCACCTCGCTCTACAGCGCCTACCGGAACTGGATTACGGACGTTGGGATTGAGAGGTCTGCCCGCCCTCTCGACAGACATTGGCGCATCTACAAGGCCGACATCTCTCCTTTCAGAATCAAGGGCCTACGGAAGGCATACCCACGCCCGCTTCTTATAAAGCGTGCTGAGGCTTATCAGCTGATGCGCATGAAGCACAACGCCACAACGAGGCACAAGAGCGAGCTGGACAAGCGCCTGTTGCTCGATCTAGCGGAGTCCAGCTTGTCACTGTATGCGGATGTGCGAAGGACAGCCCAAGGTGCGCAAGACGCCTCGTTGAGGGTGTTGATCGGCGGCAGGCCAATTGTGATTCCTGTGCTTATCGAGGCCTTCCGCAAGGCTCTGCGAGACGTCGACCATGATCGGATCAAAGGCGCCATGTACACCCTTCTGCACACATCTCTGCTGCGAACTGTTGTCAAAGACTGGAGGTTCGCACCCGATGTCATGCGCCTCTTCATTGAATCGGCCAGCATCGACAAGGAGTCTATTCAAAAGCTGGGCTCTGGCTCCGTTTACAACCTCATCTCGTTCGGCCGACCATTTGAGCGGCTCATCGTTCTCGATGAAGCAGTTCTCGACACCATCAAGCCCACTGAGGATGTTGCCAGCATCATCAGCAGGCGCCACAACTTCATCATGCAGCGACGCGCGCAGGTTGAGGATGCCAAGGCCGATCTAGGCTTAGAGCTTACGCGAAAGGCCAAGAGTGCCCATTGGAAGATCGCTGGTCGATGTGCACTTTTCGCAACGAACCTCTGCTGTCGCTTCAACACTATTGCACCGAGTGAATTCGTGGATCTGGTCGCCGAGGGCACAAATGACACCCACCCTACTCTTCGGAGTCATCACCTCCAGGCATTCACATCGGTGTTTACGATTATTGACATGCGCGCGGCTTATGGGCACGACTACCGCAACTATCTGCTGGGGAAAGAAGTGAACGAACAGCAGATGCTCAAGGTCAAGGTCGAGAAGGGCGATGAGGCTTTCACCCAACGCTACCTGGAAGCGTTCAGCCACCCCGAAGGTGCTGAATACATGGTCGACTGTGACTATCCGGGCTGGCTTGTGTGGGGGGACGAATTCACTGCTGCCAAGGCGAAACCTGCACCCTTTGAATGCTACGACGACACGGAAAACGCGGTTCGAGATCAAATCGGCAAGATCCTCAACAAACAGTGGTTCTCCAAGTTCTTTGCGTATTTGAAACAAGAGCCCAAAGACTCTACATATGACCGCTACCGACTCAGCAATGTGTGGCTCCTGACGCACTGCTTCGACCTGGCCAACTATGGCAAGACAGCCGCCACGGTGGAGGAGATTCAGGAGTTGACCAAGGAGCTGTATGGAGACGGCTCCGACAAGCACGAGCACCGCGCTGCCTCGGAGATCTTGGGTGCCATGCTCACTGGCTCTTGCGATGATCCTCCCGAGATGCGCAACCGCGTGTGGAACTTTGCCGCGCCTATGCTCCTGAAGATCATTTCTGAGCAGTTGACGCCCGAGAATGTCACGTACTGGCTGACCAGTCTGCACGTGCTCCTCGAGAGTAGGGACCCGCGTCGATGCCACGAGATCTTTGATGCTCTGAAGAGCTTCCGACTGGACATGACGAGCAATGCTGCCTTCAAGGAGTCGGCCAAGATCCAGCTGCTCGAGTTCGCCACCAACGATGGAGGGTGGCGCTTGCAGGGGATGGAGCCCAATCTCCAGGACTTCCTCGCCCATCTGGATCACCCATACAAGGCCGTGCGAGAAGCCATGGGCCGAGTCATTGCTACGATCTACAAGACCCGGTACCACGAATCATTCCCCAACGTGACAGAATTGGTGCGAAAGAACAGGGAGTCGTCGTCCATTGGTCTCCGGCCGTACAAGCCAACGCAGAAATTTACCGAGACCATTACCGGCGTGTTCCAGCAGCTTGAGCAGTGGCGCCACGAGCGAGCGCCCGGACAGCAAACTCCGTCGTCCTACACTTCAGCTTCCAAAACAGTGCTTATGTGGCTTGACTGTACGCTGCAGTCGCAAGAGTGCATTCAGCTCGCAGAGTTCTTCCCGGAGCCCTTTATGGAGCAGCTGTTGCACATGATGGATGTGAAGGAGGATCCTGAGCTTATGCGCACGGCATACCACGTTTACCGCCATCTACCCAACATCCCCCTGCGCGACGGCGAAGACGTCAAGTTCATTGATGCCATGGTGCGCATAGGTAGGACAGCTTCTAGCTGGCACCAGCGCCTACGTGTTCTTGTCAACATGCAAGTGATCTACTTCCGGCGCATCTTCTTGACCCATCGGGACCAGCGTGACAAGTTGTTCACCGCCGTGTCTGACATGCTCAGTGACTCGCAGATTGAGGTGCGCACTAGTGCCGCCAGCACCCTCGCAGGCATGATCCGCTGTTCGCCGCGTGTCATCCGGGACGCCAAGATTACGGAACTCAAGGACCGGTTCGAGGAAGAGCTACGGCGCAACCCTATGCCCAAGCGCCGTGCGCCGGGTACAGAGACGCCCGTGAACCACAACCAGCAGGTCACGCGGCGACACGCTGCTGTGTTGGGTCTGGGTGCGTTGATAGAGGCGTTCCCGTACGCAACGCCTCCGCCAGAGTGGATGCCAGAAGTACTGGCGCTGCTCGCTCGTCGCGCGGCCGGCGACCCTGGCACTGTTGGTAAAGCAACAAAGACCATTCTAAGCGAGTTCAAAAAGACGAGGCAGGATAGCTGGACGGTCGACCAGAAGGTACGTACAAAAACCGGAGCCAGCTTTGACCGAGGGCACACACTAATGCGATCTAGTACTTTACATCGGAGCAACTGGAGGATCTGGAGGGTGTCCTGTGGAAGAGCTACTTTGCGTAGACACCCTCGCCCGATGGGAAAAGAGCAGAGCGCGCTGTGTTGGCTACCTTAGGGAATTGGGAGCATAGACATTGTATCCACGCGAGGAGTCAGTCTAACTAGTGGGCGCAACACGTGCGCGGGGACCCCTAGATTCACAGTAGTACTTGTATAGATCTATGATGCTTCGATAGCCTGCCTCCTGGGCCTGGGCAAATATATGATAGCGCGCGTGTGCTCTTGTCGGACATGAGCGTTGTGAGGGTTCGTGGTGGCCATCCTGTCCGGGTGAGATGATGGCAACACTGGAAGGTGTATGTATGCCAGGCACGTGATTGATCAACCGACCAGATACTCCTCCATGGCGAGCAGGGCGCGCTTGTTTGTTGCTGTCTGTTGTTGTCCTCAAATGGACGATAAGCAGGGGTTGTGACTTGTTGGCGTTGGCTTGTTCCCAGTTCCAGACTACCACGGGGCCAGCGGAAGCGAGGAACTGGGGAGGAAACCGAACGTGACAGAAGCAAGCCGGGTATGACAAGGACTCTGAGATGGCTGGGAAGAAATAAACCCAGGAAGGGAACACGGGCCAGATTCACCTCAGCAGGGTCCATGTCGGTCAGCTGGCCTTGGTCTGGTCAGGTCAGGTCTGGCCTGGGCTGGTGGGTGATTGATTGATTTGTTGTTGATTGATTGATGGCAGCGCCAACTCATCTCGCCAGTGCCACCCACCACACCAGCTCCCTCACCTTCTCCTCTTCTTCCACCCCGAGTCCAACCCAATCTTGCCATCATTCTTGTGACATTTGAGCATACGAGTTCTCGCTCTTGCGTTTGACACCAAGAAATCCCCGTTTCTCTTTATACGTGCCCCAAAGACCGCACAACTGGTGAGTCCCTTTCCTTCCCCGCAGCAGCAGCAGCAGCAGCGCGCATCCGCCGCCCGTTGCGACGAAACGAGCTGCCTCCTTTGCGCGCTTCGACTCTGTCGCATCCCCCCTTGGACGCGTCGCATAGCCAGCGCTTTGCTTCCATCCGTGTCGCCTCTCTCTCAACTGGTCTGCTGGGACGTGCGCTTACAAGATTTTTCTCTCTCCGCGTAGAATCACCAGCAGACATCATGGCCGGCACCCGCTCGCAGACTGGCAACGCCCGCCCACGCGTCTTCCAGACCGTGGACACGGAGCCCACGATCCGTCGCAAGCCTGGCACGACGACGGGCCGCAAGGCCAAGGGGGCGGCGGCCGCGCCCGCCGTGGGGACGACACCGGCGCGCGGCGCGGGCGTGACCAAGAAGAAGACGACGCCGGCGAAAAAGACGGGCGGCGTCGCGGCCAAGGCCAAGGTCGCCGCCAACAAGGTGGAGAAGAAGGCGGCGGGCGCCACGAGGGCGGCGACAAAGGTGCGCGTCTAATGGACGGTGAACTTGTTGTGGTGCTAACTTGGGAACAGTAAGCGACGAGCGTCGATGCCATTGTGGTTGTCAGGGTTTGGGCATGTTTGTGATTTGGCCGCCACTGCTTGTCACTTGATGTTGGGCGTCTGGACGTTTAGGGAAGGGTAATCATTGTCTTTTGTTGTATGCGCGCGCAGGGTCGAATGCTGTCATGAGAAGCCTAGCCTTGCTCGGGGTTCGCGACGTATGTCTTTCACTGATACAGCAATTTTGGTCTTCGGTTCTCACTATAGAGGAGACAAGTTGGCACCAGCAGTCCACCGTTACAGCAAGCTTGGCCTAGGCGACGACGACCCAACGGCAACAACGGCAAGATATGAGGAGAAGCTTATTTAACAACAGACGTCGAGGAGTTGACTTGCTGATTGAAAGAGCCTTGAAACCATTTTTCGTGACAATGGCGCATTACAAGATCCCTCGACGTTGCCAGCGGCAGCTATCCACACATACCAGCGAAACATTGCCAAAACCCTGCCACTGCCACTCCTCAACCAAGGGAAGATGCCCACCTGAGCTTAGATCGCATTGGGGTCAAGCATCTCCCAAGACTCCTGGATGAACTTGCCATCCTTGGTCCACTCCTGAAGCAAAAAGTACTCCTGCGTGTACGGGCGGCCCCCATCAAACACGCCCTCGGCGAGAGTACGAAAGAAGACGGAGCACTTCTTCTCGTCGACAATGATGGGGAAGTCCTCGTCCCGCCAGATCTTGAACGCGGTCAGGTCGGGCAGGATGTCTTCTATCATCTCCTGGAACACGGTCACGTTCATGCGATCCGGGACGTCGAGGCTCGATGGGTAGAGGTTGTGGTGCGAGTCGGGAGCACGCAGGGGGCCCCACAGGCTGTCGTAGCCGGTGAAGTTGGACACGGTCGCTGCCCAGACCGCGACGGCCTTGGTGAGGTTGTGGCGGGAGCAGCCTTTGGTCATGGTGAAGGTTGTTGAGAAGTTCTGATGTGGGTGGATATTGTAAGGAGGCCAGTGTTTGCGACTGATGGTGTGATCGGGGCTGGTCGTAAAAGATCTGCTGTTCTTGTGGGAAGGGGTTTCCTCTCCTTTTATACCTAATCCGTATGCATTGCTTCACCAAGAAGGTCCCTCTTCCGTCGCCCTTCCAGCACTTGGACGGATCGATTAGCGTCCGCCCATGCCGCGCCAAGAGAAGGACCAAGACGTGATACCCAATAAGGAAGAAGACGAGATATCATGCCGCTACGATTGCCTTCTTCTGTTCAGGTGCAGCCTCAGATCTCTTCTGGAAACGACTTACGGAACAGCGGCCTTGCGTTGAGCGACTCCGTGAGCCACGGCGGAGTTGGGGGCCAGCCGCATGTCCGTCTGCTCCTGAATGCATTTGATAGAGCATAGGAGAACGATTGTCATGAGGAGTGATGATTCAAAGATATAGACCTGTCTCTAGCTTGCGAACCGGGGTGGTCGTAAGAATGTTGACAGGGGCGATCTAGCATGGACAACTCAAACATTACACATCCGAACCTGGACTCATGAGAACGACCATGCTTTCTTGCGATTCCCCATCTGCCTATATGTCAACGCCCGAGTCGCTGTGGCTCGAGACCTTGTGGCACCCAGCACCACCAATATATCGCCTCGCCTCCTGTCTCGACTTGACAATCTTGGGTGGGTTCTTCTCCAGCTCGTCGTTCCCCTTTAGGCTCAGGACTCTGTTTGGGTCGATCACCACGAGCTTGCGACCCTCACTCATCACGCGCCAGCAGTCCTCACGCAACAACTTCTGTGCCACATCGTTCAGCGAGTAGGCCTCCTTCAACGAGAAGACAATGGCACATGCATTGTGGTGCTTACCGTGCGTCGGTCGGGCCTCAGAGGGCGCCGCGAGCTGCTCCACGAGAGCGCGCGTGAAGCGCTCCGCGCCTGCGAAGCGGATGGCGCCGCGCAATTCAAATATGGGGATCTCGACCTCGTTCCCCTCCTGCTTGACCCCGCCAGCAATGGTCATGACCTTTGTGTGCACCGTGGCCCGTCCCACCTGGGTAATGTCCATCATGTGCATGCCCATGTCGTTGGAGAGATGCTCGCACATGCTCATGCCTCGCACACTGTTGCCCTTCTTGTCGAGCCGTGGGGAGAAGACCGCGAGACCAATCTGGCCAGGCAGGGCACCGATAATGCCACCCGCCACGCCGCTCTTGGCGGGAATACCCACGCGTGACACCCAGTCGCCAGCCGCGTCGTACATGCCACAGGTGGTCATGACGGACAGGACCTGTCGAACGCTGAGGCTGGGAATCACCCTCTTGCCTGTGACGGGGTGCACGCCGCCGTTGCCCAGCGTGCCAGCCATGATGGCCAGGTCGCGGACGGTGACGTTGATGGAGCACTGACGAATGTACCCCTTGACGGCCTCGGCGGGGTCGCATTCGATGATGCCGGCCGCCTTGAGCATGAAGCCGAGCCCCATGTTCCGGTGCCAGTCCTTCATCTCTGCTTCATAGACGGCTTCGTCGACCTTGAGCTCTCGACCTGCCAGCATGGACATACCCTTGAGGATGCGCGCCACCCTGACCTCCGCCGTGGCATCGGGGGGACCGACGAGCGAGTGGGCGGTGATGGCGCCTGCGTTGATCATGGGGTTCATGGGCTTGTTTGAGCCCGCTTCCAGGGACAGCTTGTTGAACACGTCACCCGACGGTTCCACGCCAATCTTGGCGAGGACGCCGGATAGGCCTCTGTCCTCAATGGCGAGGGCGTACACAAAGGCCTTGGAGATGGACTGCATCGAGAACTCGACGTCGTCGTCGCCTACCGAGTAGACCTGGCCGTCGACAGTGGCCACGGCGACGGCCATCTTGTCCGGGTCCGCCTTGGCGAGAGCCTCAATGTAGTCTGCATTGGCGCCAGAGGTGTCATCGCGCACTCTGTCGAGTACCTTGTTGAGGTAGTCGGGGATGGGGGACTTCATGTCGAGGGTGTCGGATGGCGGGAGGGATAAGGAGTCGAGGACAAGACGATGGCTCAGATGAGGTGATGTTTCAACGAGGTCTCGTGGAATGCTGACCGCGTCTAAAATACCTTGGACTCGAGCCACCCCCGCTGCCATTCAAACATCCGTCGTCCCCATGGATGAATTTTTTTTTCCTTCCTCGTGCGCTTGACTAACGACAACTGGACACGCCATTACATAAAGTTGACACGATGCTTGGAGGCTGGCGGCTACCGCTGAGTCGCTGACGACTCCCCGCCCCGCCCGTCAGCACATAATAAGCTTCGCGAGGCCGTGAGGGGAATCGCGGAGTCCGCATGGCCCGTCCTGGGGCGGCGAAGCGGTCTCGACTTGGCGCTAGAAGTACGTCTGGATTGATAGAACAAAACAGGGACTCCCCTTATTAATGTCAGAACGCAGAACTCACCATTTGGGCTGGGAAAGTGTCAATGTTTGAAGCAGTTAGTCGAGAATGAGGAGCTGTCCATGATCCTTCTTAATGACAGGGCCATAGACTGAAAGCATCGACTCCTTAATTCTCAGTTTGCTTCTTTCTGTTCAAAGCGACGGCTCAGTTTGAAGGTTCCATTTCCTGTGATATGGAAAATACGGCACCACGTGACTGTGGGGATCATCTGGCCTACCCTGTACTCAACTAGCAGTAGGTACCTCTGCCAATGCCTGCGTGCCTCAAAGGGCTCAAGCTCCCACCAACAACTCAAATCCTCGAACTCGCTGACATCAACTGCATGAACGACCTGCAGCAAAAGCCTCCAACCCAAGTCCAATGCCTATCCACAGGCTCGAAGTACATTCATCTTCATTCATCTCTCGAGCATGCCTCTCAGAAATTCGCAAAGAGGTTCCTCATACCCGCCCAGACCTCCTCACCACTGGGAATGATGTTCTCAGGGGGAATCACGAAGCCGCCCTCACGCTGTGTCTGGGGTCGCAGTTCAAAAGCCCATGAGACCTCTGCATCAGCAACGTCGTACACGTAGTCCATGCTGCCACCCGACGTCTGGTAGATGGTCTGGCACGTGGGGCCATACACAAAGTCCAGCCCATTCACGCTCTTGATGGCATCATGAACACCACGGGCGAGCTCCATCTGCGAATCCAAGTCCTCCACCACAGCGTCGCAGCTGTACCCGTATGGCAGGAGAATCAGCTGGCTGTACGAGTGCCAATCCACATAGAACTTGATCCCCGTGGCCTCGGCAATGCTGAGCGTGTGGTTCGTCAGGACAGCCATCTCTGGCGTGTCCCCGGGCGCTTCGCCTCGGTACGTCTGAGAACAGGGGTCCGGAGAAGAGCCGCCAGGCACGTCCCATTGATGGGGCCAATTTCGGTTGACGTCTGTGCCAATGCAAGTGCTGGACTCGCGAGCTTGTCTGTTCTTACGCCACAACCTATCAACCTCATGGGTGTGCACGAAGCCTAGAAATGTCAGCTTGGGGACTGTCAGAAGCGTCATGGCAATGGGCTTGCTCACCATCGGGGTTGACGACAGGCATGATGTAGAAATCATAGTTGTCCAATGTCTCGGTGATGAGAGGCTCCTTGATGCGGTAGTCGCGGATAATCTGATAGGCCATGTACTCGACGGACTTTCCTCGGTCAGCCCATGCTTCACCTGTCAATTGTCGACGAAACCCTTACCGGAGCGGTGATCCATTCACGAGCATGGACGGTGCCGTGCCAGATGATGGCAGGCTTGATGCCAGGGCCATCACGGCCCCAGAGGTGGATTCCCTTGAGCGGGCGTCCCTCGAGCGACTCGCCCGCATCGAATAGCTCAGAGTTCCTCACAAAGGCACTCTGCAAGTCCTCGAGAAAGTCGAGGTGCTCTTCGAAGATGTGGTACGAATCGAAGTAGGACATATCGGGAAGGCCGGTGCAAACGTCACGGGCCTTCTTCCTGGCTACGCAAGAGTATCATCAGCAAGTGCTATGTCGAGTCTTGGTGAGGCTTCATACCCTTGTATGGCTTCATCTCGCCTTCCTTGGCTATCTCCGCCCCCATGTCTTCAATCGAGACCTCCACGTCGAGTCCGAGGGCCTCAAAGGCCTTCAGGTCCTGGGGAGAGACGGCCACCTCGAGCGACTTGTGATCACTCTCGCAGTCGAGAGATACGTACTCGATGCCCGACAGTTTGGCCTGCGTGGCCTCAAAGTCGCTGGTCTCAATGTGAAAGACCTTGTACCCATCGTAGGACACCTTGGCCGCCACGGCCTGCAGGCCCAATGCGAGCGCAGCGAACGACTTCATGATGATGGCAGCCCTGATTCGAGTGACACTGACAGTTCTCAGGACCCAGGACCTCGACGACCAGCGCAGCCATCCGCTTCTTATACGCATGCCCAGACTCACTTATCATTTACCCGCTGTACCACGATTCAACCTCCACAAACGACCCTGTTCGATTCGAGCAGGAGACAAGCATTTGTCAAGGGCCGGGGAAGACGGCAGGCCTATTATGCTTATCAGACTATTGGCACCAGAAGGCTGGGCGCGATGCCCTCACCTGCCAGATCGGGCAATGAAGCTTTGGACAATGCGCATGCGTGCCTTGGCCTAAGCTTGTCGACGCTTGCCGGTCCCCTTCCCCCGCACATGCGAGCCAAGCCCTTCCATGAGGCCGAGATCAAGCATGATCTGAAAAGTGCGAGCCCATCGCTGAGGACCCGTTGACCTGCGCGCTTGGCGAGAGGCTGGTGTACGTAGACATTGCATAGCTTGACAGTCTTAGCTGTGACACGAGAGCCTTCGTCTCTCGGTGTGTAGCAACGTTATACTGCCAAAAAGGACTCGAGTACTTCGAAGAAGATCTTTACGTCTCATTTTGGATTTGTTCTTGATGCTGTTGGGAATGAAAAGTGTTCAAAGTTGGCTCTTCCGTACATGCATAATGTTCATCAGCCAAGTAGGCAAGTATTCTCTCCCAGCTGTACCTCTCTGTTGTGATGTTCCTGCTTAACTACTTTCAAAGGATATAGACACCTTAGATGCGCAAGAACAGGCTCTTATTACGGGCCTTGAAAAGATGGCAAGCATTTGAAGTCGACACATCTACACAGTCGACCATTGTGAGCTCCCTCTAGGGTAAGCATGCACAGCCCCAGCGATCCACCTTGGAGTCAGCCTCGACAATGACAGCATCGAACGGTCGTCTTTCCATCGTCAATATTTGATCCTGCAGGAATCGTTCGGCACTATCTACCCGAAAGTGCCAAATGGTCGCTTCTTCTCGTGAAGACTTACCATAAAGTGCAGTGTGGCTTTGCTCATGAACTTGCCGGATCCGGACGCGAGGCACCATGACCGTTGGCGGAGGGGTTCATCAACGCGCCGTATGAGAGATCTCACAATCAGCCGGGACGCTCAACCGCTGGGCGAGGCTCAGAGCTAGGCGACTCGTCCCTGAGTATGATGCTCCAGCAGTGATTCAATCAGAAACGCTCGGTACTCACGATGGTCTCGCGTCTTGCATCGTGTACATAAGGACGAACGCTCCCCACGCGACCACTTGGCGATGAGCAACAGCATCATCAACTTTCTCTCGCAAACACCAGGCAGCACCAGGATGGGCGACACTCCGAAAGACAAAGAGGCTGCAAACTACATAGCGGCTGCTCAACAGCGCACAATGCCGGCCCACCTCGCGTCGCCTAAATGGCGCGATCTCTCAACCAGCATCAGCACCGGATTCCAGGACGAAGAGACATACATGAGGCAGCGCGAGAAGCTCCAGCAGCAAGAAAAGTCTCTTGCGTTCGATTTTCGATGCAAGAGTCGGGCGACCGACAAGGAAGTCAGGGCGAACAGTATCATCCAGGCGTTAAGGAGAAATGACAATCAGAACATTTACGGCAACGCCACGCCAAGGATAGGACATCAGGGGCAGCAGCATGGACGATTCGCTGGTGACCATTTTCTTTCAGATGTCGATCTGATCAGCCAAACGAGTTTATTCAACGTGGCGCGGAGGATGCCCAAAGGCGCCCATCTACACGTCCACTTCAACGCCTGTCTGCCGCCTGAAGTCCTACTCAATATTGCCAAGGACATGGAGAGAATGTTCATCACAAGCGACAAACCGCTCACGTCGAAAGAGGCCTTTGACACGTGCGAGTTGCAGTTCTCGCTCGTCTGTAAAGGCAAGGAGAAACGCGGAAACATCTTCTCGGAAACATACACGGATAGACAACACATGCCATTTCAGCATTTCTTGCTCGAGTTTAGAGACATGCGGGCAGATATGAAGGTGGACACATGGCTTGTTGAAAAGCTCATGTTCAGCGAGGACGAAGCTTACAACACGCGGCAAACAGCACATGGGTATGAACCCTCACCGACATAGGAGCCTGATGCTGTGATACTGATGAAATAGGGCCTGGAGGAAGTTCAACGGTCGGACACGAATGATGAAAGGGCTTATTAACTACGAGACCGCCTATCGAAGATATACACGTCTCCTGCTCGAAGACTTTACCCGGGATGGCATCTCCTACGCGGAGATCCGGCCGAATTTCATGACGAGCAATCATCTCCTGCAGGACGATGGCGAGAAGACGATCGACAATGCTGGCATTATGGAGATCATTATCCAAGTGGTCGAGGAATATCAGAGGGAGATGCACGCCAAAGGCGGCTTTTTCGGAGGGCTCAAGGTGATATATTGCACGCCAAGGAGTTTCCGCAAGGATCAAATCGCCGAATCTTTGCAAGAGTGCTTGGAATTTAAAAAGAGATGGCCGAAATGGATAGCTGGTATGTATATCAGGCCGACATCTGGAAGGGGCTTGGCTGACCATTCCCTCCTTAGGCTTCGACATTATCGGCGAGGAAGCCGCAGGCCATCCTCTCAAGCACTTCATACCAGAATTTCTCCAGTTCCAGAAAGAATGCGCAGAAGCCGCGGTGTCGATACCTTTTCTATTTCACTGCGGCGAAACGCTCGATGACCCAGAGGGTAATCTGTTGGACGCACTCCTTCTGGGCGCGAAGCGCATAGGCCACGGGTTCGCACTGGCCAGGCACCCCTATGTCATGCAGCACATGAAGGCGCGCGGTGTCTGCTTGGAGCTGTGCCCTATTTCGAATGAGATCCTGGGGTTAACGGGACGGGTTGGCGGGCATACCATGTACGAGTTGTTGGCCAACAATGTACACTGCACTGTCAACTCTGACAACGGGACGCTGTTTCGGTAAGAGTGTGCGGTTTTGTGCCATCGCGAGTTGCGACTAATGATGAGGATAGATCAAGTCTTTCCCATGATTTCTACCAGGTCATGGTTGGCAAGGCCGACATGGGCCTCGCGGGCTGGAAGCAGCTGATCTTATGGAGCCTCGAGCACTCCTGTATGGAGGATTCGGAGAGATTGCAGGCTCTAGAGGCCTGGCAGCGGCAGTGGGAGGACTTCTTGACCTGGATTCTGAAGGTATATGGGCCTGTGGTGGAATCAAAGGATGTTGCAAGCAATTGAGGGAATACGAGGATGATACCCAGAGAACGTAAAGATGCGATAGATTCAGTTGGATAGAACCTGCAAGCGCTTGTCATCGTTATCAGCGATTCGTTTCCATTGCCCATAGTGGCACTAATGCTGCATAAGACGCTTAAATGGAGGCTGGTAGGGATGCAGATCGACGCGCAACTCCACAGAAGAAAGGAGGAGCTGATCGACATTGAAAATGCGACGTGCTGCAGGGATCCGCTGCGTGAAAGTCCCAGCCTCACAGACGGTTCCTCCGACATCTTTTCTTCATCTTTTACGGAGTACCATTGTCCTGATCACTCGCCCGCCCATGGGCTCGATACAATGTCCGAATGGAAGTGGTTCCCCCCGGTCAAGACCGACTGGTCGCTGGACGTGGTCAATCTCCTCGTCGTCATAGGCGAGACCTCCATCATTGAGCATGCGCAACCCATCACAGCGTCGCTGCTCTGCGTGCTGCCACGCATCATACCGGCGCCGCAGGTCTTCCTCAAGCCCGTCCGCCCAGGTCGCATGCCCGACACGGCAGCCAAGATGACGGGCGTGTACAGCGGGACGACGCTGGACTCTGTCGGCTTCTTTGCCAACATCATCACGCCCCTGGATGAGATGCCCGCGCTGGGCTTCCGAGTCGTCGAGGTGCGACATTCGGACAAGTGTCGCCTTGAGGAGCATGCTCCGGTGGAGAAGACGTGGTGGGTGAAGCTGCTGGGGTCCATGGCAGCCAAGTCCAAGAAAGCAGAGCTCGAGATGAAAAGACGGAGCGAGGAGCTGAAAAGGGCTTCTCCGCAGGCGGACGAGGAGACCGGCCGGACGACCGCGCGTGAGACGCAGCAGCCAACCTCGACGATCAAGAAACGACACAGATCGACGCGCCAGACTCTCCAGGACCTCCTCACCAACCCTTCCATGGCTTACTCTGGGCAGCGACCCGCCGTACCTGTCCATATCTTCTCGCCTATTCACATCCTAGGGATCATCTCGTTCTTCAACTCCATTGCCATCATCGTCTGTGCCGTCATCTGGGAGGACGGCAACGCCATCCTCGCCGTCGGAGGCGTCTCGCTCATGTCTTCGGTGGTCGGGTTCGCCTCCTTCTGGCGACCCCTCCTGATGAGCCGAAAACACGACAATGAGGTTCCAGACGGCGATGTCATGATTCGGACGCGAGAAGGCGCCTTTGTCCTCGTCAAGTGCACCGAGGACGTCGCAAGAGAGCTGTACAGCGGAACGGAAGAGTGCGAGTACTACGTCAATGGGAGGATCTACCGTCTCCTGATGGTAATCGGCACCGTGCTGCTCATGTTGTCGGTTGTCCTGCTGGGCAACTGCACATGGAACTCGCAAGTCTTCATCGGCGCATCGTACATTGTGCTCAACGGACTGTACTGGGCCCTGGGCATGCTGCCGCGGTCATACTTTTGGGATCTGTCTCGCTATGAGTGGAGGGATGCGACCCCCTACGACGCTGAGCAGCCGGGCGACGACCAAGACAGGAGCTACACGAGAACCTTGTGGTATGCCATTCGTGAGACGAGAGGCAAGACAGGCTGGGTGAGAGTCAGCGGAGCCGCCCCAAGTACGGACAAATGGAAGCGATGGGTCAAGGAAGCCGGTCGCAACGCAAAGATGGGCTTGCGAGACTGGGATGCTGTGAGGAGAAAGGACGAGATTATGAGGGCTGCTTCGGATGACGATGATGACGATGAGGCACTGGAATGCGCTCCCTTCTCCCAGATCACCCGAAACGACCAGAACAGGCTGTCGGTATCCATGTTCTGATACCAGACGCCTTCTACGACTAATGATACCATGATTATGTGCGATCAAATGCTTGATACAATGAGTCTAATATTCACTGGGCATGAAGGCCCAATCTCTACCATAATCCTTAACGCCGGCTGTAGATTTTCTTCCCGAATCAAGTCTAGTCGTCAAAGTAGACTGCCCCCTTGTGCGAGATGTCAATCAGTCCACCCTTGAAGCTACCCTTCTTCTTCTTGTTCTTCTCCTTGGTGAAGCCCTTGCCCTTTGTGACGATGAGATCCTCGTGCGCCCGTTTCGAGTAGTCCACGTGGTTCCAGGAGTTGTCGGCGAATTTCTCGTCCACCTTGATGTTCTTGGGTATACGCGAGAAACGCTCGTTCTGCTTCTTCTTCTTGAGCTCGACCGGGTCTGGGGGCAGAGGAGGGTCCTCGGAGGCCGAGGCGGTATCGACTGTCACGGAGGACGCCGTCGAGACCTTGTCCGTCGCCGGCTCGTCGACCTTTTTGACCGTCTTGGTCACGGTCTTCTGGACCTTAGGCTGCTTCTTGGTCGTCGTCTTCTTCTTTCCAGAGGAAGAGTCGCTGTCGGAGGAGGAGGACTCTGATGACGAATCGCTGTCCGAAGAGTCGGAGGACGAGTCGGAAGAGGACTCGGACGAGGATGAGGAGTCGGAAGACGAAGAGGAAGATGACGAGGCGGAAGAAGAGTCGCTGTCGGACTCTGGCAGGGCGACCTTGGCGGCGTCCTTGGCGTTGACGGGCTTTTCCTCCTCGCTTGAGTCAGAGCTGGAGCTCGAGCTGGAGCTCGAGCTGGAAGAACCAGATGAGCTCTCCTGCTTCTTCTTCTGCTTCTTTGACTTTGGCTTGGCCTCTTGCTCAGACTCGGAGTCGCTCGACTCAGAAGGGCTGCTGGAGGCCTTGCGCTTCAGGGTTTTCTTCACTGGGGCCTTCTTCTTCTTCTTTTGCTGAGCATCCTCGCTCTCAGAGTCGGCGTCGGAGTCGCTTGATGAGGAGGATGAGGACGACGAGTCGCTAGAGGCATCCTTCATGTCGATATCAGTCGCTTTGGCCCCAGCGTTGCTGTCCTGCCATGACTTGACCACATCCTCCAGAGACGCAGCCCCGGTGGGTGTGGCACGCGCCCAGCCATTCTTCTCGACTTGCTTGGTGAAGGCAGTGGCGGCACTGGAGGCATACTGGTTGAGGAAGCCCTCCACGAGGCCGATGAGCTCGGCAGATGGCGCACTGGCAGGGACCGCGGCCTTCTTGGGCTTCTTGCTGTCGGTCTTCTTGGCCATGGTGTCGAACTCGTTTGCGCCCGGCCGCGATTGAGCGGTGCTGGATGGATTGGCAGGCGGATTGGACGAGTTGTTGGCGAATAACCAGGACGGAGGTCCAGATGACATGTGCAGTAGGATCACCCGGTGTGGCGGTGGTGGATGAGGCGTGAACTTGTTCAAGAATGAACAAGAGTCAAGTGAGTCTCCGTAAAAGAAATCGAAAAGTTTGTGTGGACCCCTGGCGGAACCGGCGCAGACACGCGACAAGGCTTATCGATAAGGATGCCTGCGACACCCGTTGCCTGGCCCAGTTGGAGTTTGTCAACATGGAACTCAATTGAGATCTACCTCAACACGAGCTCGCCTACCGTCACCACCCACTCAACATCTGGCCTCGTGCATGTCTGTAGAGACAAGGTCTTCTCGAGCTCTCAGAAGCTCGTAGCGCGTCGAGCTTCACCTCGAGCAAGACTGCAATACCCGCGTCTCAGACGCCCCGACATCCCCAACCATGAACAACACAAAGCGAAAGTTCAACACGCTCCTCCAAGGTCTGAGCGCACCGAAGCCCTCACCTGCGACCGACAAGCCAAGGCAGCCCAGGACGACCGCTGAAGTTGAGGAGCTCCTACAGAAACGCCGACGTCTGGGCGTCCCACAATCAAATGGCACATCCCTGTCCACAAAACCGACGACAACTCGCTCGACGATAACATCTCCTGGTCGGAGGCAGGAAGTCAAGGAGGAGAAGCCAGCAGCGCGATTCAATCCCAGCGATCGTGGAGAATTGCTCAAGAGGCTTGCGACGTTTCACGACATAACAGACTGGACGCCCAAGCCAGAGCGGCTGAGCGAGATTGAGTGGGCGAAACGAGGCTGGGTATGCCACGGCAAGGAGACCGTGCGGTGTCTCCTGTGCAACAAGGAGCTAGTTGTCAAGTTAAAGAAGGAAGCCAGCGCGAAAGAGCCTGTGCAGCCAACATCAGCAGAGGTGGAGAAGGCCCTCGTAGACAAGTACGTGGACTTGATCGTCACGCATCACGGACCCGAATGTCTTTGGAGAGAAAGAGGATGTGAAGGTATGCCAACGCGATCCATCGTACGAAGAACCAACTACTGACACGGCCAAGGCAACCTCCTACGACTGCCGCTTGCGAGCGCTACGGCATCGCTACAGGCACTCAAAGAGAGGTATGATGAGCTCTGCTCTCGAAAGCCCTTTTTGCCTTATGAAGTCAACCTGCGGCTACCTGAAGGCTTTGACCTGGACGACATACTATCAAATCTTCCCACCGACTTCTTCCAGTCGAGCAGTACCACAGAAAACACGGTCGAGCCAGACCGTGTAGCTTTGGCCCTTGCTTTATGCGGCTGGCAGGGCCTGTCGAACCCTCGCATGGGTGCTGTTCCCAATTCAGCCTCGTGTCATACCTGTCTCCGACGTCTCGGTTTGTGGATGTTCAAAAGCAAGGAGATCAATCCGGAGACCAACGAGGTCATTGTGCCCGCGCCAATGGACCACCTCGATCCAATACGGGAGCACCGCTTCTTCTGTCCGTGGAAGAACGCCGAAATCCAGAAACGACAGTACTCCAAGCTTGCAGAACAAGAGGCGCAGCCAGGATGGCGGGTGTTGCTGCAGACCCTGGACAACGACGCCCAGCTCAGGAGCATGTACGAGGGGAAACCGAGGAGCAGACCGCATTCAACTGTAGGCATTCCACACACGCCCTCCAAGGGACCACCAAGGACCCCGGGGCCTGCGACACCTGCTACACACTCGGGGCTGCCTCTCACACCGGCCACCGTGGCCACTCAGGGCGTTGACGATGAGGAGAAGGAGCAGGAGGCCAAGGACAGGGAGAGGTGGGCGAGGCTGAAAAGAGTAAAGAGCCTCTTCGATCTGCGCGGTGCGCGGAAACGGGGCAAGTCTGCCAGTCGACCCGGGACTGGTCATTCGACCCGCACGACAGGCGGCGATGCAGCCGACGCGACGACCTGACATCTTGGAGCATGTTGATTGCGAGCATTGCGTGGAGTTTATGTGGTATGATGCATTAATTAGTTCGCTACTAGTAGGTATCTTACAAAATGGTACACTCTATCTAAATATGCTTCCGAAATGTAGAGACAGAACCACCCCCCAAAAACGCCTTGCCCATGCAATTTGCCTTCCATGTACATAGTTTTACATATTCTGCATCTTTCGCAGCATGTCATCCCAAGAGACTGTGTCGCCACCATACGAAATGTCTTCCGGATTGGCCTCCACTTTGCTCGTCGTGGCGTCGAGGTCCATGCCCAACATGTCTCTCAGTATGGCCAGGCGAACTCCCCTCATACCGGGTGCATTGGCAATCGACCGTCTATGAGGAAACGCCGCGGCTGTGACGTGGATCTCTGGCACCCATCCAGTGCCTTCAGACCAGGAAGAGTGCACCTCTTCCGAACCATTCTTAATGACGTTGATGTTCGCGCGGACCTCGGCGGCCACGTTGAGGCAGTATTCATACCACTCCTTTCCAGCGCGATCGGCCTTTGTCAAGATCACCATGAGCTTGATGCCTCGCTGGGCAAGGAGGTTCATCGTCCATCGATCCATATCCGAGATCCGCTTCTCGGCAGGCAGCAAGAGAATGGCTCCTTTGAGCATGGTCCGCTTATTGATATAATCACGCGTCACGGAGCCCCACGCCGCGTGACTGCCATGACCATACCCGGGGGCGTCCATCACCACGAGTCCATGGTTGGCCGGGTCGGTGCCCTGGGGGAGCCCCTGGTTGACCAGAGAGTCGGCGGGCTGACCAACACCGTATGCATTCAGCGTGCGCGTGCGGCCCGGCTTGGAGCTCGTCCTGGCCACATCGCTCCGACCCAGCAGTGAGTTGATAAAGGTCGACTTGCCCACGTTGGAAGCGCCCAGGACAATGATCTCGGGCGTGTGCGTTTGAGGGCGAAGATCAGCCCATTCCGAGGCGGAGAAGAGAAACTTGTAGTTTTGACGGAAGAAGCGATCTGCTGTTGCCATGGCACCACGCACGGCCACCGGGGGCGACGACTGCGGTTTCGTCGGCGGAGATCCAGGGGCGGGAACCGTGATCAGATCCATAGGTGCGAGGGAGGCGACACTCGGATTCCCCTCAATCTTGTTTCTGGAGAAGAAGGGTTTGGGCGCTGGTGGCACGGACGGCTGACTCTCGGGACGAGGCCAGCTGGTCGTTGGCGGGCGTGCTCGGTCCTCCTCTTCCGGGAAGAGTACATCTTCTCCGGATTCGTCAGAGGTCTGGCGGTTGAAGGGAGGCACTGTCTTCTCCTGGCGCTCGGTGGGCGGCTCGGGGATAGAGTCCCGATTGGAGGGGTCAGCGAGAGCGGAAAGAAGGCGTGCCTCGTATGATGGTTCTGCTGGCGGTTCGTTCGACGAGAGGCGATCTTCTCCGCGTTGAGATGTTGGCTCCCGTGCAGCAGCATAGGAATCTAGAAGTTGTGCTGACCGGGGCGTCGGTTTTGGCCTAGGAATCTCTGCCACCGGCCACGCATCGCTCGTCCCTGATCTGGATCCGAATCGGTTTGAAGGTTCTGCGGCCCCCCTAGAGCGAGCCCTCTCTCTCCTGCCTTGGTTCTTCCTCTTCTTTTCCATCTGACCAGCGGGATGGTCTGATTTTCTCTGCGCTGCCATGGCTGCAAAGGGGTCTGCGCTGGCCGTCGGTGATGCCGTCCTTCCGGACCTCGTGTTGCCGGCCTGCCTACCTCTCGGCTCAGACTTGTCTGACTTTCTCATCGTCATCATGGACGCAAAGGGATCTGCTACCTTGCCCATTCTGCTACCGGCGCGGTCGGCTTCCGCAGCCACACGGACAGCCTCGATTTTTCTTTGCTCCCGAGCAGCCTTCAACCCTTCAAGCCTGGCGGTTTTCCGCGCCACAGCTTCACGAAGCTTGGCGGAAGAACCGGGCGAAGACTTCGAGGTCCATTCGTGGGGTCCTCCACGCAGAAAGGGACCAGCATAATTCGAGAATTGCTGCCGTGAGATTTGTGAAAATATAAGATGTGGCGTCGGTGTGAGGCGAGTGTCTCGTAAGACGCTCAGTGTTCGCGCCATGATGTCGTGGCAGTTGGATAATGAACGATTCCTATAATAACATGGCACAGTGATAATACAGAGCTTGGGGAAGTTCGGCCTGCGAAAGTCCTATTATTTGGCGACGTGATGAGATGGATGCTGTCGAGATGACACGCGTTGATACTCGGATGAGTTTGATGAAGTGAAAAAATAGCTGGCACGTGACCTGCACCACATGTCTCTATGCCATGGCGTCGACCTCGATGAAGTGAGATTTGAGATCTTGGAGATCATTATTTATACTTTGATCATACGCATTGATTTATTTCATTTTCTAAACGATCTCATTTCATCAATTTATCTGCCCTGCTCCATGAAAGCGTCTCCTGCTCTGACACGACCTCTCACGGACGGCACAAGTTAAAACCCATTGTCACCACCACAGCCAGCATGACGGTGGCACTCCAGGATCTGGACGCGCACGAGCAGCCGTCAGAGAGCATGCGAGCCGAGTGGAAGAACTTCACCAAGATCAGTCACGAGACCGTCCTCCAAGATCCACGCATAGATGACCCGCGAAAACCACTATCAGAAAACGGCTTCAAGACAGCAGGCCATATCTCAAAATCCCAAATCAAAGAGGCGTTTTCAAGCATAGGAGTCAACGCAGACGTCAAAGAAGATGCCCCCCTGATTCACCACCCCCTACTCCCCGGTCTTTTGATCGCACCAAACCTCGTGCCAGAAGACGTCCAAACCAGACTCGTGGACGTCATGGTCCATCGTGATCTGAGCAATCCGACACACCAAACCAACATGCATCTTCACTTTGATGTACCCTATCCTCCCGACGGCGCTTCCTTCTTTTCTCTCCCGCCCGATGGGCCGCCTTTTACCCCCAAAGATCCCAGCGTACACAAACCACTGTCGCCCTCGCAAGTCCTCAACAAACGTCTGCACTGGGTCACTCTGGGCGGGCAGTATGACTGGACGGACAGGGTGTATCCCAACGAGAAACCACCTCCTTTTCCAGAGGACATTGCAGCTTTCCTGGAGAGTCTATTCCCGGCGACGGAGGCACAGGCGGCTATTGTCAACTTTTACAGTCCGGGGGATACCATGATGATGCATCGCGACGTCAGCGAGGAGGCGAATCGAGGCCTGGTCAGTCTGAGCCTGGGGTGCGATGGTCTCTTCATGATCGCCCCGAGCAGCGCCGGGAATCAAGAGGCGGAATCGGATTATGACGGTGACAAGCAGTATCTCCTGCTACGACTACGGTCAGGCGATGCTATCTACATGACCGAAGAGTCGAGGTATGCGTGGCATGGTGTCCCAAAGGTAGTCAAGGGGACCTGTCCCGACTTCCTCGCGCAATGGCCAGCAAGCGGCCAAGATGCCGCGTACGAGGAATGGAAAGGCTGGATGCGGAACAAGAGGATCAACCTCAACGTCAGACAGATGAAGGACTGATAGTTGGTATACTGGAATGCTCATGTTAACAATGCCAAGTTACACGGTGCCGTGCCGTGTCTAACTCCCATCTATGCAAAACCGAATCCCTGGGCGTTTTCCAGCGCCATCGCCAGTCGCTCCCTAAGAGCGTCCTTATCCTTATACTCCGGAAGCAACAATGTACCGTAACATGTATAGGCCGTAGGTAAGTGCCCATTTTCGTCCTCCTCGCCATTCTTCTGTATAATGAACTGCAGGTTGCTCACACCGCCCACCGGCAGTCGGTCAGATGCCGTGACAAATTCGAGGAGGCGCCGCTTCATCCCCTCATCATAGCGCTTAACGATGGACCAAAAGTCCCTGATGGTGCGGTGCGAGGCATCCCAGCCGACATACCGCGTGCAGCGTCGCAGCTCGGCAACATCAATTTCCTGGACACCCTCCACCAGCGCTTGCAGGTTTTGGGGGTTGAGGAGGGTGAGCGACTTTGGGTGCAGGCAGGCGCGGAATCCTCGCTCAAAGGCCGAAAATTGAGGTCGCACTGATACATCCGTCAAGAACCGAATATAGTCCGCCACATAATCTTCCCGGTTGTCTTTGGTCACAAGAGGTGCCTCTTTGCCGTCCTCGAGGGGCGCAAAATCCTTGCCAACTTGTGGCCAGGCCATGTCTTCTGGGCCCATTTCTCGCGTGACGTGACTGCCGTACGTCAGGACCGAGAATTCGTAGGTTCTTGCAAACACGTCCTCCACGGCACCATCCTTTTCGTCCCAGTCCTGCAGCATGGTGAGACCACTGGCCAGGTCAGGCCACCCATCCTCAATGTGGTGAAGGTCGGTCACCGGTCTGTTAAGCAATTTTCGGTACAGAGCCGTGGGAAAGGTCATCGGTAGCGTCAGGCCGTTATAGACTGCCAATGACACGATGAGCCCAAGCAGCTCGAATTTCCACAGCTCAACCACCGAACCGGGCGCGAACCAGGCCATTCGCGTCCGGTCATCGACAGTGAATGCGCCGTATTGGGGGTGAAGGAACTCGGCAATTGCCATCCGGAAGAATTCCTGCTGGACACCGCCCGAGTCGAACCCTTCCTCTCCACCCTCTTCACCCAGATGCACCTTGAGTGGACACAAGAGCTCTCTATGCTCTCGCCGCCAGAGCTGGTCAAATGCATCCCGCAAAACGTGCTCTCGGCTGATTTCGAGAACCAGATACCTGCGCGATGCTGTTTTGAGCATGTCCTGCAAGACCGTCTTGTGATGCGGGTTCGTGATTAAGCTGCCCTTGTCAACAATCGCATTCATCCTCGTTCTGAGAGAACTAGATTCTTCGTATGCCCGGCTCATCCTGCCAAAATTGATGGCTCGGAAGAGCGAGACGAGGCTGTTTCCCGTAAACAGGTATGGGTAGTCAAGCATGTGTCCTCTCTGGCTTGTCGAAGCGAACGACAACCATGCGATGGGCACAGTCAGCGAGTCGAAGCGCTCCGAGAAGTATTCCATCTGGAAGTCACGGCCAAGTAATTGGAGTGACTGCTTCTGTTCATGCATCGACTCAATGAGCGTCAACGCCCCGGCAAAGGCACCGCTCGTTGCGAAATCAGGCTTGCCGTCCCACTCGTGCAAGAGCACTGCGCGAGCCCATTCCAGAATGAGGATCTGCATCCGGCCATGGTGGAAGAGGCGGGCATCTTCGGAGAATTCTAGTGCTGGCGTAGACTCGAGTCCTGATACATCGATCTGACTGAACACCGGATCCAAAACGTCGATGACACTGCTGTCGTCCTGCGTGCTGTTCCTGCGGTCCATACCCAGCATAGTCGCAAATTTGCGACGGGCTATGACTGCAGAACAAAGCCTCGAGGCCAGTCGGATGGCCAAGTCATTCGAGAATGCATCATCAAAGCTTTCGCGTAGCTGGGATGGCTGGGCGAGTGCATCTGCATTGCCGCTCAGAGCAAGTCCCTTGGCACGCACCCAAGTCAGTGCGCGCAGCGAATGTTTGTCAGGGACCATGGGTACACTTCCTGCCAGTGCATGAAGGCATATTGCCATAACACAACCAGCCTCGTGGTCTGATAATGCACGATGATTGCGTCGGAATAGCTTCCTGTCACTTGGCCCAACCTGCTGCAGAGTGGTCGGTGGTATGAACAGCGCATCGGCAGCCATCCACAGGCTGTGGAATACCAGACTAGGCACCGTGCCCGTAAGGCGTGACATGCAGTACCATAGCGTGTGCGAGTCGAACAGATCACCGTGGGCAGAAAAGGACGAGATCAATGCCTGCGGATCACTCAGCACGCCGAAAAGTGCTTGCTCACTGAAATGTCGCCATTGTTGCCGGGATGTTGGGATGTTGGTGTTGCGCTTTCGTCTTAACGGTGTCTTGCCACGACTGGGCCGAGGTAGCTCGTTGACTCGATCGCGACGTTGGTCAATCGGTTCTTCGCCGGTATTGTCCATGTCGAGAACGTCGCATAAGAAATCGACAACGTCAGCGTCAAGACGCTTCAGCGACTGCGGCGGAAGACATTCCAGTGGTGCAGGGGCGCTCGAGTCGTCTCTTGCAACTGGATGATCGAAAAGCTTCTTCCCCATAGGTATACTCTTGTGCTTGGTGGGTGAGGGCATGGGGGATTCATCCTCTTCATCTTCAGCCTCATCTTCCGCTTCCTCCTCTTCTGACAGTGTCGATGCTCGACCTTGTTTGCCGAGAACGGGGATAGGGGATGTCGTGTGCCCAAAGAAAGCCGGCTTGGCAGGTATGTCGGGTATGCCTCTAGGTACTGTGGCCGACACTGACCTCAGTGAGCGATTCAGCTTTTCGGGAAAGAGAGCGTTTGGTCGTGGAGACTTTGTAGGTGATCTGAACTCGTCTGTTTTCGTTGGTGAAGGGGGTTCTAAGGATGCTCGTCTCCGAGGCTTCCAGGACTGCGGTGAAGGGAACAAAGCCTCGGGACCGCGGCGTGACTTGGTCGGATCCATCGGTGAGGCATTGAGTGATTCGGGCGGAGCGAGCTTCTCGGGCAATTCTCCATTCAACAAGGAAGGTGACTTGAGAGGCGATCTCAAGTCTGCAATCGGATCTGACCGTGATGTTGCTGTACTAGAACCGCCCAGGCCTGAACTGGGCTCCTCGTCGTCGGTTTCGCCTGACTCGTCTTGTCCCATAAGATGGTCAACCCCTAGCTTCTCGGCCATGGATGTCATACTTTGTGGGCTTAACCACTCGATCATCCGGAAAGCGACTGTGCCGAACAGATTCGCGGCAAAAGAACGATGGTCTTTGCTTGCTGGTTGCTCACGGATTTTGTACCAAAATCGGTCTTTCGCTTCTCCCAATTTGCCATCGCCGCCATCTTGAAATCCTGGGTCCTCGTCGCTGCCATCTCGCTCCAACCTGTGCGCGGACAGGGGACCACTCTTGGATCGTCGCGATCGGGCACTGGTAGAGAAGTCGCCGCCGGGGTTTGTGTTGCTTTTCGATATCGACGAGCCATCGGTGGCTGCGCGCTTCGCTGGCGGGGGCATTAGCTCCCGCGACGTTATCTCGAATATCAGGTTATTATGCGTCGACGAAGAGACCTCCTTCGGGATCCGGAGCGCAGGACATAATCCTGATTCGGCATCGTTTTGGCTTGCGAGATATACAGCAAGTGTCCTCGCGCTTTGTGGGCTATACCTCCGAGTCGGCGACTTGCCAGCGAGACGCTTGCGGCAGGTGAAGCATGTTGAAACGGTGCAGTTGGGGGCGCCGCATCCATCGCGTAGTTGGTGGATGTACCTGACGACATTAGCAAGGAGACTAAAAAAGATTCTGATGGCACAAACTTGTTGACTAGAGTCTGGAAGCCATGCCTGCGTGTTGCTCTGTGGATTGCGTACACGTGCCGTGGATCCTCGACGTCGGTTACATATTCTCTGAGTTCAGGCGGCGCATCTGGAGGCAAACGAGCGAATGGGGCCTCTCGCCAGAGCCCTGAGATAATGTCGATTTCGTCGTCGTCGATGGTCGTGTTCCGTCGAATTCGCGTTTTTAATGGCGTGGATGCCATGATGAAGGGGTGTTGGCAAGATCGCACTTGGAGGCGCTGCGGCGCCGAACCGTCAAAGGTTGGCAGTGCAGGGCGCTACACTTGCAACTAGGTGAACATTCTTGTGAAAACGGGGGCTTGAACAGTATAGTTTCGTGCTTGTGTTGGGTATATAGGACGGTAGTCGTCGTTGTTCGCGTGATGAAAGGGATACAGTCGGCGGTGTTTCCAGGAGATTCTGGTCGCTGACGTTTAACGCGCGCGCCATCCAGCCTCACCAGGGCCCAGGGGCAGCTACAGTGGGCAATGTGCAGTGATGTTGGACTACCCTACACGTCCTTGAACCTATCGTCGATTCCCCGATTCCTTCAATCTCGCAATGCCGGTAGCTCTGCAAATATGAATGACGTATCAGGTAATTCTCAATGAGTCACGGCGAACTTACTATTTCTAAACTAGCCCAAGACGTTACTGTTTGTTGCTGGAGATGTTCATGCAGCAAGATATACACGTGAGTAGCAAAATTTTGGCTCAGCGAAGCGATAGCAGGCTAAATTTTAATTACTAATCCAAGAATCTACTGCTTGTACTAACCCTTATCCCTACGAATCCAAAAGAATACCAAGCAGAGGATGATACAAAGAAGCCAAGTACTCTGTACGGAGTATCAAAAGTCAGCCTCACAGCTGATATCATCGTGCCTTGGCACCGTCGCTGCAGGGTTTTAGCGGGCCCACGGGACCTTCAGATCCTTACCGTACCTTATCGCATGGCTTATCGTTGATTTTTGCCCCGCGCCACCAGGGCACTTGAGATTTCCCATATTTCTCATCAGACCCTCAACCTGATGACATATTCCGAGAGTTGAGTCATTGCTACTACCGGCTTTGGCACAAACAGACCTTTCCCATCCCACGAAGCCAAATTCACACTCTCTGTCGACTCTGTAAACTCGTCCTTGGCCTTTGGCGGCCCATTCATCTCGAATCGACACTCCGAATCCTACGCCCACTTCGAACCCCTCCATCCGCCACCATGGCCAGCGCCGGTACTCAGCCAGCGACAGCTGGTAACTCGCAGTCGCACCCCTATACGTGTAACACATGCCAGGTAGCTTACCGTAGCATCGAGTTGCAAAAGGGCCACATGAAGAGTGACTGGCAGTATGTGACCCCCAGCGTCATGCCCCGCCTAGACCTTGGACTAACGCAAACCCAGTCGGTACAACCTCAAGCGCAGAGTCGCATCCTTGCCCCCCATCTCAGCCGACACCTTCACCGAGAAGGTCCTGCAGGCCCGCGCCGTGACAACCGCAGAGGAAGACAAAGCACTTTTCGAACGAGTCTGCGAGCCGTGCGCCAAGACCTACTTCAGCGAGAATGCCTACCAGAACCATCTGCTCAGCCAGAAGCACAAGAACAAGATCTCGACGACTGGACAACGGCCTGACGACGAGACGACCTCGGTAATCAGCTCGACATTCACCCTTGGGGAGCCCGCGCCCGCTCGCCGAGACTCTGTCGACTCAGCTGCCGAACAAGAATTCAATGAGGTCGTCGAGGGCATCCAACGCACCAAGCTCGTCCAGGATGATCAGAACCCTTCGCCCGTCAAGCGTCCCTCCAACCCTCAAATCACCTCTGCTGATGCCGATGCCGAGATTGACCGCGAATCCAATAACAAGACACCGGTGCAGCAGGCTCCCGCCTGGTCAATTCAGTCATGCATTTTCTGCAACTACAGCTCCCCCACAGTGCCGTTGAACATCCTACACATGGAGCGCTTCCACGGCATGTTCGTGCCCGAAAAGGCATACCTCGTGGACTTGGATGGGTTGGTGAAGCAGCTGCAGGAGAAGGTGCACGAGGACCACGAGTGCCTGTACTGCGGCAAGATCAAGTCCACCGTCTTCGGCATCCAGACACATATGAGGGACACGGGTCACTGCAAGATCCCCTTTACTACCGAACGTGATCAGCTCGCGATCGGCGACTTTTATGATTTCCGCAGCACCTACTCGGACGGCGAGGATGACGATGAGTCGGATAGTGGTGACGCCGATGACACGGACAAGGAGGGCGGAGCCAAATTGGGCGCTCGCCGCACAGGAAAGACCGTTGACGAGAATGGAGAAGAGATTGAGGAGGGAGACGGTTGGGAGACCGACAGCTCGGCTTCGTCTCTTGACTCGGAGGATCTGCACGCTGTGCCCGCCGAGGGTCACTTACACCAGTACGAGCGTCTGGATAAACACCCACACCACTCAAGTAGAGATCCTCGCCAACGCCATCAGGCCGATGGCTGGCACTCACACTCGCACAAGCACACCCGGGGTGTGTTCTACGACGACTACGAGCTCCATCTTCCCACTGGCAAGTCCGTGGGTCACCGCTCTATGAACAAGTACTATCGCCAGAACCTGTACCACTACCCCACTGCGGAGGAGCGTGCCGAGCGACAGGCGATCGAGGCTGCCAGGTCGTCAGATGACGAGGAAGAGGGTGACAACCAGTTGGCCGTCAGGAATGGCCGTGAACGCGCGGTAATTCCTCGTGGGGCCAGGGGCATGGCCGGCGTGTCAGACAAGAAGCGGATGGCTGCCGAGCGCTCTGAGCAGAGAGGGCGGACGCAAGAGCAGGTCGTCGGGAAAAAGAAGGACTATGCGTACGGCAAGAAGCTGAACAACCAGAAGACGTACTACTACCGATACCAGAGAGGTGGTTAGTCTGGTTCATAGTCTAGTTATGCAGTCATGAAAAGTTTGGCGTCTCACATTTAGCTTGCGTCTTCGGTGTCTTGTTATTGTAAAGGAACGTGTGAGTGTGATACGCGCGAATCATTTAATCAAGTGAGATGACTGTGTACTCCGTACATGTAGCATGTCACAAACGGTGATCATGGTGACAATAAATAGTCGCTCATCCTTGTCTGACAAATTGGGTTAGCGGCGGTGATCTACCCCACGTTCTGTGGCCTGGGCCTGGGCCTTGGCCATATGGTTGCTGAGTTGGAGACGATCAGAAATCGTGAGGAGTCTGAGGACCATACGGCGACGACATCAAACCATCATCGTGACCCCAGGCCAATCCAACAGCAGTCTCGCGGGCTCTTTCAACTTCATGGGCGCACAAGAAACCTCTCATCATGCAGGGCGACCTTGTCACGCGGCGCACACAGTTCTCGAGTTGTGATGAGTGCCGTCGGTCACGCGTGGCCTGCGACGCGGTCGTTCGCGCCAAAGAATTGGGCGAGGACAACGTAGGCGACGTGGATGTCATATGCTCAAGATGCGAGAGGAGGAAGAAGAGCTGTACTTTCAAGGTGCCCAGCGACATGGCGCGACGTTTTGTGAGACACGAGTAGACTAACTCGACTGCAGTGGGTGAAAGAGAACAAGACGGCCACGGCCAAGAAGGCATCGAAAACGGCCAAGGGCAAGAAAAGCCGCCAGGAGAAGAGGGAGCTGTCAATGAGTGATTCCGCCCTCTCTATTCACCAGCATGAGCTGCCAGACGAGGTGGCAGCGCGACCCGCAAGCATTCGCTCATCAAACCCCTCAGACTGGCCGTCACCCTTTGGCCACCTGATGCAGGACAATGCTGCAGGCTCTTTTGACATGGCTATCTCGCCGGCAAGCAATTCAGTCGGTATCCTCAACCCAGAGATCATCAGTGCACTCGACTCGTATTGGCTCTCGGCCATCTACCAGACGGGGTTCGACTCGGTGTTTGGGTCGTGGATGGGGCGTTTCTGCAATCCATTCGCGTAAGTATGCGTGCGCACAAAGGTAAAAATACACGAACTGATGGCAACAGGACGGGCGAGCACAGCCGCGCAGACAAATACGTGCGCATCTCCGACTTGTGCGGCAAGCTTGACCAATGGATGGCCAGTGAGAATAGGATGCCTGATCATTCAGCAACATCACCCAGAGACCTGAGTCACGCCGAGATGGTCAGAGACCGGCAGATTGACGAGTCTCTGCGCATGACCATTGTCGCCTTCTCGGCCAGGTGGCTGCCCTTGGTGCCCTCGTCGAGTGCAACAGGTCAAGGCCGTGATCGCAGTGCGTCGATCGAAGCACTATGGAGACACGCTAGGCGCGACATGCTCAGAGTCATCAATCGGCCATCGTATCGATCCATGCTCACTCTGTTTCTCTTTGCTCTGACGCCCATACCTTCGAGCATCTCGGAAGACGAGGAGTTGGATGGCATCTCGGGACAATCATGCGTGCACGCCGCCCTCCAGCAGATCCAGATACTACGTGCACGTCACAGGAATCTCCAGTTCAGTGGCTCCAAGGTGTCGCCTTTTTCCAAACGTCCACCGATGCCGACGAGCCCGGATTCACTTGGCACCTCCGATTTCATGATGGCCGAGAGCACAGCGCACTGGGCCGCACTCACCTTCGACACCTCAGCCTCGCTGACACTCAACAGCCGCTCCCTTTTGTCATCTGGTCTGTTTGGTTACGACGAAGAGCTATCATGGCGTCTCGTGCGCTCGTCGGCCAAGATGTTTGTCGAGACGTCGCACCAGTGGCTGCCTGGCAGTATCGACATTGACGACGATCGTGCGAATCGCATCGTGGGAGCTGCAGCAGCCTGGAAACTTTGGGGATGGAAACTCACCGCCGTATTCAAAGAGGCGCTCCGGGACGGCCACGAGGAAGACCGAGTCCAGAATGCATTCGCCGCGGTCGTGGAGTCGATCCAATACTTCAACGTGAGCTTCCGGCCCCATCTTGAGGCATGTCAACGGCGCATGCATTTCCTGAACCAAGACACCCGGTTGCGATGGTGTAAGTACCTCTTGTTGTCTTTTAAAACCTGTACTGACACACGTAGACTCGCTGATGCTGCATTATCACTTGAGCATCCTCATGCTTGTGGATATTGTCGAGGCCACCGAGCGCTTTGACCTGATGGCGAATCTGAAGGTGCTCACCGCCGAGGCCGAGAACACGGTCATGGACACTTTGGTATTCGGCCTGAACAGCATGTTCACCCTCTCCATCAACCCTAACAGCGCCTTGGCCCAGGGCCACGCCACATCCATCACTGTACCGCTCACGGCTGTCGACCCGTACCCCCACCACATCGTGGCGGCTATGCAGCTCGTCCGCAAAGCGATTGAAAGGGACTACAGCGTGGGGAAGATTACCCCGGACTCGTACGCGACGTTGCGCGCAACCATGGAGAAGACACTAGATCTACTGCCCCAGAGCTCCAAGTCCATCCAGGCCGCCAAGGTGCGACAGATTGAAGGGGAGCACGGAAATAACCCGTACCAAACGTTGCATGGGTACTTTGCAGAGTGAGCATCTTCGCGGGGAATACACTATACAAGTACGCAGCGGCACAGGGCTTGCGACGCCCCCGTACGAGGCTGCCCCAGATTCTCGCATCTCCACGATCCGATGGTCTGTCGGATCCGAGCCACCGACCTCCTCCCCCACAAGCGTGGGGACGGATCTCCAGGTTATCGGATCCGCTCATTTTCGTCGCCTTTTGTACTTAACGTCGTCACGACCTGCAATTTTACTATTGCGGGCGCATTCTGCTCCTCATTCTGCTTCTCTTCGACGACAAAATGGGGGAGAACATTACTTGCGACATTTCGGCCGTTGTGGCTGGCTCCCAGAGGCGCTGCGTCTCCATCCTGGGCGCCGGGACACAAGGGCGACGCTTGGCATTCATGGTACGCGGTCCCTATCGTTGAGGTCACTCAACAGCTCTCGCTAATGGCACGCCAGTGGTCAAGTCAAGGACAGGATGTCCATCTCATTGATGCGCAACCGTCGCAGCTACAAGCTAGCATCGGAGCTGTCGAGGAGCTACGGGCGTCATGGTCTGCGAAGGGCTCAGCGACGGGCAAGATTGTGACACATCTCCCCGACGAGCTGGGTCAAGCTTTGCAGTCTTCATGGCTTGTGGTCGAGGTATGAAGGATGGCGCACGGGAGATGACTGCGTGCGGGTAGCTGACTCGAATGGCAGTGCGTTCCCGAACGATTACCGTTGAAGAAAAAGATTCTCCAAGAACTGGACTCTGTGGCACCGGAGGATGTCATTGTTGCCTCCAATTCGAGCAGCTATTCGTGTGGCGAAATCATTAAAGATCTGGATCTAACGCACAAGAGTCGGATACTCAGCGCACACACGTGTAAGTCCTGGTCACTGGTGGGTGTAAACTCCCGACTGACGTAAACAAGATTGGCCGCCCGAGACGCCAGGTTCGTGAACAAGAACTGCCTCTGACGTACATTCAATGCTCATCAAGGTTTAGCTATTGAAATCATGAGTCACGAGACCACAGACCAAGCACATGTGCAGCTCATGCTCGACCGATGCGCGGCCCATGGGTTCGAACCTTTCCACGTGCGAAAGCCTTCAATGGGATATCTGTATAACCGGTAGGTGACCCCCTTCCCCATCAACGACCAGACCACTCACAAATGTAGGATATGGGCTGCCATCAAACGCGAGGCGCTTCTCGCCGCGTCCGAGGGTGCAGGAACCCCAGAGGAGATCGATGCCATCTTTCGAGGCATCCTCAAGACCGCCAAGGGGCCCTTTGAGCTGATGGATGTCGTGGGTCTGGATGTTGTCTATGACATTGAGCAGCACTATGCGGAGGCAAGGGCGGATGTGCCTGAGGAACCGAGACAGTACCTCAAGAACTATCTGGATCGGGGAGACTTGGGCGTGAAGAGTGGCAAAGGTTTCTACGAGCACGCAAGGAAGGATACTTGATGCACTTTGTCGATCTACCCGTGGGTTCGAGGGTACTGTCCTTTTCTGTATTTCGTTTGCCTAACGAAAGTGTTTGATATAGCTCCATGTACAAGCAATGTCTCAGCCAATGTTTTGTCAAGTTTTATAAATCAGATTGCCCCGTTCGTCCCTTGTAGACTGCGTGCTCTAAACAATGCGCCCTGCGCCCGTATATATACATGTAAAAAGGAATCGATATTTTCAAATATACTCGTTCAACCGTACGGTGTTCCGTATCGAAGCCAGTCTCGCTCCGGGTCTGGCAGCGCACCCGTCACGCCCGTCCCGAGCAGGGACGTCGTCTGCCCTGCAGTCGTCTCGGCCAATGCCGGAACATTGAAGAAGTTGAAGAGATCCATGTTGTCAAGTTCGGCGGGCGAGGTTACCCTCGTGGTCAGGGGCTCTATCCCGGATCGTCGATTTCGTGAGGTCAATGTCATTATGTCGTGTGCGTTCCTTCGTCACGTTAGCCTTGGTGCACCATGGACCACTCTGGCAACGGTAGACTCACTTTCTCATCGCGGCATAACCGCTTTGCCGTCCCATCTGCACAGCTCGCGTGAGGACCTTGGCGTAGTTGTTCGCCAGCTCCCAGTACTGTCCCACGTGGTTGAGGGTCTCTATAAGAAACTCGATCTGCGGGTCGACCGCGCAGCCCACTGTTGCCGCATGCACGAGCAGAAGCCGTGCTGCTACCCAAAGGGAGAACGCAAAGGGTGGCCCCAGAAGATCAAGACCATCAGCCTCGTACACGTCTCTCGCAATGTCACCCAGCGACTGCACCGCGGACAGACACCGCTGCGTAGCGTAGTGAGATGGCAGAAAAACGGGGGACCGAACGGTCGGATAGGCCGCGGCTGAGTGCAGTCGTACCACGGCCACAACGTAGGCGCTGTGTAGCATAAACCAATTGGCTACCCGGCTGGCGGGATCCGAGTGGCACAAGGCGGACACTTTCGAATACTCGCTCGGCAATGATTGAAGCCATGCATCCAGTGAGGAATCCAGAGATCGGTAGGTCGCCCCCCAGGACGACATGGCGGTGGAGGACGTGACGTCGACGGGCGTCCGCAGAAAGTTGTGTATCCGGCTGACAATGCGCAGGATCTCGCAGTGGTACGCGAACGAGCCTAGATTCTCGGGATGGTTGACAGTGTACGGCTCACGCGTACCGTCGTCGTTATATGTGACAGTTTGTGTCTCGACCGGTACGTTTCGGGAGAACAGATCGTACGAGCAAGGGAGTAGCCTCTTCATCCTAACTTCCTCGAGCAGAAAGTCAAAGTCGGCCGTGGCGATGGTCGCGTAGCGGTCAAGCAGGTACACCATCCAGCAGATTCGGCGTCGACCCTCGTCTTCGATCCACGATTCGGGGCGGCCTGTGATGACGCGTCGTACCGAGCCTGTGCCTGGCATCTCTTCCTTGTCGGTGACCATGAACACGGCGGTTTCGTCGCCCAGGTTGAGTTGTCGAATATTCTGCGCCAGCATGGACAGCATGTTCCAGCCTCTTGGGCCGTTGGAAGTGCCCAGCTCATCGAGGCAGAGAATGACGAGGGCCTTGATGGCGTCGATGCTGACATTCTCCATGGCGTACAGTTGCACATTTCGCTTAGATACCGCGTGGTAATGCACTTTCGCCTCGTAGGATAGCCGCGGGTCGCGTAGGAAGCGTAAGGTCGTCGCCACGATGGCATGCAGCAGGACACGGTCAGCCTCGCCCATGGAGGTTGATCCGAAGAAGATGCCAAAGGTGGATTTCCGATCAAGGATCGGGCACCACGTGTTACAATGTTTGAAGTATAGGTCGACGAGGGTGTAGATGACGTCCTGTGGCGGGAGGTCGGTCAGAGCGGGGGCAGGCCGTTGCCCTGTGACACTCGGCGACGGTGCGGCGCCATGGCTGTAGGGCGTTGAAGCGGGCGGGATGCTGTTGGGAGGCGGCTGCTGCTGCTTGTGAGGTTTTGAGTGTTGCTGTTGTGATGACACTGGTGGAGGTATCGGCGGCTGGATACCATACTGACTTACGTCAGGCGCGTCACTGCCAGGCCAGTACCCCGTCAAGGGGCCATTTTGCGATGTCGGCGTCCCGGACGGTGCTGTCGATGATGGCACCCCGGCGCGCTGGGGCAGGTCACCATGATGCCCGCTGAGGATGGCATGGGGGCTGTCGTGGGACTCGATGTGGTCTTCGAGGCGGCGACCGAGTGATTGCAGCAAGGCGTCAATCTTGTTGACCTTGGCCTCCAACTCGAGACCGAAGCCGATGCGGCTCCCAGGCTTCTGCCTCTCGAGATAGACGCATGTCCGGTTGTGTCGCGCGCACCAGGAGCAGGCTGGCTCAGCACGATCACACTTGACCTTGCGTGCCTTACAGAGCTCGCAGGAGGTCTTCTGATGCTTCTCCCTCTTACGTTTCTTCGGGTTGGCATCGGACGAGGCGACGTTATCATTGTGGGCCGCCTCGTCGCCGCTCGAGGCATCAACGGTGTCACCTTCCTCGTACTCCATGCCCGAATCCTCGGCCGGAGGTGCAGGAGGAGCGGTGGTGCTGGAGTCGGCCATGGCGTGAAATGGGTTCCCTGGCTAAGGGGCCCGGTGCTTGGGGTGTGGGGACGCAATGCTCCAGACTAGCCTGCGTGTCCGTACGTAGACCTGTCGTCAATCAATTGCCCAGCAGACCAGCAGTGCTCTGCATGAGCACGGGCATTTGATATCGGAGTCTCGACCGACACCCGAAGGATGGTGGACTCGATGCTCACAGCTCACCCAAATAGTGAGTGAGTAGTAAGTACAGGTGCCTCGGTCCGGTGGTGAAGAGTCCCAGTGTTGACAGGGCTTAGTGATGGAGATCCTAGTACTAGACCTCAATGCATGCGGTGTACGTATGGGGTACGGAGTGCCTCGAGCTGCGAATCTCTCGGTGTCCACGGGTTTGGCGTAGCGATGACGGGAGATGGTAGCGGGTCCTCCTCCTCTTTTTACGTCTGGCTGCGATGCGAATTGCCAAAGAATCGCATGCCAGCAAGGATGCAACGGATGGTTCGCCTCCTGTCGCCTCTTTGCGTGGCTATGAAGCAGTGGCTGGTCGATATGGTTGGCCTATGGGTGGGTGTGCCTCCTTGTTGGCAGTGGTCTGGTCGGTCCTCGGTGCACTCGGTGTTCTTGCCCGAGTCTCTCTCAGTCCAACTCCATCAGATTGTGCGCGCTCAGCTGATCTGATGCAAGCAGAGATAAGAAATCCGAGGTATAAGATGGTCCTTGGAGCCTCCTCGTGTCGCAGTCGTGTCGTATGGCCTGCGCAGCAAGGAATCGCTGCGCGATTGACTGATTGACGGTTCCGGCCGACGTCAAAAGGTTTAGAGCGTGGAGTGAGTTTTTGGCTGGGGAAGGAAGGCGCGCTCGGGAACAAATGCCCGGGCTTGCGGAAGCTACACTGTGCACGACGCCCGATACAGCACTCAAACACAGTGTGCGACACTGTGCGATCTGGATTCTGGCGTCTCTCGCATTCCACGGTCTCTCTTTCCCTTTCTCAAGCAGAGAACGGATCCAGGCAGCCGCGTCTCACGAGACATTCACTTGGATGATGATGATGATGATGACGATGATGGACGAAAGCATTGCATCCTCTCACACTTTCGATGGCTCGAGGGAACCATGAGGGCATCACGACATTGGCATTCTCACTCTGTTCAAGTGGGCAGACACGTTTATCAAGAAAAGTCCCAGTCAATTCGCTCTAACGCCTACGGGCATGGTATCATACAAAACACACAAGCAGCCCATTCATTTCCCACGTTGCACGGCATCCTGGCCCTGTCCGTTCAGGCTTAGTTGGCCCAGCCCTTGCTCATCTGGACGGCCTTTTCCCAGCGCTCGAAGCGCTTGTCGGCGGCCTCGACGGTGATCTGGGGCTTGAAGAAAGTGCTGCCCTCGAGGTTGACCTCCTGGAGCTCCTCAAAGGTGGACCAGACGCCGGCAGCGAAGCCAGCGGCGATGGCGGCACCCAGGGCGGTGGTCTCGCGCATGGCGGGACGGTTGACGGGGATGCCGATCAGGTCGGACTGGGTCTGCATGACGAGGTCCGAGTTGCACATGCCGCCGTCGACGGCGAGCTCCTCGAGATCCTTACCCGAGTCCTTGCCCATGGAGTCGAGGATGGCCTTTGTCTGGAAGCAGGTCGCCTCGAGGGTGGCGCGCGCAATGTGGCCGCGCTGGGTGTAGGCGGTGATGCCAAAGATGGTGCCACGGGCGTCGTCGATCCAGTAGGGCGCAAAGAGACCGCTGAAGGCAGTGACAAAGGTGACGCCACCGTTGTCCTCGACCGTCTCGGCGAGGGCGCTGAGCTTGGTCGAGTTCTCGATGAAGCCAAAGTTGTTGACGAGGAACTTGACACTGGAGCCGCCGACGGCGATGCTACCCTCGAGGGCGTACATGCACTTGCCGGGGCCAAAGTCAAAGGCCACGGTGGACATGAGACCGTGCGACGAGTAGACGGGCTTGTCACCCACGTTGTAGAGGAGGAAGCAGCCGGTGCCGTAGGTGTTCTTGGCGCGGCCGGGGGTGAAGCCCTTCTGGCCGACGAGGGCGGCGGACTGGTCGCCCAGGCAGCCCATGATCTTGGTTCCCTGGAGGCTTGTGTTGGCGAGCGAGCCGTAGGCGGTCTTGTCCGACGAGCGGACAATCTTGGCCAGCTTGATCTTGTTGCGGTCGAGGCGGAACCAGTCAATCAGCTCATTGTCGTACTCGAGCTTCTCGAGGTTCATGAACATGGTGCGCGAGGCGTTGGAGGGGTCCGACACGTAGACGTTCTTGGTGGTGCCGCCGTTCAGCTTAAAGGTCAGCCAGGTGTCGACGGTGCCAAAGGCCAGGGTGCCGTTCTCGTAGGCCTCCTTGACAGCCTTGACGTTATCGAGCATCCACAGCAGCTTGCTGACGGAGGGGTATGTGGAGAGGGGCAGGCCGCAGCGCGAGGTGAGCTCGCTGGCGCCCAGGCGCTGCTTGAGGCGACGGACGAGGTCCTGGCTGCGCGTGTCGGTCCAGACAATGGCATTGTAGAGGGCGTTGCCAGTGTTCTTGTCCCAGACGACGGTGGTCTCGCGCTGGTTGGTGATGCCGACAGCCTTGATCTGACTCTTGGAGTGGCCCTGCTTCTCAAACTGGGCGACTGCGCCGTCAATGCACTCCTCGACAGACGAGACGAGCTCGTCGGGGTTGTGCTCGTGCCACCTGTGATTGCCCGGTTAGTCTTTGCTTTCATTGTCCGCACAAGGGTGGTAGTGAAACGTACCCAGGCTGGGGGTAGATCTGCTCAAACTCGATCTGGTGCTGCGCGACAATCTCACCCTTCTGGTTGAAGATGATGAAGCGCGTGCTGGTGGTGCCCTGGTCAATGGCACCGATGAAGGAAATGGTGGGGGCTGTGGCGGGAGACATGATGGCGTCTGCTGTGTCTTTGAGTCTGGTAGGGAGGATTGACTTGAGCATAAGAGCACGAGATGGGGGATGGAAAGCAAGAAGACGACGGGGGAGAAAACGTCTGGGAAATACGCGACTTGAATAAGAACGACGGCGAGGAGGGGCAGTGTGGGAGAGAGGAAGAGCTACGATCACATGGCGAGAGGTGACGGGCAGGGAAATATTTGTACGTCTTTCCCCCCCTCCTTGGCCTTGCGGGCTACAGCTACGTTGGCGTCCGGCCAGCTGAAGAAACTCCACGGGGCAGAAGCGCGCGAGCGGGCTACGAGCCCTCGCGTGCGCATCGCCAAGGTGTGGTACTACGTACGATGGATGGATGAATGTGTGTTCTTGCACGCGCGCCAACTCCCTCACCCAGCGGAAAAGCTGGGCTCCCCACGCTCGCTCGTCACGGTTGACGGAGGCGCATGGATGGTACCCCTCTTCCCATCCATGTCTGTCTCCAAATCGACAGGCCCCCGGATTGTGGAGAGTGAGGGGGTTGGCGGAGAGATGTCAGGGGGGGGTCCGGGTACAGCATCACAGCAGGTGGCTTCCGTCAAAATGGCGCGTGTCAAATGGGGAGGCCCAGGGACAGGGCTCGAACGGAGTAACCCCAGACTTGCTCCTCAAACGGCAAGGTGCGCGTGGTTCATGATGGGGAATTGCGGTGCTCGGCCTTGTCCAAGGCCACGAGGGCCATGCTGTTTGTCACGGACAGGATGCCGTACCTGCGTTTCTCGAGGTCAGCCGAGGCCATTCCCCCACAGGCCCCGAGAAGTCCGTGATGCTGGGGAGCAAAAGGTGCGGCTTGGAAGTTGGAGGCTCGGGTCCTCGGTGTCGACACACCGAAAGCAGGGTTCGAAGGTTTCAAAGCCCACGCGAAGGAACTGGCGAACACACTACTGCACCACGGGCCGAATGTCAGCGAGGACGAATGCACAAGCGGCATTCCCAGAGTGTCCACTTTGCCATGGAAGGCTTGAAGGCTGCAGCGCTGGCGCTGAATCGGACGCGGGACAGAGGGCTGGAGGGACTAATAGTCTTTGCGATTCGTGAAGAAATCTGGCCATGTGATGCTCAATGGCGGGATGGCTATGAATTCGGCCAGTCGCGGGGTTCCAGTGCCGTCCCTCCTCTCCTGGAGGCTGGTGGCAGCGGCCGCTCCAACACACACTATCATGACGTGTAGGCTGCCATGATGCGAGGTTGATCAGCTAGCATACCCGGCACGAGTCAAACAAAGTTTGGTACTGGATGGCCCGCTCGATCCATGACGTTGCTGGCGCTCGCTGGACACGATTCTACGATGTGTGGATTTTTCGCACTACGTTTTCATGTGCTGAGATCCGTTGTGAGTGTCTGCTTGCCAGCACTTGTACGTGCAGTAGTCAGACAATAGTCATTGCAAAAGGTACCTGCCAACAATCGGAGCATTCTTGCGTACGCGCAGCAGGCCAAGAATCTCACCTGCCGTATCTTCCTTGCACCAGCGGGCCTATGCCCCTTCTAGGTAGGCTTCTGGAATGGATTAGTGGGCCTTCCACTAGGCTGCCATCTTGCAGTGCCCCGGGCGTTAGGGCCATGCACTGACTTGCAGTGGTTCTAACTCGAAACGCCACCGCCCACCGGCGAACGCCTTACTACCAAGGAATCATAAGTTACGTGTGATTTTGACGGGACGGGATCTGCGGTCAATGGCGTCCGGGAGCGAATCGCAGCACGGGGCATTACGTCCTTCTGCGCATCAGCGTCGCAATCGGGGCAGCGTGCAGAAGAGCAAAAGGCGGGGAAGAAGCGAGACTGCCAGTCACCTTCTCTGACTCTCTGAGTGTCACGGATCAGACTTCGTGTGAGCGCCCTAATCAATTAGCTGTCGCTTCTCGCTGCGCGCAGACATTTTAAACTGGAACGCCCAGACTCCTCGCATCTCGGGCATGCACCGACTCGGTTCCACAAAGGTGACCAAGCTTCGCAAAGGCTCGGTATTCAAAAGCAGGGTCCATGGATCTCGAGACCCAGATCGCGTCCGTGACCCAGTGTTTTGCTCCGTGTAAGGCGCCGGCCAGTGCGGATTATCATTTCGCTTGTCTCCATGGCGAAGCATATCGGTGGCGGCCGTCCGAGGCTGCATTGGTAGGGTCCCGATCTCTCGCTCTCTGCTCGGTAGTACTCTGCTGAGGAGGATCAAACGTCGTGTCAGCGTCCGCGCCGGCACCACTTTTTGGTGGATGACGCGCGGGCGCAATGGCTGCTTGCAGACCAACGGACGTCCGAGCGATCCCCAGCCTGCACTCTGCAGTCCTCGTTCCTCGACACACCTCGGCTGTCCTGATGCGCAGGGAAAGAAGCAAGCGTTGGCTGGCGCTTTGTCGGTGCCGTGCTTGTGTCGCGTGCGTTTGTACTGATGATCCCCAGATTGACACTTGTTGACGTTAGACCGACCCAGCCGAGTGAATGCCGTGTGCGAGCATCGCGAGCACCGACCGACCGACTGACATTCGCCGCCTCCAGTCCGTGTCCGTACATGGGGGTCCACCTCTCGCGGTCCGTTGGTGACTTTTGGTGACGCCAGGAAAAATTGGCAGTTGGCCCCATTGAAGGATGGATGGGCCGATGGGACCCCCTCCACCTTTTGCTAGTGTCGCCATCCCCACATACGTCCTTGCAGTGACACTGCACGAGTTCGTCCGCGCTCGATCATCATCGTTCGCACATGGCGCGGGCTGGGCTGGGCTGGGGGCTTTGCCACGGGGATATGATAGCCTTTCTTCTTTTCTTCCCTCCCAATCTTCTTTCCAGACCAACCTAAACTCAAAAGTGTCAGCCATCGACACCATTCGTGAAACGCCACACTCTCCAATTCCAGGCCATCAACCAGACAGGACCTCACCTCACCTGGATCCAAGCCTGTCCTTGACCCTGCACAACACCAACTGCACCTCGTGGACGTATCCCCGGATCTCACCTCGCTAAGCCCAGAAGCCCAGGACGCGCCCCTCTTCCCGTGGCATCCCCAGGCCCGTCCGTTCCAGCCCCCTCCAGTCGTTGACTTGGTGGCACTGCCTGTCATCCGATAGCGTCGCTTCTCCGGATCGCTCTGCTGCAAGTTCGGTGAACTTGGAACCATCCCCAAGAAACGGATCCAGGCGGACCAGACAATCCAAAGGCGGCCCCATACGTACGCGAACCATCCGGACTCCAGGAACACGCGGGTTTCCATCCATCCATCCACTCGGCAGCGGCAAGCAGAGACTTTGCAACGGGGTCCAACTCCTCACAAGTTCCCGTCTCTCCTCCTCCTCCTCCTTTCTCTTGAACCACCCCGTGGGGACACTGCCAAACCATCTTTGCATAATAAGCCTCCATCCCCCCCGGGTTGCATTGCTGATCCCAGAATCGTCTTTCCTCAGTGCGACCTTACTTCTCCATCTTCTCCTCCACCATTTACCCATCTCACCTCTTTGGGTCTTCACTTGCTCGCACCAGGGCTTTGCTTGACATGTCCGCCGCGGTTGACCACATCTCCAACGACAGTGTGTCGACAGTCCACCAAGAGAAGAGCACCACCTTCATCCCCGTCGACAAGTTCGAAAACGTCGGCAGCATGTCGCAGGACGAGAACATCTCCGCCAGAGCCGACAGCCACGCGCCGCCCATGCAGGCCGAGCTCGAGCCTGAGCTGCGCTGGTCCAAGTTCCGCGAGTACGGCCGCGACTTCTTCTCCGAGTTTGCCGGTACCATGATCATGATCCTGTTTGGCGACGGCGTTGTCGCGCAGGTGATCCTGTCGGAGGATCAAAAGGGCAACTACCAGAGTATCTCATGGGGCTGGGGGTAAGCACCAATTTCTCTCCGAGTGAAAAAACTCGTGAAAAATAAACATGAAACTGACCATCTCCCCAGATTGGGCGTCATGCTCGGCGTGTACGTCGCCTCCAAGTCGGGCGGCCATCTCAACCCCGCCGTCACCCTCGCCAACTGCATCTACCGTGGCCACCCGTGGCGCAAGTTCCCCGTCTACTTCATGGGTCAGCTGCTCGGCTGCATGGCGGGCGCCTTCATCATGTACGGCACCTACTACCAGGCCTTTTCGAACCTGGAGGGCGGCACCCAGCGCACCATGTTGACCGCCGGCATCTTCTGCACGTACCCTGCCGACTTCTTGACGACCGAGGCCATGTGGTGGTCCGAATTCGTGTCCAGCACCATCCTCATCTTTGTCATCTTCGCCCTCGCCGACCCCCACAATGGCAACGCCGGAAAGTTTATGCCTCTCGCCCTCTTCTTCCTGATCTTCGGCATTGGCGCGTGCTTCGGCTGGCAAACCGGCTATGCGATCAACCTGGCCCGTGACTTTGGTCCCCGTCTCGTCTCGTACATTGTCGGCTACCCCTTCGAGGTCTGGTCGGCCGGCAACTACTACTTCTGGGTAAGCCACCATCCCAGTGATCCAACTCTTGCCATGTTCCCGAGGCTAACATTGACCAGATTCCCATGGTCGCTCCCTTCTTCGGCTGCACCTTTGGCGGGTTCCTGTATGACGTCTTCATCTTCACCGGCGAGAGCCCGATCAACACACCCTGGATGGGCCTCAAGCGCTTCACCCAGCCCAACCGCAAGACGTGGTCCAACACGTACCGGGCTCAGGAGATTTCCAAGGTGTAGATTGCCCACTGTCCGATGTGGATGAGTCGCATGTATTCTTCGGAAGAGATGTCCATGTTGGCGGGAAAAAAAAAAACGAAAAATACCAAAAGGAGTTGTTGGCGTTGATTTAGGGAAGCGTGGGGGAAACAGTCCAGTCATTCACGACCAGATACATGTAGCTGTTTAGCGACTCATTCTGCAATCGAAGAAATGTTTCAAGTTCAAAAAAGAAATGGCCGAAAGATGAATCATCGTGAATGTCGCACGCGGGGCGCAAGCTCGCAGTCATGTACTAACACGTTGTGGCTCTATTCCCCCACGCATAATGTTGGGCGCTCGCGGTAAGATTACGACGATGCCCGATGGGACTGGTGGACGCCACACTGCGAAACAATTCTTCCGTCCTCTGAGGGCCAATGGTCCGGCGCAGGGCTGGCATGACTCCTCAGCCATTTGTACGGAGCCCGGAGGACGTACGGAGAAATAATAATATTCGACGATCAGAATGGCTGCTCTGCCTGCCGCTGTTCACGCCTCACTTTTGCCCGCGTCTTGTCTCGGAATACTCTGGTGTCGAGCGGGGCAGATCAGCGCAGAGTCCAGACCATCGCCCGCTGTAGCCTTCATTACTATAATAGTACGGAGTACTCCGTATGAACACTGATAAAAGTACGTGCACAAGTGTTGATTACGAGCAGAGTGCCACCATGCGTGCTACGTACTGCCAGCTGCCCCCGCAAACTCCAAATGTCTCATCATGACTTTAGAGTTGACAGAGTCGTATCTGGGGAGGAGCAACGTGGCTTGGGGGCATCAAAGTCCCAGAGTCCCAGAATCCAGATTCCAGTGTCCAGAGTCCCAGCCCCAGACAGACCATTTCGACGGGGCCAGCGATGACTTCGTACGCAGATGGACCTCCGTGGACTTGGCCACCTGCCTCGCAGAAGTCTCTTCGCCGCGCATGACCAAGCATGGATTTGTGGACTTTGATGTTTGTTCACTTTGGGTTTTACGGACACGCCGCTGAAGAAACAGTCCGCCAGCCGGAAGAGTCGGTTCTGCTGGTACGATTTCAAACCCCTTGGCATGCTGCTGCCCACAAGTTCCACAAGTGTGGTGGACCAGGAGAGTTGAGTTGGAGATCAAGATGATTAGCGCCTCGCTGTCGGCTCGGTCAACCGAGCCGCACCGAGATTTAGCGCGACCATTCGGTACTCATCCGCCGAGATGCATAGCAGGTGGTGCGCCGCAGTGACGACATGCACAAAGTCTGTCCCGTCTCTCAAAGTTGCCCGCGACACAATCATGAAGAACGACTGGATGCGCTCCCCACGTGGGGACACTGTTCGAGTCGCGCTGCTCGGGGAAAGTATCGGAGCCCAGGGACTGACAATGAAAGTGAACGGGGGTGGGAAGCGTTGAATGGGTTGTCTCTCTCGCATTGCTGGCGCGCGCAGGCGGGCAGGCATGCCGTGGGTTGAGCTGGGCTGGGCTGGACTTGGCTGGACTGGACTCTGCTGGTCAGTCGCGAGGACTAGCGAGGTGGAAAAGTCGATGGAATAGTAATTAGTACCGTGTTCATAAATTTGTGATCTGCCTTTTTTTCCCGACGGGTTCATTTGCCCGTTGCCAGTGCCAGTGCGGGTTGGATCGATTCCACGAATGATGACGCTGCGCCGGAATCGCTTTGCTTAAACATCCCATCGACCACCACCACCATACTATCATCTCTTCCCCATCTTCCTTCTTCTTCCTCCCCGATCCCCTTTTTGAATTAATTCCTCCACCTATCATTGATTGTCCCGTGGACGCCTACCATACATCTTCCTCCTCCATCCTCACATCGAGGCCGTTGAGTATTGCCTAGGATCGAACCGCTGGTGAGAGGCCACCCGCAATCATCATGGCTTCACGCCTCTCTGCCCTTCGTCGACCCGCGGTGGCCGCCGCGACCGTCGCCCTCGTCGGTGTCGGTGGCACGGCCATTGCGTTGGGCACCTCGAAAAAACACACCATCAGCATGCCCATTGCCGACATCAAGCGTGACGCCAGCACCGGTCGCATCATCCCGCCCAAGTTCCCTGATCTCAAGCCTCGCGAGCAGCAGCTCGCCGACCTACGCCGCAGCGGCGACGCAAACGAAGAGGAGTACGACCTGGTCATCATTGGCGGTGGTGCGACGGGCACAGGTATCGCGGTCGATGCCATCACCCGAGGTCTCAAGGTTGCCTTGGTCGAGAGGGACGATTTCTCCTCCGGCACCAGTTCCAAGAGCACAAAGCTCGTCCACGGTGGCGTGCGCTACCTCGAGAAGGCGGTCACCACGCTCGACTACCCCCAGCTTGAGCTCGTCATCGAGGCGCTCCGCGAGCGCAGGACCTTTCTGAACATTGCGCCCCATCTGTCCAGCTCGCTCCCCATCCTGCTGCCGCTCCAGAAGTACTGGCAGGTCCCGTACATGTGGGCTGGTACCAAGACCTACGATCTCCTGGCTGGCTCCCAGGGCCTTGAGAGCTCCTACTACGTGAGCAAGTCCAAGGCCCTGGAGCAGTTCCCTCTCCTCCGCAAGCAGAATCTCATCGGTGCCCTGGTATACTACGATGGTCAGCACAACGACTCGCGCATGAACGTGTCGCTGGCCATCACGGCTGCTCTCTACGGTGCCACGGTCCTCAACCACGTCGAAGTCACTGATCTCGAGAAGGACGCCCAGGGCAAGATCCGCGGCGTCAAGGTCAAGGATGTCCTGGGAGCCCAGGACTCGCCCGCCTTCTCCGTCCGCGCCAAGGGCGTCATCAACGCCACTGGTCCCTTTGCCGACGCCGTGGAGCAGATGGACGACAAGAAGCGCAAGCCCATTGTCGCCCCTGCCTCTGGTGCCCATGTCATGCTCCCTGGAAAACTGTGCCCCAACGGAATGGGTCTTCTCGATGCCGCCACTTCTGACGGACGCGTCGTCTTCGTCCTGCCCTGGCAGGGCAAGACGCTGGCTGGTACCACGGACAATGCCTGCGAGGTTGAGCACGAGCCGGTCGCACTGCAAAAGGACGTTGACTTTATCCTCAAGGAGGTCAACAAGCTCTTTGTGCCCGACGCGGCCCTCACCAACGACGATGTCCTGGCTAGCTGGTCCGGCATCCGCCCCCTGGTCAAGGATCCCAACGCCAAGAACACCGAATCTCTCGTCCGCTCGCATCTCGTCACCGTCTCGCCCTCTGGTCTCCTGACCTGCGCTGGTGGAAAATGGACCACGTACCGCCAAATGGCTGAGGACGCCGTGGATGAGGCCATCAAGACCTTCAACCTGACCCCCAAGCCCGTCACGCTTCCCGACATCTCGGGCGCCATGCCCCCTCTCGAGACCACCGGCCAGTGCTGCACGCTCACGACCCCTCTGGTGGGCGCCCACGGTTTCTCGCCCGACCTCGCCTCGCAGATTGCCGCGCACCACTCGATCGATCTCGACATTGCCCAGCACCTCGCCTCCAACTACGGTGACCGCGCCTGGGCCGTCCTCTCCACGCAGGGCGCCACATCCCGCCTCCTCCCCGCCTTCCCGTTTGTGGAGGCGGAGATTCGCCACGGCGTCCACCACGAGTCGGCCTGCACAGCCGCCGACCTCATCGCCCGCCGCACCCGTCTCGCCTTCCTCGACGTCGGGTCCGCCCTCAGTGTCCTGCCTCGCGTCATTGACGTCATGGGCGAGGAGCTCTCCTGGGACGAGAAGCGCAAGGAGCACGAGTGGAAGGCGACCGTGCTCTTCTTCCGCTCCATGGGTCTCCCTGAGGACCAGCTCAATGTGACCCGCAACGACGTCCTCAAGGGCAACGTGGCGCGCAAGATTGAGCGCGGCGCTGAGAAGGCCGTGGCCACTGTGTCGGGCAGCATCCCCAACTTTGACGGACAGACCCTGAGCGCCAAGACCAAGGCGTGAGCGAGCGAGCGAGCGAGCAGCGTGATCTTGATGTTCGCATTCAACAGGACGAGAAAAGATGACGATGTACCACTTTTTTGTGAGAGAAGGTTTTCTCGATTTGCATAGGCTGGGAGTTGCATTTGATGATGGAGATTATTATATTCCCCCTACCCCTACCCCGGCTCGGCGTTTGGATGATTGGTGAAAGATGGGCGGTTCCTGTCCTGGGCTCTCTTTGTCAGATTACATACATACATTATGGTATCGGCATGACGGCCGTTTCATGAAATACTAGGCTTTACTCATGTGCTTTTGTTCCTGTCATGTGACCACCTGCCCGTGTAACTGAACGTCTTCAGACAATCGTGAAACAAGCGTGAACGAGCGTGAGGCTGGCGCAGGCAGCACCAGGCAACAGCGCCCCGCCATCCCCACGGCGGTATAATTAACCACAGGGCCTCTCTCCGGCGTCGACAACGCCCAGCAGCCCTCAAGAATTTCTGCCCAGCTTCAATTACGACCATGGGAGACTGGGACTTCTACTGTGCCATCTGCGGCGGTCCGCTGTGCAAGCCTTACTGGGATGAGCCCCCTCCAGAAGAGATTGCCGCGGCTATCGCGCGCCACGACAAGGCGAGAGCGAGAGAGGGAGATGGCGAGGCGCGAGAAGACGACGACGACGACGACGACGACGACGACGACAGTTTGCATCACTACACGGACTATTACGACCCCCGCGTCTTGCATTCGGCTTTCGACGACAAGTTGAACTGGCTGGACCAATTCAGGGTAGTTAGCGAAACGCCAGAAGAATACGGCAAGGATGTCCCCGAGTGAGTCTCATTTCATAATCATTTGATACCCTCGTACCGCGCTTGAGCGCTCCGCTCCCATCACCTACTGACGCGACCTCGTGAGCAAAAGAGCCTGGATCTCGGGTCCTGCTAGAGAGTCAGGGTACGGCAGCGCCGACGTCACCTTTCCAGACACAGAGGGTCCTCTCGCCGGCACCGTGAAGAACATGACAATGTACGAACCAGTCGAACTATCGGAACCCCTTGCCATTCCCTTCCACGACCAATGCCGCGACCTTCTCCTCAAGCAGACCGGTGAAGCGGAGCTTGATGCTGAAGCCTTCTACGAGACGGTGTGCTCTCTCTCTGGCGGCAGTTGCTGCCTCGATAAACTGCAGTATGGAAAGATTGCGGACGAGATGGATCAGTACTGGGGGCCAGCCTGGGGGCGAGAGTGGTTCGTGATGTCGCCCCTCGATATACCCGATTTGCAGCTGTATTATAACGACTTACCCAAGATTGGTGAAGGGCCTTCGGCGCAGGGGCGGCATATTGAGCTACGGTCGGCCGTAAACGACCCCTTCAGTCGCTTGCCTTTTGAGGTTCTGGAACAGATCCTAGGGGAGCTACCACTAGCATCTATCCGCAAACTCCGTCTGGCGTCACGGGCAGTACGCAACCAGGAACTGCCCAACCGTTTCTGGAAAAAACTTGTCAGGCGAGACATGGACTTTCTGTTCGATATGCCTGATACAGCCCGAAACGCGACCGACGTCGACTGGCGCTGGGTGTACAGGGACATGTCCAGACGCAGCAACCCTAAACGACGTAAATTGGTTGGGGGTTTAGCGAATCGGGCTCGCATCTGGAAGGAAACCTTGCCTCAGATTGCAGAGCCGTACATGAGGAATTTGGCTGCCAAACAGTGCGAGAGAGCAAACGAGCCATCAGTCTTCAAAGGGGCCAAGAACGAAGGCCTTGCAAGCCTGGTTCTGCCAGAGCCCAAGGATGCCAGAACCACCAATATCGCATTCATGTCAATGCCTCACTTGCTCCATCGCGCCAAGCTGGAGCTCGTGATCAGCTTCAACGAGTTTGATGAAATTGCCAACCTCGATGCCATCAATCACGCAGAGAGCACCCTCGCCGAAAGCACAAGGGCGTTGACAGGGAGGATTGAGAAGGTCCATATCCCAAACGATAGCTGGGTCACGGGGATTATCGTCACTACTGCTACGAGAGAGGTGAAAGATAGCATGGCCACACATGCACTGAGGCGGGTTGTGGGTTTGGATGTCTTGCTGACCAAACCGGGCGCATCTGTCGGAGAGGGCGCGTCTGTCAAAGTAGGCTGCCAACGAGGTGACAAGAAGGTCATTCACGTACCCGAGGGCGACTTCATTGTCGGGCTCAAGGTCCGTCAATCCCCCGGTTCTGGCGTGCTGTGCCGGCTCGGTCTGTTCTGTCACCAAAGCTGGCGAGCTGGTGCCAACAACTACCGACAGCGCAGTTACAACGATGACAAGTATAGCCTTGTTCAAGGTAGAATGTGGCACCATCAACTCCCTAGGCAGGGGCCAGGGTCAGGTGGAGGGCCAGCTCCAGGCGAGCCTCACAGCGGGTACTGGGACTTTGGGCTCGTCGCAGACGTCGAGCCCATGCAGCACCTCATCTGGGACGCAGTAGGGTACACCCGTTCCCACATTACCTCCATCTCGGCCGATGTTCTGTTTGGTGGTTTCAGAGTCACGTACGATAACCAGCCTGACCGCACCATTGGTCCGTGTCTCAACGCCATGAAGACACTAACCATTGACGCAGCCGGCGGCGAAGGGATTCTGTGCATCTACTATTGCATCAGCCATATCCCTACCAGCATCCGCTTCGTCACCACCAGGAACCGGCAGCTTGTCATTGGACAACCCGATGGCAGAGAGAACAGATTTCCCGCCAGAGAGAGCCCCAATAAACGATTACCCGGATTCTTCGCCCACTGGTCAAAGCTAGGCTCGTCGCCGCCACCCAACCTGAAGGCCATTGGGGGCTTCTATAGTCCATCTAACTGGCTGGAAATGGACGTTTCACCGGAAGCCTCGCAGCAGGTGGGCGGCCCACGCTGGGAACCGACAGGGTTGGCGGAGGGCCTCGCAACGTCTGGTTCCTGCATTGGAGCTTTCACGTTACTTTCAAGGCAGATGAGCGCCCGTAATAAGTCTGTACCGGATGACTGCGCTGTCCGGGCTTGGTTGGATTGTAGCCAAGCGATAGCCAGTGTTCGAACGACACTGTGTCACACGGCCGAGCCTCATGCGCTGCCTCTGGTTGGCGTGACGTTGACCATGGCGGATGGAAGCACAGCGTCCGTAGGCCCAGATACATTCCCGTCTGTCCCGGAGGACTGCTGGTGTTTATTTGGGAAATCCATTAAGGAGGAGAGGGAGGCTGGACAGCACTACGTACACGACACGTGGGACGTCGGTGGTCAGTATTTGGCCAAGTTACGCGTCTGGCTCTGGCCGTTGTCCACGGATGGCGAAGGACACAGAATCGCCGCTTTGTCCTGGGTTGCTGTAGACGGGTGCGAAAGCCCCAGATACGGCCACTGGGGCCACACGGGCGAGGGGGAGGAGGTCCACGAGATTGAGTTTGGGGATGGCAAGGCCGTCGGTCTGCTGTGCTTTGTAGGGTTCAACGGGAGGCAAGTGACGAGGGACGACTGCACGGTGCAAGCTGTCCAGGCGTTGGTCAGATGTGAGTAGCCTGCTGTACACAAGCGGGCAGCACGAACGGACGCGTCTGCTGCTGGTGCATTGGCCGACTTACCTTCAGGACCCAGGAGCGTCGTCCAGTCGATCAAGCATGGAATGGAGACACTGGAGAGCACTGGCGTGGATAACAGTACGTGTATGTCTAATATCACTTCCGCTCATGATGCTGGGGTTGCTTTCTATACCACGAGAAGGACCGTTTCATCAGGGATGCAGATCATCCTCTGTAGACGCATTTGAAAGGAACCCCAGACCTGTGCCTTCTAATTTAACTCCTTATCCGAAAAGATGTCAAAGTCGTTGAAAAGGACATTCTGTCCTGCCTTGGCCTTAAACAGCTGCTTCACATTATGCGAGGCATTTTCCACAACGACTAGTCGCAGACCACTCGTGCCGTTCACGAGATGACTCCAATCAGGCAGATTCTCAAACTCGCCCGGAAACCCGTCGAGGTCCTCCCCCGTGCGGGCGAGCTCATTGATATATCGGTACCAGACCAGGTTTCTGTCGCGTCGCTTGCCGCCGCCCTGCATGTACGCCATGCAGCTGCGGTCCCCAGCAGCCGCCTTGTCGTCGTAGCCGACGATAGAGATGACATCGCGCGAGAGGTACTGCTGGAAGTAGGCCTTTGGTTTCATGTTCTTGTCGCCGTCTTTCCGGCCGGGGAACCCCTCAAACCCGTAGCGCCATGTGTTGTACCAGGGACAGGCATCCTTGTTGGCGTCTTTCCTGTTGATCTTGGAGACGGACCTGTCGTCGGTAAAGTAGACGCTGGAGGATGGGTCGCCGTGCACGTAGCGGACATGGAGGTGCGAAGGGGCTTCGACTCCGAAAACAGCGTATCGCTGCAGCAATTGGCCGCCACCTCCGTGCCCGATAAAGGTGATGTTGGTCAGGCTGGGATACGTCTTGTTGTCCGCAAACTCGTCAATGAAGCCGTCGAGGACGTCAAAGGAGGTGACGTTTGTGCCTTGCGGATGGACCGCGACGCTGCCGGACTGCCAAGCGTTGAGGTCATCCCATGCTAGCTGGTCCGTGGTGTATTGCCCCTGGTTGAACCTCGCCGAGAAGAACTGCGGCGCCAGCACAGCAATTTCTCTGTCCGAGTGCGTCACCTTATCCTGACACGCTTGCGTAAGGACCCTGTCGAATGTTCTCCAGTACTCGTTGCCGTCGCGCCGCTTTCCGTGCATCACGATCCAGAGATGCTCGAGCTTGTCCTTGTCAACGTCCTCGCTGACGAAACACGCCATCTCTTCTGGTCCGTCCGCATTGACGTCTACTGACACGAGGTCAGAACCCTTGGGTGTCTTGATGGGTTCGTAGGTCTAGGTACTTGCGGTCAGCCAGGTCTTTATGTGAAGTAGAGGACACTCACTTTTACTTTCTTGGAATCATCCTCGCCGATCTTCTTATCCCACTTAGAGGAGAAGATGTCCTGCATGGCAAACTCCGAACCTACCTGCGGACGGCATTCCACGAGACGTGGCAGAGTGGCTGCCAAAGCCGAAATGGTGGTCAATCGCATACTCAGGTGATTGTTTGGTTGTTGGTGGACTGGGTACGGACTGTTGATATTTGATGGCTGCAGATCAAGAATCAATAGATTCAAGCACCTACTGACTGGAGGTAAGTTTTGCAGATGATCTCATGCCATCAGCCATTTCCACGACGGTCCTCGTCATAGTCGAATCTGGCCTCTGAATCAACATGCATCAAGGACGCCCACGATCTACAACGATAGCGGGCCGCTCCGATCCAACGAGCCTTTGACAGCCTATCAATCACGGCTTCAGTGGCGGGCCTTGGAGTGGAATGCCATATGTTCGAATGGGATTCCAGTGGCAATAGAGTTTATCGGCCAGGAAAGCGGGTGATGTAGTCTGATGCATCGGGAGACAGCAGACACTGGGAAATGCTGGCAACTTGAGAGCATTCGGAGCTGGTCACGGCATTGATCCCCGTCACCGTCTTGAACGTTATGAAGGATTGAAAGACAAGGTGACGACTAACCTTGGCCTACTGATCCTCAGCGTGTGAGACATTGGGCGTCAGGGCCCAGGTGCCCGGATAGTTGCCCTCCCAATGCCGCGCATGTCTCGGCAGCTGCGTTGGAATGGATTACTGACGTACCCAAGATCACAGCATAGAGACAACCAATGTGATCTCATACACGATAGCCTTCGGTTGATATATCGCTGAAGTTCTGTTGGCCTTTGCTCGCCCGCGAAGCGCACACTGGCCCTGCACGTTGTGAGGTCTCGATCCCGGCATGTGCTCTATGCGGCGTGACTTGCTGGTGGGCCATCGACCACTCCAACGTAAGCCAGACGGTTATGGGGAGAAAAACCTTTGTGGCGAGACCAATTGTGCAGATTGAAAGACGACCAGATGATGCGTTTCGAGGAAAGGGAAAGAGTCACGTGACTGATCTGTGGCTGCAGCCTGATCCACCTCCTGTGTTTGTCTGCAGGGTATGCATCAGCCTCCTTTTCGCAAATTGCCAGCAGCCACCTATCACTCGGCATTCACGTTTCAACTTCAAGTTGAAAAACAATCACTCCATAAACCGTAGAGCGCGTCTTCCACCTCAATCAGCCAGCCCCTCGCCGACTCCCAGTTGAATCGACCTGGTCACTGGCTTACGAATCAAGCAAGTCCATTATGGCGGAGGATTCATCATGGACCAAGGTTGAAGATCTGCTCAAGAGCATAACCCCAGACGCTGAGATCCCACCTGGCCCTTGCAGAGTGGTTGCACTTGGACAGTAGCTCGTTCACCACCATAAGAGACTTTATGGACCGCTTCCAACAGCTTGATAAGGTCATGTCTGATTCCGGCACCGTGATGCCAGACCAGGCGTGGGTTTACCAATTCCTCGCCGCTATCAAATCTACCCACCCTGATGCTTACCTCTACTGGCAACAACAAGTCAACGCCGACGAGACCATTGACAAGCTGGAGGTACAAGTGTACTTTGAGAGGATGTTCGACGCCGAGGCAGGCATTTCCCCGCCACCCAGCAATTCGGTTTCGGATAGGGCCGCCAAACTAACCAAGACCAGAGAATCGGACGCGCAAGATGACTATGACAAGGTTGCCGACGACGAGGTCATCAGCCACCCGCCACCCAAAAAAGCCTACAACAAGGCACCCAAAACAAGCAAGGCGCATGATGCCAAGACCAGATCTCCTGTTCCACGCGCCTCGGACACGGTTAACAGTACGGGACGCGCGGTCAAATTATCTTGCGGCTGCTACGTCAAGCCTGGGGGCAGATCTCACTCGCTCCAGGTCTGTTGGCGCCTGAACCCCGAAAAGGCACCCGACTGGTACAACAATGTCAACAGAGACGACGATGCAGACGTCTCCGCATGATAGGCAGATGCGGTACGATTTGTATATTTATCGTGAGCACATGTACTAGAGCCTGGAACTACTATTTAACGATATGCTTGCTGGTAGAATCGAGCCGGATCCAGCAAAGACAGCACAACCTCCTTAACCAACGCATGCGACGGCAATCTCACCGGTGATTTTGTGGTCACCGTACTCGACAGGCACCCAGATCGCGCCCTTGGTCTCAGACGGCGACCAGGTGGTCTCGTAGTAGTCATAAAAGGGCCAGAAGGTGATTTGGCCCTGGTTGTCGCACTGGACGTCAAACTGCAGGCCCTCGGTGACGCTGTACGTGTCCGACTGGGACATTTCAATGCCGGCACTGGCAGTGAAGATGTTCCACGCGGTGCCGAGGTTCAGCGAGGTGGTGACGCCAAAGGTGGTGCTCTCGGTGACCTCGTAGGTGTAGCCGACGCCCTTGCCGAGACGCGGGCCGCGCTCGTAGGCGTTGGGGTTGCGGACGCCGTAGGCGACAAAGTCGATGCGCACGACGTCGTCCTCGTTCTGGCGGGTGGAGAGGATGGTTTCCTCGACCTGTGCCATGCGTTGGGCGTCCGTCTCGTTCTTCCACTCGAGGTACTCGTCGAGGGAGACGGTGGCCTCGACGGCGCCGTTGGCGTGCTCGACCACGCGGGCCGAGGCGGGCAGGCTGCGGGCCTGGTCCTCGTCGTTGTAGACGGTCAGGAACTGCAGGGCGCCGGTGAAGACGCCGCCGGCGCGGAAGGGGACGCAGCGCGAACGGATGCGGTCGTACAGCTGGTGGATCTGGCCGCCGGAGATGGTGCCTTCGTTCTTGTCCTCATAGCAGTGGGTGATGCGGCAGTTGCCGTCTATCCAGTACCACCACTTGCATGAGGGCGCGGGATCGTCGGCGCCATTCTCGTGGAAGGTGTCTGGGTTGCCCTCCATGTTGAAGTCGACCACGAGGGACTCGCCTGTTGGGTTGCTGGTCAGTGGCCTGCGTCACCTCGCAAAGTTTGCGTGAACTCACAGTCCTCCCAGTCTGGGCGACGGTAGCCATCGCACTCGTAGACCTGGGCAGAAGCCAGGCTAGCGCCCAGGGCAATGGAAATGGCTGTAAAGGCCTTCATCTTGGGTAGACGATTTGCAAGATAGGGGGGATATGTGCTCGGGCGAGAAAAGAAGACTGAGTGCGGCGAGTCTGTAGATCAAGGACAACCCAAGCTGTGGTTGTCTCTATGAAGGCTGTTGATATAAGAGAACAAAGAAGACGATCAGCGGCAGATCATGGTCATCTTTATAGACGTTCAGCGTCTCTGTCTATCTATCCGTCTACCTGGAGCATCGGATGGTCGCGACGTTGACCACTACTCTGATGCTGGCGAGCAATGACCTCTCGCCAGGCAACATGAACATAGAACACTCTCTGCTCACTCATCTGACGTTCTTCTGCATACACGTGAGGCTCGGCAACAGCTTGTTCGGGATTTGATTAGCCAGAATGCGAGATCGGTCTGGAGACTCGGCCGGTCAAGAGCTAGCATGCATACATCAGCTTCACGCCAAGGGCCAAGACCTGCCATAGCTCGATCCTTCAGACCCCTTTTGAAACTATGCAGTTGACACTATGGAGATGTTGGACGGCTCAGTGATATGATACGGTGCTTGGCTCTCGTTTCTGGTGGGTGATTCTCACACAAACCCACCATCGATCGACAAGGTCGGGTTCAACAGCTTGTGGACGAATATGCGAGCCGCCTAAACGAGGCCATCAGTTACATTGGACTACTATTATGTAAACAGTACATCGAAACAAGGCCTATAATATGTAAGGGTCTACCCATAACCGTATCGAGTATGCTTATTCATTTCATGTATCTTTCTCCAGTGAAGAATTCACTAGCTCTTACATGCACATTACAGGGTCACATTTTACGTGTGTGATCGGCGACCACACTGATCTGCCGGATACCATCGTCAATCCATCCTCAATAAGAGCCCCGTCTGTCCACTTTTGGCAGGTATACAACAAAGCCAAGCGACTAGGCTCTCAGGAAACCCCCAAGGGCCACGTCATGGGAACCACCGTGTATGGATCACGGACGGTTTGGGAACTGCCGATCGCATGAGGCTTCACTGTAGAATAATTTGCATTCGCGCTTCGAAAGCTCGTCTAACAAGTCGGTAGAGTAAATACAATAATCCTGGGCGCCGACCAGCCGGCTCGTCATCAAGTCCGGTCCAGTCAAGACGACGACGTCGCGTCATGAGGCTCCCGAGGAGGATCGACGCCAGCCGGCGCGATGGCGCGCATAGAGTCCATAAACTGCCGGGTCAGCCCCGGAGCACCACAATTCGCATTCGCATTCTTGCTCTCCTGCATGTCCCGCAGTGTGCTCTCCATGCTCTGCAGCAGCGGCATGAGCGTCTGCAACAACCGCTGCTCTACCGCCTGCTCCGACAGGGTGGGTGTGCCGGCACTCGCCGTCGTCGTCGCTCCCATGGGAAGAAGGGTCGGCTCCGGCATCTTGGCGGCTGTGGTCTTCTTATTGTCCTCCTCGTCCGCCGTGAGCACATCGTCATGACTGCCGCTGCTGGTGGTCTGCTGCGACGACGGACTTGAGGCAGCGTCCACCCCGTTCAGGATCCGTAGTGTGCTGCGTCGGTGCCGCTCTCTTGGCAGCTGACGCTGGTCCTGCGCAAAGGCGATCCCGATCTCGCCGCCTTCCTCCTCGACGGCGGCTGCAACGTTGTGCCCGCCATCGCCCTGCAGTTCCCTCTCGAGTTGCTCGCGTCGCTCCAGCGCCGCCAGCCGCCACTCCTCCACCGTCTGGCTCTGGTGCTTGCTGAGCCACTCGCGTTCTTTGTTTTGGAGGCTCTGCGCCTGCCGCACGCGGGGGGGCGGACGGCTGAAGGACTGCGCATGGCTCATACAGGGGGGCGCCGAGATGATGGTCGTCCGGGGCGAGCCAGGGCTGGGGGAGGTGGGAGGCGTGGGGATGTGCAGGGAGCTGTTGCGCTTGGGTTTGGCGGTGCTGATGGTCAGTTCACCCGGTGCCTGCGCGACCTTGATGGGAAGAGGCCGATGACGAACATTGACCTTGGCGTCCGGGCGCAGAGTAGAACGTGGTGGCACGATGGGAGGTGACACGCCGGCCGCCAGTAGAGACAGAGGTCGAAGTTGTGTCCCTGAGGGTGACTTTGGCTCGATGCTAGCAACGGCGAAGATAGGGGACAGAGACAGGGTCGGCGCGACGTATGTGCCGCCCTCTTCATCTTCCTCGGGCTTGATCTCCTCGCTCTTGATAGCAGTAAAGGTTAGTGCAGGGGTTGGCTTTGGCGTCGTGAGCGGGCTGTCCGTTTCCTCCCCCACAGTCTCGGGGATCATCTTGGAAATGTCGCCTAACGACGAGCGTCGGAACACACGGCTAGCCTTGGTGTCACTGTCGGTGGGTGTATTCTCCGCTGGGGTTGTAGGCGCCGACAGCTGAAGGACGAGGCGAGATGGCCCTTTGTTGGGCATCGTCTCCTTGGACTGCTGTCGGGGTGGCCTCGTCACCTCGGACTGCGTAAACCACCCCAGCACAGGTGAGTCGACCGAATCTTCCACGGAAAAGCTGGGCTTCTGGGCGTTGATGCTGTTCAGCTTAGTAGCATCGAGATCGCGTTGCACCTTCTCACGAACACGTGCGCGGCGTGCCAACCTTCGCTCCGCCAGGGTCGCAGTCGTCGTGGTGCTATCCGTGGTGGCCGAGGAGCCCGACCGCTCAGAGCAAGTGGTGTTGGAGCGCTTCAGCCCGCCTTCGGTCGTGAACGAAGCGATGGATGCCCGTTTGCTGTCGCTCGGTCGTCTCACGGTCTCGTCCGCCGTTGCCGTGGCTGCACTGTGCGCTGAAGTGTCGCTCGTGATGGAATGGCGATAGGGGTCAGTGGTGGCCACGGAGTGCCTCGACGATTCGACCGTGCTGTTGGTAGACTCCCTCTTCGATGGATCTGTATAGTCTGTGCCGTCTCGATCCTCGTGTGCACCCGATACCTGGACAAGTCGCGAGGGCCTGGGTCTGACCTGTTGGCCCGGCCTTGCTCTGGGCGCCGTCGTGATCACCATCTCGCCCGTATCGTCATCATATGTGCGGGATGATCTCGGCCTGTGGGATTGGAAAGCCCCGTCCGACCTGCTTTGCTTCAGGGGCGGCCGCTCTAAGCGCCAGAGTCGTGGATCTGCTGATGATGTCGAAGTGCGACCCGGAGCTGGTGGTGGGCTGTGGGACGCCCTGAGCGGAAATGCTGCAGACATGCTGTAGTTCCTAGAATGAGCGCTCTCTGGTGGCGACGGGAACGTCATGGCCGCCAACATGTTGGGAAAGCCAGGCGACTCGATGGGCATATCGTTGGGCGGGACCTCGAGCGTGTGCTTGACGGTAATGTCTGCCGGGCCCTTGGGCGATTTCACGGGTTTGGCCTGGTTGTTGCGCGTGGCTGGACTGCTGGAACGAGGGAAGGCAGAGACCTGCAACCGCGAGATACTATCGGCAGACCGCATTGCACGTTTCGAGGGCTCAGCACCTGTTGTCATAGGCCCTGCTGTCTCGAGACGCTCAGGCGCGGGAAGCGGTGGTGTCCGCGGTACGTAGTTGGACGACTCGGGGCTTGGGACGGATGTTGGCGGTGCGCCGGTTGCTGCTGCTGGGTTCACCATGATCACTGGTGTCGTGTCAGGAGGGGATCTCTCCCCAGTGCCGTCATTCTCATCGTCGTCTCCCTGCTCCTCCGCAATGCTGGAGACGGCAGACATGGGCAGCGTCGCGACCGAACTCCTCTTCTTGGTCTTGTCGAATTCAAGGGCTTGTTGACCCTGGTCAACCTCGTTATGCTCCTCAAGCCAATTATCCACCAGCTTCAGTAGCGAGCGAATCCCAGGCTCAGCTGCGGACACGCGAATCGAGAGTCGATAGGGATTCTTGTCCGCCCGCGATGACGACCGGTGTACCACGGCGTCGACCTCGCCTGAGGTGAGGCTCGCAATGTCACCTATAGAGTTGCGCCCGGGAGCGTTCTGCTGATGCCAAGCCGAAAGCCTCGACTGGAGGGACGCCCTCGCCTCGCCGACTGTCTGGTTTGGTGGCACGGCAATGGCCACATATGTGTGCCCAGCCGCCGTCGTCCTGAGCGTCGTGCTATCTCTCGGGTTGAAGGGGCGTGGTCCTTCTTTGATTTTGTCGCGATGGCCCTTTCGCAAGGAACGTATCGACCACCTCTTGTTGTTGTGATCTCCACCAAACGGTGTCGACATCCCAAAGCAACCATCAGGCGCCGCACCACTGTCCCGCCTGAAGCCCGGTGGTCTTGTGTGTCGGAAGAAGTGCGCCAGATCACGGAGTGTCTCTCTGTCGACCTGCTCCCGCGCCAGATCGTAGTGGTCGTCATCGTGCACGTTGGCGCGCGCTGCACCGTACATGCCCAGCGTCGATGCGGCGCGTGGCATACCCGCTCGTCGTGTCTCATCGAGGCGTGGCACATCGTCAATCTGTCTCGCAGGTGCGGTGCTGTCAGACAGCGACCGCGCCCGGAGATGGGGTTGGACCGGCGAGGTGGTGGTCATGATGATCGGGGAGCCATGGTCGAGAGCTTGTTTGTGATGGTGTAGTATTTCGTTCAGGACGTTGAATTATGGCGCGCGATATTTCCTGGGGTTAGGAATCGGTCCACGTTGAATCAAGGGTGCGCCGATCAATAATTATTATGGCCTTGTTCCTGCGACGGCAGGCCAGGGAAAGAAAGAAGAGAAAAAAGAAAAGGCAATGTGACCGATCTCCGGATTGCAATCTTCTTCAACGGCTGCGCGCTGCGAAACAGCGATCCCGCTAGAGACAAAGAACCAAGGCCCAAAAGCGAAAGGATAAGCAGCTCGTGGTGCAGAAGACACTCCGCCTTCTATCCGTTCGGGAGACCAAGCAAGTTCAATGAAGAGGTGAGGTCGCCGACGACGGTGGGCGAGCGTCCTCTCCAGCTTTCATTTTCCTGAGACCAAGAGCAAATCTCACCTAGTCTACTTGTGACGTGCGGCTTGCCGGGGGGAAAATCGGTCACTTGTGAAGAACTCCAGTCCTCAAGCCAGGCCCAGGCGTGGAGGTGATCACCGAGATGCAGGGGTTTGCTGTTTCCTCGAGGGATCGGCATTGCTTCCCTCCAGCTGGTTGGCCTGCATAAGTCCCTACCCTGGCTCCGGCTTTGCTAGCTCCCACCCAGCTGACGAGCCTGCCATGGATCGTTGCCTTCATGTCAGTCTTTTCTGTCTGCTCCGTCTAGACTCCAATACATCGGGAGCAGCTCACATCTCACGGACCCCCAACACGCGCAGCACATCGACTCCAACAATTCGAGGGGGATTCGGGGACCAAACTGTCGTAGCCATGTCGAACTGGCGGGGGAGCGCGGCATTTGGACGCCGGAGCCAATAGTGTCCGTCTCCACACCCACGATAAGGGGAACTTGAAGATGCCGTCTGCTAATGAGTTAGCGCAGCACTAAGCATGCAGGAACGGAAGTGAAGGCTGGAAATTCCATTTCTGAGGACGCATCCTGTGCGTGCCCCTGAGCAGGCGCGTGAACTGATGATACCGGTGAAGAATCGATGTCAAGGCTGACAAGGCGCATCACAAGAACACGAGGTCGAACAAGGAAACCCAGGGGGGTTAATGAGAAAACGTCTTGATAAATAATGTGTAGCCATGGACGGATGGGCAATACTGATGTGTACATCCATCCGTGGACAGACAGCCTGCAGAAGAAACGCCGCAGCGTCTAACTGAGCCTAGCAGACAAGTAACCATATTGCAACAACTGACAGATGAACAAGCCGTTCCAAAAACGCCATACTACCTGGTTCGTCATGTGCCTCCTAGCGAACCGAGAAATGTTTCTAAACGCCAAATGTTGGTACCGACAGGGGTATCCGATGCTGGGAAAATGGTATACAAATGCAGAAGGAATGCGCATGCTTCATAGTTGGTGTGGTCGGATCCGTCAATCATCATGGCTCCTCTTCAATCATAGCGGGGACCTCGTCTTCGTTAAGCAGAATCCGACGGCCGAGATCTTCAGGAGCTTGCCCATCGCGGACAGCACCGAAATCAAGAATCTAGAAAGAGAAAAACTTGTCAGCTTACAATGTCGTCAGGGGCTGGGACAAAAGCGTGCTTACCTCGACATAGGTGAACTGGTCTCGCTGCACGGCCGCGACGCAGCGCCGTCCGTTGAACTTGACCTGCCAAACGCCGCCCAGGTCCGTGAGGAGGTCCTGGACGCATTCACCTGTCTGAATGTCCCACATCTTGACCGTCTTCTCGCTGCCACTAATGACCTTGCTAGCATCGTGCTGGAAACAGGTGATGGCGCCCGTGTGCGCCATGAGCGTACTCTTACAACGTCCTGACTCGGGGTCCCAGATACGCAGTGTTGAGTCGGCAGCTGCGGACACTAGGCGCTCGTCCCGGAGATCAAGAAGCCCAACCAGCAGGCTGTGGCCCTCCAGGGTGTAGAGACAGGCTCCAGTCCTCAGGTCCCATATCTTGACCAGCGAGTCCATAGAGCCAGAGATGCACCGATTGCGCTCGTGATCCAGTACGACCGAGTACACCTTCTGAGAGTGCCCGTGTAATGAGTGGAGGCATTCGCCTGTGCTGATGCGCCAGACACGGACCACGCTGTCGTATGATCCGCTAACCAACGTGTCGCCGTGCGCGGAGATGGCGCGGACGGAATGCGTGTGCCCGTGCAGTGCCCTGATGAAGTAGGGGCACTCCGAGTCCGACGCAGGCGCGCCGCTCTGGATGTAGCGCTTCGAGCCAACCTCGGGCAGACGCCAGATTCGCAACTGACTATCTCGCGAGCCCGTGATGATCAAGGGCTTTTCTGGTTGCATAATGGCCTTGCCATCGTGGCCTGTACCAGTCTTGGCGGGCATGAGGATCTGCAGGCAGCGCACAGTGCTAGTGTGGCCGTAGAACACCTGTTGGCAAATGCCGCGCTCAATGTCCCAGACGCGGACGGACCTGTCCGTAGAACCGGACACGAGGATGTTCCCTTCGTATTGCAGAGCCCACACGCCACCCTCGTGCCCGACCAGCTTGTTGCGCAGCTTGCCCGTCTTTGTGTCGTAGACGTGAATGTAAGTATCATCACTGCCGGTGATGATCTTGTCGTCGTCGAATTGGAGACAAGTGATCACATGGCGCGGGTGCGCAGCGAACGCCACGTGCGAAGGCTTCACCTTGCCACTCATCCAGCTCTGGCGGATCATGTGGTGACGACGGTACAGCGACTTGAACAAGTGCAGCTCACGGAGGCTGGGCAGGCCAAGGTGAGGGTCGGGCACGGCCGAAGCGGCAGCATTAGCAGCCGACAGCGGGCCTGCGCTCCGGTGCTGCTTGACCTCGACCTGGGCCTTCTCCTCTCTAGACAGCGCTTCCTGTGCGCTGGCCCTACGCTTCGACCGTTCGCTCGAGGGGTGAGCATTAAGAGCCCGCTTGCGCTTCGAAAGTCGGGTTTTGGGCGCGGGCGGCTGCAAGTCCTTTGTGAGCTCTTGCTCTGAGGTGGTTAGACGCCTATGCATGCTCAAATCTTTCTCAACGCCCATGTGCCCAACTGGGTCCTGCCAGCCCCAGCCTTGAGCAATGGCCTTGCTGAGCTCTCCCGCGGGAAGCTCGAAGCCATCTCTGTCGAAAAGTTCCTTCCACCCAGTCTCATTGCGATCCACAATATTGCGCCAATGTTTCGATACCTGGGCGGCCCGGCACAGATCGCGAAAGTCGAGGTAGGACATAACGTGGTAGCTAAGCTCGAGGGGTAGCTGCGAGAAAAAGTCGCATTTCAGAGCCGGGTTGACAGCATTGGCAACGACACGCAGTGTGGGCCTAGCACAGCGGCGTAACAACTGGTACATCATGTAGGACTGCATGTCGGGGTTCATCATGTCGAAAGTATCCAGGAATCCAAATGGATCCATCATGACGGAACCCCCGTCTCTTGTTCTCGACTGGCTGCCAATCATGCTGAGCGCCATGGCGTCTTCGTCCTCGGACTTGATGGAGCCGCTGTCCCATTTGCTAAGTGCGAAAGAGCTCGTCGCGAAGCTGGTGTCGCCGCTATCGCCCCCTTGCTCCTGGCTCGAGGTGTTCAATTGGGAAGTTGCAAGCGTCGGAGATAGCCTTGGACTAGGAAGACTAGCGTCTTGAGCCGCGACGACATCAATGCTGGGCCGAGGATGATGGAGCAGACTCCGGGTAGAATGGTGATCCTCGCCATCTTCAAAAGGCTCGGCGTCTGCGTCCGTAATAGGTGGGGTGGCAACGTTGCTACCAAAGTTCGCAGCCGTGTTGCTTGCTCTAGGGCTGCCAAACCGCTCAGCACCCAGGCCAAGTCGGGGGCGGGATGTAAGGGCTTGCTCGATGGCAGACGATGAATTCTGTTCGCTCGTGGCATCAGGCGTAGCCAAGAAGCTAGATGTCGACCGGGGCTGACGAGACGATCGGCGTGTCGTGCTCGCCTCCCCAGATGCTCCGCGTAGCTTTTGCGCAGCGGACTGAAGCTGGCTGCCAAGATCCTGCTGTTTGGAGTATCCGTCCGTTGGCCCAGGTGCTTGTCGACTCGATCGTGGACGGCGGGGGTATGCTTCTGAAGGCGATCGGGAGGCGGCGTGTGAGGCACGTGCAAGCGTTCCATCGCGTGTAGGCAAGATCTTGGGAGAGCCTGGCGTCGTTCGCTCGATGGATGGTCTGGGTTTATCAGGACGCTTCGTGCGGTTAGCTAAGGTGTCTTTGATAGAAGCAAGGGGTCCTACCACATGTCCAGGCTCGTTGTCATCCTGGGCCTCACTGCTAGGCACGTTGTAGGTGAAGGCGAGCAGCTCCGGCGGCGTAGGCTTATGGTAAAGGGGGTAGTCTTTCGGGTTTAGGTGCCTCGATTGCGTCTGGGCATGGTCGGCAGTATGCGGAAACTTTCGAGTTAATCGTGTCGTCGTCGTGATGGTCTTTGTCTCGACACGCTCGCTGACTTCCATGTGGAAACGGCGCGGATCCTCCTCAGACTCGGCAATGTTGACCATGACCGTCGACGGTTGGCTTGTTCGCCGCGTGTCCATCGTATGCTTGGAATCGCTGGGCGACATGCTGGCGAGGTTGTGGGCAAGCAGAGGCTGGGGTGGTGCTGTGCCACGGGGCGAGGCTGGGACCAGCGAGGTCGGCTGAAGGTGATTCTGGGTGAATCACGCTGGCGGCAGCCGGCCGCAGTGATCAAATTGGGACAAGCAGTGCAGTCAGTGACAGTGACACCCGTTTGAGATGTCTCAAATCGACAAACACCACTGTCGTAGGACGTTGGTGCTCGGTAGGAGGGGATGTGAGCGGGAGAGCTGGCCAACTTGGGTGGTAATAACCCAAGGAAACTTGGAAAGGGAGGGGACGCCAGCCACGATGCGTCCCTCACGTGGATCGAGAAGGGAAGACCCAGTCAGTGTCTTGAGCAGTGTGCAAGCACCGGGGGTCGCTGTGTCGTCGTGTTGTCGGAATACGCACGCAACTGAAAGTGAATGTGGGAAAGTCGGAAACGACAGAAGGCGCTCTCTTGGTGATACTCCAAGGGACTGACCCGGGCTCGACCAATCAGGACTCGGCGTTAGACTTCCGCGCAGGCCTCAGCGCGCGGAGTCGCTCAATAGCGGGTCGAGCTGTGGCTGACCGTTTCGGCCTCCACGTCGCTGACCAACCCTGTGGCTGGAGTTTCGCTTCACTTTCGGACTTGCCGGCCGGAGGCTGGAATGGGCAGTGAGGCTCATGACTTCATGTTGTTGGAATTTTCTCTTGGTTTGATCACAATCATTAGTTTCAACGCTAGACTCAACCCTCCTTGATTGAACAAACAACAAGGCTATTTACTTTCAGTCATTATTGTTGACATAAATTATACTTTGACATTAGTGGAGGGGTACCTTTCCAGAGCTTCGACAACATGTCTACCACCAACCTGCAATTGTATTCTCCAGTGGTGTACTTTGAACTACGTATCTTACTGAGTGCCCTGTCATCAACCCATGAGCCATGTCACAGGTAGGTCAACGAAATTGCATACTTGCGTATTCTTGTGTCCTTTATCATGAGTCTTGCGCAACTACCTACGTGCTTCACACCCATGTAAAGACCTTGGTCTAGGGTAGGTACTCGGTCTGAGACGTGGACGTCACGTGATATCAGCATGGTCCATCCAACCCACTTCTCTTGTTGAGTCCAAGTCAGTCTGAGTCGAGTTCAATCGGCCGACAGGAGGAATCGCGCCATCCAGGTCACGACATTGTCGTGGGTCTCTGCTACTACCCCGATCGCGTCAAAGACAAGCAGCGCTCTCCGTTAGTCTGGTCTACACATAATCTCTGAAAGGCATGAGATCTTTCAAGCCACATAGACAGGCATCCTACTGCCCAGTAGCTCGCTCTTCGGTACCTGCACGTCGAGTTTGTTGAAGTCATGCAGCATCAGCCAGCATATCATGCGGAAGACGAGCGTGCACCAGATATCATCGTGGGTGACGTTCTGTTCCGCATCCAGGCTTGCCTCTTGCGCATCGGCCTTTGCCGCCTTGCGAACTACGACTCTCCGGACGTGGTGGTAGTACAGCTGCATCAGCTTCTCCTGCCTCTCGTCGGGGCCAGCGGCGTCCACGTCGTCCATCGTCGTCGATGCGCAGGGAACTGGTGACGTGGATCGCGAACGGTCGTCGCCCAGGTTCATTTGGCGAATAACCTCTTGTATGTGGAAACGCAGGACCGTCTGTACAGTTTTCCGCCTCCTCTGCTGCTTGGGCGTTTCAAGACTCAACCCCGGTGGTTCGTCCTCTTGGGGCGTCCTTGGTGGCGTGCTGCCAGGCGACGGTCCTGGCGAGGCGACAAAGGTATTGAAGCGGCGACGGAGGCCCAGGAGACTGCTGCTTCCTGTTCTTTGTGTGCTCGATCTTGGTAAGGAGATATCTTGTGCTTCGAACCGTCGTGACAGCTTGCTTCGCCCCGTCAATAATTCGTCGGCGTCGTCTAATGCTACATGGAGAGCTCTGAAGCGCAGTAGTGTCGCGATGCTGTCGTCGCCTTGGTGCCTCAGTATTTCGCTGACATGGTCGCTCAGACGGTCAACAACAACCTGTGTTCGTTCTGCGTCGTTGGGCTCTTGAAGACACAAGTCCTTGAAAGTCTCCAAGGCCTTCCCAAGGTCGATAGAGCGCGCATCCCATCAATCTGGCGTTGGGTTCGGGAGATACGTGAATAACGTATTCTCAATGTGGAAAGTCTGGCTGAGCATCCCCACAATCTCAAATGATACTTAGGGCATTAGTGATCAGCTGCTTGACCGGGTGATGATTCCTGGGTGTACATACTGGGAAACAGGTGCGAGACTCTCCGACCAGGCGCCATGAACGTAGCCACCGAGGTATGGTTGCATCCAATCAGTTGCAGTGTTTCTGCGATTTCCGAACTGGTCGCTACCAGGACCGTGCTCAAGTCCCGCAAATCTACAGGAACCTCCAGCCTCCTCTTGTCCTGCGTGCTTCGGAAAATCGTGGGTACCCATCCGAAGCAGAGCTCTTTGACCTCATCCACTGGTATAACTCTGTTTTTTTCGAATCGCGAAAGTCCATTGACTTGGAACGTGAACGCCAGTCCAAGTTCAGCGACTCGCTCACCGAGGACCATGAAACCGTTGCCTTCGGCCCGGTAGCGATCATTGGTCCTGTTGAATTCCTTCCAGTATATGCCCATGGCAGCTATAATCTCAAGCAGATGGCACATGGTTGTGGTGGCATATGGTCGGGTAATGGATGCGGGCATGGTATCCCAGCTCATCCTCTTCTTCTGCACAGCGACCGCCAAGGTGTGGCTCTCTGCTAGTGAAGGTGGTTCGCTTGGCAGGCCATGCTGTCGAAAGGCAGTTTGCGGAGGCTGGCTTGAGGAAAAGTAGTCGAATTGGCGCCGGTGCCACATCTGCGATTCGATCTCCATGCTCTGGATTGCCGAGAGGAGAATAGTCCACGAAGCACGCTCGTTATCCGAGGTCCGTATCCTCTCCTTGCGGTCCTTCTTCTGGTAGTCTTCCGTCCAGGTGTATGCCAGACTCTGGGGAGTGCCATCCAGCAGCTGTATCTTGCCGTCCACCGCTCCCTTGTCGTTCGTCGGCGGACACACAAAGATCACAGGAATCTCCACCTCTGTCTCAAAGCGTAAATCTTCCAATCGAAACTTGCGAGTCTTCGTCTTGTGCCATCCTCCCATGACCTTTTCGTTGCATTGCGAGAAGCCGCGCGCGGACGCGAAATACTGCTGGAGGCATTGCAGAAGCGTCGCCAGGAGCGCGATCAAGGAGACGAAGAGCGCGGCGGCGGCGACGATGATCTCCGTCTCGTTGCTGTCGGCCATGGCACCCCAAGGTTGGGTGGGCGTCTGTAGCTGTGCTCAGCTGGGAGTGTCCGTCGTGGCGGAGACGTATCCGCGTCACATTGTATCCCACACAATCACTCTCTCTGAGGGCTCCGCTGTTTCGATCCGGCCGGTCGGTCGTGGTGGGATTGCCATCGGTTCGAGGTGTCTGCCAGTGTGCGGCGTGCGCAGCATGCTGACTAGGTAGACTGGAAGATCTGCAGAAATGTGTTTCGAGGTCCAATTGTTTCTAATTTCGGCATTTGCGCTGGCCGATGGGTTAGCGCTGCATAGGCCACCTGCACCACGCATTTGCGTGCAGACTGGAAAAAAACAAAACGCGAATGCTTCAGACGACAAGTTCACACAACCTCAATTCGCTAGGCGTTGTTGTTAATCCACGAATACCAAGGAGACATGGACGCTCTGGCGACACGCTTTTGCTCCGCTTGATGGTTGCCTACTTCATCGTGGTGCCCCGGATCGTCCCGCACAGTAGCGGTTCCTACATCAATCTTCACTGTCACAGACGGAAAGCTCTCGGTAGCTGCAGCTGGCCTCTTCGAAGCAGTACTCTTCTAAAGCCAGCCTTGTCTGCCTCTACGCAGCCATGGCGCAGCTGCACTCTACTATGCATATCCTCAATACATGGCCCAACCACCACTGGCCGAGATGGTCTGTCCTGTGACCCATCGACTCTCCTCCGATGCCAGCCAGCTCACGATTTGCGCCACGTCGTCCACCGTCCCCAGCCTTCGCCCGACAGGCGTCTGCTTCTTCTGCATATCCACAATGTTCTTTGGGATGTTGTCGAGCATCTTGTTCTGCACGGGCCCTGGATTCACCGCGTTGACCGTGTGGCCCTGCTCGCCCAGCTCCGCTGCCCAGCACCTCGTGATGCCCTCCAGGGCGGCCTTTGAGGAGCAGTAGAGCGATAACTCGGGGAAGCCAGCGCGTGCGCCCACGGAGCCAATGTTGACGACGCGTGCGTTTCTGAGATTAGGACGGGCAGCCTGCAGGAGGAGCAGCGGGGCCAAAACATTTAGATGGAAGATGGAATCAAAGTCCTGGGGAGTAATATCCTCAAGCGGCTTCACGACTTCGGCCCCGGCGTTGTTGACGAGGATGTTGATTTCGGCCCCGAACACGCTCAGAGTTTGGCGCACAATGTGCTCTGGTGTTTGAGGCTTACGCAGGTCCGCCTTGACAGCGATGGAATTGCCCCTTAGATCCTCAATTTGTTGACGGAGATTGGCAACGTGTCCATCACTGTTGGAGGATGTATAAGTCAACACGACCTGGGCATGTCAGTTGGGGTACATCTCACACATTTGTGCAGTTCTGGACCGACCTTCGCGCCTCGCTGTGCAAGATCTAGAGCAAAGCCAGCACCAAGCCCTCTCGAGGCTCCTGTCACAATGGCAACCTTGCCTTCGAGGTTGCGTTCCTTATGGACAGATTGGGGCACCTTGTTGGTCTCGAGGTATGAAAATTGTGGAAGAGTCATCCACAAGAGGTTTGAACGACTGCGAAGAAAGCAGGTCTGTTGTATTCCCTGATATATCGTATTCTAGCCATTCAATCCACGCCCAAAACCCAGTTATTGTCATTCTGATGTGCGTGACATGCTTCTGATTATCGCCGAAAAGCTTCGTCGTTCGGCGATAAAGCTAGGTCCGATGACACTTGACCACATCTTCAATTGTCACTTAAATCCCGCGAGGCTCCTCATGGTAGGAAATCAGAGGTCAGGAGAGATCTAATGGCTATCTGCAGCAGATCATATGTCAAATTGCGGAGGAAGGTGATCGATAGTCAACAAACTGCCATGAGGTTGGAATTATTTTCAACAGCCTAAAGAAACTCACCACACTCGGGCATCAACGATGTGAATCGCGGATAAACCATTGCTTCCAAGAAAAACCAAGACAAGTACAAGAGAATCCATTTCATTTATTTTACAAACTTCTTGTGAGTAGACCTTTCTCCGAGAGGACTGAAAAGTACAGGGTAGCCTTCTATCCTCGACAAACCAACTCGACGGCGTTAAAAGGTCAGGGTGCCATCCGCCTACCTACATGCCGCTCAGCTAGCTCATTTGATCGTGATCTGCACTCTAGCAAATGGCCAATTTTGCTCAAACTCTAAGCTCCCATACACCACGGCCGGGTTGAAGCCGAATCACACGGTCTAACGGCTGGCGCTCCCACCAAATCGCAGTTAGCGGTGCCGCGGCGCGGATTGCGGGCAAGAAAGGGGTAAAGATCACCACGCATTTCTGCCTCACCCACGAGTTAGGCATGTTTTCTCGGGTCAAGAGAGAAGAGCGCCCATGCAAAGAGCGATAGCGTTAGTGCGCACGCAGTCAGCATTCCTGCATATCGCCACGATGCGGAAGTCGCGTGGGAAAAACAGACCGTCGGACACGATGTGTTCGAAGCGAGGCTCGAGATAGTGCGTATTAGTGGACGTCTTCCCCTCGGAAGGAACAGAGGCCGTTGATAGTCGACTGTCCACTTCACCGGGCGGATCTCGCTCGTGGGGAGGGATGATGGCACAACGCATGAGATCAATGGGGATTGGGAAGTTGTTTGACTTCGTTTGTCAGCAAGTTGTCTGTCGTCAGTCGACCGACCGACTGATTGGGACTGCTGAGCGAAATGGCACCTGAACTCGGATGGGTCTCACTGCCGTATTTGGAGGTGGTGCTGCTGATCATCTCGCTCGTGGCCCGTGGGAGCGAATGATTCAAGGAAACGTGCCAGTATTCCCGATGTCCAATTAGGGGGCCGCAGGCGGAGGACTGGAATTCTGAGAAGAACAGAATAGCGGGCGTTGCCTAATCGATCTCGTTTGCTGTGAAATGTGAGTGACAGTGAGTCCGACAGCTCCAGCATCCCTGGTCATGTAATACGTAGATCTACATGCACGCGCAGCGGGCTCTTGGATGATCGGTCACTTTAGATCTACTGCTCTGTTGTTCCTTGCAGGAGATCATCGGCCATCAATTGTTGACGTTTGGGCGTTCCGTGCTTATTACATGCTATACATCAATTGAGAGCTCTGTCGCCCGTAAGCTCTACGTAGTCCGGTAGTCAGTGACACATCGGAAGATTCTCTCCGCTAAATCAGCCCGGTGGAGACTGGACAGGCCAGGCACCTGGAGAATCGTGAGTGACGTCGATTGTTGTCAGCTCGGTGCTAAACAGTACAAGCCATTCTTACGCTGAAATAGGCAATAGGCAATCTTAGCCGGCTCCAAAGGATCCACTTCCCCTTAGTCTTGCACGCACCGGATGGATGAGATCTCACACTATGATCGTGGCTGCTTGAAGGTACACCGTGCATGACTCGGCTGTAGTCGGCGACCATCAGACGGCAAATCAGGAATGGTCCTGACATGAATCTATGGGCGAATTAATTACGCTTGGTTCGCCTCTATGCAGCGTGGAGTCACTCTATCAGGGACGCGAGATGCCGCAAGTGAATGGACACAGACATCAAGATAACTTACATCAAATGCTACTACTAGTATGTGACATGTACAATTAATTGTCTTGCTTAAGGTCTGCTGCTAACGTGCGTGCCTGACGCGAGACTTGTCTATGGTGTATAATAGACGCAGATGTGAGGACATTGGCGAAGACTGAACTACATGTACGGACTACGTACTGGCTAGAGCCTGGAGCTTGTCGATCAGTATATGGTGGTAGCGCCAGTAACAGAAGTACCTGATAATGCAAGTGTAAACTATGGTTAATTAGGTAGCTTCATCCCATCACTATCGCCACAGCATACGCTACCAAATAGTCCCTGGTCGTGTTCTCATCTCCAGCATATTATAGAAGCAATGATTGACAGCCCTATGTGGAGGCAGCTTCGCCAGACCAGCTAGCCGGGCCCAATTGTAGCTGCATCGTCAGCATTCAGGTGCCCGACTGCCGCAACTTGTGGATAGTCAATGTCACACACACACAAACCTCTCAACGGCGTGCCTTGTGGACCCGGCACTAGAGGGCAATAATCTGCTGGCGAGCATTGCCGGTGAGGGAGCCGTCATGGATCGTCTTCCACTTGACCTCATACAGGCGAGAGGTGGACAGCAATGCGGACAGCATCGGCGCTACCAACGTGAAGACAGCCGGACGTACTGGCGGACATGAAGTGTTGAACATGAAGCGCGAGTCCATGTCATCAAGGTAAATCGGGCGAGCACTTGGGTATAAAGCCGCCAGGTTCTCCCCCAAGTGCTGATCCAGAAGACTCTCTTCATCCTCAAGCTCCTCATCATCTCCCAGACTACCTACTCTTCACTCTCAAACCTCAAGCCACCAAGCAACTCGACTAGCAAACATGAAGTTCAGCATCGTCTCTGTCCTCGCCCTGGCCGCTTCGGCCACTGCCACCCCCATCCTGGGTGGTCTCGTCGGCGGCGTTGGCGACGCCCTCAAGGGCGCCGTCAGCAAGGTCGGCGGCGCTCCTCAGAGCAGCGACGACATTGCCACTCTCCTCGAGGGCACCCTCGCGTCCGTCAAGGAGCGCACTGGTGCTATGAGTACGTGACCACAGCTTTCCAGCACGCCCCTGACCCATCCCCGACTGACCATATCTCACAGACGCCACCGTGGCCCAGGTCCAGAGCAAGGACATCACCGCCGACGCGGCTGACGACCAGCTCCTCGGTCAGATCCAGGGTCTCAAGCTCGACCTGTCCCAGCTCGTCAACTCGCTCACCACTGCTGCTGGTATCCCCGTCCCCAAGGGTGACGTCGACCGTGTCCTCACGCTCGTCAACGCCCTCCTCAACGAGGTCCTCGCCACCGTCAACACCCTCGTCACCGTCCTTGGCCTCCGTGTCCAGCTCACCTCCCTGCTCCACTCTGTCTTCAGCCTGCTCGCCAACATCCTCACTCTCCTCATCGGTCTCCTGGGTGGCCTCCTCCCTGCCCTGGTCGGTGGCCTCACTCCTCTCCTTGCTGGCCTCGGCAACGGCCTCCTTGCCCCTCTCCTTACCCCCATTGTCGCCCTCGTTGCTGCCATCTCTGGCCCTTAAGTGCAGCGTGTGCTGATAGGGACAACTGTCGAAAATATGTCGAAAAATAGTATCTGTGTGGCTTTCAGTTCTACTGTTAGTTTATTGGACAATTTAATACAATAATATTATTGCCTAGCTCGAACTCTCTTTGTGGTTGTCGACCTTATGTTTCTTGGTGATTTGGTCAACCTCTGCTTTCCTATTGATTGCGGACTAAATGCGTCATACTAATGGCTTTCGAGCAAGTTCGTACAGATGGTGCACTACTCGACGCAGACAGCAGTGACCTCTGGAAACATTTCCAGCCGGCGAACAAGCCGAGTCAAAGTCGCAAACCTGCCACCTGCAAACATAAAAACATAGAGGACAAAGAAAACTCACCAGGATCACAAACACTGTCAGTACAAACATTTACCTCAGCATGACAGGCGGTAACGCCATGTTTTCGGAGTTTACATGCTCAGGGGTTGAGCAACTTCGGCGTTTCGGCGATAAGGCTATAAGCTAGCGACTTGTCCAGCATGAACCCATGCCTTCTGTGCTCTTTTGATGCATTCTGATCAGATCTCAAACCTCATTTGTCAGTGAACGAGTCCAGCGCGAGTCTTAAACCATTTGGCTATGCCATGGTCGACCTTACGTGCGACAACGACTGGATACAGCCTCGCAACATTGGCCTATTGATGCAGGAGGCCACGGACCACGACGGGCCTGCGCTCCATTCGGCGATTGCGGAAGCGCATTCCAAAGGACTAGCATGCTGTTGTATTTTATCCCTGCCATGTTGGCTCTTGCTCATCGAAGGATGTGTATAAATGGGCACAGACCCAACTGGCAGGCAAGCAGAGACCATCCCACTCTCACCTCTACCAAGGACCTCTCTACCTGATAGTAGCAGTGGCCACTCGAGCGCATTTCTTCACTCGTCTGGAAATCGAGATAACAGACAATCTAATCATCAGACACGATGGCGCCTGTTTGGTTTATCACCGCCACATCATCAGGCTTCGGCCACGAGATTGCCCTGTGCGCACTTCGTCGTGGGCACACTGTCATCGCCACGGCTCGCAACATCTCACGCATCCAGGACCTAGCGGAGGCTGGCGCCCATACAATGGCATTCGACGTGACCTCTCCTCTCCCCGAGTTGCAGGAGACCGCCAAGAACGTCTTTGACAAGTTTGGTCGCGTCGACTACCTGGTCAATGCGGCTGGGTTCATCCTCGAGGGGGCCCTGGAAGAGTTCAGCCCCGAGGAGATCCACCGCATCTTCAACGTCAACGTCTTTGGCATGATGACCACATTCAAGGCCTTTCTCCCGCATGTGAGGACACAGGAGATCGGCGAGGGAGGCGCCAGGGCCACCGTCGTGTGCATCGGCAGCCTCGCCAGCTGGCAGGGCGGTGCCTCGTACGCAGCCTACTCCATGACCAAGGCAGCATGCTCGATGTTGATGGAGTCTCTCCGCATCGAGCTGGCCCCGTACAAGATTACGTCGACTGTCATCGAGCCAGGGTACTTCCGCACCGGCTTCCTCAGCTCGAACGCGCTCGTGCAGACCAAGGAACGCATCGATGCGTACGAAGATCCTGAAACACCCACGGGAGTGACCAGAGAAGGGTTGCGGCAGGTACATGGAAATCAACCAGGGGACGTGAGGAAGGGTGCCGAGGTCGTGGTTCAAGTGCTGACCAGGACGGGTGTGTCGAAGGGAAGGGAAGTTCCCGTTCGCATCGTGCTGGGGACCGACTGCGAGGCGACGATCAGGGCGCAGTGCGCCAAGGTGACCAGTTACCTGGAAGAGTGGCAGGATGTCATTAGGAGCACTGATTATCCAAAGGGGGAGTAGCAGATGGGTTGTATTTCTAATGTAGGTACATAGGATACTAGATGCTGATTGGAAATATGCCAGCACACGCCCTCTTTGTGAGGAACACGATCAGTCCCCCATTTTGGCTGCCCTATCCAGGGCAAGTCGATACGCAACGCGTGCGACATCTTCCCAAGAGCTCGTGTCCACGACGCCCTCGGCAATGAGTCCCGCCCCCTTTTCGACTGACTCTTTGCACTGACTGCACAGTTGTTCCTCTTGGCGGACCCAACAGGATTCGCGGATGATCCGCATCTTGTGGCAGGGACGCCCGTCCATGTCTGAGATCTTGAAGTGACAGCGGTGGCGCAGGCCGACTTGCACGTGGCCACAGGAGAATGTGAAAGTCCTCCAATGACACATTTCCTTGGATGCTAGCCTTGAGATGGACCGACTGCTGGTTTCGAAGAGATTGATGTTGTGTCGTTCCGGTTGGGGGAGTGTGTGATGTCGGCGGAGGACGTTGTTCAGGAGACCGCATCTAGGCGCCAGAGCCTCAAAGGGAACCCGCCACTTTAAATATCACACAAGCTGCGATGACAACCAGAGCTGGCTGGGCTGTTGGTGCCCAGTATTACATACTGGGCCTTGATGGCGTCCCACACCGAGTTTCGGAAAGCTGGGCGAGTTGACCGGTGAGGGTGGCCGTACGACCACCAAGCCAGGCTTTCACGATCATTTGCTGGTCAATAAGCTCGACAGTGTGCCCGATGCGGTGATTCACGGACAGTAGATGAAGCTGATCAGTCATAGGCGGATGGATGTGTGCTTATGGCGCGAGGCTCGAACTGAACTCGACGAGGGACTGGCCACTGGTGGGTGCCACGTATGCATTCACGGCGGCAAGCCCAGTGTTGGTCGTGCAATGCTTCATGGAATATTCCATACGTGTCCAAGAAAAGGGGACATTGTGCAACCTGAAAATCTCGCTGGTGGCACTGGACGTACCATCATGATCCAATACTGGCACTCGACGTGTCCGGTTTAAGGGGGCAGATAAGACTGGACCTTGCAGCCAGTTGAGCTATCGTCGAGGTCAGCGATATTCGACGTGAAGACTTCGCGTTTATGTTGGACGAGAAGTGTATGGCTGCAAGAACACACGTGGAAAGCTGCCGCAGGCTACACCATCACACGTGATACACTGACATGTCCATGTGGAGTTCAAGTTGAGGGCGACACTCCCCGAGTCGAGTCCCTCAGCCTGGACTCACCAGTCACCACCCCCTCATTCTCCTCCTTTCCCCATTTAACCGACTGCGCATCGCCTTGATGACAGTGATTGATCCAAACGGGCGACTTCACTTCATCTCGTTGGTCGATCGGAATCTGTCGGCTCTTTTGACCATGCATCTTCCCAGCCCGCAGACAAACATGATGCGTCCCCATCGCGGAGTGTCGCCTGACTTGACCTCCATGTCGTCACCCTCGCACGCACGCCCCTTGAGATGACTGGCTAATATCCGTTGTGTTTCTTCGTATTTCAGTCACAGCTCACTCACTTGTCAAACCGATCCTCTGGTCCTTCAAACTTCACGCTTGCATGCTCCATCTGCTCCCGAACGCAAGCATGACGACCTTTACGTTCAACGATGCAGTCCAGGCTGCGAAGACGTCCCCGTCCGACATTGATGCCATCACACGAAAGCTCTTCGCATCGCTTACCACAGACGAGAAGCTCGAGCTGCTCGATGGCGACGATGACTACTGGCCAGGCTTGCACAACATGCTCACAGATGGCTACAATCGACGCCCAATCGTCCATGGCGCCGTTGATCGTCTGGCAATCCCCGGCATTAGATTCGCGGATGGCCCCCGAGGCTGCGTTGTCGGCGAATCAACAGCGTTTCCCGTGCCCATGGCTCGCGGCGCGACCTGGGACGTCGACCTGGAAGAGAGGATTGGCGTGGCCATCGGCAAGGAGGGTCGCGCCCAGGGCGCCAACTTCTTTGGCGGCGTATGCGTTAACCTGCCCCGACACCCGGCTTGGGGCAGAATCCAGGAAACATATTCAGAGAACCCCATCCTCCTCGGTGAATTCGGTGCCGCACTGACCCGCGGCGTCCAGCAGAATATGATGGCGTGCGTCAAGCACTACGCACTCAACTCTATGGAGAACGCGCGCTTCCAGGTCGACGTGGACATTGACCTCGACGTGCTGCACGAGGTATACCTGCCGCACTTTCGTCGCATCATCGAGGAGGGCGTGGCTTCAGTCATGAGCTCATACAACAGCGTCCGCGGGGAGTGGGCGGGACAGAATAAGGAGCTTCTGCTCGACATCCTCAGAGACCAGTGGGGGTTCAAGGGCTATGTCATCTCTGATTTTCTGTTTGGCCAACGCGACGGGCCCCTGTCTCTCAAGAATGGACTGGATATCGAAGCGCCCTTTCGGAATATGCGCGGACGAACTTTGCCACAGGCACTCAAGGAGGGAACTGTGAGCGAGGCAGATGTTAAGCGTGCAGGACTTGTCATCCTGAGAGGGCAGCTTGAGCATGCCCTGCGCCGAGAGGATAAGGAGCCTGACGCCAAGGACGTTGTGTTCTGCGACGAGCACAGAGAGCTCGCCAAGGAAGCAGCCGAGAAATCAATGGTCCTGTTGAAGAACGACAAGGTCAACGGCGAGCCCCTTTTACCTCTGAGGAACGTCTCGAAAGTCGCTGTCATTGGTCGCCTGGCCAACTCCCAGAACACTGGTGACAGGGGCTCCTCAGCGGTACGCTGCCCAAAGGTGGTTTCGCCGTACGAAGGACTCAGGGATCGTCTGACGGGTACTGAGGTCGTACTGGATGACTCTGCGGAGATCGAGTCATCTCGCAACGCGGCGTCAGGTGCCGATGTTGCCGTTGTCATTGTTGGCTACGACTGGCGTCAGGAAGGCGAGCACTGCGTTCCGGCATTCAACGCCAACACTGGTCTGAAGGATGTCCTGCCGCCCCTCGACGGCACTGAAGTAGCCCAATTCACGCACCGGCTTCTTGTGGATGAAGTGGCTCCCGAGTCACTCCTCGAGGGCGATGACAACTACGGTCTCGGCGCTGGAGGCGATCGATCCAGTTTAAGACTGAACGAGAGGGACGTGGAGATTATTCGTGAAGTAACAAAGGCGAATCCATGGACCGTCGTTGCCATCGTCGCAGCTGGTGCCGTCATCATGTCTGACTGGGACCACCTGCCGCCTGCTATCCTGTACAGCTGGTACTCTGGCTGTGAAGGAGGCCACGCGCTCGCCGATATTCTCCTGGGCAGAGCCAATCCTTCCGGGCACCTCCCATTTTCCATCCCCCGAGATGAGAAGTATTTGCCATTCTTCGACAAGGATGCCACAAAGATTACGTACGACCGCTGGTTTGGGCAGCACCTCCTTGATCGCCAGGCTGTCAACGCAGCCTATCCCCTAGGGTTTGGACTGTCGTACACGGAATTCGCAGTCTCTGGCCTGGAAGTGAGTAAGAGCGAAACCGATCCAGATAGTCTGGACGTCAAGGTTGCGGTGAGGAACACGGGCCAGGTGGCAGGACGATACATCGCTCAAGTGTACGGCGCCGCCAACGTACCCGATCGTCCTAGACGCGTGCTCCTTGGCTTCAAGCCGATCGAACTCGAGGCTAGGGCAGAAGCAGCCATCGAGATCACTGCGTCAACGCGACCTTTGCAAAAGTGGGATGACGGTACTTGGTCGCTGTGGACGCGCCACGTTGAAATTGAGGTCGGAAATTACTCGGGCTCGGAGGCCAGCGTCAAGAAGAGAATACAGCTGTGATAGTCTGTACCAACATTGATAGCTTACGCATGGCTGTTTGGCCGCTTCCAGTGTTTGAGGCTGAAGCTCAGTACCTGGGTCCTGCATGTCCAGGGTCGCATTCATTCCGCATGGGGTAGTTGTTGGTGCATGTAGAACAGTAGAAGAGGGGGCGCCAAGCTCTGCCTCGGCTTGCAACCTCTACCTGACAATGACGGGCTTCACATTTACTAACGTGCATCATAATCCATTCAAATATCAAGATAGAAAGAAAAATTACGATTCGAGCGCTTGGCGATGGCCAAATCATCACCAGCCCCGCTCGCCTCCTTGCGCGAGAGTATCGAGGTCCGCAGGGTTGACGACGGCATCTACGAAGCCAACCTGGCCCTCGACTTCTGTGTTGGCACAGGTATGACCATCCCAAGAAAAGAAGAAGAAAATGAGAAGAACGAGACTGATTGTGACAGTTCCAAACGGCGGCTATGTAGCCTCCATGTTCGCCAAAGTGGCTGAGGCCCATCTCCTACCACGCAACCAGCCGCACATCATCTCGGCCAACTGGACATTTATGGCCAAGACGAAGGCCGGTCGATCTCTCATCAAGGTTGTAGAGGCAAAATTTGGGAGGGCCACATCCGTCTTGCATGTATCGCTCCACCAGCAGGACATTCTGCCCCAGAGCCCCTGGATATCGAGAGACGCGCCATCGTGTGTGGCCGCTTACATGACGAGCGGCAATATAGACGAGGAAGCGGGCGTCACGTTGCCCACACAGTGGAAGCTCGAACACGAGCCACCGGCCATTGACCATGAGCGTGCCGCCACGGACCCCAACTGGGCAGAGCTGGATGTCCCAATCCTGAAGAAAGTGCCGATGCTTCACCATCTCAAGTACTACGTTCGCCGCTCGGGTCATATCCTACCGACGACTCACGACTATTGGGTACACCTGGCCAGCGGAGAGAACTTTACACAGACGTCGCTAGGCTACCTCGCGGACGCTGGGCCGCCATTGGTCGTCGAGGCATTCCGCCCAGCGTCGAGGACGGCGCCAATTCCTGAGGGCGGGTTCCCCTACAGCAAGGGTTTCTGGTATCCGACTCTGACCATGACGCTGGATGTGCGTCGGAAGTTACCAGAGGGGGGCGTGAAGTGGCTCAGGCTTAGGGTGACGACCAAGGAGATCCGGAATGGGCGGTACGATGCAGAGGTTATCATGTTTGACAGGCATGGGCAGATTGTTGCATTGAGCAACCACGTGTCAATGGCGATGGACATTGAACGAAACTATGGTGGGAGGGGGGTCAAAATGTAGCAGTACAAATACTTGTGCAAATTCATTACATGTCTACTTGCATCGAGACTTGCACTCTGAAGAGTAAAGAACCAAACGCTTGTGTTACATCCAAGTGCTAACCACGAGGTGTGATGAAACGAGCGAGGAAGAACTCTACTGGCCGCCAATGTTCAAGACGTTGCCAGACTCGTCCACCTCAATCTTGGTTTTCCGGGTGCTCTCCTTGCGGGGGTTCTTGGCGTTGAAGATGCTGGACAGCTCCTCGAGGGTCTTGCCAGCCGTCTCGACGGCGAAGAAGTAGATGACGACAATCTCGACGGCGATCCACGCGCAGTAGACAATGTCTGTAAGGGGTTAGCAAGCAGGTATAGGAGAAAAAGTGGGATCAAACGTACAGAGCTTCCATCCAATCTTGGCCATGCCCTCGCTGATACCGTAGGTGTTGATGACCATGGCAATGTTGAGGAACAGGAAGTTAACACCGGAGCCCTTGGCACGGGTACGGTTCTCCAGACACTCGACCGAGTACAGGGTCTGCAGCGGGGTGAAGCCCCAGGCGAAGAAGATGCCGAAGAGGTAGATGGCGACGATGACGCCGTAGGAGAGGCCCGGGACGTCGGCGCTGTGGGCGGAGAAGGCGGTCAAGAGGATGTAGAAGACGAGGCAGGCGCCCAGAGAGTACATCATCATGGGGCGGCGACCGAGCTTGTCGAGCATGGCGGCACCGGCAATGGCGCCCATCATGGAGAAGATGGGGTTGATGGCGTTGATGAGCAGCTGCGTGTTGGTGTTGGTGATGCCGGCGGTCTCGATCATTTGGGGCTGTCTCTTGTCAGCCATCTGCCAGAAGCCAGCACCAGTGTTCCCTCAACTTACCATGAAGTAGCTGACGACGTTGTTGCCGCTCCACTGGCCGAAGAAGGACATCATAATGACCATGTACGTGCGATCTGCAAAGACGTGTCAGCTTGCGAGTGCACATAGCAAAGAGAGTGTGTAGCAAACATACACCTGGCACCGGGGGTGTTGAAGAGCTCCCTGAAGTCCCACCAGGGGTTCTCGTCGCGGTACATGTTGCGCTGCTCGATAATCTCGTGGTACTGCAGCTGGACGAGGGCGTGGTTGACGTTGCCGTCGCCGTGGTACTTGGCCAGGATCTGCAGGGCCTCCTCGGTGCGGTCCTTGGCGATGAGCCAGCGAGGCGACTCGGGGAAGAACATGACGACGAGCATGACGACGGCCGGCATGCCGCACTGCACGAGGGTGGGAACCCTCCATGCCCACGAGTTGTCAAAGTGCAGGTTTGTTCCGTAGGTAGTCCAGCCAGCACTGTGAGCCAATGTTAGAAGGGGAGAAGCTTTGCGGTTCGTGGGTAAGTAATCGCTTACAGGATGTTTCCGAGCCACCACCTGCACAAGGTTAGTCGGCTGGTCATTCTCTGGTATGCAAAGTCGACTTACAAGTTGTTGTACATGCCACTCATGAGGCCACGGTAGGCAGGGTGGGACAGCTCGACGGCATAGGCGGGTGCGGCAGCCGAAGCGATGGAGGCGCCAAAGCCCAGGATGAAGCGACCTCCGATGAACCATGGGAGAGTCTCCGCAGGAGCCTGGACGGCGGTACCGATGCAGACGATGAGGCAGCCGATGAAGATACACCAGCGACGACCGAAACCATCAGCGAGAATGCCCATGAAGGGGAACTAGAGTAGGGAGGTCAGACACAGGGTCATCTTCTTCTAAAGGGGCGCTTGCACGTACAGCCGCGATCTGACCAAGGTTGTAGGTGATGAAGACGATGCCAGTGCTCGAACCAGCGCCCGAAAGGCCAAAGTGGCGCTGGTAGGGCTCCATGGCGTTGATGGCACCCATGAGGGAGGAGTCAAAGCCGTTCATGGTGGACACGAGGTAACTCATGCCCATGATGCACCACAGCCTCAACATGCCAGGGGAGACGAGGCTGGGCTTGGACTCGGCAATGGCCGCCTCGAGGGCCACCGAGGCGGCGGCAACCTCGCGCGTCTCTAGTGCGCCGCCCGTGGGCTTCTCGTCGAAGGAGGCACGAGGGGGCTCCTCGCCCTTGTCCGTCGGGTAGGTGGACATGATGGCGGTTGTCTGTCTGGTACGAGCGGGGGAGAGAACCAGTTGAGCACAGGTCAAGGAGGATGCGAGTGAGGACCAGGACTTGCTCGTGTCCCATCAGGCAGGAGGAAGGGGGATGGTCCCGGATGTTATATGGTTTTGACCCATGGCTCGCGTGTACCCCGGTGGCCACATGGGAACTTTGGGAGTCTGGGACAACCCCGTTTCGGGCCCCATTGCCCCAGGCGGGCGAGGACTAGCCCGCGACACACGCACATGCGCTCCATTGTGAGAGGAGGAGTGCCTGCTCAAAGCTCGAGCGGAGGTATAACACCCCGGCTCGGGCTACCGACGTAGTAGGCCTGATTCCTGAAGCGAGTGCCCGTCAGATGAGCACCCCGACACCTGGGCTGGAGGCGGGCGGCGGCGGTGATTGGGGCGGAAAAGCGAACCACATGGTGCGTCGAGTTTGCCGGGTGGCTTGAGGCGCTTGTCCAAGGAGGAATCCGGCTCGGGGTGCGAATCGGGCAATCATGTCCAGTCTTTTTGCTTTCTCCCCATGTCCCCGCATACCCACCCCCAGACGCCAAGGGGTCGAGGTCTCCCTTGTTATGCGACGCGGCCAAGTGCGGTGGGCGCACTAACAGAATCCACTGCCGCGATCGTTGAGGGCCTGTGGGGGGTCCGCAGGCTGCACTTGGCAATAGGGCCGTTGTCTAGGGACTGGAGGGTCGGCTCGAGTCAGGTGGTTGGCTTCTTGGCTCGTCTTACGGTCTTGCACGTCTTGGACAACGGAAATCTCGCCAAGAGCGGCACCCAGATGCCGTGGCTTGAGGGCGTTTGAGCCTCACGACGAGTCGACGACTGCTGAGGTGTGTTCCCCAGGCCGGTTCCCCATCCCCATGGTATCTTTATTTGGGTGCAGGTTGCAGCGACTGTGCTCGAAACGAAGGACCGAGGTGCGTTGGCGTCAAAGCCTATTCCACTACCGTCTGGCAAGGCGTGCGTTCATGTGAATCATGTCCACTGGTTGCCAACACGCACCCGGGAGTAGACAGCCGCGAGTGGCGGCGGAAATCAGACCTAGCACAAGGCCAGTTCGTCCAAGGTGTCCGGTGGAGGCGAGCCAACATCACCTCCGATATCGTGTTGACCTCAACGTTCAATGTTGGCGACAAGAAACCTGTGATCCTTCCAGTGTGGGGCGAGGAAAGTTCCGAATTGACACCTTGGCGATTGTTAGTTATACGTATCATTGCCAGCGCAATCGATCCTGCCGACTGATTCAGTCCACTCGTAGGCCCAGGCCTCAATAGCGTCCTCTGCATTGAGTCGAAGCTCGAGTCCCCACGCAATGTCCATTTTTTCATTGGGGAATTTGGGGTAAAGACGGAGTTGTGTAGTCCGTACAGGTTTTTCTCCATCTTCATGCCTGATTACGGCAATCTCACAAATCGACCTTCCTTTAGACCCCGCTGCTCAGTGCTGGCGCCTGGAGGCCGTCCACACGTTGCGCGAATTCTACTAGTCCTTGGCCATGTCAACATGCTTCCAGATTAATTGTGCCGTGAACCAACAAAGCGTGATGACAGTCCGCCGCGTGCAACATTGCCGGGCTGCATGGTGTACAAACAAGCTTGCATGTTGATGTACACGCGGAGTGCAGAACCAAGCTGCAGACTGGAGGCAGTTCGATTCTTTGAAAGCCTTGCACCGACTCTGGGTGATCAAGTGGGAATTGAAATAAGAAAGTATACTTCGTGAGTGCGAAATCATGTGCGGACAAGTTATATTCATGTCACAATGTAGTCAAGTGACTCGCAGATCTCGTCCTAAGTCCATGCAGGGAAGGCGCAAACCGCCGGTATCGTCCTAACAAACGACTCATAACTCGTGCATCTTCACATACCCTACACCTCATGTCGGGTATAGCGAGCATTAGTGTAATTATCATTGTATGTATCTGGGAAACATGTATAGCTGTTTCATTCTCTGTCCAGACATAATACAAGTGGAAGCTCACTCGCAGCTGGTTCTTCCACGAGGCCCCCCCACGTAGCCGTCGCTGTGGAATTCCCCATATCTTGTCAATAGTCTCCATATATGTCGCCATTCTCGCGGACGCCAGAGTTTCCCGCAGTAGGCCGCTGGGAACAAAGTGGATATCGCCAATGGCGTGCATCGTATTTGAGGAGAACGTAGCTGCAGCTGAATCCAATATCTGACCCGTTTGCCTGTGGAGCCTTGTTGGAGGGCTGCGAACCCGGCCCTTCACTCAGACATGGCAGCTAGTACATCTCCTCAATGTCTTTGGGGGTGATATAGAAGGCGCCACGCTCCTGAAGACGAGGTTGGCCAAGGCTGCCAAGTTTGGCGCGGACGCCTCATCCATCCAGGATCCCATCGCCACCGTTCTCAGACCACCAGAAGGGAATGATGGTGGCCTCTGAATGCAGTCATCCGCCAAGATTGACCCGTTGCCTTTGGATGTCTTTCAAGCAAGGTTGGCTGATACCGGTAGTGTTTTACCGCTCGTGTCGGTCACAAGGTGGGAAATCAAGGTTTGATTGATAAGTACATGTAGACAGACCTGGCATAATGAATAGTGTGACAAAGAGAGCCAGTGGACACACTAAGTTGCCTGCCAGTCTCAAAGGGAGCTCAATGTCAAGGGCAACACTCAATTGGGCCAACATGCTACTGCTCAGAGTGTGCGAGATAGTGCGCATAGACTCCACAAACCTCTGTACTTGACATGGAGCTCGAGATGCTCTGCAGAGTCCAGTGAGATTCTGCTCATTAAAAGCGAGCAGAGTTAACGCAGTCTCTCCAGGTTCTCTGAGGTCTCAGTCGCGCTGACGCATACTCCGCAGCAGTGTTCTCCCAAAACCTTCGGCCAACGTCGCGTTCTGACAAGTTGTTTGTACAGTCATTGTCGACAATAACCCAAGGATTCAAGATCATTCTCAAATTGCCGCCGCGAACTTTATTCAAGCCAGCAGCAGAGGAAATTAAGTAAAAAATTGCCCAACATCATGCTTTAAACCATCGGAGCCATTGGGCTCTCCTCATCCCGCACTTTTGTCCACTTCCCCACGGGGCACGCACTATCCCCCGACCTTTGCCAATCTGGCCCCGGGCTGCTTCAGGACAAATATGGTCATTCAAGGGATACAATTTGAGAATACCATCACAGTCCCGCTTTCGTCCACGGGACGGGCTGCCCTCGATTGCCCACGGGGTGGTGATCGGGTGACCCATCTATTCGTCCTCCACATCCCGACAAGAGGCGGCGAGGGGCTACATTGGTGCTTCAATGAACCACCAAGTCTCTCGCAACCCCATCATTTGAAGAATCTGGGGTTGTGGAGGACTCGGAGAGCCCCAGACCATCCCTTTCCCCAGTATCTATAATCGCGGTCTCGCCCACACGCCTACTTGCGCCATCTTCAAGGCAGCCTCTCTCGGGGACATTCTGGGCTTCTCTACAAATTTTCGCTCAATCTTCTAACCTTCGTCATGGGGAAATGGCGTGATGCTTTCGCGCTCTCGGCGTCTCAAGTCTCGGAAGCCGAGCCACCTGGCACGGCCAAGATCCTAGCGCAGAGGCCGAGGGATGAGTTGAGCGGCGACGCACTTGTCGTCAACCACGACGGCGAGATCATCAAGTTCCCTGCCCCGTCGGCCGATCCTCGAGACCCCCTCAACTTTCCACAATGGCACAAGATGGCTGCTCTGTTCGTGGTCTCCGTCTATGCCTTTGTGGGCAACTTCACCAGCTCCGTCATCGCGCCCGGCTTTCAGATCTGGAATTTTACCTTTCCACACGATCCCCGGTCGGTCTCACAACTGACCTACCTCAGTGCAGTACTTTTTGCTCGCCTTCAGGCCAAGCCATTGCTCACAGATCCAGGTCCATGTACTCTTCCTCGGAGCCGGCAACATCTGGTGGGTACCGTTGTCCAACTGGCTCGGGAGACGGCCTGTTTTGATAGTTGCTACCCTCATCATGACGCTCTGCTCTGTGTGGTGTGCTCTGTCCCCCAACTACGACAGCCTTCTTGCGGCGCGCATCTTCCAAGGTATCGGGGGCGCGGCATCTGACACGGTGGCTCCGGCCCTGGTTGGCGATCTCTTCTTCATCCATCAGCGCGGAAAAGCCATGGTAAGCTGGCCACTCCTACATACACAGATCGGAAGAGACTAGACTAACGCAGAATCAAACAGGCCCTATACACGATCCTTCTTTGTGTCGGTCCCCTCGTCGGAGGAATCGCTGGCGGCTACATTGCCTTTAGACATGGTTGGGCCTATCTCTTTTGGGTCAGCACAGCCTTGTCCGCCTTTTGCTTTGTTGGTGCTCTTGTCTTTGTCCCGGAAACACTCTTTGTGCGGTACACCGTGCCAGAGTCATCCTCCCGGATTTCCTCCACTGCTAAGGGAGCCGAGGAGACCCAGATGGAGCAACAACCCTCGGCCATGACATATAAACCATACAGCTTCGCCGCCACTCTCGGCTTCGGCAAGACCCATGGGAGACTACTTCAACATGTCATGAAGCCTTGGAGGACACTCGCATTGCCTGGTACATGGGTTGTTATGCTCCACTACGCTGGTTTGGTCGGGGGCATTGTGACGATTACCACCGTCGGCCCGCAGATCCTAGCCATGCCGCCTTACCTATGGAAGGAGAATGTGGGCTTGATCAACCTTGGTGGAATCATTGGTGCCGCTCTGGGCTATGCCTACACCTTTGTACTATCCGACTGGCTTCTCAAGCGCCGTGCCAAGTCCGCCCGGAACGGGATGGCGGAGGCCGAAGATCGTCTACCGAGTCTGTTCTTCCCACTCGGGGTGGCCACCTCTGGGCTGCTCGTCTTTGGCTTCTGTGCGCAGTACCCCGGACCGGATCGATGGGTCGGCTTGGGGGCCGCTTTTGCAATGGTGGCCTTTGGTCTGATGCAGATTCCCTCGGTGGGATTCAATTATGTGAGTTGGGCCCAACATGAAGTCGAACACAGGGGACATGAACTAGCACTGACATTTCCCGCAGCTGATCGACTCATATGGAGCCCTCGCTGCCGATGCCTTCACCATGGTCACAATTCTGCGCGCTATCATCTCCTTTGCCTGGACCTTTTTTGCCGTCGAATGGGTGCAGTCACGCGGGGCTGCCGAACCCTTTGGCATCTTTGGGATGCTCATGGGGCTCTTCTCTTTGACTACTGTTCCACTCTGGGTTTACGGAAAGAGGATGAGAATTGCGACTGCCTCCAAGGTTGAGCGCTGGAACTGATCATGGGGTGACTTTGGGCGCTGTTTGATGCTGCGTCAACGTGGTGCAACTGGCCTTGCGTTCGTGGGAGAGATGTGGCTTTTCGTCTTCGATGGATTGGTGCCGGGCTCTCTTGTTAATGATGGAAACGCCGGTTCAAGCAGCTTCTTCATGTATCAAACGCTATCTGAATCTAGTTTATCCAGAAGTAATGTTCATGGGGCCTTCCCGCGTGCTTTCACCCTCACAATGAAATCAGTTGGTTTAACGAACCAAAGATTCTGCGTGCTCCACGTTGCTTCCTGCCTCGCCGCTGAGGGACTGAGCTCAAAGTCAAAGTCGCGAACGATTCTAGGAATCACCTTTGTGATCTCTAACATGGAAATATGGCGGCCAATGCAGGTCCGTGAACCAAGGCCAAACTACACGAATCAGCATTTACTCATTTCGTGTGCTTGAGAAAGGGTAACCTACCGGCATCCAATGTTGATTCATGCGGCTTAGCTCCTCTGTATCTTTTGTGAGCCATCTCTCCGGCCGGAACTGGTCGGCATCTTGTCCAAAGTAAGCTGGGTTCCGGTGCTCAACCCACGTATTGATGCCAACAATGGCGCCTTTTGGAAAATGCCGGCCTGCAATCTCTATGCCATCGCGAGGCACCACGCGTTCGAGCGGCAAGCCCGTGGCTGGATGCATGCGAAGGGCTTCTTTGATCGTGGCCTGGAGGTAGGTCATTTGCTGCGTCTCCTTGAAGCTTGGGTAATTCGACAACTGGCCCCGTGACTGAAACTCGTCAATTTCCGCGCGCAAACTTTGCAGGCAGGTTGGGTTCTTAAGTAAATAGTACAGGATGGCGGACAATGAAATGGCTGTGGTGTCTGACCCGGCGACAATGTTGGAGACGCATGATGCAACAATGTGCTGATGGCTGAACTTTTCCGGATTCTCTGCATGCTTAGCCAGAAATTTGGACAAGAATGGCTCTGTTCGGGCTTCATCTGTATCGCCTGTCGCTTCCTTCTCGAGCATGGCATCTGCACCGGCACGGTGATGGGCTATCTGCTCGAGTGTGAAGTTGAGGAGATACCCCCTGCCGGACCCCTTACTCCCTGCCCAGAGGTTCCGGATTTTGTAGAGCAACGGGTGCAGCGAAGGCAGCAACCCGACGAGTGTGGCGTAGTACAAATGTCCATCTAGAGCTTGGATCAGAGAGCCAACGTCTTCGCCACGATCCAAGAACCCAAATCGGTTTCCGAAGGTGATAAGGCCGATGACATCAAAGGCGTAGCACTGAAACCAGTGTCGCATATCAACTGGTTCCCCGCGTTCTGCAACTTCCTGTAGACGTTGGCAGAACAAGGTTCCGCACTCATCGACGAATGGCTCGTAGCTGACGAGAGCCGTCATGGAGTATGTCGACTGGAATAAGCTGCGGCCGTGGGCGTGCCGTTTGATGTCCTGGTCTGGGAACAGCGACCACGACCCAGGAGTAGCCCAGCTGGAGTACCAAGTAGATTTCGCAAACTGTGTTCCATGGCCGTAAATGGTCTTTGCCGCCGACGGCTCGCAGATGCTGTAGCGATTGGGTCCATAGCGGACGATGGGTCCTACGAGGAAGGTCAGCAAACCCCATTACCCCTGGCGCCACTGGGACACCACAATACCATAGGTCTGGTGTAGCTTCTGGTTTTCCTGCTCGAAGCTGCCACGGGAAAGCTGACGGAGATACCAAACATCGGAGAACCTGGCCAGCCAGGGACCTCGCACGTGGCGAAGGGGGTTCACGATGGGTTTCAGGAGAACAACGACGACGACAAGCACGAGAGCCGCCAGCACATGATGAGGTGAAATAACCATGGTCAACTATTCAGCAGCCTCTCTTAAATATGTAATAACGTGGTTTGCAAAGAGTCCAGCCTCGAGTGTCATCACGGCTGTATATATATACATAGAATCACGCTCAAGCGAGCATCCAAGAGGCTTCCCCAGACTCCAAACCAGTCACGGGCCTCCGATTACTAGCAAATACCCCGCTCAACACGACGGAAACACCTCCACACCCGCTGCCCGACACCCGGTGGCTCCGGTCGGTTATGCGCGGGCGGCGGGGTATAGACTGAAGTGTCGACGCTTTGCTCAAGATCGGTAGTATTAGTCGGCATATGGTCATCTTGGGGAGACATGTCCTGATTGCTCGCTGGGGACGGTGCACGTCGAATTGATTGGGGGAGCGGTTGTAAAATGAGATCATGAAGGGTAACAGTATAATGTAATTCGTCAATATAATAGTTGAGAGTCTTGAGACATTGACGTGTTTCTCTCCGACATCAGGTTGCAGAATGCGCATTGCTAACACCGTATGTGGACTACATGAACAAACCAACTTGAAAACACCAGCCAGCCATGGACTATGATCTCTGTGTCCTCCAATACCACAAAACAGAGTAGCCTATCAATCCACTACCTCCAATGAGAGCAGACAGAGTTAAGGCCAACCCAGTGACGATTCCTTGTTCAAAAAAACCAAGAGGCACCGCTTTGCCGGGGCGTTTTGGATCAGGGAGCTGCGCGGTTGCTTCGGCCGCAAACTTGTCGAGATCCTGAACAGAGTCGCGGCCGAAATGAAAGGCGTCTATACGCTCATTGTTCTTGGCGGAGACGATAAACTGAGGCCGTGGCACCGTGAACATGTTTTGGGTATATAGGGTAAGCGAAGCATCACAAGGGGGGTTCCCATTGGGGGCCATCGGACCGTCTTCAAAATCTCAGCTTCAAAACAAACCGATCTTTGGAAATTGAACGTACATAAGAGCTTCGTGGGCAGCTGATTCGCAAAGTGCAGCTCAGACTTGGTGAACTGGCAGAAGTACTTCGCCATGGCTGGAGTGCAAAAGGCATAGGCGGCTGCCAAAGGTCCGATTCTAGTTTCGTGGTCAGCGCATCACGTAGGGCCACCCAAGCTTTACTTCTATAACCACTTACTGGTTAGATATCTCAATGGCATCGTCCATGCTTTTGACCGCCAGAATTCTCAATGACGCTTGGGTGACCTTTGGTCTCGCCAAGATGGATTGCCTATAAGCGTCAGCTGGAGCCACCTTGTTGAAGAGTTCGGGATGGCTGACCTATCTCCGACATCTATAATCGTCCCATTCTGGCCCAACGAGATGATGTTAGATCCTTCTTTTTCGCTCTCAGTCGCTACATTGGAGCGTGTGCCTCTCGTGGGTTTGCTCGGGGACGTGTCTTTCGAACTGATATGCACATGCTGCTGGACCACAGCGGTCAGGAACTGTGGCTTGATCCACTCATTGACGAGAACAACATCAGGAGCGTAGGGCGAGTTCCCTCCTTGGCTGAAGCGAGCGATGGCGATGGCCTTTGCCGCTGCGTCAATGTCTGCATCTCTTTCCACGAATGCCACCACAGGCGTCATTGGTGCAGACACAAGGTGGTGACTCGGGCATGTCTCCAGAGTGCCATTCTGTATAACGCGGATGTGTCGATGGCCAATGTCGGCGTCCGTTGCGGGTTTGGATGTGAATGTGAAGATGTCGCTGTCCAGAGCTCGGCCAATGATCTCCAAAACAACCCCTGGTGTCCTTCGTAACGAGTTCTCGTACTGCGATCACATGTCAGTTCTTTTCTTTTTCCACTTCTCGGGGTAGTCTCATCTCTCACCTGGACAATTGCGCAATTTCCAGCCGCGAGGGCTGGTGCGAGGGCAGCCAGAAGACTGTGAGTAAACGAATGGGAAGACGGTTCGATCACCACAATGCCAACTGGCTCCCTTGCTTCTGGAGAGTCCACGCCATGTGCAAGGGCGTATTCATCGGCAAGGACTTTCTTGGGCTCAATCGAGGCGTGGGCGTCGGCTACACAGCGAAGAGCGAGACAAAACTCGACCTTGACACTGACTGGCGTTGAACCGGCGTCCTCGCTCATGACATTTTGAATCCTCGCAGCATTTTCGACAAGGGCCTGATGAAGCTTCTTGAGCTGCGCCAGCTTGTAATAGGGGTTCTGCGCAATACCGTCGATCGCTGACGATCGAATGCTGGCGAATGGCCTCGACTGTCGCTCCATGGTTCGTAAAACTGACAATGCGCTTGATTCTGGTCGGGCGCATATCAAGAAGAACAGTCAAGGCCATTCTTGACTTTTCTGTCCTCAAATCGGCCGATGCCACCCGAGGGTAGGGAGTACCGCGAAAGGTGATGCTGCCTCCACATCCCGATCAAAGCAAGCACTCCGAGTGCATGCGGCCCAGCAAACCCCCGTTTCGGGAATCCGCCTTTTTTAGACCATTCATGAAGACGATAGTTATGTCAAAGCGATTCGAGAGAGGCAGTATCATCGTGTTATTCTCCTTCTACTCACTCTAGTCACCATGGCCACCCAAACAGCAACCGCAACGGTGACAATTCCAGAGCGCACCATCAACACGATATTGAGCGATTATGAGCTACATCACTCGCAGACGCAGGATGCCCCCCATGAGGCTCTCAACAACAACCGCAGTCCCGGCTCTCAGTCGACTCGGGCATGGGACACAACCCATCGCAACGTGCCCGCCTACAGGCCGGTGAACAGTGACAGGGATCTGTCGGACGTGAGAGTCTATCTGAACAACGGCGAGCGGGCTTTTGTGACAATTATGTTTACGGGCTTGTTCATCAACGCTGTGAGTCTTCAAACTTTCCTTGCGAAATGGGGGGGGCAACTTTATAGTACGCCAGGAGAGCTAAGCTAACCCATCAACGCAGAGCGCGGCCAAGCTGTGGCGAGGAACATTTGGCAAACTGAACGGGAACATCTTCAGATACGCAGTCGGAGGAGAATATTGATATGACATTCAAATAGATGACAGGCTTATCTTTTCCAATGTAGTCAATGTGTATTAAGCCCGCGAATACAACCAGCTTCTATTCGGATGGCTTGACACCGCTCATGGTACCATAATCCTCCGTCAGAACCTTGCCATCCACCTCCAGTGGCTTCGACGGCTGAAGAACGTAAAGCATACGCGCCCATTCCGTCTCGCTTGTGTTCCTCCAGGCATGCATCGTGGCCCTCTGCACACAGATATCGCCCCGCTTCATCAGACGCGTCTCCCCGGAATCCAGAATCAGCTCGACCTCGCCCTCCAGGACAACCCCATAGTCCAGGCTCATGGTCCGATGCATGGGGGAGGTGTGACTCGGGCACATGTCCACGTAGCGGAGGACAGTCCCATTACCGACCGTAAGGCCGGGTGGGCTTTGCAAGAATTGTTGGTACTTGTTCAAATCTGCCGACGCCTGCAAGTCGACAGGAAACTCGGAAGTGACATAGCATTGGGCAAAGGCAGCGTCCTTGTTGGGGAGTTCGTAGAAGGGCGCGTCAGATGGCACAGAGTTGTCAACGACGGCTTTGCCACTCTGGTCGTGAGCCGTAATGAATCGCTTTGGGCAGCGGAGCTTGCCTTGGAGAGACATGGTGATGGTGTGCAGCAGGGGTCTGGTACTGGTGGAAGGGTTGGTTGATGGAGGGCCCGACGTGTACAATTAGTTTCACAGCACGGATTCGTGAGAGGAAATGTTGAAGAACACGTGAATTACGTGATGTACCCCTTCAGACTTCCCGGCATGTGGATGGACGACGACTGGGTGCGTGGCGTACATACACCCGATGTGGATGTTCGGGACTGGACCGCACTTGGGCACCGAGTCCCCGAGTTCCGAGTTCTGACACCCCCGGACGTCCCTTGGGAGGGTGGCCCAACCGATCCGACGCTTACACCCTTGGCCGTGGCCTGAGATTGAATATCTTGTGTTTTGGAGAAGTCGAACATAATTTCTGTTTAGGGTACGGGCACACTCCATTCATTGATCACGAATACACGCAAAGATGTCTCCTGACTACGCACACCACTTCTCAGAGCGCAATATCCCCTTTGGGATTGCTTCATCCGCCAGCCACTCCCAGCCCCAAGCGGTGACAAGGCTGGGGAACGACGTTATTTTCTTGCAAGACCTCTTTGAAGCTGGGCTTTTTAGTCATGTCAAGGACCTACCCAGTGGCGTTTTCGGCAACAGCACTCTGAACGAATATGCCGCCTTGTCGAAGAATATCCACGACAACGTTCGAGATGTCCTAAAAGCGAACCTTAAGCCCGAGGGAGTCGAGAGTCTCCCGAACGCATGCAGAGAAGATGTGCACAATGTCACGATGCATATGCCAGTTGAAGTGAGGGATTTCACTGGTATGTTGCTGATCCCGCTTGCCTGTCTCTGTTCTCAACAAGATATCTGACCGCGAAACGCAGATTTCTCCTGTTCTTTATTCCACGTGGAGAATGCCGGTCGTATCATCAACGGTAGCAAAGGCGCACCGCCAAGCTTTGCGCATTTTCCGTTGGGGTACCAAGGACGGACTGCCAGTATCATCCTCAGCGGAGAGGAAGTCGAAAGACCGCTTGGACACTTTAGAGCTCCTGCTTCTGCCAATACGGGAAACACTTCTGTGACTTTTGGCCCGTCTCAGCGCGTGGACTACGAGGTTGAACTGGCGGCAGTCATTGGGCGACCGCTCCTAATGCGTCAAAGATTGAGGCCAGCAGATGCGGAGGAGCATATCTTTGGATATATTCTTATGAATGATTGGTCTGGTGAGTACGCCGCTTCCAGGGGAAGTGGAAGATTATTGACTCACTACCCAGCTCGTGATATACAAGCTTTTGAAATGCCTCCCCTAGGGCCTTTCAATGGAAAGTCCTTGGGCACGTCTGTCTCACCATGGATCATTACCACAGAAGCTCTGCAGGTTTTCCAAGTATCTGCACCCCCCCAGTCGATTACCTCATCTTCTCCCCTGTATGAGCCGAGTCGGACCACGTACGACATCACCCTCGAGGTCGAGATCTGCACTGGCGACACTGCGACGAAGATGGGGTCGTGCCCAGTGCAATCGCTGTTCTGGACTCCACGACAGATGATTTCCCACTCTGTGAGCAGCGGCAGCGCCCTACGAGCCGGCGACTTGTTGGCAACTGGGACCATCAGTGGGGAATCAGCTGGCACGTATGGCTGTTTGCTTGAAGCCACAGAAGGTGGCTCGGCGGCCGCGAAGCTTCAAGACGGATCGGAACGAAGATTTCTACAAGATGGAGACACGGTGCGAATCGTTGGAGTTGCTGGAGGTGCAGACTCTGGAGTAGGCTTCGGCGAGTGCGTGGGCAAACTGGTCCCAAGCCGGCCCTTGCAGAGCTCATAGATAGAGTGGCAAGATAGAGTAGCAGAATGGTTGGTTCAATGCTCCTACCAATGCAGACATTTCAAACCAGCCTCGCTTTGAGTCGGAATGTGCGTGTCAATCACTGTCTGACAACTCACATGCATCTTGGTTGTCAATCAAGCTCTCAACCCAAATTTGATCTGATGAGAAGCCAGAATCAGTCTGCGTCAGTTCTGAGTGCTTATCCATTACATGTTTACACGACTATCAAGACTTTTCATTCTGCGGGAAGGACTCAATAGTTCACGGGACACGATAGTTGACAAACTTGAAACGTGGGTTGCTCTCAAAGTACAAGATAGCTATGCTAAGACTATTCGATCCTGCGTGCTTGGGCCAAGTCATCGATACCCTGTCCTTCCTCGACCCGGACATCGACAATGTCATAAACCGGAATCTCTGCAAATCCGCTCGCGATATGATGCAGTGTAGGCAAAGTCTCCCAGTCATTCTCGGAGAATGACATGGAGGCCTTGGTTCCCTTGAGCGTCTTCTCGATGGATGTCGGTACCCTAGATTCCTCTGCATCAATGACCACAGCGTACTCAGCATCGCAAGCGCCAGGAACGCCAACCGACGGAACTGATCTGTAGGTGAGAATGTTGTTGCCTCCAGATGCATTTGCCTCCTTGATAGGGCCGTTGGAGCTGTTGGTATCCTCACCAGGCGCCGCGTGATGGCCATTGGTTCGTCCCTCAGCAGCTGGCAAACCTTGGAGACCTGTCATCTTGATATCGACAAACTTACTTCCCCTCCAACTGCAGACGATCCGGCGCGAGTCCAAGTCCTCGGTGACAGCAATGTCACAGAACAACTTTGGCATGCCCAGCTCAGCCCTGCCGGTGATGATGGCGTCCGGCGAGTTCTCCAACAGGACTGGTAGAAACGTGCCGAGCTCGTGTGTGCCATCCTTCTTCTGGTACTGGACGCCATGGATCCATATACCAAAGAAATGGTATCCGCCGCCTCCCAGCCACTTCATCCCGGCGAGTTGGGTACACTTGAAGCTTGCCTCGGCCACCGTGCCCGGGCTGACGAAACTGAAGGCTTCCGTGGGAAACAGGGTTCTCAAGAGTGTAGCCGATGTCTTGAACTTGACAGTGTATGTCGTGAATCTCGAGCCTTGGGCGGATATTTGCCGACCATAGTGGTCCTGACGGGGACTTGGACAAGGTCCCCACGCGGTGGGTGAACGCCAACGAATCGCGCCATTGCGTGACCAAAGGTGTTTCTTCAGTGCTTGGGTTGCGTTGTGCCATTCGTCGTGCCCAAAGTTATAGTTGGTGAACTCCATGACTGCGGCAAGGATTAGCAGGAACTCGGTACTTACAAGACACTGGGGATCCAAGCATTGTCGAAACTCACTGTTAAACTTGCTACGAAGAGCATCGTCAAGATCGGCACCGGCAAGTCGAGTAAAGTGCTGAATCTTGTGGGCTCTTTCGTCTCTCAGTTGCGCGTATAGTGCCAACCTGTCAGGGATCTCATGTCGGGGCGTGTCGACTGGGAGCAGTGCACAGAGTGCGGCTGCATCTTCGATAGCAATGCCACCTTTGATCGATCAGCAAATGTTCAGATTGTTGGGGGGGGGGGGGGAATAGAAATACCTCCTTGTCCTTGATCTAGATGAAGTGTCAGTAAAACCGTCGAAGCGCACGCATGTTCGTTTCACTCACGTGGCAAAAAGGGGTGTGCGGCGTCGCCAAGGAGAACCAGACGTTCGTTGAACCATCTGGGGATCCTTTCCATGTCCAACAAAGTCCAAACCTTGAGCGAGGCTTCATCCACCATACCCAGAAGAGCTTTGACAGTAGGACCGAAGCTCTCAAAGATTTCAATGAGATTTGTCTTGCTGCCAGTTCGGTTCCAGCCTGTACAGAGTCAGCAAGCGAGCACGTTTTATGTCTTGAGATGGTTGTCTGTGTTTACCCTCTTCCTTCGCGGCCGAAAGACTGCTAGGGTGGATCGCAACAAAGTTCATCAGAGTGTTGTCTGAACACGGGTACATGATGATCCGCCGATCGTTTCCGATCCACATAGTCATGTAGCCGTCTCGCTTTACGACGTTCTTGAGGTTCTGGCTCTCCAAGATCTGGTCTCTCGGAATCATGAACCTGAAAGCACTCTTGCCCGAGCCGAAGGGTTTGATTTCATCTCCAGCGACCAACTTTCGGGTTACAGACTGATTCACGCGTTAGAGGCTTTGATTCGTGCTGAACGACTCTCACCATGACTTACGCTGACTCCGTCGGCACCAATCACTAGATCTCCTTGCATCCGAGTGCCGTCTTCGAGCGTGACAGTGGCATTCGCACAATCGACGTCCACTACTCGACTTGATTTGTGGAGAACAGCAGGCGTGCCGCTGGCCGCTGTACTAGTTGCCTGCTTCTTGAGCTCTTCATGCAGACCAACTCGATGAGCCAGTACCCAGGGCTATAGATTCAGGAAATGGTTAGGTTCATGTTACTCTAGACTCGATAGAGCTGATGCTTACGTGCTGCCAGATCGAGTTTGGCTTTCTCATGTCCAGATCAAATTTCAAGTGCTCATCAGGTCCGTACTCGGTGATCTTGTTATTTTTAGCATATAAATTCTGGAATGAGGAGGATTATACGTACACCTAGGACAGGGTTCGCGCCAAAGGCCTCTGGGAATACCCCGAATCTTCGAAGGATGCCATGGCAGTTGGGCGCAATGTGTATAGCCGCGCCGGTCTCTGTCGCAAGACCCGTTCTTTCGAAAAGCTTCTTGTGTAAGCTGGTACGCCATTATCGAAATTTCTAACTTACAGTGACTGTATGTCCTTGTTGGCGCAAGCCCAAAGCAGCCGTCAGACCGCCGATACCTGTTTCTGTCAGCGCCGTCTTCCTATGTACATATTGGCAGTGCGCGACTCACCCGCTCCCACAATCAAGATGTTCAAAGCGTCACTTTTGAATTTGGTCTCCATTGGAACGGTTTTTAGGGCACGACGGCAGGTGTTCGGGTTGAGACGGGCAGCGAATTGAAGTCGAACAACTTATAAGCAACACAACGAGCCTGTCTTCTCTGGTTCTTAGATTTTAATTGAAATCCGTACTCATCACAACGCCGACCTCAATTATTCCCATGACATCTCCAGAGGACAACGGACGGGGTGCACCCTCCACGTCGGTCCGAGCAACGTCCTAGTTGTATCCCGCATCCATCTCCACATCCCGATGCGATGTCCAAAGTCCACAGCGATACCGGCAGTAGCAGGAGCTGAAGAAGAGCTTGAAGGAGTTCATATTTCGATTGATGAATACCAAATCACCGCGTCAAAACTCAGAAATCACATATCCGCCGCTGTCATTGCAAATTGAACAATGCCGAATCCCACCAAGGACCTTCACACGGTGGATGACACCTCGTTCCCCTACATTGTCGAGCAGAATGCCACCATTCGCTTGGTTCACAGTAATGGACTCGTGAGATGCAACGTCTATCGTCCCAAGGGCGTGGATCGCGTCCCTGTGTTGGTCACATACGGACCTTATGGAAAGGACATTCACTACAAAGAGTAAGCTGCCTTGTGCTCGACGGGTCTGACTACTTCTTAACATCTTCTTCAGCTTCCATCCCAAGTCATTCTCTGAGGTGAATCCTAACCACAAGTCTGCACACTCAGCATGGGAAACCCCCGATCCGGCATTCTGGACCGGCCACGGATATGCCGTCGTGCGTGCCGATGAAGTTGGCACTGGGCAGTCCCCCGGCACGCTCGACACCATGTCGCGAATGACGAGCGAGGCTTTCTGCGAAGTTGTGGAGTGGGCGTCCGAGCAAGCCTGGAGCAGCGGGAAAGTCGGTCTTCTCGGCATCTCGTACTATGCAGGAAGCCAGTGGCGTGTCGCAGCCAGGAAGCCCAAGGGCCTCGCCGCCATTGTGCCCTGGGAAGGCATGTCCGACTACTACCGTGACAGGTGCCGTCATGGCGGCATTTCGTCCAACAGTTTTATCAAATTCTGGTGGAACAGACAGGTGGTCACGAACCAATACGGCAGGCCAGGAAGAAGCGCCTCCTCCTGGGGACCGGACACAATCGAAGGCGACCTGCCAGAGGAGGAGCTTGTTGCCAACAGAAACGATCAGACCATTGACAACCAAGCGCACCGATTCAGGGACGAAGAATACTATTCTTCCAAGGAATACGACATGGGCGACATTGAAGTGCCCCTCCTGTCTGTGGGCAACTGGGGCGGCATTCTGCTTCACCTGCGAGGAAACATTGAGGGATACATCCACGCTGGCAGCCAACACAAGTTTCTTCGCATGATTGTTGGAAGACATGATCTTCCATTCTACTATGACGAAGAAGTCTCTGTGCAGAAGAGCTTCCTGGATGCATTCCTCAAGGGAGAGGACAAAGATGGCTGGACATCGGGTCAAATGCCACCTGTCAGCCTCGTGCTGCGGAAAGGCAACCTGGGGTTCAACAACCCCCAAAAGGAGAAGGAGTTTCCTCGACGCGATGAAACTGAATGGCCCATAGCGCGCACGCAGTACACTAAACTGTACTTGACGCCCGATCTGAAGCTGCAGGACAAGGCGGGGGTGACGAATCGGCACAAGCTCTCGTACAAAGCACTGGGCACATTGGAAAACCCGCAGTGTCTTCAGTTCACCACTGAATCTTTTGATCGTGAGACGGAGATCACTGGACACATCACGGCGCATTTGAACGTCTCCGTGACCCCCGACGCCGGCGGACCCACGCCTAGCGACATTGACGTCTTTGTCACGCTCCGCCATCTGGATGCAGAGGGATCTGAAATCTTCTATACAGGCACTGCTGGAGATCCTGTACCATTGACCAAAGGCTGGCTGAGGGTGTCCATGCGTGCGGTGAACACCGCGCACCCGAAGCACAGAGAGTGGTTGCCGCATCGAGACTATACAAGTGCGGACGTTCTCCCGGTCATCCAAGGAGAGATGTATGCAATCGATGTCGAGGTTTGGCCCACTAATGTTATTGTTGGTGTGGGTGGCAAGCTGGTCTTTGAGATCTCGTCCGGTGACACTCAAGGATCAGGCATCTTTGGCCACAATGATCCCGTTGACAGGTATGTCCGCATTGCGAATGATGATTGACAAGGAAGCTGATGCAGAAACGAATAGGTCTCGTGAGAAATTCCAAGGAGTTAACCATTTGCATTTCGGGCCAGGCATCGAATCGTTCATCACCTTGCCAATCATTCCGAGCAAAAGCGAATAGGGGTAACTAAACAAAAGAGGGCTTTGGTAGCTAGAATGTTTGCAAGTGGATTTATGATAAATATCGGTTACCTTTCTGAGCATGGTTAAAAGAGGCAGTATGGTGTTTCTCATCACTACTACAGGCATGCATCAACCGACGTTTATGGCACTTTGTACCAGCCTGTGAGGGCGACTCTCCAGGTTAACGAGTAATAAACCCGAGTTTTAAACCAACCTCACCCGCGTTTATTAACAGGCCTTCGCCGTCGTCGCGTTTTCGATACTCCTTTGGGCTTGGCCGCGCCTTGCTGGTTGTTGATCTTAGCTCCCCTCCTCGTAGACTTCGTATCCTCGGCAGACGAAGGAGGCCTCGACGGTTCTGCAGGCCTCGGGCATGACCTTGAGCGCAATTCTTGTTGCGCGTTGTCGGGCGCGGGAGCCATCTCAGAAGTATTTTGGTACTTTGTAAATCGTGTGCTGCGACGAGGCCCTTGAGACGTTGCCCCAGAGTCATCCACCGACCGCAGCGAGCGCCTGACACCAACATTGGATTGTGAACCGCCAACTGGGCCTTGGTCTGTCACAACGCCGGGGTCCGGAACCACTGTGTCTTTCGCCAAAATGCCTTCGTTGCTGCTTGAATGCCAGTCCAGCTCCTTGTGAAGTTTTTGCCTTTTAGACTTTTGTTTGGTCAAATGATCCATGTCGGGAGTGAGGCTCCTTTTCGTGCTCTTGGCAGCGCTAGACCCTGCCTCAATTACCTTCGACTGTGCCATCTCCTCCTCGATCAAGAAAATTTGCTCCAGAGTCCACTGCAGAAGCGCGCCTTGTTGGGCAGCATCTTTCTTCGCATTAACGTAACCGAACGTGCCTCGAACAAAGTCCCTGATGAGACCGTTCCGCCTTTTGACCCGCTGGAAATGGTCTCTCGCCGCTTCTGTCTTAGCCATGGCAGCTCTTAACATTGATATGCGCCTCGCCTCGGGAATGTTCAAGCGTTGTGGATCTTCCTACGTCAGCGTTTGCACCTTGCTGGCTTCCGCTTCCGCCCTCTGGACGGCCTGCCAGGCCTGGTCATGCTCTGCCTGCCGTTGCATCGCGCATGCATCAGTCCTTACGAATTCCTTTGTTTCATGGGGCTTCAACACATTCAAGTCCACAAGCTCCTGCCATGCTTTGTCATGGTCTGGCTCTAGGCGCTCGATGGATCGAGTATGCCGATCCAACCACCAGCACTCAAAATTGAGATACTCAATCCATGTCGTCATCTTGTCTTGCTGCATGGGGTCTTCGTTCAGCTGGAGCTAGTTTGGTAGTATTGAGATAAGAGCAAATTGATGGCGCAAAGTAGCATACGGGAAACAACGAGACAAGTTGAATAGCAACAGCAGCGATTGAACGAACATAAACAAGCCGGTCCAATTCAATCCCCTCAAACGAGGTAATGTGACCTATTTGGGTGGGGAGAAGGAATGTCTGTCGGTTCTGCCCGTATTAAAGTTTCATGGCCGCATGAGCGGTCGGCGGCAACGTAAACAGTCACCTTCAGGATCACAGCCACAGGAGACCTATAATAATGAGAGACTCAGAAGCTTAGCACTGTTGGTTTCTTCTCCTTCCTCCTTTCGGCGATGGCCTGAAAGAAGTCCCTGAAGTTGGCCGGGCCGCGTTTTGAGTGTTTCGTAAAGGCGCTTGGGAACGAAGCGACCAGCGGGAATTTAATGTGTACATGTATGTCAGTGCACAGATCCGATTTTGAATAAAAGAACACAAATAAGCTTCATCAACGCCTTAATTCCTTGCTGCTGTGAGAACGACGACGTGTCAACTTGCAACTTGAAGCAATTGGGATGCCTACAGCCTCAATCCGAACCGCCGAGACTCACCCAACATGAACTCAAGACGGCCGTCATTGACTCGGCTTCCGTCTTTCAATGAATAAGCACTGACTTCTCACGCTCTGCATGCACTCAATGAGGCCTCGGCTCCTAGGCGTCATGATTAGGGAATTCACGAAGAGGTTACTATCGTCTCTGACTGTTTCGAATGTATTAACACCCTGTCGGTCAACACCCACTGATCCTTTAGCGATAGTAGAAAACGTAGGCGATTCATGATAAACTATTGATACATAGTGCATGTTTCCTAGTGTATCTTTGTATGAACAGAAATGTATAGAAATAGGGATGAGAGGATACAGTCTTGTTCTCCATTGCCTGTAGACAGTCCCAGTGCTCAACAATACAAGTTCCCTCTGTCTTATAAACATCCATTACATTCATTGAGGATCCATCAGCTTGCCCAAACTTGATGTGAATGGTCGTGTACTCTGGACCCACCATGACTCTGGCAATCTAGAACCACCTTGTTAGCTGTACTATGTTACCGATATCGAAGATAGAAAACAAATAAGTCGCAATTGGCAACTTACCTCAAAAGTGCTTCCCTCTGTTTGGAACAAAGGGGAGAGGATCTGGATGGCTTCATCCCTCCCATCAGGCATATTCGGGTTGTGCTGCACATAGTTGCTTGCCACGTAGCGATCAAAGGCACGTTTCACGTTCTTTTCCGTGTAGAATGTGTACGCGAAATCGTCCATAGCTTTTTGAAGCAGGAATTGGCTAGCGTGTGGACTGGTGGTCGAAGGGCAGTCCCAGACAGTTATGTTGTTGGTGTTGATGCCAGGAATGTCAACGACTCGGAATGGGCTTTTTGCTGTCGCCCCTTGGATGCACAGCAGCAGTGCGCCCATGCCCAGGTGAGAGGAGAACATTTTCCTGTTTTGCCGCGGCTGGTCGGTTCGTAGCCAGTGTTAATCAGTATTTGATGGTAAAGCTATTTGACAAATCCGCAAAGCACTTCTGCTGCTAATCGATGAATATTTATACAACAGCGTCGGGGACCCGGGGAAACACGGCGTAACTCTTCCGTGGAAGCACCCGGGCCCCGGGTCCCCGAGCGGGCCGAACCGAGGTACCTATTTCGCGTGATGCGCTCCCGACTAGAACTATGACCTAATTCTCAGTTCGGGTGATCAATGGGTACCTTACGATGGCCTTGAGGATTACGATCGGTCCTTTCAGAGGTAGCAGAGGCTTGTCATTGATGATAATGCGCGTTCGCATGCAAAGACTGTAGCAATGGTAATGAACAGCTAACTAGATATATTATATCCTAGACTATAATCCCTTTCTTAACCTAACTAAATACGTAAAATCGGCTCATAATATATACACTATAACAAGGCCCTTAAGATATTACCCTAGGGGTATTTATAAACTAGAGTAAATACTTAATATTAATATTGATTTATAAATAATTAATTTAATATTAATTTATTATAATAATAAATTTTAGTATTATATTTTATTATTATATTTTATTATTAATGTTGTGGGCTAAGCCCTGTTGGAACAACTTGGTAGCTCAGATTGAGTCTATCTAACGATAAAGGAGGAAGAAGAAGGGGAAAGTAGAGTTCGCTGGCTCCACTCCTAGTAGGACGCTGCGTGGTCTGTGCGTCCTCGCCAGGCACGTGACTCGTCCAGGCCGTCTGGGCTAGGTCTCCTACCTAGCCGTTAGCACACTGGTGGAACCGTAACAATTAAAATATTTAAATTGTTATTTAATTATAGTTTTATTTCTTTATATATATAATTCTTTTTTAAGTTTTTAGTTTATTAAATAATTTTTATAAAGAAAATGGGTTTTTTTTTAATATTTTTAATATTATTAAATATATCTCATTATACGACATAGGAGGCAAAGAAAAGTAAACTAGATACGGTGCTTGATCGGTTGGTCTAGATGAGATACTATACCTTAGCTACAGGGGGGTGTTTTTGAAAATATGTCCTTCCGCCAAATGTCCTTCAACACATCGCTAACATATGTTGAGCTCTATTCAATAGAAGGTGTGATCTAGTGAGGGACAAGTATCTGCGTGATATCTTCTCTGAGCTCTTTCCGGCGTGATTTGTATTTTCAAACCCAGCCCCCTCCCCCGTAGGTATCCTAAGGCAGTCTTTTTAACTAGTTATACAAATACTCTTGTAGCATCCACATAACTTACTCTGTGTAGGATGTGAAGCCTTGATTTTCCGGCCCTAAAATAGCCGCCTGGCCCCCAGCCAGCTGGCTGAGTATCATCGCTTAGTTACATGGTCCTACAATCCACCAGCGCGACTTCGCTATGCACTTTAATAAGTAAAATCAAGCGGCACACATGTACTATGTGTGCCTTTGTGTGCGGTCACGAAGCTGCTTGTGTGTGCCTTTGTGTGCGGCCACGAGCTTGCTTGTCTGTGCCTTTATGTGCGGTCACGAGGCTGCCTACTACATGTACTATGTGTGCCTTTGTGTGCGGCCCCGACGTTAAGGCTAACGAGGGCGTGGCCCCTTCCACGGTCCGGCTAGACCGGCCTAGTGGCTACCTTCCGTCCCCTTATGTACGGAGCGACGGTCGACCCAAGTCCTTGCCACCTGCACCTTCACTTGAAGCGCGCTGACGATGGTCGTTTAACAGCCAAGCCTCATTCTTGCCTCTCTTCCCTTGCCATGACAAAATCCGGCATCAACAGGCAGCAAGCTGGACATCGGGCCGCAGCCAGTACTTGTAAACGCCACCCGCGACTCGTCTGGAAACGCTGACATTTGATGACACGTGGCCGGTCGTACCATATACAGCAAGGGCAGACGGTGAACCTGCCATCGGTCGAAACTTATTCTGCTTCTTCCCACCTCCATCACATCATCTTTTCAACTTCATACACGGAAATCGCCCAAGATGCTGTTTCAAAAACACATCCTGCTCATTTGCCATGCTTTGCTGGTCATCGCACAAAACCTACAACCGAGAATGCAGATACCTGGCGTCGGCTTCAGCCTGACCCCAGATCATGGGTGCATTCTTGTCTAACCTCTTCACATAAGAGGCAGTGGGAAATAGGAAGCTGACGATCAATGTTCTACCAGAGTCGCGGCAATCTTCTACAAGAACAAAACATGGGCAGAGGTCGCTCGTGTGGAGGGCAGTAGCACATACAAAGCCCTGATGCGTAAAGCACCATCAACAGAACTCGTCCCCGACCAACGTTCATCTTGGCGAGCCGTGACAGACGTCGTGTGCCCCGTACTCGACACATTCAAGCCTGAGCTCTGCAAGCGAAACCCTGACGTTGAGAGCGCCAAGGACCTTCTCCGGAACCTAAAAGCCGCGGTGGCTTCTCGTCTGGGCACAACATTCTGCTACACTCAGATTGCCCTTCCAGACCGAAAGTGGGCTTACCAGGCAAGTGTGGTTGACCTAGCACTTCATGCCATCCGTCTGCGTCCCGTCATTGATGCATTCGACGCAGCTCCCATGGCACTCTCGGGCAGTGAACTAGCCGCCACCGGCCGGCTAATCACCGACGACACATGTTCCATCTTAGTCGTCGACTACATGGAGGCATCCAATCCGGAACATAACTTATGCAAGGTGTAAGTTGACATCAGAAGTCTCTAACGTTAGTCAACGAAGGTCATGGAAAAAACCCAGAGTGACCAGTATCTATACCCCTTACTAATTTCATCGTACATTGCCAATCTCTCAATTTAAACTGGTGACGCCAACGTCTTAGGCCAGCTCCCAAACGTATACTGGCTGTTGCACATGTTTGTCAACTCCCACGTCTCCGCCTCCAGCTTTCCATACACCCCCTCGTCCTCCTCGTCTCCAACAGCGCCTGCCACAAACAAGGCCGACATAAAGTGATCATCGGTGGCGTGCGCATCTCGGTACAGCGGGTGCTTCATCAAGCGCGACATGGCTCTGCGGAGTTGAGGTCCGCTGGTAGTCGTGACAACGTCCTCAAAGGCTTGACGGAACTCGAGCGCCCAGGGCTCGGGGGGCTGTTCCTGCGCAAAGTTATCAGAGTAGTGGACCATGGGCGCCCAGTAGTTGCGGTAGAGGTTGTGCACGGCGCCACCGGAGCCGATGATGAGATAACCCTCCTTTCTCAGGCAGCGTAAGGCCTGGCCGACGCGCATGTGGTAGTGGGGGTCGTAGCGCGCATTCATCGAGATGAGCGTGGTGGGTGGACAGCCGTCCGGAAAGGCGCGGATCAGAATCAGGTACGTGTCGTGGATCCATTCAAAGGTCGGATCCCCAGAGGCCTCGAAGCCAGCATCGGAGAGCAACTTGATGCATCGCTCCGCTGTCTTCAGGTCCGGGTTGAGCTGGTAGTTCTCGTACTTGGACGGATGGACGTAGGCAACAGGAGACTTGCCAGGCTTCGGATTTGTCGCAACCTGGATGCCGTTCCCTGCGGTGTCCCAGTGCGCACCCATCATGATGACTCCCTTGATCTTGTGAGCCAGGGCAAGGTCGCCAGCCTTCTTCCAGTAGTCTGCGGACTCGGATGGTTCTCCCAGCATCATGGTTGATCCATGGGAGAAGAAGTGGACAGGGGCCAATGAATCTGCGGCGATAGTGTTGTCAGTCTTGCGAATTGGAACTTGCTCCTCTTGGGGTTTTGACTGCACGTACTCATTTCTTCAACAAGGACTGGTAAGGCACTAAAGACGAAGTCTGACAATCAGTATAGTTCAGGTCGACTGCCTTAGCCTGGCAGCATTTAGAGTCGATTCAGCTTACAACAGTCCCAGCTTGAGGTCCAGACTCCAGACTCTAGACCCACGGTATCTGGTCTCGGGTAGTGGAGGCATCTCGCCGATACTCATACCGGGGAGGTGTGGGGCGCACCTCCACAGTCACGCGTAGTACGTAGTACGTCTGGATCCTGTTCTCCGCATCTCAGCGTGTCCCCCAAGGGCCAATGGCCAGCTTGTTCCCTGTCTTGTCATCTATTCTTCATAGACAGGTGAGCTCTGGGGCAGGGGACATCATCCACCAGTCAAGTGCCGTCGTCGGTTCATTGTACGTTAAATTGAAGATGCCACTTCTTACCTGCTGATGTTCTCGACCCTTGAGTGTGTCTGTATACGTATTAGGGCCGCAACGTACTGTGCTGAGTGGTAGCGGCTTCGGTCATCCTGATTCCCGCCGCCCAATTAGATACGTACCCCGGATCTTACCCCAGGGTTTTCCCCGCAGTCACATAGTCGTCGTCGACGAGGAGGACGCGTTCGATCATAGTCGCATACCCTGTACTTTGCATCGCGAGCGCCCTCAACTTCTGCCTTGGCCTTTTCGAAGAGCATACTCTCGAAATCTAGGTCTGCCTCGCGAGGCGGCACGTTGATTGATGATTGATATCATGTGATGGATTAGTATTAGGGTTGATTCTGTGGTTGGTGAGGACGGGGGAAGTGGAGCATTTGGAGATGTCCAGACTCCAGACTCCAAGCCTCCAAGGTCTCTAACAATTCTGCCCCATGGGCCATAACCTGCCACTTACAACCACCTCTCCTCCTCCACATACCGAAACCATCCATCGCCAACAACCAAATTCACCGCGACGCGCTCCGCGTCCTCGCCCAAAGCACACGATTGAAGCATGTCCGCCGCGTCGCCACAACCAATGTTCCAATGTGGGCTATGCAAACGAAGTTACAAAAGATTGGATTATCTTTCTCGCCATGCGCGCTCTCGTGAGTGAACCTAGTCCCTGCAAGGAGAACCAGTGACAGCAACGTGACGATTAACAATGTCGCGACAGATAGCCAGTGGAAGCCACATCGATGCCACATCTGCTCCAAGAGCTTCACAAGGACAGATCTCCTGAAACGGCACGTTGCGGGACATGATTCTCCAAACGCTAGGTCAAAGACCTCAAACACTGTAGCTGGCCCGGCAGAGCCCTCAGGACGTGTGGCGCAAGCATGTAAAGCCTGCGCATCGAATCACCTGCGATGCACAGACGAAAAGCCTTGTAAACGCTGTCTGGAAAAGGGAGTTGATTGCATCTGGAAAGACTCCATGGACGTGGACCAGGACAGCATGCCCGCTGAAGCTGAAGGCCAGTTTGGAGACGACTGTCGGCCAGCGCCTGATTCCGAGCTAGATCCAGAAACGGAGCTCAGATCAGAGCCAGGCACTGAGCTCGAAGCAGAGACTGAAAAGGAGCAAGAGGCGGAGCAAAAGTCAGGGCCACCCCAAGGCCAGCAATCCTTGGAACTGGTGCAGCCTTACACTCCGATCAGTCTCGAAGATACGGTTCGGCCACAATACATGTCCTCAGAGTCGCATTCAGACTTCTCGGGGTATTTGATCGGTAAGACAAATCTTCCGAGCCTTTCCAGCCCTTGGTACTAACGTGCGCGCCTCCAGACCCGAACTGCCTACCTCCTCCCGGTCCCTTTCTCGATGGATTTCCTGCGCTGGGTCTCCTGTCCGCCCAATGGCCGCAAAACGACGATATGGACCTAGACCTGGGCCCAAGAGCAGATCTCGACGACCAGGATGTCCGCTTTTTGGAAAGCTACAACATCACAGTTCCCTTTGACTTTGGCGACGATTCCTCCATGCTGTTCCAGACGCAGCCGCCGTCACACGTTTCGACAGACCCAGGACAGCCCGCGTCCGTCTGCGCGGAAGCTTTTCAAAACTCACACTGGCACTTCCGTCCCAATTCCGGAGACTTTTGCGGCGCGGAAGATCACAACCTGTCCCTTCCTGATTCTGCGGCTGATGCGTCGCCCGAGTCGCGCGTGGCGGTCAAATCCCGCGTACTGCGCTCCAAGCTTGACGTGTCCACGCGCGACAAGATCTTGACAATGGTCATGAAGAATGCCAACCCAATCAACCTGCCCAAGGCGATCGTCTCCTTTCCATCGGTGGAACTCCTCGACATGCTAATGCAGTTTTACTTGGCATCGCCCATCTCCAAGGCAACGTCATTCCTCCACGCCGCTGCCTTTGATCACAAAGAGAAAAGACCAGAGCTTCTGGCAGCCATGGCGGCAAATGGGGCTGTTCTGACATCAGACTCGGCACTGACCAAGCTAGGCTACGCCATAGCAGAGTGTGTCAGGGTGGCAATCAGCAACCAAGTGAGACTAGACTTTCTATAATCGAGAACGCAGCTGATGCATGACCAAACAGTGGGAATCCGATAACACGCTCGTGCGGGATCTGCAGCTCTCGCAAGCTTTTCTCATCATCCTCGAAATGGGCCTATGGAGTGGCCACAGCAGAAAGGTCGAGTTGGCGGAAAGCTTTTTTCTCCCGTTGCTCACCATGCTGCGGCGCAACGACAAGTTCAAGAGGGCGCCGTATCTCGAGACGACCACTCAGGCCGCGCACGATGCTTCGACCCACCAACAGTGGATGGGCTGGGTTGAGTCGGAGTCTTTCAAGCGCCTAGCTTTGAGAATGCTGCTGCACGACTCCAACTCCTCAATGGCTCTCCTTACCAACCCTTTGATCTCCTACACGGAGGTGCAACTTCCGCTGCCAGCTCCGACAGAGCTTTGGACAGCAGAGAGCGCAGAGAGGTGGCAGCTGGCCATGCACCGGACCAATTCCCAAGACTTGAGCATTTTCGACTTGCTTGATGATCCCAGCTACTTGAATAAGCACCGTGATGCCATCGACTTTGACATCGCTGGGGGATCAGTGCTATCCCTGGTATGGATGCTTGCTTGGGAACTCACACGCATCACAACGTTGCAAAAGCAACGACCGCGCCGGTTCAACGCACTCATCATAATGTCCCGCTTAGATGAGCTTTTGAAGCTACTGGGAAGTCTACGGATTACACTCCAGCCCGACATGGCATCTTCCCCTGAGCTTGCCATGCGTTTTGAGATCATTCACCTGCACCTCCACATGCCATTCGAGGACATTGAAACATTCGCAGGCAAGCATGGCATCGATCAGGCCCGCACTGTCTACCCTTCTGTCCGAGAGTGGGCCAAGAGCGAGTCTGCCCGACGAGCGATGCACCACGCCGGTCGTATCATCCGCGCCTCGAGGTTGCTGGCCAAGGGGCTGATACAAGGACCCGAGGCGATCATGGTCTACTATGCGAGCCTGGCCTTTTGGGTGTACGGCCTGCTCCTTGAGAGGCCGCTTGGCGGAGGACTCTCTGACAATGGGGCACCGTCAGTGCCCAGGTCCACGGAAGATGTGTACCTGGACGGCGATGACGACGCCGCTATCAGCAGCTTCATAGAATTCGAGGCGGGCAGACCTTGCATCCGGTGGTGTGACGCGGACGACGGCGATGCGAGGTCTTTGCATGGCGTATATCTGGACAACCCAGCCATGACACTGGAAGTAGTCATCCAGACGATTGAGAGGAACTTTCAGGGAGCTCAAATGGCCCACCTCCCTAGCAAGCTGATTAAGCTGGTGAGGGAGCTGATCAAGACTTCCTAGCTGGGATCCGGAGAGTTTAGCATATTCATCTACATGTAGCTCGCATGGCCAAGATTCCAGGACATTCTCGTTGGGCTCTCAGAGATACGCACAGGAGGCGTTTCTTGTGACACCTCCATGCTCGTCAGTTTCGATAAAGCGTGTCGTAAAAAGGTCAAGCTTCAATAAACTCGAGCCTCCTGTTGCGGGCGCCATGCAAGGGAAAGCATGCACTTCAGAAGGCTACGTGCAGAGAGCGTGCATGTCGCAGTGTCTAGTGTCTACATGTGCCTCACCTGACCACACCGACACTCTTGTTCCATAACAAAGGCCTGGGTTTCAGCACGCGATGAAACTTCCCGACAACTTTTGCACCATTCCCTGTGACTGAACGTCCCTATGGCTTTTAGCATATGGACTGCTCTCAATCACGAGCAGGCAACTGTTGCCAGCAAAAACGCCTCGATGCCTTGCGGTCGTTGTGATCATGGTCCCCAACCACAGCAGCGTGATCTTCTCGGCGGTGAGTCAATCCAACCCATTTTATCATTTCGCAATTGATTTTTCCATGCCATCAGGAAGACTCATCTCCTGTCCATCTCGAGAGTCCACTGAAGCAGTACCCCGAGTCACGGGGCTGTAGGGTAAGCAAAGATTGCGGGCCGAGTACCGGAGCAAGACGTGATATTGCATCATTCCCAATTCCCAATTCCCCATCCACTCGGTGCCGCCAGGAAGACATACAACTTGTCAATAATCACACGTCGAATTGCAAAAGCCTGACTCGTCCCCTTTGCCAATGCCCTGAGCTTCTGAAGACGCGGGGCTTACCGTCCACACAATTAGCAAAACACCCACCGCACGAGGGGCTCCTTCGAGGTTGACCAAGACTTCCAGATAGCCCACTGGGCAAGATGCGAACGAGCGACGCGGTCTCGTTGCCGACCTCACCAGTTCTTCAACCGACTCGCGACGACGATGCTTCGCCAACATTAAACCCCGAACTCGTTCACAGTCTGAAGCACGGCAGTACGGTGCTGGCACTCGCCGTCAGCCCAGGGCACGATCGGATCTATGCCGGCACACAAGATGGGGAGATTGTAACGTGGTCCTTGACCACATTCCAGCCGCTCAGCACGATACAAGCGCACAAGAGGAGCGTACTGTCGCTGTTCCTGTCACCGTGCGCCTCCCTGCTCTTCTCGAGTGCGGGCGACCCGATCATCAACGTCTGGTGTCCCAAGACCTTGACGCGCCTGTACGAGATTTACAGCACCCACGATGTCGGCGACATCTTTTGCCTGGCGTACAGCCCGCAATACGACACCCTATTCCTTGGGGCGCAGAACTCGACGATTCAATGGGTCAGCCTGAAAGACCCTGCCGCGCGCGTGGCCCCCGAGTCGCAGCGACATCCAGACCGCCGAAACCACAGATTCTTCGATTCGAAAGCCGTGGGCGGTACAAGCACGCCGAGACGCAACAACAGGCGGTCTGACTTCATTCCGCAAGCCAAGGCGACCCTCGAGATCGACAGTGGGTCACTTCGAAACTTTGCTCACCAGGGCTACATCTACTGCATGCTCATGACCAAGGGGCCAACAGTGGAGGTGAACTCGGATGAGGATGTATTGATATCAGGAGGCGGAGATGGCACGATCAAGCTGTGGGATCTGAGCGCGACGTCAGACGGCGATCAACCGACCATCGAGGAGATCATGACGCTTGGATCCGACGACGGCGAGTCGATACTTTCGCTAGCCATTGACGGATCCTTCCTATATGCAGGCAAGCTGGATGGCATCGTCGAGCTGTGGGATCTTGACACCACGCAGAAATTGCGCGTGATCAAAGCGCACCAGTACGACATTATGTCCCTGCAGATGGGCTGGGGCTACCTGTGGACGGCCGCGTCCAATGGATGGGCGAGCGTAGGTCTCTCAGATCAACGAAAAGTTGAAATGCTGACTAGATGCAGAAATACAGCACCGCGCACTACGGGCAATACCGCCACGCAGCATCGGCGAGCAACGTGAGCCAGAAGTATCAATGTCTGGCCAAGTGGGAGGCCCACCAAGGCAAGATTCTAGCATCCGCCATTACAGAGTACAACAACGCACAGTACTTTATTACGGGGGCCAATGACGACTCCATATCAATATGGACTTTCAAAGATGCCACCTGCTCCACTGCAAAGGCAAGCGAAGCTAGCACGGACGTGCTGCTGTCCACGCTGAAGGATTTCGTGTCGTATAAAAGTGTCTCGTCACGACCCGAGTACGCTGAGGACTGCCGAAAAGGGGCGACCTTTCTTGGCGCTCTGTTTAAGCGGCTAGGCGGTCAAGTGGACCTGCTGAGCACAAACAATGCGCACAACCCCGTGGTCTACGCCCGTTTTGCGGGCAAGAAGGAGACTGCAGAGAAGCGCAAGAAGATTCTGTTCTACGGCCATTACGATGTTGTGGCTGCAGACAACAGAAACGGTACATGGGAAAACGACCCGTTCACAATGATCGGGACAAATGGCTACCTCTACGGCCGTGGTGTCAGTGATAACAAAGGACCCATTCTGGCCGCCCTCTATGCAGTCACCGACCTCATGCAAGCCCAGAAGCTGGAAAACGACGTCATCTTGCTCATTGAGGGTGAGGAGGAGTCTGGATCGAGGGGCTTCGAGGACATTGTGCGCAGCCACAAGGACCTCATCGGCGACATCGACTACATCCTGCTGGCGAACAGTTACTGGCTGGACGACGCAGTGCCGTGCTTGACGTATGGCCTCCGAGGCGTCCTACATGCCACAGTGTGCGTCGACTCGCCGCGTCCCGACATTCACTCGGGCGTGGACGGGTCGCACATGATGGACGAGCCTCTGACAGATCTCACCTGCTTGTTGTCAAAGCTCAAAGGGCGGGGGAACCACGTCCAGATCCGAGGGTTCTACGACGGCATTCCCGAATTGACAGCTGATGAGGAGGCCCGGTACGACGAAATTGTATCTATCCTTATGCGACGCGATCCCGAGAATACGTCAGAACAAAAACTAAAGCAGTCTCTCATGGCGCGATGGCGCGAGCCTAACCTCACAGTCCATCGCTACAAAGTGTCGGGTCCGGACGGCAGTCTGATCAGCAGCCACGCAAGCGCGCACATCAGCGTGCGCCTCGTGCCGGGGCAAGAAGTAGACGACATTGCCCGCAAGCTCACCGAGTTCCTCGAGCAGGAGTTTGCCGCGCTGGAATCGCAGAACTGGCTACGCGTCACCGTGGACAACAAGGCCGAGCCGTGGCTTGGCGACCCGACCAACGATATCTTCCAGACACTGGAGCAAGCCATTGTCGAAGCTTGGCCGTCGTCCTTTGACGATGGTGCGTCTGGCGATGGGCAGTGCTCGGCGTCGCCGGGTTCGAAACCGAGGAGACCCTTGTACATCCGCGAGGGTGGCTCGATCCCGACGATTCGGTTCCTTGAGAAGGAGTTTGAGGCGCCCGCGGCGCATTTGCCGTGTGGACAGGCCAGTGATTCGGCGCACTTGGACAATGAGCGGATGAATATGGTGAATCTGCTCAAGGCGCGAGAGATCTTTGGAAAGGTGTTTGAGAGGCTGTGACTGGGCGAAGGCGCTTTCAATTAATAATGACATGATTCAATTCCTACGCTACAACGACAGACTTCATGAGTGCGTCTACCGCCATCGCTTCTTCCATACTCCTTTGAAGAATGTGATGCTCCTCTTTGCTGAGCCTCTTCGAGGGCGCATCCACCATGCAGCTCATATCCTGCTTGGTCGCCCCTTTTCTCCATGTGCCATCCATCATCCACGCGTCGGGTACATCGTAAGCATCCGGCTCTTTGAGCTTGTTCTTCAGCAGGCTTCCATTGAACCATAGCAGGTTCCCCTTGGGGTCGGTATGTGCAATGACAAAGCTGCACACCTCAGCCGTTTCCTTTCCGTCTTCGCTCGCTGATTTTGTTTCCCACCCCAGCATGGAGCCGTAGCGCTCTTCAAACTTGTACGCGGCCCCTGCCAGCTCCAGGCCCAGCCACCATGATTCTTTGTCCCCGTATGTTATTTTGTAGGTGACCTCCTCACGTACGTCGTACGTGTTCTGCCATGCTGTGTGCAGTAGCCCGAAGAAGACGTCGGGCCGCGACTTGTCGAGTACGACAACGCCAGAGTCGCACTCCTCGGCATACTCCTCCGTCCATACCAGGGATTTATTCAGAGCGGGCGAGGGCTCTTTAATCTGATCGTGGAACCACTCATGCCTGCCCTTGAACGCGTGTTGCCAAAGGAGCCGATCATGAAAGAGGTATGCGCCATTGTCGACATAGGGTCGCTGATAAAATAGGCTTTCGGGGTCTTGGAGAAAGACGCTGTCACAGTCGACCAGTAGAACCTGCTCGAATCGTGAGGCCAGGACGGAAAATGGTTTGATGGCCCATCCGTTTTGCCTCAAGCGAAGAGTCTTGTCGTCGAAAACCGTGAGCATGTCCACAAACGAGATCTGACCGGTTTCATCGAGCGATGCAAGGGCTTCCCGATACCGGATCGGCAGGTCGTCCTCTCCCGCGTAGGTGATCTCCAGAGGGAGCTGGCACTTCAAAACCTGTCGTAGAGCGGATATCAGATGTCCTGCGAAACGGATGTTGATGTCCGGTCCTCCGACGGACATGACTATGCCCTTGCTGCCTTTCTCAGACAAATGGAAGAGGCTCGACAAGGGCAAGCCGTCTGATGATGGCGGTATAAACGGGAACAAAGACACGGCGGCCTTCTCGACATGCTTGAGGACGTTGAGTATTTCGTCAGAGCCGCGAGCCTCGTGCTCGAGGAGGCCAATCCATTCTCTGATCTGCGTCGATCGGCTGCCCACTTCCCAGAACTTATGTTTGAATGGTGCTACCACAGGCTCATCGATGAAGGCTTGCGCTGCTGTGGTGATGTTTTCCAAGACACCGTCCGGATCTGTGTGTAACGAGACGAGCGAGTTGTAGCTGTCATCGTGGCCCTGATTAAGTACATGTACATGTAAATACTGCAAAGTAAAGAAGAGAAGAGTGATGGAAAAGACAATCAGGGCGACACGACTGCGCAGTTTTTGCATGGCGATACGCTGCGCGGGAGAGCCTCCGGAATCCGGATCCTCAGGAACTCACGTACACTCGACCGCAAGCTTGTAGAAACACATTGACGAATATTGAACTATCAGCGAGTAGGTAGGTCGTAAGAAAAGATGACATGAAGGCAGAAGATAAGAAAGTGCACTGGGGACTGGACGCTGGAATGTTTCCAATCCATTAACATGGAGCGGCGCCAGGCGCTTACGCCTTTCACTGAAGAAACCCGGTCCCCTAGGAACCTCGCAATCATGTAATTCAGCCCTCAAAGTTCACGGCGCGCGGCGGCGTTTTACCCACGTGCATGCCGATGCGTACGTACTACTACAAGTATACGTCAGTAGTATGGTAGCTGATGACTACTAGCAAAGCAAAAGTTTCCGCCCTGCCGAGCCGTTATTGCCGTAGTCTGATAGCTTGCACGCTAATGAGAGACAATCACAAACGGATCTAATTGATTAGCTCTCCGCCGCCTGCCAGCGCCAGCTGCCGTGGGGATTGGACGGACTTTTCAAGGGGTTTGGACTCATGATATTGATGTCGAGAGCGTGTTTCTCCTATTGAACAATGCATTTGCACGCACTGGTGATAAGGTATGGGTGACAGGGATCCCCATTGATCGATTGCGATAACTCACACGCATTCCTTGAGCTTTACCTCACTTCCACCTCCTTTTGAATGTAGCACGCGTGGATTCGTCATGGGGGGCTGAGCCGCTGCGATGAGACATGGGGTTCGTGGAGGCCTCAACTAGGAGGGCGGTTGCGTGGAAGGACTGGATAGATGGATTCAGACGGGCCACCAGATCCACCTGCCGAGCTGCCAGTGACACAAATATCGTTATCGTCAAAAGGAGTGCGTAATTGCGTATGTGTGCTACGTATGTGACGTGCCGAGAATCCGGGAGTCTGGGCTCAAGCCACCCCACTTTACGGGTGACAGCGCCGCCCTCGCCGGCCCCTATGTCCGTATCCGAGCACACGTACATCCTCTGCGCGCCCGGCTTGGCAGAGTCTCGGGAAGGCAGGACGACGTCTATCACCGTTGTTCAATCGCATAACTATAATCCCTACACATCTAGTGTAGCACGAGATGGAGTTGCCCATCCGACTCAAGCATAGGTCGACCACAGTCCTAGCTAGGTCAATGACTAGAATATGGGACTCTCACCGAAAGGCGGTCTCCTGCTTATTTGTCGATTCGCTTCGGATCTAGTGATTCAACATTGACCTCAGCAGCCTGGAATACCTGAATGTCACTCGATATTCTGCTAAGGACGTGGACGCATGCTGCGGCGCCGAGACAGACTGACGACGGATCATTGTGTTGTCAGAATGAGGGGCAAAAAGGCTGCTGCTCAAACAGCCCTGGCAGAACTACCGATCAAGCCTCGAGCATCGAATGCTGGTGAGAAATTAGTCTAACCACCATCATTAACTTTTTACAGACCTCTTCCACGGCCGAGTCCAATGGCAATCGCGAACCCGAGCTGAGGATGAGAAGAGATGTCAGGATACCACTCGTCCAGCAACATTGAAGGGGATGTCTTAGTCGCTATAAGGCTATTTCTTTGCAATCGGGGGAGGCATATGGCGGCCCATGTCGTCAGGCCAACACAATCTCTTCAGGAGCCTTTGCCTATTCTACAGCCCCGACGCCATCTATTCTCTTTTCTGAGCCACCCAGAACTGCGCCTGGTAAGCATTCTTTGTCAATGCTCGGTCGTTAAATCCATAGGCGGCTTCCATCCCCCTGACTTTCTTGCCCTCCAACGTGATCTCCCCACACTCGCTCCCAGCAACGTCCAGAAACTCAAAAGCGAGCCCCTTTTCTGCCACGGCGACAATATCCTCTAGCGAGAGCTGGACAAAAGGTGCCGTCCCGTAGAGGAGAGGACCCAGGTTGATCCAGTGGCCTCCAGGCTTGAGATACGTCTGGATGGTGTCGAGGTAGCCCATCAGGTTCCTGGCGGTGTCGATGAAGAAGTATGTGACGATCACGTCAAATTGGGGCTTTGGGCGCGCGCTGTTGAAAACCGTGGTAAAGTCGCCTTCCACGAGCAGTACATCACTCGCGTTGAGTGGCTGGTCGGGAAAGGACATTGGCCGCATCATGTCGCTCGTCCGGGCGTGGTGTGACCATGAGTCAATGAAAGGGTGGACCATTTCGTTACGGGCAATGTGTGCGTGTGTTTCGAGGAATCGGTAGGCGACGTTCATGAACATGGACCATTCGTTGATCGTGACCTCGAAACCTGGCTCGTCAGTACTGCTGAATGTTGGCTGCACGCAATGGTGCACTGACCTCCTTGCTGCGCTATATCTCTTCCCATACGACCCAGTCCCGCGCCCGGAAGGAGAACTTTGACTGGGTGGTCTGCGTCTTGTCTTGGATACAGCGTGTCCAGCGTTTTGAGCACACACGCGAAGCAGCCGTCTCTCTCGTATTTGCCACCATCCTCAGTCCAGTCGCGCACCATGTGCTTCAGACTCTGAGAGACACTCACTCTGTCGGCCTTTTTCCCGTCCTGCTCCATGTGCTTCATGTGTGTCTCTAGTTCCTCTCTTCCGATGTGGTAAAACTCAAGGGCATTGTCCACAATGCGGTCGCATAATTCCTGGTTCGACTTGAGCAGGTCTGTGACTCTGGTGAACTTATCTGTGTACTGCGTATGCTTTTCCAGTAGCTTTCTGCACGTCAGTAAATTGAACCTCGATTCTATCGGGCAGGCTTTAACAAACTGCTCTTTGGGCATCGGAGATCTTGTCGTATAAACCCTTTAGACGGGAGATCTCTTCGTCATATCGCTCCGGGTACTTGGTGTACCCATACAAGGCGTCTAGTAATCGGTGACGAGGATGATTTGTGGTCCACTTCTTTGAATCTTTCTTCAGTCGAGCCAGCAGGTCTTCTTTCTCTCTGAGGTGACGGGGTGTTGTAGGCTCAGGGGCGCGCGCAGCTTGGAGTACGATTTGAGCATCTTCAATTGGTTGAATGAAGCCGTTGGCGAGCTGCCGACAACCGTTAGCGCGTAACTTTAAAGAACAAGGTTATTAGTGTTTACATCCTCGCCACTCGCCATGCGGATTGCGGCGAACGTGGATTCAGGCTCAGGGTTTTGTGCTCCTAGGACCAGGCTGGGGAACGAGCCCAGCAAAATTGCCACGATAAGCGCAGTCCGCCGAGGTGAAGGCAAATCGCATGCACTCAATGCCATTCTTGGTTGCAGAAGCCAATTAGCTTCCTGCCGTAGAGATCAAGATTGGGTCTGTGGAAAGCCTTGCTGTGACTTTGCCAATGTTTAGGCTCAGAGTGACTGATATCACCCTTTCGTTCAGGCTCGACTCGCTCACTCTTCAAGCAAAAGGTCAGCAGGTAATTCTCGACTGACTCCCCCGACATGTTTGTGCGTTTCGGGCTCTTTTTAGCTGCCAATCCATCGCGCAACTGAGTGTGTGCGATTCGAGTCGTGGGGTCCTTGTCATCGTGAACCCTGATGGCCACTTGATGAGCTTGGCGCATGTCCGCCGCCCACCCTTCTCGCTGAGAGCCTTGTTCATTCGCTTCGATATTTCGTCAGAACTGCTAGCCGTGGAAACCCATGGTAGAGATCTTTACTAAAGTTGGTGGGTGGGCCGGGCGGTAGGCTGTTCTGCAAAAGCCCCGAGCGTAGTATTATGGGCACCATGAGAAGCCCTACGGAAGAGTTCCTGCATGCTGGCATCGGTCAACTTGCTCAATCTGCAAGGAAGTGAGAGCTGATTCACGTTAGTGTGCCACCATGTGCCTGATTCTGCTGTTTGCTGTGGGGATTCTTCTTCGCTTGGCTCACCTATAAGTAACTTCTCGTCTCCTGCTCTTGCGGCTGGAGCGTTTTAGCCTTCACCACCTCCAGTCAGCACCACCTTACGTGTCAATTGTGTCTTACCTGCTTCGGTACAACCACAATCGTTCAAGATGAAGTTCAGCGCTGCCGTCTTTGGCCTTGGCCTCGCCTCGTTCACTCTGGCCCAGTCCGAATCTGCCGGTCCTTCTCCTACTGAGTCCGTCGGCTGCGAGCCTCATGGCGACCACGTATGTTACTCCTACCAAAGACACTGTCTTCTTCCTGAACAAATCACTAACTCAAGCAGTGGCACTGCGAAGCTCACGTCAGCGAGACTGGCGCCATGGCCTCTGCTACCGGTGACCACGACCACGAGGAGGAGCACGACCATGATCACGAGCACTCCGATGAGGAGCACTCTGATGAAGAAATTGAGGCTGCCGGCCCCTCGCCCACCGAGTCCGTCGGTTGCGAGCCTCACGGCGACCACTGGCACTGCGAGGGTCCTGTTGAGACTGCCACAGCCACAGCCTCTGCCACCGTGACCGAGTCTCTCCCACCCTCGCCCACCGCCTCGGTTGGCTGCGAGCCTCACGGCGACCACTGGCACTGCGAGGGCCCAGTTGAGGCTGAGGAGACTTCCAGCGCAACGGAGACTCCTGGCGCGGAGGAGAGCGAGGGACCCGATGGCGGCAATGCCGGTCTTGCCAACATCGTCCCCCTTGTTGGCGCCATCGCCGCTGCTGCCATGGCTCTGTAGTCTTTTCAGCAGATGGAAACGACTCGTGGGCATAGCTCGCGACCCAGCAGTTTATTTCAATTCTTAGGACACAATAATTGTACAAAACACCATTTCAGAAACCGCTAATAGAGGGAATATGCTGGTATTCCCTTCTACTCTGAAGTTCGTGAAAGTAGACTTAAGAATAAGCTTGAAACAAGCTTACCACTAAGAGAAGCGCGAGGGCCAGGGTTGCGATCAAAGGGGGACGCTGTTGACAGGCATCCATCTTCCATCCCCGCCAACGTTGAATCCACTGACCATCAAGGTTCTTGTAACAAAGATTTTGCGCCAACCACCTCGATCTGCGGCTTTTCCCAGCTGCTTCGTTAGTCAGGGCCTTTTCGAACGAGGAGGTGATTGGTTGATTCATTAAGACATTGCGACGGTACGTTGGAAATACTAACTATTCACTAACGCAGCCGGAACCTGTCGCAGGAAAAGGCAATGAAAAGTGAGAGAACAGACAGTGACAACAGCTTGGTGGCCATTCAAGACTTTGGTGCAGCCCCCTTCAGTCAACCCTCTTCCTGGCCGCCTCCTCAATCTGCCGCTTCATCTTGCCCATGCCCCAGTACACCGAGAGGATGCGCTCCATCATAACCCTAGGCAACAGCGTCAACAACCAGACCGTGGTCGCCATCCCTCCACACCAGAACCAAGACGGAGAGCCCCCGATAAGGCCGCCAAACCAGCCCTCGCCCTTGAGCGCACTATCGACAAAGGCCTTTGCATATCGATCCGTATCATACGTGCCGTGATTTTGACTATACGTCAACCGCCACTCAAACTTGTCTTTGACAGGCATGTACAGGGAGTTCTCGGGGAGCGATCTGTGAGTCTTGCCGGCAAAGTTGGATTTGACCGTGCCTGTCATCGCCACCATGACGCGGACGTGGAAGGGCTCGAGTTCTAATCGCAGTGCGCGGGACCAGACGTCAATGGCTCCCTTGGTGGAAGAGTAGATCCCACCAAAGAGATAAGGGATCTGCGACGAGTTCGAAGAGATGTTGGCAACAAGCCCGCGGGCTTTGATGAGTAACGGTATGAAGACTTTCACGGTGCGCATGGGCCCAAAGACGTTGGCGTCGTAGGTCTTCTGGATGTCATCCATCTCACCATCGAGGATGGGGATCACATGGGGGCGGCCACTGCTTGGTCAGTCAAGGACACATTTTCTGGGGGAGAGTATGGCATACGCATTGTTTACTAGAATGTCGAGCTTCCCTCCGGTGAGGCGCTCAGTCTCAATCTTGCAGGCATCCACGCTTGCCTGATCGGTGACGTCCAGCTGAGCAATGCTGAACCCTTCGGCCTCGAGTTCCTTCAAAACATCGGGGTTGCGCGCGGTGGCGATGACATGACAGTCTATGCCGTGGTCAGCGCGATGCTGAGAAGATTTCAGGCTCCAATGGTTACACACCGCGACGATGGAACTCGGTAGCAAGGCTGTGGCCAATGCCACCAGGCGTACAACTTGAGACGCACGTCGTCAGCCAACGAAAACGCACGACGGAAAGGAACGGCGTACCCTGTAATAAGAACTGTAGTTTTGCGGGTAGAAGGCATGGCCTTGTTTTTACACTGGCTATTGCGTTGTTGCTAATTGGAATTCGAAGTGGTCGGGGATTGACGATATCGGATCTACGAATACTCTCAGGTACTTCACGTTGTATTTATCCGCCATGCCCATCATGGAGGCCTGGCCTCGGCAGCGCTTTCCGTGCATGTGCGCCGCTTTCGGGGCCCGCGGGCACTATTTGGGTTGATTTGCCTGCAAAACATCATCTCCCTGTCGCCATAAAAGATCGCGCAATTGCGTTCAGTGGAATGCATACGTGAAGTCATGTGATCTATGAAGCATAGATAGTCAATGGTGCCATGGTCGAGTGTGGGGGATGATTTAAGCAAGGACGAAGAACAATACCAAGGTACCTGGTACGAAGGGTCAGGAAAAGGTATAGGGTAAGGTAGGTGCAATGCGAGGAAAGTGACGCAACTCAAATTCCAGTCCCATGATCCCATCGCGTCCTGAATATTACATGTATAACCCAAGGCCAGCTTCCTCATTTATATAGAAAAAGTTCAACGACTCTTTTCGGGCACGGAGCCCATCATTTCGACCGGCGGCACTGCACTGCCTTCCATCTCGACAGTCATGCCCACGTCGGACTGTGGGGGGAGCTCACTCGGCGCGGTCGGCGTACCCCATCGACTCGACTCCTCCATGCCATTGGCGGGTGACATGTAGCTGGCCGAGGAGGGAGACTTATACGTGTAGTCGTTGTATGGCGAGGCAGGGTACGCTGATGTACCTTCTCCCCCGGCAAAGTCATGCTGCGGCAGCATGGGCGTTGCGCTGGCCGGGTCGTCGCGGCGACGGTATCGTCGGAAAAGCCAGAATCCAATAGCACCCATCAAAGCTGCGCCCACGACTGCACATCCGACAGCGATGCCGATTGTCGCCCCGGTGGAGAGACCATCTTGGCTTCCGGCGCCATTGTCCTCCTCTGTCGTTGTCGTCGCCGCCGCACTCTCGTTTGCTGTCGTCGCCGCTTCCGTCCCTGTCGTCGTCGTTGCGGCGCTTTCGTTGGTACTGGTGGCTGTCGCCTCGGTCGTGGCTGCGCTGCTTGTCGAGGATCCTTCCGCAGCGGCATTCTTCCATGCAGCCTCTGATAGCCCTATTGGTGTACCCGAATCCCCACACGCCTGGCTCATCGTGTCGTACGTTTCGCTCAGGAGGTCTGCATCGTCATTGCCCATGCACTTGGCGGTGTTGATGATGAAGTCGTATTCGTTGTAGCAGAAGCAGGCATTCTGCGCCTTGTTGGAAGAGGTTGGGCAGGAGGCCTTGTCCGACGCTTCATAGAGACATGACTGCGCATCTTTGGGGTAGAATTCGAAATTGGGCTTGACCTCGCCGAGGACACTGGTGCACAGTCCCAGCAGGGCGACGACGGCGACGCCCGAGAGCCGAGCCATTGCGACGAAGGAAGGCAAGGTTGGAAACGCTGTTCTCTGCAAGTAAGGCGTGTTTGAGGAAAAAAGAGAAGATGGCCCAAAGTGCCCACAGATTAGCGGCCTCGAGTGGAGATGAGGTTCTCGCGTCCAATGTCGCGGCCAGAACGCACCACGACTTGGCAATTCTTGAACAGAAGGGAAGGAATAAGCAATGATAGCAAGACAATAATAGCTAGAGGAAAAGAATCGTCGCACCACGAAGAGTCGTGACCGCCTCCCCAACACATCAAATCCTACCTTGGGCTCCACCCAGCCTCGTTAATAAGTTCGATCGTCTTTGACTCCTGACTCCTGAGACCGCCATCCCGTCAGCACGGAAGTCGTGCTTATGCTGTTTCGGACGCATATTAGAGGCGATCCATGCCGGAAAGGATATGGTAATTAGCGTGTATTCTGCCACCAAGCAGGGGCGCCAGGCTGTCAGCTTGTCTTCCGCAACGGCTAATGCTGCAGTATAAAAGCCTCCGTACCGCTTCATTAGCGGGATGCCGTGTGAATTACGTGCCCCAATTTTAGAACAGCCTCGTCAGCATCGCGCGGTGATCCGCGGGACCGCAAACAGCCTTCAATTCAAACGCATGGGTCATTGCATAAATCGAACGACCTTACCAGTCGAGATGCTCATTGATTAATGCCCTATTTCGGGCGATAAACTTAGGACGACGGTACGACCATCAATTCCAAAACACCAATCATCGACTAGGAGAGTCCTGACTCCTCCTTGTCTGGATGATAGAAAGTGCAACTTTGATACGGAGTACGCAGTAAGAGAAGATATCCAAACATTCACGTCCCTCACTTAGCAGGGCCCTGGAGCAGCGTATGCCGTGGTGCGAAACTCCGACGACAGCTATTCGGATCTGCTCCCGCCGCGACAAGAGCAATGATCGTCCGCACCAAACCGCGTTGACTTGCTTCATCCACCGACATCCACCCGTTGTTTTTGGCCAAAGAAACAGAAGCTCCACGCTTGATCAAAAGCTTTGCGCAACGCGGGCTGTCCAACTTGCAGGAACCATATGCATGAAGCGGAGTCTCGCTCTCGGCCGTCTGAAGGTTCAACTTCAACCTCAGGATGTCGGAGAAGAAGCATGAGATCGTAACCATATCTATGTGCTGCCTCGTGTAAAGAACTCCATCGGAGCCACGTCGGAGCAAAATTTCGACCACTTCATCGCATCCGCGTCTCGCTTCTATCGTGAGGGGCAGCTGTCTGAGTCGCGAGAAGGTATTGACATGGGCGCCGCAGGCTATGAGAATTCTGAGTTGAAAGCACACAAACTGACTGGAGGTAGCTGCCTCGAACAACCCTGCGTAATTGTCCTCGCTATTATATAGCTCTACGTCCGCGCCTTCATTGACACGGTACGGCATTGGATGGTGTGACAGGCGCCCTCCCTGTTCCTTTGGCAAGACGCTGCTTCCATCAGAAGAGCCAGTTGCTGGCAAGGCACTCCTGACTTCTCATCCACAATTGCGCCATTTTGGAAGAGCCAGCGTACAGCTGGAGATTTCCGCAATCAGCAGAAGCAGGCCAAAGGTATTAGATTGACCCTGTCCTCAGTCTCGATGTCAGCACCGGCCTCAAAGCGTGGCGACTGCTGCGGATCTTAGCTACCTCGAGGCGACCACTCCCTGCTGCGAGCAGAAATGTCGTTTCGCCATCTTGTTGGTGTCATCCATGGAGAGTTTCTTTCACTCTCGCATCTGGCCTTGGCAGTGTGAGAGTTTCCGTGCTGAGCCTCGTACAACAGGGCTTGGTTTCTGACATAGTCCTTTTCAGTGGCCCTTGTACATGTTCTTAGCATTTCCTTGACGGCTTTAATGCCGCCCGATTTGGTGAACTTGGGAGCAGTGCTTCATCTTGGGCCTCCTAACTGACCCTGTGCCTCAGCATTCACACTATGTGGGATGTGTTCATATCCGCTTAGTCGCCTGGAATCTTGTTTGCATTGTCAAAGATATCGTCGTGGGCGTCGTGTTGCAGAGGTTGGTTGGCCATCTTCGCAGAGTTGCTTTTTCGTTTCCTTGTGTGTGATGAGGCACAAGAGTGTATTGAAGCGACGTCTGATTTGAAAGAAGAGAGAGCCAGAGAAATGGGAGAGAACAGACTCAAAGTCGTGTATTGATATGTGCTCAAGGAGTCAACGTACTTCTCTGTCATTGATTCATGTTGTCAACGACGTTTAGTTGCACATGTAGGATACCTTCTGCCAACAGGTGGCGCCTGGTCAAGTCCAAATCTCCCGCTCAACTCTCAAAACCAGTGGATCATCCTGGCTTCAACCTGTGGCGATCTCACGCAGAAGTATGCGTTGTGACTCTGTACCTCAACCAATGGTAAGTGTGATTCCGAGAATAGGTCCCGCGTTGTGCTACCTACCAAGAAAGCCTTGTCGGATTTTAGTCAAGGGCTGCGCCCCCGTCACATTCAGCAGCTACATGTACATAGTACGGCGTGGCAGAACGGGATATGGGAATGTGTGCTGAGTGTCATCAAACCTAGCCTCTACGTTCTTGGTAGCGGACTTGATGTCGTCGTTGTGCAATTGAGACCGCCTCAAAGTCTCAACCATGTTGAGCAGATGCCTTTACTCTCTCCGAAAGCCTCTCGAGGCGACAGTCCGTACACACGGCAGATTCAGTTTCTCAGAACGTGTCCATAGGAGTCCATGTGTTACCCACCATCAAGAAGCGCGTACTGCCTTACCAACAAGAGCAATACTTCACCATTGGTCATCGTCGATTTTGAACTTACGCATCACGCACGGCAGACCATAAGCAATGGTGCGATACGGATTCGCTATCTTGACAATTTTCTCGTGTTCCTGTGCTAGCTGTGCCGTTGGCCCCTTTTGCTACAGCCGTGGTGTGGGCATGCAGGGTGTTGGTGACCTCTGCGCGAACTCGGCGGACAGCCCGCAGGCATTGTTCCTGACGAATTCGTATATCTTGAAAGCTGTTTTGACGAACTGTACCAGATTGGAAGGGAACTCGATGGCGACCAGAGCCTGAAGTCCTACTATCTCCTGAATCCAGACCAGAGCGGCGGACTAGAGCCGTCGAACCCTCCAGCCTGCCCTGCCTGGTTATCGGTTTCGTGAAACGGTATCATGCCCTGGGCTGACTTAGTTGAGTCGAATCGAGATCCTGGTGCTACCTTTGACGACGGTCTAGAAGGTGGAACGCAGGTGGCACATGCACACCAGTTATGGGCCCGACACGGAAACATGCGGCGTAGATCGGACTGCGGGGAATATACTTTTGGGCGGTTGGATGGCGTTGATCTTGTTGCTGAGGAAGCATAGATAAAACTTGCGCCCTGCGATCGAGGCGATTGAATGTCATGGCGAAGTGAACCGCGGGCGAGAAATGCACAGCAGCCTGATGTACCTGGTATGCATGGCTTTTCGAGAACGCACGACGTCACCGTCATGATAGCCACAAGCTACCTAGGAGAAGATCCCCCCCAACATTGTGTTTTCTTGTCGTTTGAACATGACGGGCTGCTTACATGTATATTGCCAGTGCCTCAAAGGAGGTGCACAATGAGGCCAGCATGACTTGTCAAATTCTGAAGGCCTACCCGCCCAGTAGCCGAATTTTGCCGAAGTACTCCGTACACGAGAGCTGGATGTCAAAGCTGCATCGTCGTGCAGATGCTTCCTCAATCAGGACGACCTGGCAGCGCCTAACTCGGGTTTGGTTTGTGACACGTCGAAATGTCCCCAACCTCTGCTTCCAGTCTGTCGGTTGCTGCGTGATCTCGTCATACCCAGAACGACCTGCAGACGTCGTGCTGCTTGGGTGGAAAGGTCTCGCGATGACTTCACCTTACTTGCGACGCGCTCTGTGCCGTTGCCAGAGACTGGATGCTTCTCGTGATGCCCAGCCGAGGAATCCAGGAGCTGGCTGGCAACAGTTTGCTGAGTCGATGCGCAGGACTCCAGTCCCAGCCCCGCGATTTTGATAGGGCCTCAAGAAGCTCTTGGCCTCTCATGCACAGTAAAAGGGGGGGCCAGTCATCGTCAAGTCAGGGGACCGATCACAGCTGAAGGGGCGAGATTCCAACGTGTGCTGGTGACACTGCGCTGCAGTGTGTTTGGGTGTGATTGGGTCGTCGAGTGCGGCATCGACATGCGGGCGTGCGGGCGCTCGCCGTTGGGCATCAGGTCCTCTTGAAGAAAGGCGCTGTTTTTCTCTCTTTCAAGTTATTCGAGGCATGGCTGGGCATTGACTCAAAATCTCGAAAACCCCATTCTTAGTTCCTCACCGACAGATTCCGGCTTTCTTCCAACCTTCCCCGTCTCCCTGGTCCCTAGTTCCAGATCGCCCCAGTGGAGATCAATGGTACTTGCATTTAGGCGTGAGCCAGCACCAAAACTGAAGTACCCTCGATCGCCTTTCAGTCCCACAGCCCACCGGGCCCAGCCTCAGTGGGCTTGCGCAAGTTGTCTCTCCTCACCGAATCTTCGGACTGGCACTTCCAGTCCCTTTATCGTCCGCGGCGACGACTGTTGTTAAGCGTCTGTCTTTGTTTGCTTTTTCATTCTTAGCTGCCGGTCAGCTGCAGCTTTAGCTTCTCACATCCTTTCCTCGCAAAGACGCTACGATGGTCCTGGAACAGACGATCACGATCGTGAACAACTCTGGGAAGATCATTGGCACGGCACGTTTCCCCCTCTCGTTTACAGCTCTCTGCCTTTACTAACATGGCAGACAGGGCAAGCAGCTTCTGTCCGTGTTCAACCAGGCCAAAGGCGCCTATCAAGAGAAGAAGGCTCAGATCAAATCCGAACGATCGACTCTTGGTCGCGCACAAACCTTTGACCACCACCCCACTACCTCACGAAGTGTCTATCGACACCATGATCCCTACGATTACGACGATTACTACGACGAAGAAGAAGACGAATACTACGATAAATACTACGACGAACCGCCAATAAGGCGCCACTCTGTCTACGATGGGCACAGCGAGGCGAGTTCGCGCCGAACCGCGCGGACGTCGTCTAGACGGAATCCCAGAGACGACAGAAGTGTGGTGAGCCGTAGGACCGCGCTGACCGCCAGCAACCTCAAGACGCTGAGCGAGGTTTCGAGTGCAGCGCCCTCGAGAGCCCCACGTGGCTACCGTCCCCCATACGCGGAGACGCTGAACAAGGACATGGCCGTCTCCAGAATGAACCTCACACACGCCGATATGCGCAGCATCGCGCCGTCGGAACGAAGGCCTCCGACCGCCATGACCCGTCGGAGATCATTCTCTGAGGTCAGCGACCGGAGGGCCATGGTGAACCGCCCGGGTGGGAAGCACATTGACATGGACCTCGCGTATGGCGACGTGCCGCCCGACCTGCAGGACCGCGTTGATCTGGACCCCGACCGCTCGGCCGAGGCCAAGGAGCAGCGCGCAAAGATGCTGGTCAAGAAGGTGGAAAGTCTCCTGGACGAGGCGCACTGCGTGCAACACTCCGCCTCCGCCACCATCTCCCACCTGCAGCAGAACCCAGATGCCGCAGCCGCTGTTGCCCTGTCGCTGGCGGAACTGTCGACGTTGGTCACCAAAATGTCCCCAGCCTTCCTCGGCTTCATCAAGGGTGGCTCGCCGGCGGTGTTTGCTCTGCTCGCCTCGCCGCAGTTCCTCATCGGCACAGCTGCTGTCGTCGGTGTCACCGTCGTCATGTTTGGCGGCTGGAAGATTGTCAAGAAGGTCAAAGAGCAGCAGGCGGCCCGGGAGGCCATCGCGTTCGAGGGCGTTCCCATGGACCGCCCTGCGCCCAAGAGGACGCAGAGCGACTTTAGCACGGGCATGGACGAGGCGTACATTATTGACGACGACATCAGCTCCATCGACTCGTGGAGGCGGGGTATTCTGCCCGAGTTTGGGGAGAACGAGAGCGTGGACATGGAACTGATCACGCCCGAGGCTCGCCGCGCCAACAGGTCGCGTATGGGCAAGGAGGATGATTTCGACACAAAGTCCCGACGAAGCACCAAGACGACAAAGACCTCCAAAACGAGCAAAACCAGCAAACCCAAGGAGCGCGAGGTCCCCGAGCGCAAGAGCAGTAAGCACGCCACGACCGAGAGCGTCGCCGGCAGCGAACGCAGCCGCAAACCCTCGTCGTCCAAGAGAAAGGAGAAGACAACCGTGCGTGCGATTGAGGATGGAAGGAGTCGCCGAGGCGACGACGACGGAATTGAGATGGTTTTCAGGCCCAAGGGCCAGAAGCAGACCAATATGCTGAAAGCCTTGTTCAAGACCAACAAGGAGAGGGAGAGGGAGCTTGTTCATGTGCGATGAGGTACGATAATGATCTTTTTCTCTATTTGTGGCGTATTCTGGGCAATCGAATCATTGACAGGCGTAATTGGGCATTTGGGTATATGCAGATATCATTCACTCACGTTTCTATACCTCGCATTTGTCGCCTTATATCCGTTTATGCAATGTTGGGGACCTCTACAACCTTCGTCTCCCCCATATCTCCACCTCTGAACGAATACGTAAAGGTTCCCGTCCAGCCGCTTGCGGCGCCGGCATGGTTGCCTTTGTTGTCCACAACGACCAGGCCGCTGGACACCTTGGGGTATTTGCTCACCATACGTCGCACTGCGTCTTCGGCGGCCTCCGCAGGACTCATGCCGCGTCTCATACTCTCCAAGGCCTGGTAACAAGGCAAGAAGCGCATCATAATGTCGCCGTCGCCCGTAGCGCCACAGCCACCGACCTCGTTGTCAGCGTAGGAACCGGATCCAACAATAGGGCCGTCGCCAACGCGGCCTGGCACCTTGTGGGTAAGGCCGTTTGTGCTCGTAGCCGCCGCCATGGCCCCATCTTTTGCAATGGCAACCATGGAAATCGTGTCGTGTGAAACCGGGCGCTTGTCCACCAGCTTGCGCGACGACAGGTCGGGTGTATAGGGGCCACATTGGCCTTGGGGCAAGACGTTCACCCTATAGTTTGGTTGGCAATTGGCTTCCTTCCATGTCTCACATATCTCTTTGGAGGCGGGCGTTGTCAGGTCCTCCTCCTCGAAGCCCATCTCCACCGCGAATTGCGTTGCGAGGTCGCCACTCAGCATGGTGTGCGTCGTTGTGTCAAGGACCATGCGCGCCACGCCAATGGCATCCTTGATCCTCCTGAGACCGGCCACGGCGCCCGCGTTGAGCGTCTCGCCATCGATGATCATGGCGTCGAGAGTCGTCTCACAGTTCTCATCGGGCGAGCCGCCGTAGCCAACTGATGAGTCGCACTGGGTCTCTTGACAGGTGGTGCAGCCGGCCTGGACAGCATCGAGGGCAGACGGTGTGCAGTTCGTGGAGAGGAGGCGGTATGCAGTCTCGGTGGCGGCCTCAAAGGGACCGGACCAGGTGTTGATGACGAAAGGGAGACCAGGGCTGTTGGAGGCCAGAATGGGGGTCCCCAGCGCAAGGAGTGCGACAGATTTGGTGATACCCATATTGTTTGATTTCTGGGAGTGATCCTTTGCGAGTGAAAGAGAAGCTTGAGGTGGATGAAGGAGCACTTGTACCTGGGAGAGTGTGGGGAAACTCGATACCTTGAGAGATAAGCGTAAACCCGTCTACACTCTATTTCAACCAAATTCCATCTAAGCGAGCCCGCCAAGTATTCCAATACCACTTATGAGCATGAACCTGCTAATCGGATCTCCTATGGGGAGAGTGTCATGAATGACCTTCCTATTGTGGGAACTCAGGATTGGGTTATCGATGACCCTTGCCAGAAACACATGTGAGATCAAAGGATTTCATTCAGCCTGTAGGTATCTTTCCTCCCATTGGCATTGGAATTTGGAATACCAATCCACAGGGCTCATACAATGGATCAGCGGAGGACCGGTCCGTATGTGTGTGATCGACCAGATCAAAGATCAGACCAGAGTGTCCAACAGCTGTTAGGAAAATACGTGTAGGGTAACCGTATCGATGTGTGGCACCTGTGTCACGTGTGTCGGCTGTCGCTGTCATCTCAGACGGTCACCTGATCTCGTGCTCATCACGCCCTCGCTGGAAGAGTTGGCTGAGGTCCATGTTTGCACTTTGCACATGCAAATTCAATCAAAATGTTAGCACATGCACTCCCGGCTTCAACTTCCTCACACGAACAACGCGGCTACGGCATCTAATACACCGGGGCCTGCCGGGCGGCCCGCAAGGCTTGCTAGTCTACTCCGTAGTGACTCCAATCTAGTCCCTACGTGTACGACTGAGACATGCCTGTGAAGAAGCTGATCTTAACAAGTTGAGCACCATCGTCATCACCTGAGGTCCGGCAAACGCCAGCAAATCTCCTCAATCTCACATACGTATTGCAGTATTGCCTAACCAATCGCCTGCTATTTGTTCAACACATACTTCAATGCCCCAAGACTCAAGTTAACCCCTTTTCGCCGGTCCCTCCTCTCACGCTTTTATCTCAAGCCTTGGCTCCTTCAACTCGAGCACCATCTGCCGCGGGCTGTGACATCTGATCCATCTGCCCATTGCCATTGGAAGAACGGTCAAGTAAAGCTCTGATATGGTCGTTCAACCAGTAACGGCCCAGGACTGATGGGGGGATCGCGGACGCTCCCGCAATGTATCCGAGGCATGCTGCACCCGCGTTGCATCCGCACTTGAAAGGTTGCACCATGGTCCATTCCGAGCTGGGGTAGAAGAAAGTCAGGGCATCGCCTGCGGCGAGAGGACGATGTTCGGAGACCCGGACCTCAAAGTTCGTCATGTCAAAGACGAGGCTGGGGTCGCACGAGTGGTTGCAGTAGACGAGGTCCGAGTTGAGCTCGATGCGCGAATTCTCACCATTGGCAACGGACGTGTAGGTGTCTTGGGAAGCCGGGGTCGCCGTCGTGATCTTGGAGAATAGTGCACCGGCTGGTAGGGACACCAGCGAGTAGGCCGCGGCTTGGTAAGGCTCATCGCCCTTGACGACCTCAATGAGGTCGGGGTGGCTTGGCTGCTGCCAGGTCGGGGTGAATTCAGACATTGTGTGATTGCGCAAGGTAAAATGATGGAAAGTGGGCCTGGACCTGACACGACGGCACTGTCGACTTTATATATCTCATCACAGCCTCTGGAAAACGTCAGGCCCGGCATGCCGAGGCTTGACCGCATACGCTCGGTATTTTTCTCAGCTGTCCTGCTCGACTACCGACTGGATGCTGATCAGTCTGCTTTTGTTCGTGTGCAACATGGATTAGAAGATTAGCGCCCAGGTGGGGAGCTGAAGCTGCCGAGTCTCATCCTCTCATCCGAGACATCTTCATTAGTTCTGGCTGGAAAAGGTCGCGTTGTGTCTCTAGTCCGTATGGCCGCAACTGACCTAATGCACGGCCTAGCGGTGATCAACGCGCAAATCAACACCTAGCGATGAACACGGGGTGACACGAAAGCAGTGCAACTCGGGCGCCATGGTCTGGTCAATTGTCTTTTCCTTTTCATCTTTTACAGACGCACCTTCATGTTTCTTCAACGTCTATGATCATGGGGCAGTTTATTCGCGACAAGGAATGGGATGACACCCAAGACGAGCCATGTTTCTTCCCTGTGTTGAACACAGGGTGCAGCAATCGAAGACCCGACATCTTGGCCTTTTTGCCAATAGCTTTGAGCACGTCTCGAGGAAGTGTCGCAGACTTCTGCAGTGCCCACGGTGTCGAGCCGTCGCGCATCTTACAGGCGACATGGGCGATTCTACTACAATCTTACACCGGGTCTGGCCGACCTGTGTTTGCTTACAATGATTTTCAGACACAATCACAGTACAAAAAACTCGGCGCGACATGTGTAGCGGACTTGGCACAGGATCGTCACGTTCTGGAGTTCCTACAGAACAAGGTTGAGGTTGTCCATCCGGACGCACAGGCACCCCAAAGACAGTGGTTCGATACAGCCCTCGAGTACGACAGCAACGGATACGATGAGGTAGAAAAACACGTACGACTGCGAAAATCAGCACTGACACCCGCCTAGAAAGATTTCAGTATTTTGCTCCGGTGCAATTCAGATTCGGAGGCAACTCTCCATTATAAGACCGCCACTCTCTCAGAAGAGCAAGCCTCGCTCATCGCAGACGTTGTCGTCCACATCACGACTGAGCTCACCCGCGTGTCTCATCTGCAATCTATCAACTTGTGCTCCCCCCAAAGCTTTCAAACATTGAGCCAGTGGAATAGTACAGCCCCCGAAAAGGTCAATCGCCGTATCCATGACCCTATCCTCGAACACTGCCAAAGTCAGCCCCAAACGCTAGCCATCAGGGCTTGGGATGGAGATCTGACCTATGGAGAAGTCGGAAAATTGTCCAACGCGATAGCTCATCAATTGGTGGAGCGCGGAGTAGGGCCCGACATGTTTGTTGGGCTGTACTTTGAGAAGTCAAAGTGGACAGCCGTTGCGCTTCTATCGGTCTTGAGGGCTGGAGGCGCGTACGTCTTCCTGGACTGTTCGTTTCCTTCAGGTCGTCTGCAAGAGATGTGCAGGCAAGTCGGCATCAGTCATGTTCTTTCTGTCCGTCGCCTCTTCAATCAAGCTGCTGCTGCCTTGCAACAAACAATCATCGCTGTCGACGACAATTTCCCGCAACCTCCCGCCGAGATCTCCCTGGCTGAGCCACACAACATCGCTTACGCAGTCTTCACGTCCGGCTCGACGGGAAAACCAAAGGGAGCGCTCGTCACTCACATATCGTACTCCTCTAGCCAGAAGCCGTTGGCCAAGTTTGTTGGTCTGGACTCCCACAGTCGTCTCTTCCAATTCTCATCATATGCATTCGACATGATCAATTACGAGCTCCTGTCACCCCTCATGGTGGGCGCCTGCTCCTGCGTGCCGTCAGAGACGCAGCGCAGATCCAGAATCCCAGAAACCGTCAGGGAGATGCAGGTGAACCAGCTGAGCCTGACACCCACAGTCGCTCGGCTGCTCAACCCATCCGACTTTCCGTCTGTGGAGACGTTTATCATTATTGGCGAACCGCCTTCACTTGATGTAATCTCGGCTTGGGCCAAGCAGACCCGACTGATCAACGGATACGGGCCAGCAGAGTGTAGTGTGTTTACGGCAGCACACCACATCAGGCCAGGGGATAGCCATCCGACTATCATCGGCGCCGGCATAGGCGCTCACTGCTGGATCACCGACCCTTCTGATCCCCAAAGGTTGGTTCCCGTCGGCGGCATTGGGGAGCTTCTGGTCGAGGGGCCCATCGTGGGAAGAGGTTACGTTGACGACCCTTTGAAGACGGAGCAAACACACATTGAAAGCCCGCCTTGGCGTGATGCGTTCCCAGGCGTCCCCGAGGGCAAGATGTATCGCACGGGCGATTTGGTTCAGTTTGTTTCTGGCTCTGAGATTCGCTACCTAGGCCGCATTGATTCTCAAGTGAAACTGCGCGGCCAACGCCTGGAGATGGGCGAGATAGAGCAAAACGTCAGGGATGTCTTCTCAGACGACATACAAGTCATTGCAGAGTTGGTGACGCCGTCAGACAACTCCGACAGAGCGCCCATTCTTGTTGCCTTTGTGCAGGATTCGTGCCCGGAGCCTGCAGCGCAGAATGTCTTTGCCCAACCGAGCGCCGAGTTCCGGCAGCGAGCCCAGGATGCATTGTCCAAGCTGGAATCGCGGCTGCCGGGATTCATGATCCCGTCTGTTATGGTCAGATTATCATGTATACCGACGTCAGCTACGGGCAAAGCAGACCGCAAACGACTGCGACGGGAAGCGTCACTGTTGACAAGGCAAGAGCTTGAAGCCTTCACGAGGGAAGCTGTGAAACAAAAGCCCCCAGAGTCACAGGTAGAGCATGCTCTGTATGAAATGGTTCAAAAGGTCTTGGGTATTGATGACTTTGGCATGAATGATGACTTCTTTCATCTTGGCGGAGACTCTGTGTTAGCCATGAAGTTGACAACATTGGCGAGGGAGGCGGGATTCAACTTGGCTGCTCAGCATATCTTCAAGACGCCCGTGCTTGGAGATTTGGCACTGTCTTTGGAAATGAAATTACCCCAGCTTGAGCACAGAGTACAGCCGTTTTCATTGCTTGGCGATCAAGTGGACAGTATCAGGCGCGTGGCTCAGGAGGTGTGCGGATTATCGACCCCTGACGAGATCGAAGACATCTACCCCTGCACGCCCCTACAGGAGGAGATGATGGCCGCTTCTCTGAAAGGCAAGGGAGATGCAACTTATGTCATACGGACCGTGTATCGCCTCCCACGCGCCATCGACACGGACAGACTACGACGCGCATGGGACGAGGTCATCCTGGCCAATGCCATTCTCCGGACACGAATCATCCAGACCAACCTGGAACAGACACTCCAAGTTGTCGTTGAAGGTGGGCTGAAGTGGCAGCGTGGCCAATTCCTCGAGCGTAGCGTCGCGCTGGACGCGCAGCAACAGATGCGGCTTGGACAGCCTTTACTGAGGCTGACTTTGGTTGAACACCACCTTATCTTCACGATTCACCACGCCTTGTGTGATGGATGGTCTCTATCACGAACACTGTCCCAGGTTGAGGCCGCCTATTATGGGGAAAGCCAATCGTCCAAGCCATTCAACATCTTCGTGGATCACCTGTGCAAATCTGATCACAGCAAATCAAAGGAGTTCTGGGCAAACCAGCTAGATGGATTCTCAGGGGCGCATTTCCCCAACAGACCTTCTGGTGACTACCACTACCAGCCAAACAACATCCAGAGAATTGATCGCCTCATTCACCCAAAGGTTACGCAAGGATCAGGCACGACTCTAGGGACAGCCCTGGGGCTCGCGTGGGCTCTAGTCGTTTCGCAATACTCTGGCTCCGACGACGTGGTGTTTGGTTCAACCGTGGCTGGCCGAAGCGTGCCTATCAGTGGGATCGATGAGATTCTGGGACCTACTTTTGCGACCATTCCCCTGCGCGTCAAGATCGACTACGGCATGACGGCACAAGAGATGCTCCGGAGGCTACACAAGCAGACTGCCCAATCTATAGGCTTCGAAAACATTGGCCTGAGAGCAATCAAGTCACTCGGACCCGAAGCTGCAGCTGCTTGTCAGTTCCAAAGTTTGCTGATCATTCAGCCCTGGGACACTGACGAGCCGTCCACTATGTTTGGCAGCGTCGTTGAGAGTCTTTCGGCCGAGGTCGTTGACAGCTACATCATCACTATGGAGGCGAGGCTTGGCAAAGATGGCTCCGTCAAAGTCGTGGCTGAATATGACAGTGATGCCATTCCAGAGCAGTTCATGGCTAGAATCATGGGTCAGTTCATCCATAATCTATCTGAGATTACCTCTAGGGGAGACAGCCCGCTGGGCCACATGACAACTGCTAGCACGCAAGACCTCGAGCTTATCAAAATGTGGAACAGCGCAGTTCCAAAAGCTCACAACTGTTGTGTCCACGACGTTATTGACCGACATGCCGTTGGACATGCCCAGCAGCAGGCTGTTGTAGCGTGGGACGGTAGTCTGACTTATGCGGAGCTCAAGACATACTCAGAGACATTGGCTGGGGATATTCAAGGTCTGGGCATTGGTCTGGGCGAGTACGTCGCTATCTTTGTGGGCAAGTCTCGCTGGACTGTCGTTGCAATGATGGCGACAATGAAAGCCGGCGCGTCATTCATTCTGCTTGACCCAGCCAACCCCATCCATCGGCTGCGGCAGATTTGTGATGATACGAATGCAAGCCTGGTCCTGACGTCTACCCAGCATCTATCAAACGCCAACGCATTGGAACTCCGGGTTCTGAAAATCGATGATACACAGAGGACACCCTCCAGCTGTCATTGGGTCGAGGCTGATGCCACCCCAGACAATATCCTCTACGCTGTCTTCACATCTGGCTCGACCGGGCGACCCAAAGGTGTGCTCATATCTCACAGCGCATTTCTCACAAGCGCAGTCATCAATGGAGGGAAGCAACACGTGAACAGTCAATCCCGTGTCTTGCAGTTGGCTTCCTTCACCTTTGACGCATCAATCGCGGAGATATTATATCCCCTCGCTCACGGGGGCTGTGTCTGCATTCCCTCAGCAGATCAATGTCGAAACAACTTGGAAAAGGCCATGTGCGACTACAACATAACCTGGGCAACTCTGACGCCGTCATTGGCCAGGGCCCTTACGCCATCCAAGCTGACAACCCTCAAAACGTTGGCTTTGGGTGGCGAGGCCATGACCAAACTGGACATTGATATGTGGGCGAGCCGTCTTCAACTTGTGAATGGCTACGGGCCGGCTGAGAGCTCGGTTGACGCTCTTATCCAGCCAGACATTTCTCCACAATCCAACGCAGGAAATATTGGTCGCAGCTATGCCGGTGCAGCGTGGATAGTAGACCCGAATGATCACACGTTGCTGGTACCAGTTGGGGCCATTGGTGAGCTCGTCCTCGAAGGACCGACGCTGGCTCAGGGGTATCTCAACGACCCAGTCAAGACCAGCGCGGCATTTGTGGATTATCCACCCTGGCTTCTGGAGTTGCGACATGGAAAGTCCGGGAAACTCTACAAGACGGGAGACTTGGCGATGTACAGCCCGAAATGCGACGGGTCGATTCGATACGTTGGCCGCAAGGACCTCCAAGTCAAGCTCCGCGGCCAGAGGATCGAACTTGGCGAGGTTGAGCACCATCTGCGGGAGTGTCTCGAAGGGGCCAAAGAGGTGATTGTCGAGATTGGCACAACTAGCGATGCTGGTGCGGAACCTATTCTCGCAGCGTTTGTCATGTTCCAAAGCGAGTTGTCGGCGAAGAAGCAACCCCTGGTGTCTTTACCTGACGCCGCGACATTGGGCCTGTTCAACTCGGCCGTCGCCGCGCTAGAAACTCGAATACCGAGCTACATGATACCCAGCCTATTTCTTGTCTTGAGTCGGGCTCCTCTCTCGTCTACTGGAAAGGTGGATCGACGATTGCTGCGAGAGGAGCTTTCCAGGCAGTCTCGGGCAAGCCTCAGCTCGTCGGTCAAGCGCGCACCTCGTTCGCCAGAAGAGAAAGTCGTACAAATGACAATGTCTAGTTTGCTCAAGGTGTCGCCTTGCGAAATCGGCTTCGAAGACAACTTTTTCCACAGAGGCGGGGACTCTCTCATGGCCATGAGACTGGTAGGACGAGTGCGTGACGATGGGTTCGCACTCACTGTGGCCGACATATTTGCCCGGCCCCGTCTGTCAGATCTAGCTCTCGTGTTGTCCAAAGACGATTTGGGGGCCAATTCAGTCGAGGCGTTTTCTTTGATTGCCGGAAACATGAGAGATATCGTCGTTGACACTGCCGCTGAGCAGTGTGGCACGGACAGATCTTCCGTTGAGGACGTTTACCCCTGCACACCAATGCAAGAAGCACTATTCTCTTCCAGCATGAAGATGACGAGCTCATATGTGGCTCACTTGGTGTTCTCACTGGATCACGACATCGACATTGATCGCCTGCGGGCTGCATGGGGCAGCGTGTATAGCGCAAACTCGATTCTCCGGACACGCTTCCTTCGAGGCCCTGGCAATGAGCTTCTACAGGCAGTTCTCAGCAGCCATATTGACTCGTCACCAGATCTAGAGCCACTCATTGTAGACTATGGAAAGCCTCTCCTCAAGATGCACTGCTCTGACAGCCACATGCACCTGTGGATCCACCATTGCCTCTACGATGCGGTCACTCTATCGACAGTTCTCGGACAGTTGAAAGCGTCTTACCGCGGACAAGAGATCCCTGCCAGTTTCTACAGAAATTTCATTGCTTATACTGCTGCGCAGGACATGGATGCCAGCAGCGAGTTTTGGCAGGAAGAGTTCAGGAACATGGATGCTGCTGTATACCCCCCTCGGCGATCAGAGCGGAGCTCAAATCTGGAGCCCGCCATGATGAGGACACTTTCACGAACATTCAGTGTTCCTGCCATCAAAGACTCCATGTTCACTCTGCCAACCATGCTCAACCTCGCCTCTGCGTTGGTCTTTGGACATTACGCCGCATCCGAGGATGTGGCGTATGGGCTCACTCTTGCAGGCAGGAATGCTCCCATGAAGGGGATCGAGCAAGTCGTGGGACCGACGATGACTACGATCCCATTTCGTGTTCAACTGTTGCCGCACGGATCCATCGCAGACAACTTGTCGGCTGTACAGGGCCACCTTCTACAGCTGGTTCCACATGAGCAGATGGGCCTCCAGAACATACGACTACTGAACGATGAAGCGGCGGCTTCGTGCGATTTTCAATGCCATCTGGTGATACAGACAGCAGAAGATGGAGAGGAGGATGACAGCTCCGTCTTCAAAGAGGTGCGGTTCGATGAAGACAACTCCAACTTTGCCAGCTATCCTTTGGTTCTAGTATTCACGCCATCTGCCGACAAGACAACGCTACAGCTCAATGCCAGCTACGACACCTCGTACCTTGATGAAGACGAAATAGCAAGGCTCTTCAGTCAGTTGCACCATGTTTTGGAGCAAATCTCAAAGGACCAGGAAGCGGCTCTGGCGAGAATTAAGGTTGCGAGTCCGTCAGATCTGGAGCTCATCTACAAGCTCAACAGTGCGGTACCCGGGTCAGTTGATGCCTTGGTACATGAGCTGGTCTTTGAGAATTGCAAGCTGCAACCAGAGCGCCCTGCTGTAAGCTCATGGGACGGGTGTCTTACGTACGGGCAACTGTATGACTACAGCTCTCGACTCAGCGCGCACTTTATGGCTTTGGGGATTGGGACACAGCCATACACCGTCATTTGCACCGGAAAGTCGTGTTGGACAATCGTTGTCATCTTGGCCGTTTTGCACGCAGGCTCGGCGTGCGCGATGATCGATCCATCTCACCCCAAGGCGAGGATGCAACAGATTCTTGACCAGACGGCAGCGAAGTTCCTCATTGTGTCCCCCGAAACACAGAAACTGGTCCTTCCGAATTCGTCTAGCGAAATCCATGTCGTGTCCGAGGAGTTGGTGACCAGCCTTCCGACACAGCTACCGAAGCATGTACCGCGGCAGCAAACGCCTTCCGACCCCTGCATTGTCTTCTTCACGTCGGGAAGTACAGGCCAGCCGAAAGGGGCGGTCCTCGAACATAGGAGTATTGCAACGAGCTTGCACTACCTTCAGGGTATCCTCAACGTCCATGACGAGTCGCGCGTGCTCCATTTTGCATCATATGCATTTGACATCTCAATGTGGGAGATTTTCATTGCCCTCACAACAGGGGGCTGCCTCTGTATTCCATCGGAGACGGAGCGCAATGAAGTAGACAAGTTTATCCGAAAGGAAAATGTCACTTTTGCGAGTCTTGCGGCATCTGGGGCTCGTCTACTTCAGCATCCCTCCCATGTCCCCAGTCTCGAAGCTCTTACGTTGGGCGGCGAGCCACTGAGCCCAGACGACATTGAGTGTTGGGCGGGCAGCCTGAGATTATTTAACATGTACGGGCCTGCCGAGTGTTCGTTCATGTGTGCGGGCGGCCAGATGCCTGCGAAGGGGTGGATTCCAGGGACGATAGGCCCAATGCTGAACGCCATCGGCTGGATCACGGAACCGACCGATCCGAGCAAACTCGCTGCTTGGGGAGCTGTAGGCGAGCTTCTGGTGGAGGGCGACATTATTGCCAGAGAATACCTTGGTGGCCCGGAGAAAACAGCAGCCAGCTTGATACACGATCCCCCGTGGCTTGCGCGGCTGGGGCGCCAGGGACGCATGTACCGAACAGGGGATCTTGTCCAGTATACGCGCAATGGGCACCTTCGGTACGTAGGTCGCAGAGACAGACAAGTGAAGCTTCGCGGTCAGAGAATCGAGCTGGCTGAGGTGGAAAGCCATCTCAAGGCCAGCGGCCCCCCTGAGGCAGTTATGATTGTGGAAATCGTGGCCCAGAAGCTGTGTGCTTTCGCTTGCCTCAGTCCCACCACACAGGATCACGACTACGACACACTATTCGAGACGTCGAGAGGTGTCGAGGCTTTTGCTCACTTCTGTCAAGAAGCCAAGTCCAAGTTGGCCTCGTCGCTCCCGCGCTACATGGTTCCAGAGACTTTCATTCAACTGAAACATGTTCCCCTAACCGCGTCTGAGAAGATCGACAGACGTCGACTGGTCGAAATGGCGACGGCTGCTGGCCTCGACAAGTTGTCGGTCGAATTTCAAGCGGAATCTTGCCCTCTGTCCACAGAAGCAGAAATGGCAATGGCTCGTCTTTGGGCAGACACGATTGGCCTGTCAATGGACAAGATCAGCGCAAACGACAACTTCTTCCACGTGGGCGGAGATTCAATCACAGCCATGAAGCTTGCGGCCGCTGCACGCAAACGTGGAATGAATTTGACAGTTCACAGCATCTTCACAAACCCATGTTTGTCAGACATGGCGCTCCTGGGGACCGAGGAACGTGGAAGCAGTACCGAGCCTGTGAGCGTTGATCCGTTTGCATTGTTGGATCAAGCCACGCTGGCAGAGCGCATAGCCTCAGCGGCAGACCAATGTTCAATCCAAGTTGATCAAGTCGAGGACATGTATCCGTGCTCTCCACTGCAGGAAGCCCTCGTCTCGCAGTCGATGCAAAGACCCGGTGCCTACGTGGGATCATTTGGATTCACACTCCCACCGACAGTCGACATTGCTCGGTTCCAACCAGCATGGATTGACGTGGCAGAGAAGAATCCCATCTTGCGTACGACAGTTGTGCAGGTTGACTCCTCTCTGTTTCAAGTCGTCGTTCGAGACAAGCTGACTTGGACTGTTTCGGACTCACTAGGGGAGTGTGCGTCCTCGCTACAAGAGAAGGAGTTCCAGCTCGGCATGCCTCTCGTTCAGCTCATGATCAGCGACAAAACGAGTCTTCCGGAGTTCTTCTTCGTTGTCCACCATGTTCTCTATGATGGCTTTTCTTTGAACTTGATCTTTCGCCAGGTCTCGCAAGCATATGATTCCCAATCGTTGAGATCACGCCCGTTTAGCAACTTCATCAGCCACATTAACCAGTCACCTGCCCTCAGTAAGCAGTACTGGATGGAAAGACTGGACGGCTGCAATGGCATACGGTTTCCGTCTTTGCCATCATTGGAATACTCACCTTACACCGACTCGACAGCCAGTGCAACGTCTAGGCTGAAGCCATTAAAAGGTGTGACGAGCGCTACTATACTGCAACTGGCATGGGCTAGTTCTGTCTCCACGTACACTGACTCCAAAGACGTGGTGTATGGACTCGTTCTCTCAGGCAGGAATGCCGACCTGGCCGGCATTGAAAGCATCTCAGGGCCAACCATCACCACTGTGCCCATGCGGATCTCTCTTGAAGACAAGGATGAGTCTATAAAGGAGCTGCTCCACAAAATTCAAGAGGAGACAGCTCGCATGACGCCCTTTGAGCAGTTTGGGCTGAGAAACATCAAGCAGCTTGGGGGAGACTCGGAAGCAGCTTGTAACTTCCAAAACCTACTTCTTATCCAGCCCGCCACCGAGATCGAAGACTCGACAGAAGGGCTTTGGGCCGCGCCGATACAGCAAGCAGACCGCAACGCAGGGAGGTTTAGCGCGTATGCTCTGGAAGTAACTTGCGAGCTATCCCGTGGCACGGTCAAAATCACTTTTGACTTTGATCAGAAGGTCATCCAGCCAATACAAGCCGAGCGAATGCTCAGTCACTTCTCACACCTAGTTGAGGAGATACAAGACCGCATCGAAGCCCCGACGTCGCAACTCAACATGCTGGAATCTTCTCCGTGCTCGGAAATTATGCAATGGAACGAGACGCTCCCAGAGGCAGTCAGTCGTTGTATTCATGACGGCATCAGAGAGACGTGTGAGAAGACCCCTGGCGCTGCCGCCGTTTGCGCTTGGGATGGCGAGTTTACATACGGCGAGCTGGACGAATTGTCATCTCGCTTCGCCGCGCATCTGCAGGCTCACCATGGAATCGGTCCCGAAGTCTATGTTCCTATCCTGGCCGAGAAGTCTCGATGGGTAGCCATTGCCATTGTCGGTGTCATCAGGGCTGGCGGCGCTATTGTCTTGCTTGACCCCTTACTGCCGTTCGAGCGTCTACAAACCATTTGCCAAGCAGTGGATGCCAAGTTGATTGTGGCTAGCGAATCCTGCCGTGCCACTGCCCAGCAGCTGGCACCAGTGACAGTAGATATGGCGCACACTTTCGAACCGAGCGCCGGAGTCGTGGATCCACAGGTGGTTCCAGGCAATGCCCTGTACATCATCTTCACATCTGGGTCCACGGGAAAACCAAAGGGTATCGTCATTGAGCATGAAGCGTTCTACACGAGTGGCTTCCATCAGCAAAAGCCGCTCTACATTGATGCGGAGACGAGAACACTCCAATTCGCGTCTCACGCGTTCGACGTCAGCGTTGCTGACTATCTATGGACGTTTCTCGCCGGAGGCTGCGTCTGCGTGCCTTCTCAGAACAGCCTGAAAGACGATCATCTGGGCGTCTTCAATTCTCTGCGGGTGAACCGCGCTGATCTCACGCCCTCCGTTGCACGAGTTCTCCGCCCCGAGTCCATTCCGACTGTCAAGACCTTGCTCCTTGGTGGCGAGCCCCTTTCGCAGGCTGATGTACAGGTTTGGTCCGGGAGAGTCAGACTTGTCAATGGCTACGGACCATCCGAGGCATCTGTATGCTGCGTGTTAGCCGATGTATATCCCGAAACAGATGCTTCGAACATTGGGCAAGCATACGGTATTTTGCCCTGGATCGTGGACAAAGATGATCATGAAAGGCTACTCCCAATAGGGGCCATTGGCGAGCTTGTGCTTGAGGGCCATTCGCTAGCCAGGGGCTATCTTGGAGACTCTGGCCAGACTTCGGCGTCGTTCATCAGCTCGCCCAAGTGGCTGCGCGAGAAGAGACCGCATTCCCGCTTGTACAAGACTGGGGACCTCGCGCAGTATAATTCCAACGGCACCATCAGGTATATTGGTAGAAAAGACACGCAGGTCAAAATTCGTGGGCAACGCGTGGAGCTCGGCGAAATCGAGCATCAGCTACGCCAAGCAAGTCCATCTGTTCGAGACACTGTTGCCGAGTTGATCACGAGGAACAACAGCACCATCTTGGCAGCTTTCGTCTTGGAGAGGGAGCAGGATGTTGGCGATGATGAACCATTCCATTCTCCTCCCAGTCATGAGAATCGGCGCTCGAGTCAATGTGTTGTGTCAAAGCTACAAGGACGACTGCCACCCTACATGGTACCGTCTGTCTTTATACCCCTGAAGAAGCTCCCCCTGTCTCCCAGTGCCAAGGTTGACCGACGCCGGCTTCGTGAGCTGGCCAGCTCTCTATCAAAGGAAGAATGGGAAGGATATCAAACCCGGCATGTCACCAAGCGCCCGCCCCAAACAACTCCCGAGAGGCTTCTTCAAGAGGTGGTTTCCGAAGTTCTGCGTCTGCCGTGCGACGATGTTGGCATGGATGATGATTTCTTCCGTCTGGGCGGTGACTCCATCATTGCGCTGCACTTTGTCGAGCGAGCGCGGGCATCGGGCTTTGCTTTCCGTGTCAGCACTGTCTTCAAAACACCAAAGCTTGCTGACCTTGCGCTGATGAGGCAACAAGAAGATCCTATTGATGCTAGGATCCCCCCCCAAGTTCCCAATACCAACGGCGGGGACCATCCCATGATGACAAATGGACACTCTTCACCTCCAAGGCCGAATGATGGACGAAAGAAACATCTTGGTACATCTGATTCCATCGTAGACACTCTCCCTGTCAGTCAAGCCACGGAGCGCTTTCTTCTTGTTACCCCTGAGTACTGGATTCTCAATCTACAGGGTCCCGTGGATCGCGTTCAGCTCCAGTCTGCCTGTACGCGTCTTGTGCAACGACACAGGATTCTGCAAAGTATTTTCGTGAGGAGCCCGCAATATCTACAGTTGGCGCTCCGCGAAATAGACACTACTATTGAGTCCTATCAAACCGCTTCCGAGGTCCTCGACTTCGTGGAGCAGTACCGGCTGAGCGACGACATTGCCGTACCAACTCTGGGCGTGCCGATCACCAAGTTCCTATTCGTGGAGAATAAAGAGGGCTGCCAGGCACTGGTCGTCCGTCTGAGTCATGCTCAGTTTGATGGGTATTGCCTGCACACCCTATGGAAGGATCTGAAGAGCTTGTACGAGGGAGAGGTGCTTCCAGAGGCTGCGGACTACTCATCACACATGGAGTTGTGGGCTGCAAGCAAAACACCGGAAGCGTTTTCTTTTTGGAGAAATACCTTGCAAGGCTCTGAAGTGACCAGAATCACCAATAAGCTCGTCATTGGTAGGGAGCCAGGCGACAACGAGACGGGGTTTGTCACCACCAGTCGCCGGATTCACATAGGGGTAGATCCACGCGAGGTCACCATGGCCACTCTGGTCAAAACAGCATGGGCAATGGTTCTTGGACAGCTGACAGGCCACAACGATGTTGTCTTTGCACAGGCAATCAATGGCCGCGGCAACACACCGCCAGGCGTCGTCGGCCTGTGTCTCAACTTTGCCCCTGTCCGAGTGAAGTTGGATTCTACACAAACCCCACTCCGACAGATGCAGCTTGTTCAACGCCAGCACCACGAAATTCTCGACTACGAGTTACTGGATTTCCGAGATATTGTCAGACAATCGACCGGCTGGCCTACGGACACTCTTCATCAGAGCCTCCTTGTTCACCAAAACATTGATCCAGACTTACCGTTCTCCTTTGGAGATGCCGAAGCTCAGGTGACCTGTTGCTATCACTGGGGAAAGCCACCTGATGACATTCTGGTTGAATCGCGACCGCTCGGGGATGGCGACCTACAACTGACACTGGACACGACGGCCAGCATCCTGACACAGGAGAGTGCTGATATGGTTCTTGAAAGGTTCTGCCAAACAGTCGTCTCACTTGGAGAATATTTGAAAAGCGTGGAATAGTGTGGCCTAGTCCAGAAATCCTGTCCCTGCAGGCGGCCGACACTAGTTACCGCACTGATGGTTCATATCCCAACAAGCCACGTATCCTATCTCAACTGTATGATAAGATTGCGTCTCTTACTTAGAAAATCCATGGATTAACATGGATTAAATTTACCAACACTCAAACTTAACTGTCACAAAAGCCCATCCGCGTCAACGCCCGTTCCATGATCAACACCCAGCCCCATGCTGAAGCACACCTCATGTAATCCTCTTGTCCAGTGTCCTACAATAAGTTTGTCGAACACGCATCGTATTCCGCTGGAACTATGCTTCAGAGGCTTTCATCACTGACTTCCCATTTAGAAGTATCTTTCTGGCCGCCTCGAGCCAAGACAGACTTCGGATTCTTTGCAATTCTCTCGCGCTCGAGTCGTTTCTTTTCCTCAACACGCTCCTTGTACTTCCACCAGACTTGCTTCACGCCGTCGAGGGTTCTCGTTGGAAACTTTTCCTGGAGAAGTCTGTGAGCTTCGATTCGCTGAAGGCAGTGCCACTACTTCTTTGCCATGATGGAAAGGTAACGATAGGGAGACTCACTCGAATTTCCTCAAAGCTCGCACCTCCTTTTCTCATCTGTACCACCGTCTGTATCTCAGCGCCTCTCTACAGCGTCCGATACGTTTTTGGTGGACCAGCAGTGCTCAAGGCGTCTTTTTTGGATCCAGGATCAACTTGGGCCTTCCGACCCTTACCCTCCAAAGCTTCTTGAATGGCGATCTCGAGCTTGCGACCTCTAAGACGAATCCATGGCCGGATTCCGCGGTACATTGGAAGGGGACGTCGACCGCACTTGAGAGCTGAAGCTTGCAATGTTGTCAGACGCGTGCTTGATAACCACGATAGCCTGCGGCGGCTAATTGAGCTCTTTGGTTCGCTCGAACCTGGTGAATTTTCCGAAGACGGGAAGCGATGGGGTGTAATGGGCACTTGAAGAGATTTCGGACCGCGCATGCTGGTTCAAGTCGCGTGTTAGAAGGGGTCGACAGTCGCTAATGGTTCAGACCGGGAGGCTTAAAGTCGGTTTTGGAGGTGATGATGTTGATGGGTGGCACATATCAAGGTTTTAGAGAAAAAGGAAAGACAGCGAGACACCAGACTGTGACTGCGCCAATATGAATTGATGTTCAGGGGTTTCCTGAAAAACACAGAAGGCAACAGTAGCGGGCCCCGTCCGATGTGTGGGCTGATCACAACAATGCCACAGGCAGGCCACGAGCAAGTAAGGAACAAAGCGACGATAGCTAGAGGCTGACTAGGCCAGCGCCTCCGGTTTTTGTAGTTCAAGTTGGATTCACTGAGCCAGATAGTAGTCACTTACCACTCAAGTGCTTGTCCACTCTGAGAAACCGGCCAAAGGACTGGCCGCAGATGAAAACAAACTGAGGAGCAAATACGTTTCGTTTGGATAAAAGGTCAAACAGGGAGTCACCACAGGCAGCACAGACTTCTAAGGTATTTTCACAACACCAAACTCAACTGCAGCAAAGAGCACCAGGTGTATTAAAATTCCGTACAAAGGCGACTGCGTTCAGCGCCTGCACTTGCAAGCTGCACTTTCAAGATACCAGGTACCTTACCCATACACCAACGCTTGCCGGATGCTCTCTCCGGAAAGAGTCGAAACACAGCCTGAGCAGGTCCCGAGTGCCTCGCTAGTCCTGTCTCTGGATCGAAGACTGGCGATGCGTGCTAGACAGAGCCATCTGTCCAGAGATGGTTTTGATCTTTCACGCTCTTGATCAATGGCTGGATCAACGCGCCCCATGGCGTCCGAATCCGTTGGAGGAGTGACCCGATTGAGCAAGAACCACCCTGATTCCCGTTAGGTGGAATTTTCTCGGTGGGAATTAGGCACGATCCAGGAGGCCAACATGGTGGAGTTTTGCCTCCCGCGTGATCTCACGACGTTGGGCTGCTGATCCGAACCAAAAAGTCCATCGCGTGGATTGAGGCCAACAAGCCGGGCTTTTAACAGATCGCAACGTGAGCAAAACTACTGCCTCAGGGTATTTGGTCCTCAAGACAAGGGGATGGCCAGCATTCAGGGTTGGCACTTGGCAGCGCCTTCCTGCGCTATGTCGTGCATCCAAGTTTAGACTAGCGCCACCTTCCCCCACGTCAAGATTCACTGGTGACTGCAGTCATGCCTCGCAGGTATTGTTAGCGGGGCATTCCATCGCACAGCTTCCTCCGTCTTCTTCCCACAAACCACCATCCTACCATCCGACATTCCTAATACGAATTGCTTGTAGCGAACAATTGCTGAGACATATCATTACTACAATTGCTCAACATCATCTACAATGGATGACCAATTTGGCGGGCGAACCGACGATGATCTGTTCTACGATGACTTTGAACCCGTCGAAAGCGAGACTGTCATCATCTCTGAGCAGCCACCAGTAACGCCCGCGCCTACGAGATCACCCGCGCCTGTGCCTGTCTCCCGGCCACAGAAGAGCCCTTCAAAGCCAGTCCAAGGTCTCTCGTCTTCACGATTCGCCGACAGTCCAGAGCCTCCCGAGCAGACGATATCTCCAGTCGATGCGCCAGCTGAACCCGCAGAAGCTGCCCCTCCCGCTGCGAGTGGGCCGCCCTCAGACGCGCCAACCGCTCCCAAGAAACACCAGAAAGGGAACGGCAGGAATCACAAGAACCATGAATACCGCGCGGGGTCTGGCGCCAATCCTCGGCAAAAGCTTACAGAAGATGAGCTTTCGGCCAAGATGCAGCATATGAAGCTACTCAACGCGGAGAAGGAGCGCAAGTTCGAGCGAGCTTCTCAAGACGAGAAGCAGCATGCTGAGTCCTATGCTAGAGGTATGGAAGAGGCACGCAAGAGGCGCAAGGAGGCCGAAGAGCGGAGAAAGCGTACGGAAGAGACCCAACGAAAGCTAAACGACGAGCGTGAGAAGAATAGAGAGCGGAAGCTTAAAGCTATGGGCGCAAAAGAAGGAGGGTCCTGGGACGAGGGCAAAGTCGAGCAGCTCGAGGAAGAACGTCGCAGGGGTTTCAAAGGTGCGAACGGTGGAGTCAGAGGCACGAGACGAGGGGGCTTGGGCAACAGTCGCTTCGCTGAAGATGATGCGCCCGACGTCGATCGGTTCCTCGAGGAAAGGAGTCGTGGACGAGGTCGTGGCAGGGGAGGTCGTGGGAGAGGTGGGCGCGGAGGTCGCGATAGCCCAGCCAATGAACGTGCGCCCACGAAACCGCAGGCCGTCCCCACAACGGAGGATTTCCCTGCGTTATCTACGAGCAGCATCAAGGAGCCTGAGAAGGTGACGGCTGCTGTCTCTCCTGCATACGAGCCTGGGAAAGGCGTTGCTTGGGATGAGGAAATGGAAGCTCTCGACGCCGAAAAGAAAAAGTACTAGGGAGACCTCGGCGATTGGGCTGACCATGTGGAAGAGGAGCTTGCGCTGGCTTCCGGTGCATCCAAGGTTCAAGAGGATCCCGGACTATCATCAAGCACACCCAAGGCTGAAGATGACGTTGGATTATCGTTCAGCACGCCCGAGGTTGAAGGTGACACTGGATTGCCATTCAGCACACCCAAGGTAACAGGCAGAGCCCCAAAGGCTGAACCGTCCAAAGAGGTCCAGCAAAAGGCCGGTGGCACATGGTTCTCCCACTTGGCGATGGAGGGCGACGAAGACGATAAACACACAAGCGTCACAAACTCGGATGAAGGCTTCGAGGACTATGGAGAAGACTTTGAACTCTCCGATAGTAAAGAATCCGAGGAAGACACGGCAACTTGCGAAGAGAGCGACTACCATGCCGATGATGAGGCCGAAACATCTGACTTCGAGGCTATACAGGCCAAGCTCATTGCTGCCCAGTTCCTCAAGGGCAAGGCGATCGCGGTACGAAAAGCCCATGCCACCAAAACACTAGGTGTTGCCTTGGTGGAGATGCCTGGTGACCGAATGACCGAGAGCTGGCTGCAGCACGTGCAAGCCAGATCCAAGGACATCAGGTGCACCATTCTTGTGCGCGGTCGCAGGATCCATTCCCGTCTTGTCTGGGCATGATCAACGGAAGTAAAGTACAATTGTAAGCAGCCTTAGAATATGCAAGGCACAAGCGCATGTTCAGCCAGCGAATAGAAAATCAATAATGGTATCATTTTCCAGTACTCTTGACGCCCCAACTCCAATGTCTGATGTCGCAACGCCGCCTCTTGCTTCTGCAGAGCGCCTACCAGCCTCCTCCACGGTATCCACGACCACCACGACCGCCCCTGAACCCTCCAGGCCCCCTAGGCCCTCTTGGTCCGTCGTCGTCCATGCCGCCGCCGCCGCCGCCCCTCGGGCCTCTCCCCTTCATCTCCTTCGGAAAGGCGTCGTAGGTTTTGCGCATCTGCGCGTAGCCCAAGTGCATTTTGCCGTAAAAGTGATCAGCCAGCCTACGGTCATTGTCCAAACGACTCAGATAGGCGCCGCAAACGTCGCACACTTGAAGCTTCTGGTGTCCCGAGGGGCCAGATGTATCAGATAGCGCTTTCAGCTCGCGCTCCCTCTCTGATTTGGTCACGGTCGCCTGTCGCACGCGGAAGAGCTCGTCCTGCGCACGCGAAACCTCGCCCATGGAGCCCAGAATCTCCACCTCCAGTAACCCATTCTGAATGGAGCTCGTCAGCTCCGAGATGCTCTTAAGTAGGACATTTGTCTGCCTGATTTCGTCGGGTGTCTTCTCCAGCCGCCTCTGCGCAGACTCAATTCGTCGGTTGCACTCGTCAATGTAGCGTTGCAGGTCGCGCATATAGTCGTAGTCGAATCCATGCCGTTGCTTCTCTCGCGCTGGGAGATTTTCGTACTCTGTTTTGAGGCCTTCGGCGTGGACTTTGGGGCAAGGCCCGAGATCTTGCTTGGTGTTCGTGAAGAGATCGTGTGGGCATGTGCCGACCAGGTACGATCGGCAGACTTTGGGGTCGGTGAGCGACAGCTGTGTTGAGCGGGAAGAGGCGGATCCGCCCATGAGCTGCTCGAGAAGCTTTCGTTGTTCGGCGGCCATGTTGGTTTGTCTTTCCCAGTGTGGTTGGTGATGTTGGGAGAAGAACTTCCATGAAATTCGAGGTCGACGACGCGGAATGCGCCAGGCGACGCTGCAGGGAAGTGGGGCATCCAGGTACGCGGAATCCCACCGCAAATCGACCGCTGGGATTCCACCCACCTCCAGGTCAGACACGTAGACCAGACGTCGCTCGCAAGCTCGAGGGATCAGACGCGATTCTCTCGAATCGTGTCCGATCAATCCGAAATGCAGTCACTTTTTGCCTGGCTGCTGCTTTTGGCGACAGCAGTAGCAGCGTCCGATTACCACGAGCAGCTCACGCTTCGCCCCCTCCCGCTGTCCTCCCTTCTCGCCAGCTTCGACTTTCGGTCGAACACATCCTTCTCCGACTACGAATCACAAAACTTTCGACTCTTTCCCCGGTCACTCGCGCAGATTCTACAGCATGCCGGTACAAGAGAACTACATCTAAGGTTCACCCTCGGCCGGTGGGATGCGGAGAACTGGGGTGCACGACCCTGGGACGGGACCAAAGAAGGCGGGACAGGTGTCGAGATGTGGGCGCTGGTCGACGCGGGTAGCGACGAGGAGGCGGACCAAAAGTGGCTGACACTGACAAACACGTTGTCTGGGCTGTTCTGCGCGAGTCTGAACTTCATCGACGAGACGAGGACGATTCGGCCTGTCAAGTCGTTCCAACCAGAGGGACACCACACGGAGGCTGCGTTGGCGCACTCCAGACTACTGCATGGCGTGCTGCCGCATGAGGTTGTCTGCACGGAGAATTTGACGCCCTTCTTGAAGATGCTACCATGCAAGGGCAAGGCTGGCATTGCCAGTCTGCTAGACGGGCACAAGCTCTTCGATGCGTCGTTCCAGAGCATGGCGATTGACGTACGACCGATCTGCGCTGAAGGGCAAGAGTGCGTATTGGAGATTGAGGAGACCATAGATATGGTTCTGGACATCAACCGGTCGAAGCGACCAAAAGGTGAGCTGCCTTGCACGCACTGATGTTCTCTTGCTAACTATGCAGGCAATCCTATCCCTCGACCTGTCAAGGCTGATGAGCTTGTTTGCGATCAGTCCAAGCCGTATCACTCAGAAGATACATGCTTCCCTGTCGATCACCTTGCCAGCCCCGACTGGCAACTCGACCAGGTCTTTGGTCGTCCGATGAAAGGCACGTGCCCGCTGGCTGACGCCACCGTGCCATCTGTATGCATCCAAGTGCCCGACAAGCGCCACGTCTTCACTTCCGAGGGGTCGGTTCAACATAAGGGAGCTGATGGCCAGTCCCGATGTTACACAATGGACGAGAACAACGACTTTACGCTCTTCCTCGCGAGACCAGACAACCCTGGCGAGGGTCTCGAGGTTGTCGAACCAGAGACGCCTCTGCTCTATGCAGAGCGCAGTTTGACGGGCTATGGGCAGGAGAAGGGTGGTGTACAGGCCATCCTCACCAACCCAGGCAATGAGGACGTCGAGTTTGTCTATCTCGAGTCCCTTCCATGGTTCATGAGGATTTACTTGCACACTCTCGCGACACACATCTCGCCCAACACGACGACAGCCGTCGATTTCTCCACTCCCTCCTCCGACATCATCAAAGAAATCTACTACCGCCCGGCTCTCGACCGTGTCCGCGGCACGCAGCTCGAGTTGCTCCTCAAGATTCCAGCCAAACACACCGTTTTCTTGACTTATGATGTCGAGAAGACCATTCTCAGGTACACCGAGTATCCCCCCGACGCCAACAGAGGTTTCGATGTAGCAGCTTCTGTCATCACGACCCTGTCCCCCCGGGTGATGAACCTGCGCACGACCAGCTTGCTGCTCTACCTCCCTACACCGGACTTTAGCATGCCATACAACGTCATCATCTTCACATCGACTGCCATAGCGTTGGCATTTGGCGGTCTGTACAACATCATTGTCAGGAGGTTTGTGGGCGCAGACGAGGGCGAGCAATCGCCACTCAAAGCCAAGCTTGCTAAGCTCAAGGAGATGATCGCAGCAAAACTTGGCAAAAAGTCCGCAGCGCCGGAGGAGAAGACAGCCGTCGAGGCGCTATAAGGTTGATAGAAATATGCTTTGAATTGTACTCGCAAAATCTCTAGCATTGACTGTCACGAGAATTGATTTGCGTCTTGGCTTCTGATGTCCTCCTTCTAACCCAAGGCTAGCTAACACGATGACACCTTGAGGGTCAACACCCACGCCAAGATAAATCATTCGACACCATTACCCCAGAAACCCCAGATTGGTCCATGCTGTCCAGAATACCCCTGAATAAACATACATGTAGGGCTGCCAACCTCTTTTTTTCTCTCCCTCGCAGTTCTCACGAACCTCATGTCCCGTCATTTCACTTCATTTAGGGCCGCTAAGACGCCGTCATTGATACATCCGGGCGATCTTCAGCATATACTCGTCAACTGGAGCGAATGCTCCGTTCCTCACGTCATGAAGACGTTCATTACGTCATGATTCAGTACTCCCTTTCTTTTGCTGTGACAATTTGAAAACGTGAGAAAGGGGATAAAAGCTCGTAGAATCCTCTTAGGTGGTAGATAGTTGATTACATTCATCTTGTCATTGCTGGTGAAGATTGTATCGATCACAATGGCTCCCAACGAAACCCCATCCTGGGCGACGAAAGCCCCCTACGCGCCACCAGCCAACGACTTTGACATCAAACTCCAAGGAAGCTGTCACTGCGGCCATGTGAAATACAATCTGAGCAGGGATAAACCGTTGGCGTCCAAATTCTGCCATTGCAATGACTGCAAGATTATTCATGGTAAGCTCTGCCGTCTTAGCCATGTCTCTTACATACGGATGCTGAGCGCCCAACACAGGTGCTCCTTTCCAATGGGCTACAGTCTTCCACAAGGAGGACCTTTCGTTTCCCAACCTCGATACGGACTCTTTGAAGTTTTATAACTCGTCTTTCCATGAGGAAGGTGAAGGCAAGCTTCAGCTCCCGCACAAGGTCGCCTGTAAGCACTGCGGAACCTGGCTATTCGACGAGGGGAGGAACATGATTCTCCTGTTCCCGACCACAGTCCAGTTTAAGAGCACTGCGGCGAGGAGGAAGTTCGACGTGCAAATGCACTTGTTCTATGGCAACAGAGAGTGTGACATCCCAGATGGGACACCCAAGTGGAGCGGACTAGACGAGAAGAGTGATTTGATGGACGAGAAATAGCGCTGAGTAGAACCAATAGAGCTCTCAAAAGTCAAATCACAGACATAGACACAGAGATCTGAACGTTGCCGTGTGTGAATTCCAATTCTCGTATGTACTACGCTAAACGCCGGCAAGTGCCTAGAACCCTGAACGCCTACCAAATGCGCTTTGCAATCATTTCATACCGGTTCACGCCGTTATACTCGGCCTCCGGCTTCTTCTTGTCGTCAATGTCGACCCTCTTGCTCCCGGGTCCCTTGCCGCCTTTCAAGCCTTCAGTCTCGTCTGCATGGATCCATTTCTGTCGCTCCTCGCCCACTTCTACGTGGCCGTACCCGCCGACTCTGCGGCCTGCGGCGTCGTACGATTCACGCTCGGCCTTGTTGGCGGCCACCAAGCCTTCTGCGTGACGCATTTGAGCATATCGATTGCGTGCGTACTTGAGCAGAACCATGCCCAGCAGGAGCTTCAAGATGAGAAGCACCAGGAAAGCAATGAAAAAAAAGACTATCATGGTGAGGGTGGCGATGAAGTCGTCGGTCGTCCAGGAATACCAAGGTCGAGAGTTCAGTGGTGAGCCATACGGGTAGCCGTAGGTTGCGCGACCCAGAGAATCGCGAATCAACGAGTCGAAGCGATTCAGTGCGGCCATCATGGCTGGCGAGGAGGGCGTGGCTGAGGCCTGAGCCAGGGAGGTGTGTGTGGACGGTGGTGTGGGCATTGGTAAATGCGTCGAGAGAAACATGTTGTAGGTCTGGAACGAAGCCCGGATAAAGAGGCATGACAGGGGAATGACTGCCAGGCCTAACCGCCTCGTGAGAGAAGGGCTCGTGAATGCCTGAAAATCAGTAACCATACCGGATTCCCACGAGACAGACTACTCACATTGGTGTAGTAGTCCTTGCACAGAATGTCAAGGATCCTACCATAAAAGTTGGGTTTGATGTTATTGAATTTGGTCACGTATGCGTGCTTGATGCTGTCCACAAGCATCTCGCTCCCGATCACAATCAGGAACGGGGACAGCACTTCGCCCGACATGAGCCAGGATGGCAGCACGGTGAAGCTGTGCGGCAGTATTGACGTGTTGTGCAGCGGAGGGATCCCGCCGGTCGAGCCGTCCTCGTCTGCGCCCTCAAATGCAGCTCCGGGCACGGTGAGACCGCCAACTTCCACAAAGTTGCGCAGACCGATGATGAACAGCATGATCCACAACTGGAAGCGCTCCACAATGTCCGCGCATGTAAGTTGGAACAGGTTGTCCTTCTCGAACCGCTTGAACACTGTGCTTTTGATTTCCACAAATTGATTGGATAGCAGCAGCGTGAGCAGGGCGTTCGAGTACGAGTTGACGGCCACGTTGAGAGTGATGACCTGGTAGTACAGAGCTACCGAGTGCAGACAGCAATATAACAACGACAGAATGAACATTCCCAGTGGTAGAAGCACCTTGGATCGTCCAGATGCGTTCCTCGACAATGTTTCGGTGCTGAAGAGACACTCTAGGATGTCTTGTCCTAACGCGGAGAGGAGACGGTCGCCCACTTCAAGGATGTTGTAGATGACATAGAGCTTGATCGCCGACTGCGCCCGAATGAAATGGTACATGCGGCTGGCATCCAAGGTCATGAGGGCCATGGAACTGCAGATGATGACAAGCCCCTGCAAGAGGTCGGCTTTGTGGAAGGCCGTCAGGCTAGAAGGCATTGATTTTGTCCTCCTGTGGCGAAAGGTACCGGTCCTTGGCCCCGGGTCATGGCCAGCCTGGGATGGTCTGGTATACCCACTGCTGATACGCGAGTCACCTCGTGAACGATTGGGGAAACGGTCGCGGATCGTTGAAGGGCCGTCAACATCAACGGAGAACTCGCTGGCTGTGCTGCAACTGCGAGACCGGCTCGTTGTGGTGCCGTCCCTGTGTCTCTCGCGCCCGCGCTCTCTCAGGCGACCTACACCGCCCCAAACATATGAAACGAGCCACCTGGCTTCCTTAGCAACCACGTAGGCCCACCACCTGATGAGCACGGCAACTGCCTGCACGAAACGGATGGGTAGTATAGTGAATGTGTATAGCCAGGCATCTAGACACGCCAAGGCCCCAAAGTACAGTGTTCGTTCAAGGTAGGTCGGGATCAAGAGGACGTTCTTCAGGCGCTCAAATTTGACGGCGCTGGATTCGTATGGCATATCACTCGTATGGGGATGGAAGATGTACAGCGGACTGGGCCTTTGCGCGGCAATTTCGAGCTGTAGGTGCGTTGGTATCGACATCGGCGGGAGCGGAATCTTATTCGGCAACGGCGACGATGGCGGCGCTAGGCTCGGATGTTCTGATGGTCCCGGTGTGCTCACAGCTGATGGCCCGGTCTTGATTTCTGGCGGCAAGTAGTGTGGTGACAGGCCATCGAGACTGATGTGCAAAGAGGCAGGCCGGGGAGGCGGATTCATGGAGAAACGTCGAGGTGATTTCAGAGTCGTCGATGTATCAGTTGTCGGATCCGCCCTGGTGCTCGGTGGCGTCGATACTGTCCGTTGCGATGGAGGAGGGCGTCGTGAGAAATCTCTCGTGGCCCACGAACGCCCGCCACTTCGTGGTACGTCCAGGGTCGGGACGCTGGTTTGCACCGGTTCTGGACTTCTGGTTTCATGGCCATGTGCAAAAGCCTGCCCTGGGATATCGAGATCATCTAATGCTCTGGGTTCCAGTTGCTGGTCAATGGACCTCCGTTGCGCAGCTGGCGCCACTGGAAGCGAGTCGGGCGAGCTTGTGAGGTCTTGGATCTCGGCGGCCGACAGCTTTTGAACGGTATGAGTGCTGCTCCTACTTCGCGATCTTGTCTCGGCTTGTTCGCTCGACATGTTCTCGGGTTTCGCATTGTCGTCGAATGTCGACTCTGGGGTCAAATGCTCCGATATAGACGAGGATCGCGACCATTCGTTGCGGCTACTCGTCCGCGGCGATTCATCTTCCTCGGAGGTCCGGTCTTCATCAGAGGATATCGTGGGGAGCGCTGAGGCGCTGGAGATGGGGCCGCCGACATGACTGCCATCATTGGAAGAAAGCCATGTTTGGCCTGAGCCGTCGTTCAGCCTTGGTGACGCTGGCCTGTGTGCACGTTCGGTCTGCTCATCGGTAGCGGCCATAGCAGGTGCGCTCGGGCATTCTGTCCGTCGTGTTGGAGTGTTTCGATGACAATGGGCGTTTGGCTACCGTGGAACAGAAGAAGCGACGTTGGTTGGGGGCGCAACGAGAGTCAGATAGCACCATGTCCGGAACAGCGTTCGTAAGCGTGGGGTGCGCACGAGACAGGATTTGAGGTTTCACCAAGTGCGCCGCGCAATCAAGGCTACCCTATAGTGATCTCACGTCGTTCAGTCTTGTTTTCGACCTTTGATTCTAAAATACGTTTGTAATGGTAAGTACACAAAGACATGTACGTTTAGGGAACACATATCTCATAAGTCATATCGGACATAATGAACTTGCCGAATAGCTAGCACGGATTCTTGTGCAAAAACAACCACTCCAAACTCAGAGTTACCGACAGGACTTGGTACCGTCTTTTGGTGTAATTTGGTGTGATATCTGACTCGACTACCGCTACACCCTGACAAGAAACTCATCAAACCATGCCACGGCCTGCGCAAATGCCTGCTCCTTGGCAAACCTGGCAACCTTGACTGACGGATCACCTTTGGTTGCAAAGCCGTGCTCAACACCCTGGAATAGGGTAATCTGGTAAGGTTGTCCCGTCCGAGACAAGATCACTTCAGACTGATGGCGCTTTTCAGCAGGAGAAATCGCATCAATTTCAGCAGCCGAAATGGCCAAGGGACCAGTGATGGCAGCCAGCTCTTCATCGTCCACGAAAGATGGATGCGCAGTGTAGCCAACGGCAATGCCGTTCTTGTAATGGCGCACCACGTACTACCGAATGTGAGGACAAGTACGCACATGAACTATTGCGCATGGATCAACTGACCTTTGCCCCAAAACAATACCCAGCTGCCCCGATCATCTTGATGCCCCGAGATTGCAACGTTTTGATTCCCGATACAATGATGGGGTCAATAAAGTCGGGCGTATGCGGACTGCTACCATCCGTGCCTTGCTCAATCCAAGTCATCAGATCAAAGTCCTCAGGCAAGGGGAACTTTAGAGCATCGCCGCTAAAGATGTCGACGACGAGGGTTGTGTACCCGCTGGCGGCAAAGGCATCCGCCAAGAGCATGCTGTTCTGCCATATACCGAAGACGTCTGGGATATACAGAATTCCAGCTCCCTCCTTCGACCCGCTGGACGGAGGACACGCGATGTATGCATTTGTCTTCCCGTCTTCGAGCTTGACCTGCTTGCCTTTGGGCTCGCCCCTGTTGAATCAGTGTCGCCGTCATAAGCAAGGCGGCACAGAAACATACTCAAAGAGGTGGCCACGGGTGCAACAGCTACCAGGTGGATATGAGGCCATGACGTTGATGTGAGCGTTCGGTACGGTGCGCGAGCGTTGAGGGAAGAAGGCCTGCCCATCAAGTCGATGGTGAGCACCGACCCACTAAAGTCCTGCGGTTTCCGGCAACTCGGCGAGAGTAATCTCCTCCTCAGGTTGACTCATTTTTGCCTTAGACCCTTCGCCTTTCGCTTTTTGAAGACTATCCCCGACGATTTTGGCTCGTCATTGGTGTCCTCGGCCTTGACACAGGCATCCGTTGTCGGATTCTCGTTCTTGACCGGCGCCGCCAGACCTTGCACCTCGGTGTCTGGCTCGTCCTTGACTTCAGGTTCTCCCTTGACCTCTGGCTCTGTTTTAGGCTTCAATGTTGGTGGTGACCCATCTTTAACATGCTCTCCCTCGTCGTCTTTCTTCACCAGGAGGGCATCTCCTTCAAGAAGGGCATCAAGATCCTGGGTGTCCTGGGTAGGCATCTCCTTGATGTCTCGGCCCCAACGTCTAGGCTTCTTGAACAACCCGCGGATAGCGTCCTCCTCTTCCTTGTCTTCCTCGGCAATGTCCCGTTTCCGTACGCCATTTGCCTTGCCTTCCGTCTTGGTGTCGTCCAAGGTCTCGGTATCGTCAATGACGCGGGTGTTTGTCACTTGCCATTCGCCAGGGATGGCCATTTCGGCGCGGAACTCGGATGGCATGGATATGCCCATTTCAGCGAGCTGCTCCCGCTGCTTCTTGAGTGACACCTCGGTCGGTGCGCTTGGTTTGCCATGATGCGCGCCCGTCGATCGTAGCGGCGGAGTGGAGGCGGACGAAGATGAACCAACAACACCCGAAAGACGAGCGACTTCTTGCTTCGCGCGGTCCTTCTCACGTTCTTCCTTCTCGTGTCCTCGATGTAGATCCCGCAGGAAGCGCTTGAGGTTGCCTTGGTGCCGTGCGGTTGACTCGTGATTCTGGCGCTCGAGCTTGGTATCGCGGATGTAACAGCTGCAATGCTTGCACCAGTATTTCGGTGTCGATTTCCAATGCTCTGACATGGCGACGGGCTATCGAGTGGTCGGAAAGACGCCTGGTTCTGCTTGAAAACGAGGGCAAGAAAGTCGAGTTGCGAGCATCAACTGAAGCGCAAGGAAACATATGTGCGCGCCCAGGCGCGCGAATAAAGTTCCTTAGTCAGCCTGACTCCATAAATATCTGTGCTTATGAGCCAATCAATCAGCGGAACACAGGCAGCTCCTCGGGTGAGGCTCACTAAGGAATCTTATTTGCGCGCCTGGGCGCGCACTTATCCCCCTAAGGCCAAACGAAGCTTACTAAGGCGATTTAAGGCTTCAAGGCCAACTTCAGCTGCAGCTTACAGCCAGACACCTTAAAATAGCCTGTGTCTCACTGTTCCCAACCTCCTGAAACCCTCTCGCAAGAAGTCTTTCCATTCATCATCCCTTCTCAGAATCGACTTCTGCAAGCTGTCATCCTCTCTGGGGGGCTTTGATTCTTCTGCATTCGAGTACGCTGCCGCTGGACAGCTTTCTTAACGATCAGCCACCCACCATGTCGCGCTTCTCACGTTACGACACGGACGAGGAGCGCCTGCCCGAGGGCATGACTCGCGTTGGCTATGATGCCAATGATCAGACGTACACTTTCCAAGACGCTCACGGCACACTCTATCGAAGCGCCCCCGGCTGCGAGTATGGCGAGCTATCACAGGTCGGTTTCGAAGCGCCCAGCGCTCCCGCGGAGCACATCAAATCACCGTCGTGGCGCAGAGAGATGGGACCCTTCCTCAATTTCGGTGTGCTCATCGGGCTCTGGCTTTTGGGACTGTTCTGGTACCTACACTACGCCGCGTCGTCCTCGCATACGGAAGATTCCACGCCCGAGATATCTTGTCAAGGAGACACTCTTCCCCACGTGATCAGCAAGGGCGACACGTGTTGGGAACTTGCTAACGAGCGAGGCATGTCGGTTGATGACATTACTGCTTTAAATCCTCAAATCGACTGTGAGTCGTTGGCTGTTGGATCCGAGCTGTGTCTGCCGGCCCGGCCTGCGTGAGCCTTCGGTCTCGTTGCTTTGGGGCACAGTTACTTGGCAATCTCACCGCGTCATCTCTTTGGCTGGCTGGACCTGTCGACGCGACTCTTGGACTTGTAACATAGTCTTCTTTGTGCTGCAACATGGTCAGATATCTATCTATGACTGTTGATCAGTGATGACGTGTAACGTCCAGCTTCTGTCAACAATTCCATGTCATGCTGCATGGAAGCCCCATTTGGCGCGCCCCAGGCAGGCGGTGTCGCTGCTGTCGCTGAAGACCCTGATGGTGGGGCAGGGGCGCGCCTGGGCGGGGTCTAATGCTGTTCAGTAAGGTAATTTGCAGCGGCCTGAAAAAAAGTCCTCTGGGTGCCCCGCGCCGCTCGACTCAAATTTCCTCCTGTCAACTTTTCTTCCTCTCTTTCTTCTTCACCATCAAGTCCACACGGTGAACAAGACAAAAGATGGACAAAGATCAGCTCGCCCGCTTGCTCCAGGAGAGCCAAGTGCGTAAGTTCACCTCCTCCAACACAAGGCAGCCATTCGAGTACACTGTTGACAACTGAATAGCCAACACTGAGCAGGTCAAGGCTGCCACGGCCGAGCTTCAGAAGAACTGGTACACCAAGCAGGAGACTCTCCTCGCCCTTGTTGAGCTTTCGATTACACACAGTGACAATGGCGTGCGCCAGCTTGCCTCTGTCCAGGCCCTGCGCCTCGTCCCAAAGCACTGGGAGAAGCTCGGTGCGGACCAGCGCCAGGCTGCCTGCCAGCACCTCCTCGACGGCGCTCTGAAGGAGAGCTCCGCTACCCTCCGCCACTCTCTGGCGCGTCTTTTGGCTGGCGCCGTCGGTGCTGACATGGAGGAGGGAGAAGGCACCGACTTCCTCAAGACTCTGCTTCCTCTCAACAACAGCGACAACGTTGTTGGCCGTGAGGTTGCCTCGTTCATTCTGTATGCTATGCTCGAGGATGACCCTACTCACTTCAGCGACCACACTCACGATCTCCTCAAGCTCTTCCAGAGCCGCGTCGAGGACCCCGAGAGCAAGGAGGTCCGCATCAACATCGTGCGTGCCATTGGCGCTATCCTGATGATCGTCGAGCCCGAAGAGGATGCCCAGGCTGTCCAAATCATCCAGACCCTCCTCGCCCCCATGGTGAACATCCTCAAGGCCACCGTCGAGGCTGAGGATGAGGAGAGCTACAAGGTCGTCTTTGAGGTGTTCCAATCCTTCATTGCCTATGACACTGCCCTGCTTGGCTCGCACCTCAAGGACCTGATCCAGTTCATGCTGGGTCTCGCCGCCAACACGGACGCTGAGGACGATGCCCGCACGCAGGCCCTTGCGTTCCTCATCCAATGCGTGCGCTACCGCCGCATGAAGATCCAGGGCATGAAGGATGTCGGTGCCGAGATCATGGTCAAGTCCATGCAGATTGTCACTGAGCTGGACACTGAAGACGACGAGGAGTTGACCCCCGCTCGCACAGCCATCAGCCTGATCGACACCCTTGCAAGCGAACTTCCTCCTCGCCAGGTGATCGTTCCCTTGCTCGACGCTTTCAAGGCCTACGCGACCAACTCCAACCCCCAGTACCGCATGGCCGCCATGCTTGCCCTTGGCAACGCTGCTGAGGGTGCCCCCGAGTTCATGTCCACTCAGGTGCCACCGATGCTCGACGTCATTGTTAGCCTGTTGAGCGACTCGGAAATCTCGGTGCGCTATGCCTCTCTCATTGGTCTGATTCATCTGGCCGAGGAGATGGCTGATGAGATGGCTTCCCACCACGAGCCAATCCTGTCCGCTGTGCTTAAGAACCTCGAGGCTGCCTCGCAGGGCCCTGCCGACAAGACCAACATTGCCATCATCCGCTCTGCTTGTGGCGTGTTGGACACCTTTGGCGACGGTGTTGACACCGACATTATGGCCCAGTATGGCCCTGGCCTCATCGCCCCCATGGTTCGCCTTCTGGACCACGAGAACTTCGGCGTCAAATCATCAGCTGCTTCAGCCGTGGGCGCCATTGCCTCTAGCATGGGCAGGGCCTTTGAGCCATACTTCAAGGACACCATGGCTGCGCTCGGCCGCTTCGTTGTTGTCAAGGAGAACGATGAGGCTCTTGAGCTGCGCAGCTCCACTTGCGACAGCATGGGCCGCATCGCCATTGCTGTTGGTCCTCAGACGTTCCAGCCTTACGTCGAGAACCTGATGCAGGCTAGTGAGGAGGCTCTGCACCTTGACAACCCCCGCCTCAAGGAGACCAGCTTCCTCTTGTGGTCCAACCTGTCCAAGGTCTATAAGCTTGATTTCAACCACTTCTTGCAGGGTGCTTTCCAAGGCCTGTTCCAGTCCCTCGAGCTTGACGAGGAGGAGATTGACCTGCCCGGCATTGACGCCAGCCAGCTTGGCGACGGCAGCATTGTCATTGGCGGCAAGCGCGTCAAGGTCAAGGCCCCGGAGAACGAGGAGGACCTCACCATTGCCACCGGTGGTGAGGATGACTGGGATGACATTGAGGACCTCGACGACCTCGGTGCCGTGACCGCTGTTGCTCTCGAGCAGGAGATTGCCCTGGATGTCCTGGGTGATATTATCTCAAACTCATGCACCAGCACCGAGCTCGAGTCGTATGTGCAGCAGACCATCGAGAAGGTCACCCCCTTCGCCGAACACACTTTTGAGGGATGCCGCAAGACAGCTCTCGCTACGCTGTGGCGCATCTACGCCCGTGTCTTCCAAGTCTGGCAAGAGAACAGCGGTATCACGTGGGAGCCTGGCATGCCCCCTAAGCACCAGCCCCCTCAGTCTATCAAGACCATTGGCGATGCTGTGCTCAAGGCGACCATGAGCATCTGGGTCGAAGACGGCGAGCGGTAAGTCTACACTGATTTCTTTTGGTCCCCCCCCCTGCATATCCACATGATGAGCAACAACTCGTTATACCCAGCTCACTCAGACGCAAAGCGGTTGCTGAGAAAACGTAACATCTACTCCTGATTGGATTTTCACATTAGCATTTTTTTCTCGCATTCATCTTGCAGAACCTGGCTAATTGTTATAGTTCTGTTGTCAGCTCGATCAACAGCAATGTTGCTGCCACGCTGAAGGAGTGTGGCCCCGCCATTCTCCACGCCCCCGAGAACAAGCTCCTGGAACAGGTCATCTCCATTATCACCTCGCTCATCACTGGATCGCACCCCTGCCAGCAGGATCTTGGTGACGAGGAGGAAGTCCACGACCTTGAGGCCGGCTCTTCCGAGGTTGACTGGCTCGTCGTTGACACCAGCTTGGACGTCATCAGCGGTCTGGCCGCTGCCCTTGGTGCCGACTTTATGGAGTTGTACACCATCTTCGAGAAGCCCCTCCTCAAGCTCGCCAGCTCCACCGAGGACGTGCACCGCTCTACTGCCGTTGGCACCATTGCCGAGATTATCAAGTATGTCGGCCCTGCCGTGACCAGCCGCACCGAGTCTCTGGGCCAGACCATTGCCCGTCGCCTGACAGACACCGACCCTCTCGCCAAGTCGAACGCGGCTTACGCCATTGGTCTTCTCTTGTTGAACTCTGAGGACACCTCCAAGACCTTCCCTCTGTACCCTCAGATCTGGGAGAAGCTGGAGCCCCTCCTGTCTGTCAAGGAGATGCGCATGACCGACAACGTGGCGGGAGCCGTGAGCCGCATGATGATCAAGAATCCCGATAACGGATTCGTCGAGCAGGCACTGCCCGCCGTGGTCAATGTCCTGCCGCTGAAGGATGACTACGAGGAGAATGTTCCTATTTACCAAGCCATCTACCAACTGTACGGCAGCTCCAACCCTGTCGTGCAGCAGCTCACCCCTCAGCTCATCCCTGTCTTTGAGAAGGTGATGGGCGAGCCCGAGGATCAGCTCGAGCCCGAGACCCGCGAGCTCCTGAAGCAGACGGTGCAAGGGCTCTACAAGCAGCAGCCTGGTCTGTTTGCCAACAACACGACGCTGCTGTCGTACGCTGGCGTGCAGTAAGGGCGAGGGCGGGCCGACGACGAGGACATGACGCATATGAGTGACGAACCGGGCATGAAACGGCATGCTTGCAAAATAGACCTTGCTGGAATGGACGCAAGAGGGGTGGGATGGATAGACTATTTGATGATACCGTAGCACATTCAGGAATTTTACATTGGCGGGAGCATATTGCTCCTCACTTCACATTCATTGCCTTGGCGTGTTGGCCGTGTTGTCGTGATACCCCATGACCAGCAACCTCTCGGTTGGAGCCTGGGCCACCATCTTGCAGCAACAATATGGAAGTTGTTCTTTGACAACGCAGCAAGCCACGCATAGATGTGGAAAGGCACGGCTCGTGGGCGGCCCGTACCCCGTCACACGCGAACAATACGAAGACAACACCACCATGCGATGAGCTCTGACCATGGCCATGCAAGATAAAAGAGCGCCTCCCCTCGTTCTGCGGCAATCATCCTCGCTCGTCATCCTCACGCTCGAACTGTCCAAATCTTGGTGTTTATACATACAGAGCTCCTCTACCTTCACCATGGTGTACAGACCTCCCTATGCACGTCGTTGCCCCAACTTTGACGATCACCTTACACAACTGGGTGCGCACTAGCTTCGAAAGAAATCTAGTAACAAGATAAGGTCTTTGGAGTCTGTTAAATGGCCACTATGCTCAGATAGCGGACTAGAGCATCCCCCATTTACTTAAGCGGGTTCACAACGACACAACCCAGCACGACAAGCGCAGGTCCTACCTGGCTCCCGCTGAGCAGACGAACTTGGATCTGAGAGACTTGTAGGAGAAAATGGAAACGGGATAATACAGACCGCGTTTATGTTGTTTGACTGTGCTCATGGCATTTGTAAGAAGTGTTTCACTAGGACGACGGTGCGGACATTGAAGTTGGAAGAAGAATGACAAACGACATATGTGCAAATGCCTCCTCATACTACTTGATTCATATATACAGAAAAAGACATATTTACAGTGCACGTCTCTCGCCTATCACGTGTCACGACAGCCCTAGCATCCCTCCGGAAGCTCAAAGTCCTCTGTGCGCGGCCTCCTCGCCGCATCTGGCCCAAGACCTCGCTTGGCGAAGCCAGCCCAAAGCTCGCAAAAGTTGTCACCACCCGTCAGAACCTCGTCCGCATCGATGATGGCGTCCCGCGCCGCAATGAGGTCGGGCGAGCAGGGCTGCAGGGCCATGCCCTCCTGGACGAGCTTGAGGGCGAGAAACTTGCCGTCCTGGGGGACACCCGCTTCGTCGAGGACGGGGAAAGCGTCGTCGTTCTTGCCGTGCTTGTCAATGAGGTTCCAGAGGACCTCGTAGAGGATGGAGGCCCAAATGTTGCCAATGTCGTGCACGCGGGTGAGGCCATCGACGGCGGCGTAGGTGTGCGGGTTGGTGGTCAGGCTGGTGGAGTAGACGTACTTGCGGATGCCGGCCGGGTTGCCGGTGACCCAGTCGCCCATGGGGTAGTCGGTGGCGCGCGTGTCACCGGGCTTGAGGCGTATGGCGGTCGCGAAGAAGTCGGACCAGCCCTCGCCCATGCCGCCGGGCTCGCCCGAGCTGAGGCAGTTGGAGTTGGCGGGCCCGCCGGTCAGCCGGGTCGAGAGGCCGTGGACGTACTCGTGGATGACGACGCCGGCGTCGAAGCTCGAGTCGCGCTCGGGGACGGTCGAGGTGAACATGTACATGCGCATGCGGCCGTTCTGGCCGTCTGGGGGTGTGCGGAAGTTGGCATTGTCCGTGCTGGAGCCGTCCTGGGACTGGAGGTAGACAAAGTCGTTGCCCCGGCCGCCGTTGCCGTTGTTGCTGATCTGGAAGTTGCCCGCCTCCTCGTTGAAGCCGAGCACGTACAGGAGGTCGTGGAGGTGGTTGGCCGTGTAGTAGAGCTGGGTGATGGAGGCGTCCCAGTACTTGGTGTTGTCGGTCTCGTTGAGGGAAAAGGGGTACTCGAACGCAAGATCTTTGCTCTCGGGACGGTAGCGGTCGAGATACCCATCCGCACCGCTGGGGTTGACTTGAGCGATGCCGTTGTTGCCACGGGTGGTTGTGTACTTGCTGATGCCGTCGTTGTGCCAGCCGAGGGGCGACGCCTCGAGGAGCCAGGGATCTTCCACGACGGTCCTTTCTACATCAGAGTCGAGGGGGTCGTTGAAGCCCCACGGGTACACTTCGTAGGTGGCGTCCGAGTCGTAGTCGACGACGCCAACCACACGGCTGGTGTCCGCGGCGTCGACATAGGTCAGCAGCCAGTTATCTTCGAGCTCCGTCTCTACGCGCCAGGAGAGCTGCAGGTCTTTGTCGTTGCCGTTGCTCACCCACAAGAGGCGAGTCTCCAGCTTGCCCACGTCACCCTCGGCACCGCTGATGATGTACTGCTCTGGGTGCTCGCTGCCGATGAGGCTTTGCTCAATGATGGCATTGTCAGCCTTGAGTGGCAGACCCAGGGCCTTGATGGCACCACGAAGGGCATCGACGGGGTTTGAGTAGTCGCGCTTCTTCAGGGGTGAGTCGCTGGGCAGCTTGCCGGTGAAGAAGCTGTTACCGTGGGAGAAGACTTTGCCTTCGCGAACCTGATTCATGTGTTGTCAGTATATGATATTGGAGTCGTATATGGCTGTGCATGTCTGTCAACCTACATTTACGTGAAAGTCGCCATTGTCCACATCAAGCCCGTGGACAGTCTGCTTAAAGTTGACATGCCCGACGCCGTTGCCACCGACGTATGCGTCGTCAATGACACGGAACTCGAGGTCCGGGAACTTTTCCTTGACGAGCTTGGTGGCTGTTTCCACGTAGTCGGACGACGAGATGCGCATCTCGGCCGGCTTGACGTTGGACGTCTTTGTGTACGAGCCTAGACCAGGCATTGCGTACTCTGAGAGGTCGACGCCGCGCTTGGACAGGGCAGCCGCACCATTGTTGGGCTGGCGACGTTGAGGGTGGGCATGGACAGCCGCGAGGCCAGTGAGGCCAAGGAGCATCTGGTACTTCATCGTGGCGGCCGGTGTGAGGATTCTGAGGAGTGTCGCGTGTAGGCACACAATCCGTACGATAGATGGCGGCCACCAACTGGCTCTTTATAACAGCAGAACAACTCACGACCCACGTCAACGAACCATGTCAGCATCCGAGGTTCTCTGCAACCTGTGGAGTCTCAATCTGTTGATATCCAGGGCCCAGGGGCACCTCTCGGTCTCTCTATCCGCACCGTCTACGAAAACGGTCTGCCAACCCCAGGAAGGCAGTTGACCGCCGCCGAGCATCTACAGGGTCCTTTGACATGCCGAGATGATACGACGATCCTGGTTCTCCACTGGACAGAAGTTCGCCAATGCTACACAGAGTCAAGGTCATGAGCCTAGACCTCCATCAACAGTGGTTGGGTTGGACCCTTTGGGGAAGGCGGATTGGATGATGGAGGGAGCTTTTGTCGGCTCGACCCTGACTATATGGCTACGATAGGCAGGCGATGATGGTTTCATTGAAGAAACAGACCGTCTCCGATCTCCGGAGACAGGGGTTTGCGTGGAGGACCATCGTGGAAACGGTTTAACGCCGGGAGTCGACTCGTCACTAGCCAGGGGTTTGCAACGGTCTTGGACCACCGATTGGTCAAGGCACGCAGGGGGATATTTGCCGTGCAGAAATTCCCTGGGTCCTAATTAGTAGTCTAATCAATACGATAATTTGCCCTGGCACTTTGGTAGGAACACGATGGCATTGTTGGGCATGTGGCAGATCCCGAGGGGCATGTGTGATTTGAGGTTACATGCCGAGATCACAATCGTCAGCACATCATCTTAGACGGAAACATCCCTCAATCCTTGCTGTAATAAGTACTGCATTCGAGGATGATGCCAGCCTTGCCATGGCTCGTTGCTCAGAACCGCGCCAGGTATATCCCTGCCAGACTTTCCAGTCGAGCCCTGCGCGCCAACAAATGCACGCGTGACGTGCCTGGGCAGTTTCGATACTGAATAAATGAATATCGAGCACGCCTCCCGTGTTGGTTGTCTCCCTCTTCACATATGCATGTTGCGCGAAATAAACTCATGATTAGCTGATGGAGCTTGGCAGACGGCCTGCCGGAAGAAGACACCATCCGTGGCGATCTTTCGTTTATACGCGGGGTATCCTGATTCGAGGCACATAGATTCCAATAGTACGTACATTGCTGCGCCGTTGTGATATCGCTGGTAAGGTGACGCGCTTCGCCTCGTCGTCAAGGTTGCACTGAATGTGGCGCGACATGATGTTTGCGCCAGCATCGGGTGGGTGATGATAGTGCACGGAGGAGTGGATGGGTTAGGCAAGTCGATGCTTGGCAAGAAGATACCTCGGATAGATATGAATTAATGTAGCCCCTTTTTTCAGTTTTGGACAAGTCGAAACTAGACGAGACGCATTCCTGTGTCGTGCCTCGGTCGATAACTTGCGTGAGGTTTACTGCCCGCTAGAAGTTGCAAGTAGGCGTGCGATTCAAAAGCCACTCAACAGACTCTAGGAGACAAGTCATTTGATTTGATAGTAGGAGATGTGTCAAACAGGCCGAGTGAGAATTTCACTGTGGCTTTATTGCGGCTAATAAGCGTACGTATGCAACAAAATATGTCTTTTCCCTCATGGCAGAAACGGCCTGGGGCTGCATTGCTGTATACGAGGGGAGCGCAGTCGCTGCGTTGGAGACGCGATGGGCTTAATGTAATGCCGTCGTCCTCACAATAGATCATCCCTCTCTGAAAACAAACCTCAGTTGTAGGGATTATCAGTCATCCCGAAAGCTTCAAGCGAAGGGGAGACCGCCAGGACCGCCCATCGACTACGCATTGATGGCGGAACAGCGGAATCATGGCGAGCTGCCTGCCGGGACTTTTGCATTGTGTGGCCGGCAGCACCGGCCCGCAGCCGAACGATCGCAATGATTTGACAAAATCTCTGAACGTCTGTTTATGTGACTATAAACAGCAACAATCCAGCAGTGTAGCTAGGCGTGGCGCAGGGAACCAAACCTCGCGACAGAGAAGGTGTTTCGGGCACAGAGAGGCGAGTGGAACCGAGCCCCTAGATCTAGTATACTATGACGGAGTCTAAGTATGAAATATTCATCATCTTTCGATTTAGACTTTGGTGACGGAAAAGCGGAGGTTTCAACTTGCATGTGGTTATACCCCCTTTAAGGCCGGGATCCGAAATCGCGGGGGACTGGAGCAAGCGTATCGTAATGTATGACGACCATTGAATGTTGACCCTAAAGAAGTGCTTGGCATGAGAACCCATGGGAGAAATACAAGTGAAACATTGATGAAGGATTTGTATGCTAAGGTATCTTGGTCCTATCATCAACATCCCTTCCTGAAGATTGGCAGACTGACGATTGATGGCACGACAAGACACTACTAGTAGATGTTGATGGTATTCTTAGTAACACTACAATTAGATGAGTACGTCACGGCGAATTAGACGGCACTAAGACATTTGGAGAAAGCTTCCCCGCATCTTGGATGCCTAGGTTAAGCTCGAGACAGCCTAAACTCAACAGCCTCTTCCAACCCCCTGAAGGTTGCAAGATGACCAGGCACCGGCGCCAGGACGCTGTAGAATGATGTGCATTAGAGAAGGCAGACTTGGCAGAAATGTAGAAAAGACGCCACGTATTCCAAAATTTACCAAGCAAGCGCAGGCACATCAGCACCCTAAATGCGCGTCGTTTCTAACTTGAAAGGGGCCATGCGAACTCTAAAGATGGGACCCCATTTCCACTATGTGCACCCAAACCCTGAAACATCCCTACGTGAATGAGCTACCAGCTTTGGAGCACCTAGCTCTTTAGTTTTACCAACTTCAAGAGGCCATGCATGTCATGGTTGTGCGTAATAAGATGACATGTGCGCAAGAAAAGCAGCAATGAGTAATGACTGCAGAAGAGTCAAAGAGAAATCCCCCAGCCTATTGTCGGTCAGTATATTCTTCAGCTTTCGAGTGCCGAGTGTGCCGGAAACACATAGACTTGCGCCTCACACAGCTCATCCTACAGCAAGTGTGCGCGTTCGGTCTCTTTACGGCCAGAAGTGATCTTGACACTGGCGCCAGATCCTGTTTATAGCTGTTCCGAGTACGGCTCCTACTCCAAGTGACGCTGCGGGTTGACGGAAGCTGACGTCCTCGCATGTTACCAGGCCCCCAGGTTGACAGATGACATCAAGGATTGGCTTTTTGATGCAAAGATGATGCTCACAATGTGTCCTCGACTAGCTGTGCTGCGGAGAAGGGGCTCCTGTATCTAGAAAGGCCGAGTCTTAGAACCTTATTCAGCTATGTATATGAGTTCTAGCCAGCACCCCTTTGCTCTGGACATATCTACCTTCCTGGTTTCACAAAACAGATCACGTCTTTCACCTGTGCCATATACCATCACTACGTCGTTGTCGAGGTCTACCGACACACTCGTTCCACGCAAACCGCATACTCAGACACGATGCATTACGCTTTGAACTTTGCGTCCCTCATGGCGGCTGCCGCCGCCATAACTGGCGTCACTGAGGCTGCCTCGCCGCCCGGATCACCCCCTGCCGGCTGCCATCCTACCTTCTCGCAGGGTCGCTTCGAGATCGTCGTCCAGCCCATCGCCAGCGCCAAGGTGAGGCGCCAGGACGGCATGAGCGGCGGTGTCCTGACCATCAGCCTCGAGAACGGCGTCCTCACAGACGAGCAGGGCCGGACGGGGTACATTGCCAGCAACCGCCAGTTTCAGTTCGACAAGCCCCCCCAGGCAGGGACCATCTACGACGCTGGGTTCTCAGCCTGTGACAACGGCCACCTCGCGCTGGGTTCCAGCGAGATCTTCTACCGCTGTCAGTCTGGCAACTTCTTCAACCTTTACGATCAGTCGATCGCGCCCTACTGTGAGAAGATCTTCATTACCATCCATGCCGTCGGCGGCGGTGCACCTTCGCAGCGCTCGTCGCCCTCCCAGATCGCCGACGGACAGATCCAAGCACCTGGAAGCGGAGCCGCAGTGAGCCAGATGAACGACGGACAGATTTTGGTGCCTCCTGGTGGTGGCGCTCCTCCTGCTGTCACGCAGATTCATGACGGCCAGATTCAGGCCCCTGGAAGTGGCGGCGCAGCGAGTCAAATTCACGATGGGCAGATCCAGGCGCCTGCTGGGGGCACTCGCCCTGCTGTTACTCAGATCGGAGAGGGACAAATCCAGGCACCCGGTGGTGGTGGTGCTGTCTCGCAGATCAATGAAGGGCAGATCCAAGCTCCCGTCTCTCGTGGTGCCCGTCCAGCTGTCACACAGATCGGTGATGGTCAAATTCAGGCACCTGGAGGTGGTGGCGCTGTCACACAGATCAACGACGGCCAGATCCAAGCTCCTGCTGCTACGCAGATCATCGACGGCCAGATTCAAGCACCTGGAAGCGGTGGTGCTGTCTCGCAGATCAACGAAGGGCAGATCCAAGCTCCTGCTGCCACTCAGATCAACGACGGTCAGATCCAAGCCCCTGCTGTCACTCAAATCAACGATGGGCAGATTCAAGCGCCTCAGACAATCACCGTCACCACGAGGTTCACGACGCTAACCCTCAGCACCAGGGTGCAGACGTTGACCTCCAGAATGACCCTGACAACCTCCTTGGCAACCAAAGTAACCAAAACTATCACACCTGCCAAGCCTACCTGGACTGGCCGCTACGTGGCTCGCCAAGCACAGCAGATTCCGGACGGCCAGGTCCAGCAGCCTGGCGCCGTCACTCAGATTGGCGACGGGCAACCCCAGGCTCCTGGTGCTCCTGGTGCTGTCACCCAGATTGGTGACGGGCAACCCCAGGCTCCTGGCGCCCCTGGTGCTCCTGGTACTCCTGGTGCTCCTGTCTCTCCTACGACTCCCGTCTCACCTACCACACCCGTCTCCCCTACCACTCCCATCTCTCCTACAGGTGCCGTCGCGTCCACCAGCATGGGTACGCCCATGCAGCAGCCTGGAGCTGGGACGAGTGCCGTGCCCATCGCTGCTGGTGAGCGATCTATGCCTCGCGCTGCTGCGGCTCTGATTGTGGGTGCCGCTGTGGCATTCTTCTATCTGTAAAAGCGAGCGGCGGCCAGTGCGTTTCTTTTCTTTTGTCTTTTTCTCCTATCAAAATAGATTATTGGAGTCGTCCCCCGAGTCTGGGGAGTACATGGGTAATGGGTGGGTGGTTCTGGGGTCTTGAGTTGATATAGCAAGCACACGTAATGATGTATCATGGTATCAAGACACTGAAGATAGCAAAAGACGTCAAAAGTTCCTGTTTGTATGTGATATTAATGTGTCCGCCGGTGGCGGATGTCCGATGCTACCCGAATAGGAAGTATTTAGTGGGTCTCCGCCGAGATCGCAGCGCCGGGAGCGGAGGCCATCTCCGGAGGACTCGTCTCGCGCGACGGGTGCGAAAGCAAGAATGAAATTGGTATTCAGCTTCATCAGGGGGATTGTCGGGCAATTCTTGTGATTGATTGTTCTGTCTCGCTTCACGCTGCCTGTGCGCGCCTTCCATACGCGATCGAGCCGCAAGTAACCATCCGCAATACCCGCGCTATGCCCGCCTCACATCCGCCAGCCATGAACGCCTTTACAAGTGAAAGCGTGCGCCCTGTCGGCTACATCCATCTAGTCTGGGTAATTAACCTTGCGCATCGCTCTCGGACGCTGCCCGCGTTCGGCCCTGTACCTAGAATTTTTCCAGCCACAGAAAGAGACCGCCCATTTTGTCCGATTTGTCAATCACGCGGATCCGACTCTCCTCTGCCCAGACATAGTGACTGACTGACCCTGGGATTCATCTTTCCGACCGACAACGCTCATGACTATCCACATTGCTACAGAGGAGCAGCCGTGGGATGACTCAATTGGACATTCTTGCAAACTGCTTTAACTCTCCCTCGCCGCGACATGATACTGTGACCAGACGCCTACCACCAGACTGTAACGCATCAGCATTCGTTCACACGCTCTCCTGGCAGTCTCATTCCCCCCCACTCGGAGCGACACGCCGATGATGGCGACAGGACACGACCGTCAAGGTGATCTCGAAAAGCAATCGCAGCAGTATGCCTCTGGCAAGATTTCAGACAGCAGGACGGCACAATCACCCGAGAAACATGTAACTCCAAGTATTGGGGCAGAACAACATCCGTCCAACCCAGAGGCTGGCAATGGCCACGACGACGAGTCCTCCTCCGATGAGGGGGACAACCAGCCGTCGATACTAAACCGAGTCCTCAGTCGCGTCACTTCACGGTCTAGCATCGACCCAGGGCCGCCCCCAGACGGTGGCATGCAGGCCTGGTCACAATGTAATGACACCTCCCAACACCAACGCTTTCACGCAGTCTACTAACGAGCACTTCCCCCCAGGCATCGCCGGGCACTTTGTCATCTCGAATAGCTGGGGCTTCATCAACAGCTTCGGCGTCTGGCAGGACTACCTCCCGACCCTGCTGCCAGAGCGCTCCGAGTTTGAGATCTCCTTCATCGGCTCCCTCACCGTCTTCCTGCTCTTCTTCCTCGGCACCTTCACCGGCCGCCTCGCCGACGCCGGCTACTTCCGCCCCATCTTCATTCTCGGCAGCTTCTTCCAGCTGCTCGGCATCTTCATGACCTCGCTCTGCACAAAGTACTGGCACTTTATGCTCGCCCAGGGCATCTGCATCGGCATCGGCAACGGACTCCTCTTCTGCCCCTCCCTCGCCCTCGTCTCGACCTACTTCCTCAAGAAGAGGGCCGTGGCCATTGGCCTGACGGCCGCCGGCTCTGTCACCGGCGGACTCATCTTTCCCATCATGGCGCGCGAACTCCTGCCCCGGATCGGGCTTCCGTGGACCATCAGGGCCATCGGTCTGGTCCAGCTCGCGAGTCTCGCCATATCCAACGCTCTCGCCAAGCCACGCATCAGGCCGCGCAAGACGGGACCGATTGTCGAGTTTGCCGCCTTCCTGGAGCTCGAGTACACATTTTACGTGACAGCCGCCTTCTGCGTGAGTATGATCCCTTTCTGTACTCCCCGCAAGCACTAATCCAAGCAGTTCTTCTGGGGTGTCTACTTTGCCTTCTACTACCTGGCCAGATTCTCCCGCGACGGGCTGCAGAACGACCCCTTCAGCTTTGACAACTCTCTCAATCTCCTGCTGGTCATGAATGGCGTCGGCCTCACCGGCCGGCTCCTCCCCAACTTTCTCGCCGACCGCTTCGGCGCCGTCAACGTCTTCATCCCCATCTGCGGCGTCGCCTCGCTGCTGAGCTTCTGCTGGATCGCCGTGGACACGCAGGCGGCCCTGTATGCCTGGGCCGTCCTCTACGGGATCTTTGCGGGTGGTATCCAGAGCCTGTTCCCCGTCGCCTTGTCGTTCCTGACGACGGACCTGCGGAAGCTGGGCGTTCGCATGGGGATGGGGTTCACTATAGTGTCGTTTTGTAAGTTAGAGTTCTCTCTATTGGGCCTCCCGACGGGAGCTGACTGTGGTTCTCTTAGCCGTCCTGACGGGACCCCCCATCGCTGGCTCCATCATTGACTCCACGGGGAGTTATGTGGGCGCGCAGGCGTTCTCGGGGGCTTCCTTGGCCTTCGGGTGCTTCTTCCTGCTCTGCTCCAAGATAGTGAAGATGCGCAAGACGGGGATGGGCTGGTTGGGCAAGGTCTGACCGAACGGCATGCACTTGTCGTTTCTCTGCAAACCCCTGTACATAATCCAGCGCTTTTATAAAGTATATCGACATTGATAAACTCAAGTCGTCAAATTAATGCAGGCTACATACCGTGCAGTTCTTGCTCTCGAAATCTTCGCGGCAACAAATAACCTGTTATACCACATCACTGTATGCTGGGGGCTGCTCATTCGGCCCCTCCGCTTGCTCACCCTCCTCAGACACAACGGACCGTCGGCTCTCCTCAATACGAGCTGTCCACATGGCAGCGCCCGCCGTGGTAGTCAGCAGGAAAAAGAAGGACAAGATCGGGATGAGCTCCAAGATCATGGCCACCGTTCCAAACCACACATCTTCCCACGCCAGGCGCTTCGCCTCCACCTTGCGCTCCTGCTTGGAGAATCCACGCAGCTGGAACCATCGATAGTGGGACAGCTTGCCCAGGCGAGTCCCCGTGATCATGACAAACATGGGTGTGCCGAACCAGGGGATGAAATTCAGCGGCAGGCAACATGCGAGTTCGACGATCTGGACGATACTCCATGGCGTATACACGGCGGATGATGTCGGTTTCCCAAGCATCTTGATCGCATTGGGGGCGTCTGGGTACAGGACACGATGTGGGGACACAAGGTCCGTCCATGAGAGCTTGATGAGCGTCGCCTGTTCTCCATTAGTCGAGCTCCTACCACCTCACGGACGTAGACTCACATCAAACACGTCCACGCGACACTCGTCTACAAAGAAGCCTTCAAAGAGACCCTGGATGATGACCAGCCCCTCACCGAGCACCAGGAACGTCGCATTGAGCCACGCGCCTCGCCCCTGGAAAATCGCCAAGAAGGCGAGCTGCGGCAGGAAAGCGAAGGTGAACAGGATGAGATACACCAGACACGATATCAGAGACAGAGGCAAGAGTCTTCCGAAGAACAGCGGCCAGTATTCACCGCTGCGGACAAAGAACCAGATGCCACGTATTGGATAGGAAGCGGCGATGGCGCACCGCTTGATGGCCCCCGCTTGGCGTCTCAGGAAGCTGCTGGGTTGGTTCGCTGGCCGCGTCAAGGGGCGTGTCTCGTCTTGGGGCTCAGGCTCAGGCATGTTTGCTTGTGAATGCCGATGCGGCAGGATGTCAGGATGTGTTGTAAGTCTGCAAGCGTGTCGAGGCGGTGGCACGTCGTCGGCAGAGGTCCTCGTCACGCCTTCCTATGACGTCATTGCTGACTTGGTGATCACCCGTCCCTTCGATTACGGTACAATGGTTTCTGGACTAGAACTTCACACTATCGTATCACTTGCCCAGTTTGGCCACGCAAATCTCACCATAGCAGCGCAAATACAAGGCTCGAAACTAGCATCTCACCCATGGAAATCCGCAAGAAGAGGAGTAATATTGTCTACAGGGTAGGCACACAAAATGCTGGTATTGAGTCTCGCGGTGACCGTCCTCAACAGCTCTAGAATAGCTCAGAACCTCCCCCTTCTGAGGAACTTGTTGGGAATGTCGACGTACTTGGCTCGCAAATACTCGCACACATTCTTACCCAGCGTGTCGTACTCGCTCGTCGAGTTGAACCCCCGATCCAGGTGATCCCTGATCAAAAAGTGCACCGCCCTAATCCCAGGAATCTCAAACCGTTCAATTTTGCGGCCCTTGTCGGAGCCCTCGAGGAGTTGGTGCACCTTGTCAATCGTGAGAAGGCTACGCAGCCAGTCATACTCGTCTTCATGGCGCACGTAGAACCCCACATTGGCATCGGAGGCTTTGTCGCCCGAACGACCACCAACGACCCAGCCCAGGGGTCCGCGTGTGGTAGGTCCATAGGATGTCAAGTCCACAGGATGAGCGCACTCATACGACTTTTGATCCCGCGGATATGTCGTGACGTTGTTCTGCACTGGAATGTCGATGCTCTTCCCCATCCACGGGAGCTCCACCCGGTGCTTGACTTCCGACTGTGGCAGCAGGGTCACGTAGTACTCAAAGAACTCTTTGCCCTCGCTCTGGCGCTGGTCGTTGTCCAGGGACGCCCCAGGGCATGACTGCAAAAAGTTCTCCATGCACCAGCGGTTGAATCCTGGTACGTCAAGGGTGAACTTGTCCACGAGCGCCTTCTTCTTCGTCTGGACAAAGACGCGCAAGTCGACGGTGGCGACCTCTTGGTTCCGAGGGTTCTCTTGCGAGTATCCGTTCAGCGAGAACTTGAGACAGGTGAGGTCCTTGATCGCGTCGCCAATCGAGTAGCGAACTTGTCGCTCCGTCCATTCGGCTTTTTCTTCAAGGTCCAGACCGACAATGTGGTAGTGGAACTCGGCTTGGTAGCCGCCCCAGGCCGTCAGTCCGACCTTTGTCGTTGATGGCGCGGGAAGGCCCTTGACACCAGTGACTTGGACGCGATCCTTGCCAATCTCCCTCATGACAATGCCCACGAGGTTCGCCGTGACATCCGAGCCGTAGTAGAGGGGACCCTGGATCTCGTACAGAAGCTGTGACGAGACAGTTCCCACGGACACTTCACCGCCAGTACCAGCTTCTTTGGTGATGACACACGAACCGTCAGCGTCCACCTCGGCAATGGGGAAGCCAATGTTCTCGCATTTGTCCATGAGCCTCTTGAAGCCCGAGTAGTACCCGCCGCAGACGTAGGCCGAACACTCAATCAGGTGGCCTGTCACGAGAGACCCAGCAATCTGGTCCAGGTCAGTCTCGCGGTCCCAGCCGTGCCACCACATGGCAGCGCCAATAGTGGTGGCGGCATCGGCAACACGACCGCAAATGACAATGTCACAGCCCTGGCGAAGGGCCTCAGCAACGCCTGCGCCTCCGAGATAGCATCTTCTTGGCGTCAGCTTAATAGCCCACCGTTGAGAGAGACTTGACTTACTGGGCCGCGATGATTTCGTGTCCCCATTCACTCAGAGGCTTCCCGTTCATCAAGCTGGGAAAGGCCTCCCCATTGGCCTGCAACCTCTTCACAGTCTCCGTGACCTCGTCACCGCTCACCCAGCCAACCTTGAGGTCGAGACCCTGTCTCTTGACCTCCTTTTCCACGGTCGTTGCCAGAAGTTCGGTATCGCTCGCACCGGCGTTCACGGCAACTTTGATGTTCTTGGACTTGAGGTACGGTAATGCAGGCGAGAGATTGTCCATAAAGGTCGGGTCAAAGAGACCGACAGGCTCGTCCGTGAGCTGCCCTGCTTTTCGGAGCTTCTCATTCTCCTGCTTCTGCGCGCCGTGCAGGGTCATTGTGCATTCGGACAGCCAGTCGCCAATGATGCAGTCGACATCGCAGTTCTTGGCCAGGTCGCCAATGGCGCGCTGGCGGTCGGAGAAACCGCCAGACGAGCCGGCAATCCTGATTGCGCGCTTTACAGAGGGCATGATGGAGTTCTAGAGGAAGTTGAAGAAGTATGTAGGAATCACCTGCTTCGGCAAGCCTGGCCATTTTATACCGCAAGGGCGCCTGTCTTATATACCATGGTGCTGATACTAGACTCTCTCAGCCCTCAGTGGCCCGGCCAACGGGGTCCTCCGGAAGAACATGATGCGGACGACACGCGCTCAACTCCTCAATCATGCCACGACCCCAGTCACCAACTCACCAACAATGTGGCATCCATGCGGGGAAAGAGATCTCGGGGAAGTCGAACATGCGGGATGAGGCGATGTTGAACTAGGGGGATTCTGGCATGCAGGCCATTGCGGCCGTTTGTTCGATCACAACGAGGTGGCAGGCGGAAAATGGTAGCCTCAGATGGGTGTTGAAGACGCGAACTTGCGAAAAGACGAGGGGCGTGTTGTCCAAACGGAAGTTGATTTTCCAGCAGCGCGATACTTGCCTACCCTGCAGCATGCCCATGCAACTAGCTCTACCAGCAAAATCGAACTTCCAACTCTATGCTTCAATCGCTTTCAAAAAAGAACGACTCTCGTGACCCTCGTTGACCTTTGCCAATGGTATGAGATAGGCATCATCGTCTTGGCTGGTCAGCCAGTTGATGTACATCCTCGCAACATGCAACCACTTGGACTTCTCCGCCTTACTGGCCCCTTGTCCCTCCCAAACCCAGACGGCCTGACCACCATCATCAAGGATGAACACGTCGTTCCCATCGAGATCGTCCGTGGAGAGTGTGGGGCCGTCCTTGACCAGGTCAAAGGTCAGCTCACCCGAAGCATCGCTCAGACGGAAAAGCTTCTTGCTCGTCCCCTCCTGTCCGGCTTTGCGAGCCGGGGCCAAAGGTCGGCTGGCCTTGAATCCGTCCATGGGCGTCTCTTCATTTCCGCCTAGCAGGTCGACGATCCGCTTGGATCGCGACTCTGCCTGTGTCAGGACCTCGACGTCGACGTGCTTGGCGAGGGTCATGTCGTGGACAACCTGTGCTGCCTTGGCCTTCTCCATGGGACTGCAGCCCTTGCCCTGCCACACCCAGATCTTGTCGCCAGTGTCCAACACAAAGACATCGCCGTCGTCCAGGCTTCTCCAAGTGGGCTCCACTTCGTGCACAACCAACCCGTTGGCGCCGGCACTTGGGTTCTTGAACACGCGCAGAAGTGTGAGGATCTCCTCCTTCATTTCCTCCTCCACGTGGCGGAAGCCAGACCGGACACCACCCGAACGAATGGATATGCGCGGGAACAGAGACAGGAAGTCGTCCGACGGCGCACGCTGCACTTCCCGGTGCTGTGTGGCCGCGCCGTGGAGAAACTCGTCCAGCTCGACGGTCTTGTAGGCCGCGGTGCCCGCCTCATCCTGGGTGGTGTGGTTGCCCAGCCAGAAGAAGATGTCGTGGCCCAGCTTGTCGTCGCTAACCTTGTACGAGTGCAGGACAATGTAGCTGTCGCCGTCGTAGAACTGGCCGTACTTGTCCTTGGGCCAGGCGACGACCTGGAACTCCTCAATGCGCCAGATGTGAAGACCAGCCGCGGTGCCTACATCGTTGGCGTGCCAGGCTGGCACGGATACTGCCGAATTGTACTTGACCTGGTGGTCTATATCGGTGCCAATGAGCTCGACGTTGCTGTCTTTGATGTCGTATTCCTTTGGGTGCACGAGGCCTGCGTTGGGAGCCATGCTGGCAGCGAGCAAGGTGAAATAGTCAACAGTTACTGGCTTCTGCAGTACGTCTGCAGTATGAAGAGAACATAAATCATTGTATTGATGGACAGACTGAGGTGAGGCGTGCGGGGACTGGATCCACCTCATGGCAGTGCCGCACGCTTGCCGCCTTTTGATGGGGACTGGACTGATTCGTCAGACAAATGCGTGAGGCGTTCGGCGCCTGTCTAGGTATTACAGATCACGTCTACCGACCCAGGTTGTTGACCACGCTCGCCACCATGACTGCACTTTCGCGCTCCCAATTGCCCGTCGTCGTCCTCTTCGACCCGGACAGTGCGTTGGGCGGCTGGCAGCCCCTGAGGACGGCGTGTCGGATCGCGTCCCCGACATTGGATTTGTTCGATTTCAGGGTCCTCGCAACCACGCCGCCTCGGTTGACAATGTCTTGCACACGACTGGCCAAATTGCTGGCCATGGTTCGCCAGTAGTACGATGGAAGCGAGGACGTCTCCAGATGCGCGTATATGGACTGCAGCAGTGGTACTTGGCTCTGCCGTGCATCAGGGGGAAGCAGGGGGTGCGAAGGCGCCTTGGTAGCTTCGAGGATGATTTCCAGGGCGACAATGTGCTGGCACTTGGCAGAAACTTCCAGCAGCGCCCTTTCCAGCGTCGGCAGCTGGCTCAAGGCTCGGGAGAGAATCGTCACAGATGTCTGCAGGGCTGTCCGTATGTATGATTCGAGGGCAACGAGCAGATATCGAGGGGTCCATTTCTCCGCCTTGAGCGTGACCAATGGCGACAGCAGATATAGGGTCGCCATGGCCGACGCCATGTTCTCTCGAGCCTCTTCGCCTTGGGCGAATGTCATCGAGTTCGTTATCGCAAAGTCGCGTAATGTCCGCTCCGCCGTATCTCGCACTGACCGTTCAATCGGGTTGATGACGGTGTCCTGCAGGCTGCGCACCGCGTCCACTCGGTTCAGCCCGAACCCTTCCTCTCCTTGTGCTCGTTTCTCGAGGATCTCCCGTAGACTTAGAATAGTGTACGAGCACCGCACCAAAGCTGCCTGGTCGTCGCCAGCCCCTGAGCGCCCCAGGTCAGCATGCTGGACTTCGAGCTGGCGTCCGAGCTGTAGACATCGACCGACCGACCGCGCCAATCTCAATGTCTCCCATAGTCGCAGAGCAACCTGCCGCACCTCGTCTGCTTCGGCATGCTTGTCGACAACCTCCTTCTCCAGCTGCTTGTAGCTGTCGTTCAAGGTCTTGATCTGAGCGTCAAGCTCGTCAACGATCCGTGCACTGGCGCTTGTTTGCTCTTGGGTATACTGAAGTAGCGGTATCGCCGAGCGCGTCGTCAGAGAGTCAATGTGCGAGTCGACTTCCTGGGCGTCAAAGAGAACCCTTGAAAGGGGTGTCGACAGGTCTAGCGTGGAGTCATTGGGGTTGTTGGTCGCAACGACCAGCGAGTTGGCAAAGGCAGCTGGCTTAAAGTTCGGATCCAGGAACGTCTCGTAGTCGACGTAGGATGGCTCGTCGTTGTCTTGGGATGCTGTCGTCATGGTGGGCTGCGCTGCGCGTGCAAGTCAACACTCGCTCGGCCTCGGGCGATTTCGATGGATGTTTTGTCTTAGCGTGGGGAAGAAAATCGCTGCGCTGCTGCAGGCTGACAAAAGTCCAGGGTGCATGGAGCCACATGGCATCGATCGGCCTCCTCATCCACAATCCTGTATAACAGGTCTGATACTGTATCAGCGAGCATAGCTATTGCCCTACTGTTATCTCACAGCATTGAATTAGTTCAAAATGCAACAGTCTGAGCCTTCAATCGCGTCGTCGAGTGCCAGACGCCCTCGGATTTAAGCTTATGTCAGCAAGCGTGATGATCGGCTGCGGCATTTGCAGCCTCCATTCTGGCGCCCTCGATCCATAATTCGTTCTACGACACCACCAACCTGAATCGTCCTGGTTCCGGCACTGCCGATTAGCTCTTCGGGGTTCGCTTCCATCGCCTTTTGCACGCGGGTGGTTGGAGAGGCAAACGCCGCAATCCTCGCTCTCTTCTCTATCCCCGTGTCTCTCCCGGACGCACCTCGCGTCGCGGTCAATTCAAAACTTTTTCTCGACATCCCATCCTAATACTCTCCATCTCACTCCCACTTCCCGCCCTCTCCCACCTCGAGCCATCCGTCCGTCTCGAATGTCAAGTCAGCGCGACAAGGCTTCCGCTTCCGTGTAAGCCGCCGTTTCTCCAGGCCTCGCGGGCCAACGCCTTCGCCCATCATGATCACCGCCGCCGACCTCTACGCACGCGACGAGATTGGCTTTCCCGCCGGCGCAAACGACACCGACACCGTGATCGGTGGCGTGCATTACAACAAGACCACTCTCGAGCACTTCAACTACACTCTCTTCGACAACCAGACCTTGTCCAACGGCAGCAAATGCTGGCTCATCCAGGAGCCCTATGCGCCTCCGCTCTTGTTACAGAATGGCACCTTTATCAACCACACCGACTGCTACTACCCAGTTGACCCGATCCGGGAGCGTGGCTTTACTGGCATCGGCATGGCATGCGCGTTCGGCGTCGCTCTTGTCCTCATCCTCACAGTCCTAGCGAAGCACGGACGGCATTATCTCCCCGTGGAGAAACGGTTCACCCCCATCGGACGGAGGTGGCAGTGGTACTGGGGCTGCTTCGTCTGCGCCTGCGCGCTCATCAGCCTGTTCCTCAACGTCGAGGTCGACCGGTACCGCGTGCAGCAGCTGCCCCTCATCGTGACGAGCTTCTTCTGGTACTTGATGTGCATGGGCACCACGTGTGTCGTGTGGGAAGCGGTTCGCCACTGGGGCAGCTGGCTCGAGAGGCAGTACGTTGATCCCAACCCGTTTGCGCTGTCCGAGGACGATCGGCGCGCCCGGGTCGAGTTCTTCCTCCCGCTCATCTTCTACTTCTTCACGTGGATGAACTTTTTCATGGTCATTCCCCGTAACTGGACGTTTGCCCAGAAGCAGCGCTACCCGTGGCAGACCGAGAACGTAGCGCGAGTGGCGGCGACCAGCATCCGATTCAAGATTGGCGCATTCTTCCTTTTTGCTTCCTGGCTGATAATTTGCTTCTCACTGTGGCACTCGATCAAACACTACAAGCCCCGCAACCGCGGGATCATTAATCGCGGCGTCGGCCTCGTCAGGGCGATTCCCCTGCGCTTCCTTTTACTGATCCCCCTTCTTCTGAGCGTCATTGGGTATCAGGCCCTCATCTCCTTTGACTTTGACTACTCTGTCATCAAGAAGGATGGACCTGTCCCCATCATCTATGGCTGGGGCTATGGGGCGCAGCTCCTCGTCCTGATCGTCCAGATCGCCTACGGCTTCGCCAGCCCCAATGAGGACAAGGAGCTCATCAGGCAGAGAAGGGTGCGCGGCGAGACCCTGGACAGGGAGTTGGGTCTCGTCCGCAAGCCTGCCTGGTGGCGCCGTGTCAAGGGGGAGCACATTGTCGGGACCTTCCGCGACAAGCTCCTCAAGAACGTCCAAGAAGTTGGTCAAGGACGGGGTGTCGGGCGACGGGCCGAGGGTGACATGGAGCGGGACATCCGCGAGAACATGGAGTCCGAGGCTCGCCAGGACGACGGCATCAATATCGAGATGAGCAACTACGGACGCAGAAAGAGTAACAACAGGGAGGAGTGGAATCCTCGTGCTGACCTGGCTGGCGTGCACAGCATGGACCGTGGGGACGAATTGGCCCGCGGCAGCAACCCCGAGAACCAGCGCGTTATGGACATGGCCTCGAGCCTGCTGTTCCCCGATCCCGCCGAGGTCGAGCGCCGGGATCGCGAGGCCGAAGCTGAGCGCATCCGTCGACTCGCCTATCTTCAGGAAGACGGACCTCCGCCAGCCTACAGGGACGCGCGTGGCAGGGGCTCGACGAGCAGCCAGCGGCCCGCGACAAGCGAGCGCAGTAACAGTACTGCCACAAGCAATTCGATCAATGCGCCGCCCACCAAGGTGCGCAGCATGTTGGATATTTGATGGACATGACAGTGGTACGACTGGAGCATGTATGACTGGCACTTGGTATGTGTGGCGTCGGAGTCCTTTGATGGGAGGCATGGCATGTTTTTGGCGTTTTATGTTTGTATCTCTTTGATACTTTGATGACTACGCAATTATAACATAGACACGGTCAATCTTTATTCGCTTCGTACACCATCACCAGGGGCTCTCATCCGGAGAGGTTGAAGGTGTGCATTATCCGCACATGTGATCGGTTAGTCTACCTAGGAGTCGGCTTACCCGGGTGCAAGAGGCATGGACCCTTACAAGTTAGACTCTTTCTTGCGAGATCCGACCTGCTTCATGCACGACACCACGACGACGAAGCAGTGCCTCCGAATCGCCAGATGCGCACAACCTACACCCAATAGGCCACGGATGAAATGGCGGTGAAGAAGGCACGCGGCACTGGTCCCTGCGTGCAAGCGTTGCACCCGTCCTGTACGTGACCTCCCTTGCAGCATTCGAGAAGACATGCAGTCGAACGCACGCACACCGGGAAACAAACCAAGATAGGTCAGATTCCCAAGATGCATTTATCCGTCCGTGTATCCAGCGGGAGGATCGATAGGTATGCGGCGGCTCGACATTCAACGGCAGGGGTTTAGATATGCAAGAACCAGCGCACCGCGGGCGATTGATCCCTCCTAGTGGCCGCAAGTCCTAGCCAGCCTTCCGAGGCTCGCAGGTGATGGCGAGTATGTAAAACTGGACACACTCCCGGGTCCAGAGCCTTCCGTCGAGGTATGCTCAACTCCCTCTTAGGGCCATGCCCGAGTGAGCGCAAGGGGAAGACTGCCAGACGCGGGTGATATCTCAGTAGGCTATCCGCGCCCGTGCCTTGTGGCTGACAGGCTGTTGGTCCCTTTATTCTTCCTCGGTTGGCCCGGAGAGCTTGAGAGAATGGATGTTTGGGGCGGTCATCTGGGCCGCTACATGAACTTAAATAGACTCGATGACGGCACATTGAGGATCAGGTCCAGGTCGAGTCCGAGTCCTGTGACAGGTGGAATTAGGAGGGTCCGTCAAGGAGAACTGACAGCATTTCCCATTGTCCCATCTATTACATTCGCCTGGGACGCTGAGGTCCGCGGCACTCGTGCGAGATGTTATCGATAGCATCAACGGGAGGCGGGTGCCAGTGCCTAGTACTTGAGCAAGTGTGTGGTTATCATGCAGCTAGTACCTCTCTCCTTGCATGTGCTTGCTAGTCTAGTACTATAGTACTACTGTACTATATACGACCAACAAGTGCACATGTCGTGATGTGCATATTTCCCAAGCTTATCGGGAGCCTGATTAGCTTCAGTCAGTTCGTGCATCGAGAGCATGGAGAGCGCCGGCGTCTGGTCTAGGGCTGTGCTGTGCTGCATGACATGTCCACGTCGGTACCGGGACCTAGCTTTGGCCGAGAATTCCTTTGAGATGGCTGCAACCTCGACCTATTTGCCATTGTCATATAGCAGTCGCGCTCAAACTGTTTCATATACCTATGGGCAGTTCTGGCGATGGCTGCGCCGGGAGTCCATCATGATGTTGCCTTTTGCTCGTGGGTGCAAGTCACACCGACGTCTGCCAGAGGGCACGATATGCTGATCCATACCAGTCCCCAAGACAGATGTGGAGACGAAACATTCGGGAATGAGTTTTGAGCTGAGAGAGCGAGACATGATCCCCACTTGGACGACTAAATAAGCGCGCCCAAGACTGAATGCATCGAAGTCATGTGTAGAACGCAATCAGCAACAATGAAGCTATCGCATCATTGACACCAGCCAGCTCGGTTGGCCCAAGGTACTTAGGATGGGGGTTTCATTCCAAATGCCATTCTGTGTGCATCCGAGAGCGCTTCTGAAGCGGTCAAGAACGTCATTGCTGATGGTCGACCCCACCACTTCCGCAGCGAGGGGCGGCGGGAGGGGCAGCATCTCCAGCCCCTGCAACCACCAGATCAAAGGCACCCCGCAGTATCCGTCAACACCATTGCGCGAGCAGACTGTCTCCATGTCGCCGTTTGCCCACGAGCTATACGTAAGTATGTCCACGTCAAGATGCCGGCCAAGCAAGACGCATAGAGTGGCTCAACACCACGGCCGCTTCACTCTGTAACCGTCGTTCATGTTACCGCTGGAATGTGTCTCTGATGCCGGGCACGGCGCGCAGGAACAAGACAGACTCTAACGACACGAGGCGAGGCACAGACGATGCTGGTGGTGATGTTGCACTCCAGTCAGGCGGCCGATGGCCCGCCAGGGGACCATTCCAGGAACCGAGAGTGGCACGGCGCTGGAGCTGTCGGCTGACCCAAGGCTAATAAGGTAAGGTAGGTTACCTAAGTTTGGCGAAGGGCCGCGAAATCCAGTCGACGCATCAAGCTAGGCTGACTATGCGCACTCTTCTGCTGCTGCGCTGCGGCCAGCGGTAACTGCATGTACGGCACCCCCCGCCAAGGCTCTTCATGATAGCTTCGAATGCTATTTCTGGGAGGTGTCACTCGTCCATCCTCCCTTGCCCGCAAGGGCTGGAGCAATGTGTTGGCCTGCATGGGCAGAACAGGGCTTCTCGCCCCAGCCTCGTGGCAGGTCGGCCGGAGTCTGACTCTGCCCTCCTGTCTAACCACGAGGGAATAATGAATGAATAAAAGAAAAGAAGATGGCGGTCAGGGCAAATTTGGTCCATCACAAGATCAGCGGATCTGCTATGCGTGCGCTCTGACACGCCCAGCCCCTCGCATTACACGGCCAAGCAGGGATCCTCGCCAAGGGCCCCACCACCGTGGGCGCCGGCCCCTCTCGCGGCGCGATGGCAGCTCTGGTCACTGTCAGTCTGTCAGTGTATAACGCGCGTGCATCGTCATCCAGCAGTGGCGCACCTAATCCCGTCCCTGAGCCTCAGATGCACCGTGGTACGGCGTTGAGTGCTGCGCACGACGAACCTGGAGCCTGCGCACCACCAGCTTCGTGTCGTGGAGGCCGGGAAACAGTTTCAGCAGTCCGTAGTAAAGATTGTCTTGCTTCGTCTCGTCTGTGCTCCGTGCGGTCTCTTTAGCACGTTGTGTCTCGATCAAAGACTCCAGTTGTACATAGGCGCACCCCCCTCCACCGAGTCGCCGTGCTCGAGTCAGAGGCCCCAGGGGACACATCCATCCACATGGGAAAATCCAGGCACTTGTTGAAAGATCTCGACCACAAGCCTCATCATGCTTCCCGCACGTCGGAGGCGTGGATGACGATGGACTGTCACCGGACGCCAGCTTATTTGTAGTACCTTGCCTATCACTTGCGTGACCCTGTGGCCATCACGTACGGCCTAAATTCATCGTACCTGGCATGCCATCCCTATCGACACTGCAATCAGCGGTTCGGGCCATTTCGCATCTCCTTTCGTCGGCTTCTTCGCCATCATGTCTTGGGCGCTGTCTCACAGCGGCCAGGCGGGCAGCCAGGCGGGCAGGCACCAGCTTCGTTCGCCCTGCCGCCAACCACAGAGAACGCAAACGGGCTGATTGGCCGATCGCAGATGATATGCAGCCCGCATCCGGGACTCCTGCACCGGTGCATTCGATTGACTGGCTAATCAACAATACGGATACAGAGAACTGAGTTGGGTGTTTTCAGTTAATAGATGGCCGTCATAGCAGGTACTGGGGCCCAGCTGGCTGGCAGGGACAGGCTGGTAAACGCTTTACTTGTCATCCTTGTTGATTGGGTGCTTGTGTCCGTGCGGAGGCAAAGTCAGGTCAGGCATGGCTGGAATATCCGAAGAAACTTTGCTTTAGCCCAGTGCAGTGCAGGCCAAGAGTCAAACAAATCAGATCCTCGCGGTCCAAGCTACGGACCGTTAGTGCGGGCCCTGTTTTCGAGATCGAGGGGACGCCCTTTCCATCTGGCTTTCGTTGGCTGGTCACGGCAGGCACACGAACAAACTGATGGGCTAGAGTCCAGTCACTGTCACTCTCCGGTTCCAGCCTGTCTGACAGTGAGTGACACGCATGGCCGCCACCTTTTTGACTGGCTTGCGATTTCAGCGTTCAGCGAACGAGGAACTGGTGCCTTGCGTCGAGCGTCGAGTGACTTGAAACCTGGCTCCTCCAGCCAGTCAGTCACTCACTCACTCACTCACTATTCCGAGTCCTCCGTCCACATATCCATCCATCCATCCATTATTCACAATTACACGCCCCCCCTTTCTTATGGGCTTTGCACTGCTTCAACCAACACCCAGCCAGCCCACCTTCCGTGCCTGGATTACCACTTATTACCTGGTAGTATCCCTACCTCCAGCATTCCCCCTTCGTGCTCGCCGCCTCCCCTCCGACTTGCCCTCCCGCATCTAATACTATACCTAGCCAGACAGACGTCGCTGCGGTTCGTGCAGGCCATCTCGTTTGACTCGATAGGTTTTTAAACTCGAGGCGCCCACGCCATACTTACTTGTCGGGCCCTCGAATTTCCGCATCCTTCGGCATCCTGCCTGTTGCCCCGGGCTTTACCATACCTGACAGCAGAAATCCCAGCCCCAGCCATCCTCCGGCGCTTACCTGTCCACCACATCACCACCAGGGCTCGGGTCAGTGCGCCCACGACTGCACGCCCGAACGAGTGCAAGCGACGCAAAATTATCGACAACAAATACTTCGTCGCCGTCATCATTACCCTCTCGGCGCCCATTTCGATATCGCTTCGGTCCCCATGGCCGCGGCGTTCCGACCGGTGAACTCGCCTCTCGCCTCGGAGGCGGCCACCAACAGCAGGAGCATCATGACGCCATCATCCTCCTCAGCGACCCCAACGCCCCGACCGAGCACCGCTCCGCACACAGCGACAAACGCCACGATGGACTCGATGGACGACAATGGTGTAACACCTACGAGGGAGACTTTTAGTCCGGCGATAGCTGGTCAGCGACCGTTGCCCTCGAGTCCGTTCCCACACTCCGCGCACAGCCGCACATCCGGCGAGACCGACCGCTCCAGACAGTCGCGACAGCGAGACTCGGCAGAGATGGACCTGGATGAGTCGGACGGCGAGCAACAAGGCTCGGACGACGGCTCGGACGATGAGAGTGTCGACGCAGACGGCGTTCGCACGGGCAAGAAGAAAAAGTCGCAGCGCTTCTACTGCACCGATTATCCACCATGCAAGCTGAGCTTCACGCGAAGTGAGCATCTAGCGAGGCATATCAGGTTCGTTCTATCCACTCGCGAGGCGCGGTCAAATATTCTCAGTACACTAATGGTCGCAGGAAACATACTGGCGAGAGGCCGTTTCAGTGCCACTGCTCACGCCGCTTCTCGCGCCTCGACAACTTGCGGCAACACGCCCAAACCGTACACGTAAACGAGGAGATCCCCATCAACTCGCTTGCCGCCACAGGCTCAAGATTCCAGCGGCAGATGAGGACGGAGCGGGCTCGTCAAGCTGGCAATCGTGCCAGAGCCTCGACCGCTGGCAGCGCTGGCGGGCCGCCTAGGGGACACTCCAAGAGCCTCTCCACGTCCAGCATCAACAGTATAAGCTCCATCAACTCCAACTACACGACGACGGTCGATTCACGTCGAAGGCCGCCACCTCTGATCGTCGCTGATCCCCGCTCGAGACCTATGGATCCGTATAGGCAGGCAGAGGGCCTATACCAGTACGGCCGCCAACCCTCACCCACCGAATACAGCACACCGACATCAGCCACTTTCTCGACGGGCCACAGCAGTCCCCAGTGGGCGTCTGGGATGGGATCGCCCAGGCCATCCCACTCTCGCTCCCAGAGCATGTACACGCCCAGCCGTCGACTGAGCGTCCCTTCGGCCACGTTTCAAGTGATGCAGGGACAGGTTCCCGGCCGACCAGTGTTCGGTGGTGCCGGCTCCATGAACAGCTCCAACAGTGGGGCTTTCTCTCCGGCTTCCAACAACATGGCTGCGTCTCCTACCATTTCCAACGCATCCGGGTGGTCTGGACGTCGCGACTCTGTGTCGAGCTCTGCGGAGGACTGGCGCAGGCGAACCTGGCATCCGGATAGCCGTGTATATGGCCAGGCTGGGCATCAAAGTCAACTGAGCAGCGTCGCGAGCCAGACCATGACAGGCCCAGAGCCGAGGCCCCCCATGGTCATGGACCCCGCCACCACCAAGTCGAACTTGCAACTACCAGGGATCGAGTCGTTTGATCAGCCAGGTGCGCAGCGTACATCAACCACGCCGCCTCGTCGACAGCCATCGCCCATGATGGTCGACGCTCATCCACGCCCTCCGACCCTGCAGGCCCATCACGAAGATGAGAGGCGCAATCTCAACGCCTACGACGCCAGTCTCCAGCGCGGGCTGAACCGACTCGATATTGATCCGCACACGCCACCGCGAGACGGTGCTGGTGCGTGGGCTTCGGAGGCCAACCGTGCTGTGCAACAGGCGCAGATGGAGAATGCCAGGATGAATGGTCCCGTTGTCCGATTCGACGCGCAGCCTCCGACATCGTACCCTCACCCCGGTACGCAGGGCATGCACTACCATACCATGTCGGCGCCCAACGTCTCGGCCATGCGGGAGTCGAAGCGTCGCGGCTGGTACAATGGCCCGATGGCGACGCATCGTGAAGAACGCGTGGAGCAGGAGCCGCGCGCTAGTCGCGTCGACAGGATGGTCCATCCCAACTTCACGGGCTTCAGTGGTTTCCCGGCCCGAGACCAGCAGCCTTCTGGACACCAGCAGCAGCAGCCGCCTCACCATCACCAGCAGGAGGGCTCATCCAGCACAAACAATTCCCTGGGCCGGCTGGAGGCCCTGGTAGCTGTGGCTACCGGAGAAGGCGCGGCCACCGCAGCCTACTAGTCGGCATATCCATCGCCATCTGACACACGACCCTATAAATATTTTGGTTGTCGACCTCACACACTACTCAACAAATGCCACTTACGACGTTGGCCATTGTCACATTTTTCTTTTTGCGACGCGCACCGTCTCCAGCGACAGTTGGGATTTGCTTTCTAGACGGAATTCTTGCGGCGGAGCCCTGCATTTTCTATGCTCTCTTTTGGTTTGGGTCAGCATTTGCTGTTACGACGTTATGATATACCTCCTTTTTTCCATTGTGAGATGAACAGCAAGGGGACAGCGAGTATACTTTGCGGCATGATTTTCACGACTATTTCCTTTTCTCCTCTTCGATGTCTGCGGGATGCGGTTTTCTTGTTTTAGCGACTATGCTTGGTTTACATTGCTTTCTTTGATACCCTGAGCTTCTTTTTGAGTTTCATAGGGAGGCGAAGATGGGGACTGTGCGGATGGACGGTACACAATGGGCGTTATGCGATGGTACTAGCTGAGGGAGGGGGTACGTGAAGTTGGAGTTTTGATGTCTGGTGGTCGTTGTTGAATTGAACGAGTCAGTATGCCGATACGCTGTGCCTGTTTCTGTGGTGATGGTGATGATGGACGTGGACCTGTTAGGTGTGTTGCCTACCCTGCAATGGCAGCAGCACACCACTCCGCGACTCGGACTTCATATCGAGCATGCCTCAGTATGGTAGTAACAAAGTTAGAATGGACTAGAGTTGTCCTTTGATGTTGGTATGACACTCGGCAGGTTTCACTGCCAGTCACACAAGGACTGAAGTCTTGTCATTCCATCACATGTCAGCGTGCAGAGGTCCCATATCATGCGATTCCCACGCAACGGTAGTCAAGCATGTGTCGACTTCACATCCCTCTAACACAAGCGCCTTGACGCATCTGAGATATGCTATATCTGGCCAATAAGCATGCTGTCTCTCCTTGCGTATCACAGCCTCACAGGGACGGCCGTCGCGTACCTAACTTAGCTGGTTGAAGGACCCGACGCAATGGAGAGTGCCTCTGCGTCGGGGGTGCATGTGAGCGTGCCTCTCTCCCCGCACTTTCAGGGACTGCAGCATGCATTCTATTGTCGTCTGCACCCGTGGGATGAGCGAGGGATTGGGTTCCGGGCCGCTCATGGACCAAAAGGGGGGGAGGGGAGGCGAGCCACGGCCGCGGTCCTGCATGAGGTGTCCTATCTTTCAGCTAGCCGAGCTAGAGTTGTCTAGATCCTGCTACACTGGCTGGCCTGCGATGCGCCATGGCGGCCACTGCACACGATTCATGTTAAAAGTGGCATGTCAAACTCATGATGGCCTCACTTTCATGGAGGAGGCTCCCCCCAGACGATGACGATGACCTATTATGCAGATCATGCGGCGACACTCCAGTCTCCAGAAGCAGGGTCCAATCCGCGTCTTTTCCGCCAATCGCCACTGTCGGGGGATTGGCAGCCAGGGCGTGCAAGTGTTTGAACGTTTGTGCAGAATAGTGAAACGGATGCTCTGCGTTGAGGCTTTGTTTCCCTCACGGAATGAGGCTCATATAGTTTACGACGTAGAAGAATTGGGTTTCACCGGACTGTGTCGTAGTTCAGCTTGGACGGCGAGAGATACTCTCTATCATGATTCCTCGACTATGAGGTAGCCATCCGCTTCAGGACTTGTGCATGCCTGGTTGTGTACAGGCGCAGAGCGCTTAGCCCCAAGAGGATAAGCAGCCAGCTAGCTGCTAGTAGGGACGAAACCTCCTCTTGTCCAGTGACTCCAGCCGCTTCTTACAGGCTGTTTCTGTCAAGCTGAGCCTCCAGTCCTCCATCAACTTGAAGTCACCGACAGTCCAGTCTTTTGCCAATTGAGGGCCTGGGCTCGGCTGGTCTGCCGAGTTGACGGTCACGGACCCCCCCCCCCACTGGTGACTGGAGTTTGGAGTGCCGTGCCGATTGCACCTGGACCTGGACCTGGGCCTTGCTTTTTGCCTTCGCCTGGCCTCCAACCTTGCTACCTTACTTGATCCCCTCCAGTCGTCGCCCGCCTGCCAGCAATCATCGTCCCTCTCGCATATAGACGACGAATGTATCTCACCTGCGAGCACCGACCAAGACCGTCCCTACCTGCTCTCGACAGCGAGACCAAGGCGTCACTCGAACGGTAGGGCTCTACAGAACGTGCGCGCGTGCACCATCGTCATCGCCGCCTTGCCTTACCCACACTCATCCGCACAAACTGCGGCATCGTCGACTCCTCTTTCGACGACTCAGGCTGGACCCTGTCCACGATTCCCCACTGCTGCATTTAATTAGTAGACGCGCCGCGCCCGCATCATGCTTTTTTCCAACATGTTCTACAAAACACACCGCTCGCCGCTCGCCAAGCTGCGACAACACAAGCCCGGGCAGGCTCCCCCCACCATGTCGAACTCTTCCTCCGGATGGGACGCGCCAGAGTACGCCGACCTCTTCTCGCGTGACAAGGTGAAATTGAAGGCCGCCGTCAAAAAATACGTTTCGAGCCGCGTGCGCGACGATTGGACCTTCACGTGGTCACCAGAGGGCCGAAGTGAGCCCACGACGAGGGCAGCAGACGCCACCGCACCCGCCCTACCGGAGCGACTCGAGCAGCGAGATCCGGTCAATATCCAGGACGAGACGCAAGAAGACGATGGGTACCAGGTCGACACCGACCCCGATGACGCCATCAACTCAGATCTGGACATGGACCACGACAGCGATGACGCACGCTCCGTGTACAGCATCGTCTCGGACGATCCCACACACTACAAGCCTCGCATCGAGTGGGACTCGGACTATCCGGTTGACGAAGACGCGCTGCCCCCCATAGCTCGCGCCAATACAGCGGGCCTGGACGACGAGGAGACCAAAGCCAGGCGCAGGGCACAGCAGAGGCGAGATCTGCGCAAGGAGATGGAGTGGAACCCTGGGCTCGCCTGCTTCGAGGCGCGACGCAACGCATGGACAGAGGCGAGGGTCGTTCAGCTACGCCCCAAGCCGGAGACACCGACAACCTCTTCATCGCCCACGAGCCAACGCTCGTCACGTCGGCGGTTCTTCCGCCGTTCTGTCTCGTCGACGTCGTCGGCTGGCACAACCAACCAGCCGGGTGCGTCATCCTCCGCCCGGGGCGAGCGATCACCGCAGAGGGAATCGGAGAACGACACCAGCAAGACCGACAAGACGTCCAACTCGGACTCGTTGGGCCACGGGAGTTATCCAGTGGAGACCATCGTGCCCGTGGCCGCACCTATTCTCCCACCGCAGTGTCTGCTGCGGGCGGGCATCCAGCCGGACAACTATCTAAAGCTGTACGACAAGTGCATACTCGACAACCAGCAGCCAGCGTGTCCCGTGAATCTAGCCGACACCATCAACGCGCTTGTCATGGGCTGGAAGCGCGACGGCGAGTGGCCCCCTCGTCCCGCCATCCCCAACGACTTTCCTCAAAGAGCATCGACAGGGCCGACAGAAGCGGCGGGCGAGCGGCGCAAGAGCTTGACGGGCCTGCTGTCCCGCGACAGGACGGCCGAGGCGCGCGCCGGCAAGGGGGTTCGGCAGAGTCTGTCGCGCGCCTTGGGGCTGGGCACCCATATCGAAGCACCGGGGGGGCCCAGGCCGACGATGGCGGGCTAGAAGCGGCCGGGCCACGAGTACAGGGGTCTCGCGAAACCAGCGCTGGCTAATATATGGCGCTGCTGTTGGTGCATTGATACGGACGTTACGAGCGCATGATACCCACCCCCGGTCGGTAGACGAGCAGAAGTCTACGTCTTCCCTCAGCATCTTGGGCGTATTTTCTTTTTGAGGTTATGTGAAGGAGGAGTTGTAGGCGTATTTTGGATGACATGTTCGCAACATAGCGAGACTGGGATATAGGAAGGGTACGTGCGAATGACACATATGACGCAGAACGCTCTGATAGTGTAGGCATGAGGAATTATAGAGCCATTGCTCTCAATTATATTATTTATACCGTATGTGCACTACGAACTATCCTTTCCCATCAGATGACCAAACCCTTGACCTGCTTCTTGTCCTTCACATTGACGTCCCTCCACATGGCGACGCCGGCAATGGCCAGCACGAGCACAGACGTGGCCGCGATCAGCATGTACCGCACGGCCTCGCCGTACGAGTCCTGAATGGCGATGCGCGTGGGACTGCCCAGGGGATACTCAGTCTGCACCTCGAGGCTGCCGTAGATGGCCATGGCCTGGTCCTTGGTGTCGTCTGGAAGATGCCTGCCCAGAGCGCGGGGGAAGACGTGCTGCCAGATGGCGGACGAGACAGTCTGCCCGATGGCGCCGCCGATGCTGGTGAACATGCTCTCGACGGCGAGGACGACGGCGACGTGCTGGTGGGCGGCGACGGACATGACGGCGATCTGCTGCGTGATGACGACGGCGCCGCCGCCAAAGGCGATGAAGATCTGGCACATGACAATGTAACCAATGTTCACGTGCGGCTGGCGGAACTGGATCATGAGGCCGGCGCCGAGGATGGTGATGGGCACGCCAAAGTACAGGGCCACCCACTTGAAGCGCCCCGTGCGGCGGATGGCGTAGCCGACGACAAAGGACCAGAAGCAGGAGCCGATGCTGTAGATCTGGGCCACGTAGCTGGCCTCGGTCACGGTGAGCCCGTTGACGGCCTGGAGGAAGGAGTTGAAGTACGAGTTCCAGATGTAGAAGCTGACAAAGAGCGTGGCCGCCATGAGACAGGCGCCCGCGACGGTGCGGTCCGTCAGCAGCTCGAACGGCATGAATTTCACGGGGGCAAAGAACTTTTCCCACACGCCAAAGGCGACGAGCAGGACGAGGCCGACGATGAGGAAGGCCAGGACAATGGGGGCCTCCCAGCCTGCGGGCTCACGCGGCTGGATGTTGAAGGAGAGCAGGAAGAGGCCCAGGCCGGCGATGATGAGGATGAGTCCGACCACGTCAAACTCGCGGAGGTAATAAAGGACGGACTGGGGCATCGTGCGACCCGACTCGCGCTTCTTGATCAGACCGCGGCTCTTGGCGACGCGGGCGTAGTAGACAAACAGACCCCAGAGCGGCAGCGTGAAGATGGGCGTGAGGATGGAGAAGACGCCAAAGCCCCAGCGGAAGCCGGGCCCGTTGAGGAAGGCTTCAGAGATGGGGCCGGACAGCCAGGTGGTGATGATGTAGGGCGAGGCGACGTAGGCGAGCATGAGGCCCCGGTTCTTGAGGTGGGACGTGTCAGCGATGAAGACGCTGAGGGTGAAGCTGATGCCGTTGTAGCCGACCCAGTAGAAGACCTGGGCGGCGGCGTACATCTCGACGCCGTTGCAGGCGGCCATCATGACCAGGCCGACGGTCATGAGGAGGAGCGTGACGAGGTAGCCGGTGGGGCGGCCGACGACGTCGAGGATCTTGGCGATCACCAGCTTGGAGACGCCGCCGATAATGTTGCTCATGATGCCGACGGTGGGCGTGAGCGAGTGCTCCTGGAAGGCGGACGTGACCCAGGGCGTGAGCGCGCCCGTGGCGCCCTGCTGCATGGTGTTGACAAAGTAGATGACCCAGATCCAGACGTAGGCGAAGACGAGGGCCTTTTTGGACCATACCGTCGTTGTGGCCTCAATGTTCTGCACGCCCGCCTGGGCCTCCTTGTCGATGGACTCGTGGTCCGTGTCGTCCGCAAGGTCGCGCGCGGCCTCGGCGTCCGTGTTGGTGTAAGTGGCCTCCTTTTTCTCGGCGCCATTGTTGCTGTTGCTGTTGCTGCTGCTGCTGCGCTCGCGGTGAGCCTCTGTGTAGGCGAGCGCCTCATTCGGCTCAGCGGTGGTGGACATTTTTCAGGCTGGCCAGACGTTGGTGAGGGCTGACGAGAGGCTGTCTGAGGCGAGGACAGGAGATGAAGGAGGAAAATGGACGAGAAGAGGAGGAGAGGTGCAGATGGCTTCCTGATATGGCCTCATCAACGAATCTTATATGGGGGTTTCCTGCAGGACCCCCAAGTGCATGTGCATGGCTGGGCAGGGATCGGCCAAGAGACGGAGGCAATTTAGTTTCCCAAGAAGCATGGCACACCGGTGAAGGCATGGTTGAAAACTGGGGATGTTCCCCCATATGGGCGGCTAGAACATCGCCAAACAAGTCTGGAAGGCTTGCTTCATCCACCCAAGACTGCAGCCACCGATTGACTTGCAGGTGATAGTCTGAATGGAGGCACTTTTCAGTCCCCACAAGCGCCACACATCTTGACTCTTGAGCAGTCTTCAAATTGTGAGGATAGGTTCCTCGCCGCGTGAGCGCTTGAGGATCATTGGTTCCTGGAGATATGGAGCAGAGCCAAGGGGCAGTAGTCAAACGAACGTCGGGAGGACTCGGCCAATTCTGGACAGAGCCAAGGAAAAGAACGTTTGCCGTGGATCAAATAGCTCACCCGGGTGGGAACCAGGATGACAGCCCATGTCTGGGTGGCCAGCAGGACTGCACGTACGGAGGGTTGTCGGATCAAGATGCTGGATGCTGACGTTGGATGGCGAGACGCGGTGAGAACTCTGAGATGATAGACCCCTCTCCCCAGGACTCAGGAGGAGGCACCATCGTGGCAAGCAGAACTCCTCGGGTCATCATCAAAGCCCAAAAGGCAGATTTTTATCAGATCATGCGGCCGGGAGAATGCTAGTGGCATGGCGTCTGTGATCCCTGCGCCGGGATCCATCAAATCAGATTGATAAGATCCGTCAAATTCTGCTCCGGCGTGCGGAGCCACCCATCTCGACCCTGTACGTACTTTGTAACTAGTAGTCACCAGAGCGCAGTTTGAGGTAATTTCTCCCACTTCAGTGACTGGGCGCGTGCCTGTATCGGGGGCGGCTGCTGTCCTGGAGTCCCTGGGCACATGCATGCAATTGGAGTCAATGGTGGATTTGCGACGACGTGTCTGTCAGTCCGACCATGTGTGCGTCGAAATTCCCGCGCGCAAGACTGTTCTCGCCAAATAAGCTTATATGAAAGCTTCAGTGGTGGCGTCAGTGGGCTTGCTGTGGATCGAGTCCGATCCATCCATCCGGGCGACGAGATTCAGATTGACGAAACCGACAAGGCCTCCTCGGATCAAATCAGATAACTCACTCAAACCAAAGGATCAACTCCTGCGAAAAGAGACAGACCACACTTAAAAAGTAATACTGCGAGAGGTAATAAATGCCTTTTTTATCCCAAAATGTACTTGAAGCTTAGACGGCCCCAAGGTGCGTGTACCGAACTGGTCTACACGAAAACGCTATGCCCAACGCCAAAAGACCAACGAACAGCCTCTCCTTCCAAGGGCTATTCAAACCTTGACCTCATCCTTGCGCCCAGAAAGCTGCATGTAGTTCCAGCAAATGTCAAAGCCCAGGTCGTTGTTGAAGTACGCCCGCATCACGTCCTCGCCCCACGCTATGCCAACCTCAGGCCCGTACGAAACAGCCTGCTTGCCCACGGCGAGGCCGATCATGGGGGGCGTCGGCTGCATCTCAAAGAACTTGGGCTCGTGGCCGACAAAGTCCCGCAGGATGGACTGGTGAATGTTGTTGGCTGAGATCCAGCCCATGTACATGGCGCCACCGCAGCGCTTGATGCCCGACCACAGGACGGCGTCGCCCGCGCAAAAGTGGTATTCCGAGTTGGGCGTCTCCTGGGGAAGCTTTAGGCTATGTGGCTGTCAGCGATCGTCATTCTAGATATACGTAGCAAGAGACTGGACGTACCTGGGCCTGATCTTGACGAGACCGTCTTCGTCCAGGGCAGACGTGGGGAGATACGTGGTTGTAGGCACACTCTTGGAAATGGCCATGACCACCTCGCTCGCGACCATGGTCTTGCCGTTGGTGAACTGGATTTCGAACCGCGGTGCTCCGTCTCCATGATCGACTGGCTTTGACTCCTTCAAGCGGTGGCCTATGAGGACCTCGACTCCGCCCTCGAGCAGCAGCTCCAGCGCCTTATCTTTGCACTCCTCTGACAGTCCTTCCGACGACAGCAGCTTGTCGCGCGAGTGGACCAGCGTCACCTTCACGTGCGGCTTGACGAGCTTGAGCTCCGCAGCTACCTCGATCCCTACGGCGCCACCTCCAACAACAACGACTCCGTCTTTCGCGTTGCCCACTGTATGAATTTGCTCGCTCGCCTCGATGAGGTACTGCTTCCTCGTCAAGGCACGAGGCGCCACGGGCCACACGCGGCGCAGACCAGAGGCGGCGATGAAGTAGTCGTACTCGTATATGGCCGCCTCCTTCGACGCGTGGTCGACCACGGTGGCCTTTTTGGTCTCGCAGTCCACGTGTGTCACACTGCCCTGCAAGACCTTGATGCTGGGGTGGTCAAGGGACGGGATGTCACTAAACTTGACCCACGCCTTCTTCGAGTATTCGGCGTCGCAGAGGGCCAAAGGGGTGCCAATGAGATGGTCTTGAGTTGGTCAGAATGGGCGTGCACAATATACAGTGATAGACCTCTTGAACATACAGAAGCCATCGCGCTCATCCACCACGGTGATCTCAATGTCGAACTTGGGAAGATCCGGGTGGTGCACATGGGGTTCGCGCGCGACACGTGGGGTGAGCCCCTCGGCAATGTCGAGGAGGTTGAGTGCGCTCGAGAGGCCAGCGTACGAGCCACCGGCGATGAAGACGCGCACAGGCGGATGTGTTTGAATAGGGCTCATTTTCGCAGTATGAAGGAGTCGACGGAGCGTGAATACGTGAAAACCGAAGGAAAAATCTACCTTTGAAGAGGGAAGCCGGGGCGTACAGCAGGATCGTGGTCTTGCGAACGCAAATGCAGGACTCGGCTGGGCAACTAAGAGTCGTGGAAAAGACAAGGAGAGGCGTGGCATGTGAGCAAGGACAAAGAGCCGGAACGATTGTCTGCAATGTGCGTGGCTCTGCAGATATACCACTTCCGACAACGGGGCAGCTAACTCGTGCGGCTGATGTCGGATTTCCGGCCCACCGACTTATCTGATCCGCCCACCGCCATCCGTGTCGGGGCCGGATGGTCTGATTATCAGATTGATAATTTTGGGCTAGGTAGCATGCCCCCTAGACGACGAGTCATGGACTCACAAGTGGCCTTTATGAGCAGGCAAATAGCAACAAAAACCTGAAACCCGTATTCTACGGAGACATCTCCAGACCGAGCATCGAGTGCGTGATTTTCCACGATTTGCTGCGCATGGCGAGAGATGGATAAGATTGATAAAATCCACCCCGGACTCCACATCCATTAAGCGTGCGTTTCGCAGGGATGCGAGGCCATTCCACTCACCTTCGCTTAGAGAAAATCCTAGGAAGATGGGTGCTTGCGCTGTGACTAATCGGAGGCGGAAGGCTGGTACCTCCGACAGGCCTTGGTGCGTGGAAAGCAAGGCATCAACAAGGCCTTTGGCCGCTCTGCAACCTAGCACCTCGTGCTTCGTTGCGTGTTCCGCCGATCCCCTAGTCTTATGGCACGGCAGTCGGCAAATTGCTGCGATCATGGACAACGCGAGCAGCGGTGTTTCCGTGGGCGAGGTCATCACGTCCATCTTCTTGTTGGTCGACACACGCGTCGTTCTCGGCTCCATTGCACCCATCCTTCGTGTTCTCGGATCGGCCGCTGCCTGATCAGTCCTGTCGGGGGCTGAAATTGCAACCAGAGTAGGAATAACGAGCGGCTCTCCAATGTTGACCGAGGATATAGACAGGATCTCAGCGACCCGCTCGCTGTACGAACAAGGGTTGGTGTTGTGCCAATCCGGTGGGAAGCCAACGGCCTCGCCGCTGTCTGTGATCAGTGCGGATGCCGCAGCTCATGGCTCCTACAGTGGCCACAATGTGGGCATGGCCTTTTCCATTGTCGTCAAATTTCCCATCGTCATCACCATGTGCCACATTGCCAACTAGAAGGTTGCTATTGCCTGCCTCGCAGGGCAATGCCCATGGCGAGTGCTTACACCAACATCTGGCTCGTGCGACTCAGAGCTCAGGCAACCTCATGCATACTTTCGTTTGCTGGTGAGGATCCACGAGGAGCGTCGAGAGCGAGGAGCCACAGACTCGATACTCCATCATCATGTCCTCCATGCTTGTGAGCGCATAGCTTTGGGCCTAGATGTTTGCACTTGCTCTAGAGTTCACTATAACCAAAGGCGTTGCGTTGAGGATCTTGGGTCTTTTCGGTAACGGCTCCGTGGAGAAGCTGTTCGTGAGACGATGTCGTTGCACAGGGCATCGAACGTGAAGCGAAGGGACCCGTAAGCAAAGCCTCAAATCCTAACCCTAGAAAGGCTGTCGCTCAACGTCAAAGAACGGCAGTTTTGTGGTCCCCATCAGCCCTTCTGGTGCTGCTAAGTCGACCATCATGTGCAGCGTATGGACACGCCAGACAACGGCACAGTGGAGATGGACCGCATCGATATCAGTAGCCGTGAGAGTGACATTTTCTGCGACGACATTGCCGTCGACATAATTGTGCTCTGTTTGGCAAACTAGTCAGACATTGAGGATGCCTGCAGGTTCGCCCATGTTCACGAGACCATGCTGCCTCTAGCTGATGATTTCGATGCAGAGCGTGGCCCCAAGAGCTCACGTCTGTCAGGAGGGTAGCGTTGGAGACTGGCCATTGCGCGTGCCTTGGTTCGCAAACGCCTGGCATCTGCATGCTGCAGTCAGGGGCGGGAAGCTCCTTCAAGGTCTTGAACAGGCGGTGCGAGGTACCACAGTCATTGCATCGTTCCAAAAACCGATGTGGTCTTTGTAAAAGAGGATGGCCAGGGTCGACAAGGGACGTCATGAGGAGCTGATCGCGGCAGGCGATACGCGTGACTGACTTGCAGCAGATTCTGGGGAACTGTGGCTCCCAAAATAAATAAAAAGCATGGCATGTGGTTTAAAACGTGCTACAAATGGATGGTTTGATAGGTAGATGAACTGTTGATGGCTGGCGCACTGCTCACTGTCGCCGGCGGGTGGCTTTTCCTTAGCCTTTCTGGTTGGCGGCCTTCAATTTGAGGCAACGCCTGGCTGTGAAGACACGAGAATCACAGCGGCGCATGACCTTTTCCTCTGCGCCCACACAAGCCCCACGCGCCGTGCCATGGCGCATACCGCTATCCGCCCTACTCTGCATTGAACTCAAAAGTCGATCCATAAACTCTACGTACATACTGTTCGTAGCTAGTGATTCCACAAGCCACCATTTCGCCCCCGGCTGCCTCTAGGAATCCCTCCTCTGTTCCTGACAACGACGACGCAGGTCCAGCCACGTTTGCCGGCACCCGCTCCTCGAACCACCCGAGCGAACGAGGAGGGAATGCGGCTCCAGTGTCCTTCCCATCCCCCGACCACGCCTCGTACGAATTAGACGACTACCGTGCAATCCAAGCGCGCAAAGACACTGACGAGGCCGAGCGACGGCGCCAAGAGAAGAGAAAAGACAAGCGGGCGTGGCTCGAAGAACAAGACGAGATGAAGTTCTCCCACAGCATCCAGTTCAATGCTGTCCCAGACTGGAGTAGTCACTACATTGCATACAGCAACTTGAAGAAACTGTCCGTCACTTTGTCTTGGACCACGCTGCCCGATCTGTGCTGACCCATCGCAGGATATACCAGCTTGAGAAGACCGCTCACCAAGGACTCGCTGGCGATGGCGAGTCTCGACCATTAATATCGACAGAAGACCCCGAGGAAGTCTTCAGCCGAGCATTGGGCATCGAACTGGAGAAGATATGCTCCTTTTACAATGCCAAGGAGGGCGAGCTGCGCGATGAGGTCAACCAGCTACTGCACGACATCTCGCAGCGCGTCGTTCCAGATGGAACCACCTCCAATGCACTCCAACCGACCTCCTCGAACGGACCGAGAAGGCCAAGCTTGGCTCGACAGATGAGCTCGAGTGGCCTTGTTTCGGACGACGACGTCGAGGAAAGTGCTAGCGACGACGACGAAACGACCGGTCTGACGCAGCCCCGCAAGCATAGCTTTGGGAGGAGGAGAACCATTGCCAGTACTACAGGCGGCCAGGGTCACGACTTGACGACCTCGTCAGAGTTCGCGCGCTCCATACGCAGGCGAAGCACGACCGTCGATGACTACGGCGAGCAGTCCGCCCTCTTCCCCTCCGGACTGTACTCCTCCGACATCATGCTGAAGAAGCGCATCATCAGCCTCTACGTCCAGCTGTGCGAGCTCAAATCATACGTTCAGCTCAACCGGACTGGTTTCAGAAAGGTGCTCAAGAAGTTTGATAAAATTGTCGACAAGGACCTCAAGGCCAAATACCTTCCCGAGCACGTCGACACTGCCTACCCGTTCAAAGACGAGACCAAGGAGGCCCTCGAGCAGAACATTGAGAAGATGGAGGAGGCATACACCGAGGTCGTCACTCAGGGCGATCGGGAGGCCGCCAAGCGGGATCTGCGCTCGCATCTGCGTGAGCACGTCGTTTGGGAGCGCAACACGGTCTGGCGCGACCTCATTGGTATCGAGCGCAGGGCGGAAGCGGCGCGCCTCGGTCAGTCTCTTCTTGGCACTGACCCGACCGCGACGTCGAGGAGGTTGCAAGGCGACGAGGCGCAAGCTGAGACTAAGGGCATCAGCACACCCATCGGCCGTTTCAGGGTGCCCGCTTGGCTGCTCAACTCGTCCATGTACACTCTCCTTGGCTCCTTGGCAGCCTTCTTTGTGCTTCTCTACCTGCCCATCATGGAGAAGGCCGAGCAGCAGAACTGCCTGGCCATGCTGGTCTTGGTCAGTCTGCTGTGGGCCACAGAGACGATCCCTCTCTTCGTCACGTCCTTGCTTATCCCGTTCCTGTCGGTGCTACTCAACGTGGTGCGGGAGGAGGATCCCACCAAGCCGCCTAAACGCCTCTCGTCCAAGGAGGCTACATCGGCTATCTTCGCGGCCATGTGGACGCCCGTCATCATGCTGCTGCTCGGCGGCTTCACCCTTGCAGCTGCGCTGTCCAAGTGCAAGATCGACAAGCGGCTGGCGACCCTGGTCCTCAGCAAAGCTGGGACGCAGCCGAAGACGGTGCTGGTAGCGAACATGTTCGTCGCTGCCTTTGCATCTATGCTCATCAGCAATGTTGCGGCTCCCGTCCTCTGCTACTCCATCATCGAGGTAGGTTTCCACGGGATCGTTGCTTGAATTCTTACTAACTCTATCTAGCCCATGTTGCGCACCCTCCCCTCCGACTCAAGCATGTCCAAGGCCGTCATCATCGGCATCGCGCTGGCCTCCAACATTGGCGGCATGCTGTCGCCCATTGCCTCGCCGCAAAACGTGGTCGCCATGGGCATCATGCAGCCGGAGCCCACCTGGCTCCAGTGGTTCTTCATCGTCATTCCAGTCGGTGCCATTTCACTCATCCTGATCTGGCTGCTTCTTCTCGTCACCTTCCACCCTGGACGAGGCACTACCATCTCGCCGATTCGACCCGTCAAGGAAAGCTTTACTGGTGTGCAGTACTTTGTTTCTTTCATCACCATCGCCACCATCGCCCTATGGTGTGCTAGCCACCAGCTCGAGGGTGTCTTTGGCGACATGGGCGTGATTGCCATCATTCCCATTGTGCTCTTCTTTGGTATTGGCATCCTCACCAAGGAGGACTTTAACAACTTCCCGTGGACCATCATTATTCTTGCTGCCGGTGGCCTGTCGCTCGGCAAGGCTGTCCGGTCGTCTGGGCTTCTGCACACTGTGGCTGAGCTTGTCTCGGACAAGGTGGAGGGCATGAGTCTGTATGGTGTGCTGGTTGTTTTCTCCGTACTGATCCTTGTCGTCGCCACATTCATCAGTCACACTGTTGCCGCTCTGATCTTCCTGCCCTTGGTCTACGATGTCGGAGTTGCGATGGATCAGCCCCATCCGAATCTGTTGGTCTTTGGTGGTGTGCTCATGTGCAGCGCCGCCATGGGCCTGCCCACCAGTGGTTTCCCTAATATGAGTAAGTGGTTCCTCCCGTGTCGATGCTCGGTGCTTTGCTAACAGTCCGCAGCTGCCATTATGAAGGAGGATCCTGCTGGGCAGAGGTACTTGCAAGTCAAGCATTTCATCAGCCGGGGTGTTCCTAGCAGCATTATCACGTTGGTGGTGGTCATTACGTTGGGTTATGGAATCATGCAAGTGGCTGGGATAGATTGAGGGTCGTTAGACCGGCCGCGAAATGCTGTAGCCATACATGCGCTTATAGATTTGGCATCTGTCTTAAGAAATGCATTGCATGGGAAGAAGAATGGCCATGGGTCTCGATAGGCATGTATCTTACGTTGAGGTAGAAGAAATCTCGAGGTGCGATCTCACACTGTGCTACTGTGCGACAGGGGTGCCTTAACTGACGTCGGCGCGGTGACGTTCATCGAATAGAAGCTCCCAAACCCAATAGCTCACCGTCACGCTCTCGCTGCGCACCAGTCTGACGAGCTGTTGCGAGGTCATTCGCAAAGTCTTGTGGGCTCATGGGCTTCGTGTTGATATAGTAACACCAGCAGGAGCTGGTCGCCGCCGCCATGCTCTCCGCGTTCACAGCCCGTCCCATCATCGAGCTGCGGCTGCGGGACAAGTCAAAGATCGAGTCCATACTTGCCCATGGTAGGCTGCCCCTGTCTTTTCTGGATATAATCATTGCTGACTGTGAAGGCGATCGTATCCTTGTTGGATTGAACACCGGTGCGCTGCGCGTGTATCGCCTGAACGACCTGCATCCCTCGGACGACTCGAAGCCAAGCCCGAACGAACAAGTCGTCGCTAGTCCGCCACAGAATGGCGAGAGGCCACCGTCGCGGTCAAATCCTTCCCGACCGACAGACTTGTTACGCGAAATAGAAAAGTTCTCTACCAGGGGTATCGAGCAACTCGCCATCATCAAGGAAGCCAGCACGATCATCTCGCTGTCCAATTACCACGTCTCGCTGCACCATCTACACAACTACGAATTGATCGAGACCCTATCTCGAACAAAGAACGCGACGTGCTTTGCCGTCACCTCGAACATTGTCAAAGATGCCGAGACGGGCATTCCCGAAATCATCAGCCGACTGGCTGTCGCTGTCAAGAGGAGGATCCTGCTATGGTCGTGGCACGAGAGTGAGCTGAGCGAGCAGGTCGCAGAGATCAGTCTGTCGGAAACAATCAGGTCCGTGACGTGGGCGAATGCGACAAAGCTGCTGTGTGGCATGAACGGGGGCTATGTCATGGTCGATGTCATATCGCACGATGTCGAGGAGATTATGAGCCCCGGCACAATGCAGGCAGGCAACCAGGGTAGTCGCTTCGGTGCCGTCGGCAGCGCTAGTATGGGCTACATGGGCTTGGGAGGATACATGCCGAAGCCACTCGCCGCGCGACTCGCAGAAGGAGAGATGCTACTCGCCAAGGATATCAACACCCTGTTCGTGGACGACAAGGGCAAGCCATTAGATCGGAAACAGATCCCCTGGCAGTCCGCGCCAGAGTCCATCGGATACTCCTACCCATACATACTTGCTCTCTTGCAGCCCTCGAAAGGCTCGCTCGAAGTGCGCAACCCAGAGACGTTGACCTTGCTGCAGTCGATCTCCCTCCCGGGCGCGTCCCAGCTTCACTTTGCGCCTCCGACGTCCAGTCTGGCCCATGCAGGGAAAGGCTTCCACATCTCCAGCGATCGGTGCATATGGAAGATGGATACAACGGACTATGACTCGCAGATCCAAGAGCTGATACGGAGCACGCAATATGATGAAGCCATAAGTGTCCTGGGAATGCTCGAAGATGCCCTCCTGAAAAATAAGACGGAGACGCTCCGCGAGGTCAAGATGCTCAAAGCAGAGGCACTATTCAGACAGAAGAAGTTCAGGCAATCGATGGACCTCTTCAACGAAGACGACGTCCATGCGCCGCCTGAAAGGGTTCTACGGTTGTTCCCACCCAGAATCTCAGGGGAGCTATCAGCATACCCCGATCATGAAGAAGGTTCGCCGCAGCAGACCGACACTCCGTCGAAGAAGACGAATGGAGCACGGCCGGACAGTCCAGTCGGGTCGGCAGATCCATCATCGCCGCCAAACATTGGTGGTTTTGCCAAGCTCTTCGGAGGTGGGCATAAGAAGGCATCTGACGCTGCCTCTATCACATCCAAGAAGGAGACCAAGGAGGGGCCCGAAGCAGATGACTCGTCGGCCAATGCTAAAGACACTGAAGGCCAGGATCCTCTTGTGCTCGAGGGCAAGGATTTGACAAACGCCGTGCTGGAGCTGAACAGCTATTTGGCGGGAACGCGCGCTCGTCTACAGCGCGTCATTGAACCGACCACGGGCCTGCTCAAGCCACGGAGTGACAGCAACGGCAGCCTCGAAGATGCTGCGGAGCGTTTCTTGCGAACCTCGCCCACTGATTCTGAGAAGGAACTGGAAGAGACCTTGAGGAAGACATTCCGCGTGGTCGACACGACGCTTTTCCGAGCGTACATGTTCTCGCGACCGACTTTGGCAGGCTCGCTCTTCCGCATTCCCAACTTCTGCGACCCTGACGTGGTCAATGAGCGCCTGCTTGAGCAGAATCGCTACATGGAGCTAATCGACTTTTTTTACGGGAAGAAACTGCACAAGGAAGCACTTGAGCTTCTAAAGAAATTTGGCTCCACGACAAAACCTGACCCAGCGGCCCCTACACTGCATGGACCCGATAGAGCCATACAATACCTCCAGGGACTGTCGCCCGAGAACATTGACTTGATCCTCGAACATGCCAAGTGGGCACTCAAGGCAAACGCAGGCTACGCCATGGAGATATTTGTGGGCGATACGGAGAATGCAGAGACGCTGCCGCGCGAGAGAGTACTGGCTTTTCTCAAAGAGCAAGATTCTCAGCTCGAAGCGCAGTATCTGGCTCACATTATCGATGAACTTGGCGACGACACACCCGAGTTTCACAACAGACTCGTCGAATTGTACGTGCGCAACTTGACGACCATGGCCAAGGGTGAAGAGTGGGATCGTACCATGGACAATTTCCTCAAGTTCCTCCGCGAGTCGAAACAGTACAGCCTGAGCAAAGCATTCAGTCTCATACCCCGAGATGGTAAATACAGCATCCTCCCAGTCTTTTCTGGATATTTTACTGACAACAGCAGACGCTATCTTTTACGAGTCGCAAGCCATCGTGTTGAGCAACATGGGTCAACATAAACAAGCGTTAGAAATTTTTGTCTTCAAGCTGAAGGATTACACGAAAGCGGAAGAGTAGGTTCTTGACATTGACCCCGCAAGAATTTCAGCTAACATGCTGCACCTAGTTACTGCAATCGTGTGCTTTTGTCACAAGATACGCCCACAAGCGTCGAGGACCCCGACGACAGTACTCCTTCCATCTACCACACCCTCCTGTCTCTGTACTTGCAACCGCCATCACCACATAAGCCAGATTTACCGCCAGCTCTCGATCTCCTCTCCAAGCACGGCTCGCGCTTGCCAGCGACCTCCACGCTCAGCCTGATCCCAGATGACATCCCCGTCGGCGATCTCGAGGCCTACTTTCGTGGACGCATACGCGCAGTCAACAGCCTTGTGAATCAAACTCGCGTTGTTGCTGGCCTGCGCAAGTCTGAGGGCATTTCCGTGGCGGCGCGACTGCATCTGGGCGACGATCAAGAAGGAGGCCAAGGTGGACGGAACAGGCATGTGACGATTACGGATGAGAGACATTGCGTGGTGTGCCACAAGAAGCTCGGTGGCGGCATGAGGATGGGCGGTACGGTTGTTGCGGTGCTGCCGGACAACACAGTCGTCCATTATAGTTGCCTGAGTCGAGTACCTGGCCAGCGTCCAGAGAGCTCGAGAGCACCGAGCTGGGGCCGAGGGTTCTGAGGTTGTAGTTGCGATGGATTGATTTCTCTGCGTCTGGCTGAGCTGGGCGAGCATATGTGACGGTAGATCGAATGGCAGGTCGGCCCATGATTCGGATGGAAGGTGTCTTCAGCAGGAGCAAATACCCCGTATATACGCATCGAGCACTTGGTTTTTTGGCTTTTTTTCTTTCATCTTTCAGTCCTCTTCCTCAACGACTTCTTCGCCATAATTCTCCTCTTCTTTGACTTCAGCGGCACTCTTTCCTCCTGCGCGCCCATTGTCTTCCTCCATTCGCTTTGTGAGCTCGGTATTGATCTCGGCTTGGGTAGACGCGAGGGCTTCGCGCAGAGATTGTAGATACTGCGTCTTGTCGGCGGTTGCGGATGATGATGGGGTCGGTAGAGGCTTCGAGACGGTGAAAGGGGTGCTGACGGCTGAGGCGTACGTCGCCTTCAATGCGATTTTCGAATCCTGAGACATTTTTCTTGTCTTTGTTGGAGTGAAGACTATGATTGCTTTCTCTGGAAACGACAGGTTTGTGAATGAGGCTTGCAAGAAGTCGAAACTGGCTATGTTGTCTTTGAATGGCGGGGTTCTCTTTGGAGCTTTGAGATCCACCAGGCGGCGGTCACGGTGACAGGGATACTCCTACCCCATGCAGCTCAACTGCCTATGGCATGCCAAGGGTCCATCGAGGGCAGTGCCAGTGCTCCAACTCCAACTTCACCTCGCCATCCTCATCTTGCCCAGTTTCCGTCAGCTTCAGTCGAGCGAGCCCCAGCCGGCACCTCGTGCGACGGACGGCCTGCGAATTAGACTTCCAACATGTGACATTTCTCTGACGCTCTGCAGCCAGAATGTCTCGCCCACAACCACCACCACCAAGCTCAGGACCGCCGCCGCCTCCATCCGTCGCTCGCCCTCCCGTTCGACCAGTCGACTCGTCAGAAAGCGATGCCTCCTCTTTCTCCGGACCCGGTATCACGATTGCGAAAACGCGCCATCAGAATCAGCAGCCCGAGTCCCCTGGGACGCCGATATACTCCCAGTTCGCCAACAGTGTCTCTCCCCCAACATTGACGCACCAAACAAGCAACTTCTCTCGACCGGCACGCGGCGCCCCATCTTCTACGCAAAGTCCTTTGGGCGGTATGAAGAATCATGCGAGGAAACATTCAGCGACGCCCGGCCTCTTCGAGCCGTCGCTGCCATCAACCAGCACCTCGAATCTGGGTCATCTGGGGATGAGCATGTCGACGGCCGCAGCCAGTTCGGCGACGTCTGTGCTGTCCGCCAGTCAGATTGCGGCGCAGGCCGCGGTCATGTCACATCAGAATAGTCAGCAGCACGCGCGGCAACGTTCCCAAACCGTGCCCCATCCCAACGACGGCCCTGATGGGCCAAGACGAGGCAGTGGGAGTAAAGGACCTGTCAGTCCGCCCATGCTCAGCCTGACGGAGGCCAGCGCGCCACGAGATGCCGCGCTTGGAGCGCATCATTATCAGCAAGGCAGACTAGCATCCGGGAGTGCGCACTCCAGCGCTGCCACCGCTGCTGCGAATGTGGTGTTTCCCCGGTCGGGACACAATTCGCCCAGTCCGGGTCTGGCTGCGTCGCAGATGCCGCCTCCCCCGATACCACCACCCGCGTCAGACAAGCCTAGCAAGTCGGAAAAGGCGAGGGCAAAGTTATTCTCGCGGCCGAGCAAGATCAGTACCAAGAGCGACACCAAGGAGAAGCCGCTGCCGAGCCCAGGGAAAATTGGATCGGCCCTCTCGGCCTTGCAGCGTGGAAACTTCAGTACTACAAGCCTTGTCGAACCAAACAACCAGGCCTTGTACAGCCATAGCAACTCTTCTGCCGCCACCATTCGACCAAATGACGCGCTTACAGAGGACAAGGGCAAGGAGAAGGAGAAGAAGCATCACTTCTTATCGCGCCAAAAGCACAAGCTCAAGGATGAGTTTCACTTGCCACTCTCTTCAGTCGCGAGCAACTCAGTCCCTACCGATCCGAATGCGCCTAAACCGCTGTACAACTTCAATCTACCTCCGAGCCCCGGCGTCGGCTCAAGTAACTTTGTCAAAGCCAAGAAGGAGAAGAAGCTCGCAGAACGTTCCGAAAGTCGTCTAGGACATGGCGATGAAGCAGCAGACTACTGGTCAGCCACTGGAAGTGTGCCGAACCTATCGCAACAGTCTACCATGTACGACCCAATAGATCCGGGGAAATTGGGCTTGCAAAATCAGATGACACTGGACGACGCATGGCCGTACCTCAAAGCGAAGTTGCTCGTCATCTTCGAGGGCGAGGACTTGAGGCTGCCTGTGGAAGACTTCAACAGGGTCGTGCAAATGCACATTCAGTACTGCATACATCGCAGGTCCCCAAACAGCATGCTCGAGGACTTGCGAGATCTTCTCTCGGTGGGTTTCTCGTCACTGGATCGTACGTTGCGCAAGACCTCGGAAGAGCGGTTCATACCAACTCTTGTGGAGTTGTGGCTCTTCACCTTCACGTCCATTCTGCCATACATGCAGTCCGTTTTCCTTCCACTCGATCTTGAAGTGTCGGGCGGCGGTACGATCATGAACCGTGATCAGGCTCTCGACTTCTGGGGAGGGGTCGTAGCGAGACCGTCGTCCGCGGATGGACCAGCTCGCGTCGCGCCAGCCGCTACAGTTCTCGACGTGCGGCGCCTTGTCCTGATTGCCTACCGGGACACCATCATATTGCCTCGCTATGACAAGCTCAAAACAATCTTCTCCCGCTTGTCACTTGAGTTTCTCCCGTCATCCTTCAACACAACATATGGCTCTCCGCCGGACGCCAGTCTATCAACATCGCCACCTGAATCTTTTCTCTCAATGGCGCGTCCGGGAACAGCAATGTCTCTCGACCTGTCCAACGCCTCCTACAACTCAAGTTCGACGACGCTGTTTGGCGAAAGCTCAGTGGGGTCTGCAGGTGGCCGCAGTCGAGCGATCAGCAATGTCTCCTTCGGTAGCCATGGTAGTGAGGGTGGATTGCGGCCGTTTACGCCATCAGGGGTGCAGGTCCTGGGCAGCGTGAGGGAGCAAAACGTCGAGGACTCGAAGCAAGTTACGGAGATGGTTGGACGCATGCTGCAGTGCATGAGTGTCCTGGCAAGCTTGGGGGGTGTCGGTGGAGCAGACGACGAGGGCAACAAGAAGGTCATTGAGCTCTGCAAGATGCTCAAGCTGAACTGGCTCGGCAGGGGAAGGACAGGGAGAAACAGGATGGGCATTGTGGGCGGCAGAGTCAAGCGCGAAGGGGCACGGGAAGAAGTACGGGTCTCATGATATGTGTACAACATGTTCACCAACAGGCGTTCACTAGGCAGCGTGTTCATTGCAGTTGTTCTTGCCCGAAACTTTGGATTGAAATTATCAAGATATTATTTACGCCATGATTAGATCTTCACAGTGCCTGCTACATGTGCGCAGGCCAGCTGGCACTCGCGTTGTAAATGTTACCTAGACTTGAGACAGTTAGCCATCTGCTTGAGTTGCGACTTCAACCGCGCCAGAAAAGCAAGGTATGTAAAACTTGATCAGACATCCAAGGAAGATCTATTATCCCTCATCTGTCACCAAAGGCTCATGGGACTCGAGTGGAAACTGCGAATAGTGGTGGAAAATTCATCATGCAAGTGCAAAATGCTCATGGCGGTTGAAGATGGAAGAGGGAAGGAGTCTTACCATGAAAAGAGAACATCTTCAGCCATCGTGACTGCAAAAAGTCAAAGATTCGTCTAAGGAAACTGACGCCGAGTTAGCATTCTGCTTTTCTGAGCATGCCCTGCGCCACCACATCTTGGGTTGAGATGTTGCGTAGTCAGAATGATATACTGGCAAGTAACAGGCCCGTTGGAAGCGGGCCCGAGTAAGTCTCTTCATGGTCGAATCGAGACAAGGTAAGAAGTGATTGGGTGATCATCATGCAAGAAGGAAAGGAGTGGTGGTGATGCAGGGGAAGAAAAAGCTTACCTTTGCTACGTGTGTGCGCGCGCTCAGATACTCTCGCCCTGCATCCACGATGCAGCGACTGGCCTCCGACCTTGGACATCGACGAGAACAAATCAATTCTCAAGCTCTGAGGAGCAGTCGTGATCAAGGCACTGGCAGTCGACGCTGCATGGCTGTTGCAGGACAGGTATCGTTGGCGGTTGAGCGCGCGCGCTGGTTGTGAGAGAAGAGGAATTTCTCGTTGAAATTCGCGATGAAGTTTATGCTAGGACAGTGCAAGCAAAATTTGCTTTATTGACGCGCACACTGTGTAGTCCACGTGACCTGCATACGACCGTTCGAGCCGCGATGTTAGCGGCGGGACTGCCGTAAGGTCGCATCCCATCAACCGCAAGACGAAAGACTACCGAGACTGGCTCGGCATCCGCATTCAGAGGACTTCTGTACGGGGCCGGTTCAATTCCAGTTCTCTAGCAGCTTTATTTCATTGTCTGTGTGATTGTCGAAGACGGAATGCCGCCTCAACGCTGCAGTACGTCCTGTCGCATTGTTTCTCGTCTACCAGATGTGACGCTGCCCAGACTAGGCGACAAAAGACGCTTTCATACCGTTGCGTCATTTGCCGCACCTAGCACACTGCTTTTTTCGTCGCTGAAAGATCCTAAATCTCTTGGCCCCGTTTAATCGCATATTCAGCACGGCTTTTCTGCATAGACCCGCAATTACTATCCTTGTATCCCATATGGCGTTCTCGTTCAGGCTGCGAGTTCCGTCAAGGCGCCAGGACTGGAAGCATCGAGTCCACCCATCTGGACGATCCCAACCTGCTGCGTCGCTCGTCTCTCGTCCCATCACCCTGTCCCTAGCAGGCAGATCAGGGTTGGCATTCTGCACTTCACCTCCCACGCCCCAAACAGATCCATATCGCCGTGTCGACTGCCCGACGACGACCACCACGTCACGATTCATTTGCGCTACACCATCGGCTACTTGCTGAATTGATCTTCGAATCCGCAGCGGTGCGCTTGGGCTCTGTCGCTTTCGAATCGACTCCCCACTGCCCGACGGGTGGACTAGCGTCACGGCGGCCCACGTCCAACGCGCGAGACACGAACGACTGCACCGTTGCCTTTGTGACGAGCAAAGCGCTACAGAAGGAAAAACGACTTTTCTCAATCCTCGCTCTGAAGACTGCCCCGCGAAAGCGTGCATACTAGGGGGCGCGCCCTGACTGGTCGTGGCTGTTCCGCGCAACACTGACAGACGCTTCTGTCACGCCATTGTGTTCAGGACGTCACGAGGTGTTTTGCTGCCTAGCATACTTTCGCTCTCGCTCGATCTCATCTGCCCTTTGACAGGTTTGTCGCTGCGACAAATTTCTTGCGGTCCCCAGCTGTTACGCGACGTGAATCACGTTGCGGCAATCTGACCGCAGTCCAACCCACCACCTCAGGCACGCTTCTCTATCAACACACCTCCACGACCTACTCGTCGAAGCGTATGCAATAGCACAGGACGTCTTCGTCGACACCCACGTCGTGGAGTGGCGACCAGGAAACTGAGATGATGGCTACTAGTAGCATGGGCCCCAACTTCAACGCCGGTCATCCTGCTGGCATGGGGCACCCAGGCGTGGCCGGCCATCCCATGGGACCCGGGATGCCTCACCAGCCGGGGCAACAAGGCGCACCGGGCGGCATGCCTCATCAGTTCGCCGGCGGGCCGATGGGGGTGCCGCCTGGTGCCCAAGTCAATGCGATGATGGCTGCTATGCCGCCAGGTATGGCTGCTCAGTTTCAGAATATGGCTCCTGCGCAGCAACAGGCGTTTATGCAGCAGCAACAACAACAGCAGCAGCAACAGCAACAGCATAACATGCAACAGCAATGTATGTTTGCGGATATCCTGTACAGTCGTCCGCCCACAAGCTAACTCGATTCTACAGTTGCTCAGAACCCCAATCTCGCAGCGATACGACAACAGCAGATGATGGCACAGCATCACCAGCAGCAACAAGCTCGGAATATGATGGCGCAGCAGTTCAACGCTGGCGTGCAACACCAAGGCATGCCTATCGGACAAATGCAGCTCACCCCGCAGCAAATCCATGCCCTCCGTCAGCAGCGAGGCCAAATGCCTATGGTAAGCTCTGAACTTCATTCCTCATGTCGAACAGAAAGCTAAGTGTGCGCAGCAGGGGCACCCGAATATGATGTACGCGATGCATCAACAGCAACAACAGGCGGCTCATCAACAACAAATGCAGGCTCAGGCCCAGCAGCAGGCTCAGCAACAACACCAACACCAACATCAACACGGCCAGCAGCAGCAGCAACCTGGGCAGCCAGGGCAGGCAGGACAGATGAACGTGCCTAATATGCAGGGAATGTCACAGCAGGCGCAACCAAGCCAGACACAAATGAATGCTCAACAAGCCAATCACCCACCAGGCCCGCAAGCGCAGCCAACCCGTACACAAACACCATCGCAGCAGCAAACGCAGCCACAAGGAGGCCCGCAGCCGCACCAAACACCGCAACAAACGTCACAAGCCGGCACGCCAGCCAATACTGGTGGGCAGACCCCTGCACAGACCCCAGGCTCAACAGCCGCGCAGCAGCAAGGCCCACAACCACCACCGCAACCGCAAGTCCAGCAGCCGCAGGGCCCAGCTCAACCTGCGCAACCTCAGCCCGGCCAGCAAGCTGTTCCGCAGCAGATGCAACAGCATCCGCAAATGAGCGCGGCCCATCAGCACATGATGCAGAGTCAATTGATGGCGCGGCGACAGATGCAACAGCAGCAGCAGAACGCAGATGGGATTCGCGGTCAATGTTTGTTGAGATTGATGCAGTTTGGCGAGCACCTCAGTGGCTACGCTGTGAGTCCTCCTCCGTGCAATATTGAAACAATGTTAACATGAGCTAGCAAAATGCCCGCGGACGGGATGACCACTCGTACTGGGCGACTTTTGTCGATCGATTCTTCGCCCCCGAGGGTGTCTTCCGGCACTCATTGCACATTACAGACGGCGGCGAGACGACCGACAAGCAATACGACATAGCTTCTTCGGCCATCGCGCGATACTTCCACACACATTTCCACAGTGGCGTCAAGAACATACAGTTGATCCTGGATAAGGGGACCATGGATCGAGCGTTGCCGCACGATTGTCACTATGTTGAGAACAGCCGCGCCAGCCTTGTGTATTGGTTCGAGACCGGTTCACACGTAAGTATTCGTTGTGTTGCTGGGATAAGGACACGGCTAATGGCCATAGCTTGTTGCGAACGGAACACTCCGCGCTAGCTTCAACAGTCAGCAGAAGCTCGACCTCTTCGAATTCGTCACATCTAGCCAGGAGGAGTATGTGTCGCGGAAGCAGGTCATCGAAGCCGCCAAGCCTACGCATGCATGGATCAAGGAGTGGCGCAACGTCAACAGCGACATGAAGCAGTCGCCCGAACTGTCTAAGAAGGGTAAGGGGAAGCAATTGAAATCCCCACAGACACACCCTCCCGAGGTCTTGATGGACCTGCCGGACTCCGCCGTCAACAGCAAAGGAGTTACGCCAGCAGTTCATCAGTTCCTGGAGATAGTGGAGGTCATGGGACAGATGAACCCGCTGTTCAGTTACTACCACGCCAACCCCGGCATGGGACCCTATGCAGCGCTGGAGCAGTATGTCTCGACCAACATCCTCGGTCAAGGGGGTCCCAACGGCCCGCCCGGTCCGCAGAATCCCCGAACGCCAAGCTTCAATCAATTCCAGATGGGAGCGAGCCCAGCTGTCGCTAACGCCAATCTGCCCGGCTCGCCGCACATGGGCAGCCCTGCACCTGGGCAGATGCAAGCGCCGCCCATGCAAATGCAGCAGAGCCAGCAGGGCACGAGCTCGAGCGGCCCGAGTGCGAACACGTCACCTGCATCGAACAAGCGAAGACGCCCGTCAGGCGTTAAGGTCGAAGATGACGGGTCGGGCGCGCCGACGCCGCAGATGAACGGAGTGCAGAATCGGCCTGGCAAGCCAGCGACACCCAGGATGAACAAGCGAACCAAAGTTAACCCGTCATGAGGGGGGAGAATTGCCCGGTGTGGATATCGATTATTTTGACATACAATTGTGCTTTTTGGCGGCATGGCGTTTTGTGCTTGCATGGCCTCTCAAAGCACAGGGCTGTGTTTTGTGGGCTGGGAGCATGGCGCATTGCTTCACCTGGGTGTATGCTGGCTCATGGAGAGTCGGTTGCCGGCCCTCTGGAATGTACTGACGAAGAAGTACGGGATGAATCAACGCGAGGAATTACGTGTTCGACGTGAAGGCGGTCTTTGATATTGATTTGGGTAATGGAGTTACTCGTGTACGATAGAGACGTGGGGTTTTTGTTGGTTGGTTGGACTTACTTGCAAGCCCCGGCTTTCTCATATTGCATCACTTCAAAAAGGGGGAGGGAGGAGGGCATATTCACGCGGAGATTCCGGACTGGCCTCCTCGACTGGACCCCAGCAGAACTGCGCGAGGACTGGCGTCAAAACGCGACCGTTGATTGGGAGGAGGTATCGTTGCGTTGTTTCCTGGTTTCAGACTTATACCACCTTATAGTTTCGTTCCTTTTTCTTTCCTTTTTCAACTCACAAGGTAGCTGCATCATAGTTTTGCGGGCTGGGGTGGATGGAGTTAGGGATGCATATATACTCGTTTCGCCTTGATCAGCTTCTTCCTGGTTTCTATTATGGTGATGTGGGAGACGATGGGGAGCTTTCTAGTCTTCCTAGCAAGTCGTTGGTTTTGCTCCTGGCGGTCTGAGGTTTCGCCGCAAGTACCATAAGAGCCCATTCTGCATCACCTACCTATCAACGGAGTATGTGTTTCGCCCTTTTCTTGAACTGGCGCCAGGGAAATCATTTGAAGATTAACTACTAGGCTCGATAGTTGTGCGTTCTGTCAGGAAGGGTGCAAGTCAAACGAGCATCATGATGCCTGATTTTCAAGGATTGAGCACTTCATGTGAAACTGTGTTATTACTGTCCAATTGAATTTGATCGCCAACCACCAATGTCAAAACTTTGTTCTTCTTCCGCCTCTTGATAGGAAGGCCTTTTTCTCGTGTCATTATAGATAAAGAAAAAAGAGAGTCATTTTTAAGAAGGGCCCTGATAATACCAAGCGCGATGATTCTTTGGTGTAAATGCATGCGGCTCAATAATACATAGGGTAAGCTGATACGAGCGACCGAAACCTTGCATAAGATTTTAGAGGCAGCGCTTTTCCAGTCTTGAAGTCGCAGCCTTGAAACGTTTAAGGTCAGCCTCATAACAGCTGGAGCGCATGTTGCTGGCTCAGAGGCTAGGCCAATTAGACATGTCTATTTGTTTCCTGACCAGGTGTGTGTTCAGCAAGCTCAAGCCCTTGAGCATGTTGAACCACATTGCTGAGATCAGGCCATGTTCAACGCCATCCTCGCCCGAAGAGTATTTGTCTCGGCCGACATCCATTGCTCTCTCAAAAGTCTATTGGTCGAATCTCAGACACTACGAGCGCCACGTTCGCCATCTGCCGACGTGAACGCCACATGCACTCAAGTCGTAACCCACCCCTATCCGACCAAGGTGTCGGGTCTTGGAGGCTAGAACTTGGACAAGCACAGCGGCAGTCAAGAAAAGATCATAGACCTCTAGCGTCGATTTCAAGGGACCGTAGAGGAACGTGGGGATCGTCGAATCGGACGCGAGCAACATGAGGTGGCTGAAGCCAAGTCAGTGAAGCTATCCCCAGCAGAGCTCCCTCCATGTCGTCTGGATATATTTCGAGCTCTACCTGGCGCCAGAATGGCTTGATGAGCTTTTTGGATTCACGGCATTTATAAAGAATGTATCCCTGCCTATCTTGCAGGTTCAAGCAACACCGCTCCTTTGTCACGACAAGTTCAACCACCAGGCTCTTCCTCAGCATTAAGCTTCCCACGAAATCAACATCATCACAGGTGTTATCGTCAGTTTGGTCCACGTTTCGAAGTCTCGCATAGGGCATTATGGACCTCAAGGTCACGACCTCAGCAGCTCGTCTGTCTTGGACACCACTGCCAACATGAACGGCACCGAACCCCTGATCACCTCACACCCCCAGTACAGAGTGCCGACCTGTAGCGAGCTTGCCGCAGCCAGCACGATATGGGGTATAACACTCGGCTTCAGTGCATTTGGCGTCATCCGCGCCGTCACCCAGACATTCCATCACTGGCGGAGGGTGCGTCGTGCGACGGCCTACGTGATACTCATATGGACGGAACTCATCGCCAGCACTGTCATTGCCGGGCTTGCCTGGGGCTATGTGAGGCAGAGCATACGGCCAAACTTTGCATTCTTCACGGTACTAAGTAAGTGTTGTATCCCTCCCCCCCTTGGGGCCCCGTGTTCAAATCTGGAGCTGATCGTTCGCCCAGTCTTGCTCTGGTGTCTGCAGATCCACGCCATCTTGCAGATCATCCTCACTCGCCTCAAGTTGATCGCGGACGACAAGTCCTTGATCCTTCATCTCCAATGGGCTGTCTTCATCATCGTCCTCGCCATCAACATCAGTGTGGCCTGTCTCTGGGTCCCTGCGTGGTTGCATCGCAGTCAGCGGTATATTCACATCAACGAAATCTGGGCTCGCGTCGAGAAAAGCCTCTTTGCCCTCATAGATCTGTTTCTCAATGGCTATTTCGTGTACCTGGTCTATTCGACTCTTGTGTCATATGGTTTGACCAAGTACGAGCGATTGTACAGGATCAACGTATGCATGATCATCGCATCAATCTCCGTGGATGTAAGTAATTCCCGAGTCCCACTATGAATCTTTGCTAATCAATCCGAAAAAAAGATCCTCATAATTAGCATGATGTCCCTTCGCAACCCTTTTCTCTACGTCTGCTTCCACCCCCTGGCCTACCTCGTCAAGCTCCACATTGAAATGTCAATGTCCGATCTCATCGCCAAGACTGTCAAAGCATCGAGGGATCCGAGCAACTGCCGCCGTTGCAGCGACCTATCTCTCTACAACGTCTCGGAAAGTACGCAGGGCTGGATGGCGGCGACATCTCAGCGCCTTGGCCGAGTCGGACCGTCGAGGTGGGCGACCACAGGAAGAGGGGCCAAGGATCAGGAGCGCGCTGACGCACTTGACACCCCTGATACGATTCAGCAACCAAAAGGAGCCGTGAAGAATGTTAGATTCTGGCGCCATGAGCCACATCTTCTGCCGCCTGGCACCAGGAGCCCCCGTGACACGACCAACGGGGACGATCCGGAGCTAGCCATGGACTCATCAGAATCCTCAGCTGGGAGGAGTGATTTGGAGGCGTGGCGGAGACCTATAATCATTAGTTCAAGTTGTGGCGGCCATGGCTGCATTTTCTGAACAGTGGGCCGTGCCGACTCAAGAAATCGGGAGGTTTCCATGAAATGCACAGATGTATTCGGCCAGGGCGCGTGGGAAATGTAAATTGCTTAGAATTTGCAAGTACCAACAAAGTACAGTGAAGCCGTCAGTCCTCCTGTGCCAGCCCGCCTAATCTTGATGAATGCACCCCTACACTTCAGCAGCCCCTGAACCCGACACAGTCTTCCCGGCCTACAGGCTGTCCGGTGTGGGATTCTCGTGTTTGGCCGTGCTGCCCTTAGCGCGCCACGTACTTACCGCCGGGATGTTCGCTTCCCAGCGTTCCTCCACAGTGCCGTACGCCTTGGGAGTTAGCTTGATAAGTGTATGTAAGGGCACGTTCATCCAAGGGCTTCTCGTGTGATCCTTCTTCATGAAGTAGGCGTAGATGCAGCGCAGGACAGCCTGGTGCGTGACAATCAGAATGTCTTCGCTGCGTTCGACCTCCATGATGATGGGTTCCAGACGGATGACAACATCACGATAGGACTCGCCGCCACGGTAGCGATAGTTGTACTTGTCCTCGTCGCGAGCGGCAAAATCATCGGGATACCGGTCCTTGATTTCCTGGTACGTCAAGCCGTCGCAAACGCCAGAGTCGAGCTCGTCCAGCGCCTTCCACTGCAACTGATTGTAATGCGAAGGGAGGAAACGACTCGTGGCGATGGTGCGTTTTAATGTGGACGTCCAGACAGTGAGCGGTCGGTCATCCTACAGTCATGAGTAACGGGTCAAAGAAAGATATGGGAGCAAACGTACGCCTACTGATTGTCGCACGAGCTCCGGCAGCTTCCTCGCATATGCCTCTCCACGCGGTGAGAGGAGCGTATCACCCCCAATCCGTCCGTCGAGGTTATACATTGATTCGCCGTGCTGGAGGGTTAGTCGTGACCATTTGCAGTCAGGCTGTGATGACTTACTCTTGACAGCCAGATCGACCGTGGGCGAATGTGCAGATTCATCAGGTAGTAGACCACCCGACTCTGCAGATAGTCCTGGATGCGGTTGATGATGACCTGCTTGCTTACGTCCATGAGCTTGAGGTACGTGTACTGGTCTTCTTCCGAGTCATCCCCGCCAATTGTTTCGTATATCTTTTCGTACATTTTGATGCGGTTGCGGAAATCTTGTGCTGCCTTTTCTGGGTCTTGTCCCTTGTAGTCTGGGCTGGTGGTTTTGACATCGCGCACGTTGGCCATGATGAGATCTTCATCGTCACACTTGCTCTCGACAAATAGTACTTCAACGCCATGGGCGTTACATGTGTCGAGAACCCACTTGCGGCGCTCCTTTGTTGAGTTGGTCGCGTCAAGTATGCCGACCACGCCGCCAGAACGTAGCCAGGCCAGCATGTCTGCGACGGCGGCTTCAGCCGCTGCGCGGCGTTTCCGCTCGCCTTCCGTGTTGTTCATGTCAAAGAAGTCGGCAGTTGGCTGAGGCGCATCGTTACGGCGGTAGTTACCCACGTTGAAGACCTGCGCCGGTATTGAAAGCCATTGGAGGTACCGTTGGGCTAACGTCTTTAGTGGAAGCACTTGATGGTATGAGAGAGACTCACCTTTCTGTGCAATGAAACTTTTTCCGCGCGCGGGCAATCCGACCATTACAACACATATCTTCGTGTCCTCAACCTGCACGCCGATCCCGTTAGTAATGGCCTTGGACGCCATGATCATGGTAGAAATCCAATTCGTTCCCTGGCTTAGATAGAGCCCCCCTCGACAAATTTACTCAGCACTGGGGACTGAAAAACACAAGAATAAAAGCAGGGGTTGTGATGTGCAAAGGACCTGTGGCAACAGCGCGGAGAACGTTCTTGGTCGCGTGACCTCGAGCTGAAGCCAGAGAATGGACGGAGCCCCCCTTTCCTGGTTGTGCAACGGATCAACTGATGATGGCGAAAGCACTAAGTGGTAAAAGCCAGTGTAGCGACGGATTGATGGTGACACCAGGGAACGAGGGGATCCCGCTGGAGATGTCAAGGTTGCTTGGATGAACAGTGCCGAGGCCGATACTGCGCTGCAGCTGCAGGAGACCTCGTGCCGGAGTGAAGAATTGATGAAGAGGGTCAACGCAAGGAGCCCGGCGTGTATGTTGTGCGACGCAATGACGTCCGCAGCAGAGACTGCGTCTGTCACGACTGGAGTCTCACGACCCGATGTTGCTCCCCGGTGAGATGGTAAGGTAAGGTACAGGTACCTTGGGCGTAGTTGATGACGCCAAACCAGGAATCCCGTCAACAACTGAGCAATCAATTGCCAATTTTCAGACTGTTGTACAGGAGCGTCCAGTTCTCTCGATGAAAGTCGGGGAAGGTGCAATGAGATGAATCACGTGCTGCTCGGACAGTCACTTGTCACCACGTCGGGCGAGGACTTCAAGCCGGCTCTCGACGACTTGTTGACGACACATCTTCCATCTCCAACGCCTTTTGCGTTTACCGAGGTGGAGTACGGTGCTCCCCTCCCTCTCCGCGATGCACCAGGAAGCAAGACGACCACTTGGCGACCCTTTTTGCATTCCTTTGCCCCGACGCCTTGCGCGCCCATCCGGTTCGACCCGCGCTCGCCCACAGTGCAACTTTGATAGCGTAACAGAAACCCCAACGCGTGCTGCCCCGACTCCAGCCGATGCAGCACTTCGGTGAATGCAGAAGATGCTTCCATTGACCAGCTAGCCCGCGCCCAGTAGCAAGAAGGCGCGCTATCGGTTGTGCTGACCCGTGGGACAGCCATCAACATGGTCGGAGGAAACCCCGACGGTTCACCGCCTGGGCAGCTAGGGTCGTCGCTTGACTGGCCACTATGCCACGAGGTGGTGTCCTGAAGCTTGCGAAATGGGAAAGACGGAAAGACTGACCTTGCTGAAACTATATGTGTTGGCTCTTGACCTGCCCTGCGGCGAGGGAGATCCCGCTGCCACGCCCACCGTCATCTTGTTCAGGCTTCAATGTCGTTGTCGTCGTTCACTTATCAGTTATCGCAGATGCTGGGTAGGTTCGCGGGGCACAGATGATGTCAACTGTCACGGCTGGCCACGAAAAGCGTGCCGATGCAAAGTTTGCAGAAGAACAGCGTGCGAGATGTCGGGAAAGGTATCGTGCGAGCAAGTTGGGAGAAGATGATTTCAACTTCCTGCTGATTACATAGCAACACCTGAAATGAAAAGGTCACACCTGGCGCCCACGAGGCGATTATCGTCGAGCTGGCGCCATAGATTGGCCTACGGCAGGGCCCAGGGCCCACGATAGGACCATTGTAATGACTAAGAGTGCTGCGAGCTCTACGCGTGACTTTGGCATCTCTTTCTCCGAGTCTTTGGGCGCAGACACACGAAGAACACTTTCTTATTGTTTCGCTCTTCTCCGTCTCTTCTTTTTTTACGTTCTCGGCATGCGCTGTGGCCGAACGATTTCAACGTCTGATCTGCACTAACATCTACCCCTCTGGGCCTCTGGGGACCTCTGGGGATTTGCCTACTAATCACGATGCCCTCGGGTAATGCCGCTAATGCGTCAAACAATCGCGTCCGCCGAGGTTGGCCTTGTCGATTTCGCGACCAACGACGAAGTACAACTAACTGAGGGCACTGTACCTTTTTTCCAGGTCTACACCAATGTCACGCTTTCGGTTCGGTAAAAGTGCATCTCAGCCTTTCCAAGGTCAGAAACAGCGACAACCTTCTGCAGGAACATGTTGCCTCGTTCATGTACAACTCACCCCTCCCCTCGCGATCTCAATGCGCAAACGCGATGGTACGAGCCCTCGCGAATCTGGGGTCATCGCAGCTTACGAGGTGGCATGTACACTGCTTTCCCTCCGTCAACAACGCAGGGATACGATAATGGCTAGAAGAACGGTCTCCAGAGGGTGTCGTCCTTATCAATCAGATTGGCTCGATGAGATCGGATGTCGCGTTCGTCTGGGCGATAATTACACGACAGCCGCCGCATGCCAGCACACCGTCTGACTAGTCCTCCGAAATAGCCATACTGAAGGTGGTTTCTGGTCTATGGCGGTCGTCAAGAAGAAGCGACAATAAGTGGTGATACTCCAAAGGGACTCCAGTCGTCATTCTTCTGATCAAGTAGCCGCTGGTGAGCGACATAAGCCAGCCCAGAGCGCCGCTCGTTTGGCAGGCATTGCTGTCGGTGTCAAAGCGCTCGTGCCTATTCCCAACACCACAATTCTTCTCCAAGGGGCGGCACCTGAGAGTCACAAGTCGGCCGTATTTGTGACAAGCATCTTGTGATGCATCTGGCGAAATAGCCGTAGCTGACGCGAAGTCTTGGCACAGCCGACGTTGAATCAGGCACGCCTGTCTCGCATTTCGTTTGCTCGTGGTCCAACTTGTTGTGGGCAAAGTATCTGTGCTCGCACAGCCTGCCGTCTGCAGCCCCAAGCGGCTCTGCTCAATCTCTCCTGTCGTCAAAAGGCCTTGGGAAGCGGAATTCCGGTCCATATCGAGGTCCGTCCCAGTGTCCCACCGCCTCGCGCTGATGCCTACGATCGGTATAGGGTCCCTCGGCAAGGATGCGCGCGCTCAACAAATTGAATCCTCTGACGTGCACACTTGATGTGAATCACTTAGTATAAGACTCGTATGCGACTCGATCGAAAATGAACGCCAAAAAGAAGAAGAAAAGCTTAAATTCCTACTTGCATTGCTCACAATGGCGAGTGCCGACTGGAAGCCACTTTCAGCCTCTGTCTCCTTGTATCAGCCATATGATTCCAGTCCGCCGCCAACCTCACCAAGCCTCATCGTCCTCTGCACCTGGTTTGCAGCACAAGAGTCGCACATTGCCAAGTACACCAGTCCGTACATTTCCTTGTACCCATCGTCGCCGATCCTCATCATCCGCTGTCCGGCGTCTCACCTCTACACGCCCGGTGCAGTAGCCCGGGATCTGACGCCCGCATCAACCTACTTGGAATCTCACGCGGAGCAGTATCCCAACAGGAAGATTATATGCCAGATCTTTTCCAATGGAGGCACGGGCGTGTTCGCCTACTTGCACAAGATGCTCCGGGTTCGATTGCCGCCTAGAGTCCTCGTCCTCGATTCGTGCCCTGGCTACTTCCATTGGATGAGAACGCACAAGGCCGTCATGGCATCGACGCCAGCCCTTCTCTCGCCTGTCGTCCATTTTGCCATAGGGGTGGAAGTTCTACTACACCGTCCTTGGGGCTATGAAGCTCCCCAGAACGCGGCTACCATGCTCCTGAATTCACCAGAACTCACAGATGGTGAACTGTGGAGGCTATACCTCTACGGCACGGGTGATGAGATGGTGTCGTTTGAGGATGTCGAGCGTCACGCGCTCGAGGCTGAGGTAGACAGGTACCTTGTTGTGAGGAAAGAATGCTTTGAAGGAAGCAAACACGTCGCCCACGCAAGAGAGGATGCGGACAGGTACTGGCGCTGCATCAGGGAAGTCTGGACAGATGCCCTAAATGAGGACAGAGTATCTGGCGCGGTTGCAGGGGCTGAGGTCGTAGACAAATCTGGGATCGGAGGCCTGGTGGCACCATAGAGACAACAGATTAGACGAAAATCATACTGTACACATTATTAAGCTGTCAATTCTACGGAAGAGACATGCTCCCATGCCCAGCCCGCGCATCGTAAGCAGTACCGTTGATCGATTCCAGACCAACCCCCCGGACCATTCATCCCAAAACGTAACGCAGCGGATGAGCAAGATGAGTTATAAATCAGAATGTGAGAGAATCACAACTGGACGGAAGGAGAACCCGAATGGGCAGCACATTACACGTCAAGGCTCGTCGAAAGAGTCCCAAAATGCGCCGCCGCGCCACGCCATTAGAAGCAGATACCGAAGCCACCGAAAGAGAAGGCAGACCACATGGGAGAAGGCTTCAGTGGTCGCCCTCGACATGTGTGAAGACTGTACGTCAGTGATAGAAGCAGCCCATGCCGGCAAGCACACCCAACGATGCGCGACCTAATATGCATGGAGCCAGCATTGGCCCCCTAAAGCCCGCCGGGGGAAGCCTCAACATCAGAAAGAAGTCGGTGTCAATGATGGACGTCTGATCATGGACTCCGCAGCCCGAAAGGCGCGCGCAGGAAAAAGATGGAGCTGGATCAGTCGGTACACGCAGCAACCCGCCGGTCCGCCACAATGAAGATATCAAAACTTTTTTTCGTAAACCGATGTCAGGCACACATCAGGCATGTCGGACGGTGTCTCTCGACACAGGTCAATGTGGACGAGTCTCAATCAGGGTTGCCCCCCCCGTGAATATGGCACGACACGACGGTTCAAGGACATCATCGTCACTCAGGAGGGGGGAGCTGGTGCTCCCCCGGCTGGGGCTCCCTGCCCGCCTTGTTGCTGCTGATACATCAAAGACTGATACCACAGGGCGAGGTAGTTTTGGTAACCGCCGTCTGTGTATTCGGTTAGCTTCATTATCGAGTGCGAGAAAAGGTCGAGAAACGTACACTGTGCGTAGGGGTCGCTGCCATCGGCTGCTGCGGGCGGTTGCGCGGGCGGTTGCGCGGGCTGGTTAGCAGATTGGTGGTGAGCGTCACGTTGCCCATAACCTCCACGGTCCTGGTCGTGGTGACCACGGCTACGACCACCTCCACCACCTCCGCCACTCTTCTGTCTCTGCTCGATGGTTAGCAAAGATTCAGCCATTCTGGCCGACGAGAGAACGTACCACTGCCTCCACCTTCTCCTCAATGGCGATCTTAGCCTGCGCGATGGCGTCCCTCGAACCAATCAAAGCGATCTCACGCTCGACCTCCCCCGGGCCTGAAGACTGGGCGACATTGATTTTGCAGCCGGTAGTGCTTTGCATCTCGCGAATCGTCTCGCCTCCCTTACCAATGATCATGCCAACAGCATCAGACGGTACATATACCGCGTCGTTGATCTTGTCTGCCCCTCCACCACCGCCGCCGCCGCCGCCGCCGCCATCTCTGCGTTGGTGGTCTGGCCGGCCAGCGCTGGCACGTCCTCCAATGCCGGGTCCGCCGAGAGCTACCAGACTGGCAGCACCGCCGGGCGTCTCGCCGCGGCTGTCACTGTCCACAATCTCCATGATGGCATCCTTGGCCTTCGCTGCCGCTTCCGGTGTGCCGATCAAGTTGACAGGGCGAAGTCCATTGACACTCTTGGATTCTCCGACGATGTTGATGTGACATCCCGAGCGTTCCTGGAGGTCGCGAATCGTTTCTCCACCGCGCCCGATGATGAGACCAACTGTCCGGTCCGGAACCATAATCTGCATGTGGTCCTCTCCATCCCGCAGAGCAGTCGCACCGCCTTTGTTGGCATCTCGAGGCTTGTCGGCTGCCCTGTTCAAGGGACCCATACCACTGTCATCGATAATGCGGTCAATAGCCTGCTTCACCTCGGCCCGTCGGTGGCGAGGTCCGCTGATTTTGCACTGCCTGAACGGCCCGCCATCGCTGGCCGGCAAAAACTGCACTCGGCAGCTGGATTCGGATTCGATACGGCGGAGGTTCTCACCCTGGCGACCGATGATGAGGCCGACGAGGCTTGACTCGATCTGGATGACTTCGCTGTTATCGTCGCCGCCACGAAGGGGCGATCGCTCGCGGCCGTTGTTGCGTGGCGAAAACGCCCTATTGCGACCGGGAGAGTGCGATCGATCGCGTCCGTAGTCTCGACCGTGGCCGCCGCGACGTTCGTCCTGGTAAGGGTTTGATCGGTTCGCGTAGTCGCCGCGTGGAGGCGAGCGCGATCTCGAGCGCCCATATGGCCTGTCCTGGGCACGATTGTCATTGCCATAGACGAGGGGCCTGTCGTACGAGGCTATGCCCCTCTCGGCAGCAGATGCGCGGACTTTGGCCAGGTTATCGTTGAAATTCACAGTGCCAGAGTTGACAGGCCGGATGGCGCTGAGGTCGAGGCTACCACTAGCAGCAGGAGCAGGCAGCCCCGGGGCGCCTGGGGCATATCCAGGCGCTCCGGGCGGAGGGGGTTGGTACCCAGGTGCGGACTGCGATGTGGTCGGGGGAGGAGCATAGGCTGGGTTCGTCAATGTCGGTGTTTGCGATGGGGTTGTGGTGGCAGGTCGTTGGGCAGCTGGTATTATCGCATTAGATTTCAGTTCAGGCACAATTCAGACGCAACCCAACGCGACTTACCCAGTGCTGCCAGCAGATTTTGTATGTTTGTTGCGTCGGCCATTGCAGCGGTTGCTTGATGAATCGTGATTGACACTTGGAGCGGAAGCAGATGATGGTTAAAGAGTAGAAGATCTTGATCACTGACGTCGCGCGAGGTGGAGGCCCAGCACAGCAGCTCAATCAATACAAGGACGCAGCAGAAACGCTTCGTATTACGCGCAGTAATATGATGGCAGAATGCGATGCACAATGATCGGCGATTGTGGTGATCTCTTGTTGATGGCGAGGTGTCAAGGACTATGCGCAAACAATGACTTCAATTTAGCAAAGTTCTGACGCGCACGATTCCTTCACCGCGAGCAGTAGATGAGCAGGGACGACGATGCAGCGCTTGACAGGGTGTCGTCGCTATAAGGTCGTGAGTACTGATGGACAACACTGCGTACGGAGTAGGAAGGGAGAAATTTGCGATCTGTTGTCACGATGTGGTGGTGAAAGGGAGAAAGAGTCATGTGGTGGCCAAAGATCCGTCGTGCCTGGCGGCGCTGTTGATGTGGGGCAGTCAGTAAGGCGAGCGAGGAAATGAGGTGGAAGAAAAGGTGAACCCTCACCAAAATGTGGTCTTTTTTTTTACCCTTTCCGACTGCGTTGTCGTTTCGGGTCACGGTTTGACATTAGGTGCATGACAAGCGGATCAACAGGTCCGCCTAGACCCGGTTGAATGTTATTGCGGGCGACTGGACCCCGTTAACAGAATCCAGTGATCACGAATCATGGCAACGAACTTGAATCTCTTGAGCGCAGAAACTGCAGGACTGGGTGGGTGTAGTTCAAATGGCGATCGATCACATAATATAGTTGTACGAGGCGAATTGGATAGCAGGACATACCAATGCCAGAGCCAGATCTGTGCATGCCTGGAGATGGTGACCTTCCTCGTTAACAGGACTAGAAGCTATATCAACTCTTAATAGGCTACCTCGTGCTCATGAGCCTACATCTTGCTACGTACTTGATTAATCATCGGTGCGCTTTGAAGCAAGGCATGACTACAGATCTTGGGTCTTGCTCTTGAGACGAATAGATTGATGAAGGATGAGTCGGCCAGCACAACGCTGTACGTAAGTACGGAGTACCTTGCAGACAGATCGGCGCTCCACAAAGCTTAGCATGAAGTCGATACAAGTCAGTACCGAAGTCAGTGCCTGGGCAGTGCCCTATTGTGTTGAACAGTTCGGATAGACTGGCGAGTAGTTGCTAGCACACGTCAGCGAATGACGAATGGGCGCTGGATTTCGATTTCACACCACGGTGATCTGCGGCGCCGAAATGCTACGAATGCAACTACGCACACGACATGGACGCAGGGGCCTCAGGCTCCAACAAGTGGGTTTCCGGAATGCGCGGGTGCCAGCACGTTTCTTCTTGCAGGCTTGCAGCTGCATGTACGTACAGCACTAGACGAATTGTTTGCACTTCCATCGATGATACCTAGGTACATAGCACTGACAGCCAAGGCTCTGCAAAAACAGGAGAGCATCATGTCCTATCACTGATCTGATGTCCACTGTCTTGTTAACTGAAGTTGTTGGACACTGGACCCTCTCGCACGGCACCCATTCACTGTAAGACGGTGTAAGCCCCAGCCCCTCCGTTGGTGGGACTGGCAGCTCGGCACAGTGGTGTGCCTTCAGGGCCACTTACAAGTACTTGTACATAATACTCCATAAGAGGACATGGCAGTGCCCTCGTATTGCGCCGCCCGCCATATCGGATAGAGCAAGGGCCCGAGACTAGTTTCCAACATCGCCTGCGTCGCGAAAGCAAAGTGTGTGCCGGATCGATGCAAGGCCAGGAACACTTGCACGAGCCTAAAAAAGTCCGGCTTCGCCATATGACGCGGCAGGCTTTGTTGACCAATGATGGAGGTTGCGCTTGCACTGCCATGCCTGAGATGGGATGCAACCTGCAATCCAGATCGCTCCATGTCGAGGTCAGAGTCCAGTCTAACACAAGGTAGTGCCCAGAGAAGGAGCCGGCCGTGAGCCGAACGGTTTTGTTCACCTCGTTTAGTGTCCTGTTGTTTCTTGCAGCTACATGTACTCTAATTACTACTCACTCACCTTCCTTACTCGAGTCTCTCGGTCTTCTGGTCCTCGTCACTTATAACTCTCGCAAACATTAGTTCAGTCGCTACGCAGTCGCTCAGGATCAGGACGCCTCGGTCTCTGCAGCTTCTTACGCAAATCCCATCAAGACCAGCATCACCTTTCGTTGCCGCGGGTTCCGGTTGCGCCTCTTTGGAATCTCGTCATTGATCAGCGGTTGGATCTCGAAGTTGCCACAGCTACTCCCTCAGCGACTGCCAACATCTTTTGCCCGACGACACCTGCTTCTGCGACATTGCTGGGCACGGGTAGCCAGCCCGTCACTCAGACCCAATGTGCACCCGAAACGTGATCGAGTATACCAAGTGTGGCCATCAGGTCCTGCGGGGCAACACCAGATGCTTCAACGAGTCCTGCCCTGGTCGCCGCGACGACATCTTGAAGGTGGATGACAAATGTCCGCAATGCGACCATCAAGTCAGAGTCCGGTCAGCACGGTGGTGTCCTATGGGGTGCAACTGCGTGGTCATGTAGAAGACCCCGACGGCAGGAGGGAGGCCTGCGCACACATATCGATATAAATCGTCTTCGCATCTTCACGGCACGAAATCGCATTGCTTTATACCGGTCCATTCGACTGCGCACGCATTCGCGCATTCGCAACATATTGGCAGTGGCAGCGGCCGCGGCGCCCGACACGTATCTCTTCCTTTGCGACCACAAGGGGAGGTGCGCTGCATGATCTTGAGAGACGGCTAAAGCGGATAGACGCCCAGGTTGAATTCGGCGGTTTGGACCTTGGCCCGTCGTTCTGGAAAGAGGGGTCTTTGCGCCAAGAGGAGAGTGTGAAGGACAGGGGGCTTGCACAGCTCGACATTCATGATTCGGCAACGTTCATGATAACTGGCAAAACTGGCGTGATATTGGTGTCGACGAATAGCACCTGCTAGCAAGGTATGCTACGAAGCAGGGAACTTGTAAGATCAAAGGAAGCCAGAAGTATCAAAATTACGACCAAAAATCAAACTCGCTTGAACTTGGGGGCGCAAAAGATGTATGCGCTGTTTGTTCAGGGCAGGGAGAGTGTTATTATCCGTGGCTCATAGTCCAGTCGGGTCGGGTCGAGTCCAGTCTCAAGTTCTCAACAGTCGCTGCTCCCCGTCGATTAGCGCTTCCCCGCCAAAGGCTGCCCGCCCGCCCGCTGGGTTACAGGGGTGCTTGGCACGCAGCCTTGGCCAGCGGTAGGCCAATCCGCGCCCTCCTCCAGAATGACGTTCGGTGGGAGGCACCTTCCCCCAGCCCTGCTGGCCACTCACCTTCACTCCATCCCACAACCACCCGTTTGGCCCAGTCCTCCGCACGTGGCTTGCTTCAACTTTCTTGGTGATTTACTTGCGTAGGAGTAATTGCTCTCGTCGCTGTGTTTTCGAATCGACACGACGACCGCGCCACTTCACTAAGCTTGACTCTTGTTGGTAGCTCGCGTGGTGCGACGCCGCAATGGCGACAAAGAAAGCCCGCCAGAGGATCAGCTATGGTAAGCCAGCTTGCGCAGGCCTCCTATCCAATGTCGCGTGCGGAATTTGATGGCACACGCCCAGCATGTAGCCAATCGATATCTCCTTGCTCGAGATCATGGCCTCAGTGGTAGCTGACCTTACTTGCAGTCATTGAAAACCCTCGGGCTTCAGCGGGCGGCCATCGACTAGGCGTGTGGTGTGTCGCGGCCGATTCGACCAACAATATTCTGTGAGCTCTATCGACCGTAACACGAGAGATGGCATTCACTGAACTTGCGCAGGTACTCTGGAGGCAAGGATGGAGTGATCTGCGCTTGGGACATCAATCTCGACCAAAGCGAGAATCGCACAATCGACCAGTCTTCTGCGGCCTCCGCCAAGACGACGACCAAATTTCGCGCGGAGGTGCAAGCCCACCACAACACCGTCCGCGACCTTGTCCTTGCGCAGAACAATACGGCTGTCGTTACAGCCTCCACGGACTTGACGGTCAAGGTCTGGCGACCACACTCTGAGGCACATGCGGAACCTCTCGAGATCGGGCGGCATGCCGATTATGCCAACCGCTTGGCAGTGCCGCCCGGCGACATGGGCCTCAACTGGGTAGCTTCTGGAGGTCTCGACAGGAAGGTCTGTCTCTGGGATCTCAATGGTGGTGGCAAGACCCTCGAGATTGACACGCAGGGCGAGGACAAACCGGAAAAGGGCTCTGTATACGCACTGAGCGCCGGGCGCAATATTATTGCGGTCGGCAGTCCCGAAAAGACGGTGCGCTTGTACGACTCTCGATCGGGCACCAGATTCTCCAAGATGGTTGGCCACACGGACAACATTCGCTCCATCCTTATTGGCGATTCAGGAGAACTCATCTTGAGCGCCAGTGCGGACAAGACCATCAAGATGTGGAGTACCCGAGCTGGTCGCTGCCTGTACACCTTCACCATGCACGATGCCCCTGTTTGGGCGCTACGATCTGATCACCCGGAACTTCGCGTCTTCCACAGCGCTGACCGCGACGGTCTCATTGCCAAGACTGACGTGCGTGGCAAGCTTGAGGACATGGACAACGGTCTGAGCTTAGCTGTGGCCCAGGAGCACAACAAGGTATGGGGGATGACCGTTGCTGACGGGCACATATGGACGGCGACAATGCAGTCCTCCATCAACCGCTGGGCCGATATCGATATGGACGACTATTCTTACCTGAGGGAAAGCATGAAGCGCCATAGGGGTGCTTCAGTCGCGTCTCGAGGACCACGACCAATGTCAATTTCTGCGGTGGATGGCTCGGAACAGAAGAAGGTATCACCACAGTCGATTCTCCAGCTCTCGAATACAGCCCCTGTCCCCTTCCGACCTGCGAGTGTCTCCGCACCGGCAGCCGCAGTTGCCAAAGGGGGGGCCACAGAGTCTCCGGCTGCTGCTCCCACTACCGGAACACAATTACCTGGGCTGTCGCTAGATGAGCCATCCGTTAAACCTATACACCAGAACCCCACGGAGACTATTGAAGGCCAATTCGGGCTGCTCAAGCACCAGCTTCTCAACGATAGGCGGCGGGTACTGACAGTGGATACTGCGGGCGAGGTAGTCATGTGGGATCTCATACAGTGTCGACAGATGGAGAGCTTTGGAAAGATGCATCTGGACGAGGTCGCTGAGATGAGGAACACACCCGAAGCCGTGGCTCCATGGTGTCATATTGACCTTGCCTCCGGCAATCTCACTGTCGTTTTGGAGCAGTACAACTGCTTCGATGCGGAGGTGTACGCCGATCAGTTGAAGCTCGAGGAGGCAGTGGAGTTCAGAGAGGATCAGAGGATTTCGCTGGGTCGATGGATCCTGCGCTCCCTGTTTGCAAACCTCATCGATGAGGAGCTGAAGCGTGACGAGGTGTACCGAGCAGCACTGAACGAGGGTGTGGAGAAGCGGCAGGTTGCAAGTCGCGCCAATGCGCCTACATCCATCCCTCTCCCTCCACAGAATATGGCTGGCTGGGAGACACCAGATCAGACGACAACGCCCAGAGCGAACGGGCTGCACATGCCCACTACGACCCCAGGATTGGCCATCAACCAGGCTACTCCAGGCCCAGGGCTTACGGGTGTGTCTGAAAATGCCGTTGCGACGCCGCTCAGCCCTCTAGAAAAGCGGCAGTCACACACCAGCCGCCCATCAGGGGATCATGATTATTTCACAAGCACGATTGGCCCAGCTGATACAGCGGCGAAGGCCCCGGCCACGCCCTCCACGCCAGCTGCGGAGACCACGGACGCCGACAAAACCAAGGACAAGGCTCAGGACACGGCAAAGTCACCCACGAGTGCGTTTGGCAAAAAGTTCCGCATGTCCTTTGGAACCAAGAAGATTGGGCGCTCGGCATCGCAAACCGCCACCGAGAAGCCAGTCATTCCAGAAGAGAAGGCGGAAGAGTCCGAAGCCTCGTCAACCCATGAGAAAGAAGTCGAGGACAACTTCCTTGGCGTCATACAGAAGATGCGAAACGACTACGACAGACAGCTCATTGAGCAGCCTGACCAGTTGGTCGAGACGCGCATGTCGCCAAGCTTGCCCAATGAGACGCCCGTGCTCAAGCTTCCGCCCAATACCAAGATCTTCATCCAGGAGGAGACTTCTGGCAGCGTTGCCAACGTCTACGAAGGTACCATCGCAGGCGTCGGTGCCGATGCCGATGTGATAGAGCACAAGGCCCCCATGTGGCTTGGTCATGTCCTCCTTCAGAACCAGATCACGTCCAAGGAACCGGTTAAGATCTCCTTTGTGCTTCACCCTCTGGGCGACTTGCCGCCAGTCGCCTCAGCGGATGGCAACAACAGGCTCAACGCTAACCGCATGCTGCGTGTTAAGAAGATCATTGGTTATGTCGTGGAGCGGATCGAGCAACCAGCGGAGGAGCCGGAGGAGAATCCACTGAAGCCGGAGGAGTACATGGAGCTCTACTGCAACGGCCAGGTACGTTTGCTGACTTTGCTCCCCGTGAACGAGTCCAGATGCTAACATTTGTCCAGTTGCTGGATCCACTGATGAGCTTGGCGACACTGCGGACTCACGTCTGGAAAAGCGGAAACGACATTGTCCTTCAGTACAAGGCGAATGGCCGCAAGGAGATGCGATTTGCGCCGCCGCCGGAGGAGCCTGCTCCCGAGCCTGAAGCCGGTCAGGATGGCGGGATCATAGGGGAGGCCCAGCCGACAGCGCCACCTGCGGCTCCAGCGCAAGCGACATGATCCCAGGCTGAAGCCGTATTATATACCGTCTATCTTGTATATACGCACACCAGCGCTCCGTTTCTATAGCGTTCCTATCTTTTCCCCATAATCTATGTATACAAACTCAACCATTGATCGTACACAAGCACTGTCGCAACAATGTTCTCGCCGTTTCATAACGTTGCGCTCATGGTGTTGACCACCCACTGATAACTCCCCAGGAAGATGAACCCCCCTATTGATATCCACATCGTCCTAGGCGCCAGTCCCGCGAAGAATGGCCTGATGCCCTCCTTTCTCGCGATATCACGAAATGTGCTCCCGACCGACACTCTCTTCTCGGACAGCATGACCCTCGTCTTGAGCACGTCGAGCGGCGTCGTCAAGCCGGCCGCGACCGCACCCGCCAGGCTTCCAAACACGGCACTCTCAAGCGCAGGCACGTCCCCCTTGGTGTCGCCCCGCCTCCTCCGTCCCCACGCCTTGAGCGCCTCCCATATCGGAAACTGAATGACGGTGAACGGAACCTCGCGAAAGACAGTGATGCCCCATCCGCGGTAGAGCTCCCGCCACATCCTCACAAAGCCCTCGGACTGCCGCAGACTCAGAATCGCCCGGAAGGCATCCCCGCTCCGGCCCCCGTGCAGTCCCGCCTGCGCCCTCTGCTTGACCACCTCTGTCGGCACGCGCACGGCGCACGCGGCGACCTCACCGCAGCTCCCCGCCAGCATGTGTCCGACGGCCGTGTCCTTGCCGTACAGCGACTTGACGCTCTCGTATGTGCAGAAGAAGAAGGCCGCGCCGGGCGCGGAGCCGACGAGCGCAGAGCCGATGCCGCGGTATATGCCGCTGAAACCGCCCGAGGGGAAGAAACCGGCGGAGGACTGGAGGCGTGTCTTGAGAGTGTCGAGGGGGAAGAGGGAGAGGTCGACGGTTGTGCCAGCCATGGCGCCGGCGAGCAGTGCCGTTTGGAAGGGGGGGTTCTTTGGGTCCATGGCTCGATGTCTCGGCGTCGCGATGGCTAGGTCGAGGAATTGATTGAACGAGAGGACGGCCGTGGGCCAGGCTGAGCAGGTGCGTGAGATGGGTGGTCGCGTGTGGTATTAGTCTAGGTGTGATGGTGGTCATGGGGAAAATTGGGGGACGCCGAGTTTAATCGATAAGAATGTTTATCGTCAGGGTCCCCCCCAGTCGGCTATGATGAACTACCCTATGCTCGGCAGCGAGCGGCGACCGAGCGGCCAATATCCAGGGCGCGCGATGAGATCACCTTCAATTCCTCATTGATTAATTTTCTCATTTTTAATGCTTTGCGGAATAGCACACGTCGATGGACAATTGGTCTGTGGGTGCAAATATGGCTGACAGCAAGGGATGCCATTGACGTAGATAAACACTGATCAAGCCACAAACAAGGCTTACCCTTGTGGTGAGTAACAATAGCCATCAAGTCCATAGACCAGTACCAAAAACAATTGACCATGCTGATTGACTCAAGGTAATATCATCCCTAACACCCAATGACCCGGGTTTACTCGTGCATCGTAATGGTCCTCACATGTTGTCCTTGACGCTGGTGCCCGCCTGAGCCGACTCCTCCGCCGCGCGTTTCGTCCTCTCCTGCAGCTTGGCCGTCTCCTCAGGTCCCCTGCCGCTGCGGTCTGCCTTGACGGCCTCCTCGCTGTCCGAGGCGAGCTCGGGCTTCCAGTGGCCCTTGCCCTGCTTCTGCTTCTCGAGCGAGTCGGACTTGTGCTTGGAGTAGTCAATGTTGTCGCCTGCGATCAATCCAGTTAGTCAAATGTCCCTGAGGTCATGATGAGGGGGAGAACCGGCGGGGTTCCGTTACATACTGTCAGAAGACTCCTTGAGGCCAAGACGGCTGGTAGACGTGAAGGCCATGCCGCGCGAAGAGGCAGGGGTCATAACAGCGCGCGAGGCGCGCAGGGCGGTGATACTTCTGGGGAACATAGTGTTTTGAAGGGTCAATTGACTTGTTGAGAGGATGATGGAGATTTTACTTGTGCGTGTAGCAGAGAGGAGCGATGATTATTATTGTGGTTTGCGTTGCCTGTTATGAGCATCGCCGTCCGTACAGGCAAGGCAGTACCTTAGCCGAAGAGTACCGTAGATTCTGACGTCACCATTGGTCATGGCTCGTCCTTGTGCTCCGTCCTCCTCCACGTTTCGTTCGGACCTGAACAGGAGCAATAGCAAGCTCACGTCTACTAATCTACTGGACTAGCACTTACGTACTACGTAGTAAGTAGGTAGTACAGTGGGGAGAACGGGGTGCATACATCGAGATAGAGCCGTTCAAATGCAGGGAACCTATCTGCCGTTTGACACACCCTTTCCTACGCAGGTACGAACTCCTGGTCGCCAAGCAAGGCCGAGACGTAGAGTCATCACCAAGGCGGGGGAGCAAGCCGAGTTCATAATGAAAGTTCAAACATCGTGTATTCTCGTCTGGAAGATCATCTGCCACATGGCAATGTACAAAGCGCTCTGACGAAAAAGTCAACAACATCATGGGGCACGAAGGACCCAAATCGCTATACCCAATGCAACCATGCCACGACTTGCTCGTGTCATCCCAAGTCAACAACCCTTCCAGATAATAGCATTTCCAGACGAGACACCCAAAGCATCATGAGCCGGCTCGATCAGAGCTCGACCAACAAACAGACAGGCCCAAGACCCCCCAATGCCCAAAGCCCATATAACCAAAGCGTGATACAGAGAAGTGAAAGGCCGCAGGCGCAAAGATAAATGTACCAGCAGCTCCTCAATCCAGTGCCAGAGGGCGAGTTGCATGTGCTCCGTCTCCAAAAATTCGACAAACTCCGCTGTGTTTCAACCCAAGGAAAATGATATCCAGTTCCGGCTCCGAAGATGCGCATACAAAAACCGTCAACCCGCTCGTGTTTGACCAACACCTGCTTGCCAAAAGCCCAGTACCCAGATGTGTAAAACCAGACAAACGCAAAGTAGCCCGCTCGCCAGTCGAAAGAAGTACACCTCCCTCTCTAAGTGTGTTTTCTCTTCTCTTTGATGAGTTCGTAAATCCGTATCGTGATCGCGACATGAACAAAAAGCATGTTTTCTTGTTTTCCGCCAACGGTCCAGAGGCGCCGCCCAGCCCCCTTCAGCCCGATGCAATGCGTAACCTGAAATCCAAATTGAGAATCGCCAAAGGCAAACGCCCCATCCGATCGGACAGCCTCTCCTCGGGAGGCGAAGCACCGACCATTCCCATATAAAAGACAAAAACGTGAGATGGTATCGAATCTTCCAAGCCGCGCCCGAAGGTAATCCACGATAATATCGATTAAGGATGTTTGTACAGTCAGATTGCCCAGCAGACGCAGCCTGTGCGAGTGTGATTATTAACGTAGCCCAGCCCAGCCAGGCCAAAAGATCGATGCCATGAAATGTAGATGTCTGTGTCGTGATGCTCGCCGAGGAGACGACAGCCGATTATGAAAGCAAATTCACACGTCTTCCAGTTGCGCAAAGCCGCCAGGGCGATGGTGAGACGGCGCCGCTACGCGACACGTCTACCACCGGGCCCTGACAGAGTGCTGCATCTTGGCGGGCGACACAGACGATGGCGGGCTGGACATGGAGATGCCCGTGGCTGGGTTGATGATGGGGATCGCGTTGCGGCCACGTGTCGCGGCGGGCTGGTGCAGCTTCATGTTGGGCTGCTGGCTGTGGAATGCGGTGCTCGGGGGCACAAAGGGGGGAGAGGAGGTGTTGAGAGAGAACCCGGGAGCGACGGCTTGGGGTTGCTGCGTCGGCGACGACTGCGGCGAGTTGCTCGCGAGGGAGGATCGCTCAGATGCACTGGAGATGGAGACCAACTGAGGGAAAAGCATGTCAGTCAATGAAGACCTTGAGTACGGTGAACCTGGCGAAGTCCTGCCAGAACTCGGGTGACTCACGTCATTCTCAGTCAGCAGACCGGGGCAAAACTCGAGGTCGTCTTCAAGCTCAAAAGAGCTGGCCGCCTCGAATTTTGTACGGAATGCCGAGATGGACGCGGATTCGTTGAGCTCCTTCATGCTGCGGACGCCTCGGAACTGGCGCTGAGAGTTTTGCGACACGGATAGACGGGGAGCTCTGCGGTTGCGGCCGCCATGGCTGTGGTGGACTGCAGGTGTGGGGTGCGTCGAGTGTGCATTGAAGTTGTAGTATCCTGACATAATTGCGGTCCGTCGTCGATGATAGTCGGTGGTGCAGTAGTTTTAGGCGGTTGGCGGTATCCTTTCGGCGTTTGGAGAGTTGCAAACGCGCTGTGGTTGTGAGGGATTAAGCAATATTGTGGTCGCAGGGATGGGTGAAAGGGGAGACGTGTCGACCGCAGACAAGCAATGTATACGAGGTGATATTGTCGTTTTGTTTTGATTTTTTTCGTCGTCGTCGGCTGTGAATATAGCTGATGCTGTTATCGTTTGTTGTTGTTGGTGGTGGTGGTAGGCGTAGAAAAGTGGTGAGTCGTGCGTCGGGGGTGGGATGCTGAATGGAGAGGCAGAAGAAGGAGGAGTCGAAGAGGACATGAAGAATGGTCGGGGGATGACGGCCAGTGGCTTTTGTTGGATACAGTCCCGCTGAAAGCAGCTTCGCGTGGCCAATGAACCGGGTGAGAGTGTGGATATGCGCCCCTCGCCACCAGTTTCTGATTGGACACAGGCATGCACTATGGCATCGAAAGCGGACTAGCCCACTACTTTGAGGCGCTCAGGCATGTCCGGTGTGATGCGGGACAGTGTCAATGAGCGCAAGCAGACACAGTAACAGCGGGTGGCCAAACCCAAGCTTTCAATAGATAATACCGCCTTTGACCATCGTAAAGAGCCATTCTACCGCGGCTCTACGTGGTCAGTTCTTGAACGAATTGGAGCGACTGTCGCGTTCGGACATGCTCTCTGGTAAGATACCTTAGGCTTGGACCAAGGTGCACCAGCCTCTCGATGCCTGCCCTTCAGGACGACTGAAGCTTCATATGCATGGTGGCTGGTGCCGAGCAGGGCGGCACCGCCTGCACAGCGTGTTTGCCGCCCAGCGCTAGGGATTCACAGGGCCAGCAGCCACAACGTGCGGGTTCTTGAGAATGACGCACAGAGCAGACAGGGACGTAGATTGGACTCCATTCCAGTTGCGTTGTCACTGGACCGCACGCGTTCGATCCAGCACCCTTCGCATTCTTACTCAAGACATTCAGCGACGGCTATGGATAGCGACATGTTTGAGAAAGTCCATGGCGCTATGAATGTGTCAGATTGTTATTGCCGTATGCGAAACCTCTAGGAAATCTTTCTGCAAGCCTATACCTTATGATGCAAGTGGTGCACCGTCTTCGGCCAGAACTGTAGGGTAACGCAACCGGGCCGTTGAGGGCGGCCTATCGTTGCAATTCTCCGTACAGTGAGCGGCTACACAGCGCCACTGGCTTTGGCGGCTCCCATTTGGCGGTCAGGGGTGTTTTGTTGTTCTGAGTGTACGCCCCGCTGTTGAACACGTCGCACTGTGGAGGTGGTGCGGGCAAATGTGACCATTCACGGCGGTCTTCCATGAACGTTCGTCAATGCGCGCTGGTTGATGTGTGTGGGGATGCGTCAGGATGGCAAAGAGGGTTGCATCTTTTGGGCGTTGGACCTGGTCCCTGCCTGCAAGAGATGAGGGGGTTGCGCCCCTCCTCTCGGCTTGATGAGGGCGCTCGCGATGCAGCGAGTGGCCTCTGGACCTGCAGGTCTCTGTTGTTTGACTCAGAAGTCTGGAGGGCCCTTCAAGGTACGTACCCTCCCAGCCGCAGGGAGGAAAGCGATTGGCATCACGAGACCCAGCCTCTGGGCTCTGCTAGCCTTGCTAGGCTGACTATCGAGATCATGGTAGGATTCAGGCATTTCGAGTCTTCGACCAGAACCCCTCAATATCCATTGCAAATCAGACTAGAGTTGCAATAGGAATTCTCGCCGGATGCTGCATGGCTGAATCCTGCGAGCATTACTCGCTTCAGAACCTCGTGTTTATCAACTGTCTTCACACAGAACCGAATACCTACGGGGGAGGGGGCTGTTTTTGAAAATATAAATAACGCCGGAAAGAGCTTAGGGAAGATGTCACGCAAATAATCGTCCCTCACTATATCACGCCTTCTGTTGAATAGAGCTCGACATATGTTAGTGATTTGTTGAAGGACAATTGGCGGCAGGACATATTTTCAAAAATACCCCCCTACCGCTAAGGTAGTGACTTGTAGGAGAACGCACCTTGTTGGACTTCCTCCGATGGCGCCGAGTCGCTGACCCATAATGCAAGAGCCATTCCTCGCAGCGACGGGCGGCAACGCAATGTGCTGCCGCTTGATGTCTCATCTTTCACAGCGCTTGATGTCAGCGTGTCCGGCAGTCCACATGTCAGGCACCACCGCATGCACAGATCGATATCGCTGCATCTTGCTTCCGCATTTTTGCTCCCGCAATGAACCGAACGGGTACCTGACCTCGCCGCACATTGTATTACATCAGCGACGAATAGGCATGCCTCAGAACGAGGTTGTCAATCAAAATCACGTCGCTGGTTCGTACCAACCGAAGAAAATGATATCGCATTTTATCGACTCTCCTAGCATTCGCTTTGCATCGAATACCGGCGGAGCTGGAGTCCTGGACGGTTCTCAGGCTTATCCACAGCCGGAGGCATTATCCGAGCATGAAGGTGTAAAGGAGTCCAGGTTGGGTGTCTGTCGGGCATTGCCGCTCCCTTGTGGCTCTTTTCGACTTTCCTTCGAAAAGCTTGCAGCAGCGTGGTGCCCACGTCTGCGCTCAATTGTCTCCAGTCTCAACAACTTGGTCGCAATGGTATTGACCGCTTTTTGCGCGGATCCGTGGAGTTGGACACCTGCACATGGTGATCGAGAACATGAAGCCCTACATTTGATGCACTCACAAAGCCGTGAGTCCCGTGCCAGGTGGTATCGTCTGGACTCTCAAGGCTTGTGATCCGTGTCGCGCGCGAAGCTTCAGTTTATGTCGTGATCGCGGCGGAGCCTGGAGGGCTGACGAGATCGCCCAGTTTGGCTCACGACAGGCCTTGGCGGCAGACCAGCTGAAGGCGTCGCCGCCCACGAGGCTTTTTGCATGCTCTCTTTGGGGTACAGACAATCAAGCAGAGTGGCTGAAAGAAAGTAAGTCACTCAATGTTGTTATCAGCTGTTCGCGTGGGGCGATTTGAAAAGAGCCATGGGGTCTGGTGACGACTCGGGAGGCAGAGGTAGTGGAGAGCGGGTCAAGTTGTCAACCCCTTTGCATTCTCCCCGACATGAGTATCCGAGGATGGAGTTTACGTTTTGCTTTGATAAGGGTTCTACCACGTCAGTGCCGAGCGAGGCATGTGGTCCTAGTCGGACAGTCGTGCTAGGGCTATCAGCTATATTTGGGCGTCACGGAGACGTGGATCTTGTTAACCACCACTTGTGCCAGTTGAAGGGATACGAGAACTACAGGATCCGATCACTCTCTCGCCTCCATGCCCGAATCATTGCTCTTCCAGAAACATTTACCGCCTAGAGCGCTCGCGGGTAGTAGAACAGGACCACAGCAGAAACATGGAAACTGCGAGCGTTTCCACTTTCTAGCCGTCGATTCCGACGATCTATAAGCGGCATCAGAGCTGGGCAAGGATCATCATCACAGCCTCCGGGAACATATCTCGTCAACGAGGCATTTCTCTAGCCCTCACTGTGTAGACCTCCGGAGTTGCAGCGTCTTTTATTACACAGCCCACGTCTAAAGTTGTTAAGCATCGCGGCCGGCGCTTTAATGAAAGACGCCCGGCTCAGCTGAAGGAGGGTTTGCGACCAATCTTCGTTAGCGTGAGGCTGAATTGCTGAGCAACTTCCGACCTTGTCATAGCCGCACTGGCTCACAGCCCAAAAGTACCAGTGCCTGCCCCGAGTGCGTTGTGTACTGCGAATCCATATACAGATATAAACTCGCGAGGTATCACGTCGACATGACCAGAAGCACCAGAGAAGACGACACCTGAAGACGACCAACACATCCAAGTCACGCTCTCGTCACGCACGTTTCAAGTCAAGTCATATACGCTCTCGTCACGCACAAGCCACAACAACCGGCCCAAAATGGGCTCCTTCAACTCCAAGCCAGAGACTTCCAGTCCATCAAAGAAAATGTCCAGAAACAACGACAAGAGACCGGCACGTCGCCGTGACAAACCTTATCAGAACAAGTTCTCTGGAGGGGGCGATTCCAGTACAGTCGCTGCTGGTGGGCATGGAGGTGGTTTCAACTATAGCAGCGGCTACGGCGGATATGGCCAGGCGCAAACCTATGATTATGGTTGTAGCTACACAGGCGGTAACTACGACTCATGGGGTGGAAATCATCATAGTGGAGGAGGAGGCGGATATAGCAGTGGAGGAGGAGGCGGTGATAGTAGTGGAAGCGGAGGCGGTGATAGTGGAGGTGGAGGAGGAGGCGATTCTGGTGGTGGAAGTTGCTAACCATACATAAATGTACCTATTCTTTCATACTTCCATCTGCTCGAGAAATAGAGAACACCTGTTCATGCGGAAGCGCAAAGGGTCCAAGTTAAGGTTTGGTCATTTAACTTCGGCGAGTTGGTCTGCTTATATAAATCAGTTCGGAGCAGATGAGTGCTCGATACTCGCACCGATCTACTAACTTTTTGTCTGTATCATATGTGAACGCTGCCATCAATTTCAACGAAAGCCGATCATCTACGACCAAGTCTATCGAACATCTGCAATGGGTTCCTGTCTTTCTAAGTCGATCGACATTAGAGTTGACGACCACGTTGTCACCGTACAAGCGAGGCGTCACCAAACCGACCCAAGCGAGAAGACAAACATATACAATGGGGGCAACATATTGGGAACTTCAGCGCAAAAGCTCACTGTGGATGGCGTCAACGGGAAAGCCAAGAAGAAGGGAACGAAAACGGAACCAAGGAATAAGGTAGAGGAGGCCTTTAAATATAACGCCATGCCTGAAGGAGAAGCCGTCGAAAAGCCAACAGGCGAAGAGCTTAGGCAGGCCAGAATGGCGGCCTACGAGAGGGGACAATTTACTGATAAATGCAATCATTAAGATGAGAAACTCCAGGCGAGAGGAGGTGGCGTTCCCGATGGGGCGATGAAGCCGCCAGAGCACACAGCACATTGAGGCCAGCTCGACCTCGCAACACATGTACTATGAGACCCTTACCCCCGGAATTGTTGCTGAACACCAATCTCCTTTGACTTGGGCACCTCTCAAGCTGCCGGCACGCCGCAACTGGACTGGAGGAGGCGAATCGTAACAAGGCGCAAGGGATCGTCCCTCATCGCGGATTTACCGTGACCCTAGCTGTAGAACAAGACCTTGATAACTTTCCTTGCGGTCAGTCGTGGAATATTCAGATTGATCTTCTGCGGCCCATGGGGTGATGATTGGACCAAATGTCTCGCCTGGTGAGACGTGCCAAACAAGCTTATTGCGCGTTCAGCACGCTAGAAACGTTCTAGAAGGCAACAATCAGCTGGGTTCGCGGAGTGCCCGTCTGCTGTGAGTCGTCAGAGTCGTCACGGGCATGTGGGCAGCGCAACGCCGTCGGGACACGCGATCGGCACAGGATCCTCCCACATCCAGTCGCAGGGTCAGGAGGACCCTTGCCCAGCCATGCGTCGATCATGATGGCAATGCCATCCTCTGCGGTGAGCTGGGCGCACAAGACGTGCCTATTGTGACCTGTGAGTGCGGCGCTGTTTCAAAGGCGAGGTGGGCTTGCTTTCCATTTGATCTTATTCGTCTGTCGCGAGCTTGTTGGTTCCTGTACCCGTACATGAAGCTTATCCCCCTGTTGAGCTGCGCCGCTTGGGGGCGGTGACGTTGCCGCTGCCTGGGGGACCCTTTGCTTCATTGCCAGAAGAGTGACACAGTGATTGATATATATTTACGATGGATGTCCTGGATCCAGCCCCTATGCATGTTTCCGTTTGTCGATTCTTCCCCATTTATACAGCCCAGTCTCTCTATCTACACTCTAATCATCTCAGAGCTTCTTTGGTCTCATCACATCAAAGCAAAGACCGTCAACAAGCTATCTATTTCACACCCATTGATAACACAACACAGTCCCCTGCTAGGGCCTCCCCTCCAACATGTGCATTTACTATTGCCTCAGTCGCATGTGTGGCTCGCGCAGCAAGAAGTCCAAGCAGAAGCGCGAGATGGAACAGATGCGCGCCAAACAGCGGTACTACAACGCCCGTCCGGTATACGCCAGCGATTACTACCGCAAGCAACAATACCGCCACCACCACGGCAGCTCAAAGAAACACAAAAAATACAAGGCGTACGGCGAGATGGGCAACTTTGCCGACGAGGACGCGAGCTGCTGGGGGTGTAGCGATGGAGGCGCGGGAGGTGATGGCGGAGGTGGAGGTGGTGACGGTGGGGGCGGCGGCGGCGGTGCGTAAGTTGTCGGCCATTTCCATGATACCAAAGAGCAAGCAATGTATGATAGCGTTTGGAATTTTATTGATTTGTTGTTACTTTACAAGTCTTCTTCCCACGAGCGCATGGCAATGTCGGCGACAGCTTCGCCGCGTGAGATGGCGATCTCATGCCCGCCGGGCAGAACGTGGATTTCGACGCCGAATTCGCCCAAGATGTGCCTCGAGTCTTGGATCCATTCGTCCTTGACGACCACCGGGTCATTCTCCGCGAGGATGAGACAGACCCGTCCCAGCGGCAGACCTGGCGGTGGTTCGCGTGAGACTCGCCTCTCGGCAAGACGAGCGCTGAGTCGTCGCCAGAGGTCGTCGTGTTGCCCGTATATGGGTGCGTTTCGAATGGTGCTGATATAGGCGTCCACTAACCCAGGGTTGCTGACCAGCTGTCTGCGCATCGTGTCGCCCACCCGGAGAGAGGACGTGTCCTTGGACAAGACGACCTGGTCAAAGTCGACAGAGACATCCGCGGTGTCGTCGACAGGTACATCAGCGCTGGGACCAGGGCTGGGCCGCAGACGCCGGCGGATCAACCACTTGACCCATCCCTCCGGCAGGACGCCCTTTGTGTATAATAATCGGCTGCGTAGGCTGATGTGTGATGGTCTGATAAGACCGCCAGGACAGACCAGCGTTACGGAGAGGAGACGATGGGGGAAGTAGGCGGCAAAGGCAGCCGCAATGGCGCCGCCGAGGGAGTAGCCGAGGATGTGGAAAGAGTACCATGGTATTGGCGACGAAGCCAACACGCACAGAATTTGGGATGTGTAGAGACGGATGTCAAAGGGGATGTCGGATGGTGTGTCCGAGTACCCTCTGCCAAAGAAATCTGCAAGGTAGGTATCTAGGTCAGCTTCAGCCCCCATGCGTCAAAGACGAAACGTACCGAACAGCATGACTCGGCAGCCACAGTCGACGAATCTGTTGGCCATATTGCCCAATGCCACACATGGTGTGCCAATGCCATGCATGAGAAGGACCTGCTCGCCGTTCTCAGGACCCCATTCATACACCTGTATGGTGCCGTATGGCGTATCGACCGACCTCCCACCCGGGAAAATGTCCTCAGGGTACGGCCCCTCCTCATCCTCCTCCGCCTCTGCTGCCACTTCTACTGCCTTGCGATGCCTGCTACCATAGCGCTTTGCCGGTAATGATGATGGTAATGGCTGTGTGAAAGAGAGTGCAGGTCGGATATACAGATATGTCGACAGACAACCGACGGTCGCTGCCACCGCAGTCAACCCGTAAGGCCGTGTAAAGATGCGCTCTGTCCAGTCGCGGCCGAGGCCCAGGTCCAAAGACCGCAAACTGGCCAGATAGTTTTCCATCTGCGAACCCAAAAGCGAAGATGAGTCGGGCGTGAACAGTATTGAGGCTTACTTGAGGTTCGAATTCGACATGAGTGGAAAGAGACCTCGGGTCCGGCCGGAAATGACAGGCCCGACCGACCGACGTCTCCACCAGTCTCGCGTCTCCAGCTTCGTCTACCACACGCAAAGCAATGTAAGTGCTAGTAGTTCTATGTTTATTTCCCATTGTATAAGCGATGTCTTTCTCTTCCAGCTAATAGGATAAAAACAGGGCAAGGGTCAATCATGTCAGACGCAAAGCCGCCATTCATTCCACAGCCGGACCACCTTGAGGCTTCTATCAGCGTTCCTACTTGGCGCATGCTCCCCATTGGAACATGTCTTCTGCTCGTGTGTTTCCATCGTGTCGACTCTTTTGCTTGTTGTACTTGAAATCGTGTTGTTGACAGGATGTCTGCTTGGCCGTTCACTGGCTTGTCTTTGGCAAAATGTGACTAACATTGACAGAGTGCGTCTCTGCGAGTTTTGTCTCTCGGCAAAGAGCAGAGTATCATCTGTCGCTTAATCTCCCACCAAAGTGCAGGCCCAGGTGCACCCATACCTCGGATACCAGCCCACTGCGGCTGGCTGGTCGCGAGTACAAGGCCGTGTTACTTTGAACTTTGATTGAGCGTGCCCTACTTGTCCAATCCTCGAGCCTTGACAAACCTGTTGATCTGCTCCTTTGTCAATTTCTCGTTGTACGCCTCCTGACACTCGTAGAAAGAAATAATCTCCTGCGTGGCATCGACCATGGAGGGAATGTCCAGATTGCTGTCCGACAACCAGGCCGCGAACTGCTGGACCCGGGTGAGCCTATCACCCAGCTGGCCCTTGTTGGCGACGCCAGGCTGCAGCAGGCTCGGCGAGGGCAATGGAGAGGAACCGATGAGTGGGTTACTGAAAGACGAGCCCAGTGGCGACGGGGAAGGCAGCCCTCGCGCCTGGCTCAGTGCGGCCTGTGCCGCTGCCAGACCAGCCGCCGCGCCAGAGGCAGACGCGCCAGGCCCTTGATTCGGCCTAAGAACCAGCGCCAACAATATCGCCGCCAGAGCAATGGTGTGAGGTGCACACGTCACCGGCAGATCAGTCATGAAAGCGTCGTTGATAATGGACCTCGCCAGCTGCGAATCCTCCTCCGTCATGTTGAGCTCGCCGCGTAGCGCTTGTAACGTGCGGTACGGTTGGTGGATCATGAGTTGGCTGCTCATCTCACTGATGAGCATGAACTCGCACTCGCCGAGCTTGCTGGCATCGAGAGAGATGAAGTCGCCCCAGAGCGTGCGGGCTTCGGTGACGACGAGCCGGATATGCTGGGGTGCCTCCTCGATCTTGCAGGCCAGGTATACGCATGTGGTGACGACGAGGTACGGGTTCGTGCGGCGGATCTCGACGCGAGAGTAGAAGCGTTTGAGATAGACCTGGGCCGTTGCCATGCATTGCTGTCGGATCTGGATTCGCTTGCTAAGACGGATCATGACTAGCAGGGTTAGCCGGCCGAGCGAGGGGTTCCCAGGCAGATGGGCAATACATACGCTGGTTGAAGAAGATGGAGAGATGGCGAATCTGTGGCAGTGGGAACATGCGCACAAGCTCCTGGTTATCGTCTTCCAGCTTCTGGCGTGCGGCTGCGAGTTCCTCCTTGGTAAAGGTCCAGTGACGGCGCTGCGTCGACTCCCAATAGTTGGCGGACATGGCTGGATCAGGCCTGGCTGGTTATGTCGTGAATAGGTCCTGCCCCTCGTTGCCGCTTCCGCGCTGGCGGTAGAGGGGCGCAAGTAGTGTACTTGCGGAGAATCATGGGTTTGTTGTGGTGTGTTTAAGCAAGTGACTGCCTGGACGAGGTTCGAGGGTTAATATTCGTTGCGACTGACAGCTATACGTGTGGCTGAGTTGCTTCTGTCTGCTGTTATCTAGAGCAAACTGTGGCTGGCGACACGCCAAAAGGTGGCTCATGGCAGGGTGGGGGGGTACTGACTTATTTCCGCCCTCTGATTGCTTGGGAACCGCTGGGGCACGGCGCCCAGGTACCTTACCCTCAGGGCCCTCGGCAGGCCAGCTGTGCCTCCAATCCAATCCAGTCCAGTCTTGTTCTTTGCAGCCCGCGTTACGACATCGCACAGGAAAAGCCAAGCACAGCACATTGAAGGACCCGACCATCTCCCAACGGTCGTCCGGACCATCGAACACCGCCAACACATCACTGAGCGGTCAATTGGCACCCTCAACTCGCCCTTCACCGACGCCCTGCACCATCACGGGTATCATGTCGTCTAGATAACCAAGCGCCCGCGCCAACAATACCAAAGTGCCTATCCTTCTCCCTTGCCAATCGACCGACCGACCTTGGATCGCGACTGCGCGGGCGACTCGTCGACGAGATATGCCGCCGCTATGAGCCCGTCCAAGCTGGTCGCCGAGGGGAGGGTCGGCCTGGGAGAGTCCCAGAACCAGCGCGATGCGCGCATTGAGCAGCTCTGGCTCAAGCTCGACCCCGGACGAACGGGCGAGCTGGACCTGAAAGGCCTGCAGCGGGCCTTTCGCAAAATCGACCACCGTAAGCAGCTATGCAAACAATGGCCCCGACAATCGACTGACGAGGTGCAGCTATGAAGAACGCGGACGACATGCTCAAGAAGATTCTGAAAGAGGTGGATACCAACGGCGACGGCAAGATACAGTACGAAGGTAGGCTGGTCTCTCGTCCCGAGGATAGTCACAACATGCTGACAAGGCAGAATTTCGAGTCTTTGTGCAACATGCCGAGCAGCAGCTCTCGCGACTTTTCTCCACCATTGATAAAAACGGTGACGGGAGGCTGGACATCAAGGAGCTCCAGGCAGCCTTTCGCAGCGCCGGCTTGACCGTGGCCAATGCGAGGCTGACAGAGTTCTTCAATGACATGGACATGAACAATGACGGCTTCGTCACCTTTTCCGAATGGCGGTATGTTTTATGGCCTTTTTTTTACCCTCCTCTCTCTCTACCTCGCTTCTGGGTCATGCGTGGGGCTGTCAACAGACCGCACTTGTCCGACGTCAGATGGGCGGGTGTCATGCGGCCGTGACCGCTGCCCCCCGGGACTCCCAATCACCCACCGTACCAAAGGAGCATGCCCAAAGGGCGAGAAAACACCCGTGATCGTGGCACGCGGCTGACGAGATGGGCACAGGGACTTTCTTCTATTCATGCCAGCCAAGGACCATGCCTCGCAGCTTCGGGCCGTGCTGTCATACTACAATTCGGTGGTCAACGTCACTCCAGAGGGAGACACGCTCGTCGGCGAGGATACTTTGCAAGGCTTAGGTACGACAGGCTCTTCTCGCTCTCTCCTTAAGTCTCTCTTTGGTTCGCTCGTGAGAGTCGCCTTTCCTTTCGGTTCAACGACTGCCGACTCCAGCCAGTCTGAGACCGTTTCTTCTCCCCCCACCACCTCATCATTGTCTACGGATGGAGAAGCACAATCATCACACAAGTCAAAGTCCTCCCCGAAACGAGAAGAGTCTGTCGCTGGCGGTCCACAGTCGCGAGCCACCGCCGTTGCTGCCACTGCCATCGACAACAGCACCCGCAGTAGCAAAGAGGGCAGCACACTCGCGGTGGCTGATGCCGCGGACGTCGACGGCGATGGTGGTACGGAGGAGGAAGAGCACAGGGGCATCAACAAACGGTCATCTACCACCGCCTTGGATGTCAAGCCTCTCAAGAAATTTAGACTGACGGATTTCATCCCTGATCCAGGTTACTTCCTTGCCGGAGCCATCGCTGGAGGTGTTTCGCGCACAGCTACTGCGCCTCTTGATCGCCTCAAGGTGTACCTGCTCGTCAACACGAGTAGCGCCCCCGAGACAGCTGCGACGGCTATTAAGTCTGGCCGCGTGCTCAGCGCTGCGCAACACGCTGCGCGCCCCTTCAAGGATGCTATCAGGGACATTTTTCGATCAGGTGGCCTGTCTGGTTTCTTTGCAGGCAATGGCTTGAATGTAGCCAAGATCATGCCCGAGACGGCCATCAAATTTGGTTCCTACGAGGCTGCAAAACGCGCACTCGCCAACTTTGAAGGGCATGGAGACATCAGGCAGATAAGCTCCGTCTCCAAATTCACAGCCGGTGGTGTGGCTGGTATGGTGGCACAGTAAGCTCGACCGTCAACGTTCTCGTATCAACAACGCTGACAATCCCGCAGATTTTGCGTCTACCCATTGGACACCCTCAAGTTCCGTCTGCAGTGCGAGACAGTGGAGGGTGGCCTCAAAGGCCGCGCCCTTGTTCGCCAGACGGCTGCGAAAATGTGGGCAGATGGTGGCATGCGGTCCTGCTACCGTGGAGTGACCATGGGCCTGATAGGCATGTTCCCCTACAGCGCCATCGACATGGGCATGTTTGAGCTGCTCAAAAAGACCTACCGCACTTACTACGCGCGATACGCCGGCATCCACGAGGACGACGCCAACCCGGGCAACGTGGCGACGGGCATCATTGGCGCGTCGTCGGGCGCGTTTGGCGCCTCCGTGGTGTATCCCTTGAACGTGGTGCGGACCCGCCTCCAGACCCAGGGCACGGTCATGCACCGCGCAACGTATACCGGTATCTGGGACGTCACCCAGAAGACGATTCAGCGCGAGGGCTACCGCGGGCTGTACAAGGGGCTCACGCCCAATATCCTAAAAGTGGCGCCCGCGTTGAGCATAACGTGGGTCGTGTATGAGAACTCGAAGAAGATGCTGGGGCTACACTAAGAGCATGGCGAAGATGCAAAGAACGTAGAGGAGGATATACCAGGAATGAATTGCGCGGTCATCTGAAGAGGGCGATTTTCCGAATCAGATTATTGCCTTTGCCTTTGTCTTTTGTCTTTTTATTCTTATTTCTTTTTACTGTCGTCGTGGTATGCTCCGCGAGCGAGGCTCCGGCTATAGGGGCAAATAAGCATAGCAGGGAGGAAACAGCGTCTCTGTTCTCAATCAACACTGGTTCACAAAGGTCGTCGCCTTTCGCATCCGAGTCTATCCTATGTTTGTAGGTCTTTCTGGCGATAATGGTTATGCCGCGCAGACGGGTACATGGACCGATTGGCTGAGGAGGTGGCTGATTACGACTGCAAGCACGTCTGCACGATTGCGGCACAGTTGCATTTGCAACGAATTGGTGTGCTGACTTGCGCTGGCCAGGCAGCATTCTGGCGCAGTACTGGTCATAAAGGCCTAGTTACCTTGATCTGGTAACGGCCGCATTCATGTTGCGGGCACGCACCGTCACACAACGGTTCAATCATCGATCGGTCCTCGGCACTACGTTAAACATGTCAGCAAGCCTGCAACTTGCAAGGGCCTCGTGTATGAGCCGATATCCGAACTTGACGGCTGGCAACAAGGGTATATACTGACCGACCTGCAACTCCCATCTCACTGCACGGACTTCCCTCTCTTCCCCAAACATTTCAGACCGCAGTCCACGACATATTTGCTTCTGGTCAAAGCCGATCAGCCCGGAACTACAGTCAACATGTCTGTCAACGAGAAGCAGCCTGTCTTGTCTGACAACGCATTGTACTCGGCGAGGGATGAGGTTGAGTATCAGCATGAAGGGCGCGACCGTCGTCCCAAGGGGAGGGCATTCTACCTCGTCGGTGGATTCGTCATGACAATATTGCTGTTCGTGGCCTGTGGGCATTGGATGTCCATCAATGGCTTCCAATTCGGGCATCTGGACCTTTCCGATATTGTCAATCAAGAGATGCGACCAGCAACAACCTCCTACGACGACTCCGTGCGGCTGCCAAACTATTGTCGCAACACGCCGCAGCGGCTCCCCAGCACTTCACAGGCATTGACCATGAGTTCTGGCCACAATATCACCATCGTCCAGAGGGTTGAAATGCCAGACCCGCATGACAAGGATATGCGACCGCTGGGTGTATCTGGCGCCATCATCTTCCGCCAAACTGACGGCGACCATCACGCCGACGAGGTTGAGATTGAGACCATTGTCAATGATGAGAGCATCCAATTCAATTCAGACTGGGATGCGGCTGCGCAACGTCTAACCTTAGTCATGCCTCATGGCGTCAAGGGGTGGAGGGACAATCTTGGGCCTTGCATGGACATTCGTGTCACGGTCTGGATAGCACCGGGATCGACTGTGGCGCAACTCACAGCAGACACCGTCCACCTCAGCATCGATATCCTCGAAGATCTGGACTTGCAGGTGGACGACAGGACGACCCTGAAGACTGTTGTTCGCAACGTAAACGCCCCCGAGAAGAAAGGCAGCAGGCAGACGCCATACAGTCTGGCTTCGAGGGAAATCGAAATTGAGACATCAAGTGGGCAAGTAAAAGGGTGGTACCCTTTGTACGATCTCCTCAAAATACACACCGCTTCGGGCGATATCACCACATGTGTCGGGCAGAACGACGCCTGGGGCTCGGATCCCAAGCCCGCCGTGCTGAACGTCTCGAGCATCTCAGGCACGGTCGTTGTCAAGGAAGAGCTCGACACGGACGTCCCCGACCGAGACTACGTCGTGAGCATGCGGTCGGGCTCAGGCTCCCTCAGTGGAGACGTGGCCATATCTTCGAGAGCGAGCTTCGGGTCCGTGTCTGGAAGCCTGGATCTCACACTCTTGCCCGTCCTCGAGCGCACCACAGCCATGGCGGAGCTTGCGCCGAAACTCGCCACCTTGACGCGAAGCGGCTCCGTCAAGGTCAACCTGCTCGAGCCCCTCTGGACAGACGGCGCACGACGTTCAGCCGAGGCGGTCGGCGTGACACCCCTTTCTCATCTCCAGTCCGAGCACAAATCCATCAGTGGAGACATTGATCTCTACTATCCAGCCTCCTGGACTGGCGACTTTAGAGCGCAGACGATGACCGGGAGCCAGAGATTCAGAGGCGACGGACTACACACCCGCAAGCAGGGCGGTATACCCAAGGTCGTGGTCGGGCATAAAGGAGAGGGTGCCTCGCAGCTTACGGTTGAGACGGTGACTGGCCGCGAGGACTTTCTGGTGGGACGAGAGGACTGGGAGCTTTGATTTGGGGGTCACACACAGTGAGGGGGTTTATCGTCTTTCTAGTTTGATTTGGTCATTGTTCTCATTGTAGTGTGCGTATACTAGTCAAATATCCACATCGAAGCCTGCTCCGACATATTGCAAATAGCCATCATCATCATCCAAGGGGGGTATCCATCATCCATGTATCCAACCAAACGCCAGTATACTCAATCTCAATCTTCTGTGACCTGTCACGAAGGCCATGGGAGATCCCGGTTTGCGACCGCCGTGCAGGTCAGGTAGCTTATCCCTTCCACCACGCGGCCTGATCCGCCGAGATCCAGCTCCAGGCTGCTCCCCATGAGAGGCCGTACAATGTCCCGCGCCATGGCCTTGAGCTCGTCCATGCGCTTCTCGAAGCGCCGCAGGTTCTCGCGCGAGTACATGTCGGGCGTCAGCTTGAGGAAGCGCTTGCACTCGTCGTGTCCCAGGTACGCTGCTGGGTTGGGTGCGCCCAGGGTGCGGTATGCTCGACCAAGACTTGTCAGCGGTGGAACGGCCGGGGGCAGCGGTTGCCTTGGCATGTCGCGCGAGCGTCGATCCGTCGAGGACGGAGGTGCTGGCTGAGGCGATGTGTTGTCCGCGATCCATTGCCGGAAGAGGCTGACGGCCAGCCAGTCGAGATAGTTTGTGTTGGGGCCCACGCGCTCTCCCCGACTGTTTGTAAGGTTCAGCCGGAAGAGGCGCCCCTCGACCCGGCTCACGTTCTCCTCCAGCTCATCGACCTTGTCTTCGATGATGTCGAGGACGATGTCGGGGAGCGCGGCGCGCAAACTGCGCTCGCCAGAGGGCCACTGCCCCACCACATGGACCAGAGCTTCCTGGAAGATGATCTTGCTGCGCGCCAGGTACCCCAGCCGTAGATAGGATATCGGGTACTTGGCGATCTGTTTCCAGAGCCTCGACTGGAACTGCAGGAGATGGTGGTCCACCCGCGGACCGACCACCGCCAGCGCGTCGTACTGATCTGCCAGGTTCAGGAGGCTCTTGCACTGCACGTAGGCATCCGCGACGTTCACGCCATCCAGCACGGGAGGGTAGTTGTACATGGTGCGAAACAGATTGTCGTAGTCGCGAAGGAGGTCCTGGTCCGCCTTGGAGACGTGGTGCGCTTGTTGCTGGTGATGGAGATTTGACACTGACCGGAAGAAGTCGCGGCTCGAGGATGTCGAGTGTGAGCTCTTGTGTCGTCCTCTCGATCCGTCGCCCGGTCCGAAGATTGATTTCGACGGCGCAGCTCGCGATTCATCCTTTTGTATGAGCATGGGGATGTCGCCGTCCCCTGTACCCGGGTCAAGTTCGTACCTCCATCTCTTTCTCGGTAGATCGCCGTCGAGGTCTCCGTCTACCGTTGACGCCGCTGGTGTCGGTAGGCTTCCATCCGGTGCTAATCGCGCGACTTCGTTGCCGCCTGCCAAGAGCTTCGCTTTCGACCACTGCTCACTCGTGCTCGCTTCGAAGAACCCGCTGCATCGGGTGAGGGTGTGTCTGTGCAGCAGGTATCTCGCCTCGCCGCCTGAAGGTGTGTGGATGTTGATGTCGACGTCGCCCGAGTGCGAGAAGATGGGAAACTCGTTCTGTTGGTTGTAGGAGGTGTTGCTCGTCGTGCCGCCGACGTGGGACCTGTTGTAGCGCTTGGATCTGGAGAGCGTGCTCGATGTCGCGATGCGGTCCCGATGGTCGCGTGCCGGGCGCAGGGAGAGGGTGCTCTGAGCCGTGAGGGGAGTCTCGGGCTGGGAGACCATGCCGGGCTATGGCCTGTGGTTAGGCATTTATTGGTTTCTTTGTTTGTTTGTTTGCGAGTCGAGTCGTTGGTGTTGGGTGTCTCAGATGTGGGCGTGAAGTTGGCCGCCAATGTGTGGTGGGGAAGATCGAGTCAATCAAGGTCTCGGTGGCGCGCAGGTCGTATGTCGAGGCTAGACTTGGTAGGGAGTTGAGAGGAGAGTGAACATGGACACCCGATAGAAGGCAAAAGATGGGAGCGGCGAGGGTTGATCACGGGCAAAGAAAGACGCGCCTGTGCAGCGTGGGTGCGTGTGGTGTCACGAGATCTTGAGCTTCTGAGATCTTTTCAGATATCCTGGCGAGCGCACAACCCATTGGGATCAGCCTAACTCTGCTGTCAGTCCCTGAGAAATATGCCTTGCGCTGGAGCATTAGCAGCCACCCATTATATCCGGCTCGTGGCGATATGCACGACGTGCTTTAGCAGATGCGGACTGGCAGATGACCCCAGCCAGTGGTTCGTCACATGCCGGGCGCTGCCGGTCGCAAGTTTTGATCGTTGGCCAGCAGTAGTGAGAGCGATGGACGCGAAAGAGATCCGGTATTCTAAGACTTGCGGCTCCAGGCTATGATCTTCCCTGTTGATTTAATAGACGTGATGGACAGCAGAGAGGGTCTGGCTATGCCTTGGGTAAGGTAGCTGATTTAGGATGGGCCATCTGGCATACCCTGTACACTAGACACGGACTTCGGCATTAGAAAGTCCAGACACCGGCTGCACCTCTCCTTTCTACCTACCTGGTACACACCAATGTGAGCTTTCCCAACCTCGAAATTCCACGACGTACCAAACATCACCGCGAGACCCAACCACCCCCATGTCTCTTCTCGCAGCGCGCTGGTAGCGCCGTCTAACATGGAGCAATGGGATCGCGCTCCATCAGCAGCTTCGTCAATGGCGTCACCAAGCCCGTTTCGGCACTCGAATTCAAGGACGCCCTCGACGCAGCATGTCGTCCCCAATTCCCGACAGCTACGTGGTACCGCGACCGGCCACTGGCGCTCGCCGTCAGCGGAGGCCTCGACTCCATGGCCTTAACCCACCTCGCGGTCGAGTTGTCGAGGACGGTTCCACAGTTTCGCGTGGCCGGCTACCCGGTCACCTCGGTGGTGGGGTTGATCGTAGACCATGGGTTGCGCGAGGGGAGCGCTGAGGAGGCAATGAAGGTGGCGGCTGCGATCCGCGATATTGGCGCCGCGCCGACCATCAGGACGTTGAAATGGGGCCAGCTGGTCAGGCACGGAATAGTGCCGGCGGATTTGTCGAATGTCGAGAGCATGGCACGTAAACTTCGATACTGGTATCTGGGCAAAATCCTACGGAATTTGGGGGCGCCTGTGCTGCTGCTTGGTCATCACGAGGACGATCAGTACGAGACGGTTCTCATGCGTCTGCTGGGGGGCCACTCATACCGAGGCCTGCGTGGGATGCAGCCGATGAACGACATGCCCGAGACACACGGACTCTACGGTGTTCACAAGAGCGGCCTGATTGCGGACCAGCAGTCGACGAGGCCATCTGTGCGGTTCAGGCCAACACAGAGGGAACAGAAGCGCCTAAGAAACATCTTTCGAGAAGAACATCGAAAAGTGCCAGTGGACACATCAACAAGACAGCCTGTTGGCATATCAGCCTTCCACGACAACGTCTACCTGGGCGACGACCCGCGAGTACCGTACCTGACGCCTGTACATACGGAAGGCGGGGGCAAATGCGTTATACGTCCACTCTTGGGCTTCAGCAAGGACCGACTGAGAGCTACTCTCGAGGCCCGCGGCATCTCTTGGTTCGAGGATCACACAAACGCTGATCAGACATTGACCATGCGGAACGCAGTTCGTCACATAGTCAGGAACCACACATTGCCAAGGGCCCTGCAAAAGGAATCGATCCTTGCCCTGAGCCAGAAAGCGAGGAGAAGAGTCGAGCATGAAGAGGCTGAGGCCCGTCGACTGCTCACCCGCCATGGCGTTGCCAAAAACTTCGATCCTTGTGCTGGCACGCTGATCATCGACTTGCCATCCATGCGCCCCAAGAGGCGGAAAAAGCATGACCGTCTGTTTGGGGCCAGAGCCGAGGCCCGCAAACCACGGCAGAAGCTCATCGCCGCTCTGGCCTTGCGTCAGCTCATCGACTTTGTGACGCCAGAGACCAACCTTCCTCCACCCTCGGCCATGGGCAATGTTGTCATGCGTCTGTTCCCGGAGCTCAGGCCGAGCTCCGACCCAGCACCGCCACGGCCAACAGCATTTGGTATCGCAGGCGTTCTCTTTGAACCCATCGTTCGACCTGACTCCGTGCGCTGGTTCCTCTCCCGAGCCCCGTACACCTCGAAGCAGAACCTCCCCAACTTCCTCTATGACTGGCGCATTGCCGGCGAAGCGCCCCCGACGCCCGAGCAGAAGGCAGCCTGCCCGCCTGCGCCGCCGAGTCCGCCTCGTGGCTGGCACAGCATGAAGATGCGGAGGCTCTGGGACGGGCGCTTCTGGTTCTCGATCGATTCCACCGTCAAGGAGCGGTTCCACGTTCGGCCCTATGACACGACCCACGCGCGAGCTTTCAAGCGCCGTCTCCTCCCGCATCAACTCGCCCGCATGGAAGAATTACTCAAGCACTACGCGCCAGGAAAAGTGCGCACGACTCTCCCCGCTCTGTACCTTGCCGACCACGACGCGCCCATGACGCGCGAGAGCGTTGGGAACTTGACCCTCATCGGCTTGCCTACGATGCGGATCCAGCTGCCAGGCACGGAGGAGTGGGTCAGGTGCCATTGCACGTATAAAAAGGTAGACACAAGTCTTTTGAGGCATCCTAAGCGGGCCACGTCGGGTCAGCACGCGGGTGCATGGAGCTACCATATGATGAGCACGTCAAGACGGATCAGAGTCCGACGGCTGAGCAAGCGTAGGAACACAAGGAGACTGTAGGCCACCAAGTGGAAATACCCCTGTCGAGCATGGCGTTCAATTACATTCAATACATTGTATGCATACTTCCATGGATGCATGTATCGTCAGGGGTGACCAGAGCCAAGCTGTCCGAGTCCTGAGGGCGCATTTCTACATCCATCTATCGCTGCCCGATGCACACAGATTATGATTCCGATGGTAGACAAGATTGGGACGTCTTTTGAGGAAAAAAAAGACGAAACTTTAAGGGTCCCGAAGGCCATAAGGCCCTGACCTCAAGTGCAGTAAGTAGGTAGATAGAATAGTCAGGTCACATGTCCCCCCTGAGCTACACATGCAGCCCTATTCAAAGACTTTTAATTCTTTTCTCACAACCACCACTAGACCGCCCCAGACCAATCGAACAGCGATTTCGTGGTGGAGGGAACTTGCCATGCTGACCGTGCAGCTTTTGTCGCAAACCTACATACAGCCCTCAGCTGCCAAAGGCGCACAACGTGATGCATTCTGCGGTTAAAGGCGAACAAACAAACGATGCAACCCCCATAATGTTGTGGAAAGACTGGCGAACGACTGACATGTGTCAGCTAGGTACGGTTAGAGACTTGACGGCTAGGAGCGGGAGTTGCCCATGGCACGGAGGAACACGTAGCGTGAGCAAACCACAGCCTTTGCGTTCTGCCAGCTGCATGTGCCAAGTACTCGAAATCCGGGCGTCGGCCGCTTCCATTGGCGTCGCGAAAGTCCCGGCGTAGCCACTGGTCAACACTATCGACAGCCAAACCTGGCCAAGGTGTTACTTACTATATAGCTGCGCTGATAAGAGCTGGAGATAGGGGAATCACACGCGTAATATAGATAGAATGGCCTCTAGCACCCGCTTTGGGGCCCGGGCGGGCCTTGGCTTCACGAGACGATGAGTCCACGATCCAAAGCACTTCATGGGTCTCACGGGCAGATGCACAGAGGAAGCAGTGCTTGGAGAAGTCTGACATTGTCGGCAGTGGACTGGGAGCAGGGACATGAAGCTGAAGCATTTAAAGCTCGTCTTCTGCCGCGACTGTTTACTCGGAATATGGCCAAACAAAGCATCATCTTCCCCTGAATCCTCGTAACTACAACAAAATAATACAAGCTTTGTCCAGAGCTGTACACGACCACGCTATCCTGCACGGCAACCCCTTACACTGACACGCTGTTCCTTGTTCGTCCTTGCAGTTTGCAGTCTTTCCATTCACATTCTTCTGGTTCCCTTAACCATCAGTTCCCTGTCAAAATGGCACTTCCATCTTCTCAGCAGGTTTGGGAGGCTTTGATAAATATCCCAGAGTTTCCAAGCGGCTTCTACATGGAGCGTCTCCACAACAAGATCTGATCTCTGCCCGCCATCAGCAGCGTCTTCAACGTCACCGGAATTTCCCAGCAAGACCCCGATGCGGACTGGAAGAATACCAAGATCGACGGAGTGGACCAGACAGCCCTGCTGAAGCCCTATGTTTCTATACGGTGCTTTCGGCCCTTGATGATATCGACAGCAGCAAGGACGCATCGAACTTTCGGGGTTATGTAAAGAAGATATTTGTCCCTATTCTTTTTGCTTGATCTGCTTTTCTTCAACTTATCGAGTGCTGATGAAGCACTGTGGCTGACGGACTACGCTACAACTAGGATGTCGCCGACGAGGACCTAGACGAGGATGAGGAGGCTCGGCGAGAACGGACTCGGACAAGACAACATGCCGGGCTTCGTTCTGCAGCAGCTCATTGCCTCCATGACGGCCGTCAACGGCGACGAAACCAACGTGCTAAACAAGCGCTACAACGACCTCCTCGCGCTGGCACCGGTGGCCGCCCGGGGGTTACGCGGTGGAGATGTTCAACCATGTCACGGTGGAATACGAGAACCAGACACGGAGCGCGGCCATAAACAACGTGGCACCGAGCCTCACGGAGGAAGACGATGACAGGCGCCCCAGCGAGATAACTTGACTCCCCGACATCATTGCGCAGCTGATCCAGGAGGTCCTGGACCCTAACTCGGACATGACCCAGGATATCCGGGACGAGCTGCGGAGCCACATCAACGAGCTGTTGAGAGAGCTCGACGCCGATGCGGATGGCGACGCTGCTGTCGTCGCGTCAACGGGGTACAGGCCATCACGGCCCTGATTCAGAGCCACGGGTTCTCATGTGGAAGGGGGCCCGCAACCCTTCGGACCTGGAGAAACGCGGGCTGGGCTGACCAGATTGTCGACATGGCGAACGACGCTGTCATCAAGGAGGGCAAGTTGAAGGCGACATTGGCCAGAGTAGCAAAACTAGTCATCTTTCTTTGCGCAGTAAGTCTCTCCCCAGCCCCTTTTTCTCTCCTCGACACAAAGGGCCCAATAGTTCGTTCCTCTGGTACCATGATAAGTAACTCCTTGACCACAGCTTGCCGGTGCCGGCGTCATGATGTGGCAGACATTCATGGCTTGGAAGGCCATGACCGGGCCCGATAGGGCGTTTGCCGTCACGAGTCAGTCAGCTCAAGACCGTGTTTGACGTGCAGCGAGCCGGTCTGGGATGGGTCGAGATGAAGAAGTACGAGCCGCCCGCGGCCAGAAGGATGCCGACGGCGATCTCCCAAGACACAGTTGGAGCTGTACATTGACAAGGTCCACGACATCCTCGTCCCGTTCCTGGCGCCACCGCCGCCCAAGCTCACGTACACAGCCATCCCGAGAACGCCCACGCACGGCACAGTCACAGCCATTGAGATTGAGCGGACATGAAAGACGTTTTTGCAGATGCACGGCAAAGTGCTCCAAGTAGTCACAAAAGAAGAGTATCACTATGCGAATAACAAGAGCATTGCGAGTGTCAGTGTAGGTGTGTGCCAAACGTATCTCTTTTCGCGCAGAGACAGTTTCCAGCATTAAAAGGTAGAGTACAACATGCTAACTACTTCTCCAAACAAGCCTTGCACAGGGTGAACAAGAACGTTTTATCCATCTGCCAATGATGACTCGATCAAAGTCCGAGACGTATTCCTCAATCAGAATGAGGGCGCGTTCAGGGCCATGAGAAGGAGGAGACCCGAGATAAGACCAGCCGAGGGCAGGGTGAGGACCCAACCGCAGAAGATGAAGCCAAGCTGCCTCCAGTTGATGGCGCTAAAGTCGAGGTTCATGAGCGCTACGCCAATGACGGCGCCCGTGACGCACTGGGTCGTCGACACGGGCAGGCCCAGGCTCGAGGCGAGCAGGACGGTGATGGCGGCGCCGAGCTCGGCCGCGAAGCCGCGGACGGGGCTCATCTGCGTAATCTTGTTGCCGAGCGAGCGGATAATGTGGAAGCCAAAGAACCAGAAGCCGGCGCCCAGCAGGAAACCGGCGACGACGATGATCCAGATGGGCGTGTCAGCCTCGTCGTCCACACGCTCCGTCTTCCACGTGTTGTACGCGCCGACCCAGGGGCCCAGGGCGTTGGCAACGTCGTTGGAGCCGTGCGCGATGGACATGATGATGGCGCTGACCACCTGGGCGTACCGCCAGAGGAACTCGACGCGGTTGTCGTAGCGCTTGGCCCGGGAGTGGACGTGGGCGAGCTGGGTATTGGCGTGCGAGACGCAGTCGCGGGAGACACCCTGCAGGAAGAAGTACTTGACCATGTAGCCCAGGCGGGTGGTGTTGTAGATGGGCAGGTGCTGGTACGGCTTTAGCCAGCGATCCTCGGGCTCGGGGATCTTGGGCTCCTTGCTTGATACGGCCGAGCTAGGCGCGCCGCCCGCTTCCGCGTCGTTGATGGTCTTGGACTGCGTGCCAGGGGCGTCCTCGCTGCCGGTGCCCTGGAGGCCAGTCGCATCGTTGTCGGCGGGTGCCTCCTTGCGGACGCCCTGGTCGCTGTCATTGTCTGTGTTCGTCACGTGGGTGGACAGGTAGTAGTCCTTGAGAGGTTTGTGGTCCTTGGCAGGCCAGAACAGGGGAGGGTTGTCGCGGAGGAGCAGGGGGCCGAGGATGACGTGGTAGATTCGCAGACGATGGTCGTGACGCTCGATGCGGGCCTTGAAGTAGGGCACAAAGAAGATGTAGGAGATGGCCAGGACACCAAAGAAGACACCCAAGACAATGCCCACAACGACGCCTGGGGAGAGCGCGTCCTCTCCCTCGATGCCGGGGCTGATGGGGATCTCGATGACGAAGAAGAGGGCGAGTACGCCGGCGGTGAAGGCAAAGTAAAAGGGGATCGCGCGCAGCGCCTTCTTGAAGGAGTCCGGTCGTTCGAGGATGGTAAACTTCATGGTGGAGAAGAGGATGGCGGAGAAGGCGGCAGCCAGGCAAGGCGCGATGCCCCAGGAGGCGGCGACCTGGCTGACGCTGCCCTTGGTCCACTCCCAGTTGACGGAGGCCTGTGAGGCAATGCCAGCACCGACCAGGGCGCCGACAACCGTCTGGGTTGTGGACACGGGGAAGCCTAGCTTGCTCGCGATGAGGAGCCAGGTGGCGTTGCCCACCTCGGCGCAGCCCATGGCGAGGACGAGGACCGAGGGGCTGGCCCTAAAGTGGTCAATGTCGATGATGCCGCTCTTGATGGTGTCGGTCACGCGCGAACCGAGAGCTACAGCGCCAATGAACTCGGTGAACACGGCCAGGATGCCAACCTGGGCGAGCGTCAGGGTTTGGGCGGCGACCGAGGTCGCGTAGGCGTTGGCGACATCGTTGGCGCCGTTTCCAAAGGCACTTGCGCAGAGCGCGATGGAGATGAGGCCGATGATCCAGGTGACACCGTCAAGCATCTTGTCGTCGTGGTAGATTCGGTGCGCCCGAGTCTCAGCGAAGAACGGATGTGTTATCACCGCAGTGAGGATTGTTTGAACAGAAAGGAGCCCTTCAGCAGCGGACGAAGACCAGGGCAGCCGTCTGGTTTATACGTAAACCGTTGGCTCCCTCCCGAGACGGGCCTCATGCTGGGTTCGCTTTGAGCATGCTGGAGGCAAGATGTGCTCTCCAGCCTCGCCACATGCATGTGGCATCAAAGATTTCTCTTGATGGCTTTGTGGGATGGCAGCACGTGGTCGAACGATGGACGGGGAGAGGGAGGCAGGAGGAGATTGGCGACCGCTTGGCTCTTCTCGCCAAGTTACTAGCATGACGTGAGAGGAACGTTAGGCGGCGGATCCATGGGCGGAAGCATGGATCGTCACAGCGGACCTGTACGGAGGACGGCGTTAAAAGTTTTTAGTCGCGCTAATTCTGCATATCGACGTAAATAGCTAGTTTTAGTGTAAATTTACTAGCGCCGTTCCCCGCCCCTCGACGTACTTATTTCTACCCGCTAATTTAATAATTTTCTAAACGTACCTCGGGATACGTTTAATCTACCGCTATATCTACTCTTACGGGAGGTCTTTCTAAGCCTTTTCCTACCTCGTAATAGCTTCCTTTTGTATACGTAGCGTACCTTTCTTTATAGTATATCTCTTTATCTACGGCTAGGTAGGCTCGATTATATTAAGGTCTGGCGAGTTACTAGGCTAAGGAAGGCGGCGCGCGCCTTCCTAATCGAAGACTTATTATTAAAGAGAGTATAAGTATACCGGAGCCTTATCCTCTTAAATTAATATACCTAGCCGGCCGGTAGCCTCGTATTCTTTCGCGAAAGGAATTAACTTCGGCGTTAAGATAATCTTCTAATAACGCTATTAGTCGATACTACCTTTACCGCCTCTCGTAAGCTTCTTAGTCTTTTTAATCTATCGCTATTATAATACGCGGCCGGGGGCTTTACCCTCGCGAAGCTTTATACGATTTATACTAACCTCTAACTCCTATATCTTCCTTACCTCCGGCTCGAGTACTTTATTTAAAGCCTTAAGTTCTTTCTTAGAGGCTCGTTTCTCTTAAGTAATCTCTAGGCACTAATAATAATAAGGACCTTTCTTATTATAAGAAAAGTAGCCCTAGAATATAAACTCGGAAGACCCTTTCTATCGCTTACGGAGATAGCTCTTATTAACCTTCTCTTTAGGCGTTCGCTAGATCCGATAACCGCCGCGGCGATATAATAATATTATAGAGGTCTCGTCGGACTAGATTACTTTTTTCTAATTATCGAGGCTCTAATCCTTCTTTTCGAGGTATTATTCGAGCCGTTCTTTCTTTATCTTCTATATTAGACTAGGCTTCCTCGTAAGCTTAGTCTTCCGGAAGCTAGCCTTACGGAGTATTCGCCGGATCGTCGTAGCCGATATCTCGATACCGAAGTAACTAAGATCGCTAGTAATATTAGCGTAGCTTTTCTCTCTTTTATATCGATTATAGCGTATAAGCTTTAAGACCTCTTCTTTAGTAGCGGTTTACTTAGAAAGATAGCTAGAACGAGGGTTATTAGTAAGGAGGGCGTCTATAAAGATAATCGGCCGGACGGTAGGGTCGAAGCCTCGCGCTATAGCGCGGGCAAATATTATATTAATTATACTCTTACTAACGCTTATAAGGGCTATTACCTCGATAGTAATCTTATTTAAGGCCTTAAGGCTTATAATTATAGCCCTTATTATAATATCGGTATACGGTATCTTTACGGTCGGCTTTAAAAAAAAAAAAAATTATATTTTATTAATTATAATAATGTTCGATAGTAAGGGGAAAGTCGGCCTAGTAGATTTATACTTAATATAGTGCAAAAATTCTATAGGTCTAGCTAATCCTTGATCTTCTAGCGTCTTAGCGACTAAAAACTTTTAACGCCGTCCTCCGTATAATGTATAAGTTAAGTCTAAAATCAAAAGTATAGAGTGGCTGATTAACCTATTGTGATAATGAGCCCACCTTATAGCGGGGCTAGGCTCGATTGAGATTCTGCCGTTAGCGGTGAGAAGGTAATACCGGAAGGGTAAGAACCCGAAATAATAAAGCCGGAGGTAAATAACCTAGAGTATAGGAAATAAGAGAAAGATACTCTAAGAGGATAGGTTTATATAATTAAAAAATATATAAAATAACGCCTTAATAGCTATCTTTTTTATAATAATATAAGGCACTTAAATAACCTTCTTTATAGCGTATTATAATTATAAGCCTAGGAGGTAATTATTACTTATAATTTTATTATACTTTAGATATATATTATATTTATTTTTATATATATACCTTTATATTATATAAATCCTTACTTTTATATACTATAAATAAATTAATTTTATCGAAATCTCTTAAGCTAAGCGTTCTAATATATTACAACGAATAATTTATAACTCTCTAAGTATATACTAAGGATATCGGTATTTAGTAATAAATTAACCTTAATTAACTAAATATACTTAAAAATAACCTTTTTATAATTAAAGAGTACTTAGTATAAATAATTAAGGGAGAAAGTACTCTTATAAATACTTAAGCTCGGTAATTAGACTATATAGAAACTCTTATCTAAGGGTTAACCTATAGCTTCCTTAAGGAAGATAAGGCTATTAAAAAATAAATAAGGGTAATAATAAACCCCACTATTTATAAGAATATTTAGGAAGAGCTAGAGAGTAACCTAACTAGCCGTTATATACTCTAAACCCTTAGAAAGAGATTTATAACTAATATAACCTAAACTCGAGAAAAAGCTCGATAAGAATACTAAAAAGCGCTCTAAAGCGCTCGATAAGTTAATTAAAGCGCGGAAAAATAATACTTAATTTAAATAACCGCCTTAAACTAAGTAAAGAACGCTAAGTTAACCGAAATTAAGGGTAACTAAAGAATCATAGATTTCTTAGATATAATTAATACTCGGTATACTC